ATTTAGATTATTTTAATATACTAGTAATAATTATACCTAAGATAGGAATTATATAATATTATAGGGGGTAGGCTAGTAATAAATATAATTAATAATAAAGTATATATTCAGGCTATTTATATATAGATATAATAGATAGAGATTAGGTTAAGATAAGGATATAACTTAAAGAGCTATAATAGGATTAAGAGTAATATGGCTTAAATATAGAAATAGAGGTAGATAATTAGGGCAGAATCTAACTAGATAGGTACACAGCTACACTGTGACAATTAAGGTATTTTTTATTCCTTATTTATATTAATTATTTATAAGATAATTAAGCTAAATAGTTATTTATAGTAAAATTTACTATTAATAATATTAGTTCTAAAATTATTAAATATTTCTTATTCTTTACCTTATATAATTTTAATTCTTATATAAGATTTAAGTCTATCTTATCTAATTATTATTTATAAATTTATAATACTTACTAATTTATTTTAATTATAAAGTAGATATAAAAATATTATTATATTATTATAATTATTATTTAAGCTTATTATAAATATTATATTAATTAGAAATATTATCTTATTAAATATTATATTAAGGATTAATTAATCTAATTAAATATTAAGAATATTATAATTTTATACTCTTAAAAAAAATTAGATTAGAAAAATCTAAATCTTTTTTTAATTAAGAGAGTTATTAGTCCTTATATTTATAAATTAAATCTATTTAAGAGTATAAAAATATATCTAGTATTTTATATTAAATTATTATATTTAATTATTAAAAATTTATTACTTAAATAAGAGGAAATTAAATTCTTATATATTAAAATTAATAATATTAAGAAATAAAAAATTAAGAAAGTAATTAATTCTTATTAAAATTATTATAATTAAGATAGTTATTTATATTTAAAATATATTATTAAATAAATTAAATATTTTATTATTATTAAAATTCTTGCTAGTTACCTAAAAAATATTACTAAATATATTATTATTTTTTATTACTACTATTCTAAAAAGCCTAGACTTTAAGAATACTTTATTAGAGCTTAATTTAAGAAAGGGGATACTATTATAATATAATTATATATTAATTTAATTAGATTCTACTTTAATTATCTACTTCTATTCCTATATTTAAGTTATATTACTCCTAATCTTATTATAGCTCTTTAAGCTATATCCTTATTCTAACCTGACCCCTACCTATTTTACCTATATATAGATAGCCTGAATATATACCCTGTTATTAGCTACACCTACTGCCAGCCTGCCCGCCATGACAATAAGTAGTAATCCTTAACTAATATAGTATTTAGTTCTTAGTAATCTATATATAAGTAGAGGCTATCTTTAGGTTTATTAATAAATAAGACTAGAAAAGTAGCTAGAAATAAGTTAGAATATATAAAATCTTTTTTTAAAAATTTTTTAACTATTTTTTTAGAGTAATTAATTATATTTATAATATTAGATATAATTTATTAAATAAGAGCTATTTTTTTCTTAAATCTTAATATTATAATTATATAATTAATATAATAATAGCTTCTTTATTTCTTAAGAATTAAATATATCTTAAAACTTTTATAATTCTAGAAAAAGTATAAATAATAATTTAAAATTAATATTTTTATATTTTAGTTTTTTATTAACTTTATTTAATAAGATTTAATATAATTTCTATACTAGATAATAAGTATATATAACTAATATTTTTAAAAATATTTAGTATATTTTAATAAGTATAAAAGATTTTAATTTTAGTAATTCTTTTTATTAATTTAGTTACTTAAATTAGTTTTTTTAGAGAATATTTATTAGGGCCTTTATTTTTATAAATTTAAAAAATATATTATAATATTTATAGTAATATTAGTTATTAAATATAATTATTTAATTAAAGAAATATATTTTTAAGTTATATATAATAAGCTAAGCTAGTCTTAAGATAATTAAGTAATAAAAAAAATAAATAATATAAAAAATAGATTTTTAATTATAATAATTATTTAATAATAGATTAGTCTTTATATAATAAGTTATTATATTTTTTTTTACTTTTTTATTATAGAAACTAGATAAGAATATTAAATAAAGAAATAGAATAATCTTTAATTTATATATTTTTATTTATTAATAATCTATAAAGCTAATTTTTTTAACTTTAGAATTAATTATAGTATAAGTTAGTATTTTTAGATTTTTTTAATATAATTATACTTATTATATTATTAAATTAGTATATATATAATAAAGATTAGAGAAGTTAGTTAATTTAATAATAATATAAGATAAGTAAAATAATATATCTAGTAATAGAGATTTCTATATATATTCTAGTATTAAATAGTAATTATAATTAAGTAGACTTTATTTTCTAGATTAAATAGGGTATCTAATAAGTATAGTTAATTAGATTTCTTTAAAATAGTAAAGTAGTTATTCTAAATTATAGTATAAGAAATAGGTAGTACTATAATAAAGATTAAATTAAGATAGTAGGCTAGTATATTTACTTATTCTTAAATTTATATAAAATATTAATTAAGGAAGGAGTAATTCTTTATATAATATATTTTATTTTTATAATAAAAATATTTTTTATATTTATATTATTCTTTCTTAGAAAAATATAATATATAATAAATATAGAATAAATTTATAATATTTAAATTTTTTTTAGATATAAAAGATATAATTAAGTAATTAAATAAAATAAAATTAGGAAAGTTTTTTAATATTATAGAGTTAGAATAATAGAAGCTAGATATTAAATAAAAATAAAATATTTATAGCTAATATTAATAATAATAATTTTTTAATAACTAGAGATAGTTAGTATATTTTTAAAAATTTTAGAATAAGATAAGGTTATAAAGTAATATATTTTAAAATTTAATTAAAATATTTTAGATTAAGAAAAATATTAAAGAATTATTAAGTATTTTCTTTTCTAAAGTAAGGTATTAAAACTTTATAAAGTAAGTATTAAAATCTAAATTTCTTTATTTCTAATTATAGAGATAGTTTTAAGTATTTTAAACTTAATTAGGATCTTTAAATATTATTTCTAGATAATTAAATAAATTAAAATAATCTAGAAATTAAAAGATATTAAATTTTATCTTAAATAAGATTAATTTATAAGCCTTTTTAGTTAGATATCTTATTATATAGGTTAGTTAGATCTTAATAGCTAGAAAATAATCTAGATTAGTATTTATCTTACTATAAATTTATTATATAAAGTAATAAAAATTAAAATAAGTATTATTAAATTTTTATAAATTAGAGAGTTTCTTATTAAGATAAGTATTAAAAAAAGAATAAATAAAAATAAATATAAGTACTTCTATTATATTAGTTACTATAATTTTAATAAGAGGAGTATATTTAATAAGAATAAGAATAATAATAAGAATAAGTATAATAAAAATAGTAATAATTTATAATATAATAAATATATATTTTAATTTAATTAATTTTTATTAAATAATTTCTAATTCTTTTTTCTAGTATAATACTATTTTTTTATCTTAACTAGCTTTAAGCTAGCTTTATTAACTTAAGTTTAAAAAATATAGATCTCCTTTTCTAGTAAATTAATATAGTTATTATAGGACTTAAGGTAGATAATCTAAATAATAAGATTATTAATAATATAACTTATAAATTCTTTAATTAAATCTATAATTAAGGATAGTTTAGATTATTCTAATATATTAGTAGTAACTATACCTAGGATAAAAGCTATATAATATTATAGTAGGTAGGCTAGTAATAAGTATAGCTAATAATAGAGTATATATTCAGGCTATTTATATATAGGTCTAATAGATAGAGATTAGGTCAGGATAAGGATATAACTTAAAAAGCTATAACAGGATTAGGAGTGATATAGCTTAAATACAGGAATAGAGGTAGACAGTCAGGGCAGAATCTAACCAGATTGGTACACAGCTACACCATGACATCCTGACTATTATATAGCTCTTTAAGCTACATCCTTATCCTAACCTGACCCTGACCTATTGGACCTATATATAGATAGCCTGAATATATACTCTACTATTAGCTACACCTACTACCCACCTGCCTGCCGTGACATAAGGTAGTATCTTGATATATTAAAATCTTATATAGTTTTAAGAATATTAAGTTTTTTTTAAAAGTATAAGATATTAAGAGTATCCTTAATTTATTTTTTAACTTTATAATAGTCTTCTAATATAGTAGTAATTAAATAAAATAGATTTAAAGTAAGATAGTTAAAATTTTAAAGAATTATATATTAAGCTATCCTGAGTATTGAGCTGTTGGGGGCGCGCAAGGCGTGACCCTGGAGACTAGGTCAGAAGGGGCGGTTATAATAATAGTAATACCCTATAAAATTGTCCTAATGCTAAACTATATATAGTAAGAAAAAAAATCATATAATAAATAGGTGTGGTATTATCAGGTTAGGGGGTGTGGCAGGATCGGGAAGGGATGTGGTTGGATCAATATAGGGTGTGGCATTAACAGTCCCCTATAAATAAAGATTAAAAATTAAAGTATTATTATAGAGAGAGTATAGAATTTAAATAACTTTATATATAATAAATTAAGTATTCATGTTACTATAGGGGGTACATTAGGATACTACATTCAGTAACTATCACTATTACCACCAAGTAAAGGCTTAGTAACACGTGATATAGAGTATTTAGGCCATTATTTTGCCCCAGACCTTCATATTTCCTTCAAGCATCTTCTTTCCATAGTTTTGACCTCTAAATTGAAGTCTATTTCAGTCATCAAATTTGACGACGACCATCAATATATATGATATGGTTTTACTCAAGTTACTAGAGGGCCTTTCTCTCTCCTATTTACCTGAATAGTTAGTTATATTCTGTCGAACTTTACCACTGAGCTAAAAAGGTGTCAAGACGGAGCTTTCTAGCTGATACAGTATTATATTAGTTCACATATTCCTCCTAATGCTTTTTAATGACCCTATTACTTATATTTATATGCATATATAAATAAAGTCTCTGATAAACTAGTATAGTTACAGACAGGTCTTATACTATTTTATCCATTCAAATACTTACTCTACTAATAACATGCAAACCATACACATACCAAGGACCCTTTCTAATGTGATGTAATAAAAGTACATGAGCAAAGAATACCTACTAGGATCTAGAGACAATTTTATCACTTAGATTCACAGCAGTAAATGTTTTTGGAAGTTTAACCCTAGGTATTAATTAGCAACACATAAGGAAATTCCGAGGTCCTTTCTCAAAAGGACAAAAAATATAGGACTCACGTGGTGAATTTTGCTTTTAGTGTTTCGATGACCTCTTTCCAGTCCTGATGGGCAGTCAAGCTGCGCCTTGGTGCGCATCCGATTGCATGCCTTGAGTCAAGCTGCACATCGAGGGGTTCAAACGCATGACAGCCTGGACTAATCGAGATTCGGATCGAGTAAGAATTTGTCGAAGATTCGCAATCCTTGGCCTCGTAAAGCTCGAAGCAAATCTGGGAGAGGTAATCTAGCTCCGGAATAGCCGACCTTGCTATCTTTGTCTGGATCCCGCCCTCTAGGATACAGTTCAAAAGAGTATATATGTGCGACTCTTTTGTAAAGTAGAACACAGACTTCGCATCTGAAGACGCCTGAACCTCCTCCAGATCTCTAACTATATCCTGCAGGAGTGGCAATGATGTTAAAAGACCAATTTCTAGCTTCTCAGTGTCGGTGATGCCGTATTCTTGAGGAGTTATGTAATCGAATAGAACCTTTGCAAGCTTATATAGCTCCCTCAGCTTGGAAAGCCTAGAGTCCAACTTGGTCTTCGTTGAACTGGAGCCAGGGTAGAGCTTGAAATAATGATCATAAGAGGCATCGAGGGCCCTCAGATGTGGAATTGATTCGAAAGTATGCATTCGTCGTTTGAGTCCAAAGCGTTGAACCAAAGTCTGATTTTCGGGGGTTTCGTCGCCCTTTTGGTAACCTTCATGGGGCTTCGTCTCAGTGATAGAATCTTTGCGGGAAGCCCTTCTCAAGCTGTCGCCTACATCCTCATCTTCACCCTCATCACTGTCTGGTGGCATAAATACCCACTCGAGGAATTGTCGGTTATGAAGAGCGTCGAATTTCATGCTATCATAGAGTTCCGATAGTTTGCTTGGGTCAACTTTTTCCGTATCACAAAACTCGGCAAAAAGCTTTTCCCATCTTTCCTTGAAAAGCAAAGGATCCTCGCCAGTACACCACCGTCCTTGAATGGAAGCCAAAGCTGGGTTTTCATTCGGCAGAAACGAAGGGCGTTGGACTGTAGAACTTTCCGAAGCTTGGGCGCTACTTGATGAGCCTTGCAAGGAGCCGTCGAGCTTTTGGAAATTGTGTCTCATAACATCTCGGTGAAACTTCATCAATTCAACAACAGTCGATAAGACGACCGATGGTTCGGGAATATTTTCTTTAGGCCATGTAAATTGAGAAGGTGCAGACCCCTCACGCAGGAGCAATTTGAGCTTCTTCTTTACTTTGTCCATAACATCCTTCGCAGCGTTCGAGTCGTCCAGAAGGTCTTTTCTGACTTGAATAAAATCATCCGGAAGCTCTTTCTGATCAAGAAAAGAACAGGCCCATATTTGAGCTGGCATAATCGATTAGTGATAAACAACCAGCTGTAGGAGGAGATCTTTTTATGAACTTACCACTGGTACTCACTCTCCGCTCTGAACTGGTAAAGATTCGAACATTATTCAGTGCTTCCTTGTTCATGAGCTTTAAATCATCTCGCATATTAAGACCGAGTTCTTGAGATTGATAGCGCGCTGCGTGGGTTGGTTCGCCTCCCCATTTTATCACAAGTTGAAGTTTATCTAGTATGAGATCATTTTCAACAGCAGAAAACCTTGAGAAAGTGGCACCAGATATAGAATCGCTTCTAGTCTGGGGCCTACTCAGGCTCTCATTCTCTTGAGATGAATCATTTAGGGAGGGCGAAATGGGGTCTTTCTCAGCCCCATCACCTAGAGGAGTGGCCAAACACGATGACTTGTCCGAAGATTCTTCAACTTTCCGTTTGCGGAACATTGGCTTTATCTGAACTTTTGTTCCAGGCCACCCGCCCTTCTTCTCTAAAGATGTAAGGAGTAATTTGAGTTTATCCATGTCTTCAAGTTCTTGCGCCATTGCGACACCAACCGCTTCTGAGACACTGCGTAAGGCCGACTCTCCCTTGATGACAACCTCTTCCTGGTGCCCCTTCAATAAGTCAATAAAGGGCTGACTGTGAAAAGTGAACTTGAACTTTTGTTTTGGAGTTCGGTCAGCGTGCCGGATAACGGCTACCATACCCTTCAGCTTCCAGGAATGCTTTGAGGCTGGAGGAGGAGGAGGAGGAGGAGGAGGGATTCCTTCGCCTGGTATTTCCGTGGACGCAGAGGGTTGCTGAATACTTTGGACGGAAGAAGATCCTGATGGTTCTTTTGTATCTGTGCTCTTCTGGCTGCTTTCCTGCTCCATGCTTTCGCGGTTAGGTGTCGTGAGCCCGGCCAAGAAAGATTCGGAAGAACTGGGTTCAGGTGTTTTAGGGACGCTTTGACTACTGTATAGCTTTGACGAGCTAGGTGACTTCAGCAAGGTTTTTAACGCGTGCCTGTGGGATACCGAGTGTCTCCATGGATGGTTAGAGTCTGACGAGATTGGCTCGGATGTTTCTATGGTGCCTTCGCGTCTTCGCTTCTCATTGATGAAAGTGTCTCTCAGAATGCTGGCACACCTGTCATAATAATCGTTATTATCCTTGACAAAGCTCCAGCCATTCACATCAATTACATAACTTCTCTCGCCGACTCGAAGCATATCAAACCCGCAGATTCTCTGGCCAAACCCGTGAGAAATTCTGGATGCTATCGATGCCTCCTCTTTACTCAGTTTTGTTATATACCTTAGCTCTTTTCCGTGCGTATTGCGACGGACTAGTCCGTCAACCACCGGAGACTTCCTCGTTTCTGCGTGACAAAAATCTGGCCCAACGGTGTAGGCCTTAACGTCCTCGGCATTATCGACCCTCAGGAACTGTTCGTATATGTAGCTCGTGTCTTTTTCTGTGACTGATCGTGGAACTACCAACTTGGGGTCGTATTCAGAACTCTTGTTCCCAACCTTCCGGAAAAGACGCCTACCGCCGCCCCCGTATTGTTGATCGTTCGGGAAGTAAATATGGATATTATGATCTTCTCCATTGACCGGCTTTTCAACGAAGGGTTTTCTAAAAGCCTTGCCGTCAACAATAAGAGAATCTCCGTCCTCCGAGATAGCCACGCTCTTCGTTTTGGAAGCGCCTCCTCCTGTGCCGTCGACGGGGCCTTCAAGTTTAACTCCGGTAAGCTTATATATATGCTGGGCAAGCTCTGGAGACTCCAAGGTAGGCCCGCCATCACGGTTGACTTCTAATCTTTTGGGGGTAGGTACGCTCATATGATCTAGGATTCGCAGACAGAGACGGCGGTCCCACAAAACCTTCTGCATGGGCAAATCGTTGACACAGAATGGCTTCCTAAGTTTTGCGTATGCGATAGCTTTATCCAAAGGAAAGCCGTCAGAGAAGAAGGCGATGAGAAAATCACACACAGGCCAATTCTCCACCGCCTCATCAAGGATGACTTTGTCACCGAAAACAATGACCTCGAAGTCACCCTTGGCTTGTAGCCGTGTTAAAATATTCTGGCTAGGTTTGCTCCTAGCTTTCACATCCAAAGCACAAACGCCAATTTTCCCCATAGTTGTGGGGGCAGTTTCATACTCACTGATGGAGCTTGCAGCAGTGCTCCCACTTAGTCTCCTAGGCGCTCGACTGGAGGATCGGGTTGAAAAATATGGCCCTCGACCAAAATTCTGTCCCTCCAATGCATTTTCGGAGCGGTTTTGCTTCAATTGATGGACTTCAGCACCATGTAAGTTGCCCCTTATGGAGCCGGACGCCGAGGAATCACAGGATAAGATGGGTAATGATTTTTCCCGATCGGGACCAGCACTAGAGGAATCGGAGAAAGTCTCTGTGATATCCTTGGGAATTGGGGCATCGACGGCATGACCGTCAGAACTGGGGACACTGGAATCCATGGAGAAACTTGAACAGAATGCTATGCACGAGAGATGGATAGGCAGGTCACTCTGGAAAAAAACCCCAAAAAAAGGTGGGGGAAGTGACTAGATAACTCAAGCCCAATTTCTAATTCTCAATGATAGCAGAACCACCGGCGGTAAAATTGTTTTTTTTTTGGGGGGGGGGGGGGTAGGGGGGGTTTAACGGTATTTATGGCCGATTGCGGATACTGAGATAGTTTCCCGATTTGATATGCCGGAAAGGTCAGCCCTTCTGAGCTTATTAGACTTGTGTTAGAGAAAGAAAACCCGGAGCCTATGAAGTCAAGACAAACCGTTACCCGGGTCTCCAAATCTTTGAATAGTGTGCCACAGTTTGTTGGGAGCATTGGCATATACGAGGGCGATGGTAAGAAATTATTTCATATATAATCACATACCCTAGAGGCCCAGCTAGATAGTAGAAACACCTCTTACCTATAGGCTAAACTTATCCTTCTGGGTGTAGGAATCGTTTTCAGGCAGTTGTCCTCATACTGAACCGAGGACGCTTCTCTCTCATTTGGATAGTCATGTTAATTAAAAGGGCAGTCGCCACTGCGGTTCCAGTGGGCCGCCATTTTGGTTGATGACCCAATCTTTTCTCTAACAGTGACTCTGTCGATAAGATGGTATAACGACTGGAGGTGACTATGTGGCAAGAAGATGAAGATGATGACGCATAATATAGGGGTAGTTAGTCAAGTAGATTACCTAGTCGTTAACTAGGTATTATGATTAACTAATGTTATAGTTAACTAACTACCTCGTACACCTGTTAACTAACTAAGACGAGAATCATTAATTAACTAATCAACATTCCTCCTCTCCTGCCTTCTAAAGTGAATTGCCTGCGGTCAGATGGAGCATTCCTATGGGTTTCGAATATCCAGGTAGGGTTTGATGTTTTCCATCATACTTTCCTTCCTGGTATATCTTGCTAAATTATACCCAAATCCTAGTACCATTTTGACCATCCGACGGAATGGTATACTAATAATAATTTCAAATGTTCAAGAAAAAAACCACCGAAACTACATGGCTTGCACCTAATAGTTTTGCTTTGTCAGTATTTCCCAGATTGTCCGTCAAAATTTTGGCATTTCAAATTAAAATAGATCGAACTCTCTCTTTTTAGGTAATTGCAACATTCATTATCATGCCTTCCATGACCATTCTGTAACTTCTGCTTTCCTTAGCATCATTGTAAACGAGATGCGTACCATGAATTGCGCTGGGATGGTATGATCTGAGCTTTTGTAAGGGTGAGGGGATGGGCGATCAAGAGATGGGACGCTGCTATCAATCTTTGGCGCATTGACCAAAGTCTTTGAGTTTCTAGTTTGGGTATCTCAATTTGCGGCAATGTATAGAACTAAATATAGTGGAAGGGGAGTTAGCTTCATTTTCTACCTGAATACGAAAGAGGACGTACCATTATTCCCACGGATGAAGGCATCACCATAGCTGCGCGTTGACTGCCCATTTACATACTCTTGGGATTTCTCCAAAGCAATGTTCATATAGCCATCTACTGACTGGAGTTCGCCTATCGTAGTTAATTAGTACCTCTTCTAACTATCGATAAGGCGAAATAGGAGAGAATATTTGGGGGGAAACAAACCCTTGTACACAACACCCGAATTCAATTTTACTGTCACCGAAGCTCCAATTATCTCACCTAGAAAGGTTGATGGGTCCTTTCCTTCAGATAATGCACCATTTTCCATCCTTGAATGTTGTTGTTATCGTGTTTCCCTTGATATTGTGAGGGCAGTGAGATAGATATTGGTTGACTAGTCCCGTATAATTCAATTCAATCAACCTCCGCGGGGAAATAATCCTTGAGGGGAGCAGTCAGCGCTAGTCTCGAAATAGAAAGCACGTGCCAGCACTTCCGAAGTACTGTGCTTCTTTTATTCCTCATAGAAATTTACTACACGTCTCTCGGCTTTACATGCAGAATATGAGACTGTAACTATCTACTACACTTAATGGGAATTAGCGTCTAGCTTATTCTCAACTTCGTTTTTTTTCAAGATAATTTTTTGCCTTTCAATTTGATAATACTTTTGTTGATAATCTTGCAACTGCAGATGTCTGCTTCGCATCAACCCAAACGTACCTTTTTTAATAAGCCTTCTTGGGCAAGCAGAGGAGATGAGGATACAGACCCAGCGTTTTACCGCCGTGCTGGACAAACTTACAAAGATATCATTGCTTCAAACAAAAATGATCGGGCAAGGCTAGCGGGTTCTTTTCCCAACAGCCCACAAAAGCGTCGCCGTATTTCAGATGAAGCTCGTTTAACGAGTAGGGCCGAGGAGAACTCTGATAACAATTCTGGCGGAGGCAAATTCCAAGAGGATATTTTAGAAACCACGAAACCTTCAGATGGCGCTTCGCAGGAAAGTCCCGATGGTGATGTTCGCCTGATGCAGACGACCCTGATGCCCGATAATGCCATATCTCCAGACAAGAGTCCCATACAGAGTTCACAAAGCCATCAGCCACTGAGTCCAGAAACAAACCCTCCTTCACCGCCTCACCTGGACACAATCAGTAGTAATAGAGAAGATACTTCTATTATGCATGATTCGCTGGGAACAATGACTCAAGTCGAGTCTGCGATGCTTCATAGTGATGTGAACTCTACTTACGATAATACTGTGGTCCAGATCCTTATTACCTCCAGTATTAAGCATACTAAGCCACTAATTGTTCATCGAAAAATGGCACAATCTTTGAAACGGGTGCGCCTAGCATGGTGTAATCGCCAAAATCTTCCAAAAGACCTTCATTCGTCGATTTTTTTGACCTGGAAGGGAAGAAGGCTCTTCGACGTGACAACCTGCAGGAGTCTGGGAATTGATGCGCAAAGTGTTATCAGCCAAGATCTAGCAGCGCCCAGTGAGTTGGGCGGCAATCTGGATAACATTCAAATCCACATGGAAGCTGTCACGGAGGAACATTTGATAACTAATTTTCAATCGCAAGAATTCCGTACCACGCCAGGTTCATCGCCGACAACATTTACATGTCCCCAGACAACGGAGACTTCTCATTTAGTCCAGATTATCATGAAATGCCCGGAATTTGATGATTTAACGCTTAGTATCTCGCTGAATCAGCAGGTTTTTGAGACTGTTACAGTGTTTCGTGATGCCAATAACATTTGTGAAGAGGTACAGGTGTATTTTTCATTTGATGGCGATCGATTGGATCCTCAGTCTTGCTTCTCGGACTATGAAATTGCCGATGGGGATCTTATTGATGTTATAATAAAAAACAAAATATAAGAACAAGTTATATGTATTTGTCCGCCCCCGTGTCAAAGACCTTGTTTTTAACCTTGCCTGGATTGTAACCAGGGTCCCTAATCGTCCAAAATTACTATGCTATGCAAAACATAGATGCTAATCTAGGAAATATAAATCTTAGCTGTCTAACACATAAGGGGAAGGCTCCATTGTGTGATATCTAAACAGGCTTTTAATCTCATCTATATATTCATTATTTAATACATAAGTCTCTCGACATTTAATAATAACAACAAGGAAGTATACAGATCCAGAAAAGCACGTTGAGGGGTGGGGTTATCGATAAGAAAGAAATCTCTCTCTCCCTTGACAAACTTTTTTATCTCACATTCTTAATCCTCCCCCGCGCAGAACTGTTTCCACGCACTAAACACACCGTGATCTTTTGAAATTTATCGATATTACTGCAAGAAAAAAAAGAAGGGGAGACGAATAAAAAAATGAAGCTCCTCACAGTCAACTTTTTGACATGTGCTGTGAAAGCCTGCAAAGGATCACCCGCTGCATTTCCTCTTCATTTCCAAGATGTTGAACTCGAGCAACAAGATGTCGATTTCCAGCCCGAATTCATCCGTAATATTGTCCCTCGGGTTGATTGGGAAGGACTTCATAAAATGGCCAATGAGGTTCGTCATCACCGTGGTCTTTACCGTCATCATCATCATCATCATCATCATCGACCTTGCCGAGCAGTATAAAAAAGAGATTTTACTGACTTTTGGGGGGGGAGGGGGAAAAGCTCAACTTCCCTAATATCCCGGAGACCAAGCCCGAAGGCGAAGCACTCAACAATGAACAGCTGTTGAGAGATCTTCACCGATTACTTCTAGAGACCCAAGTTATAGAGGGAAAGCTAATTTGCGGAAATTGTGGTCATGAATATATGGTTAAAGAAGGAATTGCAAACTTCCTTCTCCCCAGTCACCTAGGTCCGAGAACGCAACCACCCCCCTTCCCCTCCCCCTTCAACTGAAGGCGATTTGCTGATTTTTCTTTCTCTCTCTCTTCCCTCTGGACTGTTTAGTTTGACGCCTCGTGTGCATGCGCAAAATACCCACCGAGTTGAAGCCCGAATTTGGTCTCATTTTTGATGACAGGCAAATGCAATACAATGGACGAGTTTGCGAAGCATTGGAATGTGAAGCGGAAGCCTTGCCCTAGCAGTCGGCCGTTGCTCAAACGTTTGGCATGGTTGCATTCCTAATATTGAAAGTGCATGGTCTATAAACTTGATCAATTATGTCTGTGTGGTTGGAACATGACTGTAGTGTGATCTCCTATGATACATGGCAGTTACAAGTTATGCAGGAATAACCTGTACACATTATAACCCTTAAATGGGGATGGCAGCAACCAATTGCGACCGACACATGCACGCCTTCACCTAGAACTCCACAAAGCAAATGGACGGCCTTACTCGGGGGGTAAATGGCCGTGAAACAAAAATTAACACGAGGAGGAGGAAACGTTGGGAGACAGAAGGGATGGACAAAAATGGGGAGGAAGGAAGGATAACTCCTCCACGTATTTTAGAGCAGACTGCTATGAATATGAGTCTTAGTTCAAGAATCCCTTGCAACCCGTCGAGCCGCAAAGGCATGGAATTCGGTCATCACTGTCCCACTCCCTCTCGAACTTGTAGTCGTAGGTGAGCTCCTCATCTGCAATGGGGTTAGCTTATGGCAAAGCATGTTGGGTTTGTGTAACAGGAAAGCATACCTCTTTCGATGTCCCTCAATGCATATATAACAATACGCTTACTACCGTCAACTTTGATAATCTTGGCCGTGCAGTTAGGCGTACAACTGTGGTTAATGAACCTAGCTATACCCCCCCTCTTTGTAGCATCGATGACGGTGTTTTCGTCAATGCGGAAGAGATAACTACTTCCGATGCCGCTCTTCAGGTATTGTCTTTCTCTCATGTCGGCAACTTGTTGCCGTACCTTCTCTCCCACGTATTCAATGATCATCTCGTTTGCGGACATGTTGACCTCAGCATAGAGGCCCCAATTGTGGATGGCTGATCGCGCGAAGCGGACGGGCTTCTTTCGTTTCTTCAATTGGTTGAATCTGAGTGCATCGCTATCACCACTTTGTGTTGGAAGAGCTTGCTTTTGCGCATTAATATCCGCAATGAGCCTGCGGTTATTGACTCTTGTCGATCTGGAAGTTGATTTGGAAATTGTCTTTGCCGCAGCAATGCGAGCCGCCTCAGCGGCAACACTATGCGGATCGCTTTTGGCCTTTGCCTCGCGTTCTTCGCGGGCTTTCTGGACTTTGATTCGGTGCGGTAAATATTTGGATTTTTCCGACTCAAGAATCCTTTTCCTTCCCTCAGTGCGGGCAGCGCCTGTGATATTCGGGACATAGTAGCCATGAATGCTGGCCAATTCGCGTGCAGGTCCAATATCTCCAGGGAAATTAAGCGCCTTGATTTCTTTCTGTCTCCATGCCCAAGCAGATAAGTTACCAACTTTAGACCTCGGTTGCTCAGTCAGGATTTCACGAAGGAATTGGAGATCCTCATCATCTTTTACGAAATTTTGCCAGCCGTCAAGATCCATGATGATAGAATCGTCGTCTTCGACAATTGGCCTGGGCTCATCGCTGGAGACTCTCCACTCGATCTCCGCTCTCGTCCCATCATCGACCGTATCGATGTGTGGGTGTTTCAGGTCGTCATGGTCCTCTTCAGTATGGAGCTCCCCAACGAGTACAGATTTTGCGTCTTCATCCTCGCCTGTTGGCTGCATGCCATCCCGAGGCGGTAAGTCTTCAGATAAATCAGGAATCCTTTCGCTAACGCGATCCTTGTCGAGTGCTTCCACAGAGAGTGGCAATCCAGTAGCCTGTTCATCATCTTCGTCCATAGCAGACAAGCTGCCGTCTTCTTTATGTCTCTTTCTTTGATTGAGATTGTCACTGACTCTTTTTCTCTTACGGGACGAAGGAGAAATCTCGCGGTTATCGGACTTCAACTCTCGAGTTTCAAGTTCACTCTCATCCGCTGGCTGTTCTGTTGAACTCTCCAATATTTCAGATGAGGATTCATCTTCTTCTTCTTCTGACTCTATTGTTGCTGAGCTCATTCGACTTGGAGGACGACTGTCCTGATCGTCCGTGTCTCTGGCAAAGAGAGTGCGTTGCTCATCATCCGAATCTTCAACATCATGTAATTGCTGTAAGCGGTGATAAAGAGGTCGGACTTCTTTCCTTCGCAAGGGCTGTTTGCGTCTCTCATCTAAGAAGACAGCATCTGTACGATCGAGGTGGTGGGACTTTCTGATCCGCGGAAGCGCGAGAATATTGAGACTAGATGCACCAAATGGATGGCGGCCATTGGACAGCTTCATATTTGAGTCGGGCGTGCCATCTCGGCTATCCATGTCAATCCGAAACATTGGCCGCTTAATTCCTTCTGGGTCAGCGATTCCCAGCTTCTTTCTTCTCTCCGCATGTCGTTCTGGGTCTAGATAGTCATACAGGGCCGGTGCAGCGATGCGTGACTTCACATCCTCGAGAAGTTTATCTTTCAAATCCCTGAGTATGATGGCCAGTACTTCCCTGCATGGATCCAAATCCAACGCCCGCTGCTTTTTCTCTTCCTCGACGTCCAGGTCTGCCTCTCTTTTCAGTCGTTCTATCTCGGCTCTTTCCCTCCGCTCTTGTTTCAATCGCTCGGGGCTTGGACTGCGCTCGTATAGGGGATTGCCGTAGGGCTGACTCTCCATGTTCATGATATACGTGAACAAAGGCTTCATATGGCATAATTTGTAGCATCGGTCCGTCTCCTCTTCACCGCGTCTAGAGTTTTCAAATATGATATAATAACCGGTCTTGTCGCATCGAATATCTTTCCAGTTAAACAACTTGAGCCGCTTTTTCAAATGTGGCACAGTCGTGCTAAGGACAGGAACGTAACAATGTGCGATGAAGATATAAGGATCTCGCTTCATCTGGGTCAATACGGAGGTTTCCTCGACTAATGAAGGTATCGTAGGTTTGAAGAAGCTTGCTCTTGGTCCGTCAGGAATCGTGGTGACCGGGCGCATCGAAGATCTTCCCGAGGGACCTTTGGGGGCTGTCGGTGGGGGCTCGTTCTTTTTTGACTGGACATCTGGTTTCGGTTCTTCTGCGACTGGTAAAGCGTTTTTGGACCCCATTCTTTGAGACTCGATGGCCCTTGATACAAGTTTCCCTGAAATCACACCATCACGGTCCAACTCAACCCTGATGCGATGGTTACCAATACGTTGCTCCTTCTTGCATTCATAGAAAGCACGCCTGGCAGCGCTTGCTGCAGATACGGGGCCACCTCTGTGGAATGCCTCGCTATCCTTGTACTTGACCGAACAAATTCCAAGGAACCTACCGGTGATCGGATCGGTGCGATTGTTTATCTCTGCTATTTCGCCGAAGCTGGAGAAGAGCGCATTGATCGGGGCAAGAGGAGTCAAAGGGTCGAAACCGGTGATGACGATTTGCACGGGGGGGCCGGGTCCCACTGTGGTTGCTGCATCGTAGGGCCAAGGTCTTAACGCATAGGGTGCTGGCCGATATTTCTTTTTTTGCCTGCAGCCAGCACCACGCGAATAATTCGATATACTCAAGCGGGGGTCGAGTGGTGGTTCATCTTGATCGTTCGCGATAATATCCACGTAGCAAGGTTTCTTCCGCTTCTCTTTCGATGAAGATCGCTTTTCGGTGTCGGGGTCATAGACCAGCTTGCAACCCTTGACGGTTCGACTTTGAGATTGTGGCGTTGGAGGGGTATGTAGCGGCGTCATGGCAGACTTAGATTCACCAGACTTTAGATTAGGGTTATTTTCTTCGATGACCCCATCAGCTATCTTCGTCTGGGAAGGGCTAAGTTTGTTATGTGGGGACGACTCTGCATTTGTAAGGGGAGTGAGTGTATCCAAGCGTGTTTCATTTGAATAGCCTGTACCAGTTCCGGATGAATTAACAGCTGGAGTACTCGTTTCTCCAGGACTCGCCGATCCATCTCCTGTGACCTCCGCGCGCGATTTTGTGAGGCCGGTTCCTGGTGTTGACCCCAAGGAGATATCGCCGTTCGCTAAATTTTCAGGCGCTTTGGATCCGGAGGAGTCTGTGGACTCTTCACTATGATGCTCCTTCTCCGGTTGGGCTTTTGACCGGTGTCGCTCTCGAGTGGCCTTGAAGCGTTTTTGCTGGATTACTGACGGAGCTGTAGGGAAGAAGTCCGCAAAACCTGCTGAGGAGCGCGACATGGTGAGAGATGGCTACACGCCAAAACTGAAATAGATGCCACCAACTGGCAGCATCCTTGATAGTTCCTACCAACTAATGCGCGAATAGATGCACAAGAACCCTCCGGACGCAAAAGCGGTAAAATCCGATGATGACTTCGCGGGTAGGAAAGGCAGGGGCAGCGGCCGCGTCAAAGGGAAAATTAATGGCAAGAATAAAAACTAGGCGAGAAGAAAAGGCACCGCTTGAAAGGAACACGGCTTGAGTGGAACGAAGGAAGGTGAAAAGTTCCAATTGAGAAGGGTGACAGAACACCAACGGCTTCCATGCGTTCTGGGCCTACCAACGCGATAGAGACGCGAACAAGGTTGCTCACAAAAGGAGAAGTGGCGGGGGAGGGGATTTCATAAGGCCTCAACGAAAAGCGTTCGATGTTTAGCGAGCAAGAGGAAACTATGGGGATATGATGAAATCCCACGCTCCTGTGTGGTGGAAAGGTCTTTTTGGTTGGGAGAGAGAATTCGACAAAAGAAGGGAAGAAAGGAAAAAAGTTTGGCGGCGGTAGAGAATAGACAAGTTATCAGGCATTTCTTGTCCCTGCGTTTCCAGATACGGCAACAAATTTTCAAACGATAGCGCTCATCAACGGAACCACGAAGCGCACCCAACTTCAGCGACTCCAGCGGCACGGAGGAAGGGGGAAAATATGTATTGATTTGGGTAATAAAAAAGGATTACTACCTACCTAAATGCTTTCTGAGGTTTGTCTCGCGATTTGGCAGACGTGTCAGAGCAGTCTTGCGATAGAGTCACATCGCGCTCGCTTCACCTCCGCCGCTCTCTAAGTTACTTCGGACGGCAATCAGCTATTTGTTCGCATTTCTAGGCTCCCTCTCTTTCCTATTTTTATATATTTGGCAAGGCTTATCGCTATTCTGGGTACACGGACGGTTGTTCCGCTCGCTGTATCGTCATGCGCATGCGTCCAGGGGAGCGGGCGGAGGAGCCGAAACCATTATTCAAAGCCACCGATGGTACAAATTGCATGAATTTGTGAGAAGACCGACTGTTGGAGATAAATATGCAGTGTGCTAAGGGAGAGAACGACTCTGACCTGAATACCGTCACTGGGCTGCCTTGGCTGCTGTGGTATGTGTTCTCACTGCGTACCTAAGCCAATGTAATCTTCGAGAATCGAGTCACAGATTGGTGTAAACTGATAGAGTCTCGTTCACTTGAATAAGTGTAAAATCGATGACATTGCAACTAGAATATGAGGACCTGTGAGAATAACGCTGAAAATGACCGCTACTAAGGCCACAAACAGCTGCAGTTCCCACCCATAATACTGGAAGTTGTTGAGGGGAAAAAAAGGTCAATAACGTTCAGAGCCAGTGTAAGTCTTTTCAGCAAGAAGTCAACTCCTAGTTCTACAATGCTTGATCCCAAATTTCCGACTTGCAATCCTATATGGCCTCTCAGTAGAAGATCCATGGCCGTCAATGGCTAACTGCTCTGTTTCTGACTCGCTCATATTAGCCTCGCGCCTCATCGCAATGGAGCCCAGGCGGGACACGAACAGGCTATTAGCATACCTTAATTCTGCAGAGGCTCTTTTGGTAATCATATGTTTTTAACTCAGAATAATCATTGGCGAAAACAGCAGTCCACGGCGCGGAATATTCTACCAGGTTGTGAGCAGGATGAGTGGAAATAACAGCTACATGAAGGAGAACATACAAATTAGTGAGTGAGAGGACGCACAGTCAATTATAATCCAATCATCAATCATATTTTCCTTTAACCAGGAATGATAGTTACTTCCCTCCCTCCTTGAACTGAGAGATATGTGATCCCTAGGCAATTTAATCGCCCACTTCTTCTCTGGAATATAAAAGTCAACATGACCATCACTGGTTCTAGATTATTGACTGCAGATTGGTACTCCTCGGCCTGCCTGTTGATTAAATAACTTATAGATTATTATTACTACTATATTTGTATACTTCCCTCCTCGAAAATCCTGCTCAATATCCCGGCAGCTTCAGGCGTCAAGTCCTTTCTAGCAGGAAATGAGCAAAAAAACAGCCTGATCCTCAAGATAATGGAAAACTTGAGCATTATCCTTCAAAGCATCAAGAAGATGATCTTTTGTTGTTGTCCTAATAAGTTGGTGCTTAAGGTCATGATAATGCTCCTAAACTAGAGTTAGTTGTACAAGCAAGCCTGAAGCTATATAGCCTCAGCAAATTCATCTGGTGTAAAAATTAGGCCGGCCTTTGAAGGATTGTCGCCAGGCTGAGGGGATAATATAATACGTTGCGCGGGACCAAAGGTAACTGGAGTAAACCACACGCGGTCTACCTCCAGGCCTGTTGTAGGGCTTCCGTAGGAACAAAAAAGACAAATCTTTTATGTCTTTGCCTTGACCAGACCTTCGCTCTTTGATGATCGTGTTCCAGAAGCAATAGTCCGTGTATGAACCCTGAGCCTTATTGATAAGGATTACAGTCTTCGGAGCAAAAAATTCCTCGACACTATATCCAGGATACCTTTGTCGTAGGAGCAAGGCGAATTGGGTCTAGGGTCATTGCTAGGAAAAGACTCCGAGTAGAAAGGCATTTTTATGATTCTCGAGATAAGAGTCCCTTGAAAGTTCGGATAAGACCGTCTTCCGCTTGCTGGCGTGTTCCATTGTATACTTACTGTTGCCGGTGAATGCTGAAACCACTTCCGATGAGAATCCTCATGGTCTAATAGAAGATGGTCACATTGCTGACACTTCATAATAAAAATGCTTCTGGACAGGCGCAAGGAATCTCATATTTGCACTTGATGACTGCTGTACACCGGCCTGTGTATTGAGGTAGAGGACACAAGGGAAAGAAGATTTTGCGGCAGATTGTGAGAACTGAGAAGGAAAAGAGAGAAGTGAATAAGTTGCCTTCCAGTAGAATCAAGCTACTGCGCCGCTCACCGCCTAAACGTGATGACGGCGTATTGAAGGGGTTCGATGTCAGATACGAAGAAAAGAGATGGGAGAGGAAAATATGATCTCTTGATTATGGCTAACTTGTTCGACCTCCACAGATCAAGAAGAAGATGATGAGATGATAAAAGGAAGAAACAGGAAACAAATAGTAGCAACCAGAATATTCATTATCCGCCTTGCTCCTTTCCCGATCCGACCATTCATAATCCCATAATTTCATAATTCCATATATTAACTACGTCATAAATCCATTCCCCCCCAAACAGTATTAGGCAGCTATCCTGAAAGGGGAAAAGCTAATCCTAAATAGAAATTTACAGGTCCTTCGAGGTTTACACCTGTATTGTTAGACTGGTTAGAATGTAGGGGTTATTATAGTTGTCTGTTTTCCAATATAGATTAGATTCACAGGCTGTCGCTGGTGATGACGATCCAGGCGATAATGTGATGGTGTCTACAGTGTAGATTTTAAGAGCGGGCATAAGCCGTGTTGGAGTGATTTAATTTACCGTACTCCGTAGTTAGATAGTACTTCACCAAACTAATGTCAGGGCTTCTGCCAGATATTGCATGGAAAATGGGGCGCATCTCTCATCCACTATCATGCCATAAGATTGAGCTTAATGGTGGTGATGGTGGCGGTAGTAGTAGTATCATTCTTCAGCCTTAAAAAGGGCCGTGGCTGCATATTTACTGAAATTTTACACCTTCTGTTCTGGGTTCTCACGGATTACTGTTATAGGGGCTCTTTCTAGGTCTATCGAGTCTAAGGACGAAGGACTCCTCTGGTTGATATGCTTTTAAGTTGATGGTATACTGTAATACCCTACATAATAATGACGGGCTTGGATGCAGAAAAATCATTCGCATAGTGAGGCAGTACAGGTGAGTAGTGGCGTTCTTAAATGGTATTTCCTAGTGCCGGGATTATCATTCTCCAAGAAGAGATCTGAGGTAAAAAAAAATCACGTATACTGCTCCATTTTTGTCGCCTCTGTCTAATAATAATAATAACCGCGTAAGAGGCAGTTGCGACGGCTAAAAATGGGAAGGCTAAGAATAAACTACCACTGATCCCCCTACCTTAGTAGATACACTAGTGAGTACTCCGTATCTGCGGACAAAAATATTCCTAGGAAGATATAACGCCACGGTTTCTGGAGAAACAGGGACAAAAATAGTAACCTCACAAACCTAGGTCAACTTATCAAGGTTTAGCTTTCATGTATAACAACTCTTCTTTTTAAATACTCTATCTATATGCATAGAACATTATTTAACTGGCACAGAGTACTGGGGAATGATAGTAGAGAGTTAGTCCCTACCAGGAGGTGCGAAGTATTGCATACTGGGATCAACAACCAACTACGTAGGTATCTCCTTTTTCACATAAGCTGTTTGTTTTTTAATCTACTGCATACTCTGTAGGTAAACAAGGTAAACATGGTGTTCAATCCCAAACATTCCAGGTCCAGTCTGGGTGGTGTCTTTCTGTGTGCCACTTATTAGTACCAAGTACTATATCCTACAATAGACGTAATATTGTACCTACTTAGTGAAGTATTGGAGATCAGTAAGCGGAAAGATGATGAAAATGGCTTCTTCCTCCTCAGATTTCCGGAAAGAAGCCCATGCTAACAATGGAGTTACTTGGTTTCGACCGTTTCAGATTTTCCTGGGAATGGTACCTGATCGATGACGAAAGATGACACATAAGAGGAAATGAAATGAGGGACCCAATCAATGTGTTCCTCTTAACTCTGTCATACCTAGGTACTACTGGGACGAATTTACAACTTACGGGACTTTGGGAATGATCTTTGAAAAGGGGGTTTGCCGAAGAATGGTAAAGAACCAACCCAAGGATTTTTATGGGAAAGGAAGTGGAGATCTTACCTTTTGATACAATCTTGGGCTTGTTTATTCTTAGAAAAATGGTAACCAGAGGTCGCTCCAACAGAAAACCCAGGTACTCTTCACCTTTTTTTTTTTTTTTTTTTTTTAATTACTACTAATAATAATAATCGTAGTGGGGGTAGACTGATACGAAGAGGATTGATTATTATTATTATTATTATAATATTACTGATACTCTGGGAATAATAACACTGCTAAATATGATTTTGAAGTTCCCAGGAGTAGGTGAGACATACCTATCGTCTGGTTGTGTGAGGCGCAGACTCCAGAAGGGGTTTATTGGCCACTAGTCTGGGATGAAAGTCCGTGTGGGCTGTGGGCAAGTGCAAGGCAGTTTCCCTGGTTAGAAGGCCAAGGTGGACCAATCTCACAACATAAAACCTTCATAACAGCTCTTCCCCCTCCTTCCAGCAGCGCCCTTTTGTTGATCCTTGAATCACATTAATCACTTCTCTCTTCTTCTCTTTCCCATCTCTTGGTCTCTCCCCTCCTCTATTAATCTTCATCTCTACTCCATCTATCCTCGCCTTCCCCCGTCCAATTCCAATCCTCTTTCTTGCTGTGTACCTGAATTTGTATGCTCGATCTGTTACTTACCACCTCTTTTACCCCTCCCTCCCTCTTCACCGTTCTTTTGCTAACCATGGTCATGGCCTTTTAGGAACCTAGGAATTTCGCATCTTCTGGACCTCGACCATCCGATCGAACATCCATCCCTATCTGTCTTCCCTTGCTAACCTCATCTTCCGTTTTAAGTCATCAACCATGTGGTCCGTCTTACCTACAGTGCTGTCTACTTGCTACGTGTATCGCTGACTTGTCTTCAGTGGTATCTTCGGTTACATTAATTACCTCGTCGAGAAGGACCGCAAGTACATCCTTGACACCTTGCTCAATGGTGTGTATTCTCCAATTCCCATGCCAATTCCGATGTTTCCGCCATTGCATTTCTCAACGCTCTTACCGTGCTTATGCTGATGTTCAATTCCAGGGCTTTCGAGGCTTGAATACCGAGGATACGACTCCGCTGGCCTTGCCGTCGATGGCGACAAGAAGAATGAAGTGTGTGCTTTCAAAGAAGTCGGAAAGGTTGCCAAGTTGAAAGAGCTCATCGAGGAATCAAAACCTGATCTGACCAAAACCTTTGAATCTCATGCCGGTATCGCCCACACACGCTGGGCTACCCATGGAACTCCATCTCGCCAGAACTGCCACCCCCACAGGTAAGATAATTGCCTCACATTCAAAATCATCTCCGGGATAAGTATAACTGACAATCTTGGCTTCCTGTAGGTCCGACCCAAATTGGGAGTTCTCCGTTGTTCACAATGGTATTATTACCAACTATAAAGAGTTGAAGGCTCTCTTGGAAAGCAAGGGATTCCGGTTTGAGACTGAGACAGATACTGAATGTATCGCGAAGCTTGCCAAGTATCTCTACGACCAGCAGCCAGACATTGACTTCACAGTGCTCGCCAAAGCTGTTGTGAAAGAGCTCGCAGGTGCTTTTGGTCTTCTGATGAAATCCGTGCACTATCCTCATGAGGTTATTGCTGCTCGTAAGGGATCTCCACTTGTCGTCGGTGTGAGAACATCGAAGAAGATGAAGGTGGACTTCGTGGATGTGGAATACTCTGAGGACATCGCCCTTCCCGCCGAGAAGGCTTCCCAGAATGTTGCCATCAAGAAGTCAGCGACCGGACTCCTCGCTCCTCCTGACAAGTCGCTACTCCACCGTTCGCAGTCTCGTGCCTTCCTCTCGGATGATGGCATTCCCCAGCCTGCAGAATTCTTCTTGTCTTCTGATCCTTCCGCCATTGTTGAGCACACCAAGAAGGTCCTGTACCTGGAGGATGACGATATTGCTCATATTCATGAGGGTCAGCTTAACATCCATCGATTGACCAAGGACGACGGCACCTCCAACGTCCGTGCTATTCAGACCATCGAGCTTGAATTGCAGGAAATCATGAAGGGCAAATTCGACCACTTCATGCAGAAGGAAATTTTTGAGCAGCCCGAATCCGTGGTAAACACCATGAGAGGTCGCCTGGATGTTGTGAACAAGCAAGTCACCCTCGGTGGACTCCGACAGTACATCTCCACTATCCGTCGCTGCAGGAGAATCATTTTCATTGCCTGCGGTACCAGTTACCACTCCTGCATGGCTGTACGAGGCGTGTTTGAGGAACTCACTGAGATCCCCATCGCAGTTGAGCTTGCGTCCGACTTTTTAGACAGACAGGCCCCTGTCTTCCGCGATGACACTTGTGTCTTCGTCTCCCAGTCTGGTGAGACTGCTGATTCTCTCATGGCCCTTCGATACTGTCTCGAACGTGGAGCCTTGACCGTTGGAATCGTCAATGTTGTTGGTTCTTCTATTTCTCTGCTTACCCACTGCGGTGTCCATATTAATGCCGGTCCTGAAATCGGTGTCGCCTCGACCAAGGCGTACACCTCCCAGTTTGTTGCCATGGTCATGTTCGCCCTTTCTCTTAGTGAAGATAGGGCGTCCAAACAAAAGCGACGTGAGGAGATCATGGAGGGCCTGTCCAAGATCTCTGATCAATTCAGAGAAATTCTGAAACTCAATGAACCCATCAAGGAAATGTGCGCCAGCTTTTTCAAGGACCAGAAGAGCTTGCTTCTGTTGGGCAGAGGTGGCCAATTCCCTACTGCTCTCGAAGGTCGGTGGAAGGCGTGTTTCCCCAAAGAGCAAATACAGTGTGCTAATTTGACGAACAGGTGCCCTCAAAATCAAAGAAATTTCTTATCTTCACTGTGAAGCCGTTATGTCTGGTGAATTGAAGCACGGCGTTCTTGCTCTTGTTGATGAGAACCTGCCCATCATCATGATACTGACCAGGGATGGAATCTTCACCAAGTCTCTGAATGCCTACCAGCAGGGTGAGTTTTAAGATCAATATTCTTTTTAATACTGTGCTCGCATCATGTCTAACTTGTTGATAGTCATCGCTCGAGGTGGTCGCCCTATCGTGATTTGCAACTCCGATGATCCAGAATTCTCTTCTTCTCAAACTGAGAAGATTGAAGTACCAAAGACCGTTGATTGCCTTCAAGGTCTTCTTAATGTTATTCCCCTGCAGTTGATCTCCTACTGGCTTGCTGTAGGTGAAGGCCTGAATGTTGATTTCCCCCGCAACCTCGCTAAGTCTGTGACTGTCGAGTAAATTGTTGCGATAATCTAAGCGAGAGCATAAAGTTTAGCGGGCTTGATGATACAGGAATTTGGCGGTGTTATTGCTTTTTTTTTTTTTCGTTTTTACATTGAACTCTCTATGTTAGTGGTTTGATCTCTGGAAGAGTTCAAATCTTATCGGCGCTGCTGTCTTCAGATATCTTTTTTAACTCCTGTCCTTCCCCCCCCCCCCCCCTTTAAACTACATTCCGTGTGGCTAGCAAGATTTCATAATAGCAAACAAGTGACATTTCATCTTTATCACCCCCATAATACTAGCATGGATTTTGCCCTTTGGGGTGAGAAAGTAGATTGTTCTAAAGAAGTTCGGATGGTTCCGTTTCTTGCTGCCGGTAATGACTAGCGCGGGGGCAGAACATTCCCCACAGTCTTGGAACTCCGAAGAAATGGGACCGCAGTCTGGCGAGTTATCACAAGCTGCTGCTCGCACGAAGTGATTGACCCTATTATATATCATTCGAACTTACAATACTTTGCCTGTCAACCCCCTTAGCATATCTCTTATATACAACTATCGCGATGACATCCATTAAAGGCCCCGGAGCTCCCCAGACCTTCGATGGTGGGTTTTACCCCTCCTCAGCGCTATCGGCTATCACTAATGGTATGTAGGGACTGGACTCCGGATTGGAATTGTCCACGCCAGGTGGAACATGCAAATTATCGGGCCTTTAGTAGAAGGTGCTAAGAAAAGCCTCCTGGCGGCTGGTGTGGCTGAGGATCACATCACAGTTCATACAGTCCCAGGAAGCTACGAGCTACCATATGCAGTGCAACGGTACGCTACCCTACCCTCCCTTTCTACTGGCAGCAACACTCGAGATTGGGGATGGATTTATTCCTAGCCTCTCTCCCTTGTTCAATTTCCCCTGTCTGACAATTTCCCGTTTCGCACCCGGTAGGATCTACTCAGCATCGCAGCTGCAAGCCGCCAAAGCAGGGTCCGCAGGTGAAGGCATCAGCGCAACAGATCTGCTCTCTTCCTCGACGGCAGACCTCAGCAAGGCACCTTCCTCCCCCTCGTCCTCCGCCGCGAAACCCTTTGATGCTCTCATCGCCATCGGCGTTCTGATCAAGGGCGAAACGATGCACTTCGAGTACATTGCCGATGCGGTGACGCATGGATTGATGCGGATTCAGTTGGATTCCGGCGTGCCTGTTATTTTCGGGGTGCTTACTGTCTTGACTGAAGAGCAGGGGTTGGAGAGAGCGGGCCAGGGTACTAAGATGCATAACCATGGAGAGGACTGGGGTAGTGCCGCGGTTGAGCTGGGATGCAAGAGGAGGGATTGGGCTGGGGGTGTGGTGGTTTAAGGGTGATCTTGTCTAGGACATGGGGGGGGGGGCCGATGAAAGATTTTGGGGGCGGGGGGGGCATAAATAACTATAAGGAATGTGCTCTTTTTGGTCTGGTGTCTATTAAAGTTGGATTAAAAGAAATAAAGGAGGCAAAATGAAAACTTTCTCTCTTTGTTTAACGTGCCATAGTTGTTATTCGTGACCGGTTTGGTTTGCTACCTAGCTTTACTCTTCCATTCGCTCGCCCTCATTGGCTTTCGCCCCCTCTTCCTCGTCCTCATCCTCTCCTTCCAAGGCTCGCTTGGCGGCTCGCTCTGCCTCTTCCAGGAGCTCCTTCGGTACCTCCTCGTGCCTGCCTTTCGTTGGGCCGTCTAGTGAACTAATCCATGACATTTCCAGCTCAAAGTCTTTGTCCTTGCTGTCTTCGTGAGCGACATAGATGATGCGAGCAGCCTCCTTCACGGCATCGAGAAGACTGAGCTTCTCGGAGCTCAGGTCTAGCTTTTCAAGCTCAGCCTTGGCGGCTTGTCTTCCCTTGCCGGTAGCAGCGCCATAGTATCCCTTGAAAACGATCAGCATCGACTCACAATCGGGGTTGTACATAATGTTATGGAGACTATACCCAATATAGACCGCTTGGCTCAATCATGTACAAGCCTGGCCCTCCAGACTTGGCGCCCTCGACCTTCCCACCAGAACCCGACTTGGGGCCACTTCCTACTTGGCCGTCGACGGCAAGCTCAGCTTCAGAATCCCAGCCTCCAACAATAGAGGTCACGCCGAAAGGTCGGACGCTAGAATAGAGTGTGTAGGCTTGTACATAGCTACCAAGGCGGTTTGCGAGAGCGGAAACGGGGATCGGCCCCTTGTATACACCTCGCCACGAGGATGCCTCATCTCGAGCACGGGAAACGAAGTGTCGGCCATCAGGGGTTAATCCAGCGGAGACCTATTGGAAGAGAATAAAGGTTGACATTAGCATAAGATCACACAACATTCCACGAGGGTGTCTCGTATCTCGTATTCTAAGAGATATAAATGGGGTGGGTGGTGGCCTTACGATGCCAACATGGCGATCCACGGTAGCTATCCTCTTATTCGCGCCGGCCTTCAGGAGTTTGCTGGTAATAATCTTCTCGACAGCTAGAACAACGCCGTCCTTGCACCTAATACCGATAGCTGTTCCACCATTCTCGACAGCCTTGACCGCATATTCGACCTATCAAGTGATCATCAGCAGCTTGATTCGGAGGCCATGAAGAGAACGGACGAAAATTACCTGGAAATTGCGGCCGTCTGGTGAGAATACGGAGTTAGAGAGATCGTAACCCGTGCCGATGGACGTCTAGAATTACGACAATGTTGGCTTAGCAGGGACAATCAGCATACGGGGGAAGTTGGCAAACAAACCATGGCGAAAGGTAGGGCCTATTTAGGGATATGGAGGAATAGCCGCGAATGATTTATGAACAGAGAATGGAAAGGAAATGAGGAATAGCGACAGGCTTGAAGGGGGGGGGGGGGGAGCTTTCCAAGATACTGTTCCTTGAGCTAGCTTCAGTCGTTACTAAGGTCCGCCGTAGGTTCCCAGTGTAGGCGCGTCACGTTCTGCCTGGAACGGTCACATGACCATATATATATACCGTCAATGTGTTTTCCCATTGACCAGGGAACATCATAAATAGACCCAGTCTTGATGACGAGGACTCATCTCAGTTGTTCCAATCACGGCAAATACTCGCAGGGCGAGATCTTGAAATTCCAACGTCCCTCTCCGTACCTGATTTTCGATCATCCGCATCATTGGGTCGGCAGGTTGCCATTTTGCCTCTTCCCATCATATGCCCAAGGGTTGGGCATCGACCACATCCCACCTTTTCCTTTTCTTTTGTACTTTAAATATAGTATGAATCACTGGCTGTCAAATTAAACGTTACCAAGATCCCAGGTCCTTTCTCTCGATTACTGATATCCCTCCCCCGCATTTCTCCTTTTGATTTCCAATCGTCCGTTGTTGCCAGGTGGTTAGATACTATGATTTAATTTAATGAATGAACACTAGGATTTACAGAGAATAGATTCAAATTTAATCTGATCCCCTCGTCCTTCTCTCCGCAGGCCATCGTCAAACCCAGAAAAACAATGTCTTCATCCATTCTGCACAGTTGCCCCTTTTGTGGACATGTGACCGATATCGCTGAGGTTTTGGCCGATTTTGTTGAAAATCCTCATTGTCGTCAGGTAGAAGAAGTCTCTGTTCCATAGTTCTTACCGGAATACTGACCCGGGGGGGGTGTTTGGTTTCTTGCAGTGCGGTTTATCGGCGTCTGAAGGCAATCTGAAACTACAAGACGACCTGGTGGCGCTTTTCAACAGACAAATGAACATGGAAGCTTCGCCATCCCCTCAACAACAACAACAACAACAGCAGCAGCAAGAAAAAGAAGAAGAAGTCCATGTCTCTGCTCCTCCCAAGATCACATACAGTATCACACAGCACTATCACCATTCCTCGCATCTAGTACAGCCTCCTACCGCACCACAGCCCCCACCACAGAGTACCGCAACCCCGCGATACAATGCCACGGCGAACTGGGTCAACCGGATCCTCGGCCACAATGGCATCGAGCCATCCTCACTTACTCCAGGGCAACTGGAACTCTTTGCAAATGCAATGCCAGAGCAGCAGTCGCGATTAATCCAGATTTGGCAGATATGCCCACAACCCAGCCGGAACGCGCAGAGTCTGCCTTCATCAAGCCACTTTCCCTCAGCGGGAGCCTTCGATATGCATATGCACGACTCGATGGTTCCGGAGAGAGATGGGCGTGATGGCGACGATGAGGCCCAGGGGTATGCCGAGCCCTACATGATTAGCGGGTACGGGCTAGGGGGTCAGGAGTCCGCAGCGCACAAGGCTGCACCGTTAGCCACGGAACCTAGCACTGGATTCCCGTACAGACTTTCCAACGACCCCATTTACCAGACTCCAGGGCAGCGCTGGTGGGAGCGTACGCAGGCAGGCTCCATGGAATACTAGACTTGAATCCCTTAGCCTGTTTATGTGATGTGACATGCCATGAAGCGATGTGTACATTTTTTTTTTTATATATATATCTCCTCTCTCTCTCTTTCTACGTACTCATGCGGGAGAACAACTTCCTAGCTGAATAATTGCGACATTGGTGTTTGGGTGTTGTTTTTCCCGGTTCGTTTAGCATTGCTGCTGTATATGTCAGGACAAAACAATGGCATATGTATTGAAAGTCTCCGACTCGTTGATACGTGACATGAATTTCATACGGTGTCACTAAGATGACTTAAGAAAAGTTGATTACTATCTGTAATGACTGATAAACTATCCCGTGTACCGTACCGGGGCATTTGATATGTTAAAAGCACCTAGGTGGTAGTAGGTCTCTATGCCGAGGCCCCACGTAACTATATTAGCTACCTATTGTTTGATTGGAGAAGCTAAAGCCGGGGGGGACAAGGGGGCCCTCAAGACAAAAGATGGAAATAACAACTAGAAACGAGCGTAAAGGCGTAAGAACTGCAATCCAGCATCATTTCCGAATATATATGGGTATATATTCAAAAAAAAAAAAATGTAGGATTACCTCGTGAAAAAAAAAAAAAAAATTAAAACCCTGCCGTACCTTGGTACCTTGGTTTTTTAGATTAAAAAAAAATCCCCCAGCCTCTGTCCTCGATGTGCATTCCCTGCACAGGCTCAACCCAGGGAGTAACAAAAAAAAAAAAGGAAAGAAAGAAAGGAAGAAAAAAGACAGGCAGATAAGACATCGTAAATAAAAAGGCAAACCCTCAATAGGTAAGCCAACAAGTGCTGTACCGGGCGAAGAGAGTGTTGCGGGAAGAAAATTCATTTGGCCAAAAATCTTGTTCATCCAGTAAACGCCCGGTTAAGATATTGGCGATGATGCCAGAGATACGGCACTTGGAGAAACGGGAGGAGTCCTAGCTGGATTGTAAGTAAATGAATCGCATAGAAAAAAACGGGCGGAAAATCAAAGGGGGAAAGGGGAGGGCTGCGAACCATATCTACTCCTCGTCGACTTCATCAAGCGCAGCCATTGCGGCAGCCAGGGCATCGGTGGAGCGCTTCACCTCATCCGCGACCTCCATAGCCCGCTTGACCTTGACGCAGCCCTGGCCAGGGAAGTGGCACCATCGGTCCAGGGTAATCTTCGCCATGGATTCTGCCAGGGCGTCGGCGGAGCGCTTCACCTCGTGGCTGGAATCGGCTGCGATCTTCAGAGTGGCACAGCCCTGGCCAGGAAAAGCGCACCACCTTTGCAAAGTTGCGGCCTGCACAGAAGTGGCAGCGAGGGCAGTGAGGCACAGAGTAAGGAGCTTCATGATGGTAGGGTGAGTGGAGAGAAAGAGAAACAAGTTTCCTAAAAAAAAAAAGGTATTCGGGTATTTCCAGTAAGTTGGGACGATGAGATTTCTGGGAATCTTGATTTCAGCAATGCGGAGAGTGAGAGGACTTGATGAAGGTTATATAGATGTCTGTCGACATGCGGGTTCAGGAAGGCAGGATACTTCGTTCAAAGAAACACGCAGCACCAACTTCATGTCAAGAAGCCCCCAAGTCCAACGGAGATAAAGAGAAATAGAGTCCTATCCAGAATAGCTGATTCTGATTGAGGGAATTCGAAGCACAAGATTCAATAAAGCGCCATTCAAGATGCCTCAATTGGAGGTAGAATATCCGATAGATGGGCAGGTGAATACTCGACATGGCTCTCGAAAGACCGAGTGACCGGCCAAAGTGGAGACTGAGAGTAAGTAGATCAAAGGACAGCAATTGAAAAGCTGCCGAATTCATATCTCAATAGACAGAGAGTTTCTTGGAGGGCATCAATAGAGCTGTTCTCAATAAGTAGTAAACTGAATAAGGTCTGTCTGGGAAACAAAGAAAGGACTGACTGACTGTTTCTGATTGATATACAGGATAGGCAAGGTCAGAACAGCCACCAAAGGAATACATATGCATGATAGTAGTTAGTAGTTAGTAGTTAGTACTCTGTAGTAGTAGTTAGTAGTAGTGAAAATCCTTAGATAAGATCGGGCCGTGAGATATTATTTGCCCTTGAAAGTCCATCAATTCCATGCCGAGACCATCCGCCCTTTTTTCCGGTGTCTTTCCTTTCACCGAACCTCAACTCCTCCTCTCTTTTTCCTCTTTCCCTCCAACTCTCCCCTCTCCCTCTCCCTCTCTATAGCTTCAATTACACCCTTTTCTTTGTTCTGTCAAGATGTTCTCCCCGAGGACAGTACAGCCCGCTCAGGTATGTCCCTGGATTTTTTCCAGTCCCCCCCCCCAAATCAGTTTTTCTATCTTTTTCCTTCTTTTCTTATCGCTCTGTTGTATCCTTTCACCCGGACATCACTGTCGCACAACCCTTTACACTTCAATCTCACTTGAATATTCTTGTTCGCCGATTTTGGTTTTCTTTCTTCTAACCCCTTCTTTTCCGTTTTAGTCGCTCTTCCGACGCGCTGCCGTCCAGACTCCTCTCCGTTCCTCCATCCCCGCCAGAAGTGAGTTGGCTCTGTTATACACCTACTTGGAGAGGATTTTCTGATTGACTCCCGTTTTCTAGCATTTGCAACCGTTCAGCAGGACATTTTCAAGCCCACTAAGTATGGTGGTAAATACACTGTGACGCTCATTCCAGGTACGGTCGAATTGGGAAACCCTCCCCACCCCCCCCCCCCCAAAAAAAAAAAAACTCAACTCCCCACAGCGCGCACGGCTTTGGTCCTAGCGCCTGATCAAAGCTATTCAGTTTCTAATAATTGGTTTCAACAGGTGATGGAATTGGTGCTGAGGTTGCTGAGTCCGTGAAGACCATCTTCAAGGCCGACAATGTGCCCATTGAGTGGGAACAGGTAGATGTGAGCGGTGTGGACACCGGTAACAAGCACTCTGAAGAGCTCTTCAAGGAATCGATTGCCTCCCTGCGTCGCAACAAGCTCGGCCTCAAGGGTATTCTCTTCACCCCCGTTGAGCGCTCCGGCCACCAGTCCTTCAACGTGGCTCTCCGACAGGAGCTCGATATCTTCGCCTCTGTTGTCCTCATTAAGAATATTCCTGGCTACAAGACCCGCCACGAGAATGTCGACCTGTGCATCATCCGTGAGAATACCGAGGGTGAATACTCTGGCCTGGAGCACCAGTCCGTCCAGGGTGTTGTTGAGTCGCTCAAGATCATCACCCGCGCCAAGTCCGAGCGCATTGCCAAGTTCGCTTTCAGCTTTGCCCTCGCCAACAACCGCAAGAAGGTTACCTGCATTCACAAGGCCAACATCATGAAGCTTGCCGATGGTCTGTTCCGCAGCACCTTCCACAAGACCGCCGAGAACTACCCTACTCTCGAGGTCAACGACATGATTGTCGACAACGCCTCCATGCAGGCTGTCTCCCGCCCCCAGCAGTTTGACGTGATGGTCATGCCCAACCTGTACGGTGGCATTCTCTCCAACATTGGCGCTGCCCTTGTTGGTGGACCTGGCGTCGTTCCTGGCTGCAACATGGGACGCGACGTCGCCGTGTTCGAGCCTGGCTGCCGTCACGTTGGACTTGATATCAAAGGAAAGGACCAGGCCAACCCCAGCGCCATGATTCTCTCTGGATCCATGCTTCTCCGCCACCTTGGCCTGGATGACCATGCCAACCGCATCTCCAAGGCTGTTTATGATGTTATTGGTGAAGGGTAAGTGACCTTGGGCCTGTTGGTTAGATCATGGCGCTAACATTTATTTCTCTTGAAGTCAAATAAGGACCCGTGACATGGGCGGAGTGGCCACTACCCACGAGTTCACCCGGGCTGTCCTCGACAAGATGGAGGCTGCTCTATAAATTTCGTTTTCTGACGAGGCTGGTGATGGAATCCGATCTCGGGCTGATGATGAGAGGTTTGTATAGTCCGTAGGTGATGTTGTAGATCATCATCTTGGCTTTTTGTGAATTTTGTTGTTACCCATGTTCTGTATTACTTCTACCCCAAATGACACGAGAGGCGTCCTGCGCTGTCGAGAGTGATAGACAAATCGGTGGACTAGAATGTGTAAAACTATATACATGTGTTTTGGAATAGAAGCATGTCAATGCGCCATAAATAGGTATCGTTTAAATATATCATCATAAAGAACCATTTTCTTTGCAATCCCGGTGTAGAGCCCCTGAGCCGTATGTCCAACGCGTGGGAGCCTTTTCACATCAGCATCTTTCGCACCCGTTCGTCCGTTGTAATTGTGATTTCCCCCGGGGTTCCAACGCCCTAACTCCTGAGACAGGTAACCGTGAAGAATTTCTCTGGAAAGGAAGTGATTTTTGGTAATACCACCCCTGAAAGAAGAGGCGTTGCAATCCCGCCAGCCGACTGTTCTCCTTACGGAGCCAGCTTGGAGCCTGTAGTTGGGACAAAACAGACCGTATTGTCGCCCAAGAGCGCTGGCAGGAGTTGGTAGATGAGAACTTGGATTTTTTTTTCTTTTCTTCTTCTTCTTCCCTTGGTTTTTAGAATGCCGGGCGTCTTTTGCGGCCGGTGTATTTCGAGTTCGCCTTGACGACTTTGCCCTTTTTAGTCATTTGCTCTTTCTTGCGCAGGATCCAAGCCTTATCGCCCTTTTTCGAAACCGGCGCCTTGCCGCGTTCCATAGCCCGTCTTCTTGCATCGAGAATGTCCACATCGTCCATGCCATCCACAACCCCCGTAATATCACCCTGCAGACCACCTCCTCCAACCGTCAAAACAAGATAGAGCTTGCTGTTCTTGGTACCCGGATCATCTTCTAAGATACCCGCTCCGAATCCAGCCTTGACAGCGGCCCCGCTGATCATTGTACGCTGGGCATCATTCTTCGGATAGAACTGACAAACAGCACGCCCGCCCCGTCGAAGACTAGCATAAAGGCCCTCGAAAAATCTCCGCAAACGGCCCTCGGGACTCACGTCGCTTGTCTCCGCATTGCAGAGCCACTGGATTGCACTGATGCTGATTGCGGCATCAAACGATCCGGGTCGAAACGGCACACCTTGGCCTATATCAGCGAGAAAAAGGTCCCCGTCAACCCCGCGCTGCAGCGCAACATCCAGCATGCTCGGCGAGATATCCATGCCGATCCAGGTGTGAGGGCCGCCTTGCTCGGGAGGTTCTTGGGACAAAATTTCGCCGGACAGTCCAGATCCGCAGCCGATATCGAGGATGAAGGAGGGGGATTTGAGATCGAGGAGCTCGAGGGCTCGATGGGTCATGTCGGCTTGAATGTTCCGGATACGCGATGACGTTGTATATTTCCGAGACTCATTATCGTCGTAGAAGAGGTCCGGTGGTCTTCAGCAACAGTGTTAGTGTGCGAGCGGTGCGGGATTATTGCGAGAGCGCAGGAGGAACTCACAGGACATCTTCGGGGCGAGACATTATTGCGCAAGTTGATCTTATAGAATTGCCGGCTCTTTTCTCTAGGTAGCGTGTGTTTCTTGTTTAATTTGGTTTGGGACAGAGAAAGTATAGAAAAAGAGGTCCAGATAATTTTATGTCAGTATATAATATAATATATATATTTTTTTCCCGCCCTATCTCCGGCCGATTGTGTCTTGGCGTCGTAGGGTTGCAGCCTGAGGCAGGAAGGCCATGTATACACGATTTGAACACTATGAAGCTTCAATCTTCCTACGCTTACCACCCACTTGACTTGCTTTCGCACAGGCCAATCAACTCCATCTCCTTCCCCTATCATATCTGAGACTCTCTGATGACGAGGTCGGTTTGATCTATCTCCCCCTGGATAGCCCTACGCCCAGGTTTCGCTTGTATTTGCCTCTCTCCTCGCAAATTGATCACCTCAACCCGAGTTCCAACGGCAGCTTCGCGTCTTCACAATGTGGATTTTACCGCTACTAGGGTACTTGGGAGTGATAATAGGGTTCTCATTCCTTACTCTGGCCATAGGTAAGCTCAGCACCTCGCTTGCGCATAGCATTTATACTCGAGTCCCCCTTCAGTTTATACCTCACACATCACCACCACCACCACCACCACAACACCACTCACTATCCCACCTCGCGTCCCCCCCCCTCCAAAAAAAAAAAAAAGCTTATGAGATTAACAACCCTCCCAGCATCCGGACTATACTACCTCTCAGAGCTCGTAGAAGAGCACACAGTGCTCACCCGCCGACTCCTCACCCGACTAATATACTGCATAATCGGCATGCAAGTCCTCCTCCTCCTCTTCGACCACTTCCCATTCTTCCTCTCCCTCCTCAGCATCGGGTCGCATCTCGTCTACGCAAGCAACCTCCGCCGCTTCCCCATCGTCAAACTCTCCGACCCCCTCTTTATTCTCTCCTGCGTCCTCGTCGGCCTAAACCACTGGCTGTGGTTTCGCCACTTCTCGAAACCAATCACCACCCCGCGCCCCGGCTCGAGCTGGCGCCAGCCTTACCAGCTGAGTCCGGGCGATATGCCAACCTTCACCGAGGTCGCGTCGTATTTCGGACTCTGTGTGTGGCTGGTCCCGTTTGCGCTTTTCGTGAGTCTCAGCGCGGGCGAGAATGTCTTGCCGACTATGGGGTCGGAGTATGCGACTGGGGAGCAGGTGCCCACGGCGGGATTCAGCCGCAGTGCGCTGCAGTCGGACGGGAAGAATAAGAACAAGGGGATGGCGAAGGCGTTGGTGGATGGAGTGAGGGATTGGGTGCGGGAGAATGGAGAGCTAATGGGATTTTGGAAGGGAGATCGTACAAAGGGCTTCTAACCTTTTCTTTCTTTTCTTTCTTTTCTCTTTCTCCTCTTCTAAAAATCCTCCATTGATATATATATATATATATATGTACTTGCTCATGACAAATATTAGATGACGGCGTCTGTTGGTTTTTTGGATGGATGGATTCTCTCGATATGGTCTTTGTATGATTATCAATGTGAAGCAATTCGAGTACCTGATCAAATTTATGCTCCAAGCACCATCCATCCCTACTTTGACTACTTTGGACTTAATTTGGACTTAAAAAGCTACATAGAAAGTTGGGTTGGATGAAACCGAATTTTAAATAGATCTGAAACTCCAATAACACAATACAGAAAACTCATAGTAAAGCAGGCAACCTATGTGACAAGAAAAGGAAGGGGTATAAAAATTCCTGCAGTTGCTTAGCGCAAACACAGGCAAGAAAGAAGAAATTTATACAAAAAAAAAAAAAAAAAAAAAAAAAAAAAAGGGAAAACGAAAACGAAAACAAACCATAAAGGCTGAAAACCATAAGTCCATAGATCACGTTTCAACGCAAATAGAAAAGAAAAGGGAAGAATGTGAAAAAACAAAGTGACGTGAAACAGGATTTTTGGGGGGAGGGAGGAAGAGGGAGGAGGAGGAAGAGACCTTGAGGTTCTGGATTACCATTAAAATTAAAACAACATTCCTCTGGCTCGTAGTCGGATGTACTCCGTAGTCAGGCATTTATATACGTCGTTGCACATTCGTTTGAATCGTCGTGTTTGATCATGGAAGCGAAGCCATGGGACAAGCAAAGGAGGTGGAATGAGAAGCGCAAGTCAAGTTCATAGAAACGTGGAGTGGAGAAAGTGATAAAGCGGGCAGTGCTGTATGACATCAAAAACCTGAGTGGCATGAGACACAACTGTTTCCGACTCGTGTATAAAAGATGTTAAGCTAGGAATGGTTAATATTGGGACCGCGGAGCATGGGGACGGGATAGAACTATAAGCTCTTACCATGATCATCGTGAGAAGCTGCAGATGCATTTTCGTTATTAAATTCCATGAAAAGCATGGAGCTTTCCCTCCTCTTTGCTTTGGCGGCTCGGGAATTGTCATTTGGTGCCAGCATTCTGGGCATTGCCATTGGGAAATTATCCGCTGTGCCGTGTGAATACGGCTCATAGCTTGGCTGCATGGGAATGAAGCCAGTGTCGTGTTGTGCGCTATAGTCATCTGAACGGTCCCCAGCTCTGGGGAAAGTCATTTGATGATGTGCGGGAGTAGGTATTTCGGAGAACATCTGGCGTCGAGGAGACCTAATATCCTCTGGGGTCAAAGAATGATCAACCGTCAACGACATTGCGTCTACGTTGGAGCCCGGTGTGCCCTCAAAAATCTCGTCGAATTCGGTGAGGAACATTGAAAAGACAGGAGCAGGGATATTCAGGGTAGGGGCAAAGACAATGCCCACATTTCTGACTGTCATTTTGTTCACATCGGAGTTGTTGACAATGATTATCAGAAATTGGACCAAAGCTCGCAGCAAGGCCAAGTTGGGCTTTGGAAGTCTGTGGACCAAGGAATTGAAAGCCACAATCTTCTTCTGCTTTTCGTTGAGCTCTGTAGACGACGACATCAGTATGATTCTCAGTGAGTGTTTTGTATTATGGGCCAATGATGCTTACCTAGCACACGCAAGAATTCTATGTGCAGTTCACGGGTGAGAACCGTTGTGGGTAGCTCTCGAAGGTATTGTTTGAACAACGATGCTACAGCATGGACATCGTAGTATTGATCTCCAGCAAGGAAGTCAACATCACCTTCAGTATTGAATCGCTCTCTCAATGCTTTCACAACAATATTTGAGCCACTCAGTCGGAAGATTCCTTCTTCAGACTCTGCTCTTTTTGCTTTGAGATACTCTATACAGCGATAAACAACTGCGGGCAAGTCGGCATTAGCACCTTGCGGTGCACAATATTGCACTGCTTCTGCCAGTGGTATTCCGAAAACTGGTCTAACAAGCTCCCTCTTTTCGCCACTAGGACCCTGGATTTGAATTGTAGGAGATTCTGACAGTGCCTGAATCTGAGAAGCAAGATCAATTGAAGACCTTGTGCGGAACCCCCAAATACTGCGTTTCTTTTCCCTTGTACTAGTAGTCCTGTTACCCCAGGCACCCACGTCCTGAATTACCGCACCGTTAGTTGGGCCAGATATCATTTTGGACGAGATCTGGGCGGGGTCTAGAGACGCTGCATGGCTGTCCTCAATGCTTGACCCAGGTGGGAACATGGGGGACCTAGGAGTACATCTGTCAAACGGCCCCAGAACAGGGGGTTCAGCAGGAACAGCATCGTCATAGCTAAATCCTTGAACGGTGTCGGAGATTTCCAAGTCTGGACTATCCGGGCCTTTGCCGGCCTTCTTACTACCATTAGGGAACAGTTTTGATTTGGCAGCAGCATTTGTGGGCAGTTTTGTTGATACCTGGCTTGGGGTTCTGGAGGCAGAGGCCTCATTTTCCGACGACCCTTCAACATATTCCAAGAGCGCTTCAACCCATGAGTCTCTTTCTTCGTCACTTTCAGCGCACAGCACGTGCCGTACTAAAGCCGACGAGTCCTTCTTCTTGGGTTCCAATATGAGGAAGGCATGGCGATATTGGTTGTCGGAGTCGTCATCAGCCTGTGAAGGCGGATTGCTCTGGCATGTATTCTGGGATTGTTTACCTATCTGAGCATTGTGAAGTTTGATGGTTCCAAGATGAGCGCCACCCGGAGCCTCAAAGTACTTCAGCTCAGGCCCATGCAGAACAAAGAATCGGGCTTTCCAACCACCAAAGTTCTTTCCTCGCTTGGTTAAATACCCTTCTTTCCTGGGCTTTCCATCCGGACCACGTAGGATTTCCGATCCTGCCTGATGGCTGCCCTTTAGTAAACTTAATTCATCGTCGCGAGGCTCAATCGCATCTGACGTAAGGAACTGGCAAATGACCAAAGCAGCCTTTTCATCCATCGGGGTATCAAGTAGGGCTTCAAAATACGAGTTCAAGGCGGCACGTCTTACGTCGATCTTGGCCGGAGAATGCCCACTGAATATGGATCGATCAGGTAGTTTGCCCTGGAATGCAGAGAGCTGTCGTACGTGTTGGTCGAGTTGAGGAAGGGCAGCAATTACCTTTTCAACTCGCCAGAGCTCCGAGTTTTCGGACCGTGAGAATACACTCAGGGTGAATACCGGTTCTTCCTCCAATGGTTTCATGGCCATATAGCTGTTTCTTGAAGGTCGAAGCCTTGATGACGACACTTTCACCTGAATTAGAGGGAGTGCGTTCGGAGGCAAAAGAAGATTTGGATAGTCTTCCGACTTCAAGCCTTGGTAGATACCAATTGCTGCATGCTCTGGAGATTGGGGGCTGTCAATTTTCACGGCAGCATCAATTGAAGGAATACGTCGGTTGTAAGAGTCAGCCGGAATTCCAGCGTGTGTGGGTGTGCTGGGTACCGTGTGGCCCCCGGCAACAAACGGATTTGGGTGTTTGCCAACGCGAGGCGACAAAGCGAGCCCTGAAAGATGATTGCCCGAGGGCATGGTCAAGGAAGAGAATGAATTTGGCATTTCTCGTGGCATACGCGGTAGAGGAGATCCTAGGGGACGGTCTTCAGGTCTTGGGCTTAGCGGCAAACCAGGGCTTTTTGGCCCAGTAATGATAACACGTTCAGGAATTGAGGCTGAAGGTAGAGTACGAAGGCTCATGGTAGATGACAGTGCCTCTGCAGGCACTGCTCGCCTTGAGTCTGAAGGTGCTGGGTCAATGGCCAATCCAGCGTACGGCCCTGTCCCTGAACCCTCGATATTCTTTAGAGCATTCGAGCCCTCTCTTTCTAGGACAGCTTCACGTTCCCTGTCATCATCATCTCTAGTTTTCCTTCTCCCACGCTCTATTGGCGACTCTTCAACCGCTAAAATATCCTCATACTCAGATTCCGAGTCAGAACGTTCTGGAATTTCTAACGCTGTGCGGTCTGTAGGAGTGAGATTCAACGGCGCAGGAGGGGCTTTTCGAATTTGGTGTGGCACCTGAGGGTTCTTATTCCCGCTAGATGCAAGATCATGGATAGTAGAACTTGGGCTCACGGGAGAGGTTGGGCTCGTAGTCGACATTTCCTGGATCGAAGCCAGTCTCTGCGAGCTCTGCGACTCGCATCTTAGATCAGGTTCATCTGCTAGTAATACGCTTTCAACCAGCTTTTGTAAGCTGGGTGTGCTGCCAGGGGAGCTTCGGCTGTCTCCAGTTTGTAAGCGCTGCGGGTGCGCGCCAGGTTTGTCGGTGGGATGTGGACTTTTTGCCGGCCCATTGGTAGGAGATATCTGGGTGATTGTTGTGTCCAAACTGTCCGCAGTAGGAGGCCGTACGGGCTGCACTTCCGTTGATGGAAGAGGTGGCGCTGCGCTCTGGAGCTCCTTGACTTTCTTCTTATATCGTTCCTTCTCTTTCATCGCTCGCTCCAAGTCCTTGTTCAACCCAAGAATGAGGGTCCGCTGTTTGTCGACAAGTCTCCACAGCTGAGAGTTTTGGGACGCCGCATGATGCTTCTCCTTGAGAAGGTGAATAATCACCGCCTCGGGTGATCCAGCAGCCGTAATTAAATTATCAATATCAGCCTTGCTGATCGAGTTGGCGTCAAACGAAGCTTTATGAGATTGCGACGCCGAGGAAAGAGATGAAATCGCGGAGTCAATGGATGAGGTGCGTGGCATCGTACGATGATGAACTGGCCGGTCTCCGGAGATTGACTTCAGGGAGCCGATCGGGGACATAGTGGAAGGCGACATGGACAGGGTAGACTCCGTGGCGTCGGAATCCTTGCGCGTCTTTATCTCGTTCACTTGATCGGCCATTTTCATTTCATTATGGCTCAATGCCCGTTTCCTCAACGCGTTTGACGATGTGTCGATCGAGATTCGGCCAGTAGTCGAGAGAGGAGTTGGAAACGCAGCATGGGCTGTTTCGCGGATCGTGGATAAGTTCTCCAACGGCGAGGTTGCTGTGGATGAGATTGGCGATGCAGTTCTCTGCGACAGGCTCGAATCGGTGCGATGGGGGGACTGGTTTCGTCCGTCTGTATGCAGGGGAGAGAGCGAAGGTTTGCGGGGGGAATAATCCGTGACAGCTGACCCAGATCGGAGGGCCAGCCCGCCAGGTCGCAGAGCTGAAAAATCGCAGGAGTAGTAAGATTATCTGTTCCGAGCCAAAAATCCACAGGTAATGAATATTTACCTATAGGAGACGCTGCTGCTGCGGTAGATGGAGGCAGTGAGCTGAAGATATGGTCATTACCTTGTCGCCGAGGCTGCGACATGGCTTGTTTTTAGTAGTCGTAGCCCACACAGACCAAGCAGGCATTGGAGGGGGGAAAAGGAAAGTGTGAAGAACCACGGCTGACGCTAAACCTCCTGAGAAACGGTTCGGCTGGGGGTTCTTTGAGCCAACGGCTTAGAGATGATTGATGCCCAAGAGCTTAGCTAGGGTGGGTGTAGCTCAGGGAGTTGGGATTAACTATAATTTTGTTGTGGGTTTAATGCATCCATGAGAGTCTTGAGCAATCTTTGGGACCAGGGGACAATCGACCGGGCTCAAGGTTTTTGAACAGTTGAAAAAGAAAAAAAGGCGAGGGGGCAAGGCGAGGAGAAAAGGGGGAAAGAAATTAGTACCTGTCACTGTTGTCAACTATCATAATGAAGACCCAGTGTCAAATGGATGATGACAATCTTACTGGCACCAGACATTATTATTCTTTCTTCTCCCCCATTCAATGCTGTAACAGGACTGATTCAATACCATGACAATCTATTAACAAACCCAATTCTTACTGGCTGCGAGGTTTCATCTCGCTCAATTGGACCGAACCTGCGAGCATTTTATATTACTTTATTTACAAACCTACCGAGAGAGGTGCACTCGAAACAACACCTTGAAAGATCTAGCCTAGTGTATATACAATGACCAAAACTAACGCTATCCAACCTTCAAACTGTGGGGGTTATCGGTCTAAGAGTATATAAAAGTATAATACAATGTGAAAGGCGCGACCTGTAAGCCGACGTACACACATATGTGCGAGATACCTTAGCTTAGGTACACTCGCTGGTGATCACTGTATCACTAGGATAAGGTGGTATAAATGTTTCGGCAAAAAATCTTGGCCTTGGGTGATAAAAGATGAGTTTGCCGACCTCACATATGTAGGAGTCGGTGGAGTATTGAAAATCCCAAAAAACGCCAATTAAACCGCCATACGCCACATGGTTTATACATAAAAGTACAGTGCTAGGCTATGTTCCCAGCCATTCCCATAAAAATGGCCTGGGCAGCCAATTGAAGTGACCAGAAGCCAACCTTTTTGAACCGTCGCTTGCGCGCTTGATCGTCTACTACATCGCGGGCAAACGCGTCATATACCTAATGGGAGCCGGGTTAGTAACTGATCGACACAAGGTAAGTAAAAGGCGAGGCTTACTTCTGCAGAGAGATCATCCATCAGACCGCTATCATAGATAGTCCAGCTACCGTTAAAGTCTCCCACCCTCTTGACGAGACGACAGTTAACAGGAATAAAAGTACGCCGTGAGTTGATGTAAGCGACAATTGGTCGGATGAGGGCGTTGTTGATGTAGGAAAGGTCGCGTGTAAATAGAGGAACGACGGCCCTGACGTTGTTCAGATGTAGTCGCAAATCTGTGATAAGGAATCGTCTATCGTCGCTCGAAGTCATGGTATCGGAGCCTGGTGATGTTGGGTCGGAATACCGATTGGACGTCACCGTGGCTTCTAACCGATCGTAGAAGTCCGCCATTACCTTGGCAAGGCTTTCATCGTTATCCTTGGGAAACATGATATCAGCAACAATATCTACCGATCCCTCATGAATCCACCCAAACGGCCCCTCAACCCCACGGTTGAGGTGATCTATGTTCAATCCATCGATGCGTATCCTGCTATGTTTCTTCCAAGGACTGGGTTTGCCATCCTCTTCTACCCCATTGTCAAGTTGTGCACCAGTAAAACCGTGGGTTTGTCGCGGATGGATTGTAAATAATGAATTGTCATATGAACCAGACATCATGTTGGCTGACATGAAATCGTAAAAGAGCCATTGCTTCCTCAGTTGTGGAAGATCACAGGAAAAGATGCTCACAGAAAACGGCCTGAAGTTGTTGGGTTGATAAACTGTCACTAGCAGATCGTTCATTTTAAACGAGTCGATTTCAAAATCGCCTGGGTTGTGCTCGTGTCGATAGGACTTGGGGTCTAGGTCCTCATCCGGCCAGTACACGGATCTGCGGTCAACCACGCCTCGTATTCCTTTAACTTCAACATCACGAAGAAGCCCTTTACCGTTGATCCATTTCGTAAATGACAGTGTAACATTGACCGTCTCAATTGATACATCAAATTGGGTATAGTTCGTGTCTTCCTCCTCCACTGCAGAGATGTCTGGGTTAGATTGCTCGCTTAGGGCGGCGGCGGCAGCGGCGGCAGCAGCGGTCTTTGGCGAACCCTTGCTAACATGTCCAGTTCCTTGACCAGGTCGTCTTGACACAAAAACGTTCTTGAAGGTAATCACACCATCTCTCCACTTGGGAACAATAGCTGATTCAAAAACAACCTTTACGCCAGAAGATCTGGTCAGATAGTTGCCGATCCACCCGGCCAAGGTTTCTGTTGGTTTTAGTAAGGGATCTAAAGAGTCGTATACCGAATCAATGACTCACCTTGAGCGAATACGGTGTTTATTGCAATGATTAATAAAGAGAAAAAAGTGGTTGTGCCCAGAACAATCCAAAGTACATGGCCTAATAAGACCCACGAAAATAGAGCCGTTATCTCGTCGAGGTTGAAAGGACGGACGCTTCGGATCGAGAACCATTTGAATCGGACCTTAAGTCTTGACCAAAACCCATTCGCAGCCGCCAATAACTCTTCTTTAGTCGGTCGATGGAGATGTGGCATGTGCGGTAGACGATCGATCAGATGTCGGTTTGAAAAATTTATTTGGTGCTCCCCTTTATACTTCACTGGCTTTGCGTCCTCAGCATGGTGACGATAGCCATCTACAACGTCTTTGCGACTCTCCGATGACGCTTCTTCCTTTCCCTGATTATAAGGGTCCTTTCGCAGATTCGCATTTGATACATCATCCTTCTTTGTATGGAATCCTCGCCTCGATGGGTTTCGTGCAAGGTGATGGAACAGGTTTCTATCGAATGAATGAATTCTGTGTGATATTATCTTCTCCGGGGTTATTGCGCATGTTGCTCCGGTTTCTACCGCCGGAGAATTTGGAGAGACGCCGAGGACAAGAAAGCTTCCAGATGCGAATCGTCTCGTAATTTGGGTGGTTTTGCGAGGGGGTTGAGATGAGAATTTCTTGGTATGTCCCTTGAACAGAGTATTGCAGATAGAATTGTCTAAGGAGGCAGCATCAGCAAGAAAGCGAGTGCGATTTACGCGCAGCCCTCGTCCTAGGAATGGAGTTGCCGCCTCCCAGAAATTGCTGTACAGCCTGCGTCCGAAAGTACCAGACATTATGCCTGTCACATACTGGACAACCCGCGTTGAGGCAGGAATAAATGGCAGAGCTCTACCGACAGAAGAAGGGAGAAAGGTAGAATCTTGGATAGGCGAGAATGCAGCCGGACTAGCGGCTCTGAAACAAATTTCAATGAAATCATCCCGTCTTTGCAGGGCAGCGGAAAATATCCATTGGAGTTTGCCTTGTTTGCACCGAAATTGAGTCCGTGCTTCTTTTCAACACCACAAGAATTTTTGCGATAACGCCCCGCTGAATATACAGAAAATTGAGTGGTGGCATCACCTGATAATATTGGACAACGGTTTCAATAAAGTTCCGTCAAAATGCCGGCCCCAACAGCTCTCCGATCGTTCGATACTTCAGTAGCTTCTGAGATGTCTTTCCCCCCTGCTACAAATGGTTTGTGCTGGAGATCATCCGTGAATTTTGGGTATTCGTGCTAATATCACGACAGAACAAGATGAGGAAATTCTTATCGACGCTCAGCCTTCGGCCAACCCGGATACTATCCTTGTTCCAGTCAACTCTACTGGAGATAACGAAATGCGAATTGACGAAGAAGGCCGACCAGTTTTCACGCCCGCCAAGGATACCAACGCCGTGTACCGAGTTGAGACTCGAAAGGTTCCCGTTCCACCGCACAGAATGACTCCCCTGAAAGCCACTTGGCCCAAAATCTACCCTCCTCTGGTTGAGCACCTCAAATTACAAGTGCGAATGAATATCAAGAATCGAGCAGTAGAGTTGCGCACGTCTAAATACACCACTGACACGGGAGCTCTGCAAAAGGGCGAAGATTTTGTTAAGGCCTTCACACTCGGATTTGATGTCGACGACGCTATTGCACTGCTGAGATTGGATGATCTTTATATCCGTTCTTTCGAAATTAAGGATGTCAAGGCTTCTCTCAACGGAGAGCACCTGAGCCGTGCTATTGGTCGTATCGCTGGTAAAGATGGACGAACAAGGCATGCAATCGAAAACGCCAGTCGCACAAGAATTGTTATCGCCGATCAGAAGATCCATATCTTGGGACGTTTCCAGAACATCAACGCCGGCCAGGAGGCTATCGTTAGTTTGATTCTGGGCAGCCCTCCAGTACGTGTTTATTCCCCCATTACAACAACTGAATACTAACCTCAAGAAGGGAAAGGTATATGGTAATTTGCGTAAAGTGGCATCGCGGATGAAGGAGCGCTTTTGATATAAAGTCTGGACCGACATTTTCTTTTACTTTTACGATACCGGCGTTATGGGCGGGCTGACATGGGATTGAGCATGATTAAATCCACAAGACGATATCAGGAAAAAAAGTTTCATATTGGAATATTTCTATCCATACATCATTCAATGAGGAAAATATCGATTTGCATAGAATTAATGAGATACGGAGATATTGACAGGTGCCATTCTCGACCTCTAGTCCTTTTTCAGGGGGTGATAAACTTCTTCTATCCCTTCCGCTGTAATGACCATCATCTGTAAGCCATCTCCAACCTCGATATGTCTCTCCACAGCACTGGTAAACGCATCTCGGACAAGCTGTTCCACTGATGTTCTGGGCAATGGCTCAGGTTTCCTGGCTTCCAAAGCATGACCTTCTCCGCTACCGGGAATGTATTGATTCTTGAAGTTGACCTGGTTATCCAAGAAGGGCATTATCAAGCTAGCCGCAGCGCCAGCTGCTCTGCACTGTTCCCTCTCGTATGAACCGACCGGGTCGTAGCTGTACAAGGCGCCCTTGCCCTCCTCGTCCAGACCCGCTAGGATAGCGTGCACATAGTATGGGAAGAACCTCTTCTGGTAAAGAATTGTGGATAGTCGTTGGGCACACGCTCTAACACTCATGGGTTTTCCGTGTTGGTATTTGTACATCTTCACCACCGCATCTAGTCGCTCCTTGAGGGCGTTTCCGTCTGCAGCGAAACCTACAACCGACAGAATAATGTGGGCACCTTCGCCAGTCTCTTCGTCTCCTCCGATCTTGAACACCTTCGGAACATAGCGAGAGTTGATGTTATAGCCGGAGGTGGAACGAGTGTCTCCAGCAAGGATGGCGAAATCAGAGCCAGTGATGCCTAGCGTTGAGCCTCCATTGTCGGTGTATCTAACAACTCAACATTAGTATCATTTATAAAGCAGGATGAAACATATTTTTATGACTTACGGGTAGAAAGAGTGCTCCTTGACTCCAGCACCCGTTGGCTGAGAGAAGGAATATCCCAGTGCCTCGCTGTGAGGGTTGCAGTCAATCAGGCTCGTCATCTCGTGGAATTCCAAATTCAGAAAAGCGGCCGATATCTGATCTAGAGGAAGTTTGGTTTTAAAATGATAGACCTTCTTTGATATTGTAGGGTAAATCGTAGAGATGAGGTTGTGAGGTTCAATGCTTAAATGGAGCTGTCACCCGCCTACTGACGCGGTGTTGTAGCTGCCTTCGGATTATGTAATCACATAGCTTCCTTTCGCAAATCGGACTTCATACTTCGCTTTGCTTTGGACATTAGTTGATATTCAACCTCTTGGGGAGATTATCTTTCTTTTTAATATTTCTCCGCCTACGTGAACCCCTTGTATATTACAAGCGTTTCCATAACACCTCCAGTCATCAGCGCAGAACCTCACGTGTCCCATTGCGGCACTACGTCGCATAGTCCTCATTTGATATCTTCCTAGACATTAATCTATATATGACGAAAATGTTGGGTCTCGGGGTATACGATAGTAGTAGTGAGGATGAGGTCGAGCACAAAAACCCCCTGACATTGAAGGTACGTTGCTTGCGGCAAAATTCGGAAAAATCCCATGGCCAAGTAGATCAAAATCTTACACTTTCCAGCGCGAAGTTAATCCACCTCAAATCGAACCTACCCCAACACAAGAAAATAAAGGTAGGTACTGCCTATACCGATACTTATTCATTATAAGCTAACTGGGTTAAGTAAACCAACAAGTGCCAGATACACAGCCAGTCTCTCGAGAAACTGCCCTCGATCCAGAACCCAGCGGTCCTGTCCTTGGGCCATCGCACGAAGAAACCCAAATTTCACAGTTAATGGATGGACAATCGTCGTCGTCGCGCGCATTGATTCACGATCTGACGCTCCCACCGGTACCGAATCTAGACATACCGCCATCGCCTCCCGGGTCTCCAAATCCTTCCGCAAATGCAAAATTTACACATTTTCTATCATTAAAGAAACAGGACGTTCATTTCAATGAGAAGTTGGCTGATTCAATGTCACTCAAGAATCCAAGTTTACTGAGGAAAATGATGGAACATGCGGGTATTGACGAACAGTCACAATACAGCAGCTCATTACCGCATGACGTATGGAATATATCAAGCCTACCCAGCTGGGGTTACAAGGAAGAGCTCATCAAAACACAGAGGGAACTAAACTCGAGAGCGGAGGAGAGAAGACAGGCTGGGCAGAGAGATGCCATTGAGTTTGTGACAGCGGAATCCAGTCGGCCGGGATCTACATTAAATTCGAAATCAAGACCAAAGTAGCATGAATGACAAGTACCTCCTAGGTATCTCTTTGACAATCCAAGCTTGGGAGAATAACGACTAAACAAAGCCAAAGTCCTCCCTCGGTTTCGCGATAATGTAGTCGTAAAAGGGTGAGCAGGGTGAAGATTTCTACACAGTTAAATCCCTGTTACATCAAGATGATGACCAACATAATCCGCCTCGATCGATAAGAAAAGAAGTCCGCTTTCCTATTACCATTGAATTTGATGCTGTTCGAGCGACTTATTTATGCTTGGATTGATGGGACATGGATTCACCGCCTAAGGCGATAACACGGATCACGTAACGAGAGCTCCGTCAGCTACGACTGCCTACTGACTTACGACTGACCCTATAACTATTAGCCTTCACGTTTCTTGCTTTAAGCTCCCACCTCCAATTGTTGACGAGTGAGCTTTGTTTGTTTGATCTTGAAACCCTTTCGATCTTCTATCTCTCTATTGATTCTCAGTTACGTCCCTGCATTTTACGATCCATCATGAATCACTTTCCTGGAACCTGGGGTCGGGTAGGTGTCGCATCACACCAAGGTTGTCAGGTTTCTAACATCTTGCTTTAAGCCTAGGGATGATATCTACGGACCTTACGATCATTCTTACCTTCATTCTACCGGACCAAAAGCTCACACTCAGTCGCCAGCTGTGACGGGCACATCGGTTATCGCTGTCAAGTTCAACGGAGGAGTTGCAATTGCTGCTGATAACTTGGGTACGATATTTTCCACTTTGCTAGCATGATGTGTGAGGCATATCTGACCCATATTTGCTTGGTTTTTTCATGTAGCCTCGTACGGATCTCTTGCCCGTTTCACCGATGTCAAACGTCTCCGAGTGTTTGGCGACTCCGCCATAGTTGGATTCAGTGGTGATGTGTCGGACATGCAATATATCGACCGCCTTTTGGAGTCCATCGACATCAGAGAGAACTACTCGCAACACGGCAACATGCTCAACGCGAAAAACCTTCACACCTACCTGTCTAAGGTCTTCTACAAGCGTCGCTCCGAGTTCAACCCTCTCTGGAATCACATCCTCGTTGCAGGCTTTGATGGAGACAATAAGCCTTTCCTGAGCTCCGCCGATCTGCTTGGAACCACATTCTCTGCTCCTCATCTTGCGACCGGTTTCGGTGCTCATCTTGCCGTCCCCATTCTGCGCCGACTATTCCCGGAGGAGCGGCCAGTTGAAGAAATCACTAAGGAAGACGCAGTGGCAGCTCTGAAGGACTGTCTCAAGGTTCTCTGGTACCGCGATGCACGAAGTCTTGACAAGTATTCTCTGGCTATCATTACTCCGGAAGGAATCGAGATGCGTGAAGATCAGCAGATCGAGGCCCAGAGCTGGGCGTTTGCTGAAACGATCAAAGGATACGGAGCTCAGGTTAACTAGGATGTTATTTAGTTTTTACGGGTATTGAAATAATAGAACACAGTTCGCAGATTTCTTAACGATTGGGCCCCTCTCGAGACAATTTTTACGAGGTTCGTAGGTTTTGGAATTATGGCCAGTGATATAGGTGTATGTACTTCATGGAGGTCAACATGTAATGTCCCTGGTGTTCAAACCGAGATGCTACCTGTGCAACTCGTGGTTTATTCAATTTCACACCGCTAGAGCTTCGCGGAAGGCTTATCAAAGACAACTTTGTTCACGCAAGTACCCACTCCTTCAAGGGCCACCTCAACGGTATCGCCATCTTTAAGCCAAAGAGCAGGCTTTCTGCCCATGCCCACTCCTTGGGGTCTAGATAAAGTAAGCCGCAAACCTTCAAACGATAGGAGCTCGGGAGTAAACTTACGTTCCCGTGAAAATCAAATCACCCGGCAACAAGGTTGTTCCCTGGGACAGGAAGGACACGGTCTGAGCAACATTGAAGATCATATCCTGTGTCGAGGAGGCTTGGACCTCGCGACCATTCAACTTCGTTGAGATGCTCAACGCGTTAGGATCCCGAATCAGCGCCGAAGACACAATACCAGGCCCAAAGGGCGCCCAGCCATCAAAGCCCTTGCCCAAATTCCACTGTCCGCCACCACGCTTTAACTGCCAGTCCCGATGAGAGACATCATTGCCCACAGCGTATCCAAGGACATAATCCAACGCACTGCTTTCGGAGACATTCTTCGCCTCCTTACCAATCACAATGACTAGTTCGCATTCATAATCCAGACCCTCGCCTTCCTGCGCCATCGCAGAAACCGGAATATCATCTGTGGGACCCGCGATCGCCGTAATAGGCTTGTAGAAAAGCACAGGGTACTTGGGGATAGGAAGGTTAGTTTCCTTGGCGTGTTGCGCGTAGTTCAGGCCGAGACAGCGCACGGTTCCGATATCTTTCCTTGCCAGGGGCGCAAGGAGCATCTTCACGTCGGCGATTTGGTCTGTGATGTGATGCTGGCCGAAAATATCGCCCTTGATTACCCTTGCCTTGGTAGCTTTGGCAATGTCGCTGACCCCAGTTGGGAGAGTGGCATCTCCGTAGTAAATGTGGCCATCCTTGGCCAGGAAACGGATAAGACGCTATATAGAGAGAGAGAGAGAGAGAGAGAATGGTAAGCTGTAGGAAATCCTCTGGCTCTCCAGAAAGGCTGTTCGCCCATTTTATTGCTTCTTTAAAAGGGTATTCTAGCGCGACTTCTTGTCCAAGGGTCACATACAGAGAAAGCAGGCATTTTTGCTATATCGGAGCTTTTCCGCCGGGGGACTTTCAACCGATAATATTGCGGCAACGGCTTGGTTCAATTATATATAAAAACCCGCGGGGTGCATCAAGAAGGGGAATTGTTTACTTGTAAGACGAGGTTGGGGAACTGTATCGAGCTCTGGGCCCCATCGGCAACTCGGCCGGGAAAGCGCCAACCAGGCACGCTCAACCCCGACACATCCTCCGGGAATTTCCCACCCAATGACGCAGGAACCTTGGATTGTCTTTCCTTCAAGCAAAAGATAGCAATGGCGCGGTTATCCGGCCTTCAGAGAGAGGTTTTGTCCCTCTATCGCAAATGTCTAAGGGAGATTCGGAAGAAGCCCGTGGTGAGTAAACGTCTTGAGCTCGTTAGTTCTAAGGAGCTAGCTTTCGTCGGCTAATCCATCTTTCCTCTTCGTTAATGGTTAGGAATCAAGAAGCAATTTCAAATCCTACGCCAGGTATGTTTTGAGTTAAAAAGATCTTGCATTTTACTACCAAACTCCTCTACTCCGTTCGGTGGAAAATCATCTTACCATGGATGGCAACATGAAACAAGGCTGATCACTCACTACATTAGAACGGAATTTGAGAAGAATCTTTCTATTAGCAAGAAGGACTTCAGTGCTATAGAGTATCTATTGCGCAAGGGCAACCGGCAGCTGGAGATGTATTCTTCGCCTGGAATTCGCAATATCCGATAGTTGCTGGGGGTTATCACCTCCAATATTCCCACCCTTACGGAGCTAGGCAGCCATATCACGTATGTCAATTGATGGACAAATATTGGTTCTCTCCCCATAACCCATTTTATATGAGAGTAATGGAGTTCAAGCTGATAATAAGGCTCAGGCAAGCTCGAACGCAGCCCAGGAAATCTCATCACGTGATATTTCCTTTCGCGGAAGGTTCGCGCGGATTCCCGCAGCTTCCACTTACTAACTACATATATCGAAAGTTCCAGATGTATCTGGATAGGCAGCGAGGATGACGAGGACGTGCTGGAACACTCCTTGCGAATGCTCGGTCAGCTTTAATGGACGTACTAGGTCTTTCTAGAAATCAGTGTATTGTATATAAAATAATGGATCAATCCCAGCTCTACGCATTTCTTCCTCATCAAAATCATCCACATCCAACAGAGAGTAACATTCTCATCCTCTCCAGTCTTCCAAGCTCAAATAAACCATCACGACCAACTCGATCATCAAGTTCAATTTACACTTCTCCTCCCTCGCAAACAATGGCTTTCTTCCCTCGCTGCTCGGGTGACTTTGCCCCTCTGTTCCAGCTCCTCGATGACTATGACGTCCATCGAACAACTCGTCGGCCAACCAAGAAGACCACCACCGTCAGATCATTCGCACCAAAGTTCGATGTCTACGAGCTAGATGACTGCTACTATCTCGACGGAGAAGTCCCCGGAGCTGACCAGGAGCACATTGAGATCGAGTTTACCGATCCCCAAACCCTAGTCATCAAGGGCCGCACCGAGCGAAACTACCACAAGGAACAAGCACAGCCCGAACACGCCGATGACGGCTCCGACGAGACTTCCTCCGTCAAGTCTCATCAAGCCACAGTTGAAGATTGGGATGAAATGACCGACACCACCCCCCCCGCAGAGTCCTCGACGAATCCAGCTCCCATCGCAGAGAAGACCGTGGAGCAACAGCAGAGCCAAGCCGCCGAGACCACCTACAAGCTTTGGGTCTCCGAGCGTTCAATCGGAGAGTTCCAGCGGACTTTCGCCTTTCCTGCTCGAGTGGACCAGGACTCAGTCAGGGCCAATCTGAAGGACGGGGTTTTGTCGGTCGTTGTCCCCAAGGAGCCAGCACCAAAGGTCAAGAAGATCCGGGTCGAGTAATTATCTACGACTTGGCATCTTCTGCTTGGTTCGCTTACTTTATGAATTTGGGATTTGGGATTGCATGGTTGGCAGCATTTCAATGGCAATGGCTTTCTTTGTTTATTCTATGGCATGTATCGGCAATAATGATCTGAATTAAATTGAGTTTTGTTTAACATTCATTTCCTCCAAGTAGCATATCATCATGTATTAATTAACTTTCAACAACTTTACAACAGATAGAAGCGCAATTAACATATGTATATCGTACTCTGTACCCACAGTCAACGGACCACCACTACAGTAATGAATGAGAACCTGCCAGTACTAAGTAGTAGCAGTAGTGTACAGTTATGTTTCAGATGACTAGAACCTGAATAACCCTACCTACCCTTGCCTTTGCAGGGGGAAATAAACCCCTATCCTATGTTAAGTAGTAACTAGTTAACTACGGGAGTAGGTAACTAACTTACATACTTAGGTAGCGACCTCGCAAGAGAAACACACTACGGTGCAAGACTTCCATCCACAGCATCATTGGTCTAGTGGTAGAATTCATCGTTGCCATCGATGAGGCCCGCGTTCGATTCGCGGATGATGCAATGAATAGAAAGCAATTTCTTTTTTTCTTTTCTTTTTTTTTTCTTCTCTTTTCTTTCTTTTTTTTTTTGCCCTTTGGTTTTAGAGAAAGTTAGTCAGTTCGTCCACAGGGTAGTTATCAACTAACTATACGGAGTAACATAACTAGGTAACTAAACTAACTATGTTGTGGCTGGTGCTTTAGTTCTGTTCCAGTTACTCTGTACATATATGCGAACATGTGGTATATATATATATATATTTACTCTACAGGTATGGATGCGAAACTCATCTACTTGGCTTTTTTTGCTTATACATATAATATATCACAATACGTGCGTGGTTAATGGGGTGCGGGCTAGATTGCTATACAGTACGCTATACGTGCCAGATCTGGAGTTGGGAATAGAGTACCCTAGATAGTGAGTGACATGGAGTACATCCGTTGCGTTGCTGGTGCTACATACCAACTAGCTCTGCATCGCATCTGAAATCAGTAAGATAGGTCTGGGTAGGAACTGGATGATATACATACAAGTCAAAGCGCGGTAGTTCACTAGGATATGTCTGATCAACAGGGAATTCTCGGCGAGACACCGTTTATTTATGACAGCGTGCTCTTCTAGGCGGCCTCACCGCTCCTACTCCGTAGACCTGCCGGCTCTCCAGCAGACGACGGAAAATTGCTATGCGGTTGGGTTGGCCTTTGATGCCAGAATATAATCACTACCGGGTCTAGGCATAGAGTTGGAATCGTGGACAGACGGACGGAAAGAAAAAGTTTAGAGGAGGTGGATATGCATTTCCGTCGTCCTATCATGTGTGTGTGTATATATGTATATATATCTATAAAGATTGAATCAAAAGAATGAATAAGCAGAAATCTGTCCGCGCCGATGGAATGACAGAACCAGATCCCAACCGAGACTCCGAATAGGGTATACCCAAAACCAACTCCCTAGACATCCACCTGGTGTAATCCTAAAGCACGAGTATATGGCATCACAACGCCAATATGAACGCGTTCAACAAATGAAAAGGTTCAACAAAATAAGAATGATGGTATCTAGTCAGGAATAATGAAAAAAAAATAAATAAAAAGGAAAGCTTATGCGTAAACTTTTGGGGGTTGCGGCTTGGACGACTTGCGGCGCTGGTAGTCAATACTCCGAGTCCGGGTACGGCCCCGTGGCGTTAGGGCGGCGTTGTTTTCCACAATACTGCTTGGTGTTGGTGGGAAAAGAGGTTCATTGCTCGATCTCGGAAACCGAATCTCGCTCTTCACAGCACTGCTACGTTGGGGTTCTTGCCTGTCTGCAACACTCGTCGGGGACTTTTTAGGAGAGTTATTCCCCGATATCGAACCGCATGTTTCCATGAAATTGTGGCAGGAATGGTGGCTATCACCAGTATGATCACCAGTAAGCAGAGCTGCAGTCCGGCCATCCAGGGCCGTTTTCAAGCGGTCATCCCCGTGATCATAATTCACGGGTACCGGGTCAGCAGAGCAATCCGGATACAAATCTGAGAGGGCCCCGTGAATATGTCTTGGATATAGAGACTCGCTAGTCTCCTCTAATTTAGCAGTATTTGCTTGCGAGAAAAGAGGGAGTGGAGATTCAAGGGCTGCAGATTCAAGACTGCGTAGTTGTGTGCAATACAGGGGAACCGACACCATACGACTGGAAGTCTCCGCAGTCGTGAGGGAAGAACTCCTAAGCCGGCCGTTCACCTGCATCTGCTGGGGCTCATGGCACATGCTTGTTGGCCAGCGAGTGACATCAGGCCGAGAGTTCATTTTCTGGTCCTGGAGACTGAGATGGCGGTTCAGAGGCAGCTGACTTCCGAGGTTGGACTGCCTGTTTGAATCACCAATTTCTAGATCCCTTGAACTACCCCCGAGGGTAAACCTTCGGAAAGCAGGAGAGCGCTGCGGAGATCTGTGAGATTCTATAGAAACACGGTGGCGGCTGTCCTGCAGGGAGCGCACGGAGGTTGCAGAGCTATAGCCGCTGTCAACCTTTTTGTGGGAGTGTGAAAATCCCCGGTAGCTGAGGTTTCTCTCGGGGGCCTTCTCAGGCAACGGAATAAATATTCTGTCCCCATCAGGGATAGTAATACCTTCGTCCTCGGTCTCGCTGGGACCCATTCCGCGAGGGGCGAGAACCGTCGGTGACTTTTCATATGAGAAAGGACTACCCGGGACGTCGTCATATTTCCCGCTAATAAGAAGGGGAGGAATGTTGAGCGACGTTGCAGGCCGGCTGTCTCTCGATAGGATCCCTTGGTTCTGGGGACTAATACCGGTGGGCATTCCCCGTCCCCCGGAAGAGCCCCCAATCCAAGTATCCAGCCCTTTGGAATCGCTGATCATCTCGTGGCATGGAGAAGACGTATCGAGCCGGTCCGGGGACATGGATGCCTCCATTTCGTGAGTGCGATTCCGAAGGGAATCTGCCCTATCAAAAAGCTCCACGGGGTGCAAACCATCGTGAATCGACTCCGGAACCGGGCTTCCGGCGCAATTTAGTCGGGTTCGATCGCTGGAACACGGCGAGGCGGATCCATTGACGACGCGTAGGGACCCTAGTTTGAGGGCCCCTAGGTGAGTGTACTCGAACTCACTGGGAGTGGGCGGGCGAAGATGGGACGGCGAGATGGAGCGGTTGAATAAATTTTCTTCATGGTCTGGAGGTGACAGCTCTGTCGTGGAAGGTAGGATGGCCTGACTGCTGATCGGAAAGAGCGTATTCTGGCAGGGTTCCACAGAGAACTGGGGGACTCTCTCTTTCGTAGATCTTCTGGTAGCGATTCCAGGTCGCGTAAGTAGAGATCGTCGGCGAATAAGAGGATTTCCCTGGCCCTCTACCGTGGAATGACTGCTGAAAGTTGTGGCTTCAGGCGTATTTGGGTGGATGGTACTTCTGGACCTATGGGGAGGGGCGTGGACTGAGTATGATCTTCTGGGCTGCCCAATCAACGGGGACGGGGGGGTAGTCTGGAGAGTTGTTGGTTGAAATGTCACTGGCTGAGAGGGCTGGAAAGAAGCTCTTCTGTATAGAGAACCCGGCCTGCTGGCACTGGAGGTGGGAGAAGTCGGGGAGGAAAGCCATGGTTCAGGTCCACGAGCCGGGGGATTCCAGGCTGTTTCCGATTGCAAGGAGTTGGAGGGAAACGACTGTCCAGGATTAGATTCGATATCCGTCGGGCTGACAGGAATCGAAACGTTGGTCCACGGATTTTGCCATGCAGATGTCGATGGGGTCGAGGGCTGCAGCGGTGAGCGCGAATGTATAGAATTCGGAGTGGATTTAATCTGAGGAGGTTTTGATAGTCGATTCGAGCGACGGCGCTTGTCTCTGTTTTGGATAGACAGGAAGCTTCCCATTTCCCCGAATAGTGATCGAACTTAGTAGAACTGGGGGATCAACTTTCCTCCTGGGTTCAACTCAGCAGTGGTAATCAGGAAGACATAGATGGGGCCTGGTGAGCGGCTATGTGCTGGCTGGCTTTCACGGTGTTGGGAGGTACGTTCGGGCTGGAATGGACTAACAATCGTGGCCAAGATAAAGGGGATCCAACCTGGGATGGAGGTAAGAATAAATAACACCAAGAAGGCTGATGACCGGAGAAGATGAAGTTGATCTGAAACGCCAGTGCTGTACCAACACGTTGGCCCGGTCGAGAGACGACAGGGTAGGGGAGGGAAATGATATAAAACAGAAACGTCAGCCCGAAAAACAAAACCTAGGTAACGGAGAAAGAAAGCAAATCAAGAGTCATATTGAGAGTCAAGTAAGGGAAATAAGGTACATAAAATGACGAATGCGTTGCAACCGAATTGGGAGGGAAAAGGGGATTGCTTTATTGCTTCATTGAAGCGGCGGAGATGGGATGCGGATGGCAAAACCAGTACCTTAGATGAATCCGGATCTGAAGGAGATCCCGTTGCGAATAATTAATATGAACTGAGGATTCTTCAACCTCCTCCACAAAAAGCAGCAAAAGAAAGAGAAACTGGAATCCTCGATCGATCAATCTTTGATCTTACCGCTCTTAGATGCATACCTCTATCCGCGTTCAGTTCGCAGCTCAATACATAACTTTCTTCGCCCGAAAACGGCCTCTCTGACGCTCTGCTCTGCAACGCAAAAAGCTTCTGCAGTCATACCAGAGCAGAGGACCAGTCGCATGGCCGCCACCGCCGCTCCTCCTCCTCTCTCCTCGGATCTGGCCTCCTTGTCGACCTTTCCCTTTCTCACCCCCGACGAATTCCAGGGGGCTTGTCGCGCCTTTCTTCATCGCGTTCATGTGGTGGGGCTGGCAAAGGTGGGATGGCTTTCTATTCAGTTACAGGTAATGCAATGGATTCCTATTGTTTTTCTTTTCCTATTCCGCCCCTCTCCTAACTTATCTGTCAGGCAACTGGTCCGATTCTCAAGATATCCCAAAGCCTGGGCGGTTCCCGCACTTCTCCCGAGGATGATTCTGTGATTGCATTCATGGATGCCGAGGACTCGCAATTCGAGGCTTACGAGGCTTACGAAGAAGATCCCGTCTGTAGAGAGAGATATGGCCCAATTTTTTGGCTTTCTAGTCGTCTAACATTTACACACAGGAAGCCCTGGTTCATACTTCGAACACGTGTGAGACTCTACAAGTAGATTATGACGTTCTCCTCTCCCCAACATACCAGGTCCCCGTCTTGTATTTCATCTTACGGCAGGTGGGATACCCCAAGCCATTGGGGATAGACGAGGTCTACCGTTATCTGGTCCCCGACCAATATAGAAAGGAAATTCAAAGCGTGGGTATCATGGGTGGTATTAGCTTCGGTGTAGGTGCTAGTGATCTTGACACTCGACCGCCTGACTCATGTATCGTAGTATCATCCAATATCGGGAACACCAGCATTTTTTGTTCATCCCTGCAACACTGCGGACGCTATGAGGCATATCGCGGATCGACATAGCATCAGTCCCGAGGCCTACCTCATTATGTGGCTCGGACTGGTGGGTAATTGCCTTCGACTCCATCTGCCGAGCGAGCTCTTCGCGGCAGAGGATATCTCACAGCCTGAGGGAATACGTGACCGGGGATTGGAACAAACGCGGCGATGACCCCTCATTTCTTTCTTCCATAATTTCCCCTCCGAAATGATCAACCAGCGCCTTAGTCTTCATCGGATGAAGCCTCCATTGGTACATCACTATCCTCCTCCATCGGTGCTTCTTCTTCATCACTCTCCTCCTCACGAGGCCGCTTGACTCCCTGGGCTGTTCCGTTGACATCTCCGGCAGGCCTTGGCGGCAACGCCGTTGACCCTGGAGGTCCGCTAAAAATCGACTTTTGAAGATCGGTAGATGCCGCTGGAGCTTGTCCTAGAGCACCCGCGGGTGCGTTATACGTTCCACGAAGCCTGGCGATGACATCGGATGTGCCTTTGGCGTAGACAATTTTCTATGCACCGACCACGTAAGCCCGAGTGCCAGGGATTCTGAAGAGTGTAACATACCATAGGCTTTCCAAAAAACTCAAACCCTTGAAGGGAACGCATCGCTTGTGTACTTGCTTGAACATCCTTAAAAACAATATGAGCTTGTCCGCGCATCTTGTCGGTTTTCATAGCCACAACGTCAAGAACTGTGCCGTAGGTCGAAAAAAGGGTGTAAAGCGAAAGTCGGAGGTCATGCTTTCGAAGCTTGTCTGGTAGGTTGGTACAATATAGTCTGTGCATTCCATCAGTAACTATTTGCCGTAATTTGTTCAATGGGAGCAACTGACGTTTGGTTGGGAATACCAGTAGGCGCTGGTTTCCCGTGGGCGCGTGTAGGAATTGTTTTTGTCGCCATTGCTTGAATTTCGATAGATATCCAGGCCAAAGAATTAAAGGAGAACACGGAGAATGGCCAGTCAATTGCCGTCTAGATCTTTTCTTTTCTAATTAAAGACCAGAATGAACGAGGTAGTGTCGGCGCAAATGCTCCTTGGGCAGCGCTTCATCGGATTTCCTGCGTGTAAAGTCTTCGAAGGGGGCTCCAATCACGTGTCAATATTATCTAATCCCCCTTGCCCGCAGTATGATGCAGTGGCCAGCAACCCCCCAATTCTTCTAGCTACTACCGTTTCTACATCTCAACAACTGTACGACAGTAGAGAGCTCCTCCTGTCGTTTCAATCATCATGGCCGCCCCTGAAGTTCACCACTTGTTTCATGCTCCAATTGCCGATCATTCTTTCTCGTCCGACAAGCAGACGCTTGCAGTGGCCCGGGAGAACAATGTGGAGCTCTATCACAAGTCAGGCAGCAAGTTCTCGCTGACTGATGAACTGAAGGGTCATGAGAAGACCGTGACCGGTGTCGATATTGCTCCAAATTCTGGCCGTATTGTCACTTGCTCTCAAGGTAACTCCATTTACGCGCTATTCGTGGATCTCTTCCTGATGATGTAATGTAAATAAATACAGACCGCAACGCCTATGTCTGGGAACAGACTCCCTCCGGGTGGAAACCGACCTTGGTGCTTCTGCGAATCAACCGAGCTGCAACCTTCGTGCGGTGGTCTCCATCGGAACAGAAATTTGCGGTCGGATCGGGCGCCCGTGTGATTGCCGTCAGTTACTTTGAAGAGGAGAACGACTGGTGGATCTCGAAGCACCTGAAGAAGCCGATCCGCAGTACGATCACCACCCTCGCCTGGCACCCGAACTCCGTCCTTCTTGCAGCAGGATCGACAGACTCGCACGCAAGGGTGTTTTCTAGCTTTATCAAGGGAGTGGATACCCGCCCTGAGCCGAGTGCCTGGGGCGAGAGACTTCCCTTCAACACTATCTGCGGTGAATACCTGAATGACTCGGCAGGCTGGATTCATGGCGTGTGCTTCTCACCCAGTGGAAATGCGCTTGCATTTACCGGACACGATAGTAGCGTGACGGTGGTTTATCCTAGTGCTCCGGAGCAGCCCCCTAGGGCGATGCTGAATATCACCACCCGCCTTCTCCCGTTCAACAGCCTGATCTGGAATGGCGAAAATGAAATCATTGCGGCCGGTCATGTAAGTTTGAAATTACTCTGCTTGTTGATAAGCTCGGGCAAATAATCTAACATTGCTGCTAAGGACTGCGAGCCCTATCGCCTGCAAGGTGACGAAAATGGATGGCAGTTAGCTGGAAGCATTGAGAAAAAGGCTGGCCCCGGTGCTGGTAGCGTTCGTGAAGAGTCTGCTCTCAATATGTTCCGTCAAATGGACCTCAAGGGACAGGCTCAGACCGACACGCAGCTCAAAACCGTGCACCAGAATACCATTAGCACCATCAGAGTGTATGAAGATGCCAATGGCGTTGTTCATAAGCTCAGCAGTAAGTTTCGATTGCTTTTACATCTTGTTGACCCTGCTAATTCTCGAATAGCTAGCGGAGTTGATGGCCGTGTAGTCATTTGGACCATTTGAGCTAGCTGTTCACTGGTTCTTCAATATTCGAGTCGGGTACTCGGGGGTTTAAGAGATCTGATGGGCCCAGTATATAGGTATTATTATAGATTCAATCCAAGATAAATCCAGGAATTTCACTAAGCGATCCATTCGATAACTTGTCACGGAGTACACGGAATCGAATCGGCGATGTTACCGCCATACACCTTACCTGATTAGGACTACGGCGGTAAATTACCCCAGATTCGTCAACCGTCTTGACTCGTGACAATCCCGCGTCTTTTGACCACAGGATCAAAGATGACTGACTCTTCTCACAATTCTCTCAGCTACGCCAGTGGCAATGATGTCTAGTCTCAACCCGTCGTGTTATCATGGCTTCACTCCTTGACAGTCTTCTTCTCTTATCTCTACTCCTCATACAATTGTCCCGTCTCGCGACTGCTCACGTGGCCCCCCTTGACCACATCCAGAGCAGTGAAGACGATGGGGGTCGACAGCCAGTTTCTCCCGAGTTATTCAACTCCTTGGAAGAGCTAGCTCGAATCGTGGATATTTCTTATTGTGTCGGCAACACAGGGGTCCAAAAACCCTTCGAATGCCTCAGTCACTGCAACGAGTTCCAGGGATTCGAACTAGTAACTGTACGCCTTGTCTCCCCCAGATCCTATCTCTACCCATTCACCCTCTAACAATGGCATCAACCAAATCAGACATGGAACACAGGTCCCTTTCTCTCTGACTCCTGCGGCTACATTGCCCTCTCGCACAGTCCTTCCGTGAAGCGTATTATCATCGCCTTCCGCGGCACTTACTCCATCACCAACACCATTATCGACCTCTCTGCCTACCCCCAAGAATACATCCCGTACGATACCGGCGACAACACCGGAGCAAGATGCACAAACTGTTCCGTGCATTCGGGCTTCATGACCGCATGGCGCCACACGCGCGACACCATCCTGGAGACCGTCTCCGCCGCAAGAACTCAGTACCCAGACTACAGCGTGGTTCTCGTGGGCCACTCGCTTGGCGGCGCGGTCGCCGCCCTCGCAGGGGTTGAGATGCAGCTGCGTGGCTGGGACCCAACAGTGACGACATTCGGGGAACCCAAGATCGGGAATAAGGGGTTTGTTGAGTTTCTCGATGGGGTTTTTTTTGATCTCAAGACGCCTTCTGCTTCTGCCTCTGCTTCTGCCTCTTCTGTCGGGACGGGTGTGTCCCGGGATAAGCCGTGGAAATTTCGCCGGGTGACGCATGCAGATGACCCGGTGCCTCTCCTTCCACTTGGCGAGTGGGGGTACGAGTCGCATGCGGGGGAGATTTATATCTCCCGAGTGGACCTCCCGCCTTCTGTTGAGGATGTGGTGTTCTGCGACGGAGACCATGACGAGTTTTGTCTGTCAGGCGCAGAGAGGTCGTCGTTATTTCTCTCTTCGCTAGCTGGCGGGCTGTCCTCGTCGTCACCACGACCTTTTGATTCTCTTGAACGGCAGCAGCAGCAACAGGAAGTGGTCGGGCCATTTCCACCAAAAGAGCCAGAAGAAAACAGCCAACCGCGCAACCAGATCGGCGCTGCATCTCGAATTCCGTGGTTTCTTGTCCCGGCTAGATACAGACTGTGGGAGTTGTTTTTTGCTCACCGCGACTATTTTACCCGGATAGGGCTTTGTGTACCTGGTGGAGAGATCCTACGGGGTAGTTAATCATCGAGTTATTCTGATGAGAAGAAATCATAATTCGGCAAAGTTGAAACATAGCATCTGAAAGGGGAACTTTGGAGAACTTGGCTAGGAATGGGACCATGCAGCTCTTGATTGATAAACGTAGTTAGTAGATATTCTTTAACTAGATCCTGAAAATACTGTGTATGTATGTATTTTAGGCCCAGTAAGACCAGATTATATCCATCCCTCTTTACTACTACTACTACTACTACTACTACTACTACTACTAGATTCTATAGTTAAGCGACCAAAGCTTGCTTTGTCAGGATGAAACATCCTACTAGTTATAGTACCATATAGATAGATAGATAGATAGATAGATAGATAGATAGCTTGTGAAGAGAACTAACCAATTAACTATATTATTATGTTTTGTGCTTTAGCCAGCTAGGTACTATACATACATCTATACCCTACTCCGTACCTAGACAAACAAACCAGGGAGGGATATTATTTATAAAAGAAAAGTAAATTCAAGACAAGAAAAGGATGTATATATATATATATATATATATATGAACTTGATAGAATAGGAGGTTAAAAAAAAAAAAGGATATATAAAACTTGAATAGAATAGGAGAAGGAAAAAAAAAAAAAAAAGGGTTACTTCCCATGCTCTAAACTAGGCACAACCACGGGCCCAAACTTCACTACCTGCCCATATGACCCCTCGCCCTGTACCATGAAATCAATCGCAAGATTCAGTTTCCCCGCTTTTCCGCTTCCGCTTCCGCTTCCGCCCGGCGTCGCCGCCGCGCCTGGATGCGGCGTGGCCAGTCCTACTACCGCTTCCGGATCATACGCGACGACGGCGGCGTAGTTCCGTCGGGCCATGAGCTTTTTGTGCTCGCGGGCCTGGCCTGTGACGTCTGTTTGGAAGATCTCCATCATGTCCTCCTTGGTGTCGGTGGGGTGGGACGGCGTGGAGCGGTGCCCGTTCGCCGGGACGTAGAGGGCTTTGTTGGAGCTGTGCAGGAGTTTGAGGATGTACGAGGGGGGCGGGCCGTTGACCACGGACGACGAGATGATCTGGTAGATGGTTTTGTGGTCGGAGGGGTGGGCTGGGTCGTGGACGAGGCCGGCGCCGCAGACGTTGACGGCGCCCGAGAGGAAGGTCATCCGGAGGGATTTTTGATGGGCGATGCCTTGGAGGGTGCGGATGAAGTAGGTTCTTTCGAGGTCCTGTTTTTTTTTTTTGATTAGCGGGAATGAATGTCTTATCCTATCATGAAAGGGCAGTCAACCTTTGATTCATGAGTCCATTGATCTCGGAGCTCGTCCAGTAAATCCAACTCGCCAAATGGGCTCAGGATACTCCCCATTAGACCGCTCTTGCCGACAGCTCGCTTCACGGAGTCGAATCCAGACCCGACCATGTCCTTGGCTCCAACCACGCCCGCCACCGAACTCGTCACTTTGCCTAGCACGTTGTAGGCTCCCGTCACGGCCCGCTTTCCGGTCGTGATGGTCTGCGCGATGGTTTCTGCCGTTTCTAAGCGGGGATAAATGATAGGCACGGAGACCATCCATAGACAGTGTTGCACCGTTGGCGGGAGCATGGCGACTTTGGGGAAGATGCCTTGGTAGGTTGGTCCCGCGATGACTTGGTGTTGATTGCGTTCTGAGCGACAGTCGACTCCCACGAGAACTACGGCCGGTCCGAGATACTTGACAAAGTGCCAGCCTGTGCCGGTGATGGTGAATAGATCGTGGTCTGTGCTGACGTGGCGGAGAATGTCGAGGGTTGTGTGGTGTTGGAAAAGAAGGTACATCTCGATTCCGAGACGACCGATATTCTTGAACATATTGGATGATTGCATGTGTTCGGGGTACGAGCCGAAGCCGTCGAAGCTGGGGGGCATGTGTCAGTTTGCCAATGCCATCCTGTTAAAAAAAAAAAAAAAAAAAAAAAAAAAAAAAAAAGGTAAACTAACATATCATGATCATCAACCTGACAGACATACGGAATCTGAGCGAACGATTCCCGGAGATAAGGCTGATCAAAGTGGCTTGTATAGTAATGGAAGTATCCATGCGAGACATCTTGCTCATGCGCTGTCGTCCAAGGCGTAGATTTTCTCGCGTCCTTACCTCGAATCGCGAGCCACTGTTTGAGAGACGGAATCTCCTTCCACATACGATCGGCGTATATTTGCCCTCCCAGACACAACTGAGCATGGAATCCACCAATCTCGTTGTGCTTCTGCATGATATCCTTCCACAGCAACCCAACACCCCCCAACCGAGCGCGCTCGTTCTCGTTCACATTGAGAGAGAAATCATTGCCCGAGGTTGTGATGAACCGCCAGCTGGTCTCGTAGCGTCCAGCGACTAAGAACTCGTAGCGGGTGCAGCCGAGATGCGATGTAATCGCATAGGTCCATTTGGCAGGGCCAGTTTCATCCATCTGCACATCGATCTCGTACTTGTAGAAGGTCCAGCGCTGGTGCGTGGAGATCGCCATTGCCTTGAGTTGGCGGGGATTTGGCGACAGATCGACGCTCTGGTGGATGTGGATTGTGGGAGGTTGCGCGGCGTCTGTGACGAGGAGAATAGACCCAAACCAAATGCCGCGCTGAATGTCCATATTGGCGTAGCGTAGGTATGGGCCAAAGTAAACGCCATTCGTCGGTACGATCTTGTATAGGTCAACTCCGCTGCTGGGAGGGGGCCCGGAGAATCCAGTAACGATTGGCGATTGCAAGCTTTCATAGCCAGGTGTCATGGGGATACCCGGGGAAGCCAACGGTTTACCAAACGCTGACAGCCCCGGAGAAGCCAGTGGATGGCTGCTGTACACACTGCCAACAGGGGACATTGGGGCTTCGTTGAGGTTCAAAGGCGTAGGGCCCTTGGGGAATTCCCATTGGGTGGACTGCGTGGGGAGATGGATGTAGTAGTACTGACCGGAATTGGGGTCCAGATGAGCAATCCATCCCTCGGGAAGTGGTGGAGGAGAAGCTGGAGGTATACTTGGCGTGGGTAGTGTGTTGATTTGGGCCTGTTGCTGAAGCGCTGGGTGTTGTTCGTACTGAGCACCATTATACATTTCATTATGTGGGGACAGCACAGGTGCCAATTGTGGTTGTTGTTGTTGTTGCTGCTGCTGCTGCAGTAGTTGGAATTGTTGTAGTTGTAGTTGTTGCTGTTGCTGTTGCTGCAGTTGGTATTGTTGTTGTTGTTGCATTTGTTGCTGCTGCAGTAGTAGTTGTTTTTGTTGCAGTTGCTGTTGCTCTTCCTGCTGTTGCTTCTGCTTCTGCTGCTGCTGCTGCTGCTGCTGCTGTTGTATCGGGTCGTTGGCAAAGGCCGGGTGATCTTGAGCAGACACCATAGGCGGTGCTACTGCAGGTGCAACGGCAGCACCAACAGCAGCACCAGCAACACCAGCAGCGGCCCCGTTCATGGCTCCAGCTGTTGCAGGATGCGATCCGACTGCTGGCGCTGGTTGGTTGGATGTTGCCGGGAGGCGTTGCTTCTCATTGGGATAACCCTGGGCAGCAGAGGCCGGCCTCGGGACACTGGAGTAAGCTGGAGGAGGCGAGGAGCTGATCCGCATCCTCTCCAGATCCTGCTCCAGGGCATTGTTTGGGATTCTCGCCGGCTGCTGCGGGTGTGGTGGTGTCTGGGATGGGATTGTCGTCGCCGGGTGAGGAGGCAACGCAGCGGCTGGCTGCTGGGGTTCGGCAGAAATCACCTCAGCACCCTGGTACACCGTCGGGGGCCCATGAGGCTGAGAGCCCGGCAGCTCGGTTGGGGTCCAAGGGCGTTGAATGGGGTTCCTAGGCTGCTGTCCAGCGTACTGTTCGGCTCGTCTCTGCGCTGCAGCACTTTGAGCCTGCAGTCCGGATAGCGTGGAAGTCCCCGCGATCCCCGAGGCAGCATAGCGCGCTTCGATATCAGACGCTGGGTGCTGTCCCGGCTCAACGATAGGAGTCTCCGGTGGTGGAGGAGATCCTCGCTGGGCGCGCGTAGTCGAGGTGGAGGCGATGGAGCTGATGCGATTGATAGAGTGCGCTGGAGCTTGGAGGGTTTGCGATGCAGCGGTGGGGCGGGATCCAGGCCGCGAGGACGAGGGCTGTGGAGGGGGATAATAGTGCTGGTTGAATTCGGGATATGGCGCATCAACCGCGGGGGATTCTGGCAGGGGCTTCGGAGCATTTCCCCGCCGCTCAGCTAACGTGGACTGCTTGGGCTCGCGACCGTCCCTGGGTCGCAACGCAGGAGGATAATCGACCGGCGATACTCCTGACCCGCTGGATGTCGGAGAGGCGCTTTGCTTGCCGACCTGTGCAGTTGGGCTTGAACCACTTGAACCGGAGCTCCGCACGGGGTTTGGTCGGTCATCAGGGTACGGAAGAGGGACTGAACTCTGGGGAGCTGGTGAGGGGCTTTCTCGTTTATTGATCCGCAAGGGTCCGATGATGGGGGACTCTGCTGGAGATTGACCAGGGGAATTTAGGAAAAGCTCCTCCTGGGAACGACTGCTCCCAGTGGGATTCATGGTGGAAGTAGTTTTGTCACGGTCGCACCACGATAAGAGAGGGAGGGGAATTAAAAAAAAAAAAAAAAAGGTGCTGTTGGAGTGGGACGAGACAGCTGGGGATTTAGATCTCGAATGCCCTGGGAGAGAGAGAGAGAGAGAGAGAGAATAAATCTATTTCTCCCTGGTCGGATTTCCAGGATCACAAGAGAGAGAAGCAAGTAACGTCGACTCCAGCTTGGGAATTTAGATCGACTGTACAATATCCAACAGGTAACCGCCGGGCAATGACTCTCTGTAGACGTCCAGCAACGTCTATTGGCCCGACGGCCCTGATGGAGGGGCTGCAGAAGGGTGGCCAGCAGCGAATAACAGCAGAGAGAACGAGGTAGACTAATCTGATCACATTGTGATGCTACTAATAATATGTAATCTCGAACCCAAGTCTAATAAAGGGGGGGGAGGTTGGAATTATAGATATTCATTCATCACTATATTGACACAGATCATAGGAAAAAGATTAACAATGCAATTATGCCCCCGTACAAATCATGAACCCGTCACTAATCGTATAGTATATATACCCTCCCAAGGGTCGTGTCATCCATAGTTCACGAGCTGGAATCCCTGGTTCGCGGTGACTTCGATCCAATCGATCTCCTGCATGTACCCACCGCTGCGGGAGTGCTGCATATGGACTTCGCAAAGGACCTGAAGCATCGAGCACGTTGTTCCGGCGTCGTAACCCATTTCGGTTTCGCCTATGTTGGCTAGTAATTCCAGCGCCATCATCTTGAGTCCGCTCGAGGTCGTGACGGCGCCAGCCAGGAAGACGGGGAAGGTGATGAAGAGGGGACCGTTCTGACGGCCCTGCGCGAGCATTGTCTCTGCCAGTTGCAGGATGACCTCTGTATGGTGATGGCTTTCCTTATCCAGTTCAATGCCGACGTGAAAACTTTGTCCGCGCCAGAGACTGGTGTAGGAGTAAAGAAGCGATGTATGGAAAAGTACAGATAGCTAAATCAATTTATTAGGGGTTGAAAACCACAACCAAAAAAAGTAAAAATAAAAATAAAAAAAAGAGATCTCACCTGTCGCAAGCTATTCTGAGATCGTTTGGGTAAAGTCGACTGGTTCTGGACCAAGAATCGCGCCTCGGGAGAGTCCCACAGCCTTCGGAGTTCGGCGCGCAACCCCTCCAACTCCTGATGGAGTGATTCGGTATGTGGATCAAGACCTTGGGCCTTGGAGCGTCTGATGTCGGCGGCCAAAAGCCCAAGACGCACTGCTAGCTGGAAACAATTACGGTAGAGGCGCATAATCAAGGGAAGGGTATCATATTCATCAGGGTAGACCATGCTTGTGCCTTCAGGCCCCACTGGGTACAGAAGGCATTCCGCTTGGGGGAGCAAATGATTCTCCAGAGCCACTTTTACATACTCTCCTGTGCCAGCGCCGCTGAAGAGCGCATACAGATCGATGTGGCTAATCCACCATATAATATAAGGATATCGTTCTCGCGCGGGAAGTGATTGTCGTAATAATGATAGATGGAGTAATCGGGACATATGATGGGACCAGAGGTTGGAGCCGCTGTTGGGTTTCGCAAATGCAACCTGATTAATCTCGAATTAATTCAGTCACATTATAATAGCCCTCCCTTCAAAAAAAAAAAAAGAAAAAAAAAAAAGAAGAAGAAGAAGAAGAAGAAGAAAAGAAACTTACCTCGTAGATCAGTAGTAAGAAATGGGTGAGGAAGAGCCCATCAGATAAGAGGTCTTCACAGTTCTGAAGACTGTTCTGTAGCGGAGGCAAGGTATGTTGGTAGTATTGTAAATTACCCGGAGTTTGACTGTTTCCTTGACGAATGAGATTGAGAGCTGACAGGCCTATCATCGCATGGAAAAGCTATCGTCATAGGCATTAGGAACCATATACCCCAAGCGAAGCTCGGTACCACCCACTGGAGGGAAATTGGAAGCCTCTTGTTCGAAGACATTTGCCCCCAGATAGCCGTCTCCTCCGGGGATCAGATGCATCCATAGGGTGTTCTGGAAGTGATCGAGGAGGGCAATTTCGTAGTTGCGGAGGTCGACCACGCTTTCCGAACCTTGATCCTCGGCGATATCTTGTAGGGCAGCGTACATTGAGACGGCGGACAGGGTGGAGGAACCTAGATCGGAGTCCGGGGAATGTGTGGCGGTCCGACGGATGGGGTATGCCTGTTTTCGAGAGTCGCGGAATCGATGCAAGATGACGACATTGGGATCTTCGGATGGTGAGACGTCGTCGGTTGGATCGTGGGCACTATAGTCAGAAACGGGGCTCGAGAGCTGGTTGCTGGGCACCGCTTCGAGCACATCTTCAGTATACTCGGGAAGATGGGAGAAGCTTTCGGGGATCACGATAACATGATAGGTGCCCGGAATCGACCCCTGCGCTTTCTTTTCCCGATCCTCATCTGACGTGAGCTTTGCGAAAGCTGGGAGCAGGTCGGAAGGAATAGAATCGGAGTTCGAATGGTGTCTGTTGCGAATGGGTTGATTGGCTACCGGATCCAGTCTCGTGAGTATTTGAATTGACAAGAGTTTGTGATATTATAGGATGGCCGAAGGAAAGAGCTTACGATCCCAGACAGCATTCCCTTTCGTCTTGACATCAGGCATGCGCTCCATGACTCGACGCGTATCATCCCGAAAACAGAGCCGGGGTTGATAGTCGCAGACATGACCCAGGCGTGCGCATTGCTAGACCAGGTCAGTAGGTATATTAGAGAGGGGAAAGCCACAACATTACTCACATTACATTGGGGATGGACCTCGTCACATTTTACTAGAGACAAATTCAATGAGTGAGGTGCACGATAAAGAGAGGGGAAGAGGGAGCTGGTCCCCGAGATAATAGAATGATCATATGTCCAGAACTCACTTTTGCGACTCTAAGCAGTAGTCGATAAAAAAAAAAAAAATTGCAGTCAGCACACAACACGCTCACGGGACCTAAAAGAGATGGTTGCTCTGAGAGAGAGAGAGGGAGAGAGAGGGAGAGAGAGGAGGGGAAGAGGGGAGGCAAAAGAAAGGTCTGGCTCACTCTACACGTCCTAAGGGTTAAAGCTAGAATTAGGGAGGGAAAAAAGCCAAGAAGAAGGAGAGAAAGGAAGCAGGGGAGAGATGTGATCATCCAACACCAAGCAGACGTACCAGCAACCAGTCCGAGATCGAGGAGGGAAGCGCAGACGAGACTGTATAATTGTAGGTCTGATGGAGGGTTGGACGGAACAGGTGGTGGAAGTCAACGAGATGATTTCATCTTTGGGAGCAATTGTTGGCAAGCGGAGAGGACGTTTCCTCGATGACTGGCCTCTTCGACTGGACATCTCTGAACCGATGACGGTCATGAACCACGCGGTCGATGAATTGATGAGCGATCCAGCGAACAGCGGTTCATGAGGAGACGACGTGAGTTATATATTCACGATGCCGTACTGGTATCAAAGCGTGAGGCTGCGAGTGTAGTCGTTCATTAGCTAGTGGGGAAATGAGTCAGTGACCTGATAAGTTTTATTCTCGCTTCCAATTACCGGTTAAGTCAAAAGAAAAAAAAAAAGAAAAAAAAGGGGAAGAGATAGTAATAAGAGCGAAAAAACGAGACAGAGAGAGAGAGAGAGATTGTGAGGATAAGTCTTAAGTCTTCAGTGGAGAGGGGAAATAAGCTAGCCAGCAGTATCACGTACTCTCAATTAAAAAAAGAAAATAGGGCCCAACAAGTCAGAGTGAAGCGAAATAGATAGAGAAGAATAGTGTAGCTGCCAACCATGTGGAGGATCAATCATTTAACAAGCTGAACAGGTTTCTGAATCTCCAGAACTATCCTATATACAGATGTAGTCTTGTAGAGTTCTAGGCCTAGTGACGAGTCTACTGTATACTAGTTTACTGGGCCCACCTCTCTCTCAACTCGCAGGGTTCATTCTTCGTAAGATTTGTCTGATCTGGAATTATTATATTACTTTAAGTAAACGAGGACTCTGTCCTAATTTACAAATCCCAACAATAACTAAGTGTCAAAGTGTAACTACTTGGGAGTGAGTATGATTTATTACAGGTACGGTACTATACTGTACAATACAATAGTCTATTTCAGGAACAACCCATTAAATAGGTATGTATGTATGTATGTATACTCCGTACCTCAGATCTCTGCGGCCCCGAAGGATTAGTTGCAGGAAGGAGGCCAGCTGAAGGAACATCCATGTTTTCTTGGATTATTCGAGAGTAGAAATCAGTTATAGTTGTCCCATCACCTGATCGAGCACCTGTCTGACAGGCCCAGATCGTTCGCCGTCTCTCCATCCCGCCACTCTCGCCCGGAGTCCTGCGTCTATCTCCAGGCCGGTCTCCTGGCACATCCCAACATACGAAGCGCTGGCCTGTGCACGCCCCTTTCGGATCGCCTCAACCGATCCGTCTATCTCGTAAGAAAGGATTCCCCCCACTAGCGTCGCCAACTCGCCTTGTATCGCCCCGAGACGATCATGGTTCGATGTCCGTGTGCCTAACCGGTTCAAGAGGAGGTGCAGCTCCTCGTAGAGAGTAATCTGCACATTCTTGTCTCCGCGTTTCAGCGCCTTGTCCAAAGTAGGCGGTAATTCAGCGAGATAACCTTTGAGGGCGGAATGCACTGTGGGGGGGGGGGAACAAAAGGGGGGTTTATTCGGCTTTACGTTAGCGCACTGGTCAAGTCCGAGAGGTCACCGGAAAAAAAAAAAGAAAAAAAAAAGGGCACTAGCGGTTTAGCTTGTTTAGCTTACCTTCGTCTTCTTGTTGTGGTTGCGTAGAAGCCTGGAACGCCGCCGGATTGAAGCACTGCAAGAGACATTTTACGCAAGCCACCAGAGTATCACCTAAAATTTGATTCGACTGGGACCCGCTACCTGAGTCGACATCCATACGGTCCCTCGCATCGTCATCCTCGTCGAGGTCATCCAGCACTTTGGAAACAATGCGCATGGCCTCGGGCATCAAGTTGATATAATAGTAGTAGTTATTGTTGTTGTTGTTGTCTTGCGTAACTCCACCAAGGGCGACTCCACCAAGAGCGACCAGGCCATGTGGACGATATGCAGGGTTATTCCGCTTTGCCTCCCGAATGGTAATTGTCTTTACTCAAAAGTCAGCAAAACTAAAAAAAAAAAAAAAAAATACTAGTTAGTTATCACTTTTCCTGCTTACCTTCACCAATTCTCCAAGCTGTGGCTGCTCATGCCACAATCTCTTCGCTTGGCCCACAAACCTCACCAACGCCTTCAGCACCGCTTCTTTCCCATCCCAGGTCTTCCCCGCCAGGGCCTTTTCCAGAACCGGCCAGACAGTCTTACTCGTCGCGAGGTCCAATTCCGCATCCAATGATATGATGGCATCTGCAATTGCCAAGGCGGCCGTATGTTTAATCGCCCATCGGGGGGAGTCTAGATTGTCAGCAACCAGTTTCGTAATTTCCTGGATGTATAGCGAGACGGTGCGATTATTGCCCCCAACGTTATCCTGCCAGGTTTTGTCAAAGACCTCCCGGACATGCTCGTCCAAATCATGTTTGGCAACGAAAACAAACGGTAATGCTGACGACGCAAAGCCCATGAATCGATCGTTCGACAACTTCGCAGCTGAATGGAGGATCTCGGCGGAAATAACCCGTTGGTTGGCCTCTTCGGCCGTAAGGTAGAGGCTTTCGGCGTATTCGAGCGTCTTTAGCACACGCTCGTCTGAAGCTAGCCGCATCAGGTAGCCAATTGAGCTACAGTACGAGGCGCTAACTGTGTCGTTCCGGTCCAGCACGTATTTGCCAAGGAGTTGGATGAAGCGATCCGCATAGGGCTGGAAGAGAACCGTCCTCATGCTGAGGAGGACCAATACACGGCTGCATCCTACTTTGGATGGGAGGCCGACCGCGCCGCGAAGAACGCCTTCCAGTCTGGTCGCGAATTCCTTCATGCTGGCGTCGTCTAGCATGTCGATCAGATATCGTTCAATCACTTCCATCATGGGGGATGTGCGGATGCTGGAGAGTCGCATCTTGTCGATTTCTTGTCCCGTTAGCCCGTACTTGTCGGCGTTCAGGTGCACATAGTTGACGGCCTGTGGCTCCAACGAGCTAAGGCAATTCAAGAACTGTTCGATTATGCTTGGGACAAACGATCGCAAGGGCCCGTGAGCGCTCTTTTTGATTATTTGGATCAGAGCGCCGAGGGCAAATCCTTGGACCTCTTGAACCCCGGATTCCATGCCCTTGTCGCTCAACAAGAACGGAATCGTGCTCTCCAGCATCGTTCTCACGCGTTTGGTGTCTGCCTCACCACTCGTTTCCAGCGTGCGAATGACTGCGTTTGTAATTGTCTGGCAAAGCTTCAACGCGCTGATCCTGACGGTCTCTTTGATGTCATCAAGAAGCTTGAACGCCTTGGTGAAGATCTCGTCCACGTACTTGGCGTATGACTCCGGCTGCCGACCCGAGATTAGGTCGGAGATCGCCGCACAACTTGCCTGCCGGACGCGCCATTCTCGACCGCTCATCATGCTCTTCAAAAGGTCGGACATGATCTCGTCGAAATGGCTGGTAATAACTGCGTTGGGATCCTTTACTAGCGCAAGCCAAATTGTGTTCATCGATCGCTGCACGTTCGGGTTTGGATCAAACCTATACCGGAACAGCTTTGGGTAAATCTTGTTGTTTTTGGCGAGATAGCCGTTCACGCTGGAGTCGGAGAAAATGCTGCTGATGCCCATTTTGCTGAACGCGGCACGATTCGTCCAGATTGCATTATTAGAGGCCAAGGACATAAACCGATACACAAGAGTCGGATCGCCTGCCTCAGAAGCAAGATTCATAATATCCTTATAGGTATTGACAGAAGAGCCCCCGCCGGTAGGGAGAGCTCCTGGCTCGAATAGCTCTGTATTGCCAGTGACTTTCCCGCCTCCTAGGCCGGAATTGGTCGCAGTAAATGAGTTCACTAGATCGTGCACCAAGTCGTCCTTCAGCTCCCGATCACCCATCTCGTAGACAAGACTCAGCCCTTGAGCCCCGGTTTCCTGAACCATCTCATCTCGGTCCCCAAGAAGACTGGCAAAAGTATGCTGACACTTGCGTAAACGATCCTGGATCTCCGGCATATGCCCACAATTCTTGACCAAACATAGTAACCATATGGCGGACGCTTTCCGGAGAGACGGTTTTGACGCCGCACAGTCCGCGATCACCTTGTCGCACATGTCTGCAAGTACTGAAGTGGGAACTGTGGAGTCAGGAAAGTGATCGTCGACATCAAATTCGGGGGCTAGTGCTTTGGAGTTCCACCCTGCTACTGCACCACACAGAGCCGCCCCGACTGTAAAATGGACTTCGGGGCTGCGGATCTCATGCAACCCAGAGAGGGCGTCGAGGAATTTCTTGAACTGCGGAGACCCGTCCGGAAAGGCCAAAGAGAGTAGCCCGATCGCTGTAATTGCCACGCTGCTTTCAGCCTTCGCATCTTGCACCAGCTTGGTCTTGACGGTATCCCACTCAGCGTCCGATCGCCTATCCGGAGACAAAATGCCCGAAAGGCTGAGTTGTCCGATAGCGACCTGAGCTGACTGTCGGAGAAGGGAGTCGCGGGAGGTCTCGATCATAGCAAAGACTATCTTAATAAATCCATTGACTTGCGCTTCCGGTACTTTCTGTATGGCCTTACGGAACGCAAGCCTGCTCAGTAAAAATGACTGAGCAAGCATTGCGCCTCGGACCTTGAGAACTTTCTCCCCAATAGCAGATTCCCACGACTCCAAAGCGGTCGAAAATTCCGTAACTAGCTCCACTAGATTCTCCACGGCGAAGGTAGGGTGTGACCCCAGGATACCCATTGCTCGTGCTGCCGTATTCTGAGCCTCTTGGTCGTTGCTGGACAGCGGACTTTTCAATAGGAGCGCTCGCGGAACCATAGCTCCAACTATGCCATTAGCCGCCAGCGAGCTGATACTGACGAAATGTTCTCCGCACTGTTGTAAACCTTGTCGGTTTTCGTGGATCAGACCGGCCAAGGCACCTTCTAGAAACATAACAACAGAATGTTGATCAGTAGAATAAAGGTATTGCTTCAAGGCCGCCCTTGTGCTTTCATCCGAGGACAGCATCACATCGAGCTTGGTTTCCCAATCTTGCTCTATGTCTATGTTGATTCCAGCCGCTTTGAGCGACTCCCAGAGTAAGATATTGCAGAGGAATCCAATCGCAGGAGCAAAGGCATTTCTGTAGCGGCTCGATAGTATGCCGGCTGCAGTCAGACCGGGAACTGCAGTGGAGGCCTCAGAGCCAAGTAAAAACTTTGTGGCTTCTGAAAAGGCGGGAAATTTAAACCATGAAGTGCTCGGTTCTTCGCCTGCTGGTCGAGCGGCCCATTTCTTCTCCTTCGCCGGATTCAAAAGTCGATACCAGTAGGGATTTAGGCCCTTTCTGCCTTCCTCCGCAATTTCCTGGTGTCTTTCTGACCCACTTGCAACAGCCATAAGATCGACCCAACGCGCAACGATGTCGCCGTAAGGTAGGAAGCGGTTTGAGAAACGCACTGCAGCATATTGTGGGCCCCGTACTACTCTGTAGCCTGTCATCGAGTCGTCTTCTCCGGGGTGATTGCCCATCTGATGGACCAGGAAAGGGCGCAGCTCCTCTTGGAACTTTTCATCCCAGCTATCCACTGAAGAGTTCAGAATGCTCCCCAAGGCCTGCTCAATGCTGACAAAAATTTGGGGACCGGAATCGTCAGAGCTCAGTGACGTAAACAGCCACCGGATCAGCTCAAAGCTAGAAAGCGTCTCTTGCCCATCATCCACCGCAAAGTCAACCTTAGGGAGCATAATGCCGATGCTCTCGTAGGCAAGACCGCGTAGGGTCAGATCGGTAGCGGGGAGCCTTTGGCCACTGGCGCCTGGGCTTGGCCAGCCCTGAGACCGGATGAAATCCATTAATCCCGTGATGATTTTCGGTGCCATTCGTTTGAGATCAGATGGAGAGCCCATGCGCACAACCCACGTCGTGAAATTGAAGATCTGAGTCCGCAACTTGGAAGCTTGAAGCCCTTGAGATGACCTCGCGGAGTCCGATAGGAGACCCTCTTCAATCAATCGAATAACATTATCTGTATGCATGGTCGCCCTGACTGACTTTCCTAGGGAGACCAGAAGTCTGGTCTGGAGGGAAGGGCGTGCTGGGGGCGCCCCATCCGCCGTCCCGGCACCGGAATACAGACTATACAGTTGCTGCACAACATCTGGATTCTCAAGGTCTGGTATGAACCGCTTTAGAAGCTCCTCGCCCAGATCCGAAAGGCGCGAGTTAGCGTCCGCAGAAGCGACGATAGCAGGGAACAATCGTTCTGAATCACTGAAGGCTCCGCTGGAGATCAATCTCAATGCCCTGACTTTAGTTTCCGTCAAGTTCAAACCGCCCTCTACAGACGGATCCCATGTCTCATTTACAGATACACCCTTATTCAGGAATGAATAATCTGCCGGGGATAAACCCGGACACGTAGATGAACTCTTATCTACAGGGAGAAGGAGCAACAACTTCGTAAACCAGGACGACAAAAAGGCGGTGTCCTGGTCCGAGAGACCTAAGCGGGACTTTAGATTCAAATCATCTTCGCTATCCTTCGGCGGAAGCTTTAATAGCGGTAGTAACCGTAGAACAAGATTGAAGACAACGGCGCCCTGGTTCGTGGCAGTTCCGATCTCGGAGATCCCCTGGAGCAATGGAACCAATATCTCGACTCTGGCATCGGGCCCCAGGCGATCAATCCCTTGCTGTAGGTAAATCAAATCGAAATGCCTGATGAGCTGGGATTTCTGCTCCTTGAACTGTTTCAATAGAGCCGCAACGGGGAGTTTAATCGCGGGGGCTTTAATTCTAGTGTTGACATGCTGGCATACTGAAATTACTTTGTTGCGGACAGCAAGGCTATCGGAGCTCAGCTTCAGCAGTAACGGTGCCAGGTATGTATTCAGAAGTGCATCGAGCTTCTGGTCGGTGTCTGCTAAGGCGATTCTAAGCTCTACCTTGGAGATTAAGCTTAACTCTCGGGCTTCGGAGCTGCTGGTCGTATTCTCTGAAGCCATGACAACAATTATTCAAGGGGACAAGGGTTGACTGTTCTCACACATTGAAAAAGAGGAAGGTAAGTGAAAGAATGTGTAGGCGTAGACTCAGGGACAAAGAATGAGAATCGGGGGGACGTTTATTTTATTTTCTACCCTTTAGGTAGAAACACTCGTCGTCATTAGTTGTGTACCTGAGGCCGCGAGAATAGCTGGATGATTAGTCATGATCCCGGCAATGATTTCTGCCTATAATTTAAGGCTACAATATCACTTTAAAAGAACTGTAGTTATAGGTTAGGTATTCAACTAGAACACTTATGATTCCCATGTCGAAAGAACTGTATACAGAGTGAAGTTTGCAGTAGATTGTTATGAAAAGGGATTGTTTGCTATCCTTGCTATCCAACCATATAGCAAGCACGATGGGTTTAATAGATCCAAGATGGGACCGGCCCAAATTGAGGAACATATTGCAAGACTTATTCATGGGTCTTTGAAGCCTCTATCCTTTGCTCCGCCGCTTCCGCTCTCAGAAACCTTGCCACATCCCCCCCAGCAGTCAATGTATCGCCGCGGACTTCCTTGTCTCTAGGGCTACCAAAGAGACATTGCCAAAGATCGTCCTTCTGCACGAGTTCGCCACCCCACGCACCCCCTTCCATCAAGTTAGCTAGCGAGGCGTCTTGCATTTCGAGAGAGTTCGCAGAGTCGATAACGGCTTCGCTCAGGTTATCAATCATAGCTCCATTCACATCATTGCCAGAAGACGCGGGAGAATGCGCCTTTTCCTTTTCATGCTGTATAATGTGAGCTAGCCGGCGAGACACAGAAATGTCGTAAATCGATTGTTCTACTGTATCAGAGATAAGGTACATCCAGACAGTTGTTGGTCGGTGTTGGCCGATACGGTGCACTCGTGCAATAGCCTGGAGCTCGATCGCGGTGTTGATAAGCGGCTCACAGAGAAAGACGTGGGTTGCATTAACTAGATTAAGTCCTGAGGAATGTGCTTTGGCGTGGAGGAGAAAACATTCAATCTAATCCCCCATCATTTTAGTCGCTGTCTTATATTACGGAGGAGGAGTGGCGATGGGACTTACCGCTGGATCGCTTTTGAATTTTCGTATCCCATCGGGGCTATCAACACTGCTGTATCCGATCTTAAACCGAGTAAAAGCAGTACCCATATATTCTAGGAAGCTCTTGTACTGTGAGAAAACAATAGACTGAGCACCAGGGTCGTGCTCGCGTAGCCATAAGATATGTCTTGCCAGTGTGTCAATCTTTGTTCCGAAAGAACTTGGAAGGTCAATATTCTTGATTTCGTGCAATGTGCTAGACCCTATATCAGTGTATATACTATTGTTAGATGGGCGTCCGAGCTCAATCTTGGATGATGACTTTTCCTCCTGTACCACGAATTCCTGGGGCTTATAGGTAATCTGGTAGAAGTCGTTGGCTTTAAGGTGCTTTTTGCAGATTGGACAGGAACGATGTTGACGCCACCATAAGCGGAGACAGTCTTTGCAATACTTGTGACCACAGACTGTTAAAACTCCTGTTGGGAATTAGCCAAAAAAAAAAAAAGGTCAAGAACTAAGGGCGATGTTTTATTGGGAGATTACCGATTTCAAAGCTTGTCTGGCAGATGATACAGATTTTCGAGCTTTCGTCTGGGCCAGACTCATCTCGTAAATGAATAAGATAACGTCGCTTTGCTTTCAAAGAGGAGATTTTCGCGTCAACGGTCTCTTCCTGCATGAGCTTCGAGTTGAAAAGAGCCTCATCCAGCGGTTTCCCGGCACTTTCTTCATCATACGGCGCCACAGTGTCTGAAATTTGCTGTAGCTGGCGGTAGTATTCAATACGGTGGTTCATGGTGTCTCGAAATAGTTCGACTTCCCTCTCCAAACCCGCCGCAACCTTGGTTTGCTCCGTGGCAATCTGGCCTACATTCTTGAGTACCAGAGTGATGATCTCCAGCTCCGCACGAGCTCGTGAGCTCCCTTGGTTTGCTTGCCACTCGAGCGACGTTCCCAGGCTGCGTAATTCGGTGATAATCCCACGAAGCGAGCCAAGTGTAGGATCGGGTTTCAGTTCACTACGAGTGTTCATAATCTCCAGAAAAAGTGTCGGGGAAGGACCCTCTCCCTTCTGTGCTTGCACAATACCCCCTTTAACTTCATGGGCAATGAGAATGTTCTTCTGGCCCGTCAGGGCATCGTGACGATCGGCGAAAATCGCACGCAGTGCTTCCATGTAAACATACATTTCGTCTTGATGCTTTGTAGATCTCTCGTACTCATCACCTTGGAGCTCAGTGTCATCTTCTTGGTCAATGAGCGACTCCGAGAGAAGGTTGACCATTTTCTGGCGCCAGTCGTCATACTGAATAGCATGCTTGTTCATCACGTTACAGAACTCTTCTAGCTTGTCTAGCACCCGGCGAGATTCGAGTCCCTTGCTATACAGCAGAGGCTTCATCTTGGGGATATCCACAAATTGCTTTTTTCGAGACTTCTCCTTAACCATTTTCATGTGGCGCTTGGCCTTTCGAGAGATCTCGGAAAGCATTTCTTGGCGAATCAATTTTGCTTTTGCGTACGCCTCCTCTTCTAGCCTGGCTAATGCTTGGAAGTCCTCGGATTCGGGCTTCGTAAGCTCAGGATCGGACTTGATTTGGTAATACGCATTTCCAGTGAAGAAAACGGAAATATGTTCAACTTCGAGAGCAGCACGCAGCCTTAGGCGGAATGCATTCAGACGAGGATTCTTTTCTGTTTCCTCTCCTTCAGCGTCGCTGTCGACATCAGACGACCCTGCGTTCTGTTCACCATGCGAGATAGTGGGTGGGTGTTTCTTGCGCTCTACCTGCAACCGTTCTCGACATTCCTGGACGATCTCGCTCGCTCGGGTCAAAGAGCCTTTCCAGAGATCAAGTGCCGGCTGCCGACGTTTGGCATTTTCAAGTAATTGACCCCGACGAAGCTGTGAAAGGAGAAGCGTACGTTCTTCTGCATGTATGAGAGTATCGTTTTGGTCAATCATTACCTCCAAAACCTCGCTCACCGACCGCAATGGTCCGTTGCCGGTAGCAAAGCCTCTGCGACGGGTTCCTGCGGGATAGAGGCAAGATTGGCGAAGCCTAACCAGCCAGCTTCGCATCTTTTCAATCACCCACGGATCATTGGGGTCCCACTCATCATTACGAGGCGAGCCTGAGAAATCCAGACCGCACTCATCACACATCTCTTCATACAATTGCCTATAGTGTTGTTCCTCAACCGCGGTGAAGGGAACGGTAATGACGACTCTCTTCTGAGGCGGCAGGTGAAGCTCGCCCCGAATGCGATCTTTACTATGCCTTAGCGCAATAGTATTCACAATTCGCGAGAGGACGGGGGTAAATCTGTTACATAGTCTTCTCCAAATAAAGCCGCAAAAGGGGTCGTAATGGAGAAAGAGCAACAGTCCAAGGAGATCGGTTATGTCCTTGCGAAGAGGAGTCCCAGTCACAGCCCAAGCCATCTGGCGAGGAATGAGGCGGGCAACTTTGGCTGCGTTACTAACTCCGCTCTCGATCATTTGAGCTTCATCTAGACAAACCCGCCACCAGGAAATCTGGACAAGAGGGGACTTCCTAACCTCGAACCTTTTCTCATGCCGTAAATTTCTCTTCGGAGTATCTCCAGCGTAGTGTATTTCGCGCGCGAGAACGTTGTAGGTTGTAAGCACAACATCGTTGTCAGCCATAGTTTCAACCAACTCTTGATCAGACAATGTTTGATGGCGCTGAATACCGGTATAATGGAAAACTTGAAGTTTCGGTGCGTGTAGTTCAATTTCTTGTTTCCACTGCTCAAGAATAACTGGCGGTGTTATGATAAGCGTGGCACCGGTTGGCCTTAATCCATTCGTACCAGCACCTGCAAAGGTTTCTTCGGGACGGAGAATTCGGCGGTTAAGGCACATTAGTGAGATCATTTCGACAGTCTTGCCTAGGCCCATTTCTTCAGCCAAAATACCGCCCTTCAGGTATTTTTCCACATCATACCAGCCAGAAAGGTCCCTGGTGACAATCATGTACAGATGGCTGGCAAAACAGGGGTTTCCATCTGCATCAGTGATCTGCTGGAAAGACTCCGGTAGATCATCATTCGGAGGCTTTTTAATCGGGGTCACTTGTCCATCTGAGTCGAGCTCCATACCTTCTCTTCTCAAAAGCCATCGAACCGCCCGTCGTTGAAATGGAAAAAGCTGGCACTCTATCAGACTGCTCGTCACCTCCGCTGATAGCGATGGAGTGTCTGGAGGCACATGAACGTTGTCATAGAAATCACGAGGCGACCATCCATCCCCGCCGACCGGCATTCGATTCCGTCGCTTACAACTTGACCCTTCAGTTTCGTCCTCTTTTTGTCGCATGGCGTATTTAGAGAATGCTCTCACCGCTGGATCCATTAATTTTTGATCATCCGAGATATCCAGCGTATCTCTCCATAAAATGATCGTTTCAAGATGAAAGGACCCACTATCTGCAAGATACCGAAGAGTCGATTGAGAGCACGCAGTCGGGGGTCTCCTGTGATAGCGATCCGCGCAGATGAGCTTGCTTGCAAGTTCCAAGTCAGAGCCGAGTTTAACCACCTCTGGATTAGTAAAAACATCGACGAAAACAGTTTCTCGCTCTTCTATAGTCTCTAACTCTAGAACGAGTGATTCGGAAATCGCCTCGCTACGCTTGGATGGATGGTTCCTGGATGCCTTGATGAACACGGGTAGTTTGCGGTCGGTGTCAGTAAAGCCATTTTGTCCATTCTGAGCCGACTCCGAGCGGCCAAAGTTCTGTAGATGCGTCAGTAGAGTGCTCCATCAACTTAAGTAGCCAGTGGCATACCAGACGTAAATGAAAGCGTGCAAGGGGAACATAGCCATTCGGTGCTCTACACTCCGACAAACCATTGTCCTCGCGGAGGCTCTGGGGTCCATATGTCACTTTGCGACGTTTATTGGAAGGACCCTTGGCCTCAAGCTCCGCAATGCGCGTGAATGCTTGAACCAAAGTATCCGGGGGAGCGCCTAGAGACATAGGAATGATTAGCAACTGATCCATGTGTATGCAGGGAGTTGAGCCTGGGATGTACACGGATAAGAAGTCTCTGCTTTCACCACGACCATCCTGCATACTCTTGATTCCCTCCTCGTATCGTCCTCAGAAGAGAAGAGGAGGAAGTCAAAAGGCCGAGCTGTCAGGCTTTATCAACAGGGTCACGTGTTGATAACAATAGCACAGCTTTATCAGAGTAAACACCCTTTTAAGTCCGGCATTATAACTAAGGGTGGACCAATAACTAGATATATATAATATAATACTGTATCAGCTAGAAATGACCGTCTTGACGCCTTTTTAGCTGAACGGTAACTACTCCGTCTAACTGACACTAAGTAGAATCCCCGACACACGGCTAGTGAGACGCGGAAAAATCCAAATTCCGGTTGTCGCGTTGTAGGTATATTTTCTTCAAGTTACTTTCTATAGCAATTATAGTATTTTACTACTAAAACCTATGGTAAGGTGCATCTTATAAATTTGTTAAGTTAACAGATAACTAACTAACTAGTTAACTAACTAGTTAGTTATACTACCTTGCTTAATAATGGCCAAAAAGGTCGAAAGCGCCTAAAAGAAGGTACTTAAGGACGACAAGTAATATAAGCAGCTAAATAATAGGTAATACAGGACAGGATATTAAGCATTCTATGAAATTTATTAAGAAATAAAGACTTTACTATCCCAGGATATTTAAATACTACCTGTAATATCTAGTGGTTCCTGAGCTGGTATCACACCCTTTAATATATTCAACCAGTCGCTTGCATTGAACAATCTGAATTTAATACTTAGGTAGTTGCTTCATCTAATATAGCTAAATCACTATACTATATACTCCATTCTCGCAAAATCCTATAGATATTTTTTCCATGTTGTAGTAGATGAAATTATTTTGGTATTGAGATGCAATGTTGTCGCGTGTCTCACTAACTATAGCTGGTGGTGTCTCACTAATAGGTCTGGGATTCTAACTTCATTGAATGGGCATATCTACAGAATTACCAACTGAAAAGTTCTGCGAATATATGTAAATAATATAACTATATTTTCACTATTATTGGGTTGTTCCTCACAGTGAGTGCATTATTGGAAATCCTCTGTATCAGACACTACGCTCCCATTTACAGCCCGTACCGCTCTCCAATATGCCTTGCCACCAGCATTGCTCTCAAAAACATCAGAAGTGTCGCCAAAAGAAGTCGAGTTCTTATTGCCTGTGCCAGCACGATAATGCGCTTGACCCCACTGTTCAGTGTGCAAACGTAACGGCCCATGCGTAAGGCTATATGTGGAAACACCAGGCATTCCAGTTGAGTCGATTTCAAGCCCTGTCCGCATCCAAGCATCAATTGTAAGTTCAGTATCTAGATTCGCATAAGTCTGATTCACGAATAAAGGGTACTCAAAGCTCAATTCTTCCGAACTACCGCCTCCCTCAAGTTGGCTGATCAATGCCCTTCCGGATGTATGTTGGTCATTTCTTTGGCTTAGGCCGAGTTGGTTAAAAAGGCCAAAATTGGAGTATGAAAGGTTCTGACTCCAAGAAAATTCAGACGATCTTATTGTAAGTATTCTTTCTGCTGTAACAGAGTATGCCAGAGTTTCGTTTGCACCGGTTTGGTTTTGAACAAGGTGCCTCGTGGTGGTAAACGTAGGTTCTGGCGCTACCACCTGGGGTTTTCGATTGTCCGAGCGTGATGTGTTCTCCTTGGTATTATCAAGGTAGAGGTAAATGTTGCCCGTAATAATCCAGTATGACCCGACGGTGTCAGAAAGCATAGCAACACCATCTTCCGAAACATCTAATCCGATGACTTTGAGCTCGAACGAGTGGTACTCGCCATCGGTGAGCAACGGTAAGAAGGGAGAGATGTCAATCTCTGGCTCTCTCAGATCGAATGCGTCAATTCCAACAATCGGACGCCAGAACCCTGGCGCAACACCGCCAGTAAATATGATTGGAAATGGCCAGACGACACCAGCGAGAATCCCGTCAATGTATAGCTGGACCTCCCTAAAGGGAGAGTGACCATAGAGTTCACCAATAGTGCTATCGAATGCATACATGTCGGATGAGAAAACATTGGACCACCAGAATTCCTCCGTTGACTGCCCACATGCAGATATAGACACCACGGCACGAGAGGTTTCGGGGTCAACTTTTTGAAGTACTGTCGCATTGTCCGAAGGCACATTAAAGACACTCGAAGAATTGCTAGTGGACTTTTGGGCAGATATTGGAAGAATGATGTCCGGAGTTTTAACATTGTTCTCATATGAGAAATGGGCAGTCAGAGTCACATTGAATGAACCAGTGTAAATCTCGGTAATCAGGTTTCCAAGGTCAAAAATGAGCTTTTGGTGCTTCTTCCAGAGAGCATTGTATTGCGACATATCTTTGATGTAAGTCCAGATTATTCCATCTGCTGTAGGCTCTGCTGTCGATGTTCGGAATACCTCTGTATCTCCAAGAAACATAGTTGCTAGTCGGTCATACTGTCGACCTTTCGAGGTAACTGTAAGGTTCATTCGAACAGTATCGAACTCGCAATTGGGCGGCTCATAATACCCTATGCAAGAGTTAATATCCACCCCAGAAGAATGAACAAGGAGAGAGGATCTCAGCTTACCCACATACGGGTGGCCATAGCTGTAACCAAATACATGATCCAATAGTAGAATATCCCCATTGCAAGATGAAGGCTCACTACCCGGGACCGAAACGGGCTGATAGACCTGAAAGACGTCTAGAGCAGCGAAAGATGGAGAGATCAGATGAAAGCAAAGCCATATGACAGATCCGAAAATCAGCAGCATAATTACAACCAGAGACGCCTCTTCGCGATTTTGTGCACGTTTGACCTCCTTATAATACCAAACCCATGGGATTTTACCCTTTTCAAGACGGGCCAGGGGGATGTCGCGATAGGATTCGTGGTTAAAACCCAACCGGAAACCCGATCGCCTTAAGCAAGATTTCACGTAGACCCATGTCCATGTTGCAGAGACCCCAGACGCTAGGAGCAGTAGAATCCATCCTGGAGTTGCGATTTTCCCACTAGTTGGGGTAGTATGTGGTGTATCACTAGAGGGGACAGCTTGGGCCAATCGGTGGTGTAGTATCGACAAAGAGCCTGGATCAATAGCCATCGCTAAGCGTCGAGATAAGATGGGTAGTAGTAATGTGTTGTTTTGACATGCGTATTCCCCCTAATCTGCAGGGGCAGGAGCTTCTGGTGTCACTGAAGAAAGCCGCGTGCCTGCCTGAGAATTCCTGGGGTACCTAGAAGTACCTAAGTTAACCACCACGGGTACGGGTAGGGCTTCCTATTCCTCTATTTCTTTTGTGAACTCATCAGCCAGGCATAAAAAAAAAAATAGAGGAATAGGCTATCAACACACTGGAGACTACTTTTTCAAGCCAAATGTTCGAGAGGTATCCTAGTATACTGAGTGATAAGCCCTACGCTAGCCTCTCGTCACAATATCGAGAAGCCAAGAAGATCCAAGCATTATTATGTACGGTGTGAGCGCGCTAGTGGTGAGGAAGAGGGGAGAGATTTTTGTGACTAAATGAGTATACGTAGTCTCCTAGCCCCTCCCTGACCTCGTTTAGATAGTATAGTGCCTTTGGAGTAGTTCGAGTTTGATATCATGAAAGTTTTGGTTTAATCATATTGTCGGTTCCCCGTTCGAACCAGTAAGTATTCCACACAAAAGGCATGCATGCAATATTCGCTCCCAAAGCGCCGCGGTTGTCCGCATACAAGAGAATAAAAAGGAAAGGTGAATAAAGAGAGACGGATGGCTTCTGCATAAACATGGCCAATGAAGGGGATAAGTTATGGTACAAGAGCTTGATCTCGAACCGACCAGCTCGTTTATCATCGACTTGCAACTCGAGGTGTCTAGGCCCCGCTCGCGATAGTAACTTACATCAGAAGACGCCAGGCACCAAGAATCAGAGCGGCAGTACCAGTGCAAACACCCCTAATTCATTTGTTAGCACAGTCTGGAATTAACAGAGCGGAAGATATAGTTCCAGTCCTACATTAGCCACTGCAAGGTGGAGAACTTGACGGCCTCCACACGCTCCCTCAGTCCTGCAACTTCTTGCTCGATTCTTGTTTCGGTCTCTTTGATGCGCATTTCCTGGCTGTTTGCTTCTTCCCGAATGCGGCCCTTCTCGAGGTTAAGGTCTAAACGGACGGACGCTTGGGTGCGCCCAATTTCATCTCGAAGGCGCGAGTTGAGTTTCGCAAGGTCGGCAGCAATCTTCTCATGCGATGAGCGGGTGAGCTGTGCCTCTGTGGAGTCGGTATTGAGGAGTTCCGAGCGGAGTTTCGCAAAATCCACTTTCTGAGTATAAGTAGATCTCTCAGTATCTAGACAACAGTGAGCAATAAGAACCATCAAAACACGCCATGCTAAAATAGGCTAACACGAGTATTCCAAATAAAACGTGGCTACTAACCTTCCCTCAAAACCATTGTCCGAGTAAGATTCTGAATCGACTCTTGAATAACATCATTGAGAACCCTCATCATCGCGACGGCCTGCTCCTCACTAAATCCCTCGTTCTTCAGTCGCTGAACAAACTTCAATGTATCAAAATGATGGTCTCGCTGGCGCGGGGTAGAAGCGTGAAAGGCGCGGCGAGCGGGCTGGAATGTAGCCACATAAACACCGTTATAGCGGACTGGGTTACTCAGAGGCTTCGTGGTTTGACTGTTAGTGGCGTTAATCGCTGAGCGGGGAAAGCGTCGTGCAATCGAGGGCGATATGCTAGTATCTGGGGATGATGTAGAAAACGCCGCAGAGCAGTGGGCTGACAGCAGCGGTGTTTGTGGCTGCCATGGCCAAGTCTTCCGAATTTGTGTCCGCTGTTGCTTTTGTCGCTGCCCTGTTGAAAGAGGGGTAGAGTGAGAAGCTGAGAGGCTGGTTCGAGTAGAGGAGCCGTTCCACGTCAGGCGAGGAAGGATGGAACGCGGAACTTCGGTGACAGATTTTTGAGGTGCCATTATCACAGTTGTTATAGCCGACGATACATGGAGAATGCGGGAGATGAAAGAAATGAATGATACTACAAGAAGAAGGTTGATTGAGAGGTGGATGCCCGGATCCTTCCGTTTGACCGTTTGATAGTGAGTTAAGGGACATGGAGTTTTATGATGACTAAGCACAATCATTGTGACTTGATTCGCCTGAGCAGCATCAATACATCCATGGATCCCTGAGATGGATGCATGCAGCACGGCTAATACTCAAAAAAAAGCCCAAGCAGTACTACATACTCTTCTTTCAAGGATGAGGAGGAAGAAAATTGGTGAAAGATGCGCATATCTTTGTCGAGTTTCCAGAACATAGAGTAAATATGGTCACATGAATAGATGACTAGATCTTTCGTCGTTTCCAACATCAAATTATTATTATAATGTCGTATATGCCTAACAGTCATTTTTGAGATCTGCTTTGCCAATCTATAGCTGGAAAATTTCCTTGAGCTTCTGCATGGTATCCTCGGGGTCCTTAACCGCATGGCCGATTGTCCTGGAGTCGTCGTAGATTTCCCAATCGTTGCCTCCGGGGAAAGCCTTGTCTCCGAAGAAGTAAATATTCTTATATTCGACACCAGAGATCCCCTTCTCAGCCTCAACGTGTCTCAAGCAATATGTCTTGTCCCAGCCGGTAGGGAACACATCAAAGGAGATTTGACCACCGATAGAGTAGCTGTACGATTGGAAGGTTAGCGATGCCTAGCCAGGCAGAGGTAGAGAACTGTTCTTTCAACTTACGTGAGACCGTAGTCGGGGAATTCCTTCTTAAGGGCGTTCACAAGGGTCTCCCTGACCTTATGTACTTTGTCGTATCTAAAACCGCCGTCAGAGCTCATATTCTCGCCTCGTCGGGGCAGTTGGAACACCAGGGCAGTACAAGGTCAACACATACTCTTGGAACTCATCCCTCTCCTCGACACTGGCGTTCCTTCCAATTGGGCTGACGTTGATCATTCCATTACGGAACTCAACGAAGGTTCCGCGCTTCTTGGGGATATTCAGGTTTGCAATATGGATGAGGCAGAAGTTCACCAACTTCTGGTATTTCTCCTCTCCAATCCATTGGATAAAGCTGTTTCCGGTAAGGGGCTTCCCCAAACGGTACGCCGTCAAACCATTTTCAGCAAAGCAAAAGTCAAAGAGCGAAGTCACGTTCACGGACGCGGAACCAAGTTGTTCTTGCTGCTTGGAAAAGTCGGAGCCACCCACCTAGACAATGGGTAAGATTGAATATCCATCGTAAGGGGGGATGAAAGGACTAACGTATCCAACGGCACACTTCTGGCGTAATGCGGAGAGGAGTTGGAGCATCTCTGGGGAGGCGGACTGTAATTGTGAACAAGAGCCGTCAGTATGGGAGTTGTTTCAAGGTATGGCTATGCAAGAATAAGACGATGATGCAGGGTGACGTACCCTCCTTGCTGGTGTCAAAGTATTATCAACATCGAAGAGACAAATTGTGTCCTTCAAGGGACGGTTCTCCAGAGCGGGATACAATCCTTCGACGGTAGCCATGGCGCTAGATCTTGATGTAAAAGTAACGGAAAACAAAGTAAGCGAGGTAGAGCTTTGGTCTGGGCGAAAGCAAATGCTTGTACAGACGAAGAGAATTCAAAGTCAATTGAAATCGGGGAAAAGGGGGGCAAGCTAGGTACATGTAAAGAAATAAGTGTCCTGACCGCATGCGGTGAGAGAGGGGAACTCGACCAGTGGTGGGGCTACAAACATACTATGAAGAGTACCTAAATTTTAGCTTCAACAAAGAAAGATCTTGTTTACTCTGGAAATATTTTTAATTTCCTTCTTCTTTCAGTATCTATTGTTATTCTCATGTCCTAATCCATCATTAATTTACAACTACCATGGAACCCTCTATCTTATAATAGTTAGTTAGTTATACTACGGATACTCCATAAGCTATTCAGGCTTGTAGTTAGTTTTACCGTTTCCAGCTTAGCCTCCCGATACACTGTCATCACCACCACGAGGGAGGCAAGCTGCTCTGGTTACCTAGGTAGCATATCTTGTTGGTTTTATGATGCCGTATCACACGGGGAGACTAACCGCTAGCTAGTCCAGAGAATGGTAGTTAACTACTTGAAGCTTGATTGTTAAGACAAAACCAACCACCTTCATAGATATTCGGCTTTATAGGAAACAGAAGTTTGGCGCTTTTTAATAGTATGCTGTTACAGGAAACATGGCAAGGTGATTGATCCCCTTCACACATCGTTCTATTGATTGCGCTACGGTTATAGATTGTAAGAATCCTCATCCTCGTCCATCCACCCTACCGCCCCATTGTATGCTGAAACACTTTAGCCGCCAACTCACTGAGTAACCTTGCCCGGTCATTAGCCGGAAGCTCCAAGAAAACATCATAGACACTTTTCCCTCTTGCATCTCGAACAGCGCCCAGTCGATTCCCCGCAACCGCCCCAGCCAACGCACCAGGAGCATTCGCCACGATAAATCCAAGAGCCCCACCACTAATCCCACCAACAATCGACCATAACCGGGACGTCTGTCGTGCGGTGTTCGCCTCATCAGCGAGCCCTTCCTCTCTTAACATCTCCTCGAACACCGACCCGAACTGCTCGGATGCCCGTTCCTCGCGATCAGCGGACCCGAACCCAAAGGACGACCATGAAAATCCGCCATCGGCTCGGGGCCCTTCTTCTTTTTCTTCTCTGCGCCTGGAGTCGTATTCTTGGCGACGGGTTTCGTCTGAGAGGACGTAGTAGGCATCGTTGATTTCCTGGAACTTGCGTGTTCGGGCTGGTCGTTCTGGAGAGCCCTCGGGTACGCGGTCGGGATGCGATTTCAGGGATTCTCTACGTAGGGATGTGATTAATTCATGATAATTAGTTAATTATCGTGCGGTAGGTGCTGCTAACTAACCTCTTGTATGCGATGCGGATTTCTCGCGGCGTCGCGTCGGAGGATACTCCTAGTACTTTATCTGGGATATGGTCAGTATATTCCTTAGCAAAAGTATAATATATATACAATAGTAGAAATATCCTCACAATAATCTGGTAGCTCTGTTCGTGGGTAGGTAGGTGTTAGCTCTATTCCCTGTAAATTGTAATGTCATGTAACTAACTTGGCATCTTGTTGGGAGGTGAAGAGTCTGAACTGGAATAAAAGACCGGAATGTACAAAGTAATAGTCTAGACCTCCAACTGGGGGTTTATATATATACAATAATAATAATAATAATATATAGAGAGAAGTCAAGAGAGAGTTGTCGTTTGTACCTAGGTAAGTGCAGGAGGGGAAGCAAACGAATGGTTGGGCCTGAATTTGGTCGAATTGGTGTCGGGACGGCATGACGTGCTGGGTTTCCAGACTGTTGGATCCTGTTAAAAGCTGCCAGAACCCAAGAATCCAGAAGTCTTTTAATTTGATAATTATAGCTAGCCTCAATTTTACAGCTACTGGATATCTACCCTAGTAGGTATAGAATAGAGAGCCTAAGAGAGGTCCCTGATCCAGGAGTCCTGGAAGACATACAGTTGCCTGAGGCCTTCATGTCTCTCCCTGAGCCTCACCACCAATCACCAAGAAGAATAAACCAAACTAATGCCAGCCACCGACTTTGCTGCAGATTAGCAGCTGCTCGGTTTCACCTGTGATGGGGGGGGGCCCCTCTAGTTTCTTCCTCAGAGGGTCGGTCAGATTATCCCTTCTTCAACCTCCTTCAAAACAGTCATTTATCGAACTGTCCACACCAGTTGAGAATTGACGCTTGATTCCTCGTTCCCCACTGTTTTCGGAGCAGAGTATACAGAGTACAGGACTCGTAAGTATCTCCTATACATCTTTTCAGCCAGACTGGGTCCAGGAGAATAGCGGTGGGGACAGCCAATGCAGCACATAGTCTAAGTGTGCTGTTGTGCAGTCAAAGACTCCGCAACTGCTTTCTGATTGCTTGAGAAGCATTGCTGCGTTAGAGGGGCAAAATATACGAGACGAGACATACCTACCATTTGCACGGTCGAGACCTCAACTAGAAAGAAAGGAAAGAAAGAAATTACGCCAATTCAAGAAGAAAAATTCGATCATTTGTGCGCACCGATCAGCTCAAACATACCTAGGTACGGAGTAGACAAATCCAACCAACCTCCCGGCGAACCATATTACCCATCTAATTTATCGTTCCAGTCTTCCACTACCATCCCTTCACTCAATTCAATTCAATTCAATTCCAGAAAAAAAAAAAGAAGAAGAAGAAAAAAAAAATGGTCTGGTTCAACAGCCGCTCCTCCACATCGGAGTCCTCTCACGTCCGGAAACGTTCTCCCTCTCGACGCTCAACCTCTGGCTATTCAACCCACCATAGTCGGCACTCTGCGCCCTCAATCTTCAGCTTCAGCGGCAGTCGCACTGGCCGATCAAGCCCCTCTGTGTTTTCTTCTGCGTCCTCGTCGCGACGTGCTCGTCCTCGTTCTGGCTTCATCCAGCGCGTCATTCGCTATATCAGGCGTTTGTTCCGTGATATTTCCAGCTACGCTCGGCGCCACCCATTCAAGGTTCTCATGCTGGTGGTTCTCCCTCTCATCACCAGCGGCGTACTCTACAAGCTCTTCGCCATGATTGGAATCCACCTCCCCAAACATATCTTCGGTGGTAGTGCTGCGTCGTCTGCGAGGTCTGCTGGCCAGGAAGGCATGGCTGGGAATATCAAGGGACTGATGAACATCGCGAAGATGTTCATGTAACCCTATAAAAGTCTTCTAGACTAGACTAGACTAGACCAGACTGAAGTGGCAAGCGTACAAGTTAAGTAGTGTAGTAGGTATATTTCTCTCACACAGATGGCGGATGTCGACACTTAATGACGGTCATGATCATGAAAGGACGATGACGATGTTTTTTTTTTTGTTTTTGTTTCTTTTTTTAATATCCTATCTTATCTTCTTTTGGGCCATTCGCTTTTCTTTTTTTTTTTTTTTTTTCTGTTCTGCTTAGAATCGTCAAAAAAGATGGGAGGCCAGTTGCATTTCATATGTTAGGGCTGGGTTTGTACCCTTACATTCCTTACCTATTTATTAGGTATTCTCTGAATCGCTGGAGAAACTTCACTCCTAGCCCCCCCTTTTTTTTTTTCTTTTTTTTTCTTCTGGATTTGATAATGCAGTTGCAATTTATTGACATCGATTTCTAGTAGTTATAGGTTCAATTCACAGGTTCAAGATACTTTTTGATTATATTGCTTGGAAAACAGATCAAGCATTTCTATACATCTCCAACCCATCAAAGTTAGTTAACTAGCCCTTCTATGTATAAGCGATTGTTTTGCAGCTAGACGACCTAACAGCCCCCACCCACCCAACAACAACAACAACAACAACAATAATAATAAAGTATGCTCAGGATCTTTGCGAACGCTTTCCTCGTCTTCTAGATGAACCTCCGGAGGCGACCGCAGAGCTGCTTATTTCTTCCGCCACAACAGCATCCACCTGCTCCTCCTCGGAAGGTTCGTTCTCGGCAACGGCAGAGGACCCCAGGATCTGACCAACCGTCTTGCGATAGATCCAACCGGGGAGCTTGAAAACCATCGTATCACGGAAAGTCGGACGATGGATTTCCTCCACGTCGAGCAAAAACTCCTGTTTCTCACCGTCTTCGGTCTCTCCCTCCAGAAACACGTTGCCGACCGAATCCACAATCAGCACTTTGCCGTTTTCTGCAATGACCCGCTTCCGTTCCCCGGTGGGCGCGACAGATTCACTGGTGGGAGTGGTGGGAGTGGTGGGAGTGGATGTGCCTGTGTTCCGGGGGCTGGTTCGGCCGCTATTACCCTTCTTGCCCTCCTTGCGGGTTTCCCTCTCCATCATTCGCTTCTGGCGACGGTTCATAGGAACAGCCGTGGTTTCGCCGGCCTCCGCACCAGCGGCGGGAGGAGGAGGAGGGGGAGCAGAAACATCGGCAGAACCCATAGTGGGAGAAATCCCGCGAATGCCTAACTCATCGCCCCAAGCCGCACGTCTCGCTTGACGAACATACCGATCCACAAAATCCCGCTGACGCTTCCACCCTAGAATAAGAGCCGCGTAATGCGCGCCACCTCCGAAAACCAAAAACAGTCCTACGAGGACACTTCCCAGCCCCGGGCGAAAGCGCGAGTAGTAATAGCCAGTGCCTTTCCATTTGGGGAACCCGTTTTTCAGGAAATGGTCGTAGCGCTCGCGGGCAGGTCCGCGGAGGATATTGGCAACGGTGTTGAGACGCTGGGAACGCTCGTGGGCTTCCTTGATGGCAGTGTCAATTTCGCGCTTGGAGGGCCCGCGGTTGACGTGGACTCCTGGCTGATTGGATTTGGATTTGCTTTTGTCCTTGGAGGCGTTGGCAATGAAGGCACGCTTGACTTTGTCTGGGTGCAGGAGGCGGGATCTCTTGCGGTATGCCTTATTTAGATCGTCTTGGCTGGCGCTGGGCTTGACTTCGAGGAAGTCTAGGGAGTTGAGAAGGTTAGATATCTGAGTGGAAAAAGATTAAGGGGGGAGCATACCGTAAAAGGTCACGTTTGCGCCTTCATGGGCGATGATCTCATCATTGAGACGGAAGATTTCATAATCTAGGGCAATTGAGTCAGTTTTTGTAATCTATATCTGCTAGGTAGGGGGACTGACCCTCTTTCGTCCAGGCCGCAACAAGAACGAGAAGTACCGCAAACAAAAAGAGGCGGAACACAGTTGGCTTCATCGTGAGGAATAGCTGGCGAGGGCTCTAGAGGAGCGAGCAGCCCAAGCCCCTAAACGCAGGATAAACTCGAGAAGAGAGGGGGGAAGTGAATTGTTGGTAACGAAAGGCGATGTAGTCAGAATAGGCGAGAGAATCGTTTCAGGACCGTGATTCCATGATTGTCACCACAGCTGTTGGAGTGTAGGTAATTCTGCTCTCCGCGATATAATATTTCCTGCCAGTTAAGCAGATTTCCGGGGCAATATTATGATCTGTCATCTTCTGGGAAGGCGGTGAGGGTTTGAAAGTGCGACAATACCAAACCGAGCTCTCCCTATTGACTTCCTCTTGACCAAGGGAAGCAATTAGTCGAAATTGATTCACTAAGACTTTCTTACTACAATGAACTGCAGCTTTTCGGGTGATATTTGGTTAGCTAACGAAGTATCCCGCAGAATACAGATAAAACCCTTCCTGATACCTTATCCAATCCAATACTCTGACTGGGACTAGCAGCCATCAAGAAGGCAACGAAAGTGTTTTCCAACCCCATTCGCAGAGCAAAGGCCAATCCAAACTAAAAAGCTCGGGACTCTCGAATTGAGTTGAGGATACCAGTCCGAGACGTCTCAATGAATCGAAACCTTGATGCTGGCGGCGGGGTTTCCAAATGGCATAGTTGTTGTTTCCTTAAAGATGAGGCGGCCATTGCCTCAGGCTCTTGCCAATAACAGAGGAGCAGGCAACATCCGCAACTAATGCATATCAAGCTGGATCGAGGGATCACCCCAATCTTGTATGGAAGACTTACCCCTCAACCTTGCTGACATCTTGCATTGCATCGTGGTGACAGCATCCATAAGAGATGCAAATACTCCGTACTGACAGGGTTCATAGTGATGCACATCCGGACTTGACTCTATTCAGAAGAGTATGCCTCTTGACGAAGGGAACCCGGATTGCTGAGTGGATGGCGGATACAGCGTCAACCTGTTTGTACGTATTGATTGACACATCAATACGATATTGGATGTACTGTAATGATACCTAATCCCATGCAATCCACTCCACTCCTCAGAACTTGACGTGGACCAATAGAGGAGAATGAGGGTATTCTGAGGTAGAGTGAGACGAGTATAGAATTAATAATGATTGACTTTCGGGGTTATAATAAAACGGATTCAATAATGATGAGGGGGGAGTGTTAACAGGATTTAAATTGGAGTGGTTCCTCGAGCTGTTACTGGACTTTATTTACACTATACACCTGGTTCGCATCCCCAGTCTAGATCAAGATGGGGACGACAAGAGGAGAAAGGATCTCTTCATTCTTCTCATTGTTGGCGATTCCCTAATCCATCTGGCTGGCCTCCGACTCTACTTCCGCACTCAGCGATTCCATCCACTGTTACATCAGACACACACTCAGCGCCTATCCAAAAATTGCAACCAGGCACTCGACATCTTTCTTGATCTTCATTTCTCTCTTTTAATCCCATCGATCCTCCAGATTCTCCTTAGACAACCCTCCTCATTCCGTGAGGTTGTGGTGGTGGCTGGCTGCCTAGTCAATTCAGCAACAACCAATAATACCGATACAGCCACGAGACCGCCCAAAAATAGGCTCGCTAACAAACCCGTTCCTGCCAGGTCAACGATTTCAATCCTCATCTTCGAGGCTAGGCACCCCCTTTTTCCTCTTCGCCTTAAGAACCACCAACCTCTCTAGAATTCTCTTCTCACTCATTCTTTACTAATCCATCGATTCTTGGATCACGGTGTCCTTCATTCCTTGGAATATCTGCCTCGCTCCTTTTACTCTCCTATCGCCATGGCCTCCATCAAGATCCCCATTGATGCCATCACCTCGCGATTCGGTGACCGCTTCAACAGCATTCGCTCCCAACCCCTGGGAACCCGCTTTGCCAACCTTCGCCCGGTTTCCGAATTCTTGGACTTGAAGCGCATCTCTAAGCCTGCCAATTTCGGTGAGGTCCAGAGCCGAGTCAACTACAATCTGTCCTATTTCTCGAGCAACTATGCCGTGATCTTCGTGATGCTCAGCATCTACAGCCTGCTGACCAACTGGCTGCTGCTCTTTGTTATCATCTTTGTCACGGGGGGTCTGTACGGGATTGGAAAACTGGGGGGTCGGGATCTGGACCTGGGTGTCGCTCGCTTCAACACCTCCCAGCTCTACACTGGCTTGATGATTGTCACCATTCCTCTGGGCTTCCTAGCCTCCCCCTTTACTACGGTGCTCTGGCTGATCGGAGCCACTGGTGTGACCGTCTTTGGCCATGCCGCTTTTCTGGATAAACCAATCGAGAATGCTTTTTCCGAGGAGGCGGTCTAGGTGGTCGGCCGCGAGCTCCGAACGGTATGCCCCGATGGGGAAGACCACCAGGGGCACAATTGGGGAGACAAGCCAGGAGACGAGGGGGCCCGTGGGTAGATAGTGACCCGCGGGTTGAGGAGATTGAAAGTGACGCGGGGGATCAATTTGGTTCGAGGGATGATCGCACCTTATATGCAAGGCAATTAGCTAGCCTACACATGGACGGAGGGAATGGGTGGCGGCGATTTGTGGCGGAACAAGATGGACATGCTAATGCGCTGGCGCCGGTGAATGGCGTGGATGGCATGGATTACGACATGTACGAAGACACGGACAATACAGTGGCCTACGCGATTCAGTTGGCCATGAAGGACAAGGAAGAGTGGCTGGTCGATAAGGCCTTGGAACGAATTCGACGCGCGCAGTTTGATGGGCAGAAGAACGTACGGTTATCAAAACGGGAGCTAGAGGCGCTGGAGCGCAAGCGATTACAGTCGAATGGCATGAGGGAAACGGAACGCAAGAACGTATCCCCTCGACATTCAAAGACGATGGGAAATGCCAATGGAATGACAGGGACAACGAGTGTTCGACGGACAGTGGCTAGCATGTCACCTAATGCGCCCGCTCCGCCATATCCCCTGTCGGACACTGGCAGCGCTTACGGTACCTGGGCGAGAGCAACAGGCTCGTCCATTGGAAATCAAAACTCCAAAAGCTCGCAGTCACCAACAACCACAATGCTTCGCGCTCCTTTACAACCTCCTTTTACGCCAGAGCGTCACCACGCAGGGGCATTAAACCGACCACCTCCCTTTTTTGTTCCGCCTGGATATTCGCGTCCGTACCCAGAGGATTATCAGCAGATGCCTTCGTACCAAGCGCCATTGTCGCACGAGCAGGTCTCTCATCCCACGAATAGTCCCATAGATCCAACACGCGGATCTCCCGTTCGGCCAGGACAATCGCCGTACGTCTCAAACTTTCCGTCAGTCTTCGATGAGCGCCAGCCGCCTAGCCTGCAGGCATCCCGGGCTCCTTCTATACGGGACCGTGGGTCTGCAACGCCAGAACCTCCTCCCAGTAGGGGGGAGGGGAGCAAAAAGGGCAGTCCTACCAATAGTGGCGATGTGGTCCATGTTGTAGAAGTAGCTGAGCATAAAGTGCCGAGCACGCCAACCCGGGCGGCAACCAGTCGAGGAAGCCGCCAACGCAGCAGTCGATGATGAGTCCCCCCAGCTTGTGCTCCTTCTGGATATCTTGATATATTTATTTGTCTTGCCTCTTTTAGGATGGGAATTGTTTTATGGTTTGACTTGAACCTCTTTTGTGTCTCTTGTGACTTTTGGCATCGGAACAAAAGCGTAGTGGAGTTTACTGGTAGACTGGTTCTTTAATTATTTAATTCACGATGAACATGAATAAATCATGTCTTATTATTCTTCTTATATAATTTGTCCCTTTTCTTTCGATTATCTGAGGAAGATGGAAATGCTTTTGTGAATAGCATCGTGGGTTGTCTGTCCTAGCCTTCATCATAGGAGGGTTAATCCGTTCCGGGGTTGTATCCCGACATGTTCTACAAATTGAGCTACTAGGATTATCTAATATCCGACAGTTACTACGCTGTGTGCTTTTTCTTCCTTGGGTATATTTTATGTCTTGTCTCTTTCTGTACGTCCGGAAGACCCGTAGCGGCAAAGGCACCGCAGACTGGAATATACAAGAAATACAAACACAAGATGTGGATCATCTCCTTCTGGGTTTTCCCCCTGATATCAGCAGGCATGTGGATAGGTACGGATATATCCATCTACTACCCTGGAATCAAGTGACAAGCCCAACTAATCGTACCGGACCAGCCATGCTACTCGCAATGCTAGGAAGCTGGTGTGTCCAGGGGAGCCCAATCTACGCGAGCATGAAAAAGGGACAGACAATCGCGTAAGTCGTGCCGCCAACTATTTCCCCGCGAAAGGCAAAAAAGCAAAAGCAAAAGCAAAAGCAAAAGCAAAAGCAAAAGCAAAAGCAAAAGCAAAGCTAATTGGTAGCCCAGGTACATTTCCGATGTTGGAGCGGAGGGCCTGAAACCGCTCTTCATCACCGGCAGCGTGATTACCGTGGTTTTCCTCGATCTCTCATTTATCGCCGAACGCTGGCTTCGACATTCGGGTCAGCTGGTCCCGAATAAAGGCAGATTTGACAAAGCGTGCGCGATTGCGTCGATTTTTTTCTCTGTCGCGGGGGCTCTGGGATTGATTTTATTGTCGATTTTTGATACCCTGCGACACCCACATTTGCACGGAGGGTTTCTGGTAATGTTCATGTAAGAGTCGAGAGTTCCTTTTTTTTTTTTTTTTCGACGAATTCCGTGATGTGATCTGACGAGGGCAGTGTCGGATACTTGATCAGCGCTATTCTAATCTGCATCGAATACCTCCGCATCGGTATTTTCTACCGTGCGAACCACCGCATTCTCCTAGCCAGCTTTGCGATCAAAGCTTGCTTCATAGTGGTTGAGATCGCGCTGGCTATTGGCTTTGGTGTCTGCGGATGGCGCCAACCATACCGTAAGAACGTCGCGGCCGTTCTGGAATGGGGTATGTTTTCAGATCTTGGTTTTGTGGAGGGGGCGGAGTGTACGCTAACGAATATAGTGATTGCGCTGGTTTTTACCTTCTACGTGCTCTCCTTCGTGATCGACTTGTTGCCCTCTGTGCGCACGCGGCACCATGTCCCCCAAGGCGAGAAATACTTGGAAGCTTTCCATTCAGCGGTCGTTTCTCCGCCGCAGCACGATGTAGTCTACGACGAGCCGGTGATGCAGGACTCGGCCGGCCCCGATCCTGGTTTCTACCGCGGACAACGGATGTAAATTAAGCGGATTTGGTGGTTTGCTGACTGTTGAGAATTTCGTTCTGGATATGTTGTGATTATAATATGGTTCGCATGGTTAGATACCTGGCTGGCGTTCGGCTATGATACCGATTTAGCATATATATATGTAGTTAACATGAGAAAGCTATTAGATTAATTAAACATTACTATACTATACTATACTATATAATATTCTCTCTCTCTCTCTCTCTCTCTCTCTCTCGTATCTCCAACACAGTAACACGAGAGATGAAATGACCCGAGGTAGTAAAGTAAAGTATCAGAGATATACATACAAACTAAACAACAACGAAATGCCCCCTCAACCTCTCAACATCAACCCCAAGAACCCCCCCCAAATACCCCTGCACGCCTCCATACCGCTCATCCAAATACGCCCCGACCTCCCGCGTAAACACCCCCGGACACCTCGCGAACTCATCATCCAGCCCCAACGCCCGGATCTCCTTCATGCGCTCCTCACCCTCCACAGCCAACTCCGACTCCGAAAGCACATACTCCGCCGCCATGGCCTCGTCGTCCACGACGCCCGTAAGCAGCAGCAGCAGCAGAACGACTAGTCCCGTGCGGTCTTTGCCTTGGGTGCAGTGGACGAGAACAGGGGCAGGGATGGTTCTCGTCTCGTTCTCGTTCTCGTTTCCCCGAGTAGACAGAGATGCAGCAGTCCCGCCCCCCAGGATCTCAAACACCTCTCTCATCTCCGCCGTGCTATTGTCCAACGTGTCCTTGGCTAGCCCGACTAGCCCGCGCGGATTCATCACTTCTCTCCCGATTAGAGTGATTGCATCTATACGGTTGCCGGAGGCTAGATATGAGAGGACTTTTCTATTCGTTGTTATTTGTTGGTATTGGATTTGTGTATTGCATTGTATTGTATTGTATTTACGTTATACTTTTCATGAATAGAGGATGGAAGGGATGAGAAAGAGAGAGAGAGAGAGAGAGAGCGTACATGAAATTCCACCAATCCAGTCGCCATACGAGGGCTCGTTCGAGTGCTCGACCCGTAAGACTGATCAGGTGGCGCGAGACGCCTGGGAGAGACGGGAGGTGGATGTATTTTGGTTCTTCAGTGCCTGTCTCCGATTCTGTTTCTGCGGGTGCTTTTGGTGGTGGTATGGGTGTACAGGCGCTGCGTTTAGCAGTTGCCATGTCGTGTTCTGTTCTGTTGATGGACTTAGTCCAACGCTTTTTTTTTTTTCATCTTCCTAGATAAAATAATAAGAAACATACCCGGATCGAAGATCAATGATTGTTGAGATGTGGTATTCGCTCACGAGACGGCGTTTGTCTCGTTCTGAAGCTTCATCGAGCTATATGTATGGAATGTAATATTCATGACCGTTTATCATTAGCAAGCGCACTATCCATGTAATATATATATATATATATATATAATATATTTGTAGATGGATTTGATATCATTCAGATATATATATTTAATAATAATATATGTTGAATGAAACAGAAAGATATAAGAGAGAGAGGGAGTGTTAGTACCCTTGCACTCCTGTAAAACACACCCTCTTTCAAAACCCTAGACACAATTAGCATAGAACATATGCATCCAAATATATAAATAACATACGGTCTTCCCATTAACCTGTTAATTGTCCGTCCAACATCACGGAAGTTGATGATATTGTCGAATGGGCGGTCAGGGGAATCCAGATCGATGCTGGATTCGCGAGGGGGTATAAAGCGAGACATCCAGTATGAATATCGCCCGCGATTGGAAAACACGGTAATAATAGTAGTAGTAGTAATAATAAAGAATATATTGCAAACTGGATAGATGAATTTAGGATAAATGTGAACCGTGGATGAATGCGCCGTTAAGCAGCGTGGCGGAATGGAATGGCGGTGGAGAATCAATATGTAAGCCGCTTGCCTGCCCTAGTTAGTATACATACATAGTTAGTGTAACTGTAAGACTAAGAGGCTAGGGTAACTACTCCGTACCTAGATACGCCATGTGCTCACCGGGATAACTTACTCTTATGTTATGAAGATAGTAAGCTATGCATACATGCTCCGATCTTCCCACCTGGGCTGGAGATAGCTCCAATCTCGACCAAACTCAAACCCGCTCCGATACTTTGCATACGCTGTCAACTCCACCTGATCCAAGCGCGCCCCCTGATCCGTCAAGGCCCACAAACTGATCGCCAGCGTATTCTCGCCCTGCTGGTTGATCACCCCCGGAGGAAACGGGAACAGACTCTGCGGCCCAATATGCGGGAGATAATGTCCGTATTGGTACCCGTTCATGAAGATCTGGACCACAGCGTGCGTGCCCTCTGGTGCACCTAGCTGCAGTCCAATAGGGACGTCCAGGTCTGAATCTAGATCGAGCGTGAAAGTCGTCGTGTAGAAGCGTCCCTCGGCGCCGAGGACTCCGTCGAGTGGACTGCTGGTCGATGCGGTCGTGGGAGCTCGGTAGCCCGGGAGGTGCCAGCCCATGCGCTCGCCGTAGAGACCACCTTCGTTCATAGGGCCGCGGACAGGGTCGATGTTCTTCTCTCCGCCCGCGTTGCCTTGGATGCGCCATGAAGTAAAGTCGCCCCCTCCTACGAGTGTGGCCCCGAGGACTCCGCGCGCGTTCTGTGCCCCGTGGGGCTTTACGTTGTCTTCGTCGTGGCCTGTGTAATCTGTCACAATCATGAGGACATTATCACGGCTCCGCAAAGAGCTGGGATTGAGTGAGAGCACTGCCTGCGTGGACGCTAGGCCAGGGTCTCCTAGTGCGCCTCCAATATACTCCCCATTCAGCCATGCGGCCCATCCTGCCGCAATCCCGTTTTGCACCGTCACGTTAACGCCCGTTGCATTTTTACCGTCGAATCGTCCCCGGTACAGCTTGGTTCCTGCGTGGTAGCCGTAGTCGCCGGAGTAGAGCACAGGAAGAGAGAGCGGGGGTTGACCGTTAACCGTTGTGCTCTTGTTGCATTGGGTCCAGTTGGTGTCGTCATAGTCGGGATCGATTTCTGGAAGCGTGTCTTGTGCTTTCCAGGGCCCGAGAGAGGGAAGAGACACTTTGGCGTTTTCAACGCCAGGGGCAGTACCAATCAAACTGCCATACGCCGTTTTCTTGGTCTTGACAAGCTTGTTGTTCCATTTGACTTTCTGCACGTGGGACTTGCCCGTGTACACTCTGTTGCAACAGTTAGTTATTAGGGTTGTAAAAAAAGGGAAGAGGCGCACTCAAGAGACGTGGTGTTGGCATTATCACCTATGACTTCGATAGTATCTCCGTGGATTGAGGCACTGCGGACCAGGTACGGGCCCTGAACTAGGACCTGTTCGCCTGGCGCAACGTCCGGGTTCGATGTCAATGGAGGCGCAAAGAAATTCCAAGCAGATGCTTTGTCGAGGAGATATGCCAGCACACCGTTTGAAAACTTCACCACTGTGACGCCTTCCGTTTGGACGTATGAGTATTGGGTCCCGTAGCTTGTCTTTGAAGCAATCAGTCTAGAGCTTCCGTATTCCTTGAAACTGACGTGTGCCGGTGCGTCCCTAAATGCGAAAACACCCTTTTGGCCTACGTTCAAGTAGAAGACGAGAACGTCCACGTCGAGGGTTGCATACGTTAACACTTCAGCGGAGGAGTAGAGCAACGAGGTCTGCTTCCCGGCAGTGTAATCGGTGACAATGATCTTGCTCTGACGACCGGCTAGCTGGATATCAGGGATTGAGAGCTCGCCTGCACACGTTAGCAAGTCTACAGTATATCGGCGAACGAAACGTACCAGCAGTAGTGTTCACCGTCAAGGTAAAATTCGTCACAGCTCGTGAGGGACTGCTCTCATGCGCAACAACAAAGAACCCAGCATTGGTGTCCGGGTTTCGAAGTGCCCAGGTGAAAATGCTATCATCGCTAGTATATCCAGTACCGTTACCCTCCATGTAGGTCTTCAGAAGATCTTTCGATACCCGGGTAAACAGTCCAAGAAGCTTCGTTTGCTTCAGTTTATCGCGGACCTCGCGTGTCTCCCGGAGAGGAGCGCTGTAGTCATAAGACGTGTAGACCACCGGAGCTGCACTGTGGCCCCAGTTCGTACCGCCAAACACCATGTAGATGCTTTGTAGTGTCACTCGAGACCCTACATTATTCTTATAGTAGACATCTGGAAACTCTGGCGATAGCTCCGCCTGGCAGGTATCGTAAACATAGCCCCCCCAGGGTTGAAACCATCCTCCCTCAAACTCAGGAAGAAACTCAGGCTGTGTGAAGGAGTAGTTCTGGAACCACTGGTAGTAATTACGCACAAGGTTAAACCCTGTATTCGGGTTCGTGCAAGACAGTCCCCCAGGGTAAGAATCCAACCCGTAGACATTAACGGCGCCCCCAACATCATGGTAATCCGTCGACCAACTAACAGAACGCATCCCCTTTTCATTATGCGTACTTGGAACCAGAATACCAGCTTCTTCAAAGGCTTCTGCAATCTGTTCCATGTATACCACCTGCGTTGCACCGGAATTATAAGAAGTCTCCTGGTACTCGTTCTCATGCTGGTTGAGAATTACGGGGCCGCCATTCGTGATTTGGTTCGCAGCAATGATCTTCCCAACTTCCAAGACCCAGGGTTTCCAAAGACGATAGTATGCCTCGTCACTGGTTCTCTCGCTGCCCATCTGCCCGTTCGCGGCCCAAAGTGCATACCCTCCAGCAGAGGTTTCCGCATTACAGTATGGCCCAGCACGAGCGATCACATAAAGCCCAGCGTCTTTGGCATAATCAAACAGACGCTGGATATCATGCGCCCCGGATGTAAAATCGTACTCGCCTTCGGAAGCACTGTGCCAGCTCCAGAAGAAATAGACTGGCACAGCAATTAGCAAAACTTGCGCAGCACCCTCTCTTTGATTATCGAGTTGTGGAGGAGAGCATACCCGAAACAGCATTAAACCCATTCGCTCGCAGCTTCTGGAAAACATCCAGCCACATCTCGGGAACAGGAAGCCTCTGATACTGAAACTCCCCAGAGTAAATAAACAGTCTTTCTCCCTTAACGGAGAGGCTGTACTTATCCCACGTCACATCAGTTGTCTTTCCATTATCAATCCCGGATACAAACGGTATCGTCCACCCCAACCAAAGCAAGCAAAGGAGATCCGAAGCCTTCATTTTTCGGTGCGGCTCCTCCCAAGCAGCGGCAGCAAGGCTATCAGTTCAAGGATCACATCCATCCAAAGGTTCTTTCCAGTTTCCCCTCCTCTCTGCAGAGAAAATCAAGTCAATAAGAACCATCATGTGTCATCCTCGGTTCTCGCGACAGTAATAGTCCGCTGCAAAGGGATTGGTGGATGTTTTCTTTCCACATTCTCAGGGCTTTGTCTTGACCTCCTCCACATTCCTTTGGGATTTTCTCCGATCTCTTCGAGTGCGATTGGATAAGGACTTCCCCGACCCGGAGATCAGGGAGTGTTGGTAGAGTCCAGGGGAGAAATGATGAAGTCAATATCGGTTAAATGAGGGTAGCGGGACACAAGGATGTATGTATTTGAGAGAATAAGCCTTGAATCTCTCGAATTAACCCCGCAGTTGTTGTGTTCTGAAGAGTAGAGACTTTTTTGATTTGAAAAGAGAAGTCGAAGAAAAAACGCTTCGGTGGGGGCACATGATAGAGCAGACATCGTCGGTTAAATAAGAAATATGGACGGTGACGGTAGGTCTATCATAGAAGTCCAGAAGAAAAGATGCAGGTCAGATTCATTCAAGCATTTACTTCAAATCGACATACACCATGTACTAGGCAAGACTACGGCAGTAAACAACCGACACAGATACCTACAATATTAGAAATTAAAACAACCCAGCATCAGTTTCCCATATATACCAGAGCCTTCAAACGCCTCCCAAAACCCTCCAAAACCTCCATTATAAACGAGTGAACACTACCCCAATCCATCCAAGCGCCGTTAAGCCACATACCCAACCCAGATCAATAAATTCATAAGCATTTGTGGTTGAATAGATTCCAGAAATACAAACCTCAAAGGTCCTCGGAAAAGCGCGACTCGCGGCCAGTACCATTGCTCAGGCGTTTTGAGATCGTATCCTCAATCACAGGAGGCGCCTCTAGTCCTTGATCGATAGCACTCTCACGAAGTGCTTCTCTGTCCGGGGAAGAACTAGGCATTTCGTGGGTATAGGTGGCCTCCCCAGGTGCTTCGGTGGCTTCTTGCGCATCGTCACCGTCGGCCATGACCCCGCTGGACTTAGCCTCTGGTAGGCTCCGCGAAACGATCTTTTTCAGGTGCGTTTTTAAGCGGTTCTGTTTCATCTCACTGCTATGTTCGACTATGTCCTTAGAATCTTGGTGGGTCGCCAAATACTCACTGGGGGTCATTCCGTCCAGCTTGTTTTCACTATCCTCAGCAGAGGAACCATTCTGCGCCGTGGAGGGTTCGGTTGATTTGACAGGATGAGACCGAAGTGCTGTTGCCCGCTGATTGCCCTCAGCGGCACCGGCTACCCCACCAACAGTTGTTGCAATTTGCTCGCGCACACCTTCGGGTTCGTTCGCTTCGTGGACTCCTTCTTCTACAGCAGCTTGCTCATCCTCCCCAGCTTCTTCAGCAGCCCCTTCAGCAGTAGCTGCTGCTGCTGCTGCTGCTGAAGTGTCGGCTGCAATGGCCTCTTGTGCACCTTCCTCTTCTGCGTGTGTTCCGTTGACCTCCTTCGAAACCTCGGCTTCATTGGTACTACCACGACGTAATTTACTAAACCAGGACCTAAATTTCGATTCTTGTCTCGTGGCAGGCTCCAATTGAGGTTCCTCAGGAACAGCGCCAGAGGCCACAACATGGTCACCTTCGGCGGTTTCGTACTGACCGGCGTCCTGTGCTGCAGACTCTGAAGGCCTTGTCACTCCGTTAACTTCGTGTCCCTTGACATCTTTGGGAAATGCGGGCTCATAAGCCGGTGCCTTCTTTGACTTTCTTCGCCAAAGCCAAACTTTCTCCTCTTTTGACTTCATGTCCTGCTTCAAGAACACTGTTCCAGGTTAGATTCTTAGTCTTCGTGATATAAAGGGAAGTACTGACTTTTGTGTCGCTTCTCCTCCATCCTGATATCGGCTTCCCGTTCGAGTTCAGTCTGCTCAAGTCGCTGCCTCCGTTCCTCATCAAGGCGGTCTTCCAAATCTTTAGCTCTCTGCGCATCTGCGAGATCGGCGATTTCATTGAAAGTAGGCTGGAGTCGAGCGCGTGCAAGTGCCTCGACATCATCCATGTCCACGTATTTCTGGGAACCAATATTAATTTTGTCTGTCATAGGATACTGTGCATCAATCTCCTTCTTGCCCTGTAACGCACGCAACATTGCTGTCTCCTCCAGATCCTTTTGCATTGAGAGAGGAGCGCGGCCGGTTTCAGCATAAACGCGCATTTCCATATCCCTAAGAGCAGCGTCGACATTCTTTCTCGCAACCTGTAACAAATTATCACGGTCTTTCTCCCTCTGTTCATCTACCGCGTTGAGCTTGGATCGCAGAGTCGACATCTGAGTTCGAATCTCCTTTGACCGTTCCATGTCAAACGTGGATGTTTCGGTTTCGTTGGACCCCCGCCGTTTGCGAGTGGACAAAGTGGACCGCGTCGGTTGAGGCTCAATACCGTAGTATTCCCGGTAAATAGCTGTTTCGTCCTCCAGGCTTGCGATTTTCTCTGCGGCGCGCTTCTGTGCAATGTCCTGGATGCTCACAACCTGCTGTACTAATGCAGCATCCGGTTTCGGTACGGATCGTTGAGAGCGAGCACGCGCATGACCTCTTTGGGCAGCAGCAATACCAGCTGATCCCCCTTCTTTAGCTTCCATGGTTCCATACATATCCCGCGCCATTGACATGGCGGCGGCTTCCAGGATGCTTTTCCGTCGATGCTCTTTCACCTCAAGCGGAACAGGCGGTGTTGCAGTATAGAGTTTAGCGTTGGCCTGGGCCATGTTTTGTATCCTGCTCGCGTTCATATACTTATCCAAATCTGCAAAGGGATCTCCTGCACCCGCAGCAACACCCAGACCAGTACGTGCTACTTGGGATGGCGCTGAATCCGCTCTCATTCTACTACCATAATAGGCTCCTGAGGCAGCGGATACGGCCCTAGCCCTCTGGGAAACCTCGGAACGCGCTTCCAGCGTCTGACCTGTACCAATATCCTGCTTTGGAGAGGTAGAAACGGGGGGAGGAACGGTGGCGGTTCTGTAGTCCCTGAGGGCACAGATAGCAGCCTGGTATCCTTCATAGCTTGGTACCTCAGCAGCCTGCACTTCGGATGCAGTCTGTTTGGATCCAAGCTCCCGCTTCCTTGCATGCGCGAGCGCAGCAAGTGCCGATGCATGGCTAAATCCAGGTCGAGATCCTGTCTCTTTCAGGGCTATCGGCCAAGGTATTAGTATCTCACCCAATCTGCACTTCTCTACTAATCTCCAACTAAACTGTGCAGAACATTCAAATGGGAAGTATACTCACTTTCCAAACTAGGTTCCGCAGTTGCAGGTTCGCGTAGGGATAGACTCCGCTCCGGATGGGTCACGTAGAGCGCGGCTGTCGCAGCTGTCGTAAAAACTCCCATTAGCCCCTTGAATATAATATTTTGATGGAATAAAGCACCAGCTTTGCAATAGGGATTCCTCACCTTGATCTGCTAGCCGGGCGGACCGGGAGCGCGGGATGCGCTGCTCAACTGCAGGCTGTTGCTCGACTGTTGCCATGATAAGATAATGTCTACCGCGTGATGAAGATAAAGAGACGTCGCAGCGTAGACCGGCATTCCCAAGAGAAAGAGAGAAAGAAGAAGAGAGAGAGAGAGAGAGAGAATAAGAATAGCAATGATGGGATCAGAGAAGTAAAGAGGGGGCCAGCACTGAGAAACTCTGGATGGATGGGTTGTCCGGAAGTCAAATCGAGGGTAGAGTGTCGTCAGTGACGTAGTGAGTTGTAGTGAGTTGTAGTGAGTTGCAAAGAGGCGATCCGCGGATACTACAGTCAGCGGCTGTGGAAGGATACCTTTTAGAACCCAAGTCACCGACGTCATGGAAGATCTCAAGGTGGAAGAAATTGTCAAGAGGTTGCACCAGAGTGCTTTTTCTCAGCTAATAAGGGGGTAGATGGTGATTCTTGCATTCAGGGCCAAATTGGCGGCATTCCAGCTGCTGCTGACCGTTTCCGTCACTGATTAGAGATTGGTTTTGTTCATGGGTTTTAATCTCCATTTCTTAATCCTGATATATTAAACTAAATGGAATATAGTTAGTTAGTAATATAATATGATATGTCAGATTGTGCTGTGTGAAACAGGTACGATCGGAATATATGCAACTGATTCGAGTCGAGATCTGTGGGTTCTAGACCACTCCTTCAGCCTATACATAGGTAGTACATTCCTAGTACCACCACCACCACCACCTGCAGAATCATGCGCCAAACTTTGGATATAGTCGGAGTCTAAAAGTAAAAAAATAAAAATACAACGTTTATTAAAAGTTCCTGGATTTGTATATATATCATATCATGTCTGCCGCCAAGGTACTGGATCCAATTTTACCACAGTCCTAGAATCTTCAGAATATCATACCGGGAGAAGAAAGACCGGTTCCATTTGCCAAAAACATCTATTCAGCCTCTATCAGTATGAGATTATCATTTCTGCCTCAGCTCAAAGAGTCACTTACACATCGGGAGGCTTAACGCACAGACTCCCACCTGGATGCTGGAGATAGCCATGAACGGCCCTTTGATGCCATGTTTCACCAGCCAGTCATAGGTGTAAAAGCATAAGATGAAGCTGAACATGTTCTTAAATATGAGCATGCATGTGAAAGCCTCAATAACCATATTTCCTGCCACAAATTAGTAACAATACCTTGAAGGTAAGAAAGAGACCCGGGGGGAGGGGGGGGGGTTGCTTACGATGCGCATCAACGATGTATAACGCACTAGCTACTGCACCCATGACCATCCCTATGATAATGAAAACAAAAAATACCTCGGGAAGAAGCCAGCGGTAGCGTTGAACATCGTTACCCGTTATACCAAAGCCGTACATGCCGATTCCGCAGAAGACAAGCTGGAAGACAACCAGGAGAATTCGGAACTCGGGCTCGTATCTCCCCTTGTTGAGTTTGATCATGAAGCGATTGATAGAATCGGAAAGCAGACCTGAGAGAACCAGCCCAATCATGGCTCCGATAAATGCACCCGTATACAGGTACCCGGTCTGTTCCTCGTCGAACCACAGTGGATAGCTCATGAAAATCGCGGCTAGGGTAACGCCGATGAAGACGGTCCATCCGATAATAACTCCTTGGATTAAGCATGCCTATAACAGTCAGGTCTAAAACCCTTTCGGTATGCTATGGATATAGCCTTACCCAGAGAACTGCGGGATGAAGGAAGAGTGGGAACGGCCGCAGGACAAGTTTCCACCATGGCTCGTCTGTTTTTCGCCCATTGAAAGGCTGCAGCGTTTGAATGAACGAAAATTTGGCCGAAGCCCTCGTTTGTCTCAACATGTCTTCTCGGGGGGATTCTGTCGGGGACTCCCCTTCCGTGGTAGCAGCCGTCTTCGGTTCTTCCATGCTATCCTTTCCTTCAGGTCGCACGGGCCTATCTAACTGTGATCGAGATCCTAGTGTGCTCCTTTCTTGGTCATCAGGGAACTCGAAATCAGTGTCGAGGCTATCAGGGCGCTTGAAGGCTGTTTCTGGAACCAGGAAAATAGTAAGAGGCAAAGCAGCCGCCGCAAAAATTGCAACAAAATAAAAAGTCCACTGCCATCCAATCGTCTTGGTCATTTTACCTGCTGCAACTGGCGTGAGGAAGGCAGCACCGAATAAGGCGACATTAGAGAGGGCCATTCTTTTCCCTCGTTCCTAATATCTATTAGTTTTTGACCCTCAAATATGAAACGTAGTACCTACATGCACAAAGTACAGGTCACCAACAACCGCATTGACCAAAGCTTCAAACGGTGCCAAAGCAACACCTTGGAATATGCGAGCCCACAAGAGGCTATTGTAGTTGTGGCCACTGCCCCCAGCCCAAGCACAGCTAATAATCATCAAGATATGTCCGAGAAGAAAGAGGTGGCGTTTTCCCCAGACTCGTGCCGTCGGGACAATAAGAATACCTGCAACTCCCACTCCGCACAAATGATATCCAGTAAGCAGCGCTATATCTTTAAAGCTCTTCTCGTAGTATCTGGAGTAGGCCACTGTACTAGCTGCCATGAGCGAGGTTGTTGTAGCGCAAAGAACCGCAACGAAAGAGAGTGCGAAGAGGGTTAGATCGCGTTTCCATAACGGCCAGTTCTATAGTGAATAGCCTGGTTAGCAAGGCTAATGCACAGAAGCCTGGGTAGCTGTACAGAGTTCTCAGCTTACCAACGGATCATTTGGGTCATCAGTCGGCTGTGGGACGAGAAGTAAAGGTATCGATCCTGTGCGGTCATACTTCAGGTGTGAGTGGAGAACTGGTTGATCCCCTGAGCGTTCTTTCTCGAGGATATCGATGGTTCCTAGTTAAGATTATCCCAGATTAGTACCAGAGTGAGGAACATTTAGCCTTGACGTCGTTGTCCAAAAGGAGCTCACCGGGAACTGGATGCTGTTTGGCATCCAATATGCCAAGCCCCATTTTGATAGCTTTTGACAGCTTCTGGTGTAGGCTCAAAAGCTCAATTGCAGAGAAACAGAAAGACCAATAGACTTAACAGCATATTGCAGGGGATAACCTGCTGCTGTCTTCCACAATGACGATCAAGGGAAACACAGAGACGCTGCAAAATGCAAGCGCTACAAAAGTCACGTTTGGGAGAAACGAATCAAGATGGATTCCAATCTCTCTCGCAGTCAAAATATCTCCCTCCTGCGGACTGGTTGCACCATCCAAAGAATAGGATTTTGGAGCGGAGTAAGGGAGGTAAGGCGGTTATCACAGGCAGCACACCCACTAACTAGTTGTCAGGACTGAACTTCCTGTTTGTGCAGGGATATCAAACAAGATAAGAATCGTTTCCCAGCCCAAATGTTTGGAGTCAAGGGAAGAAGATTGCTAATTACTTGCTGGCTCTGGAATCCACAGCCATTTGTTCGTCTATTTCGTCAAATCACATCTGGCCCCTTGATACGACAACAAAATTTGCGCAACCACGCCAAAACAAGCACTTGGTTCTTCATTGTAATCAAAAACTAGCCCCCACTGTTCTCTAAGATACGCACCACTCATGCCGTAGCCTCTGTGCAATACGAGGCGCTCAGTACTGCTCCGCCTAGTACAGGACCCGCTGTCCAACCGCAGTCGGGCCACATTCGGGAACAACCTCCAATCCCCAAGTCAGCCACGGTACCAGAGGCTCCCAATAGTCCGGAGTAGCTCGATTCTCGGGACAAAATCGCTTGGGCCCTTTGCAAACCTTGAACTCATTCACCTTCAAAGATACAGAGATGGACGTTTCGGATTACCTACATAGTACCTACCCTCTCCACCATCAGTCTTACTCTGGTACATCAAATCACGGACTAAAGACTGTTCCTGCCGAGGCTTAATTTTCGCCTTAGATTGGACTCATTGGAGCATGTCCAGCAAGCGACCCAAAGGTTTCGAAGTGTTTAGGGTCCAGAAGGGATTTATGACGGCAGGTGGAGAAATCATACATTTCCGCCAATCAGGCAAAATCCAGCGAGCAAAGATCAGGCAGGGAAACCAGGATCGATACTAAGAGATGCTAAGAGGTACTAAGAAAATACTAAAGAGTCAAGACCACGCTGGGGGATATAAATAGTCGGCTGAGTGCATGGTTTAAGTTATACCATTCATTTTTCGGGCTTTCCAGGATACAGGATAAGTTAATTAGCTTTGGATCAATGACAGTACAGTAACTTGGAACATACCTGTGATTATTAGGGCAGAATTTCAGCAGGGCTGAGCACTATGCTAATAAAGCGCAAAAGGACCAAATGCTTTAGAATATGTCGAAAGAGTCTTTACTCTTCTCTTGAGAAATATACAAATATAAAGGAAGAAAACCCATCCCTATAAAGATAGGTTCCTTTAATGAGGAGTGTATATAAAACATTTTAAAACTCAAGTAAGGAGGTAGCAACTTGATCCTCTCTCTTATTTACAGTTACACGTCTGTTAGCCGGAAATTGTTAATTCCCTATCTTTTCACAGCCCTGGAAATCATACTATAATCTCAATTTACGGGGCTTGTCCTGAGTGGGGAGAGGCTTGTATTTCATGACTCTCATAAGCTCCTCGGTCTCAGGCCCTCCCCATTCTTTTATCCTCCCTGTCTTCTTCATCTCTTCTTATTACATTCTTCTTTCTCAAGGCATTCTCAACTTCCTCACCAACAGCACTCAACCCCTATCACAATGAAGGTTCAGTCCATTGCGCTGGCACTTGCCACTGTCCTGAGCACTGCTGCCGCTCAGAGCATGACAGGCCTTCCTGATTGCGCGGTATGCTTCCCTCTATGTACAGTGACCTGACCTGGCCTTACCTCTCAAGCACCAGCCCGCATAAATAAGCTCCAAATTCAATGAAATCACAAGCCTATTGGAAACTTGAGCGTCACTAACAAGATGGCAACAGAAAACTTGTGCAACCGGAGCAATCCCCTCCAAGTGCAACATGATTGATGTCGAATGCATTTGCGGCACCAAGACTTTCATTACCGACATATCCTGCTGTGTCGCGAAGAAATGCTCGGCCTCAGACCAAAAAGGTACGTCGCGAGGCAACTCCAGCTCGAGCTACCATGCGCCAAACACAGTGCAGTGTATTTTAAAAAAAAAAAAAAGAAAAAAAAAAGAAACCAAATAATAGGCTGAGAAGAACATAACTGACATAATATGTCTCTCCCCAGCTGCTCTCGAATTCGCACAAGAGATCTGTAGCGGCGCCGGAGTCACAGATCTCCCTTCTAGCGCTACCTGTGAAAACAGCACCTCTACCACTGCTGCCGCCACCACCTCAACTACGACCACTACCAACAGCCAGACTTCAGATGAGAGCACCTCGACCAAGTCCTCGACGGAAACCGAGACCGGTTCTACCGCTACATCAACCACTGCGTCTGGGACCGCGTCCGAGACCACCGCAAGCACGCAGACTGCTTCTGCCTCTGCTTCTGCCACTCATACCGGCGGCGCGGCAGTCATCCTTGGCAAAGACATGGGTGTCCTGGCAGGTGTTGCCGCGGGTGTTGCATTCTTTATGTAAAGAAACAACGGATTGTTTGTCGTCAACGATTAATTTGGAGTTGAAGAACGTCGACATGTTATGTGGTGGTATGTTTTGATTAGGTTATGAAACAAAAACAATCCCACTAATTATATTGGATAAATTACTGCGCTTGGATTTGCGATTTTTCTTCCTTTTCTGCACACGGGTTGTCTTGATAGCAAACTGGACCGGGAGGTAATCCCCGTAATCTAATAAGATCTCACATTGACGATTAGCACTCGCTCTACTTTCCTCTATAGCTTTTAATGGAGAAGAACAGCCGGATCCATCCACGTAACGAAGGAAGCGAAATCACCGATCATGTTCACGTTCACGCTCCGCAAACTTCGTCGCAATTTCCTGTCTCTCCTCGCGGAGTGTAAGAAAAATCTATAACCCCAGTCAGCGAAACCCCCACAGAATCCGCCGGGGGGAAGAGCCAAAAACAAGAGCGCAAACCTACCCAAAGCCAAAACATCATCTCCATAAATCCATACGTAAAAACCACCCTATTCTTCAACTGATCCAGCCCTGAGAGCGCCTCGCCCGCACCCACAGCACCCATACCAAGACCTCCCCTCGCCGCAACCCTCGAGACATCCACCCCCCAAGCTGCCGGCTTACTCTGGTAGATGAAGAAAGAGACCGCAAAGAAAAGACAAAACCTCGCGGCCGAAAGCAGCGTCCAGATCTCCGAGTAGAGCGACGCCAGCCGTCCAATAAAGGGGTTTGTGCGCATTGCTCCGCCGACTGGGATCGCGGACTGGTATCGGACGGCTTCCGCCATGGCGAGGATTTCATTTATCTGGGGGATTTTGGTGACGAGGATTAGGTCGATTAGGGCATCGGCGACGAGGAGGATACCGCACATGGCGAAGGGGGATTGGGGACGGGAGAAACTGGGGGAGGCGTCCTAATTGTTTTTTTTTTCCCACAACATAGGTTAGCCTTCCTTTTATCTTTCTTTCTCTTTTTCTTCGCGTATAGATTGAGTTGTATGGGTTGGGGAGAGTACGATTTGGAGGAATTCGCCTAGCATAAAGACTATGTCGCTTTCCGTGATGACTTGGGGTGAACGCGTCAAGTAAACCGCGAGGGTGAAGAGGAACACGGCGTGAGCCTGGATAAGGGTTTTGGAGGATAGGAGACCCATATTGGGTGGTGAGGACAACCCGAGGGTCGTAGGTTGAGAATATTAAAGAGATCCAAGTATGGATGAAGTTATCGAATGGTCGGCAGCTTTAAGCTTTCCCGGGTCCGTTGCTCTCTTGTTTTTGCCAGCCAGAGACGATGTGGGGGTGGTGTTATCCATCCTAGTGCAATTGGTTACCCGTGCTAAATGCTTCTCCGATTAACAATCTTCAGAAAAGAACTGAAACGAAAATTTTCCCCCTTGGTATAAAAAGGCTGTGGAAGACGCTGTTTTATTTGTGCTATATTCGATTGCATTGACTAGCTCACCGCATGGCCAGGACACTCCGCCAACACTGACTGATATTGCACCACCGACACTATGTCCGAGGTTCTCTTCACCAAAGAACGTCACATTAAGTACTTCCTCCGATGCCTCAAAACATTCTTGCCAGGACCATACACCTCCAATGACTCCAATCGCATGCTTCTTGCATTCTTCGCCGTCGCCGGAGTAGACCTCCTCGACTCCCTACAGTCCAAGACAACTACGGAGGAAAGAGAAGGCTATATTGAATGGATATATCACTGCCAGGTCCCGTCGGGTGGTTTTCGCGGATTCACAGGAACAGACTTCGGGACAGAGAGACGGAACACGGATAACGAGGCCTGGGATCCAGCCAACGTCCCGTCGACATTTTTTGCCTTGGTTATCCTTCTCATTTTAGGCGATGACCTCTCCCGAGTGAAGAGGATGGAGTGTCTACAATGGCTTCCCCAAATGCAGCGACAAAACGGCAGCTTTGGTGAGGTGCTTGGGCCCGAGAATAAAATTGAGGGTGGAGGTGATTTGCGATTTTGCTGTTTCGCAGCCGGTACGCGGTATATACTTAGAGGGAGAGACACAGACGGTCTCAATGGCATTCAGGATATAGATGTGGAGAAGCTAGTGGTCTTTATTGAGTCTTGTCAGGTGAGAAAGACGCTCCTTCATGTCTCTCGAGGTGTCTCCCCCTTCCTCTTGTTTTAGCACTGACTATATATGTGTATAAGACATATGATGGGGGAATGGCAGAAGGGCCATATTGTGAATCGCATTGTAGGTTTGATCTTTTTTTTTTACCAACGTTGTTCCAGTATAGAGCCCATTCTCATCATAATCGCAGCCGGTCATACCTATTGTGCAATTGGTGCCTTGACCTTTCTCGATCGTCTCTCTGACGGGTCCAAGAGGCCATCTCTCCTATCCCCGGGCTCTAAGCGATATGAGTCTCTAGTACGCTGGCTAGTCGCCAGACAAACAACTGAACTAGGGGACGAGGATGAGGACGAAGCGGACGAATCAATCGATAACGAGACCCGAGATTTAACCCGAGCCGTAGAAGGGCTCAGTGTAGAGGAGAAGATTGATAAGCTTCTATATCTACAACCACCAACCGCAGAGTCCTTGCAATGGGCCGGGTTTAATGGGCGGTGCAACAAATACGCTGACACCTGTTATTCATTCTGGAATACAGCCACTTTAGCCGTATGTGACCATGAGGACCACATTGAGGTATCAGCTATGCTAACTAACAGCAACAGATGTTAGGCAGATTGTCACTAGTTGACGCGGTTGCGAATCGACGATATTTGCTTGGAAGGACACAGCATCTTGTTGGGGGGTTTGGAAAGGGTGTTGGAGAGCCACCAGGTAAGTAGCTGAATCCTACTTTTGATGATTTTCTTTCAGACTCTGACTGTCTCACCCAAGATCTTCTACACTCCTATTTTGGAATGGTGTCACTGGCCTTCCAGGGTGAGCACGGACTGGATAGCATTGACCCTGCACTTTGTGCGACTGATCGGACCGTCCAAAATTTGCATTCTCTCCCGTGGTGGCGAGAAAGGGATTGATTTAGTATTATACGTATGACGCCTGCATGCTTTATATACCCAATTTTTTTTTAGTATTTTCTAAGCTTACCCTGTATATTGAAGAAGTGTTGTATCATAGGAGGAAGAAAAAAAAAGCCCCATCCCTCCTCAAAAAAAAAAAATTCCTTCTATAATCTAGACCTTTTAAATTCCTCATGCAATAAAAAGAAGAAGAAGAAGAAGAAAAACCGTGGAATGGTGGTGATCCCCGTCTTCCTAAAGTCCTTCCGCTGGCTGTACAGGCTGTGATGCAATCAATATTGCCTCATATGATGAGCCAAACACTCCAATCAAAGACTTTACTAGGGTTGAAATCATGAAAAGAAAACCTGCTATCTTTGCAACTAGCCTAGAGCTAGTGAGGACTAGTAAGGTATGTCATAATACTCTGTACTACTAACTAATTTATTTATTTCAATTTCCCCTTTGCTCCAGTTGAAGCACTTGTGTTGAGCACTTGAGATTCAGGGGCTGCGGGCAATCTCAAAGGAGTGGCCCACCACCATAAGTGTTGCTACGTTGATCATCAATATAATATTGCTTCTACTGAGCTATCCAGAAAGGAGCTGGACTTGGATACATCACTCATGTTGCAGTTCAATGTGCATGCTTCTTGCAGAAGAGAGAAGTCTTAGAGTAAAACTTTTTCCAATGAGAAGATGTCAGATATTCATTCATTCATATATCAGTCATATTATATACTAATGAAAGTCGTCAAACTATGATGGTAGAGAGTTGACCGAAATGAATTCAATTAGTCTAACTAGGAAATAGAGAGAAGGAAAGATGCTTGGAGGAAGCATGAATATCTAGAAGGAAACGGTGGCCTTAAATATACAGAGTAGTCACGTGTCACTATCTTCTTCTTTATGGTGATGCTACTTTATGGTGGTGCTGGTTGTATTTACTAAGTGCAGCACTCTAATACACCCCCCTTAGTAATATATCTATTACCTGAAGCTATTTAGAGTCCATCTCTAACCTGCTAAAACCTAACTTCTTGATAAATTTTTCAAATTTTGTAGTTAGTAATACCTTAGTTAGTCTGTCAGCAACATTATCCTCTCTACTAACTATTTATAGCTAAATTCTACCATTTTTAATTACCTCTTTAATAAAGAAGTAATAAATATCTATCTAATAGAGTATAGATATATAATTTAGCTTTTTTACCAAAATAATAGTATTAGTAGAATTAGTATGTAAAGGTATAGTATTTTTTATAGACTTTTCTAGTCTAATAGCTATATACAGCTTTTATAATTATATAGCTAGCTTTATTATTGTATCCTATATAATAAATTTAGTAATAGTTAAATTTAGGGTAACTAGTGATTACTTTACTAATCTCTATGTAATTAGTACTCTAAATATGAAAAATATAAAGCCTTTTATTAACTTCTTATCTTCACAATCTATATGGGAGGTATTAATATATATATATAATAGATTATCTGAATAGCCTAAGATTATTATATAGTCTAAGGTCTTCTTTAAATATTAGAAAACTTGTTTAATTATATCATAATTTAACTTGCTAGGATTATAATTTCTCTATAGTAGTTATATTATTGCATATTAAATATCTAGTCAGGTCTGAATAGTAATCTAATTTAATAATCCAGTTAATTCCTAATAATAAGTAATATCTTCATCAGCAGAGGTATATATGACATCTGGAATAATATTGTTAGTGTCTGGCATCTCTCTAGTTAATTTCCATCCCGGAGTTATTAGTATATAACATGGCCAAAGACCATGGAAATTCTATTTATGGAGCATCTTTTAGATATATATATATTAGGATATTAATATTGGACTACTAAGTAGTCTATAAATATTATATTCCAAGAATTATACAGGTTTACCTAGTTACTTTAATTTAAAATATTTTTCTAGCTTATCTATAAATTATTAAATATTTACTTTATTAGGGCCAGCAACTATTACATCATTAATATAGATAATAAGTATTAGCTACTAGTCTGGGTTATAGTAGAAGCATGGGTCTTTATTAATTACTTTTATACTAATTTTTACCAGAATATTATAGAATTCCTTATGCTAAAAAAATACTAACTATTGTAATCTATATAGGGTTTAGAGTAGTAGACATACTATATTATCTTATTTATTAAAACTAGTTAGTTAGTATATATAGATCTTTTAATTCTTGATTATTATATTAAGATAGGCAGTTACCATGTTAAATTATGCCTATTTTAAATTAAAATAAGTAACCATACTTAAAAATAGCTTTACTAAAGTATCTACTACTACTAGGGAGTAGACTTAGTCAAAGTCTATATCTAGTTTTTAGAAATTTCTATATATAACCTATCTTACATGAAATTATAATATATTATTATTTATATCTAACTTCAAGTTATATACTTATTTTCCTAGTAAGACCTTTATATTCTTTAGTAATAGTACAAATTTATAAGTCTAAATAGCTTCAAGCTTACTAATTTAACTTTATATTACTTATATCTAGTAATTCTTTTATAGTGACTTTATTACTTAAGTATAGGTCTATAGGATTCTAACTTTATAAGTTTTTATAGGCTTGATTTCTAGTATAAAACTACTAGAATCTGGTAATATTATAGTAATTGTATTAGGTAATTCTTCTAGCTTTAGATAGGATTCTAGTAGATAAGGTGTTTCTGAAAGTATTTTTAGAGGTAATATAGACTAGGATTAAGATTATTATTCTTATTTTACTTCCTCTTCCTATAATTACTTTGCCTGCTTATCTTTAAAGTAAATACTTTAGTATTAACCCTTTATAGATCTTAAAGATCTCTATAGAGTAGTAATACTACTACTAGTATTCTTACTAGTAGGATTCTATACCTTTACCTAGTTAACTATTTCTACTTTCTTAATATTGAATTTAACCTACTTTCTAGTCTTTAAATGCTTTTTTTTTAGTATATCTAGAGTTATTAAAATATAGTCATCTTTAGAAGATTCTAAAATTAGTAAGACCTCCCTATATTAGGTAAATAACTCTAGAAGCCTTTATATTAATTATAATACTAGTATTCTTTTAAAAATAGGTTAACTAGTATATAGATTATCTATAATAAAATAGTTAATTATCCCTTTATATCCACCCTACCTAGATTATTCCTCCATACTAGGTCTTACTATCTCCTCCACATTCTTGCTAATCACTCGATTGTTTTGCTTGGTAATAGTTTTAGAAACAGCCCTGGAGGCCGGTGTCTACTCTGGTATGATGAGCTCAGTAGTTTTAGAGATAGCCCTAGGGGCAGCCCCAGAGACAGGTAGCCACTCGGGTATGATGAGTTTGATACCTGCCTCTGGGTTGGGTAGGGTGGTTTTAGAGATAGCCCCAGAGGCAGGTAGGTGCAGATATATCAAGTTAGTACCTGCCTCTGGGTTAGATAGGCTTGGTTTGGGTAGGGCTGGATCAGGTATTAATATTTGAATTCTTCCTGTAATAACTTTATTGTTATTTACTGATAGTAAGGTTTGGGGAATAGTATTATTTTAAGATATACTATTATAAGTTATTCTTTCTCTTTTAGTATTAATAAATATAGTTGCTCTAGATAGACTATTATTATTTGATTTTAGTTTATTAGGAAGTTATGGTTATATTTTATTTATTCTATTAATATTACCTTTATTAAATATTATATCCCTTGACTAAATTATCTTCCCTGTATCTAGATACTATACCTTGTAGATATAATCTCTATTATATCTAACTAGTTAACTAATTTTTACTCTAGGCAATATTTTTATACTTTTAATCCTATCCTTATATAGGATATTTATAAATACCTTGCATCCTTATATATAAATATATTATAAATTAATATCTTTAATTAGGATATTTAATCCTTTATAAAAAAGTTATATAGGTAGCTTTCCTTTATTATTATCTTTCTTAATTAACTTATTTAAAATATGGACTACTATATCCACACTATATAGCCATATAGTTAGCTCTATTTTTACTTATATATATATTGTGCGGGCAGTCTAGATTATATAACTACTAAATTATTTAATAGCTCTATTTTTCTTGGGGGTTTATAGTAGTGTTAGTTTATATATAGTACTAAAATCCTTACTCTACCTAGCATACTTATTAAATTTAGGAGTAGAGTTAAATCTAACCCTTCTAATATAGATACTAGTTATATTTAGCTAATTATTATATATTTCCTTTAATACCTTTAAAGATTCACTTTTTGCCTTCAAATATTATATAAAAAGGCATCTAGAATAATTATCTAGAACTAGTAGGATATACCTAATATTATCTCTTCTAATTAGTTTAATTTCTTGGAGATCCATATATATGAATTGCAATGGTTTTATTATATATAGTTATGGTTTTCGGGATATCTTTTTCTTTAATTTTGATAATTAACATGCTTCGCAGTGTGGTTTAGTATTCTAATTAGCAGGCAAGTTATTAGTAGCTAAGTTATTACTTTTATTATAAAGCATTACCTTATTACGCTTCAATTATTTAATAAATAGATAACCTAATTATTAATATAATAAGTCTATTAGTATGATAGGCATAATTACTACCTTATTTAGAACTAAAAATAAGATATTATTATCCAAGATAGTATATCTAATTACCTTATCTATTACTATCTTATAAATATATTAATTTTTTAAATTAAAATAGATTCCTAATTCTACTTTTATTCTTTCTACTAGTATTAGATTATATAGTATATTTAGATTTTAAAGATATTTTATTTAGTATAATATTAAAGTACTATTATCTAATTTAAATTAAATTATTACTTTTCCATAACCTTAGAGATATACTACCTTATTATTAGAGGTAATAAAATTATAATTCTTGAAGTTATTTAGGTCTTTAATTAGGTTATTAAAGAGATTATAATTATTATATACTATATAGCCTACTCTAGAGTCATATAACCATCTATTCCTAAAGGTAGTTAATATTAAAGTTATTAGTATGTTAATTCTAGATAGCATGAAATTATTAGTATCTAGAATAGTATTAGCTTATATAGCTGGGGTAATAGCTTAATTTTAGGTTAAATTATTCCTATTCTTTAACTTATATAGCTTGAAGTACTAAAGTATTAAAGTTAGTCTCCACCCTTTCTTCTACTTATTAATTACTAAATATAGGTAGTTCTTAATATTATATTTTTTCTCCTTATAAAATAAGTATAGTATTCCAGGTTTCCTTAATTATTTTAATTAATAGTTAATATGGCCTATAATTATTATATTTTATAATAATATATGTTTCTATTATTACTGCTACCTTCTTCTATTTATTAGTTAAGAACTTAGTATATTCATGGCAGGTATAATAATATTAGATATAGTATTTAATAGTAGATTCTCCTAAACTTTATCCTTTACTATATTATATATAGTATAAAAATACTTTTATATTATTATTTTAATAAGATTATTATCTAGATTATTTAAGGTTAAATTTATAAAGTTTATATTATTCCTTTTAAGCTTCTAAAGTATTATAATAATTACTTAATAGGGTATAATAATTATTTTTAACCTATTAGAAGTATTTATCTTCTAGATAAAATCTAATATAAACTTATTAATAGTTATATAATTCTTATACTTAATCTTAATAGCTTCTCTTTATATCTAGTATATATATCTTTAACTACTACTAATAACTATTCTTTATAATTTTTATATAAAATTATTTATAAAGATATATAAGGTAGTATTTATTAATAATTTCTCTACTAATTTCTCACTTATTAAATATAGTATTTAACTAGCTACTATTTATAAAAGAAGTTCCTATAATTTATACTTAAGATTATTAAGTTATAGTCTAGGAATATTACTTTTAAGAAGCTTATCTATTTTATAAAGCCTTAACTCTATTTATATAAATAAAGCCTAAATTTTAAATTTTAAATTATTTTCTAACACTATTATTAGACTCAAGTTAAATATACTATTCTTTAGCTTTATTGCTTGATTTTGGCCATTAGTAAACAGGGTAGTAGCCATCAAAGGTAGGTGTAGTAAGTTAGGGATGTCAGGGTATCTACCAGGGGTAGGTTTAGTTACTATTTTGATTAAATTATGGAGATTTTCCACACACTATTACCTAGGTAGAGTAACATAACAGTAGTATAGGTGGTATAACATAACAGTAGTAGGTAATATTTCTGCCAGGATCTCTTTCCAATCAGGGAGCAGATTACTATACAGGGGTACAGGAGTATAATAAGAGTTTTAGAGGTCTATGAAGTATAAAATAGAACCTCAAGGAGGGCTCATAACCTAATGAAAGTCGTCAAACTATAACAGTAGAGAGTTAACCGAAATAAATTTAATTAGTCTAACTAGGAAATAGAGAGAAGGAGAGATGCTTGGAGGAAGCATAGATATCTAGAAGGAAATGGTGGCCTTAAATACATAGAGTAGTCACGTGTCGCTATCTTCTTCTTTATAGTGATGCTGCTTTATGGTGGTGCTGGTTGCATTCACTGAGTGCAGCACTCCAACATATACTAATAATATAGAGATTGGACTCGGTATAGTACTATGTAATCTTAAATTAATTTTTTGACAGAAATGGTCCACGTTTCCGCTCTATATTTTGCCAATCTCCCACTGTTTTCTTTTCCCGCTCCCCGAGACTAAGACGAAAAACAAAACCCAAAAAAATCCTTATAGATGATTAATGATCCTTTTTATGTGTTGTAAGTCGAGTTGTTCCCTGTGTGAAGACTGGGTGGTGTTCCTTCATCACCATCTTCGATTTCCTTCAATCTATATCTCCAATATCGACTTCCCTGTCCGAAATCAGACCACCGTCTAATTGAGAGACTACAGTAATCTGGAACTGATCTAGTGTCTACCCTACTATGGTACTAAGTACATAAAGTAAGTACATGACGAATCGGCCTCCGTCAAAGCAACACCGCCGTTAGCTGCTGTTTGGTCACTTTGGTATGTGTCTCATCATTCATTCCCCTCAGTCCGCTCCAGGCATCGAAGATTCCTTAACATTTCGACTATTCGCCTAGTACTAACTTCTGGGTCAATTTTTGATGTTTCATTGCTTAGGTGGATCGACTCTTTTCTCCTGCCCTTGGTTTTCCTCCGTTCCTGCCGAAGGCACCCTGTTCCTGTTCCCTTCCCAGATTGCGCGGCTCCGGCCCTCCATCCCACAGGCTCCCGCCAAAAAAAAGTCTCACGACGACTGCGACCAAGTCTTACTCTCAGTCCCACATTCCTTGTCAATCGAACCGCGGTGGAAATCACTTCCTTGGCCTCCTCTAAGCCTCTCTTCGAGTCCAACTGGTCGTTTCTTTCCCTTTTCGACTGCTAGCCTCCTCCTGCCTCCGCCTTCCGGACCGACGCCCCCTTTCAGCGACGAACCGCCTCTCTATAACACGGCTATCTCCATCTTTTTCGATATTATACGTTGAATGGCAGCCTCTGACGTTTCGAATTCGGCCGCTGATCCACAACAGTCATATATAATACCAATATTTACCTCCGCGGACTATCTCAGCGCGCCCGGGGTTCATCGTCAAACACATGCCGCCTCCCAGGACGAGAGCGGAGGTCCAAGCCCAGAAGCAAAAGGAAAAGGTTGGTTCTGGGTTCTTTCTATATATTCCATTCGGGATTGCCCATTGTCTACTCTTTTCTATGAGACTTTCGCATCCCAATTGCTTTTTTTTTTTCCCTCGCGCGACGCCCTCTTGTCCCTGATGCTTGCATCCATCATCACACGGAAAAGCGCTTTGCTGACCTTTGCGTATTGTAACAGCTTGCCCAATCCTACAGTGAGCTTCTAAAGTATGTTTGCCATGGCCCCCCCCCATTGCGCCTTCAAAATATAATCGTATTAACCACCTTGTCTTTACCAGAGAGTTCTCGTCGAAAGACCTCCGAAATGTCGGAAACTATACTCTCGGAAGACTGATTGGAAAGGGTTCTTTTGGAAAGGTCTATCTCGCTTCCCATAAGCTTACCAATGGCTCAAAGGTATGGAGATGTTGGGAATTCCAAGATTTAAACCCGTCTGATTTCTGCCCAGGTGGTCCTCAAGTCCTCGAGCAAAGACGATACGAACCTTGCCCGAGAAATTCACCACCATCGCCAATTCCTCCACCCACACATTGCCCGCCTCTATGAAGTTATTGTGACCGAAAAGTTGGTTTGGCTGGTGCTCGAATATTGTCCTGGTAGGAAGCCACCTCATATCCTGGTATAGGCTAGGTTGCCACTAACTCGCAAAATTAGGTGACGAACTCTATAATTACCTCCTCCAGAACGGCCCTCTCCATATTGATAAAGTAAAGAAGATATTCACGCAACTTGTTGGAGCAGTAGCCTATGTCCACAGCAAATCCTGTGTTCACCGAGACCTTAAGCTAGAGAACATCCTACTTGACAAACACGAAAATGTCAAACTATGCGACTTTGGTTTCACGAGGGAATACGAAGGCAAAGCAAGCTATCTCCAGACATTTTGCGGAACCGTTTGCTACAGCGCACCCGAGATGCTCAAGGCCGAGAAGTATGCTGGAGAAAAAGTGGATGTTTGGAGCTTGGGAATTATTCTATATGCGCTGATCGCAGGCGAGCTTCCCTTTGACGAGGATGACGATCAGGTCACTAAAGCCCGAATTCTTACCGAGGAGCCGACTTTCAACGATAAGTTCACAGCGGATGCGAAGGCACTCATCAACCTACTGTTGTCAAAGCGACCGCTTCTCCGACCCAGCCTCAGTGACATTCTAGCTCATCCTTTCCTTTCGGAGCATGCACCAGAACAACTCGCGATCCTAAAAATCCCACGACCACCGGCTTTTTCAACCCCTTTAGAGAAGACCACCCTCCAACGAATGAAAAGTGCAGGTGTCAATATCGATGAGGTCATGGAGAGTGTCCTTGCTCAACGCTGTGATGCCCTCGCCGGTTGGTGGGCGCTACTGATCGAGAAGGAGCAACGTAAGGAGCGAAAGCGAGAACGAAAGCGAAGGGAGCGGGAGGCTGAGGCGAAGAACATCCGCCGTTTAAGTGCAGCGAGCAGTCGTCTAGAAAAGATCTCAGCTGCACTAGTAGAAGTGGACGAAGAGGGCCATACTACATCTATTCAGGAACGAGGACGAAGAGATCGACGGAGTTTACCGTCTCAGCTTGCTGTTCCCGAGTTGCCAATGCTTCCGGAGCCAGCACCTTTACCATCCCCAGACCTCACCACTCCACCTCCTCCTGTTGACAAAGATTCTATACGATCGACCAGCTCTACCAGCCGTCGCCCAGCGCCCCCACCCAAGGATGTACGACGCTCCCGACCCAGTACGCTACATGTGAGCGCGTCCCAACCCGAATTATCACAACACGGTGGAATCTTCCGGCGCCGTCCTGGTCGCCGCCAGTATCCAATAATTAGCCAGTTAGCTTCTCTAAAGCACTGGTTTGTGGAGTCTGCAAAGAGAGCCAAGTCACCCCATCCAAAATCTACAGGTGGGGCACATCGCAAGTTACTGTCTGAAAGATTGAGCCCGGCAAAAGGACAGGAACCCGGAAAGAAATCCTCGCTATCATCTTCAACTTCTGCTCAACAGGATTTGGCTACACCTACCGAGATTAAACGTGCATCCAACGCAAGCAGCCTGGCTCCAAGCAGTGCTTCGTATCCTAATCACCGCCATTCATACCCTCGCCAGACCCGGCCCTTGAGTACAAGTCATGCAAGCCATCGAAACTCATTGTCACCATCACCGCTTACTCCACGAGGTTCCTATCGACGGTCCTCGGCTGGCTTACGCGGCCGCAAGTCGACCTCTTCGTCTGTGTCGTCCATCCGGAGCATTCACCATACTCACACCCATTCGAAAGCATCATCTATCTCGTCAACTAGCATAGGCTCGGCGTCCACCCCAACAGCGCGAACTGCAAAATCACCCCACTCCTCGGTCAAAGTACTTCCAACTACGCCAAGTATGTCTGCTCGTTTTCCTACCAATATTCGCTTAGTGCGAGGCTCAAATGCTGGATACCGGGAAGCAGATGATTGCAACGGAGTCATGACTTCATCCTTTAATGAAGCTGCCCCTACACCCCTGCTCTATTCCCCATCCTCTAGTCTTGTGTTTGCACGCCGCAAACGGTCTACATTCAAGGGACCGATGGTTCATACGGCCAACCTGATGGTATCTGGCGGAATTCCCGGGTCCGAATTTCCTAACGGTGACATTTCCTCTCTGAAGGCAAATCGACCGGCAACGCGGAAGAGCCAGATTATCGAAGAAGAGGAAGATTTGGAAGGTGAGGATGAATATGAGGAAGTCGATACGTTTACCGGAACGGAGGAAGAGCCTACTTCACCCACCAGCATTACAAAACCAGAAGACTTGGCCTTGGATGGCTCTCCTGGACGTAACCGCAAACCTATTCTGGAAGCTGCTCCTGATCTTGACTCGAGTCCGCTTCGCCCACCGCGCTCCTCGTCATTGAAAGCAGAGTCAACAGGCACAATTATCGAGTTTGGTCAGCTTGACGACAAAGCTGTCTTGACTGCTTCCCCGAAATCAGTGTCTTCAGGTAAACAAAGCCTGGGCCCTAGAATCGAAGAAGCTAAGAAATAGAACGTCTATTTTTGACGATCATATTATTTCGAACCTCTTTTTTTCCATTTATATACCCCCTTTTGCAGCTATCGGTGCTGGCTTTTTCTGCTTTTATGAATTGCAAAATGATAATGGGCCTCATTTTGCTGATACATTGTGTTATCCTACACCTCTTTCCCTTTGTTTTTTTTTTTTTTTTTTCTCTTTTCCTTGCTTCCTTGTCTCGAAGATCCATGTCGTTCGCAGATACACAGCTGCCTCCATATACCCACCAAGTTTCATTTCTTCCTGTGCACACTATTTACCGATTTTGATCATCTCACCTTTGACTTAATGCTTCAAGTCTAATTTCCTTGCTGTCTCCCACCCCCTTTTTCCTTCTAGAGATATCCCTTATCCTACTTAACATCACCATCATCTGCAGCCTCCTGCATTTCATTATTGTTTATTGTTAATTGTTAATTGTTTTCCCCCTCTTTTTCATCCCAAACAGTGTCTTCTTTTCCAGGCAGGTCCCTGGATCAGGCGCACGGAACGATATCTAGTGATCAATGCATGTGCCCTTGTACCCTGTTCGATTAGACCTGGACTTTAGTTTTCAATTGTACATGTCATTTCGCATATAGCTTTGGCTGAAGGCACTTGTATTTACGGCTAGTCATGCTAATAATATAATGCAGGCGGCTGTAGGATGGCCGTTATACAAGTCAGATGACCATGCATGGCTGAATTTCCACTAATACCTTGAATAAATGGCTGGATCGAATCTATTCAACATGACAAAAAAGGCCATGGATTGTGCAAGGTTTTATTCACTCTTAGTGCACACAGAGAGTGATGAGATACCGCGGTTATATATACATCTACTTGAAGAACATAATAGGCATAAGATGTGGTGGTATAAACTGCAACTCAACTTTCTATCAGGTATATATATAATATAATATACAGTCTAATGTATACTGTATATGTACTGGACTCCTATAAAAGAATTATACTCTATCAAACAGGCCCCATTTAATTGAGCGAATCAAAAGTCATTTCTTTCCATTGGATTTCGCGCGAGGGGATTTCACAAACCTCCTCCTCCTCTAAACCCTGAACTGGAAATCCCTTCTCATATGAGCTCTTTCTTCCATCCGTCTTTCAGTTCCCTGTTCTCCATCCCTTTCTTTTTTCTGTTCACTTTCTTTACTCTATCCCCCCCCTTTGTATCTCATTTACATTCGATATATATATCTCTATATTCTCCCTGCGCCGGGTTTCGCCCTGGGACTATTTCGTTCTCAACCATGGCCTTTGCCACGATAAACTCGTCGGGCCCAACCCATCTCCCCCAACCTCGGATTGCTGCGATCCCAGCGATTGAAGATGCCTTTGCCGCTGAACCAGCGCTGAAAAAACGAGTCTATGATGCGATCGGTAAGGATTTATCCGCAAATCTGCAAAAGTCATGGAAAAAAAAAAAAAGGCTAATGATTTCCTTTCATTGTTATTGTTTTTTTTTTTTTTTTTTTTTTTTTTATACAGGATCTACCCCTCAGCATGGACCTCTTTTTGAAGATATCGCACGATACACGTCAAGCCTGCTGGCCAGGAAGAACGCGAACGCGAACGTGAACGCCGTACAACCAGTCGAAGTGATCCACGACAACAACGGCCCTGCGGCGAAAAAACGCAAGATCCAAAATGGGGGGGGGGCAACTGCACCGGCAGCCGCGCAATCATTCGCTGTCGCTGATTTGAAGTCCCACAAGGCTCTGCAATTCTACATGCAAGATGTGTCGTTTGCCATCCCGCAACGCAAAAAGCTGATGCTGGAGATCACGGCGGTGAATAAGTTCTTACGCGCGAGGAATCAGACTTCCAAGGAGGTGGAGTTTGGCGTTCCCTTGGACAGGATACGTGAGTTTTTTTTTTTTCTTTTTTTTTCTTCATCTGGTCTTGAGCTATAAGTATATATATCGAAGCTAATGCTGTCATGTTACTCAAGAACATGTTTTGTGTCTCCCCGTCCCCGAGAAGAATCAGCGCCAGTTCAACTTTTGCATCATCCCTCAATTCGCCGATGGAATAAATCTCCCTCCCGAAGGTGAACAGATCCCCGAGACAATTGTGTGGACGGTTTCGGATGGTCCAGCAAAAGCTGCGTTTTCAGGAAATGGGCAGCAGATTGGCACTGGAGAGGGAGAGACAGCGGAGAGCTTGGTCCGACGAATACTGAACGATAATCTATCACACACTACGGTGGTGCGCCCGGACGCGCACGAATTTGTGAGTGCCATGCCTGAGGCACATAGGAAGGGAGAGAAGGCATACCATGTCAAGGCATTCCGCGGTAGCAAAGAAGGTATGGATACGAACATGAACATTTGGGGGGGAGGGGGGGGGGTGGAAGGCTCGCAATTTAACTATTTCTATTTTCAACAGGGTATCTCTTCTTTTTGTCTACGGGGATATTTTTCGGGTTCAAGAAGCCGCTCGTCTTCTTCGCCTTTGAGAATGTTGAGTCGATTTCATATACCTCCGTGCTGCAACGGACCTTCAACCTGAATATTACCGCACGACCGCTTGCCAGCGACGAGACGCAGGAATTTGAGTTCTCTATGATTGACCAGGCGGACTATTCGGGCATCGATACCTACATCAAGACACACGGCTTACAAGACGCCAGTCTCGCCGAAGCCCGTCGTGCCAAGCGCTACAATATCAACGGTGCGAAGACGGAGGAGGGGGCTGCGGAGGCTGCCGAGGGCGATGCCAACGCAAGCGAACTCCAGAAGGCACAGCGTGAATTAGAAGACCAGGAAGATGAAGAAGAAGAGGAGGAGGAGGATTATGATCCGGGCAGTGACGGCGACAGCGACGGAAGCGGCTCGAGCAGTGAAGACGACGACGACGACCAAGGAAACGACGAGATGGACGAAGACGAAGACAGCGATGGGCGTGACCTTGTTGTAGAGGAGCTTGGCAGCGAAGCGGAAGAGATTCCCGAGGATGAGTTGTGAGTGGAGATGGCTCTCTGTATGATGATCGAGTGCACTGTACCTCCATTATGATCTATTTCCTTCCTCAGTTACCCTTGTGGATATGTAAACCTTAAACGGAGGCTTCAATAGAAATTAAAGACGACCTAGTAAACTATTAAGGGTTCCAAAAGCCAGACCGACATCCCCAGTGCAGCCACGTAGTTAGTAAGTCTGTAGGTACCTAAGCAGCCACGTCAGAGACTAGATGTAATGTTCAAAGCAGAGTACAGCATGCGGGGAGAAGGTTTCAAGAATGCATCCATTGTTTCGAAGTGAGAGAAGAAGAAATCCTGCTGACCTACCTACCTATTGTATAGACACCCTTTTTGTAACGGGTCATATGGAGAGTTTTCCTGGTAGAGTAGAGTAGGGTACCTAACAGAGTAGCAGCAGGTACGATCTTGCTGGTGCTGAAGATTATGAATAGCTATCGGATGTGTTCAACAGATTTGGTCAGGGGTAATACTAGTAGAAAATAGAAAATAGATACGGTAATAAATAGAGTGCCCCTTGTGGAAGACTTCGGAGTGATTCATTTATTTATTTATATTTTACAATTTATAATTTATTTACTGAATTGAGATCATTGGTAGCGATTGGATCTGTATGTATGTATCTCTCTGCACATGTACAGTGCTGAGATGATGCCAGGTACCCAACCAACCATGCGCTGTCTTAGTTGATAACTACTAACTAGTAGTTCCGATATTCAGGAAGAATTATCCAGATCAGAGTACATTCCAGCTGAAAGTAAGGAAAGGAGAGAGTCACCATAGAAACATCAATTCCCCCCCTCCCCCCCGTGGAAAATCCCTTACACAATGGGATTCATCGAACTCGCAGAAGTTGTTATTGAATGGATCATTCTTTATTTATCCGTCTATGAGTCCATGGAGCAAATAATTGTACTCTCAGGTAGCTTCTCTCTCTCTCTCTCTCTCGTACCCGCTTTTCCCATCGTTCGACTCCCAACCGATGGGAGAACTGACACTAAAGCACCACTAGACTGTGACTATCATATCTACGGAGTACTCTGTCGGTATTTTCCCCTTACCAGGTACCTCGGTAGTCTCGAATGGAATCCAAATGAAAGAGTTAATTTCAACAGCAGCATTCCTACCAGCCTATTTCTTATTACTCTTTTCTTATTATTCTAAAATATAATTCTTAGGGTGCCTAGTAGGAGTATGTTGATGGGACCATAGAAGGACTGATACCTAATACCACTAGTTTACCAAACAAACACCCTCACCCCAGGTGTCTAGTAACCAGACTTACCGGAGCGGGTTAGGCACTCCAGCTGGTGGTAAAGAACCATTACAATACAATACCAATCTGTCTGGTTCCTCTCCAGACTTTCGGCCGTCACTTTCTCTTCTTCTCTCTCTCTCTCTCTCTTTTTCTCCTCTCCACCTCTTTTCCTTTTTTTCCTGCTTCACTACCAGGCACTCTTCCTTTCCTCCCCTGGGTCTCTCTACCCACTCGTCATCCTCCATTCGTCTCCATTTTCCCTCCTCTCTCTCTCTCTCTCTCTCTCCCTGTCCGTCTCTCTTCCGTCTCCTCCTTCCCTTGTTTTCGCTCTCCCTTCCCCCCGTCTACCTCGCCCATCCCTCTCAAACCACTGCTGGCTGCAGTTTGTCATACTGTTGCGCAGTCGGTGCTTCTGGGCCTTTTTTTTTTTTTTCGCCCTTATTGACACCTTCATATCCTCTTGTAATTTTCTATCCGCACGTCGAGAGAATTGCAATTCATATCGAATCCCTTTCCGAACGGCGCATCCATAATTCCTGCCGCCGCTACTGCTGCTGCTGCTCCCCTCAAAAGCTGTCGCTCCCCGGAAGATAGTCATCACTCACCTCGTTCCTGTCAACCCTTCCTGTCACTGTCTCCCACGGGCCTTTGGTTTTCGTTTTCGAGCATCACCCTTGCGATTGCTTCAATTCCCGTTTGTCCGCGGTCTGTACCGTTCGACTTCTCCCGTTACGTGATACCTACACCCTAGATTGTTGGATGCATGGTATAGCTTGGTAAATATCGGTTATATCTGTACGTTCTATTCTGTCCTCTTTTTTTTTTTTTTTTAAATTCATCTTACGATGGTTTTCTTTTTCTTTTTCTTTTTTTTCCTTCAGGCCGTCGTTCGCTGACAATCTGTTCCTGTGCAGGTTAGCCTTTCACGTGTTAGCCGCCCGAGCCTTTGCCCTATCGTTAAGGTTCCCGAGACTTCGTCAATCACGCACGACTCCAGTATGGCCTCTTCATCGTCCAACGTGGTGGGTGTCCACTATAGAGTGGGAAAGAAAATTGGCGAAGGTTCGTTCGGTGTGATTTTTGAGGGCACGAATCTCTTGAACAGCCAGCAGGTTGCCATCAAATTTGTATGTTGTCTTCCACTCCAATCAGAATGCTTCCAACGGACTAACGATACCAGGAACCCCGGAAGAGTGATGCTCCCCAGCTTCGGGATGAGTACCGAACATACAAGATTTTGGTTGGGTGCCGTACGTATATCTCCCATCCAGCTCGCACTCAGCTCAAACTAACTTTGGTAGCGGGCATTCCCAACGTATATTACTTCGGCCAGGAAGGTCTCCATAACATCCTGGTCATTGACCTGCTCGGCCCCAGTCTCGAGGATCTTTTTGATCACTGCAACCGTCGATTCTCCGTCAAGACTGTCGTCATGGTTGCAAAGCAAATGGTGTGTACCGTGCCCAGTTTTCAAATAGCACCCCCCTCAATCTAACCCATCACCAGCTTTCTCGAGTCCAAACAATCCACGAGAAGAATCTGATCTACCGTGATATCAAACCTGATAATTTCCTCATCGGCCGCCCTAACTCCAAGGCTGCCAACGTCATCCACGTCGTTGACTTTGGTATGGCCAAACAATACCGGGACCCCAAGACCAAGCAACATATTCCTTACCGTGAGCGAAAGTCGCTGTCCGGAACAGCGCGCTACATGAGTATCAACACACATCTGGGACGGGAACAGTCGCGACGAGATGACCTTGAGGCCTTGGGCCACGTTTTTATGTACTTCCTACGAGGTGGTCTGCCGTGGCAGGGTCTGAAGGCCGCCACCAACAAACAAAAGTACGAGAAGATCGGCGAAAAGAAGCAAACCACTGCAATCAAAGACCTCTGCGATGGCTTTCCAGGTATGTATCAGCGTATCTGTTTCCCCCGTTCGCTCTCACTATCAGATGCGATGCGACTAACCCACATTTGTCTAGAAGAATTCAACAAATATCTGACTTATGTCCGCAACCTTGGCTTTGAAGATACCCCGGACTATGATTACCTGCGGGACTTGCTCACCCAATCCCTGAAGAATGCGGGAGAGGTCGAGGATGGAGAGTATGACTGGATGAAATTGAACAATGGACGAGGCTGGGAATACAAGTCGTACTCGTCCCAGCAGGGACTGCACAACAGCGCCCTTCCGACCTCCGCTAGAGACCTTCACGGCCAGCCGCTCCGAAGCAGCCAAAGACCCGGCGTGACTGCCGACCGTTTAAACGCCGCGCAGCCCCCGCCCCCTTCTCCAGCGAAACCCGCAGTCGGGAAATCGCGCGACCAGCCAAACGTCAGAGGCGGCATCCCACCAAAACGCCAGAGCGGGGGTTTGGACACGACACCCGCAGCATCGACCCAAGCACAGTTCCAGAACTCAAATGCAAACATTCCCGGTCGCCTCGGCAGCCCCACAAACCCGATGAAGAACCAACAAACCCAAGGCGCGCAGGCAAGCAATGAGCCGCAGCCCACCTTTGTACAGAAGGTGATGAAAGCTTTATGCTGCGGTAGGTGACCTTGCTGCCGTCCTACCCTTGAAAATTGTGTCAAGCCTTTTGCTTATCTAGCGTCAGGTTGACACCTGTTTTGAGTACGGAACCTATGTAATCCTACATAACGTCCTTGACATGTTGGCTGTCGACTGTTCTCTCTTTATTTTCCGCTTCATATACACTCAGGAGGTTTGAAAGGCAACATGCTATACTGTCAAAACACGGGTGTCTCCTTCCCCCCCCCCCCCCCCCCCTTTTTTTTTTTTTTTTTTCTTTGTTGGACCGAGCACACTGGAAATTTGCAGATCCTGCTGGCAGACGAGCACTATCTCGGTAGGGGGCGGATATAATGTTCTCCTTTTTTTTTCCCCCTTATTTCTCCTCAATCGGCCTCGATTGTGAGCCATCACACCCGCCTGATTTCGTTACCTATGCGTCGAGATCAGTTGGATTCGAAACGGGCTGGACCTCTCGATAGAGCGACCCTCCTTCACCTTCTATGCATCATACTCTCCTCTATCACTCGTTATGGTGCTACGGCTTGGAACGGCGAATTTGAGTGTTTTGTTCTCTTAAACTGTGTTTCTGTCCGCTACTTTTTTTTTCTTTGCTCTTGTTTTGTCCCGCATCTCTGGCACGAGCCGTTTAATACTAGATTTCATCTTGTTTCTGACTACATGATCGCTGCCCACCCTCACCCTAACCTTTTCGCAATTCACCTTGACGTTTGTGAACCCTGTTCATTTCAATGGTTCGGTGCAACAGCTTGTCAACGGCGATGTTAATGACGTGGCAGAAAGGCGTTTTTGGCACCCGATGGATAAGACCTCACCTCCCGTGTGTTACCAGGGTAGTCCTATATCTATGTGGCATTTTTAGCATATAAATGTTTTTGTGTGCCCTGTGCTATACATTGCAGGAATGTTCACTGTCCATCGATCAAGGAGTTCATGTGGAAGTGTGGTTTTGCTTTGCTCTTCTATCCTGTGTTTCTGTTTGCAACCCTCTCTTTCTGGGGTATCATTCGGATGTAGCCATTTGCTTTGTTGATTTCTTTGCTTTGTCTGTCCTTCAGTTCATAAAACAGCGCATTTCTCAGTTTCTGCGTTCCTGTTGATGTTGAGTAATTGTTTCTTCTTTCTCCAGTCTGCTGCATGGCTAGAGCCTGGAAGAGACTATGTTTCATATATGTTCTATTCCCTGTCGATTAAATCTACTGTTTGTTTGATGCATGTTGAGGCTTTGAGCAGTGTGTTGGATGTGGTGAGTGCTTGTTCCTCGTCACTCTGCTTGAGCATATATATAGGAGCAGGGGTGGCATAGAGTAATTAATCAAGTTTAATTGAATCCCTTTAGAGTATCTGGGTATTAGCCTCGAGCCTTACCCTGTCTTGGGTACTTTCTTGCCACATACAGAAGAGCTACAAACTGTCACAGGTAGCATTATATAACAGAACAAGCAGGAATAAGGAATAACAGAAAGCAAAATGCTTACCAGAGGAAAGAAGGGAAACCTCTCCCTCCTCTTCTTTACTTCACTACTTCTTACTTACTTACTCTTCCTACCTAATGCTTTCTATCTCTATATATCTCTATCTATCTCTATCTCTATTTCTATAGCATGCATGTACTCCACAGCAAGAAACCAATTCACCACTACTCCAACAACTACAATAGAAAAACAAAACACCCAGCCAGACCAAGAAAAAAGAAAAAAAAAAAAAAAAAAAAAGAAAAATAATAATAATAACACTCTATTGCTAGTTATTTGGGGGTATTGCTTTTGCTTCACCCTTGGGTTTAGGGTTAGGGTTAGGGTTAATTAATTAAACCTCTAGGAGGAGAGTAGCAGCAGCAGCAGCAGCAGCAGGTACGTACGTACGTACGTACGTACGTCCAGTAAGTAGAGTTAGGTACAATGTAGGTATGTAGGTATGTTACTTACTTAGCTTAGTTAGTTAACTAGTGGGTTGCAAACTGTAACTAACTAACTAACTAACTAACTAGTTATTACTATAGTTACTTTTTGTCTGGCCCAAGCTTAGAGAGAGAGAGAGAGAGAGAGAGAGAGAGAGAACATACCTGTCTTACTGTCTGTCTGTCTACATAGATAGGTACTTTTTGATATCGAACCCCAGGTCATTTAATTAATGCATCCGTTGTCTTCCGAGACTGCAGCGGAGTAGGAGTAGGAGTAGGAGTAGGAGTAGGAGTAGTTAATTGTTTGCAAGGGAGGAGGAGGGCTTTGTGTTACTCTTGTAGCTGGTATGCATGCTCTGCTAGTTCATCAACAAGGGTAGGTACTGTAGGTACTCCGTAGCTATGTCTTTATGCAGAGGAACCTGCCAAACTGGGCGTGAAGATCGCTGGGATGACGGGCAACGATGTTGCATGCTGGAACTAGCTTCAGCTGCATTTGCTAAACCCCTATGTACCCTCTGCATAGACATTGAGAAAGTTCACTATCCAGGCAGACAGAACCGATAAATGATCTGATGAGTAAGAGTAGAAAAAAAAAAAAAAAAACAACTCGCTACTACTCCGTACCTTGGTGGGTAACCATGTCAATACGATACCTGGAAAACAAAACCCACCAGGATGAGAAATTAGCCACCTGTTTTCAGTGGCTGGTTGTCGGTACCCGAACAGCGGGGATGAGACGAGCTAGAAAGTTTGGGATCAGAAAGGGAGAGGAGGTGGGCGAAGCTATGCTGGTTTAATTGGATATGTGTAATAATGTCAAGGAGCGGGGTAAATGGTTTGGCTTCCCCATGTTAACGGGGGTCAATAATGGCTTGATCTGGAGAGAGGCCTTTTTTTTTTTTTTTTTTTTTTTTTTTTTTGTTTGGGCGTGCCTTGGATGCAGTGATGCATAGGAAGAAAAGAAGACGCCGGCCATTCTTTTGCAGAGAAGAGCTAGTTTGTTGATGCGATATGCTGGTACAGTCAAGAGAAAGCATTTGGAGTTAGTTTCCTGAGTTAGTATTGGGAAATACAAGTACAGTATCTCTCTTGTGTTGTCTGGGATGCGTATCAGCGTCTTGTCAGCAGTTAATCAACGCCTCTGCACCATGCAGACAGTGCTTATTGGCCTTGATTCGTTACGCTCTTCTTCTGACATTCGACATAACGCAGAATCTTCTGGCCAGCGTTTGGGATATATTAGAAACCCTGTGTGTGTGTGTGCTCACCTGCTCGGCAAAGAGAATAGGGGAGGACATTGGTTGGAATAGTTTCCCCAATTGCAGATGTCCGGGTGCGAAGATCCATCGCTCATAGCGGAGTTTCCTCGATGGATGAGGAAAAGAAAACCCATCCTCTGATTTTCGATGAATACGAGGAATCAGGAGCCAGGGTGCCGAAATTATGCATTGTGGGTTAATCCCAGGGAATTCTTTTCCCTGTCCGGGCTAGACCACACGTGATGGTGGATTGGATGTCCCAGATTCGCAGGCACTGCGACTGCAAATGACGATCGCATGGAATGTTTCAATCAGATCGCGTTATGGGCAGGTAGGTCAGTGAGGTCATTCGATCGTGGAGCAGTGCTAAATTTTGGTATTAACGAGTACCCACCGCCAGGGTGCTACTACCTGGACCTAGGTCATCCAGGCGCCTGGGCATTTAGGCCATTTAGGCCAACAAGTCAAGATCGTTGCCGAACCAAGTAAATTCACACTTGAATCATGTTTGAGGGACCCCCAGGAAGCACTGCACTGGTCCATGGTTTCATCTGGTGGATCCACAGTGGGATCTAGAACCGTGAGTTGGGCGATTCGGCAGCTCGAGACGCCAATCCGAGAAAAGCACGACTATCGTAAGGTGGAACATATAGAAAAGTACGGAGGACCTAGGATGATGATCACCTTAATATTAATATCAGGAATCATGGGTGTCACGACGGCGCTTACCTATCGCAATGAGTTGGAGGGGAACAGGGGGGTTTTGGTCCGAGTCTGGGTTTCAAATTACCCGCGGAAAGCATCCAAACGGCGCGCATGAGTCGGGAAGCATGAGCGGACACGGTGGACTGCAGAGCCTAGAGTCTAGCCAAGTAATAGTAATGCAAGAGTAGACTATCTCACAGCGGCTGGGTGGAAAAGTGGCATGTCACAGTTTGGATGCGACTCAAAAAAAAGTACGTGGACTAGTAAGAGTGGCTCTTTTAAACTACGATAGTTGGCAAAGTCAGAGCCAGTAAGTATACTTGTACGGAGCATCTTTAAATCCGTGAGAAAGAAAAAATGGGAATAACTTAGGTAGGTACTAGATAGGTAGGAGGTAGGATTATGAGGATAATTAGGCTATCTAATTAAGGTAGGAATCTGCAGGGCCAGTGAGTTTTTTTTGTCATCTTTATTATTGAGTTCTATTGAATGAGTAACGTTACAACTAAAATTGCCACTCGAGGACGACAACATGTCGTCCGATTCTGATTGGGAGAAAGATAATCACTTAACTATCTGTTTGCCTCCCTCCTGCAAGTATGCCAAGGAAACAGCTATTGAAGTGGCGTGGGATTTCTATGGAAGTTCTAGAATCCCGACTTTTTCCGCGTAGGAAGACAAGAGCTTGGTTTGGAAAAGCTATCTTTAGTTCAGTTTAGGTAAGAATATATCCTCATTTTACATATTAAGCGAGTTTCTGTAGAGTCTTGATCGTCTAAAAAAAAAAAAGGTAGATAAATAGATAGATAGCACCTATCACACTCAATTACTGTGTCGATTCCATTGTATAATATAATGTATATCAGGATACGAGATGATCTGCAGATAGTCAGGGGCAAAGAGGACTGGAGCAGACAGCCAGAACGAACCTTGGAAATGACATTATCTCAAGTTGTGATCGTGATAGACTAAACTGGATTCAAGTTTGTTCCTGGACTGGTCGTTTGGACCTTCCATCGTTATAAGTTACAGAGGAACTAGGTAGAGTGGGTTGGTTGGGTGTGTTTTGAACTGCGTCATATATTAGACAGCCTACAGATGGCATACATATGTTAGTTAGGTACATATCCCCATTCAACATTTTCGAGTCTTCACCCAGTTGTGTCACGAGGACATGGCGTTATTATAGGCCGGAGATTCTTCTGTAGTGTTGCGCCGCGAGAAGCTTCTGCAGTACGACATTAAATCTCCACTGGGACGTAATCCGACTGTGACGCACAGGCCTTCTCTCTAATCAGTCCTCTCGGTCAGCCCCAGCCTCCGAGGATTTCACGACTCAGGAAATCAAAAGGTCGTACCGGTACCTACCTAAGGGAGGTAGGCCTGGGGTTGGTCATGACGGTCATGACCATGACCGTCGAAATTTTGGTCATGACCGTCATGACGGTTTCCAGGTTGTCAGATCGTCGTTTTGCCTGCCTGATCGGGTTAGCGCCCGCAGGCTAGTCCTAATTAAGAATAGTAGTATGTATAGTAGTTATGTGTTAGTTATTGATTACCTAATCTTATTACTAAGACTTTAGAAGCTCTTTATTGGCTACTAACAGACCCACCCTAATCACGTGCGGTCAGGTCATGACCGTCTGAAAACACCCGGTCATGACCATGACTGACCATGACCGTAATTTTCTGTCATGACCACCAGGGCTAAAGGGAGGTGGTAGTACCTTGGGGATGGGGCTGCGGTTGGAAGCACCAGAAGAAGGAAATTGAGCACATGCTTCGTGAAAGTGGACTCGGCTTTGACAATGAAACGGATGAAAATTAGTGTAATTAAACTACGAGTGCCCCAGTCCGCTAGAGAAGTTGTCCACGTCCTGAACTTGGGGGGGAACAAGCGTCCAATCAGCCCGGGCCAAACAATCGCTGAGGCCATCACGTTGTTCAAGGGCGACAACTCATGGGAGGACAGACAGTTGGGGGTTGTGCACATAAAGTCTACCTAGTACAGATTTAGAAATTATTGGGTGGGTTCTAGAGGTTTTTTGAATTGTAAACCTGACACTTCTTTGGGGATAAGTTCACACAATGCCGCTTCTTGCATTCTGACTGGTTGGCTTGTAAATCCGCCAGCGGGCCGAACAGGCCCCAGAGTCAGACTCAGAGTGTCATTTGATTAGTGGGCATTCCTAAAGTTTCCCTGGTTCTCTTTGGTTTAACCCAGACATTCTTTAGAATTCTTTGGCCCTTCTTTTGTGTTTCTGGAAAATATTTATTAGTTATTTATTAATTTATTATTAACCCTTTTTTTTTTTTTTTTTTTGCCTCCCTGTAACTGAAAACGGCAGTCTTACATGGATCCTCCTCCCCTAATACAGAGACCCTCGGTAGTTCTAATGGGAGGTTCAATTCCTGATTATTGATCCTCCTCGGTCTTTTGAAGATATACCTAGGTAATAATAACGATACTTTGGAGATAGAATAATTAGTAGAGCTTTGGAGAAACCCAGTCCAAAGCTAACCACAGGGTGACACATAGACTGTAAGCCACGATACTGCATCTACTAGTATAACCCGCAGGCCCTTGCAGGCACTCTTGAAAGAACCGCAGGAAAGTTACTACAATGCCAAAACACCTGGCCCTAAAATCCACCAGAATCGTCGTGGATGATGGCGATGGCGCCCGTCGATTGAGGAGAAACCAATTTCTGCGACTAGCTCTGTTGTGGAATAGTGCAAAATCTAATTAGGCAGGAGAGTCCAGTTTGGCTTCTTTAGGGTAATACCAAGGAATCCAGTATGACACACCTGCTATCGTCTGTCTGCCTACTGAAGGGTTATCCACGTATATCTACGTACTCTGGTAGGTATATGGATATTGTCTACGAATGAGTTTCAATTCCATCGTTCGACAATTTTACCTACTTTCCTCCCGGCTCTCATTCTCGGGATGTTGACTACCTAAATAATCATTAATGAATGACCAGTCCGACCCCCTTGCTTCTAACCTTGCACTGCCTTCTTGGCGATCCGTAGATCCTGCATGATCAGAACCAATCAAAGGCCCTGCACGACTCCTCGTCAGGCCGTCGTGCACCTTTCCAATGACTATAAGTTACCTAATCCTTTCAAGGTTCAACTGGGTATTATTATTATTATTCTTATTATTATTATTCTTATTATTATTCTTATCTTACCTAGGTATGCATGAGAGACGCCCGGAGAGTTGCTATCCGACTCCAGATGCGTTCCAACTTCTACAAACCACCAGAAGGCAAAAATGGCTCTTGTTGCAGTAGGTTTCAGGGGACCATCGCAGAGCTCTCTACTCTACTCCTCTGAACGTATCAGCGTGGGGAATTAATTCGAGGTAGGCTCATTCATTGCGTTTCTTAGTTGTACCATCTCAACGGATGCGCGGCAATCTTCGACCAAGACCGATAAAGAAAGATCTTTTCATTTCAGAGGAGGTTAATATTGAAAGAAGCATCTTTTAGTGGCCACATAAAAGCCTTGTCCTTTTAAGATTGATCAAGAATTACCTAGGTAGGTCGCCAGATTCTTTCAGTTAGGCCAGGCTTTATTGACTCTGACGGTTGTTTGTTGATGTACGGAGTATAAGAGTAAATAGGTACGGACTCTGCCTCCCTCCCCCGGTAGATTTCGTTCGTTTGCTTCAAATTAATATTTTTCCTACGATGACTGCGTAGACTTCCCGTAACTATAACTATTAATTATTCAGTGGTGGCAACTACTCCTCCCTCTCTCTTCAACGCTTTCAAATTGGAAGCTGCAGGGAGTCCCTGTTCCTGGGACCTCCAACGCTGGCATACCATCCATACCTATCTATCCCCACGGATACACAAAATCAAAATTCGACACCGCTTCGCTTCGTTTCCCCTGGATTCCCTTGACCAGACAGTGGACATCAACCTCAATCATACCCTGCCATTTGAAAGATATTTTATATTTTATCCCTCTCTTGAGCGATTTAACGGTTGCTTCTCCTGCCACTTTGGCGGCATTTTCTGCTCATCCCCTTACAGCAAAGGTTTTGCTCTTCTTCTCATTTCATTTCAAAAACTGGATCATTCCGAGATCTTGAGATGGAAATGGATAGAGATCATGGATCCACAAGACAACTTTGAATCGTCATCCGTCAAGTCAGTACAATTCCAGATAGCGACGGGATCCACCTGGATGTGTTATTTCAGAGTTTAGGATGGAGAGTCCATCCATCCCTCTGTTCCCCCATCTCCACTTCTTTTTGCATCATCAAATTGGTAAAGTTAGATATGCGTATCTTCTACCACCTACACCTAGGTAGGTATGCATGGCGGGCCCCGTAGTATTCTTTCTAGAAAGGAATTACGTGACATCCACTTCCCCCCATCCTGTTATCTAAGTGGCTCTCCATCTCCGCCGACCTCGGCCTGATAGGACCCAGCGCTTCAAAGTTCTGGCTACCAGAGGATCGACTGAAGCGTCTCACCATTCTGTGTGATTCGCTTGAACCAACCAGTCCCTCTCCCTCTGTTCCTGTGGGCCCACCCCAGGCTTCTTCTCGCTGGACGCTTCCGTGCAGCCTTTCTGGACTCTGAAGCGCCTGATCATCGTCACATCTTTTTTTTTATTATTTCCGTCCTTCTTTTTCTTTTCTTTTCTTTTCTTTTTTTTTTTTTTTTGCCTTTCTTATTCTTATTTCCACCCGGTTCTCCTGTGTTTCTTTTAATCTTATTTCAAGCCCACTCCAACTTCTCTCGACACGCCCTCCTTTGGCTTGTGTCGTCATCTATATACCCTCTTCTTCTTCTTCTTCTACCATTCTTCCATTATTTTTAATGTGCTTATCCTACCTGCTAAAAACAACTACTTTCTTCTCCCCTGTCTTTACCATTGCCGCACGCTCTCGTTCTTGAGGACATTTGCCGCCGTAATTCGCCCTGACTAACGCTCCCACCCCGGGTTCACTCCAGATCCCCCCCCCCCCCCTTACTCTTTAACGCACACTTCCACTGGGACTTGTCTTGACTTTATATGACTCTCTCGCCTGATATTCGACTTCAACTCTCCCTCTTGTTCACCACCTTTCTCTGTTCTCTCACGGCTTCTCGCAGCAAGCAGTTTTAACTCCTGTCGGAAAGCCACTGGGAAGTCCTTTGGTCAGCGCGCGCCAGCTTACCCACCAGATTAGCGGGAGCTATTTCCTCACCACCACCCCCTCTGAACTCTTTGAACAACTTCACTAAGACATCTTTGTCCATTTTGCCCCCCCCCCCACAGCATTTGGGCTGTCTCGGGTAACGGGCGCCCCTCGGGTGCAAGATTCCACTCTCAACATACTTTCAAAATCGGGGACGCACGCTGTACGCGATGCTGAAGAAGAAGTCCTTGCACCCCCCTCTACTCTTTTGGAATACTTCTCCTACTTCGACCCCCGAGCTCTCCCCAACATCCTCGTCATCGGATAGCGAGTCGGACGAGGACATGGACCATTCCGGTTCACGTCCGCTAAGTCTGACTGTCTCTCCGGGCGCATTCTGTCCTATGCGACCGACCCTAGATGAGGTACTCGCCAACACAGCACCAGCACCCTACACTCTCGGCGCTTTTATGGCCTACCTCTCTCAGAATCACTGCCTTGAGACGCTGGAGTTCACTCTGGAAGCAAAACGTTATCGGGAAACTTACGAGGCGCTCAGCCGTCCTTTCGGCCAGTTCCCCGTACTTGGCGACTTTCCAGAGAGCCAGCATCTCCACATGCTTTGGCAGCGACTCCTATCGGCGTACATTCTCCCTGGGTCCCCGCGTGAGATCAATGTTTCAAGCGAGGTCCGGGATGACATCCTGCGACATGCCAACTCGACCATGCCCCCACCCCCTCAGATGCTCGATGCGGCAGTCAAGCTTGTGCATGATTTGATGGAAGAGTCGATATTCTTGCCCTTTCTTAATGCCCACTCCGCCTCCGCTCACGTCTTGCCTCTTCCGGAGTCGTTGTTCCCGCACGAAGACGGTGTTACCATCGTTTCCAACTCTAGTCTCGATGACCATGCGGTGAAGCGGGTTCGATCTAAAGGAGGACGGCTATCCCCACGGACATCGAGAGAGCTGGGGTCTCCCGTTTCTTCGAGCCCACCTTCGAGCCACCTTTCCCGTTCGAACTTCTCCCTCAGCGCTGTAACATCTTTGGGGAAATCGAACCATCGAACGTCTGGCCAAATGTCGAGCACCAGTTGTGACTCTGGATCGGCTGCCCTGACCGACGATTCTGGTAGTCTGCAATCCACAGGAAGTGTAGGCGAACCAATGACGCCTCCAACGACCCCTCCTTCCAGCGAACCTCAAGGAATGCACATGGCTCACAGTCCTAAGGCTCGAATCGACAACCCCTGGAAGAAAATGGGCATGAAGCTGGGATTCAAGAAGCGATCGGGCAACACGAGTCAACACATGAAGTACCACGGAATGGACGAATGACATTCTCCTGCCGACCACATTGGGGTTTACTTTCCTCGTGAACCCTCTCGACTCTTTTCATCAAATTATAGACGTTACGACCGGAACTGCGTACCACGAAACACTACATACGACTTGATCATTGAACCATGAACACGATCACTGGATTGATACGAATTGGACGGTGTAATGTATGGGCATATATTCTCATTTTTACTCCACGGAAGCATTTTCATAGCAGGCGTTCTCGAACAGCGAGTGAGCGAAACTTCGATTTCGATTTTCATTTCAGCAACCCAAAATCAGATAGAATACGGTCCACGTGGAATGGGAGGCTTTTTTTTTTTTTTTTTTTTTGTCTGGCGTTGGGTTTTGTTTTATTTTTAATGAGGCTATCTACCACTCCTACAATAATAGGAGTGGTAAGGGTTAGCTCCTTTTTTTTTCACTCTTTTCACCTTTTTTTGTTTTTTTTTTTTCTTCTTCTTCCCTCATTTCTGTTTCTTTTGGTTTTATGCATGGAAGGAAAATCATCATCTGCCATATTCATATCAGGCAAGCACCAATCTTGCATTCTGTTTGTCTAGCTAGCATATACACCCTTCTCCCTGTGTGTGTTTTAAGGGTTGGCATTATTAGCATTACATACCACTAGTCGATAGATACCCAATTGATCGATAGCAATCAGATTATTTCCAAGTAACTTATTTTAGTGTAGTACGGAGGAGTATCTGGAGAAACCTTCCCGAGACTTATCTAGTAGATAGTAGAAGGAGCTGCTGTGCCACTTTCTCGGTGACACGTGGTGACATCCTCTACCTCTTATAACCATCCTAACTCTCTATATATAGTACAAACATACAGCCCAGGCAGGCCCGATAAATAAATGAAAAAAAAATAATAATAATACAATGAAGCTAATTAGCTCGAAAGAAGAAGAAGAAGAAGAAGAAGAAGAAGAACCGAACACACTATTCAACTGGCCCCAACCAACTCCACCCTTCTTCCCGGCCTTGTCGCCAACGCCGCAACCTGGACATCCCACCCTACCTCTCCAAGAAGTCCCATGTACCGCTCGAAGCGCGCAGACTGATTCAGGAAACCCAGCGTAGTCGAGAGGACTCTCATTGCTGTTTTGATCTCGGGGTCGCTTTCTTTTTCTTGGTCTGCGGGGGAGGAGGGTGAAGGCGAAGGGAGGAGTAAATGTGCAGCTAGCAAGGCGTGCGCCCAGGCTTTGAGTTGGGATGCTGGAGTGCAGCTTGTCTTTAGGAGGATGGATGCCCTGGTTGTTCTGGGGGCTGCGTTCCCCCGTGGCGGGTTCCTGGAGAGGAAGAGGATGTAATCTTCCTGGGCGAAGAGGGATGTTAGATCTGCTAGGGGGAGGGTGGTTGTAAGAGAGGTGGGGCTAGATGCTGTGGCGGTTGTAGATGGGGAGGAGGACGATGAAGGAGAGAGGAATTGGCCGAGGGAGACGCCTATTTGGCATTTCCCAAGAAGATGGGGCGTGTTGGTTCCCGTGGTTAGACTGGGACTCCATTTCAGGGCGCCGCTTGGTTCAAAGATTCGTTCTTGTTTGGCGACTTGGGCCGGGGTGGGGATTTGTGGGGTTTGGTGGAGAGGGAGTTGGTCCTGGTCCTGGTCCTGGTCCTGGTCCTGGCGTAGTTGGGATTCGGTTTCATTTTCAAAGTCGATCAGGGTGTCGGCGAAGAGAGTTGAGAAGACGATGTTTGCGCGTTGTCTGTTTAGGCTTGTCATTTGGACGGAACGGACGGCGGCGTAGTTAAATATTAGGTGGAGGGCGAGGAGAGAAAGAAGACAAAGCCAGGTTGCTGCAAAGCTGGTGACGTGGGAGACGACTACAGATCCGACCTGGTTTCTTTAGATTCGGAGGCAGGTCGGTTGGAGGCGGGGTACTCACGAGCATGCCAATCAGCGAGATAATTGTCTCTTGAGATGAGTCTTTCTATTAAGATGTTAGGTATTCAAGACGCATTTCTAACGAAACGGTTCCGAGATATTGAGAACAAAGATGTAGCTGGAAGGAGGGGGGAAGAAAACGTACTGCATTCACTTCGGCAAGATTCCCCCATCGAGAGAAATGGGCACTTAGACTTGCTTTCGAGCTCCCCCCAGCAACACCGCACAGCGCTCGTAGTACGCCAGCTGCACTGAGGATAGTAACCCGACTGACCCCAGCCGGAATCATCGGTGAGAGACAGTCGAGAATCATCGCCAGGTCGTTGAAGATGTCAGCTGCAAGCCGATACATCTTGCATTCTGGCTCGAGGGCCGTGCCGACACGATGCGCGAAGAGAATCGTGGCAACGCGGCCGGAGGAGTCCTGCAGGATGTGTAGGAGTAAGGCAGAAGTAGGAGAGGCATTGGCATTGCCGACTCCGACACCTGAGATGGTTAGAAGTGTGACTGTAGCTATAGGGTTGGTAGAGCTACCTTGTAGGACTGCTCTGGAAGATAACAGGCCCGCAATGGAGCTACTGAAAGCTTGGAGAGAGTCCTGGTAGAAGAGTATGAGTCGGGCAAAGCAACGCGGCTAGAGTTATGCGGCTTACAAAGATTTGATATCTACTTGGCGATCAGCAACTGCAATAGAAAGAATGTAAGAATAGTATAGTTACTACTCACGGGATATAGTCATCGCTAACACTGTGCGGATACCCAGCAGGAAGAAAGACGTCTATTAGAACATTCCGTAGAGAGCTTAGAGACCATGGGGTTGAAGAACCCGAAGAAGCATGCTGAGATCATGTCAGACCGGTCATATTCCTGGCAAGTGACACTATCTTAAACTGCTCACCGCTATATCAATGCGTCCTCTGATATCCCTATGATCTCCTTTGCTGTGTTGATTGTGGTTGGTCGACTCGGAGTAGATGAAAGTCGCTGTTGGATTGTTGACTTCGTCTACCTCATTAAAGACAATGCTAGGCGCCATTTGCTGATCTGTTGGGGGGGGGGGGGGTTCCTGTTGCTACCTGAATTGAATATTTTGAAGCAGAATTATAGTTGAAGGATTCGACGGGGCATCGAAAGGCCAAGTTGATGTTGAAGAACTAGTGAGGGGATGTGGGTGGCTGCAGGGTTGGGGATCAGGCGGAAGCACGTGTGACAGCTCCAATCCAGCTTCCCCCATATCTGCATATTTCACGGCGCATCATGTCTACTTTCTTCTACGGAGCATGTATGGAGTAAATTGAGACGGTTATAATGTTGTGATTGTTCTGAGCTATTACTGAACCATGGCTCCTTTTTAGTAAATCCAGACTTTTCAAGGGTAAAGTAAGGGGCTGTCTATGATGTATAAGACCCCAATAGTCCGCAAACCAACATCAAGAAAGATATATCCCGCACATCGCACGCCAGAAGAAAAGGAGAATATAAACCGCTAAGTTTTCGAAGACTAGCAAACCCCCCCCCCCCCCCTGCGCCGTAGAATAAGAATGGTAGAATAAATAAATAAAAAAAGATATGGTAAAGAAGAGCGAGAAGTGGTTGAAACGGATCGTGGAAAGTTTTCCAGCAGACTAGAGGGGATTAGCACGGGGCTAGCCCTTGGCCTGGATTACAACGTTGAAGTTCACGACAAGTGCGAGATTGTTTCCGGCCCCGACGCCCTCCCATTCTCGGAAGTGGGAGAGCGACTTCGACTCGGGTAGCGATGACCCTCCCTCCCCCTCTCATCTCAGACATGCGCCTCTCGTCTCCATGCGTCTCGTGATAGATGGTGAAGACCATCATCATTGCGTCATTCCTCGTTTCCAAAGTGCAGGGAATTAAGCGAACAGGCTGGCACCGCCAGTCTCGATGGCCTCAATCTCGGCCTCGGTGTAGGGCATGCGGTGGAATCGGGTGGGCAGGTCAGAACGGTCGAAGAATTCTCCCTGATTGGGCTTGATAGGTCCAAGAGCTGCACCGGCGCTGCGACCGATGGACCCCTGGGTGAACGAAGCTCGGCCAAGGGGCCCGTGCTGCTGTGCCTTGGCGCGGTAGGCGGCGAAAGAGTCGGGAAGAATGCCAGTAGGAGAGGCAGGGTGAGCGCGGGGGGCGCGGTCAAGGGACTCTGGATTCAAGGATTAGCAATTGACGTCTGGGAACCCGCGTATTTTTGTTGGAGGGCACAGAACATACGGGGGACAGAACGCTTTCCCAGGAACCGGATCAAGGGAGTCCGTGCAGCGTTGCGGAGGGCAGCAGTAGCGTGCATTATGAATACAGAGGGTTATTGAATGCAAGACTTTTTGAAAATAGGCTGGTTTTTCGTGGTTGAAGTTGGTAACCGGTTCCAGCCGAAGCGGAGAGGAAGATTTCAGGTGGTAAGGGCTCGAAGTATCGACTTAACGGCGAATGGAGGATTGGCAATAATAATATTTACAGACGGAGAAAGTGGCGAAGACTGAGAAAGAGGGAGAGAGAGGAGAGAGAGAGAGAGTGAGGAGCAATGGAGAGAGAGAGAGAGAGAGAGGGAAAAAAAGACGGAGGAAGGAGAGGAGCGGAAGCGAGAGGGTGGGTTTTTGATAAGCCGCTCTAAGCAAGAGGGATGAGGATGGGATTAAAGTGGTGTGATAATCTGCTCTGCTTGGGTGTAATTTTGAAATGGAACAGAGGATGCTTACCCCAAATTCTTAGTAGAGAACTTCCTAACTTGCATTTCGGTGAAAAAGAATACTACTACTGCTACTACAGAGTACTTCGTACCTACTGTAGTTAATGATCAAGGACCTTGCTACGGTCTGTGAGCTTCTTTCTCATCCTATCTTCTCTCTCAATCTTTGTACGGTATTCTCGTTACACGACGGAATAAACTAGCCACCCCACATTCCTTTCATCATCTAGTATGTACTCTGTAATTTACATACTCTTCTCTTTACTCTTCTCTTCTTATTCTTATTCTTATTCTTATTCTTATTCTTATTCTTATTACTCCTATTAAAATAAATTTATAGTTAGCTACTACAAGTGATTAAGAGAGTGAGACGCTGACACACGTGACATCCTCCGAAACTTCCGCCGAGACGGTAACAAAACACCGAGACAAAATCCATCGGTATCCAAAACTTCCGAGACGAACCAACTCTCTTACACTCTTACAGGTTGTGCTGGACTCTTTGCATTCTGATCCCCCCCCCCAACTTAGCCAGAGATACGGAGTACTACTATATACTTCCTGCTTGGAGTTTCACAATCGAATCATAACTCTTCTGGGCTTCATTTCCCCGGTGTTGTGCGGTTGACTCGGAAAACCTGGAATCTCGTCGCGGTCCCGAATTTACCCGGATTTCCGTCCTTTCCACGCCCTTTCCGTCTGTAACCGTGTCTCTCTCTGTTTTGTGTGTATTCGGCGCTTTGATTGAAGCTGCTGCTGCTGGTGTTGTTCTTCTTCTCGATCTTATTGGACCCTTGACTTGACTATGCACGAGCTTTTGCTCTTCGCATCGGTTCCCGCCCACCAGCACAATGAGTTGCTGCAACAGCTTGCTGGCTTGACTGCCATGCAACCCTGTCACCGTCTGGAAAGACGTCTGATCTTCAAGGCTTACCGCAAGCCGGGCTTAATCAACACCCGTGGTGGTGCGAGCCAGGACTTGCAGGGCGCCGATCTACCACGTCTCAATAAGATGCTCAATGGGGGCATGTTCTATACCCAGGTAGTTGGCCCTCTCTCCGACGCAGATTTTGATACGGAACCCTCGTTTTCTGGGGAACGGGGGGATGCACCCATGTCTGGCACAGATGACACCCCGGTCGGGACAGGGTCTTATGATTATGATAATCAATCTTGGAGACTCGAGTTCAGGGATATTCCCGAGGCCGGCACACGATCAACCATCACATCTCGGCTGATGGCTAGTGCGGCTCTCCCCAAAGGCGATATTATGACGCCTATGAATGCCTGGGGGTATAGGTGGGTTTCCCCTCTTTTCTGCCCCTCTACGCTTAGCACATGGCACCGGCAAATGTGTTGCATGATCCTTGCATTGACCATTGGCGAATCGGCCAACTAGTTTCGTTACCGAGTATCTGGTAGAAGGAGATGTCTTTATTCACAACGACATTGTGATCTTTCTGCATCGCGTTCTTCAATATCCAATTCATGGCCAGGAGCCACATGGACCGCGGCAACAGCTACCCTCGTTCCGGGAGATGTCGCCCTTGGAAAGAACCGGGAGCTATGTCCTACAAGCTGCGATCACAGTCCAGGACGGCAGTAACCAGGAGCTGATGAAGACAGCTTCCCAGCATCTATTCGGGTTGCGAGAGCAGCTCAAGTCAGCTGTTCGATTAGAGCAAGCTGATCGACTATCTCTGGATACTCGTGCAAAATAGCGAGGTATCTCATGATTTGAATGAATGTTTTATACCCCGGAGCAGTTGGCTCTAAGTTTTAGATTTATCATTGCATAACCTTCACACAAGTGCGAGAAATATAGAGTTGTCAAATAAACCTTTTCCTACCTAGTAGGCGAACTCCGGCGGTTTCTGGTTTAGTAGTGACACCGGTCAACCCTTGATGTGAATTCAGGACCTCCGTACGTAGAAGGACTTGCCCAATAAAGGCATATATGACTATGCAGCCTAAAGCATGTATCTAGTTGTGCTGTTGCGGCAAGGTCAATTTCTATTAGCTACGAATCGCTTATTGAGGCAAGTTTAGTAGATGAATGTCTGTGAATAGTAGACTTATCTACTATATCAATAGTTTGCATTGTATCTTTTTTTTTTTAGTGATTCGAGTAAACTTGGGATGAACATGTGACCTCGTGAACCTCAGGCACGCGTCGGCGCGTCAACTTCTGCTTCCCTATCATCTACGTCAAAACGAATAGGAACCCATCTCTCCCTGCATTCAAAGTTCCCTATTCTGATTCATCTCAATCCTTCAAAATACTCTCTCTTCACCAGTTCATTAGGATGGGCGAAGGCTCATTGAAAAGGGCCGCCTCCCCCTCCCGCCCAATCTCCCCACCACCACTCAAACGCAAGGTCGAATCAACCCTCACAAGTGAGCTCTAATCTGCCTTCTCTTATCCATTTCTAAAGCCATTCTAATTGAAAATCTAGAGAAAGCCGCGGCATCGTTCTTCACCCCAGCCTCACAGAAGAAACCCGAACCATTCACTTGGCGGATTGTGAAAAATAGCCTAGTTGTCGGCAAGTATTCCATCGGAGCAGAGCAGAAACAAAGCTCGACAACGCCCAAAGTTGCTGCTTTTGATTTTGTAAGTCGTCGATCTGGAATGGATCTAATTTCAAGACCTCTCTAACCGAGGCAGGATTCGACGTTGGTTTCCACGGCTTCGGGCAACACGTTTGCGAGAAACTCGGCAGATTGGAAATGGTGGCATGCCAGTGTCCCTTCAAAGCTGAAAAGGCTGAATTCGGATGGGTGTGTAACATCTTGCTGCATGTTCTCAATTCCAATACTATACTGATATACTTAGGTACCATGTGGTTATCATGTCAAACCAAAAGAAAGTTAGTCTCAAGAGAGATATGAAAGGACCTCAAGGGGATTCGAAAAGCTTGACGAACTTCAAGGAAAGAGTGTCGGCCGTCATGAAGCAACTAGATATCCCTATTAGCGTTTACGCGGCTACGGAAGACGATGACTACCGGAAGCCGCGAGCAGGGATGTGGAGAGAGTTTGTCGATGATTGTGACTTTGATGTATCAGGGGTTGATCTTTCCGCGTCAGTATTTGTCGGCGACGCTGCTGGACGACCAGCGGATCATTCGCAAGTTGATCGGTGAGTTACCTCTGCAGTCGAAAGTAAAGGTCTCAATCAAGCTCATGCATTCCAGTGGATTTGCGGTGAATGTCGGAGTCCCTTTCAAAACCCCCGAGGAGTTCTTCCTTGATGCTCCCCCTGAATCTTTGGTGGAGTCATTCAACCCGTCGGCATACATAAAACCAGAACCTACGAATGATGGTAAGTGTGCTAAATCGAGCAGAGAATTTGTTATGCAGCAGACGACGAAATGGAAAAAATAATAACGATATGTGAGAAAATAGCCCCCGCACCTTTCTCGAGACAAAGTCCTCTCGAGCTAGTGATCTTCTGCGGTAGTCCCAGTGCGGGCAAGTCGACCTTTTACTGGGATTACCTCGAACCATTGAAGTACGAACGAGTGAACCAAGATATCCTCAAAACGGTATGTGGCTTTTCAAAGTCCTTCCCACCCCCCCGCATTTGCGGCATATCAAACAAAAAAGGGGGACCCCCCCCCCCCCCCCCGAGGAAGAACCCCGATACTGACCAGAAAACAGAGACAAAAATGCATCAAGGTGGCTAAAGAACACCTTGCTGCGGGACGGTCTGTGGTCGTCGGTACGTACAAGAGATATCCAGCCTATGGGAACCGCATAACCCTTGCATTTCTGTCCGACGTTAAGCAGCAAACACTTCCTCCGGCCGGATCTGGGAATCGCATTTTCATTAAAAAAAAATAAAAAATAAAAATACAAGCTGAATGGTCTGTCTTGTCAGATAACACCAATGCTGATCCAGAGACGAGATCGCAATGGGTCGACATCGCCGAAGAATTCAAAATCCCTATTCGTTGCGTGTACTTTTCCGCGCCCCCGACAGTCTGCAGACACAACAACGCAGTCCGAGCCGCGAATAAAGGCCTCGTAAGTCCATTGCCCGTGTCTACACTTACATACCGTACCCCTCTTTCCATTCATCCTGAACTGCACCCATAACAAAGGGAATGCTTTCTTTCCACATGAACTCCGGTATCTACCTACATACATACATTCCACCCACTAACAAAGCCTACCTCCCCCTTCAACACCCTAGAACCCCGAATCCCGCACGCTCCTCCCCGGCATCGCGTTCGGCGATTTCCTCCGTCGATTCAAGGAGCCCACCATGTCGGAAGGATTCCAGGAGATCGTCCGGGTCGATTTCCAGTTCCGGGGTGACGACGCGGCCCAGCAGATCTGGAAGCAGTACTGGATTTGAAGGCTGTTTGTGAGCTTTGTGTATCGAAGCCGAACAGAGCTAGAGCAAGGAACTAGACACTTATACATACATACATACATACACGAACAACCAGAACCCAAGAGTACAATAGCAATAGCAATAGCAATAGTAATAGCAATAGTAATAGTTAGTTATGATATCGTTAGTTTGTCCATCTTTTATCTATCCTAGCTCGACCACATTTACTTACCCTTGCATTGTAGGACCTAGTAGGTAGTAGAGTAGTAATGTATATATGTATATCGGCACTCTGTACGTAGGTGGTCCCTTGGCTACCTAACAAGCAAGCAAGCAAGCAAGCAAGAAAATATATACATACCGGCTACAGTTCATCAGTACAGAAGGGCTACTAACTTGCCCTTAGTATAGGTAGGGTGACTGACTCTGGTCTGAGGAGGGAGGTAAATTTGTAGAGGATTCATACTGGACTCCTTGCTTAGGATTCTACGTACTCCGGACAGCAAAGTAGATCAAGTAGGGGATACTACTAGTATTGTAGATTATGTTACATAACATTCCTTTTCTGCATATATAAGTATGCCTTTTCTCTCTCTTTTTTTTTTTTTTTTAGTCCCATTCAACCAGGCGAACATCCGTCATGCGAACATTCAGAGAAGAAAACAGGTGCAAGGGATTATCCATCATTCCATCCGTAATCATGCAATGGGAGCAGAGACAAAGGGGAAAAAAAGGTATCATATCATCATCAAGGAGTGTGGACTGCGCTCTGCGAGTCAGTAGTCGCTGGCGCATTATGGTCATCAGTCATTATCGGATCACAGATCACGTAACAAGACAGAAAGGAAAGGAAAATAGCGTGGCTGTAAAAATAAATTTGGGGGGGGGGGGGGGGGAAGAGTTAGACATTAGTCGTCACACACGCTCGCTGAATCAATCATCCGAGAGGCGTAAAATTCGTAATGATGTTGTATACATCCAAGCCTCCCGTTCAGTCCATGCCCCGTGGCGGTTTAAGATCGAGACACCAGGTCCTGGAAGAACCGGAAAAAGTTTCGCTTGAGCGACCGATTTCGGCATGACCCAGTTGCCGGGGCGATTTTCATGGGGCCGACAATCTCGCCATCGCCGAGCTCGGGAAACTTGTTGTCGTGCAGAGTGGGAATCTTGACTTGCTCACACGGATCGCAGTGGGATTTGATTAGGCTCAGCTCGGTGGCCTCCAGCTGGGCGAGCATCGCCTCGTAATGATGCTTCCATTCGCGGTCGATCGACTCCCACTTTTCTTCCGTCAGTTTGTAGATTTTCGAGGTAATTCCGTAATGCTCGCCGGTCCGCACGAGATGCTTGGCGAAATTACATTGGGCAAGGTCCCATTGGCCGCGCAACTGGCGGAACGAGTCAAGATCGTAAACTTCCGGCACATACGGCTCGGGCTGGATATTGAAATTGGCATGGCCCAGTTTGTGGGCCCATTCGTCGTTGGGATCGGACAGGGTGAACGGTGGGACATCGCCCGAGACCGTCCGGACGGTGCTCGCGCGTGGACGGTTGAACGAGGCGACGGATGGCTTGGTGGACAACGGAGGCGATGGGAGGAGTCCTGCCAAGCGTGGATCCGGGTGCACACTGAGGAGGTCCAGGCTGTCGTCGGAAATATCCGCGACCGAGGGAGACTGCAACGGGGAATGGATCCGGGAGACGGTTGGGTAGATGGGTGCGTCTCCCATAAAGGGAGGAAGTAATGGGGTAGTGGCTTGCAGAGCCGAGTCGTCCGGGTCGTCCTGCTGGTTGGCTTTGACGATATCGATCGGACGAGTGCCTGACTCGCTCAGGCGCTCTTCAAAGATCGTTCTTGCGGGAGACGGGGGGATTTGAACGGGGTCAACCCAGCTCATCTGGGCGAATGTCGTCGGACTGCCCGCAAAGGCCGACGCGGCAGAGTTTGTGCGCGATCGCAAGGCTGGATAGGGATCGGCAGCTTCTACTCCATCGGACACGCGCTTCGACCTCCACCGCGTGGAAATGGTGGAGATGCAAGAACTAATGCGCGAGAGACCCCCGGAAGAGACCGTATCGGAGCGTCTCTTTTTCGGGGAGTGGGCAGGATCCATTCCAGCATCGGTGAAGTCGTAGCGGTCGCAAGCATTGAGGGAGGCGAGATAACACTCTTCCGCTGCGGATAAGCCTTGGTCAAAATGTTCTGCGGTCCGTGAGCCGGGGAATTTTAACGAGGCTGGGAGCAAGGGCAACATACGGAAATATTCCTCCTCGAGATCCCTCGCTGGCGGTCCACAGGGCTCTTCTTCTTTTACTCCTGTCAAGGGGTTCCGCGAGGCAATATCAATAGAATTCCCGTGACTCGGGGACGAGACCAGCGACGACGCGGAACTGGAGAAGCGCGGATGGCCTTTGGTGGAAAAGAGAGACACGGCAGGTGAGACGGGGGTGGACGCGGTCAATGGGGATTGAGGAGGCTGGCGAGAGGGAGGGGAAAGATCTCCTCCTCCCATATTGTCCACTTCTCTGTCTTTCGAGTGAATTTTAAGGTTCCGATGAGGCAGAGAACCAAAGGAACACGCCAGGGGGGGGGAAGAGGTTAAAGTAGATTGAGTTTAGGAGAAGAGTAGATATTTAGGAGAGAAGATGAGAGCCCAAGTAGAGAGAAAGACGTGGCGTGGCGGTCAAAAAAAAAAAAAAAGCCGCGCAGATTCCTTCCAACAAATCCCTGACAATGACGTGGAAACAACTGCAACTGGACAAGTGGCTGAGAGGAGATGACAGCTCAGTGTACAATCAAAATTGACAGGCTTCTGAGTTCTCGAACGCTGGTTCGTTCTTCCTTGGTTCAAATGGGAGATTCTTCTCGCTATACGGAGTACATTGGATGCCGCCTCGCAGTAATTTTCGTCGGTAATTTTCGTATTGCACTTTCGGCTGTGTCGACTGCCGTAGACCCGTGCGGAGAGATTCTGCCGGCATTATATCATGGCGGTCAGCCTCGTGATCCCGATCTTTTTATCTGATCTCGAAATAGTATCATCTCCTAACGCTACCCCCGAGATACCTCGCCAGCAAGTCTCAAGTTGACGCCTGGAGCATGGCAAAGCTCTCCCTCGCCTTACTGGCCCTCTCTAGCTTCGCCAGTGCCTCATATCTCCAACAGATCCTCCCGGCCTACTCCCTCGACGACATCATCAATGCCTCGCCCTTTCTCTCCCTCCACCGGGACCTTGTCCAGATCCCCTCGGTCTCGGGCAACGAATCCGCCGTGGGAGACTTTCTCACCGAATACCTCGAAGCCCGGGACTTCACCGTCGTCCAACAGCCCGTCCTGGCCCCCGGCTCCTCCCAACCCCGGTACAATATCTTCGCCTACCCATCATCCGCGGGGCAATCGCCGCCGGAAATCCTCTTGACCAGCCACATCGACACCGTTCCGCCCTTCATCCCGTACTCCCTGCACCGCACGTCCGCCGACATTCTCATCGCCGGCCGCGGCACCGTCGACGCAAAGGCCAGCGTCGCGGCCCTCATCTACGCCGCCCTCGAAACCCTCTCCCGCCACCCGACCGCCCCGCTGGCCCTGCTCTTCGTCGTCGACGAGGAAGTCGGCGGCGCCGGCATGCAGGCCTTCTCCGCAAACACCACCCTCAACACCGCAGACTACCACACCGTCATCTTCGGAGAGCCCACAGACCTTGCCCTCGTCGCCGGCCACAAGGGCCTGCTGGGGCTCGAAGTCGTCGCAACCGGCCAGGCCGCGCATTCAGGCTACCCCTGGCTCGGCGAGAGCGCCGTCTCAGCCATCCTCCCCGCCTTATCCATCCTCGACAAACTCGGCGACCTCCCCGCCGCCGACGGCGGACTGCCCGCGAGCCCCAAGTACGGCCGCACCACCGTCAACATCGGCCACGTGGTTGCCGGCGTCGCGGCCAATGTGGTCCCCGCGTCGGCCGTCGCTACGGTGGCGGTGCGCTTGGCCGCGAGCACGCCCGCGGAAGCGCGCGCGATCATCCGCGCGGCCGTGGCCAACGCGACGACGGCCGACAATCCGCATGGTGTGGTTTTGGATTTCCAGAAACATGCGGGCGCTTATCCGCCGCAGGATCTGGATGTCGACGTGCCGGGGTTCCCTGTGACAACGGTGAATTATGGAACGGACGTGCCGAATCTGGAGCTGCGCGGGGGGCCCGCTGTGAAGAGGTATCTGTATGGGCCGGGGAGTATTCATGTAGCGCATGGCGATACCGAGGCGATTACCGTTGGGCAGTTGGAGGAGGCGGTTAGGGGGTATACGCGATTGATCGAGGCAGCATTACATTAATACATATATATATATATATATATATAATTTAAAAAAAAAGCAAATGAATAGTTACCTTGTTACTTACTACCTAGATATATATATATATATATATACAGAACAGCAGATCTAATAAGACACGAATGAAGATACATAACCCACCCCCCCCCCCGCCAAAAACCTTTTCACACTCTCTCTCTCTATATCCAACTCAGGTCCCCCTAAGACTGCACCGCAGAAGGACTCCTCCTCGCCCTCCGCGCCCAACCAGTCTTCAACTCCCCCGTAGGCGTAAACCGCGGCAACGGATGCGCCTCGGTGTTAAACACATGGTCCTCCAGCGCAAGAAACCCGCGCTCAGAAAACAACAGGTAGAAATACTTGAGGGTTTCGGCCATCCAGAAACTCTCCATGTTATCGCGCTGGATCGGCGGGACGACGTTCGCGTTCGACAGCGACGTGAACCCGATGATTCTGGACGTGGGGCCGCCGTCGCCGTCGCCGTCGTCGCCGGAGGATTCGCTCTTCTTCTCGACCACCGCCGTGTGGCTCATGAAGGATTTGAACATCTCCCAGCCCCAGTGCCGGTAGGTTTCGTCGCCGGTGATGCGGTACATGTACACGAGGGACTCGACGGTCTCGGGCCGTTGCAGGTTATGGTGGTCTTGGGCGTGGATGTCGATGTCGGATCGCCACGGAGACGGATCCGAGGCAGGGCTCTCCGGGAGCGGGTAGATCGGGTCCGACTTTAGAGGGGGGAGGTCGTCGTCGTCGGGCGGAGAGTCGATTTCGAAATACGTGATTTCCGCGGCGAGCCCCGTCTTGCTGGCCAGGTACGTCGCCCAGCAGGTTTTCATCAGCTCCGTGGCTAGGAGCATCTCCTCGTCTTGTTGTTGGGTCCATGCGGCGGACTGCTTGGCGGCGGAGAGCGGCGCGCCGCCCGTGGCCCCCAGGGCGATCGTGCCCGGGAGGAAACACACGAGGTGGTCCATTTTCGGGGAGAGCGCGCCGTCGAGTCCGTAGGGACGTTCGCCGAGCACGGTGAGGCGCGCGTTTTGCGTATATGTGATGAGGTGTTTGCGGATGCCTGCTAGGGCTTCGTCCCACATGTCTTTGTAGATGTCTTCGGAGGTTTGGAGGTATTGTTTGATGAGGTATTCTGTTTTCACAGCGTTAGATGTTGGTTTTTTTTTTTTTTCTTGCGGGGGAGGGGGATTTTTGTGGTCTACGTACCGTAGTAAGAATCGCCTCTGCTACCGAGGCGGATGTTCTCTCCTCTGAATTCACCCGTGTCCGGGTATATGTAGATAGGTACGAGACCGTCAACAGCCTGCTGGCCATCCACGACTTGCATCACATTCTCGACCGCGCGCCAGAACTCTGCTTCCCCAGTGAGCTTGGCCAGGTACTTGAACTCGAGCTGCAGCGTGGTTGCCTCGGCCGTAGACGAGGCCCCGTTGTCCGCGTGCGACGGGATCCCCGTCGACGTGTTGAGGTTGATGCTCGCATAGGGAATTCCTGACGGTGAATCAAAAGCCCCGAGCAGCCTTTCGGCCAAGTCTGTGGCTTTCTCGATATACAGGTCCTCTCCTGGAGAGCCCACGTCATCCTCTTTGATGGGAGCGAGATCGGGATATTGTGTGGAGAGGTAGTGTGCTGAGAGAAGACCGCCTAACATGCGGATCGTGGTTTCAAAGGTGTTCACATCGTGGTTCTGGTTATACTGCAACGAGTTGTGGATCCAGGTGCGCGCATGCTGCACCCGCGAGGTGAGGTTCATGATCATCATCGTGTCGAGGGCGTCGACAATAATCCACCCCATGCCACCAGCAACCATGGTCTTGCCATTCTTAGCAATCGGATGATACTCATCGAGTCCTAGCTCACGTTAGTAAACGGCCATCCAGGATCACCAACTCAGAGAGAGAGAGAGAGAGAGAGAGAGAGAATTCACACATACCCCACCCATACTGCTCATACCCATCCCAACTCACAATAAACGCACCCCGAACCTTCTCCCTTCTAGCCTCCCAATCAATATCCTTCACTGCGGTCCCATCATACGCCGGCTCCGATTCCAACGTCTGCACCCACTTCCACAACTCCTCTCCCACTCTCGAGTCCGACGGCTGAAACGGAGGCCTGCTCCATCCACTCGACCCCGTCGTGTAATACCACAGAGAAACCAGCACAAACACCACAATCCCGCCGTACAAGACCTTTCTCCTCCTACTTCTTGGGCCGGTGCGTCGCGGAGCAAAGTACGGCTTGTCCTTATACATAGGGAGGGACCGATCGCCCGAGAAGAAATTGTTCAGGTTGTTCGTCACCCCAGGCGGAGGCTGCGAGAACCCATAGCCACCGAGCCGATTGTTTCCAGGGCTGCGGCTCGCGCTCGCACGCCAGTAGTTCTCCGAGGGGGAGCGCGACGAAGGGAATGTGTGGGTGTTGTGGTTCGAGAAAGACATGGCCGACGACTTCCTTGTGGTGTTGCTTCTAGTCTATCCTGAGACGTCGTTCACTCTTTGAATTACTGTCCTAGACGTATTCTGCACTGCATAGGTATGGCGGATTCCGTTCGTGAGTACTGCGCGGAATTGCGGGCAATTTGGCCGCAACAAGTCTTTAGGGGTTCAAGCCTAGGGTGAGCAGGCGTAGCTTGAAGGGTCATTCTAGATTCGGGAGAAACAAAATCCAATATTAGCAATGCTCCGCAAATATTGCAAATCCCAAGTCGTCTCCACGTTGCTGAGCTATGTTAGTGAAACCGAGGAGGTGGAAAGCATACCAACCATCCATCCAAGATTGCGCTCGCCGGATGCCAGCCGCTGGCAAATTCGTTAACAAAGCCCTAGGGTTGGATCACTAGAAAAAAAAAAAAAAAAAGGGTGTTCTTGTAGTGTTTTATACTGGAATTACTTGTGTTTCAACAAACCAAATGGTTGGAGTGGCCACTTGTTGCGATCCAGCCCAAATTCGGTTTTATTGGCCGCGTTGTCCGCCGCAAGAAACCGCCTTGGCGTTCAAGATGAAGCCAAATGGCATACAGAGAGAGAGAGAGGGAATAAATAATATTGTGATTGTTTTGTGGAAGGGAACAATCGAGATTAATGGAGCCTTAAGAAGAAGATTTGTCTACTCAAAATCACAGATATATGGGTATTGGGCTTGGATTATGTCTATGCTGCGTCATAGGATCTGTAGGCACCTAGTTACTTTGGAGGGACAGCTTCAAAGCCACCCACCCAGAAATAAAGTGAATGCTGATAGAATTTCGACTACAGCTTCTGGTATTCCAGCTTGCCCTCCAGCTTCTTGGCTTCCGCCACCTTGCGGACAGCTCGGTTGAAATCATCCTGATTGATAGCATCCCGATAATCTTTGATTGCGAAGAGGCCACTGTTCCAATGTTAGCAATAATCCATCGGAAAGAAAGACGCGGAATATCGTACGCTTCGGTAACAACGTTGCGGAGATCGGCACCATTCAGGCCGTCGCTCATCTTCACGACACTTTCAAAATCAATATCCCCCTCCAGCTGCACTGTGCTGGAGTGAATCTTCAGAATCTCGAGACGACCAACTTCGTTAGGCAGGGGGATTTCAATCTTCCGGTCCAGACGACCGGCACGCAACAACGCAGGGTCGAGTGTGTCGGGTCGATTTGTAGCCATAATAATCTTTGTCTTTCCAAGATAATCGAATCCGTCCAGCTGGTTGAGGAGTTCCATCAGCGTTCGTTGGATCTCACGATCCGCCGAGGTACCCTCCGAGAAACGTCGACCACCGATAGCATCGATTTCGTCCATGAAGATAATACAGGGCTCGTGTTCTTTGGCATAACCGAACATTTCTCGGATTAAACGTGCGGATTCACCGATGTACTTGTCGACAATAGCAGACGAAACAACTTGATTCTATCAGCGGAGCTCGGGCTCATGACAACTCTACACATACCTTTCAAGAAGTTTGTTTCCATCGAACTGGCTACAGCACGCGCCAGGAGCGTTTTTCCAGTTCCCGGTGGCCCGTATAGCAAAACACCCTTGGGTGGCTTGATACCCACACGTTGGAACAACTCGGGGTTCTTCAGCGGTAACTCAATAACCTCTCGTAGCTCTCGAATCTGATCGTTCAGACCACCAATACCGGCAAAGTTGACCTGTCCTGGATCTTCCAGCGACATGTTGTACACCAACGGATCGACTTCCCGCGGTAACATCCTCATGATGGTGAGAGTGGTCATATCAAGGGCAACACGAGTTCCCTGTTTCAATTTCAACTTATCGACCTTCGAACGGCAACCGACGACATATCTGGGACCGGAGGAGGCTTTGACAATAACTATTGAGGGTTCAGCTACTGAACAGGATCACCTCAAGGGCTCTGAAGAGGGACCGGATAACATACATCGCTCCTCATCCAGCTGTTTCAACACCTCTCCGATAATCTGACCGACACTTTGCAGGGCTTTGATGTTCTCTTCTGAAATATCAAACTCCCTCTGTAGATCCTTGATGCCCATGCGAAGGGATTTGAGTTTAGCCTCCCATTCTCGTAGTTCGAGCAGACTCCGTTTGTAATCCTCCAGCGCCTGCTCCCTCTCGGGGTCAGCGGCGCCGTTCATGGTGGAGAAGGTAAACCAAGAGGCAAAAGGAACTGTCAGGTGTCAATAAACCGAATTTGAGAAATAGATGGAAGAAGATGCTGATGTTGTATGAGAGAAGAGCAGAAACCGGAGATGCGTATACGGTAAAAGGTACCCCAGCTTAGAGCTGTCGAGAGAGCTTCGGAACCGCGCCAAGACCAATGTTCACGTGATTACCCGTACAGTCACATGATCATAGTATTGATGCCTTACATGCCTTATATATAAGGCAACATTTCTTGCGCAGTAACTATTATCCGGACAGTGTCTCAGGCACCAAGGCGCCGACATTGTCTTGCGGTATTTTCGTCTACTACTAGTTAACATTACAGAAGCTTGGATCGGGATGAGAAACTTCAATTCAGACAGATATTATAAGGATAATGACAAGAAGAATGTAAAAAGTACAATATCTCCAGCTTGGTAGAGTCTATGCTGTATATGTACACCATCATCGCTGCAACATCGAGGACAACAACAAACATAACCTCAACAAACTCGATGCTGCTAATAACATCATCATCATCATCATCATCATCATCATCTCACATTGTTAATAATAACCTCCCACATGCTTCACCCGCCTTACCCCGAGGGAATCCGGAAGATCTCGCTGGACAGCGTCACAGAAACCTCCTGAACGCCCAGCTCCAGTTCGCGAAAACAGCGGCAACCATTTGTTGCCCCACCATCACATTGGAAAGATTCGGAGGACCAGACCGTGAGCTTTTCCGGGGGTTTTCATACAGCTGCTTTCCTACAAGAACCAGCCATTTCCAACCTTCTCACCTGGATCATTGATCACTATTGTTTTCCATCTTCTTGGTAAGTTGTTATTTCCTTCTCCCTGACGCCCACCTCATCCTCATCTACTGGAAGGTCAACCCCACCATCCATCCCACACCCAGCTTGACCCCTCCACCATCATATCATACCTAACAAAGAGGTGTGGCATCACCACCATCTCTCTCTCCCCCCTCCCTTCACCGTCATACCATTCTGATGTTGCATTACTTGCCCGTGCTCATCCATGAGTCATCTATTGCTTCCTGTTCAAGCCTAAAATTTGAGAATTGAAAGTCCCTGGGGTCTCGTTCGCGTCAATTGATCGGACTGCTCCGTCCCTAAAGTACTTGAAACCTCCCATCATCTCTCTTTTTGGGCCATCGGTGAACATCATCCCATCACCCCTCCCCCCCCCCCCTTCCTCCGCCTACGAATTCGGTTGCGTTGTTTTGTCTCTCCCGTCTTCCTGTTATATTTGTCCCCAGTTCCTCTTTTGCTGAAATTTTTTCTCCCTTCTTCTTTCAGCCAACTGACTGCTTCATTCAGCTATCAAAATGCCTATCTCTAAGATCCACGCCCGCTCTGTCTACGATTCTCGTGGTAACCCCACCGTTGAGGTGGACGTTGTCACTGAGACCGGCCTTCACCGTGCTATTGTTCCTTCTGGAGCTTCTACCGGTCAGTATCTCTGGGGCGAGAATCGCATCATTCTGTTTAGGACTGGCGAGATTGACTCTCGATTACAGGTCAGCACGAGGCTCACGAACTCCGTGATGGTGACAAGACCATGTGGCTCGGAAAGGGTATGTGTCACTATGATCCCTTCCCTCCTCAAATAAACTTTGCAGCTAACATAGGTTTTCTCCAACAGGTGTCCTGACTGCCGTCAAGAACGTCAACGAAATCATTGGCCCCGCCCTCATCAAGGAGAACCTCGATGTCAAGGACCAGTCCAAGGTTGATGAGTTCATCAACAAGCTCGACGGAACCCCCAACAAGGCTAAGCTCGGTGCCAACGCCATCCTGGGTGTCAGTCTGGCCATTGCTAAGGCTGGTGCTGCCGAGAAGGGTGTCCCTCTTTATGCTCACATCTCCGACTTGGCTGGAACCAAGAAGCCTTATGTTCTGCCCGTTCCCTTCCAGAACGTTCTGAACGGTGGTTCCCACGCTGGTGGCCGTCTGGCTTTCCAGGAATTCATGATTGTTCCCGAGTGAGTTTTTGGTGGTCAACAATGAAAAGACGACATTAGCACTAACATTTGACTAGCACTGCTTCCTCTTTCTCGGAGGGTCTCCGCCAGGGTGCTGAGGTCTACCACAAGCTTAAGGCTCTGGCCAAGAAGAAGTACGGCCAGTCTGCTGGCAATGTCGGTGATGAGGGTGGTGTTGCTCCCGATATTCAGACCGCCGAGGAGGCTCTCGACCTGATCACCGAGGCCATCGAGCAGGCCGGCTACACCGGCAAGATTCACATCGCTATGGACGTTGCCTCCAGCGAGTTCTACAAGGTCGACGCCAAGAAGTACGATCTGGACTTCAAGAACCCCTCCAGCGACCCCTCCAAGTGGCTCACCTACGAGCAGCTTGCTGATCTCTACAAGTCCCTTGCTGCCAAGTACCCCATTGTCAGCATTGAGGACCCCTTCGCTGAGGATGACTGGGAGGCCTGGAGCTACTTCTACAAGACCTCTGACTTCCAGATTGTTGGGTATGTTACATCTTGATAACTTTTTTTTTTCCCCCAGGAAAGTATCTAACAAGATAAATAGTGATGACTTGACCGTTACCAACCCTCTCCGTATCAAGAAGGCCATCGAGCTCAAGTCCTGCAACGCTCTTCTGCTCAAGGTTAACCAGATCGGTACCCTTACCGAGTCCATCCAGGCCGCCAAGGACTCTTACGCCGACGGCTGGGGTGTCATGGTGTCCCACCGCTCCGGTGAGACCGAGGATGTTACCATTGCCGATATCGCCGTCGGTCTGCGCGCTGGACAAATCAAGACTGGTGCCCCCGCCCGATCTGAGCGTCTGGCTAAGCTGAACCAGATCCTCCGTATCGAGGAGGAGCTTGGTGAGAACGCCATCTACGCTGGCGAGAACTTCCGCAAGGCTGTCAACCTGTAAATGCAGCTACCTTGATTTTTTTTTTTTCAACCAACCCACCGATTTAGGCAACCTACAAGGGTGATTGGAACAGGATCCGACCCGGCATGTGCAAGCTTTCCGCCCGTTATCTTTAGGTATAATCACTGGATAAAATTGAAGGTGATGCCGGGAGGAAACATTTATGATGACGAATTTATCAGCCAGTAAATGATATAGTGGCATAATGAAAAGTTTCAAAATTCCACATATTTCGTACCTTCCCCTTAAAAATAAATCAATAAATCAATCCAAGTATCCAAGGAATGAGCGAGAGAAGAGACCTGAAAGATCGGGCACCAACGACAGCGGGAACACGTGACCCCACCCATGCCCCACCGGATTTGATTCCACGGCGAGACAGATTGACCCTCAGAAATTTCCCCCTCAACGGTCGTTTCTTCTCCCTTCTTCGTCCACGATATATCGTGTTTTGCAGTATCTACGGCCGCTCCTCGGTTGCACGCCTCGATACCCTACTCTCTTTCAAGTTTGATTTGAAACCCCCCCCCCTTTTTTTTTTTCTTTTTCGACATATTTACCCGCCATGGCGCCTTCGAAGTGGGGTAAGTATGAAATGAATAAAAGGGTTTAGATGAGCAAGCATGCTAATGACTTGCTGCTAGACGACGAGGAGGAAGACAGTGGTTCCCCCCCTCCTGTGGCTGCTCGCCGTCGGTTCGATGATGAGGAGGAGGACGATGTATGTTTTTCACCGCACACAACCTTTCCATACCAGAACAAGATCTTTTTATCTACCTGCCTACCTGCCTACCTACCTACCTACCTACCAAATATATACCATACCGTATCAAGCCAGAAACAAGACACACACACACTAATATGAAGAAAACAAAAAATTTTTTAATTTTTTTTTCAACAAAAAAAAAAGGTCATTGACTCCTGGGACGCCGCTGAAGACTCCGAAGTAGAGCGTGAAAAAGCCACCAAAGCCGCCGCTGCCAAAGCCAAAGCCGAGGCCGAAGCCGCCGCCAAGAAGAAATCCAAGGGCCAACGGATAGTAGAGCACCAGGAATCGCGACGGAAAGCCGCCGAGGAGGCCGAGGACGACGACGACGACGAGACCTCGGATGAAGACGAGGCAGATCGCCGTGCGCGGTTGCGGGCGACGGAAAAGGACGCGGATCTCAAGCACGCGGAGGATCTCTTCGGGGACATCGATCTCAATCGGAACCGCGGCAAGAATAAGGCGATTGTGATCAACGATAGTGCGGATCCCACGCAGGCGGTGGATTTGTCTGCGATGCCGCTGTTCAAGCCCACGACGAAGGAGCAGTTTGAGCGGTTGACGAGTACGCTGGGCCCCCTGTTGACGCTGCACTCGAAGAAGCCGCAGTATGCGCTTTGGATGCCCGAGTTTGCGAAGCATCTGGCCAAGGAGATGTCGAGTGCCGATATCAAGAAGGCGGCGAGTGCGTTGACGACCTTGAGTAATGAGAAGATGAGGGAGGAGAGGGCCGCCGATAAGGGGAGTAAGAAGACCAAGGCGGCCAAGACGAAGGTGTCGCTTGTTGCGTCGAGGGATAACCGGATTGATTCGACTTCTTATGATGATGATGGCTTGGATGATGGCGATTTCATGTGATTTTCTTTTCTTCGTCAAATATTTTCTTTTTCTTTCTCTCTCTCATCTTTGATGTGACTGATATACATACAGACCAACTCAGTCTTCATGTTTCTTCTTTTGTATATCCTCCCATAACTTAAAAATGGTCTTTCTACTTTACTTTCCTTCCCTTTCCCCTTTTTTGGGGTAGCATACGCCGTGATAGAATGGATTGGCCTTTCCACGTCTATTTTGTCTTATCGATACCTGCTAGCCACTCTATTGGGCGAAACATCTCTATTATATATCTAGACACGTTCAAATTCTTCCAACTCTACGTGGTTCATGACGAGAGCATAAATCAGCTAGTTGGATTGGATTGCTCAGATATTGAAGCCTATGGCCTATGGAATGTATGAAAAACGACAAGGAGGGAAAGGGCAAAGGGGCTAAATGGAGGGGGCATGGTTAAAAAAAAAAAAAAAAAAGAAACTAACACATTGTATCTTGCTGGGGTGGGAATAAAGAGAGAGAATAAAAAGAGAGATAAATTCCGCTCAACCCCTTTCCTTTGCTCTCCGAATATCAAACTCCGCCGGCCGACCCAGATAATCCCGAATAAGTGGAAGATAAGTGTCGGTCCAAACCACTCACGCAGCTAGAACAGACCTTCAGAAACACTTTCAGAGAAGTATTCGTACGCCCAGCGTGCTACGCCGAGGACATAACATGGTTTTTGATACAACAAAAGAAAAAAAAAAAGAAAAAGAAAAAGAAAACCCTTTTGACGCTCGCCACGCTTACGACTCAGGGGCCTTGTCTTCCTCAGGCTTCTCCTCAGGGGCAACGGCCTCCTCCTCGGGCTTATCCTCCTTCGAGGTGGACGCATTCTCGGCCTCGTTGCCGTCGGAGGAGGTCCACAGAGTCAGATTGTCACGCAGCAACTGCATGATCAGGGTGCTGTCACGGTAGCTCTCTTCGGAGAGGGAGTCAAGCTCTGCAATTGCATCGTCGAAAGCCTGCTTGGCGAGGTGGCAGGCGCGGTCGGGAGAGTTCAGGATCTCGTAGTAGAAAACGGAGAAGTTCAGGGCGAGACCCAGGCGGATGGGGTGAGTGGGGGTGAGTTCAGTCTGAGCAACGTCGGTTGCGTTCTGAAGTGCATCGTGAGCTTTGCTTCTGCAAGGGGGGTGGCGAACAATGGTCATACCTTGTAGGCCTCGTGGGCAGCAGTGGCAGCCACCTTGCGCTTGTTTCCCGAAGCAAATTCCGCCAGGTAGCGGTGGTAGTCACCCTTCCTGTACGCCATCACAGTTATCAGCCACCGGGACCTGGGCATATGTGTTTTCTCCCTCACGCGCATCCGGAGAGCGCTTACATCTTGTAGTAGAAGACCTTAGACTCGCCAGCCTCAGCTTTGGGGATGAGGGACTCATCCAGAACATCCAGGACATCCTGGCAAACCTTCTCCAGCTCAGACTCGATCTTCTGGCGGTAGTCACGGATGATTGAGACGTGCTGCTCAGAGCCCTTGGATTCCTCCTTCTGTTCGATGGAGGAAATGATACGCCACGAGGCACGACGGGTACCGACAACATTCTTGTAGGCGACAGAGAGAAGGTTACGCTCATCGACGGTAAGTTCGCCTCCAAGCTGAGATGGGGTCAGTCATCTAGAGCGACGGAAGGAGATGTGGAGAGAGAGGGAGGAGAGAATAATCTTCGTTAATTATTTAGGGAGGATTGCATACGTTGGCGACTTCCTGTCAACTGAATTAGCGGTGACGTCCATGTGGAAACCAAACCAGCGTTTGGGAGCAAGCGGCTAGCTACTCACCTTCATGTACGTGACCATCTCTGCAGGCGGAAGGAAGGCATAGGTTAGTGTCAAAGACCAGATGATGATGAAAAGGAGAATGAAACAAAGAAAACCCCTTACCATCATAGCGCTCAGCCTGCTCGCAGAGGCGAGCGAGGAATGTCTTGCTAAGGAAGGAGGGTGGTGTTAGTATGGTTCTTATCCGGGAGTGATCCAGAAAGTCTAGACCCTTACTTCTCACGCTGTAGAAAAGAGGTAGATGATTAGTTATGATGAACAGAGAAAACAAGACGCATATCACAGAAACCACCAGGGGGAAAAGGGGGGAGAAAGTAATGAGGGGAGGCGGTAGATGATAGGAAACATGATGGGTATAGAAAATTGATAACAATAACAACCGCGGGAGGGGTTAGGCTGAGAATAACATACCTCAGTAGTCATAGTAGAAGATTGGACGGAGATTGGGAGAGAGATGAAGAAGAGATGATCAGAGTTGGTGATGAGAAGGGGAGGGGGGGGGAAGTAAGAAGACAAGAAGCAAAAGAAACGGAGAAAGTTGGTAAAATCGAGGGGGGGAAGGAATCACGAGAGAGGGTTTGGCAGATGTGATGCTCTCAGTAACCAGAGAGTGATTGAACGGTGAGCCTGAGGTGACGACCGGTTTTAGCGAGAAAGCAGGCAGTTGGTTTGTGTTGTTTGTTATTCCTGCAGGCCTGAGGCAGGACCTTACTTTGTATGCTCTTCACTCTCTCACCGCTGAACCTCTGTATAGGTCGGTCCTGCATAACTCTCCGAGATCAAGTCGATAATAGATGCATTGAATAATAGTATCCTTCTCGTGCATTGAAAGCCCATGATGATGGATCCTAAACCCAGTTAGAATATGTAGGCGGAGTGGGATCTCAAGGCATCAACATTTCTCAGGAATCGGTACAGTATTGTAAGTTGGTAACAAGATGTGTAATAATCAATTCTGCTGATACTACGACTATATCCAGAGGATTATTATTATTATAGAATAGTTATTTATTATCTTGACTACATAGTACATTCTATATATCTATGTTTCTATCAACTATCTCCACAGGGAGTAAGTAGGAAGAGGCTAGGTTGTACTCCAGAGTCCAGACAGTTCAGCCCTGTCGTTTTGGTACCGGCAGTTTTCCTCCCGTCACTGAGGCTGATCGAAAAGAACACGTTGAAGGCTCTCTGTATAACGAAAGGGCGAGAACTCTTCACTCCCTCTCTACTCTCTCCTAAACTCCCTCCAAAAATTTCATAAAGAAGGCAAATTATAAAAAAAAAAAGGGAAAAAAGAGGGAAAAAAGAGGGAAAAAAAACAAGGGACTTAAGATAATTCCCCTTCTTCCACACGGATATATTATATTGACCATCTTCTAGATCCTTCCCCACTGGACTCTACTTCCTACCTAGCTAGCTTACTCACGGAGTACCTACGGTCCTATCTATCATTCTTACTTTCCGTCTGGCCACCTGGCGTTCATGTCTTGATATCTCTCCCCTCATTTCCTCTCCTCTCTTCTCCCTGGTCTCTTTCCTGCCAGTCCTGGTCAGCTATCCAGTCTTTATAGTTGACCATGGAGCATTCTTTTCTTTCCTCCCCGGCTCACGTCCTGGAGCACTTCGATGTCTCCGAGCATAATGGCTTGTCCAAGGATCAGGTCTTGCAATCCAAAAATACGCATGGTCTAAATGGTCCGTGTGCTATTTCTCTCTCCCTCCCTCCCTCTCTCGTCGTTGGATACAAATTATGCTAACTTGATCCTTTCCCTCCAGCCCTCGCGGAAGAACCTCCAACCCCCCTCTGGGAACTGGTGCTGGAACAATTCAAAGATCAGTTAGTCCTCATTCTTTTGGGCTCGGCTGCCATCTCGTTTGTCCTGGCTCTTTTTGAAGATGGGGACGATTGGACTGCCTTTGTCGATCCTGTCGTCGTACGTGCCCACTCAATCCCCTTCCATTCCCCAACATCGCTCAACCAATGTCTAACCCTCTTGCCGCCCATCTAGATTTTGACTATTTTGATCCTCAATGCAATTGTCGGCGTGACCCAAGAAAGCAGCGCAGAAAAGGCCATTGCCGCCCTTCAAGAATACTCCGCAAATGAGGCTACCGTGGTTCGCGATGGTGTCGTTCAGCGCGTCAAGGCGGAGGAACTCGTTCCCGGAGACATTGTCCACGTTGCTGTTGGAGATCGTGTGCCCGCGGATTGTAGGCTCGTTGCTGTTCACAGCAATAGCTTCCGAGTGGATCAAGCTATCTTGACTGGCGAGAGTGAAAGTGTAGCCAAGGATACCCAGGCTATCAAGGATAAACAGGCTGTGAAGCAAGATCAGACGAACATGCTTTTCTCGGGCACCACTGTCGTCAATGGACATGCGACGGCCATTGTTGTTTTGATTGGCGCGTCGACCGCCATCGGCGACATCCACGAAAGCATTACTTCCCAAATCTCGGAGCCCACCCCGCTGAAGCAGAAGCTCAACGATTTTGGTGATATGCTGGCCAAGGTTATCACGGTCATCTGTATTCTCGTGTGGCTTATTAATATCGAACACTTCAATGATCCCTCCCATGGTGGCTGGACCAAGGGTGCCATCTACTATCTCAAGATTGCCGTGTCCCTTGGCGTCGCTGCCATTCCCGAAGGCCTCGCTGTGGTCATTACCACCTGTTTAGCGCTGGGGACTCGCAAGATGGCCCAGAAGAATGCTGTCGTCCGCTCCCTGCCTTCCGTTGAGACCCTTGGCAGCTGCAGCGTCATCTGCTCTGACAAAACGGGTACCTTGACCACGAACCAGATGAGCGTGGAAAAGATCGTCCATCTGTCTGAATCCGGCTCTGATGTTGAGGTTATCGATGTGGAAGGGACAACCTTCGCTCCCGAGGGCAAACTTTCATCCAACGGTAAGGTTGTACACAACCTGGCTGTCTCTTCTTCGACGGTCCAACAGATGGCGGAAGTCATGGCGCGTTGCAACAGCGCCACGCTTGCTCATGACGAGAAGACCGGCACATTCTCTTGTATTGGGGAACCTACTGAGGGCGCGCTGCGTGTCCTCGTCGAGAAGATCGGTACTGATGATGCTGCGACCAACGAGAAACTCCTCCAGTTGCCTGTGTCGCAGAGGCTCCACGCTTCGAGTTCATATTATGAAGATCGTCTTCCGCTGAAGGCCACGTACGAATTTTCCCGTGATCGCAAGTCTATGTCCGTCCTCGTTGGCAATGGAAAGCACCAGAGACTCCTGGTCAAAGGTGCCCCGGAATCTATCCTCGATCGTTGTTCCTACGTCGTTCTCGGCGCAAATGGTCCCCGCGTGCCCCTGACCAAAGCCCACTCCGATCTTCTGTCCGCTGAAGTTGTGGAGTATGGAAATCGTGGTCTTCGTGTGATTGCTCTGGCTAGTGTGGACGATGTGGCAACGAATCCTCTTCTGAAGAATGCCCAAACGTCGGAGGAATACGCCCAACTGGAACGCAACATGACTCTTATTGGCCTCGTCGCAATGCTTGACCCCCCTCGCGTGGAGGTAGCCGACTCCATCAACAAATGTCGCGAGGCTGGTATTCGTGTGATTGTCATCACTGGCGATAACCGTAACACCGCCGAGTCTATCTGTCGCCAAATTGGGGTCTTTGGTCAGGATGAAGATCTCCGGGGCAAGAGTTACACGGGCAGAGAGTTTGATGATCTCTCTCACAGTGAACAGCTCGAAGCGGTCAAGACGGCTTCTCTCTTCTCTCGCACGGAACCCACGCACAAGTCTAAGCTGGTCGATCTCCTTCAATCTCTCGGCCATGTGGTTGCCATGACTGGCGATGGCGTCAACGATGCACCGGCCCTGAAGAAGTCCGATATTGGTGTGGCTATGGGTACCGGCACTGATGTGGCCAAGCTCGCGGCCGATATGGTCCTGGCTGATGATAACTTCGCAACCATTACCGTTGCCGTTGAGGAAGGACGGTCGATCTACAGCAACACGCAGCAGTTTATCCGATACCTCATCTCCTCGAACATTGGAGAGGTGGTGTCAATCTTCCTGACCGCGGCCTTGGGTATGCCCGAAGCGTTAATCCCCGTCCAGCTTCTGTGGGTCAACCTGGTCACGGATGGCCTGCCTGCCACTGCCCTGTCGTTCAATCCTGCCGACCATGACGTGATGCGACGCCCCCCGAGGAAGCGCGACGAGCCTCTGGTTGGTGGTTGGCTCCTCTTCAGATATATGGTTATTGGTACCTACGTCGGCGCAGCTACTGTCTTTGGCTATGTGTGGTGGTTCCTCTACAACCCAGAGGGGCCCCAAATCTCTTTCTGGCAACTGGTAAGCCCATAATCTTTTCTTCACTTGGCGGTGCACAAGGGCTAATTCCCCCCCCCCCCCCCCCCCCCCCTTACAGTCCCACTTTCACAAGTGCTCTTCCCAGTTCCCTGAAATTGGCTGCGAGATGTTCACCAACGACATGTCCCGCTCCGCATCCACCGTTTCCCTCTCGATTCTTGTGGTTATTGAGATGCTGAACGCGATGAACGCGTTGTCATCCAGCGAATCTCTTCTCACCTTTGGTCTATGGAACAACATGATGCTTGTGTATGCGATTATTCTCTCGATGACGTTGCATTTCGCGATCTTGTACATTCCCTTCTTGCAAGGGCTGTTCTCCATTCTTCCATTGGGTTGGATCGAGTGGCAAGCAGTGTTGGGAATCAGCGCTCCTGTTATGTAAGTTTTCCTCTCTGATTTTTTGTTCCTTATAGAACCCCCTTGGCTAACCTGATGCAACAGTCTCATTGATGAGATTCTGAAAGTTATGGAGCGTCGCCTATATAACATCCCCGCTAGTACCCCTGTCGAACAAGCCAACGGAGCGGTGTCGAAGCCTAAGAAGGCGTAAAGCGGGTTGATGAAGTGAATTGAGTCGAATGTCCAAGGGCGTCTTTATGATGGATCTAGACATTGGCCCCACTCCAGTTCCTTTTTTTTTTTTTCTTTTGGGACAGTTTTATGGAATGTACGTATCATGTTAGATGTTTCTATAGGAATAAAACCAGATTTGCCATACACCATGCTATCCAAGTTAAGGCTTCTTCCAAGACAACCTTTCAATGAGCCACGGTAAGATCTCAGTCGTGGGCCGTCCTGATGCAAGTTGCGGTCTGATTCCGACAAGGAGTGCGCTTTTTACGCTCGGGTATATCTGAAAAGACAGGTCAACCTCTTTCTTTCTCTCTCTCTCTCTCTTTCTATATCTTTCTATATCCTTCTATATATATCTCTCTCTCTCTCTCTTTCTTTCTCTTTCTCCCATTCATCCCACAGCTTAAGCGCTCTCATCCTGTCCTGTCCTCTCATCCTCGGACTCACGAGAAGGCTAACCATCATCCTCTGAGCCTTTCTTGTGTCTTCTTGTGTCTTCCCTCTTCCCTATACAAGACCCGGTAATACGCATCCAACTCCTAGGAAACCATCAAGCAATAGATAGATAGATAGATAGTGATGTGATGTGATGTGATGTGAACTCCGCTCTTCTTTAGGCGCCTTTTATCTGTATCTGTATTAGGGTATGATCAGGCATGCCAACTTGTCCTGGTTCGCGGTGTGGTGGTTGTGGAGTTGGTGGGGGGGTGTTTTGTTGTACGATTTGAGGCAGTAAGTAAGTATGTAAGTAAGTGGGTGTGTTTTCAGTACCTAGTTAGTAGCTATAGATGGGGAAGTAAGTCCTCAGTTAATAAATGGGTGTAGGTAGGTAGGTAGTAGTTATGCCATACCGTTGATACAAAGCTAAGGGAGTGGGAAAACTTGGTAATCGGATTTATACAGTCATCTATACTACAATAAATAATACATTGATTGATGCACCTGGGTGAATGCAAAAAAAAAAAAAAAAAAAAAAAAAAGATCAGATCAGATCAGGAACAGGAACAGGAACGGGGAAGAAAGGGACCCAGTCGTGTGGAATTTACTTCGACTTGGTCGCGGCCGCATTCTTCTCCTTCATAAAGCTCTCGATAAACCCGGCAGTTTGGTCGTCCATGATCATATTGCCGTTCTCGTCCCGCTGGGTCTCGAGCCGCTCCTGCTTCTTCGCCTGGATCATGGCCATCAGCTCACCCTTGGGCGTCAACAAAGACCTGCTTTGAAGATACTCGCGCCTTAGATCTTCCATCCTCTTCTGTTCAACCCACTCCGGGTCGTGCCTTGTGCGGTACTTGGAGAACTTGTTGCGCAGCTCGTCAAGCACGCTGGCAGGGAAGGGCGCGGACTGTAGCGACGGGAGCCAGGTCGGCGTTTCCACCTCCATGCGGAGCGTGTCCCAGGCCTCGTCTTTGAATGTGGGCGGTTCGCTGCGGGGCCAGGGGATTTCGATGTTCTCGCCGGCGATGTATCGGGTATGTCGGGGGATGTCTACGCCCTGTTCGCGTTCGAGGATAGGTTCCCCGCCGTACACATGTTCGACGAGGACGTCTCGGGTGAGTCCGGTGGTAGGGTCATCGAGAGCAACGACGAGGCGAACGTCGTCCATGGGAATGGGTAGGTTGACGGTTTGGAAGGGGTTTTTGTTTCCGTATTGTTCACTAAGCCATTCAGGGAAATGCACGTCGGCCTGGGAAGTTCAATTAACTTTTGAGTCCAGGGAAATGCAAAAAAAAAAAAAAAAAGACATACCATATTAAGATCCTTCACCATGACAGTCTCATTCGAAGCATCTACACGAATCACCTCGTTGATATTCCCCTTGTCCTTCCCCTTCATAATACACACACGATCACCCGGAGCAAAGTTAATGTACTTCCTCCGCAGATGCTTCGGAATCGCCGGTGGGTTCATGGCCTGCGGACTCAGGGCACCAAAGCTTTTGCCGTCGAATCCGGCATCCCGTTGAGGCGCCAGAGGGCCTCGCATCCAATCCTCCCGACGCCGTTGTCTCTCGGCGCGGATATTGTCGATTTCCATGCGGTTGAAGGCAAAGCGCTGGCGGAGGGTGTCCTTTAATTCCTCGCGTTGGGCATCCTTGGCCGCTCGGATTGCTTTCCGCTGGGCCTGATTCCTGGCCAGGGCTGTCCGTCGAATAACCTTCTGCATCTTGGATGACGCTTGTGCCGGCGAATGGCTGGGGTTGTTCGCTGGGGATTCGATCGGATGGTCCTCTTGGTGATGCTCGGGGAAGGGAAAAATGCCGCCCTGCTGTGTCACGTGATGCCCCCGACCAATCATTCCTATTTACTCTTGTTACCTTACGACGGTTGTATACCTACCCTAGGGTAGGTAGAGCAAACTCATTTATTTCTACGGGCTTGATTTTTGATTCTTTTTTTTTCCATAGTTTTCGCCCAGTATCTGACTATAACATGGCTTGCTGAGGCCAATACCAGGTACTAAGGCCGTGATATTACCAAACCATACAGAGTAACACACTACAGTGAGTGAAGATTGGATCTTGAGTCACGTTATGCACAGCTACTAACTAGCAATTGGATATATATTATTACCTAGGTTAGGAGTTGGACCTACCCGTAAGATCAAAGCAATCTAGGCACTGTAGGCAGCAATACGCCACCGTGATGAAACGAGTGCAGCTGATCTCTGCCCAAGAATACGGGAGCTCGCTATACTCGGGACCAAGTTCTCATTCTACGGAAAGTACCTGGATGAGACGCAGAAGTAGGCATCTACACTGGAATATAATAGACCCCCTACTACACTCAGCTCCCAGAGAGAGGATAGATAGACTAGACGTATCCCAGAGACTGGTGAAATTCTTGTCTGGACTGACTCACTGGGCAGGGGCGGTGATGATTCAGCCTGTGCGACCTGCGACCTGCAACCTGCAGCTGGTCTGCAATCTGCAAGCAGCAGTAATGGCGATGGGTAGTCCAGGGTAGTCCAGGGTAGCCTACTGCTGACTGCAAGGCTGGCGGAGCTTCTTTGGTTGGTTGTCTGTAGATGTGGTTAGAAGAATCTTTTCACTCTTTCTCTCGAATGGGCATTTGTCCCTGGGAAGAAAGGAGGAGTCTGGAGAATAAGAATAGCAACATACAGAGTACGTAATTGGATGGATGACGTTTGCAAATACTCCGTACTAATACTAGTAGTTAGGAACTGTATAGTTAGTTATATTGTTAAGGGGTTGTCAGCACCGCCACGTATCGGTAAGATAACCAGGTACCTGTAAACACAGCCTGCTGGATAGGAAAGAACCCTCGACTTTAAAACGGTGGTGGTTTAGTTAAGTGGAAAACAGCTATAGTCAGTGACAAAAAAAAAAAGGTAACTAAGAGGTGAGATGTTCATTTTGATCATTGGCTCGAGCTGACTGACTCTCTTAATCGCGTGGAAAAGAACCTCCTATCCGATAGACCCGAGTTCCCGGATACCGTTTCGGTCAAGCTTGAGCTCGGACGAGCCGTGCAGTTGAAGAGACTAAGTCTTCGCTTTGTTCGAGTCTGGATAATCTTTAAGGCATGGATTTTCCGGGGAAGAACGAAAGCTGAAGCCGAAACCGAGCAGCTCCTTTCATTTAAGGAGTCAAAAGTCAGGAGCTCCTGATTCACGTATTAAATACGGTACCGGATACACACACAGCCACAGTGGCTTGAAGAGAAAGGCAACAATTTTAGGCACCAGGCAAAGAAAAGGAGAAATCAATAATAATATTTGAAAAGATAGGGAGTGTAGAATCTAGATTCGAGATACCCTACTATCTAGTATCTACGGAGGACGGAGTAGTATCTACACTTGTAACAGAAAGAAAAATACACAGCCACATACTGCGCCTGGGAGCTGTTGGCTTGTTTCAGACGTGGTTGAATGGACTGATTGTCAACATAAGAAGCTAGTATTAGGGTAATAATGAAAAGACACAGAAAGAAATTAAGAAAATAAGAAAGAAAATAAGACAGAAAGAGAAAAAAAAAAAAAAAGAAAAAGCATGCGACCGATAATTCAGTAGAAAAGTGCAAGACTGAGACTGAGACTGAGACTGAACTAAACTAAACTAACAAACAAACCAAAACCCAACTAACCACTCTCTAAGCGTCTCTTTCCACCTCTCCTCCTCCTCTCCTCCTCCTCCTCCCCATTTATCAATCCCATCTTCCATCCCATCATCCACGTTCCCAGATCTTGCTACTTGTCTCTTGCTCTTCCACTCTTTCTCCATCCTATTTTCTCCCCCCTTTCGACTGATTTGATTCTGCGCCATTGCGCCTACTCCCTGCACTGTACGTGATAACATAACCCTTTTCCCTCGGGGGGTCTGACTTGTCCCTTTCTCTTCTCCCCATCAACTATCCATCCATCAACAATCCACCATCCCTCCTGTTTTCCCTTGATTTTGCTGCTTCTCGTCTTTCCCTCTGCTCCCACTTGCTTCTATCCGCTTTTTTTTTTTTCATTTGACTCCCTACTGACCTGACTTGGAAAAAGATGGCTGAGATCCGTCGCAAGCTTGTCATCGTTGGTGATGGTGCCTGTGGTAAGACCTGTCTGTTGATGTGAGTATTCCTTGGGGACCTGGAAGTCCTGCTCCTGCTTCTGCTTCCCTGACTGGATATCTGACCTTTTTTTTTTTCTTTTTTCCCCTTCGCAGTGTCTTTTCCAAGGGTACCTTCCCTGAGGTTAGTTCCCCCAATCAACCAACCGTCCCTGGCCAGCGTTATCACCACCCGAGACCTAGGGCGTTCCGACAAGGAGGAAAGCTCGTTTCGAACTAACATTCGTTTTCTGCCAGGTCTATGTCCCCACCGTTTTTGAGAACTATGTCGCCGATGTCGAGGTTGATGGCAAGCACGTTGAACTCGCCCTGTGGGATACTGCTGGTCAGGAAGACTACGATCGTCTTCGCCCTCTTTCCTACCCTGACTCCCATGTTATCCTGATCTGCTTTGCTATCGACTCCCCCGACTCTCTCGACAACGTCCAGGAGAAGGTCAGTTCTCTCGTTTTTATATATACATTTTTCAGACATGATACTGACCGCTCCCAGTGGATTTCCGAGGTTCTTCACTTCTGCCAAGGCCTTCCCATCATTCTCGTCGGATGCAAGATGGATCTTCGCAATGACCCCAAGACCATCGAGGAACTTACCAAGACCTCCCAGAAGCCCGTCACCTCTGAACAGGTATGTCGTGTGCATTTGAATCGTCTTGCTATCCGGGTCACTAACTGTCCTACAGGGTGAGGAGGTTCGCAAGAAGATCGGCGCCTACAAGTACCTCGAGTGCTCCGCACGAACCAACGAGGGTGTCCGTGAGGTTTTCGAGGCGGCTACCCGTGCTGCCCTTTTGACCAAGGCCCACAAGAGCAAGAAGAAGTGCACCATCCTGTAAACTAGTTTTCTAACCCCTTCGCGAAAAGGTCTTCTTTGCATGCGGAGATTATATGAACGGATAAGCGTCTCGAATCTTTGGCTGTTTATGTTTTTAAATTTTACAAGGGGATGAGGGATCTCCATCGGAGAGTGTGCCGCCATGTGCCTGTGATGCGAGTGTGGATAATGTTCGAACGGGCACACGAGCTTTATGGGATTATCTGGCTATGCAGTTGGTCGACTTTTTCTTCTTTCGCAGACTTGTTTTTTCCCCCCTTTTTTTCCTTTTTTCCTTTTTCTTTTTTTTTTTTTTTTCTAGGGAGGCGTTGTCGTCATAACCTTGTGGGTTTTTCTTTTTCTCGTTTCCAGTTCTCCATAGCGCCCACCGGGCAGCCCTCGATTCCTATGGCGAAAGGTGTGCCCTTTTCCTGGCTGAAAAAAAAAAAAAAAAAAACCAAGATCCTCTGCTACTTCGACCCGAGTAGTGTAGGACAGGAAAGGGGCAACTGAGGATGGCGTTTTTCTTCGCTTGTAACCCCCCGTCAATCAGACCTGGAGGGGTTAATCGAGCAAGTCAGAGTTTCGGTGATCTGATAGATGATTCCTGTCCCCTTCGGATTATCCCCGGCAAAGTCTTAATTTCCTTTATTTCTTATTATTTCTTTTGGTTAAAGAGAATGCATGGAATTATCTTCTGCTTTTGAGTTCTTTTCTACTCGTCAGTCGGTCTGATTCTATTGCTTCGAGAGCCCACGCGACAATCTTGAGAGTTGAGGGATACCAAACAGAGTATAAGATACTTATCTATTAATTGAGTGTTTCGTTGTTTCATTCCTCGTACACGTACCTATAGGGATCTCACGTGCTCGCCATTTGTACGAACTGCAGAGTAATGATATCATGTAGCATGGAGGATTGGTAGTAGGAGCACAGATGGATGGATGATATCTAAACCCGGGGCATGCCCTCGTCTATCGGTTCAAACTCAGTAAGCTCTCAATATATCTCCTCGCATCAAGCCCGAGTCCCTCAACAAGCTTTCCCGGCCCCAGATCCGTCCTCGCAGCATGTAAACCGGGCGACGATGCCCCGCCAAGATCCCTGAAGAATCGCGAGGTATTGGTACTTCCGCCGCCGCCGCCGCCGCCGCCGCTACTGCCTCCTCCCCCACCACCACCACTACTACTAATGTTTCGCCCGTGACCTGAACCAGAGGAAACGTGGTCGCTCGCTCTGCGGATGAGGAAGGCTTCTTCTTGTCTGTTATCCGGGTCGGGCGCCGAGAAAGGGGGACTTTTCGGATAAGCAGTCGCACTGGGACCAGCTGTGCTGGTGCCGGGGAGGGGGCTGCTGTTGTTGTTGTTGTTGTTGTTGGGATTCTCCTCCTCGGGCTCATGTGGGGCGGCGGAGATGCGTACCCAGACGATCCACCAGCCGCGGCTTGTTTTGCAGGTTCGTTCGAGTTCCAGCGGGCGAGACCGGGTTTCCAGGTAGGTTGTTAGGAGGCGGTGGTGGATGTTGATGCTTTCGACGCGGGAGAGAGGCGCGGCTGCGGTTCTGGCTTCGAGGGGGTGGGGGTGAAGGGTTCCTAGGTCGGGGATGTTGGGGATTGAGGAGCGGATGGAGAGGTTTGATGGGTCGTAGACGAGATCGTAGACTGGTTCGTGCGCCGGTTGTTTGGATGGGGAGCGGCGCTGCGAGAGAGCGGCGGGTGTGGGCTCGGGGGCCTGCGAGATTCTTGTTGCTGCGTTTGCTGGGGAGGTCGAGTGGCTGAGTGGCTTTTGGAGCGGGCCGAGTTGGTGGTGGATGCTGTGGTAGAGGGCGGGGCTATCTAGGGAGCTTGTGGTGGAGTCGAAGAGGAAGGTATATATGAAGGGTTGGTGCTGGTGGGATGTGAGTTTTCGGTTTTCTGGGAGCCTTTGGGTGAACCCTTAAGAAGGGGGGGGGGGGGTGCTTACCACATATACTATGACACGGAGTTCGGCGGAGCCTGGAAGGGGTGTTTGACTTAGTTGTTGGGCTTCTAGAATTGTGGATGGTGCGTGTGGTGGACTTACCTGTGGTGTGTTGGTGTTGAGGATTTGTTGTATGGACGTGTAGTATCCGTTTGAGTATCTTTTCGCTGGGACTTCCAGGGTTTGTTGGATCGGTTTCTTCATAGATAGTATCTGATGCGGAAACGTCGGTTTGTAAACCAATAATGAATTTGCCGGGGCTTTGGTATCGAGGGGAATCGGTTGGTTTGGATGTTCTCCGTTGTTCAGATGTGTCCAAGGGTTTGGTGGGTGGCCTTGCTGGACTGCTGGTTTGACTAGGGCGATCTTCTTGCTTCAACGCTTCAATACGCGGAGTTGGAGTAGACGATCCAGAGGAGAAGCTCCAAGCCGAACCGTATCCAAGGGTTAGATACTTCACGAATGTCTCTGCTCCCACACCCCTCCAATCGTTGCCCGTATCGCTCGGGGCAGGAGAGCTTTGCCCACTTGTTGGCGAACCCGTTATGGCTTCAGAGCCTTTCAAAGGTGGAGGAGGCTGGGGCGTTCCCCTAACAAGTGGCTTGGGTATTCCTGGGGAGAAAGGACGATCCGAGATATCATTTTGGGAACCATCGGTGGGGGTGCGTTGGCTGTTGGTATTCTTTTCAGAGAGTCTACCTCGTTGCCTTTTCCGCCTTGCGCGACGGCGCGGCGAAGTTGGATCCTCCCAAACCCCATATGCGTCCACGCCGTATCTGTAGATCCACTCCATCCATTGAGACACGCGCACAAGTGACTGCCTTGTAAGTGCTCCCACCCCCGAGAAAATAACACCATCTGAAGGTCGGGGGTAAGAATCGGAGCCAAGCCATTGGTATTCGCTGTTTTGAGAGCTCTCGGATTTGGTTGTAGTTCCAGAACCCCCAATAATGGGACGTGGGTCGCCGAATCGGGAGACAACTAAGTCTACAAGACCATTTGTCCTATAAACAAAGTCCTCAAGTACCTCTCTCTCCCCGCTTCCCCATTCTTCCTCGCCTACTCCGATTCCGAGCTCGCCCCCTGCGGAGAGCTTTACCCCATTATACATGTCGACAGCAGGGCTTCCGCTGAGAAGAACCTCCCAGCTCCATGCAAATTTCAACCAAAATGTCTCAAGAAGCATACAAAATGCGGACCTGCCAACATTATCGTAGAGGGAATCGAGACTGGCGGCATGGTGGAGGAGAAAGATCGTATGCGCTCGACGGAGTTGCTGGATCAGAAGCTGCGGCGGAGACAGCTCCCTCGAAGAGTAGGAGAAGGAAGGAGTTTCTGGAGTATCTCGTTGCGAGGCCGACCCATTTTGAGGGTCAGCCGGAAGCCGAGTGAGGTCGACAGACTATATCCATCAGCGTTTACTCTAAAAGGTCTAAATGACCTTTTGCGCGAGCCTGATCCATACTGCAAGAATCCACCAATCCTTTTCCAATTCATGTAGGACAATCTGTGATTTGTCTGTTTCCACATAATCGACAGCTTTTCCCTCCGAGAAGTTCCTAAAAGCTCCTTTAGTTTGAGGTTCGTTGTAGACCATATTATGGTCCAAGAAGCGGTTCCCACCTGGCAAAGCTCACCATACCCTGCGCCAGACCTATCTGGCGCAACCTTGCGTTCTTATCATCGCTGGAATTCTTGTCATCGGTTCCAGCCGTGCTGTCCTGTCGTCGCGAGCGACCCGCTCTGGATGTGTAGAAGACGACCTGCTCGTGAATTGTTTCATCGGTGGGTCCGAGGAGGGGATTGTAAATAGCAAGGAACGAAAGCTGTGCTGGGACTACCGAAGAAAAACCGCTCTCTGGCATTGCATCGTTGACCCGTGAACTTCAGCCCACAGTGCAGTAGCATAGTCGTCGCTGTCCATACCAATGTTCATCCCCGCGGTCTGGCTGGCGGTCGACAGTGACATCACGTGGCGGTCTAGATTGTCGGCGAACTTTCCGGAGCTCCAACAACAGACAGTTATAGCTGCATGAATAGCTCCCGAAGCCATGTTTTTCTCCAAGGGCACTGCAGTGCTCCTTTTATATCGCCAGAATCGCCTTTGGCCTTCGACTGGGTCCCGATTTCTTTCGACAAAAGCGTACGAGCCGCTCCGAATTCTCTTCTGTGGATCCGACGAGTTCAGCATAGCTTCCTTGAAAGCTCTCCACAAGGAGCATGTGCATCGACCAGATCGAATTGCGTCAATTGATGTTGTCTGTAGGCCTGGGAAGAGAGTGGGGAGAGGCCTAAAGAAAATTCGAGAAGGTGACTAGCTACCAAGTGTTTTATAGTAGCTGCGGGGTGCTTTCTGACATGGTTTTGTTATAGTCCCGATCAAAGCGGCTGCAACGGAACTCTCTCTCCCTATTCACGAGATCGATACCTTCACAGGATGGAAGGTAAAACATTACTCTGATGATACTTTTGAAACATAAGGCTGATGTTATTAGCCCCCAGTGCTTTCCGAAGGCGCTATCAATTTAATCGTGGCTGTCTCATTTGGCCTCTTCGTACCTCCACGAATCCTGGATGGCGCAAAATATGGTGGTCTGAATGTCCATCCTTCATTACTCCCTGAGTATGTATGAGTACTCGCTCCAGAATTTACAATCCTGGCTAATGAAGAATACTATTGCAGCTTCCGTGGGCCCGCACCCCTACACCACACCCTCTTAGCTGGAAGAACTACAACTGGCGTTACCCTGCAAACGTTACACCTTCAGCATTTTGATCATGGAACGATCCTTGCACAGACTCCGCCTCCTGGATTCGAGATCCCAAATTCCGATTCGTGCACTGTCCCACAACTGTTAGATCTTGTTTCCCCCAAAGGAGCGGAGATATTGGTTGAAGGTATCAGGAACGGACTGTTTGTTCCTCCAATTGAGGACGCAGGCTGGTACTCATCTGAGGGGCAAGGCGAATTGATCCATGCGGCTAAAATCAAGCCCGAAGATCGACATATCGACTGGGCTAATTGGACCTGGACAGACATCAGTCGACGGATCCGAGTATTGGGTCCACTATGGAGCAAGTCGCTAGTCGCCACTGAAACTTCTGGCAAAGTCCCTTCATTTCAGCAGCGAAGAGTTATCTTCACAGAACTTGAGGAAGTAAACCCCCCGCTTAAAGGTAGCGAGTCATTCGCTCTTGTTCCCGGTTTACCCTTTCTCGAAGGCGACCATTCTTCCAAGCCCGATTCTGGGAATGGCGTATACGTCTTTACGCGAGACGGAAAATTGGTTAGGATCCATCAGATGAAGGTTGAAGGAGAGCCGAATGCCGACGCCCTGCGGGCTGCATTTAAAGCTCGAATGGTGGGAAGTCGAACGTTCTCCTCGAACTACGGTGTATTTACTCCGTTTCATAATCCTCTTTCCTAAACGGAGGAAAAAGGGAACAGAATGTATTTCTATGTATAACTAACACCATATGATACCATTTAGCGGGGTTGGTCATGTCCATCATTATGTGCCTGACTACTCGCACTCCCTGCCCGTCCAGCGCTTAATAGTTTACCACAAAACCCGAGTCTACAGAATTAGCTGTGCTTTATTCAAGGTCCGTTCGGAGTTGCTTACCGATTTGGACGGCTTGTCCTGTCATGGATGAGTTTTTGGCTATCATGATGTATGCATTGGCCGTGTCTTCCACTTCGGGCTGGAGTAATTCAGCTCGTTAACATAAGAGAATTGCATTAGGTATAGTGACTGGGGGACCACGTACTACGGTCTTGAGAAGAGCTTTATCTTTGTAAGCCTCGATCTTCTCTGGCGGAAAGCGATTGCCCTGCACTGAGGTTAGGCATGCAGCGCAAATGTGTCTTATCCGTGGAATGAATACATACCCAATCGGTGAGCAAGAGGCCAGGGAGAACTGCATTGACACGAACTTTCTTTCCCTGGGTCTGTGCAAGGCACTTGACTAGGTGCAGGCCTGGCATTTGTTCTTAGCTGGGTCTATAACGCAGGCTTGACAAGAAACCCACCTGCAGCTTTTGTGACGGAATACGGCAAGCTGCTTCCAGTTGCGGAGACGGCCTATGGCAGAAGTTAGTGGTGACTATCTCCTGTTCTGCTCCAACAACTTGGACCTACCGCAACCGATGAAGTGAGGATAAAGACTCCGCCTTCGGGATTCGCATTGAAAGTTGGCAACGCTGCTTTGAAGAGATACAAGTTTCCTTTTACGTTCGAAGACCAGCACTATTATACGTCAGTTAATTACGCAAAAGCGCTAAAGCCACACACACACACACACACACACACACACACACAGGAAACTGTTTCTTACCTTGTCCCAATCTGCATCGTCCATAGCATCGAGGTCACCAAAGACAGTGACCTTCGTCCAACCCTATTTTACCATCTCAGCTCCCCTCCACCCTTTCCATGCCCGGAATTTCCCAACTCACAGCATTGGAGACCAGAATATCCAGTCCTCCAAACTCCTCAATGGCAGTCTTGACCATGCTCTGACACTCGCTTTGGATGCTTGCGTCCTTGACAGCCATCAGCATCCGCCCAATTCCATATCAATCTCCAGTAGAGTGAAGGCCCCAAGGCGGATTCGCACAACATACATACCCCCTGGATCGTAATCGCTTTCACGTTGTATTGCGCCTTGATATCGACCACCAGCTTCTCCGCGGCCTCCTTGCTCGATAAATAGTTAATCGCGACGTTGCAACCTTCCGCAGCGAACTTTTGGGCCACGAGGGCTCCGAGACCTCTAGAAAAAAATCAAAGCAGATAAGCCGTAGTACTGCCATGGAGAAGGGGGAGCTAGCTAGCTAGCTACCAGAGTTGAGTTTATGTACCTCGAGCCCGCAGTAACGAGGACATTGCGGTTCTGTAGTGCGTACGGCATGATGCGAATGAATGGGGTTCTAGCTTCTAGCGTCTATAAGAGGATATAGGAGAAGTGTTCGATAAAAAAAAAAAAAAAAAAGATAAGTAGTTCAAAGGTTTCTTTTGTTCAGAGGAAGATGATTCATCATGCAGGAAGCCCCTCTTTCTCTACTTGTACTCTCTGTAGGTATGACGAGACACTAGGTACTTGGGACACAAAAGTACTGCTGTGCTCATCGTTATCTACCGATAATTCCCTCAAATTGGTGTCAATTTGGTAACAATAGTAATGGGGTAGACTATTTGTCGGCAGTTCCGACTCTCCATCAGCGAATGATAGATATGTCCGTCCGTTCGTTGTTCCTCTCTCTCTTTCTTTTTCGTCTGATTATGCTGGTGGAGATGCTATAGATATCCATCCGCAATGATGAGGAGGGGGAAATAATTAGGCGACATTAAGTTTAGTCCCGCTGATGAGGGGTCGTTATGAAATATTACATTCATATTCAATTCCTTGCTTATGATTTTCGCAGGGTCTATCTTACATGGAACAATTCGGGTCAGTCCATAAGCGTGCCAACGTACTCGGTCTTCCTCATTCCCCTCCAGGCTCTTTTTCCTTCGAGAGCGGGCCACTGAACAAGAAATCGGTCGACAAGAGGCAACAGCAATTTCCCAGATAGACTCAGAGTCGTTACCCGTGCCCAGGATTCTACAAAAATCGTACGCAGCCGCAAGTCGCCTGATAACGGAGCGTTTCGTCCCGACCTGGGATCAGCTAGGGATCTTGCATGGGGGTACACTTTGCTGGGAAATAGAGCCATCACGCATGACTGATATAACCGGAGAATTCGAGCAGCCAAGACGACGCAGACAGCTGTGGCTGGACCATTGGTGAGGATGAGATCAGGGTAAGGAGAAGGTAGCTTCGAGGATGCTGCTTGTTGGTCCGGATGGAGGCCACGGAGAACAAGTAGACAGGACCAGAAGGACTGGAGAGTCGTAAATGGAGATGTGAAGTAAGATTGGTGTACACGGCGCGCGCGTGGGACGGTGACAATTGTGTAAGCTCCTCCTGACTCTGACTCTGTAGTTTGACCGTCGGTAGACGGCTTCAACTTTCTCTGTTTGAGGAGAGCTGTTTCGAATTCTACTGCTTTTGCGGCGCTGAAATTGTCTCCCGAGCTTAAAACGTATGTTCGATAAGTATATTTGGACGGATCAAGCTGCATTCGCCGTAACATTGAGAACATCTCGGCTGTATGCCCGCCACTCCCGAGGACGACAAGGAGGTGGATAGGAGACTGGTTTAATCGCCATTTGGGAACCGGAGTATTCTGGGAGACAGCTAAGAGACGGATAATCTGGAATGCAAGATTTGTATAAGCCATTCGCCTGTCTCGTTAATGGATAAGTAAAGGGTAGGATAATTGGAGTGTGTACTAATTTAGCTGCAACGTAACCCAAAGCTCCTAGAACGAGAATCCAGGAGAAGACCCAGGTGAGAGATAACTTCCACAAAGCCATAATATAATGACTGTGAAATGGACGCAAAGGCCAGAATCCAAAAGGCAAAGCTATAGTCGGATCTTCAAAGTGGTGGTTCTCACGACGTGGGAAATGTTGGCATGGTGGAACGAAGCTAGGCTGCGCTGCGAGGCATTAGTACTATTCATTCCATTGAATAAGGACAATAGCAATGATTAACCATTGAAAAAGAGAAAAGTAAAGATTTACATTCAAGTTGAAATGGAAAGGAATGAAGCTTGCAGAAGCAACACTGCGATTTGTTGACGTTCACGTGGTCTGTGCGTGTCGTCGGGGATTATTTTGGGTTTTGCTTCTTAACTCCAACACAACAGAACATCCCTTCGTCTGCCTTCCATGTCCCCTACAAGATGGCTCCTCTCTTCTCAAAGCGACTAAGCTGCTTTTACTGTGGACGTCGCTCATCTCAAGCTCATAAAGGCTCTGTCCGACGATGGTGCTGCCCCCAGTGTGAGGCCGTGAACTATCTCGATGAGGTTTGTATTGCTGGTTCCGCCGCCTCCCCGCTGTACATATGGCTAACGCAATAAATCTCTTCTAGAATGGCGATATTACCGATCCCCCAGCGGCAGAAACAAATCCTGGTGCGCAGACACCCGGACCGTCGAGCCCGTTTGAGTCCACCAACTTAGGACTGGCTGGCTCCGGCCTTTTCTGTGCCCAGTGTGTTCGAAATCAACATCTATTTACCAGCGCCTTAGCGTCGTATTATCCTTCGGCAGACGACCCAAATTACGGCGCCTATGAACGAGGGTATCCAAAGTTTCGTAAGAACCTGGAGGAGCGGTACCCCCAGGTATGCGATAAGTGTGAACCTCGAGTGAAGGCCCGCATTCGCCAGGCTGGATATGAAGCCAAATCAGACCATTTGAGACGAATGATGGATAGGAGTAAGGCTGGAAGAGTAGCACGACAAGCGCGGCAATGGAACTGGAGGAGCTTGTTGGTGTTTACAGGAGCATTGGGCTACTGGGCTAGTGTTGCGGGCCAACTGTCCTGGGATTTGACAAGCGCTCTGAGCGTGCAAGAACCGTTGCGCGATCCGGATGATCCCCAGGTGCTAGACTCGGTAGCAGCATGCCTTCAGCAAACAATTCTGACACACCGGATACCGGCCTACTGTGCGCTAGATCTGGCACCTTACGCCGGATTGTCCCTCGTCGTCGGCATCCTCTCCTTATGGTACAATCCAAAGCTGCGGTTAAGGGTTGAAGGAAGAGGCGGCCGCTTTTTGGGTTTAAGCGAGTACTATAAAGCCCAACTCATTGTCCTGGTTGTGCGATGCGCCTTCTGGGGAGTCCTGAGGGACTCTTCTTCGAGTGGCCTTGATCCGAATCTTCCACCGGCTTTGCACATATTTATGGCCGTCTTTACAATTTTGGTATGTTTCCGATCTGTGTGGCCTTTTCCGGTTTGAATACTTATATAAAGCTCTAGTCTGTTGTTATATCTCGACGCATTGTCCGCTATGACACACGCCCCTTGGTGCTGTGGTCTGAGAATACTCCAACAACAACTCCCATGCGAAGAACGGAAAAGTCTCCCTTGCAAACCACCGGCGGAAAGCAGCCCTTTTTTACACCTCATGAAAGCCTTTCGCAAACAACACCCCGGTTTCCTCTGGAAAAATTGGCCACTCCTCGCTCTGCTCAAGAGAAACGCTCAATACCAACACCGCCTCCAGAGGTAGACGACATGGACTGGACCCCTTCTGTACAGCATGATTTTCGCCCAAATCAAACTATTCATCGAAGAGATCAAAAGTCCATCCTTGAGGGACCTATGCCTTTCCATGGATCATTGCCCCCTGCACCACAACCACCGTCCTGGAACTTGCGCAACCGGCCTTCTCAGCGGCAGAAGCCGATTGAACAGGTTGTTGAACGTAACCCATTTCATCGCAGCCCTGCTGAGCCATCGAGTTCTTGGACGCACAATCCTGGTTCCCCGGAGACCGCATTTGCACCTCCCAAATTTTTCCCCGCAAGTGATCATGTTGCATCTACCGGTCTTGAGAATCTCTTTGATCGAACATTTACCATCAAGTCACCAGAGGACGAGGAAGACACATGGCAACAGTCGCAGCATGCCGCATCTAAAGCACGTCCTAAACCCTCCCCCCGTGTGCAGGAGGCTCTTTTGTTCCAGTATCTCCGCCTAGGGTTGCTTCTTGTCTCTCTCTTAGCGTGGTCTCTCTCACAGTACGAACAATTTTCGGTCCCGGGAAACTATGTAGAAGTCGCCTCTTTGGGAAGCGCAAGTCTTATTGCTGGATTTGCTCTCCTGGAGGCTCTCAAGCAGCCTATCGCACAGTGGAATGGGATGGATATTCTTGTATCCTTCGCTGAATTGGTAGCTGCTGTTCATCTCGGAGGGCATCTTCCGCGAGCATCTTTTGAACGGCATTACTTTGACAGGTACGGCAAGCTTCTATTGATATTTATGGCTGTCCAGGAGGTACTGGGTCTGCTGGCATTCTACCGCACTGTTCCTACTGTAGGCGCCAGTTCTTCACAAGGGCAGCATCGCTCTCGACCGCCATCCTCTGGTGGCAGCAGGTCTGGGGCCTCTCCAAGATCAAGGGGAAATCAGCAATCTGATCTCCAGTCTTTCGCCTCTTCTCCATCTACACCAGGACCTCCAGCCCTCTCTTTCTCATCAACGGCACTCGGATCGAGTTTCTCTACCCAACCACCGGAACCACAGTACCAGCTTCCATACTCATCTTATGACGGGATGTTCCACAAGGATCACAGCTTTAGTTTGACAAGTCTCAAGGGCAATGAGTCCGATGCATCAGACCCCCTGGATCGTGACTCAGATACGGAAACCACCGTGACAACAGCAACCACCGCGACCAATAACACGATCCGGAACATTCGCTATGGGCGCAATAGCAATGTGAATGACACATTCTTCTCCCCCAAACGCTCCGAACTCGGCCCTGGAATCGGTGGCCTTAGTCTCGATGATAGACCGACATCCCGACGTATGACCCGCAGTCAAACCCAGAGACTCCAAGCGAATGACGGAGTCCGCAGAAGACTTCGATAGACGTGACCGAAAACGATTCCGGTCCAATTTTCTCTATTACATTCTTTCCTTCCCCTTTCCCCGCTTACTCCTGTAATCGTCTGCTGTTCAGCGTTTTCTTGCACTATCGGAGTTAGAGACGGCTTCCCCCCCCCCCCCTTAGTCAAGTACTACTATGTTTGTTTCCTAGGTTGTTTAATAGGCGGGACGGATTGCATACCCCACAGTTTGTTCTATATTGATTCTTGTCTTGTCATTCCCTGCAGTGGACTGGGAAGCGTTCCAGTCTCTTTGTTTTATTCCATCTCATGTACATACATGACATGACACCTAACACACCATAGAAATTCCCACCAGGGCGTCCAGAAATCCACGCTGTGTATTTCCGGACCCTGGTGGACCTGTACGACGTGACGACTAATTATGATCATGAAAATCAAAATCCAATCAAGCCAACTGATGGTTACATTGTCACATATCGTCTTCCACCTTTCATGCCTACATGAAACACAAGGATATATAGCTCTCTCCAGCCACCCGAGATCCTAACCCGTCAACAAAGCAGAGGAAGAGACATTCCCCCTAGCTTGACTTTCACAGTATACAGCAGTTAATTAAACCTACATAACAAGTAAATGACATAACTAAAGCTAAACTAAACTAGACTGGACTGGACCGGACTGAGAGGAATTGATACGTTTATACCGTCTCCACCCGAGTCTCCTTTGCGACGTCATCTTTATCCGCTGGGCCATCGTCATCTTCGGACTCGGAGCTGGTGACCCCGAAGAGCTCATCCATTTTCTCGAGGGAGATGCCTATTCTCGTTAGGTTTGGATGTGTGTGTGTGTGTGTGTGAGAGAGAGAGAGAGAGAGTAATAGCAAGAGGAGGAGAGACGCACCCTTTGTCTCTGGGACGAAAAACCAGACGAAGAAGAACATGGTTAAGCAGAAACATGAGAAGATGATGTATGTTCTGTCCCCCCCCCCCCCCCCCCCCCCAATGGTTGGTTAGTTGGTTATTTGGTGGAAACGGGAAGGAAAAGAAAGGAAAGGAAAGGAGGTTACCCGTATCCATTCGCACCGACTGTGGCGAGCATGCTCGGGACAGCTCTGGCAACGGCAAAGTTGAATAGCCACTGCGTTGCAGCAGCGAATGAAACGTTGAGACTGCGGAGACGTGCGGTTGGAATTTCTGCAACGTAGATCCAGCAAACGGGGCCCCAGCCGAATTGGAAGCAAGCGGCGAAGAGGAAAATGCAGACAAGGGCAACGTAGCCGGCCGGGATGACGGGTTCGCCTTTGGCAGGTGGCGCGATGCGGACATACAGACCGATGTAGAGCATTGTGAGACCCTGGGCGATTGAGGTCCAAAGGAGTGAACGACGACGGCCAAGAGAGTCGGCGACGAAGACGAGGAAGACCGCACAGCCGATGACTTTTACAATACCGTAGACACCAGTTGCGAAGAGACCCGTCGCATTACCGGTGATGCCCAGGTTCTGGAAGATCTGAGGTGCGTAGTAGTTAATGGCGTTTGTGCCGGTCATCTGCTGACAGATCATGAGCCAGATACTGATCAGGGCACGCTTGCGGTTTCCGGGGATAGTCCACATTTCTTTGAGCAGATCTGTGAAGCTGGAGCCATGGACGAGTTGGCGTTCAAATTCAAGCTGGCGGAGGATGTCTTGGAATTCGCCTTCGATGTAGGGGTGGGTTGGGGGGAGGTTACGAACGCGGGATAAGGTCACACGAGCTTCCTCCCATCGATCTTGTTTCGCCAGCCAACGGGGGGATTCGTTGCAGAGCATCATGCCGATTAGAAGGAGAAGAGCTGGAAGGGCTTGCATTGCTAGAGGGACGAGGTATTGAGCTGGTCCTCGGATGTGAAGTAGGGAACCGTAGTTGATCCAGAAAGCTAGCATGATACCCAGGGTGATGAACAATTGATAGAGGCCGGTGAGACCACCGCGGATGGCACGAGGAGCGTTCTCCGAGACATATAGAGGGTTAACCATGGACGCAAAGCCGACTCCAATTCCACAGAGCAGGCTGTATAGGGAGTTAGATTCAGAGCAGTCTGTTACGTTGTTCCGGGCAAATACAAACTCACCGTCCGATATACATAGCCTCCAGATGGCCGCTCGCGGCAACTTGCATAATAACTCCAAGAATCGCCACAGTAGACGCAGTTATCAGGCCAAGTCTTCTTCCATACCTATCAGCTACCCAAGAGGCTACGAGGGCACCAAAGAAACATCCTGCTTGCAGGGTAGAGACGATGTTAGCTGAAAGATTAGCTGCTGCTTTGCTGCTAAGCTCATCCAGCCCATATTTTCTATCCAGGACGGTTAGTTAGGGCTAGGAAGGGATGGGGCAGTAGCATACGCTTTAAATGATTCCATGGTGAGGACTCCACCGATGATTCCGGTTTCCATCCCAAACAGCATACCCCCGAAACATGCCTGTCTAACAATGAGTATGGTTGGATATTGAAGAGGTTTGGGGATCTGAGCTGACCGAACATGCTAGTGCATATACCCTCCGTCCGTAGATTTCTTGGGGATCCGTTCGCATCGCCTCATTGTGGATAAGCTTTTTCAAAATGAAGGACATGGTTGCTGAGTATGAACGTCGGGGATATTTGGAAAAAGAAAAAAATGGGAATGTAGGGAAAGTCAGGTATTAAAGTGGTAGACAGTCGCTTTCATTTTTTTTCTTGCAAATTAGAAAACCCTCCCTCTCTGTTTGTCGTAATATTCTCTCGGAATAAACAGTGCGTTTTGTAGTCCCACTCGACCTGGTTTAGGCAAAATATTGTACACTGTCTTAGAATTGACCTGAGAGCAGATATGGTTAAGTTAGGGGGGTGAGCATATGCAGTAGCCAACAGACCAACCCAACCAAAAAGACGTTTTATGACCAAACGGCAAGCCTTAAGAACAAAGTCCGGGGAGCCACGAGAAGAAGAGTGGGAAACATGATTCCACGAATCCTATGCTCTGCTTACAGAGGTGGCAGGGTAGATCATGTCCTCTCGTCTGTTTGAGTCTGTAGTCCCAGACCGGGTCAACCAAGCCATGGAGGTATTGGAGGGGTGAAATGGCATATCAATTCCCATCTGGGCATGAGAAAGCGTTGTTGCTGGCCGGTACCTGCGAGGGGGCGTAGAACTAGAAGGTCACGCAACAAAGGTGCCTCATTAGCCGGGGAAATAGAGATCAGTCCCCTACGCAAGTGCCGCTTTGAGTCTAACCAAACCAATAAGGTCCAGGCTCAAGTAGAGGAGCATGTTTCGACCATGAGGACGGGTCTGATTTGCAAAATTTAGATGCAGCCAAAGGCAAGTCAGTTTGGTGGGAAACGGTAGGACAGGATGCGCCGGTGCAAAATGATTGATGCAGATTTATTTATTCATTTTAACTTCAAGTTGGCTTTAAACCCCGACTTCGCAAAATTGGCATTAAAAGAATCCTCTGTCATCATGCAGTGTTGGCTTGATACGTTAGGTTTAGACCATGTCGAATAGGACTATAAACCTTCCGAAGGAGCACGCTAGATCTTTATTAAACACGAGAGGACAGCGGACAGCGGATGTATGGTGGGAGACCATCTCTATTAAACGGATAGCAATATGGTAAGCATGTTTGCAATGAGTAATCGAGCTGAAGCGATGTAGGAGAGGTGGTCGATCCGGACTTGCTCACATGCGGTAAATTATTAGAACAAAACGCCTTTCTGGCAGTTAGTTACTTGCTAGATTTAGTAATCAAGCGACTCTGGTTAGGAAGTAAGTACAGGCCTTGAGATGAATTTAATAAGGCCTCGAGGACTTCTCACAGCATATTCCCATCTGGGGCTGGCAGAGAGAGGCAAATGGCCATCCGAGGCTACAGACGGCCAGACAAAACGTGCCATTTCAAATAGCCGGATGAGCACTGAACTACGCCATGCCATGGCGCTGACGACTACTTGCTTGCCCGCCCCTCTCGTGTTGAACAAGTTTAGCATCTAAGCCTTTGTGCAGATCCCCACTGCGGGGATAGCTTGTCTTTAGGCTATGGTTTCCGTGTCCCTTTATCCGTAATTTAGAACGCGGGGAAAGCAAAGGAGCCATATATGGTGATGAAATATACCGATAGGAGCAACAGATGTGGCTGATTCAGAGTAGTTGGGTGACCAGTCCGGGAAAAACGAAGCCATCGGGGATGCTAAGCAACGAAACATTCCACGAAGTTATTGAGATCTGCAGTCATTTAGCTCTGAAACTCTCTGTGATATATGCACGTAGCTTCATTTAGCTATTTCTGCCTTTGTTTCCTGTCCATTCTGCCGATTCCGCTGGAACAATCGAGAGCCCATGCTCGCTAGGAAGACAACAGCTGGGGGTGGAAAGATTCAATTCCATAATACCATCGAATAAAGTATCTCTCGGAGAAATTGAGCGCATATTTGAGTACTTAATGTTCTATGGTAGGAAGAAGTGGGGGAAAATTAAGGAGAGAGAAGAAATTAAAAAGAAATCCCCACCTCACCAGGTGGCAGGTGACAAAGAAACTTCAAAAACAAGAGAAATATTCAACTTTCCATCACCTTCTTCAACCACTCAGGGATAGCTGGTGGATTATTCCATTTCTCTAGCCATAAATCCTGCCAACCCTCCCCATTTCCATGTGCTGGCAAGGCAAACACTGCAGTCACATACCAAACCTGCGCCCCAGATTTCAGATTAGTTCCCAAGGATGGCAGCAAGGTTCGTCCATGCAGGAGATTTGAATTCGGATCTGCTAAAACCATGTTTCCTACTCGATTAGTGTCGGACTGAAGCTCTACTATGCCGACAGCCCCTGCTGAAGAAACCGCGAGAGACCGACAGGGCTCTGTTAATGTCCCTTCAGATCGAGGGCTGACGGGTTTTTCGAAAGATCGGAGAATACGTCCATTATTGCTCTGGCACCCGTAGATTGCAAAGGCGCCTTCTGAAGTTTGGAGATCGCGTCCAGTGCGCACATGATGGGCGCGGATATGCCAATTCCTCCTTCCCTCGGTAGGAGGAATTAGGAATGTGTCGACCTCGACATCGGACCATGGTTTCCAGCCTGAAAGGAGGACTGGTACATTTTCGTGCCATTCGATACGTGCATTCTCCACAACTCGTCTTGTTTGCCAGATATCACCTCCATCATCTGAAAGGGCCAGCATGCTATCAGGCGCATGCTGCTCTAGCTGATATGTGCCAGTAGGCACCGAGTATCCGAAAGACGCACTATACGCAAACTTGCCGTATTTAGCATGGATTGCTTTGACGGGGTAATGGCAGGCTTGCCCTGACGAAAGCAAGAAAGAGTGTCCACCACGATGTATCATTATATGCTTCGGGTACTCTAGAGCTGCCACTGTTTGGAGAGAGGTTGGATAGGGCTCCTCCGTGGCTGCCCAGAAGGGGTGTGTTTCGGGTAAAGCAAGTGGTACAAATGACAGGCAGCACCAGTAAGGCGAACCTGGAGAGTTGTAATTCTCCGTTAGATACATATTCGCATAGGAGTATCCGAGGCTAAGAGTTCCGTCGTTACTGAATATGTCCTCTTGGGTTGCCCACCATCGGAAATGGCGCAGCAGCAGGCCTTTCACAGTACCCCAGGTGAGTGGCTCTGGAGGAGTAACGTCTGCAAAAGCCAAGGCACCCCAGAATCCAACCATAGCAAATCGATACGTCATGGAGCGTCCAAAGGGAATCGACCGTCCTATAAAAGGAAGAGAATGTCCAGGTTAGCATACTTAACAGGGGCTTCCTGGCCTTCCAGACGACTACCAGCTATCGATGGGTCAATCATACCATCAGGGTCAAAGTAATACACAAAATCTAGTGCAAATTGCCTAGCCCGTTCACGATATCGTTCTGCTCGTGGCTTGTCGAAGTCGCTCGCCAGTTTGGAGTAAAGTAGCTGCAAGAACTGGATCGCGAAGGAGCCAGAGTAGTAATCCATCTGGTGGTGGCTTTTAGGACCATCATTACTCCATCCTCCTCCCACATGGAATGTATCTAGGTGATCCATATCCGCCTCAATGCGAGAAAGTGAGTATGGGGCACCATTCTTTCTCAGGCCCAGATTTGCAAAGACTCGAAACCATAGCCTGGATATCACTCACACTACATTAGCATCAATAGCTTTTACTCATGCGAATAGACAGACACACCAATTAGTATTGGGCATCTCGCGATCATTGATGCTCCCTAACCAACTCGCTACATTTTTCTTTTGCCGGCTAGTTAGAGGGTCCCAGAACACATGCGGAGCAACTGCCAACGCAAACCCAATCGGACACATCTCCACCATTCGCTGGTCCATGTCTTCGATCTCTCCCCAAAATTCCGGGCTTGCTGGATCCGTTCCCTGAATGAATCCATCACGCCACCGGGAAGCTGCTTCATAGTCACATTCGCCGCCAAGCAGGGACGCCAACCCCCACAAGGGGCGAGCAAAGCCTTCAATTTGTGCGCCGCCTTCGTCGAATCGAGTGGTTGAAGTCCCGATCTTCACGCGGCTGCCTCCTGGGGTAAACCGGGGTACGAGAGGGTTGAGCAGCGCCTTACACGCTTCCTGGAGGTCACTGCGAGTACGGAATGGAGACTTGCTGAAGGGTTGAGCAGGAGTCCTTCCATTTGCGTAGACAGACATCGTGACTGCTGGTATTGGAGGGAGGAGAAAGTTGTTGAGTTACGAACTGAGATTACCCCTCAGGCCTCAAGCCATATATGTATTCTTCCATATCTCGGGGATGTCGGGCTAAAAAGCGCGTAACTCGAGCCAGCATGGAATATGTCGATCGGGAATTTACCCGGGAGGGGAGGGGATAAAAGAGGGAAGAATGACAGTTCTATGCAATGCAGAAGCTGATACATGAACTAGGATAGAATCATCGCCAAAGTACGCCAATAATCGGACTTTACTCCGAAGTTCTAGCTTCAGCAGGCACAACGCTTGAGGCGAATTTCTATAGGTGGATTGGAATTTTCCACGCATTACGGCTGACGGGCGATCTGGTGGAAGCATGCAGAGTGATATAAACTATAATACTCTGGTTTATTTCCCCACTACACATACAATTGTCTATCATGCTTGTTGGGAAGAAGCTATATTGGTACGCCCCTCCTTACAGCCTCGTTCAGAGCTCACTCATTCAAGGCGATTGGTTTATTTCCATAAATTGGGATACCTAGCCGCCTCTTTGGTTTCTTCCACTGCCTGGTCGTACTCCTCCAGTTCCTGTGCGCAATCATCAGTCTGACATTTCATTTCCTCGTCAGTAGCCTTCCGAGTTGAATTGCCCTCGTCGACAAGGATCTTGTCAGTTTGATCATCCCTCACAAATTTCGGATACTCTTCGTCCAGGAACTGCAACGTTGGTGGGACAGAGTAAGGTAGGCGCGCTGGCACAGCTCCATAGTAATGGTCCCAGGTCAGAAGAGCGAAGCCGGGGTCCTGTGTCAGAGTGGAGGGATAGCAAGCGTTCTCAGTGAGGAGCCACGGGTCCGCTTGCGGAGCCGGCCATGTTGAAGAACGAATAGTCCATGACGTTGAATGTAGTGATACTGGACGTGATGCCAGTTCACGTACACAATGTCACCGACGACTTGAATTGGTCCTCCCTCAACCTTGACCTGTTTGTCTGGGGGATATCTGCAAAAACCCATTCCATCCACTCTGGCCGCTGTTGGCAACACCGCCATTCTGGCTGCCCGGGGGAAGATGGACCCAGCCGGGGCACAAGTCAGCCTTTGGAATGTACTGCACTGAGCGACTGAAGAATAATGATAGCACGCCTGAGGATATTTGGAGCCATCACACCAGCGAACCTGCATGCTGTAGGTGGTGGTAACCACTGTGCTCTTCAAAACTACAGTTTTTCTGGCCTTCTTTGTGGCAGAGGCTGTAGCCGTAGGAGAGAGGCTGACAGAAAACAGGCCGTCGCCAATATCGGAGTATGTATATCAAACAAGCTGAAACATCCACGGGGATCGCGAATTTATTTATATAAAAAAACACAAAACCGATTCCACTGGATAAAACCAGAGTTAAGCCTCAGGAAAATTGATCAACTAGTTATTTAGTTAGTTAACTGGCTAGTAAGCTAACGTAATCCGCAAATTGACAGCATATAAAGAAGTACCTTTTCATCCTTATATCCTTTCTGCCCCTCCTTCTATTCATAAAATAAGAAGAGCAAGCCACTACCTAAATTATCAATCCATCCATAGTAGAACGAACAGACCACAGACCACAGACAAAATCACTATGACTTCTCCACACAATCCTCTCATCTCAGCTTTAACAACGCTTTATACTCTCCTCGTTGACCTCCGCTACATCCCCGCATCTACACTTGTCCTCCCGTCATCCCAGACACGACGACATCCCCGTAACTGCATCAATCGCAGTGCAGCGGCGCAGAACGGGTTCAGCGAGGAAGTAATCGAACTAGCGTACCAGATTCCGTACATTGCGGATGAAGATTACCAGGTTAACTACGACACCCAACCGCTCTGTTATCTGGCACGCGTCCCTGAAGTAAGCGGGGAGGACAACGACAAGAACAACGAACCAGAAGAAATAGAAGGCGAAGATGCATGGGAGTTCGCGCGTGACCCGACCTTCCAGGATCGTCTCGATCTCTGGACCGGCCATAACATCCTAGTATTAACTCGAGGTGGACTGTACGGGGTGGAACTGATCTATGATCTGGATAAGCGTATGTTAGCTTCTCTTTAGAGAGAGAGAGAGAGAGAGAGAGAGAGAGAAGGGAGGGGGGTTCTTTCTTTCCAACGATATGCGTTAACACCTTGTACTTACTTGTATCTATACAGAAACAATCACGGAATGGCAGCCTTTCGAAACCCCAGAGACTTGGCGGTCCCTCCCTGCCATTCCGATGACATCGTCACAGAACCCGCTCTACGTGTGGATCCGGGCGTTTCTGGCACTGCAGAATATCCCGCTTGATGATGACATCTTGATTCCTCGGGAGCCCGAGGAGCTGGGGTATCCCGGTGATAACGCCAGTGAGGGGAAGATGCGGGAATGGCGGGAACGTGTGGAAGATGCTGAGAAGGAAAGAGGGCTGAAAGATGTTTATGTTGGGTGTGGATGGAAGACAGATACGGTGGATCGAGTCGAGGATGATGCACAGCTGCCGATTTGGGAGGCTCTGGAGCAGGCGCGTCGAAGGGCTGGGGAAGAGTTTCGGGGAGAGGAGTTTGGAGAACGCAAAGAGGCGTGGAAGGGGAGTTTGTAAATATATATACTAGATAGAGTCTGTTGTTTAGTTTAGCAGGAAGTACAGTACATATTGGTCTGACTAAATTTAGAATATTTAACTAACACATATCATGGATATTTGGTCTCTACTAGGTCTTTGAATGGCTTTGTCCTGCAGAATACGTAAGGAATGCAAGGCTAAACATGTCGCCCTATTCATTATGTCCGTTGTTTCCCAGCTTGTTATACCAGGGACAGTCTATATTCATACCCATCTTACAGCATCAACTTATGTACAGCCGAGTTTACCGGCAATAAACCTAGCAAGCTCCTCTATAGTGCCTGCATCTTCGTCCGTAGACAATCGCTCAGTCAAAAGCTGCGTCCAGTCTCCCAACCGGAGCTCGTGCAGGTTGCGACCATCAAGGGCTCCATGAATACGACTCGCCTGCTCGGGGGCGATCAGAGGGTCATCTGATGTGGAAATATGGCTCTCAACAATAGCACCATGTTTTAAACGTAAAAATACACGGGTCTGCCAACGTATATTAGAGCTACTTGGCAAAAAAAATCACAAAAAATCAGAGAATCTCACCGAAGATGGCAAAGACGCTGGAAGAGCCGGTCGTTCCCGGGGATCTTCCTCAGTGGGATATGTGGAAAAGGTAAAGCGTGGGGTTTGAGTGTATTTCCACTCCAAAGACTAGAATAACGAGATCAGCATTTCTTTCTACACAACTTGAACCCCATAGCTCCTAGAGACTTACAGTCAATTCATCCAAGCCCTTCCTGATTTCAGGCTCCCTATAAGCTAGTGTGTCTCCCACTGCCCCCACCACCCAGTCGTCTCCTGCGTGCAGCTCTGGCTCATTCGCGTGAGCCCGCTGGGCACGGCGAACAGCATCTGGATTGGTCTGGTAGAGACGTGCGAATTCCTCCATCACACTCGCGATCACTGTTTGGATCGAAAATGGGGGGAGCGAATCCCCCAAAGAAGAAGACACATTAGCTACTGGAGATCGGACACTCTCAACGCCCATGGCTTTGATGTAATCCCTCGCAGGTGACCGTAAAAAGGACCCCAGTATGTCGATATTCGGGGAATCCAGTAGACATGTCCCGTGGTGCAGCGCACGATGTCGGGTCAATTTAAATGCTGACCCGGAAATCTTCCGCGGCCGATCCGTAGTCATAACAATATCATGACGGCCATTCACACTGGTGTTGACTGCTCCGATACGGTGCAATGCGCGCACCATCATCTCCGCATGTTTATTGCGCGTGAAGGTTGTCCTCGGGGAAATTACACTGTAGTTCAAGTTTCCGGCATCATGGAAGACTGCACCACCGCCGGAGCGTCGTCGAACGAAGACGGGCTCATCACCGTTATTGTCTCCCGCGCGATCATTTTGAAGCACTGTGAGATTCGTCTCAAGCCATGGATTCTGGTTCCGCCCAATTACAACACACGGTCGATTGACATATAGAAACAGGATCCTTGATTCGGGGGGAGCATGCTGGAGCAGGAAATGTTCAATGGATAGATTCACGTACGGATCTGTCGAGAGGGACTGGTAGATCTGATGGAGGGAGGATGGACTAGCGGCGAGTTGGGCGAAATGGTCAGAGGTAAACGAGGAATTGAACCGGACGAAGATGCCACCATGAGGGCTCCTATAACGGGTAGAAAACCAGCATGAGCTTCGAGCCAGGAGCGGCATTGAGAGAGGTTCAAAGCAGATAAGGCGAGCGCGCGCAAAATGAAGGTCCAGATTGTATCAAGAGTCCGGACTCGATTGGTGACAGTAAGCTCCCGATGTTACCATACCATACGCCGATCCATACGGTAATATAATAACAGTATAACCACCATACGGCAAATCACCTGCCTCCGATCACCGGACGCTAAACCTAATCGGGCCGCTGGAGACGGGAAAAAAAGATTCCGACCTTTTCGAGTCACCCTCAATCTTTCTTGGACTATTGCAGATTCACACCGGTGATAATAATCTTACAAATTTGGCCTCCAATTCCTGAGTTTCTTGTCTTTGGGAAGTTTCCTGATATCTATCCCTTAATCGGACGACAAATACGAGACCTGGTACAACGGTCACAACTGGCTTAACCTCCCGAAAACTACCAACCCAACAAACAGCCCACTATGTCAACGTGGGGTGAATACTTCAGGGTCACCACGTATGTTTCCACCGATTCTCAACCATTAAATCTTGTCTTGAGCTAATGGAAATATTCCAATAGCTACGGTGAATCCCACTGCCTCTCTGTCGGCTGCATTGTCGATGGCTGCCCTCCTGGAATGGAGCTCACGGAGGACGACATCCAGCCCCAGATGACTCGCCGTCGTCCTGGACAGAGCGCCCTGACGACCCCGCGCAACGAGAAGGATCGTGTTGAGATTCAGTCTGGAACTGAGTTCGGAGTCACACTTGGTACCCCAATCGGTATGATGGTGCGCAATGAGGACCAGCGTCCCAAAGATTATGGTAACAAGACCATGGACCTGTACCCCCGTCCCAGTCATGCCGATTTCACCTACCTTGAGAAGTATGGCGTCAAGGCAAGCAGTGGTGGTGGACGAAGCAGTGCCCGCGAGACCATTGGTAAGTGGTCCTTAGACAACAATTTGCGTTTTTCTTTTTCTTCCCCCCCCCCCCCTCTCTAACAAGTAACTTCCCAGGCCGTGTCGCTGCTGGTGCCATCGCCGAAAAGTACCTGCGCCTCTCTCACGGCGTCGAAATCGTCGCCTTCACCACCTCCGTTGGCAACGAGCACCTGTTCCCTCCCACTGCCGAGCACCCCAGCCCAGCAACCAACCCTGAGTTCCTCGACCTGATTGAGAAGATTGACCGCAACATGGTCGACTCTTTCACCCCTACCCGCTGTCCCAACCAGGCGGCTGCAGACCGCATGACCAAGGTCATCGAACACTTCCGCGACAACAGCGACAGCATCGGCGGTACCGTCACCTGCGTGATCCGCAACGTCCCCGTCGGCCTGGGCGAGCCCTGCTTCGACAAGCTCGAGGCCAAGCTGGCCCACGCCATGCTCAGCATCCCCGCCACCAAGGGCTTCGAAATCGGCTCGGGCTTCGGCGGCTGTGAAGTGCCCGGTTCCATCCACAACGACCCCTTCGTGGCCGCTGACGTGCCCACTCAACTGGGCAGCACAAATACCACCAAGCAGCGCCTCACCACCAAAACCAACAATTCCGGCGGTATCCAGGGCGGCATCTCCAACGGAGCCTCCATCTACTTCCGCGTCGCGTTCAAACCCCCCGCCACAATCGGTCAGGCTCAAACCACCTCCACCTACGAATTCGAGGAAGGTGTCCTCGCAGCCAAGGGCCGCCACGACCCCTGCGTCGTGCCCCGTGCCGTCCCCATCGTCGAGGCCATGTCTGCCCTTGTGGTTATGGACGCCCTGATGGCCCAGTATGCCCGTGAGAGCGCAAAGAACCTGCTCCCACCGCTACCCAAGACTATTCCTACCCGTCCTACCCTAGGGACGCATTAGAGCAGTAATGAAAATCATCTCGGTGTCTTCCCCCCCCCTTCTTATTTATCATTCTCTATTATCAATGATGGTTCTTATGACTCGATTTCCTTTTTTTTTTTTTTTTTTTTTCGCCTTCAAAAAAGTGTAACTTTTATATCACGATATTATTTTCTTTTCCTTTCTTCTTTCAATTCCGCATAGCGTCGAATAGATGGGAATAGTTATCACAATTGGATAATTCTCCCCCCGCCCTTATCCTTCTCTTCTACAGCTGTAAATTATTTATTATACTCTTGAATATATATATACTCTGCAGCCCTAGTCTTGATGCGAGCTAAACTGTATTTGGTAACCCCGGGAATAGCTAATGTTCCGGTATTTTACCAGTGATAAGTAACTATACTGTACTGTACTGTACTGTAGTTAGTTAGTTGTTAACAGTAAATTAAATAACTAAGAACTATGAATGTAACCGTGATACATAACTATAAGCCAACCCAGAAACATCTCCCGAGAAATATCTGGGATTATTTAAATATAGTTCTAGCATGCTGGATTTTTATCATCTTCAGAAGGCGCTTGTGGCTGATTAGCTGACATGAAAGGGTATATATACTGTCTAGAGATGTAGGATTCCTAAGAATTCAAGAAGCCCTTTGAGTTAACTAACTAGTTATATTGAATGGATTGCTAAGCGAAAGGACTAGTAACTAACTAACTAGTTAGTGAGTTAAATCGAGGGACCTCATCTCATATATTCATATTCTAGTGGTAAATCCTTTCGCCCTTGGCCCAGGCCAATAGCTTCCTTACTGCGCGTCCCTGGACAGCCGTCGGCCGACCCTCTAGAACGCTCCCCAGAATGGCCCACGCCACGACGAACAGCCAAACCTCTCCACCACTCCACCACCGCTTCCAGTGTCCCCGCTTGACCCCCGCCTTCCACGCCGAATCCACCGCCCCGCGGAAAAAGTACAGGAACACGCTGCGGCTATGGCCCAGGAATGCAAAGGGCACCCCGGCTAGCGCTCCGCTCAGGTAAAATCGCTGGCGGGGCACCACGGACCGTGGGAGCACCAAATTCCACAGACACAAACTGCCCCAGCCCGAGCCGAGGGCTGCCGAAAGCACGGCCGTGAGGGTGATTATTCTCTTCGAGAGACTGTTGGCCGTGGAAAGCGGCGAGGCTAGCCAGGCCTTGAACTTGAGGGCAGAAAGTGCGAGGGTAAGACCGGTGATCAGGCGGGCCAGCGGGGGAACAGAGAGGAGAAGATGATGCAGGAAGGCTGTGCCGCAGCTAGGACTGCTGGGGTGGAGGAGAGCACACGACAGGCTGACGATAGAAGGGTGAGCCGGCCCCGTAATGGGCGAGATGGCCTTGACCGCAGAAGGTAAGGGGGTGGGATCGGACGGATGAAGAATCGGCGAGACGAATAGCCTAACAAGCAGGTGGGTTTTGTTTATTGATTAGCCCCGTCTCCAGACAACTCGACGGATCAGCACAAAACTCACGGCCATCGCAGGTTGGCAATCGTTGCGAGCGAGTCCACAATGTCAGTTTTCGCCGGCCAAGGAAACTCCGCGGGCAGCGTATCCGGACGGTCGTGGATGTAGCTGGGCGAATTCTTGAGGATCACGTTTCCTAACCACTGCGCTCCAGTTAGCCCCATATGTCCAACTCCCAGAGCTTAACGTAGTAGTGTTCGCCATCACGTCGCCCACCTTGGGTGTAGCCTCCCGATCAAACACAAAGGCGTGGAACAGCTGCGCACACGACAGGGGCATCAGGAGCCAACTGCCAAACCACCAGGGCTTATTCTCCAACCACCCCTTCTCATCCATCACATTGTAGAGCGACTCCAATCCCCGTGTAGCCGCATAAATCGCGACCGTCCTCCGGAGCTGGGTTTGCGGAGAGATTCCCAGCGCGAGTCCCGCGATACTGGCCCCGACCGCAGGGGCATATCGCGACGTCAGCGCCCTCGAGATTCGCGGGTTGCGGTCGCGGAACGGCTGAGCGTCGTCGGTTCGGAGATTGGCACGCAGTCGGACGAAGAAGCGATAAAGAAGCCGGTGCAGGAGAATCATCAGGGAAAGAGAAAGGGAGAGGCGGAAGTTTGGAGAGCGCAGTAAAGCGACCGGGGGTTTCTTCCTACAATGATCCATCCCACTCACAAGTTTAGCTTCAGCTCGATCTCCTCCATGTTCAGATTCTCGTCAAGAAGAAAAACTACTTACCCGGCCTGATCACGCTGTATGCGACCGAGGACCAGATCGACCAGCTTCAAGAAAGCCCCCGAGGCAAGGAAGACACGCAACGACGCTCGCACAGCCGCTTCATTATGTTTATGTTTGGATCGTACAATACCCTCGAATCGAGCCGGAGTGGGTAGCTTGGTTCGCAGGGAGGGAGAAATGCGCTGGACGGCGTAGTCGTGGAGGATCTTGTATTCTTTGGCGCTCAGGGAAACGCGCAGAGCATTCCGAACGACGGGGTGCACCCCAGGATCCAGCTGGGGTGCAGGTGCCATGATGCTCTGCTCTGACTGAAATTCGAGGGATTCAAAGCAAGACAAGAGTCAGGGGACGAAGGGGGGAAGAAGAAGGCGTGAGCTGGTGCGCTCGAAATACCCAATAAAGATGCGCTAGATTGTTCCCGCCCTGTAACCTCGGCTTGAAAACTTCATGGATTTTGCCAGGGGTTCTTTTCCTCGGGTATTTGTACGATGGAGAGAGATTTGCTCAGTTGAACCTGACTGCTACGATAAAACCCAGCTCTATTCTATATAGGGGGTTGCTATGGTCTGTCAAGAACAGTGCTCCACCAAGCCTCCCTTCTAGAAGCAAACAGAAGAGAAGGAACTAAAGTAAATATGAGGGAAAAAAAAAAGGAAAGGAAGACAAGATTATGCTACACAAGGAATAGAAGAAGAGAAACCATACCATGCAAAATCCGCCATCAAAACAGCGCCTGCCTGAGACCCAGAAATCCACAATACCTACAAAAATAAAGAAAACCATCACCAGAAACTGCACCACCCAATCCAATGTTGACAGATGTTCTCAACACTCGTGGCCTGGGCCAGAAGCTTATCGACCTGGTCGCTCACATTGAGTTCCTCGTTGGGTTTAAAGTCTCGTCCGGTGAGTTTTTCGCGGACCCGCGCAAGGACCTGTAATGCTCGTTGGTTCTGGGCCTCGCGAGCCTCGGCGGGCACTTCCTGGGCGTCCAGAATACCGCCTTCAAGAATTGAAGGTCGACGATGTCGGGAGAAATTGCTGGGTTGGACGCCGTGTTCTATGTTGACGTTGGCAACGATTGACTGCCGCCTCTCTGCAGTGAAAGACACCCTATCGGGAGACTCGCGAATTCCGAGACGCCAGTTAATCAAAGGATCGTGAATGAACTAAAACTCAAGTCAGTTATGAAGAAAAGAGGGGGGGGGGGGGGGGGATGCTTAGGGAAATAAAGCTTACCGCTTCCAGAACAGCCATCAAAGAGTCTTTATTCTCACGCAAGACACGCATAACGGCCTCGCAAGTGATCCGGTAGCTTCCCTCAATATTGCTGACTTCCATCGCGAAGGTCAGCATGCGCGTCAGACGGAAGGGCACCCGTTCCGGATATTTCTCCCGATGCATCGCAACCTCGAAGCAGTCGCCGAAATCGATATGAACCACCGTTCCGGTAACTCGATCCAGAAGGAGATTAGAGGGATGGCGGTCACCCAGGCCAAGGATATAGCCAACCATAGACATGACACCAAGGGACCGAGTGTAATTGGTTCGTCGCTCAAGCCAGGCCTCGGAGCTCTTACTTTTGAGCCACAGGACGCGGTAAAGATCCTTACCAGTAGTATTGTCCATTGCATAGCCAAAGACCTCGACCTTCTGCATGAGCGTCAGGTTGTCATAGTCTGGGGCCATCTGGAGCATAATCCGGTGCTCAATATTCAACAGGATGCGACGGGTCTCTCGGTATTCTTTGATCAACGCATGTAAGGTGTCGCTGTTACAAACCCATCCTATCAGACCGGAGTTCTGGGATAGTGGGATGGCCGGGAACCGCTGTACAGACAGATGTCGCTTGAAGCTCTCACCGTCGTTGTCAAGGAGGGTATTCACCAAGCCAAACAACTGCATAACACGCTCGTCTTGTCGGATATCTTCATGTCCCTTAAGAGCATACATGTACGAGTTTCCGTCGCTACTCTTCAATGTCATCCTTCGTGGCCGCTTCTTGGTTTGGAGGACGTGCAGAATGGGATCAAAGCTGATGATTCGAATAATGGGTCTACCGCTCTGGTAAGTACCAGGAACGGCAAGATCAAGGTCCACGCAGTCCTTGAGCTTGGGCGAAACGTATTTGAGATCTAGGGTCGACAACTGCGGTAACTGTCTACTGATCTTGCGGAACACGGTATAGTAGAGATCCCACGCTTGATTGAGATCACCAATCTCTTCAGTTTCACGGTAAAGCATGCAGTAGTGCTTTGCCTCGGCAAGGTCCCGCCCAAAGGCCTGCGCAAACGACACCTCGCGTAGTGTTTCCGCTCCCTTATCCAGCATCTCATGAAGAGGTGCAAGGGTTGCGAACATTCCTTCCACATTATGATCCCCAAAATAGAGTCGTGAAGCTTCCTCGAGGCCTTCATGCCAAAGTTCATGCCACAAAACAGCAACTCGGATAAGTTCATGACTGACGAGATCGGCTTGCTCGACCAGTTTTGCGCTATGTTGCCGCATGCTATCCATGATATTGCTTGCAGATTGTGATCGTCGGGCAACGTTTGATTTCATTGCGACTGTCAACGGGTATACCAACGCTTGAGGATGCGTCTTACCGACTTCCGCTAGCAAACGATGAACCGATGTTCGAACCCTGAAGTTGGGCTGGTTGATACGGGCGATAAGCTGAGGTGTAACGGCAAGCCAAGTATCAATATTCACGGCTGTAAAACCCTCAGTAACAACAGTGTTCACTTCCTGATCACCACCGTGATTAAACCAGAGTGTGAGGAATCGCAAAGTGTCCTGGAGGGAGGATGTGGATGACAATGAAATAGACCTTAGGAAACCACGCACGGCCGGGATGACATGTTCCGTAACAATATGTCCAGGGACCATGGCCATGCTTCCGCCATCCTGCTTGGCTTGACTGGCAATTGTCGTGACAACCTCGAAGTTCGCCAGCGCCCATGAATGCCAGGCTTTGTAGGAATCGCGATTATACCTGGTAGCAGCTGAATAAGCGTTGAGCACTTCGCGGACGTGCTCTGGCCTCCAGTCTCCTCTCTGTAAGGTGGTCTGCCACTCTCCAAGTCTTAGGTAACTCTTAGCAAGAAGTTTTCTAAACTTGTTTACATCACCAATCCGCTCGCGCAAACCGATAACATCGGAATGGTTGGCATCTGCAATGCCATTGACACCATTGATTCCATTATGCTCGGATTGCGAGGCCATCAAAGCATTGAATCGCGTAAAGTCTTCGGTGAGATTGCCTGTAAACTCTTTAAGCATCTGGAGAGCCTCGCGCTGGCGACCAGTAGCCCAGTTGAATTTCAAGCGAGCGTATGTGACTTCTGGAGGAGCAATAGTTCGTGTACCGTTGCCGTCGGAAACAACAGTCTCCAGGGATGCAAGAGACCGCTCGGCAAGCCCCATTCGGTTCGATTTCCGACAAAGGTTGGCAAACTTGATCCACATGTCGAGATTCTCGCGGGGTGTGGTGACAAGAGCTCTGACTTTCAGCATACGCTGCCACACCTCCACATTTTGCTGGCAACCAAGTAAACGCTTGTTCCAAGTCTGGCGCATAGACTCCTGTTTTTCTGGATCGCCAATATTCTGCTTGTATGTAATAATTTCCTCTAATTCTGCCAGCATTTGGACGCGGACAACGACATTATATGCACGGTTGTATGACTCGCCAAGAAGCGCTGAGAGTTCGGTATCAAGGCCGTTTCTCGCCTTCTCAATGTACATTGTCGCTTCGTCGAATTGGTTCCGATGGATTGCAAGAATAGCGCCGAAGAAGGACCGGTCTGGAGATTGTTCTTTCATGACGCCAAGGTAGGAATCCATGAGCTCCCACTGTCGTCGACCCCAGGCAGCAGCGGCAGCTAGAGGGGCAATAGACTTCCGGTGCTCCAGCGAGGCTTGGTTCCATTTCTCTTGAGCCAGGTCAGAGAGTACTTTCCACTCTCCGAGAGCATGTAGACAGCGCATTTTTCCCATGGTAACACCGAAAGAGTCGGGATCGATCTTTTCGCGTCGTTTGTAGGCAGCAAGGGCCTCCTCCCAGCGTTGAAGCTTCTCGAACCAAGTCTCCTTGAGCTCTACATCCCGGTAAGCCTGAGCTTTGCGGAGAATACCAATAGCAGCATCGGATTGTTGAAGCTGGTTATTGATCGTAATCAACGCCTCAACAGCTCCGGAGTTCTGGTCTTGTTCAAACTCGAGTTCTTTATAGTGAAGAGCCTTGGCAAATGCGTGGCACTTGGCTGCATGCTTGCCTAGGGTGCGAATGTCGATCGGTAGGGCTTTATCATCATGCTCCATAAATTCAGCCAAATTGAGAAGGACCTGGAGGATTTCAGGGGGGATGTTAGGGGAAGTGAGCGCCTTCTCGATTGATCTTACGAGCTCCTCCTGGTACTGGTCGTATAGCTCGGTCCAGCAAGAAACGAACGCAGCATTGAACAAGTCTCTTGCGAGTGGCTGGTAAATACCCGCCAAACTGGCGCAGGCACGTAAAGCAGGCGAAGGGGACTCCTTGAGTAACTCAACGCTAAACCGCCGAATCCACTCCTGCCAATCTTCGCGAGTTGACTTCTGAGACGCATCCCAGGCATTTTTCAAATGCTGTTGGTTAACCACCATCTTCTTCTGACCAATTTCCGCGTAATTAGCATCATCTGTGAGAGATGCGTAGTTCTCGTCAGGATTGAGGTCCTGTGGCAGCGGGTCTCCCTTTTGTAGCTTCGTTACAAGAATCTGGTAGTTGACATGATTGATCTGATGCAGCTTCAACACCTTGTTCAACAAGTGTATGTAGTGGTTGAAGTCCTGGCCAAGCTGGAATATAAGAGCACAGATGCAGTCCATGGCAGCTTGTCGCAGCATACGGTCGTTTCCGGCAACAACTCGGGCTAGAGAATGGACGATCAAAGACGCAAAATCGGAAACATTGACTTGACGCGACAGCTTGGTAAGGCTGTCAATGGCCGACTTCCTGATGCTTTGCGGATTTTGGGCTCTGTCAAATAGGCGCACAATAGACGGGACTATCAGGTGCATGTATTCCTCTCCACTATTGCCGAATATCAAAAAGCTGTGGAGGATCCTCTCTGAAGGCTGTCGGCGCGGGTTATTGTCCTTCTCCAACGTATCAAGCATTGGCGGAATGAGGTTAGCAAGGTACTTTTTGAATTCACCCTCAAGAGACTTCGCTATCGCTTCGACAAGAGACAGAATTGTTGCTTGGACCTGATATGAGGCATCCCAGAATTCTCCAATAACCTCGATGACTTCCGGTAGGAATGCTCTAATATGTTGTCTCACAATGTTGACTAGGATCGCCATTTGATTGAAGTACGACTCAAGCCTGCTTGGGGGAGATCCTCGAATAACGGATATAAAACCAGGGACAATCTGTCCAAGGAATGGGACACATTTTAAGCCCAGGGTCTTAAAAATAGTGACAATGGCATCAATGACAGCGGAATGGTATTGAGCGAGGGAATTTTCGCGGAGGATATTTTGCATGAGCGTATTGATGACTACAGTTGGGTAGTATTCTTCATTAGAGGGAGCAAGGCCTTGCATGATGAGTGTAACATCTGACACCGTTTGAACCTCATTGATATGGTGAACATCTGGCGTTGTCTCGCTGATCTGTTGGTATTTGTAAGGGTCCAAGGCGCCGAGAATTCCGAGCACTTTGATGGTTTCTTTGCGGAGAGATCCCGCCTGCTCTGTCTTGATGATATTGATGAGCACTGCGAGAAGATTGGGATACTCAAGATATGGGTCAATAACATAACCAGAGTTACTGGCTAACTGACCCAAAGTGCGCAGCGCCGCCTCTCTCTTGGCATGTGAAGAAAGGTCTTGGAGTGAGTCTAAAATAATCGGCATGAGCTTGGGCAGATATGTTTTCATTTCGCTGCCTCCGACATTGGCAAGTTCTCCAACCGCTTTCAGGGTAGTCGAGGCAACGCCTGGATTCACATCAGTTGCCTTTGGAAGTAGCGTGGTCACCATAGGGTCAACATATGATCTAATAAGCTTTGTCGCATTTGAAACAAACAAGCTGATAAGCTGAGCACTTTCCTCCTTTTGACGGGCCGTGCTTGCAAATCCGAGGCCCGTGAGAAGGTTGACAAGCAGCTTTCGGAGAGGGGGGAAAACATATGCTGGGTTGACGCTCGATAGACGCCCAATAATGCAGATTGCAGCCTCTCTGACAGCAAAAACTTCATCGTTCACTGCCAAAAACAAACATCGTATATTTTCCGGCCTTGCAAGGTGCCGATCGAACTTTCGATCAAGAGACCACAAAATAGTACGTCGGATATCCGGATCCGGATCACCAACACCGACAGTAAGAAGTTTGTCGATGACTTCGCTCACGACTTGTATGGAATGGCTACTGGTTTGGTTGATGATAGGATCGTGGACAAAAAGTTGGCAGCAAGTCAGGGCTGAAGCTTTCCGAATTTCCGGGTTGTCGTTCTCGACATAATTAATGGCGACATCGCGCACAAATTCATTGAGAATATGGCCAGAGAAATCGAAGCTTCCCAGCGTGTGCAGTGCCAGAGCAATTTCGGCGTCCGAATGCACCTCTTGCGGAGCGAAGTCTTTAGCAAAAGAGGGCATCGGGGGCAATCTGCTTTCGGGGCAACCTAGGGGTCGGAAGGGTGCGCCGTCAAGAATGAGACTAAGCATATCCAACAATTTGACTTGAATGGTAGGCTTGATTGGGGGTATGTAATGCGCCATGTCAACAAGAGCTTGAGTCAGCGACTCGCTCAACCCACACGCGAATATCGGATCAAGAAGCGATTCCATGTATTTGCTGAGTGCCTGGCCCACTGCTAACGACAGCATGCTAATACACTCGAACATTGGGGCTTCTTTGATGGCAGCTCGATTTCGTCTTGGAGATATCAGTATAGTAACGAGAGAGAGGATAGAAACGCAGTTTGCTTACGCTTTGAGCGCCAGACCTTCCCGGATGTAAACTATAATACCATCGAGATATTGGGCGATGGCAACACCAACAGCATTAGCGATCTTTCCGATCGCCACAAAGGCGGCGTTTCGTTCCTTCTCTCTCTTGAGTTGGGCTTGGAGGTATATCATGAATCTATGGAGGTAGGTTTCGGTAAAGTCAACGGGAGCGTAAGAGGCAAGGATGGGAATCGTCAGCACGACTTGAGTACGAATCTTGGGATCGCGATGGTCCTTCAGACGGAGAACAATCTCGCACGCATTTCGGTAATGTTCGTTCATGAACATGGCACCCTTCAGAAGAAGTTCCTTGAGGACCAAAAGCGACCCATGGATCCAGTCTACATTGTTGGATTTCAAGCCCAAAAGCGCTTCCTCGTAGATCCTCGCAAACCAGAGTTGTCGCACCTGCATATCCCTGGCGGCGATAATTTCGAAGCATTCGCTTACAGCCTGGGCCGCCGTCTCTCGGATGAGTACTTTGGGATCCCGGAGGGCAACCCAGATGAGTTCAAAGACCTGAGACACGAACCCATACAGGAGGGTCGGCGAGCCTTTGGCGAGCTCCCGGATGACCAGGACCGCAGCGAATCGCCGGCCTTCCTGTCGTTCGGACTGCAGCCATTCCAAAGCCGATTGTATCTCACTCTCGACAAGCTCGGCAGTAAGCGCTCCCCCGGGCTTCGCCAACCGCCCAAGGGCCCGGGCGGCGTACACCAGGACGGCATTGTCATTGCTACGGAGGGCACTACGTAAGTAGCTAGCAAATCGAGTCGTCTTCTGCGCCGTATCCACTCCATCAAAGTCTATTAGACGGTCGAGAGCAAGGAGGCCACCGATTCTTTCGTGCGCGTCGCTCCCGGTAACGACAAGCTGTGCGATGCGTTGACTAACGGCATTATAAAATTCGATAAACTTCTCTGGAGGCCAATCTAGAATATGAAATTCAATGATTAGCTCCAAGAGACGAAGACATAAAAGGTGGGGGGGGGGGGGGGGGGGGTGGTTTTCATCTTTTTTTTTTTTACCTCTGGAAATCGCAAGGACATTTTCGTAAAGATCATAAGCAGCTCTAACTCGTGTATCCTCATTCTTGGACTTCAACTCTAGAAAGAGCCGCTGAGTGACGTCTGTGATTGGACCTGCTTGCGCCATTCTTGCGTATCGCACCCCAGGGTGGACATTTGAAGCTAGCCTCTAGGGCATTCAGGATGGCACCGCGGGGAGCATGCGCAGAAGAGGCGGAGAAGATGATGAACGAGTGTGGAGGAAGCGGGAGGGAGGGATGAAGAGAGGGAGGGAGGAGGCCAACTGAACGAAGTGAGAGGTCGAGTTCCCACCAGCTGCGTGCACGGGCCAGTCCTGCCTGGGGCAAGAATCTTGGCGGCCTGGTTTTTATTCATCGAACCTAATGGTGGCCATTTACCAAAATGTGGAATAAATCTACTATATAGTACAATAAGAAATGAATGTATTTATATCAATTTGTCCTTTATACAGCACTAGGTGCGAGTTCTGAGAGAATGACTTTATCTGTCAGGATTGATACATAACTATATTCTCTATAGCAGTTACCTTTTTCTCTCCAACTATATTTTCTGTAGTGGCTATCGGACATCTCCATTAGGTTTGGACCGGCAGTAGACCACAGTCTCTTGTCTCCAGTGATAGAGACATGACTGTTACTGGGAAAAGTATCCTGACGGAGATTGGGGCTGCACTGCCCTGGTGAATGAGATAGTGACTGGTGCAGGCAGCGAAGCGTGGGACTTACAGTAATGAAAGAAAAACAAAGCTCGAGAAGCTAGATGAGACCCAGAAGAGTGAAAAAGATTATTATTGATACAATAATACATCTGCCCAGGACAAGGGTCTGGCCAAATAGTGAATAGCAATAACAAGATACATTGAACATGGCTACATAAGCGAATGACAGTCAAGGTACATGGCTGGAAAAAACAAGGGCAAGGCCAATAGAATAGGTACATGGAACAAGAAATGCTATATTTAAAAGGAGATTCATTAATCACAGAACAAGAAGATCGAATCCTTCCCGAGCAGAGAGACACATAGGGCCCGAGGGTGTAATTCATGTACCATGAAGAATTAAAATATACCGGAATCAAGTAATTTACCCCATCTTCTGTTCAAGTATCTTAGGCTCCCATAGCCGAGGGAGAAGGAAAGGAGAATAACAACAAATATCATGCTGTACCTCCCCTTTCTATGCATATTTATCGTCAATTGGTCATCGTGGAGGGTTTCGGGAGGCTGGTCCCACGTCAAGCTCATCATCATGCATTAGGTATTTGGTTGGTTCGTTCGTTCGTCCACTGGTTGGTTTTGTTTTTTTTTTTTTTGTTTTTGTGCTTTGTTTTTTGTTCCATTTTCAACTCTCCCATCCAACCCAGCCCCGAGGCATGACACGCCAGACCTTGCATTCTCCACTGCGCAGGTCATTGAGCTTGAAGCTTTCGACTTTAACCTTCTTGCTTTCACGACCCTGTTCCCATGCACGGATCTTCTTCTTAGTCCCATCCCAATCAACGACAATTCCGACGTGATCAGGTTTGCCAACCTCTGCACTGTACTTCTGGTGCATTGTTCCGCGGTGCCCTTGGAAGCGGGCATTGCGGAAGCTCACAATGTCACCGGGGCGGATTTCATCGTTTTGTTGGACGGAGGCATTGGCCATGTTGGAATATACCAGAGCACCATACGCACGGTTACCGACCGGGCGTAGAGCATCCGCAAGAGGGCCAAGCAAGTGCTTAATAAGACCAAAAGGAGTGCCATCGGAGACCGTTGTATTCTGGATTCTATTGACAGCATCGGAGATACGAGAGCCAAACTTAACATGAGCATTCTCCAACTGGTCTTGGCGAGGTTGGAGAGGGGGTGCCTCATGGCGCTGCTCTAAAGATGCATCGGCAGGATTGCGGGCATCATAGCTCACTGAAATGATAGTCTGCGAGTAATCACGGAACAAGATATACACATCTTTGGTAACTGTAGTTTTGCCGCCTCGTTTTGAGGAACTAGACTCTTCAATTTCAAACAGAATATCCTGGCGATTCTGGAAAGCTGGAGGAAGGGTATTCGCTTTCGACCACCATAAGGAACTTTCTGCCAAGTCAGACTCCATGGCAATGAAACCCTGGTCAATAGATGGGCGGCCAACATCCATGGATCTCCGTATGGCCGGCTGACTTCGGGAAATGTCTACAGACGCACGGTTGCTGCGGGGAGTGGGTGGAGGAATGGCAGTTGGAGGCATGCTGGGTGGAAAGGGGGTCGATACCTCTGCGGGGGGTTGCATAGGGGAGGCATCGTACAGCTCGTCTGAATCATCGTCAACCGGCGGAGGAGGAGGAGGAGGATGCGGAGCAGCGGATGGTATCTCTGAGCGTGCTGTTGTTACAAAGGGAGCTTTTGGTGCGGGCAACCCATGTTGCGGTGCGGTGTAACGGTATGGGTCATACTCATCATCACCGCCGCCAAAGGAGAGTTCTCTCTGGGGTGGGGGAGGCGGAGGTGCGCGGGGCATATCCACAGAGGCCCTTCCGGCACTCCTCGGCGGTTGCGAGGGGGGAGGCGGTGGAACTGCCCTAGGGGCAGAAGGTGGAAGAGGTGGTGGGAGACGAGTCTCTGGAGGGCTTCGGGGAGACTGGAGGGAGTGATCATCCGTAATGGCCCCTTCATCAAGGCTAGAATCCCGTCCATGAGCTTTCAAAGCATCCTTGAATTTCGCACCAGATGCGATGTCTGTGTCATAGTCGCCTTCGTATTCGGTAACTTCACCTTCCACATCTTCACCAGCCTGACGAGGTTGCGAGATCGCGCTAGTGCGGCTATCGGCAGTAGACCTGCGTCTGATGTTTCCCGGAGGAGGTGGTGGAGGTGGACGGGACTGAGCTGGTACTGGTGGATTGGTAGGAACAGGTGGAGGAACACGGCTGAGCCTCTTCTCCGAAGGAAATGTGGGCGACTTTGGAGAGACGACCTCGTGTGTTGATGAGTGACGGGAATCAAAATGTTCGGGGACGGGTGGTGCTGATTCTGAAGTTTGATCGGCGGCCACAGCGTTTAGAGACAAGCTCTTCGCGCGCACAGAGAGCTCATCATCTGATTCTTCACCAGGATCAGCAGAAGTAGGGCTTCTGGTCAGGGGAAGAGGAGGAGGAGCTGGGCGCCCTAGGTTAGCAGAATTAGTACGGGTAGATGATGGTTAGAAATGGTTCAACTCACCCGCTGGCACGGGCGGAGGAGACGAAGGCGTATCCTGAGGGGCAGACGGTGGCACAGGGCGTGTTTCCATCGGTGGCAGCGGAGGCACTCGGCGCTCTATCACGCGAGAAAATCACAAGTTAGAGCATCGTCGAGGAGATAATGAAACGAGAAATTTGCTGCATACCTTGGGTAGAGGGCAGTGGCTTGTCAACAGAGCGACGAGGCGGCTCTTCCTCGTACCCGTCCTCATCACCCTCCGCAACATCAGGAGTGTCACCTAAATGAGTTGATCGGACCTCGTCTTGACCCTTCTCAACGTTCGGGCTGACGATTGGCCTACCCAAATTCATACCTGGGAGGGCCATGATGGGAACTGGAGGTGCACTAGGCACCGTGGTGGGTTCCGATTCTCCAGAGGCCTTCTCAGGTTCAGTGTGAGCCTTGGGCTTACGGGGAGCAGCGCCAGGAAGAGGCATTCCGCCAGGAGGCCCGAAGAAGCCCATCATGCCCATACCGCCGCTCATCTTGGCCATTCTTTCGCGGAGTTCCATCTTGCGTTTGATCTCGGGGTCTATTTCTTCCTCCTCCTCCTCCTCCTCCTCTTCTGGTGCTTCTTCTTCTTCTACTACTACTACTTCTTCTTCCTCCTCTTCCTCTCCCTGTGGCTCATCATCATTCTTCTTTGCGTCGTGTTCATCTCTCTTATGGGTGTGGGCGTCAGGCCGGGCTGCTGTCGCAGCAGCACGGGAACGTTCATCCAACTCTTCTTTTCCTGTAGAGATTTCCTCGGCGTCTTCCGTATCGGCGGCAGCAGAATCATCGGCATCGTTCGTATCACTGGTCAGTTCATGAATTGCTGGGTGTTGTGTCGCTGGCTGAGCCACAGAGGGAGCGTTAGCCTTTACTGTATCCGCGCTGTGATCGCGTTCAGTATCAACCGACTCTGCGGCTTCAACTGCGGGCTCCTCTCCGGGAGCACTGTCCTGGGACTCAATGCGCTTCTTAGGGGCGCGTTTTGGCTTCTCCTTCTTCTGTGCTGCTTCAGAATGCCGAGCAGCCTGTTCCATTTGCTGTTTCTGTAGGAGAGCAATTCGCTCCTTCAAACTTGTTGGCTTGGGCTGGTCCTCTGTACCATCCTCCGTTCCCTCAACCGGACCAGGCCGGCTTTCGGAAACCGGGGGCTCCGGTGCAGGGCGATCTCGAACCTCAGGATCTTCTTCCCGCCGGTAGAGCTTCGGAGCTGGCTCGCGAGGAGGGGGGACGTATGCATTTTTACTGGGGGGAGGCGCAACAAATGGTTTCTTGATGAAGGAAGTGCTTTGGGACGAGTAGCCCCCCGGTTTGAACGGCGCAATTGGAGGAGCAGCAGATTTATTAAAGGCCGCAATGCGGTCCCTGAACGACGAGCCAGTAGGTTTCTCCGCGACTGCAGGAGGAGGGGCTTTTGAGGAGGGTTTGGGTGCCGGTTCCTTAGGTTCGCTTGTCAAGGGTTGAGGCACGGCGGCGGGAGCGGGAGCGGGAGCGGGCTTGGGGAGAGGCGCAGGCTCAACCACCGGCTTTTCCACGGCAGCAGGGGGGGATGAGGGAGGCGGAGGTACGGCTCTTGTCTGCGGTGCAGGAGCTACCTCTGTTTCAGGCTCCAGCGAACGAGTGCTTTGCGGCGAAGCGGGTTCCACAACAGCAGGCTCCGGTTGTGGCACAACCTCCGGCTCCTTCTTCGGCCTACTCGGGCGTGTTGGTCGCGGAGGAGCAGGCGGCTCATACTTTTCGACAAAGTTCTTTGGGAAAATGCCTTCTGTCTTGGCTCCGGATTCATCGGTATACTCGCCAAAATACCAATCATCGTCCTCCACCTCGGTGACCGTTATGATCTGGCCGATAGCAAAATTAAGGTCGTCATCGTGGCTCGAAGAATACTCGAAAACCGCTCGGACCGTGAAAGGCGTGCGGGACATCTGGGAAGGCGGCGGGGGAGATGTCGAGTGACGAGGGAACTAAGTGGAGGGGTGGTTTAAATGACGCAAATAACCAACAGTGGACACCTCCAGTTCTCGAGAGTAGCAGGAGTTCAGACTTGTGACAGATCGGATAAATGGGGACATATGCAGGAGGATATGCGTTTACTAAAGATCCAAGAGAGATAGTTAGTTAGTTAGGAGAAATGATATGTCAGCCTAGGTTGATGTAGATCGGGTATGTGTGCGTCGTGGGGAAAAGGGGGGGTGGGTAAGGGAAGAAAGTGGCAGGCATAGTTATAGGAGTACTTACAGGAACAATAAGCAGGAAAGGAGACAAATTTCCAGGGTCAATGCCAAGAGTGGGAAGACACGAGCAGCAGCGGAGGGAAAGAGAAAAAGAAAAGAAAAAAAAAGGGGGGTGGGGGAGGAGGTAAGGGGAGGAAAGGGAGGGAGAAGAAACAGAATGAAGAGAAAGAAAGAGAGAGAGTGAGGAGAGGAAGAGAAGAGGAGGAGGCAGGAAGAAGAATATCACCTTTTTGGCGGGGACACACTACCAACTTCTCTGCTACCACTGGGCGATCGGCGGGTAATAAGATGGAGTACGGAGTAGGCAGAAGCGCACACTGCCACAGTTAATATATATATATATATTATTATATATATATATATATGTGTGTGTATATATAACTATGTTATATAGTTAGTAGATGGTATAAAAAGAGAAAGAATTATAGAACATATATCTGAAGAATCATGTAACTATAGTTAAAGCCTTCGTCATCACTAACTGGAGCTTCTGCTTGTTGCGTCAATCTGGGGTTTGCCTCAGGCCGAACCCAAACAAAATCCTAGTGGTCTCTTCTAACTTCAATTCTCTTCCTCCTCCTCCACAACACAACACAGTCGTCAAGTCCCTCTAAAAAATAAAATAAATAAATACATGATAAAATTTCAAATTATGTCTTCCGATCAACCCGGTTTAAAAACTTCCCTTCCCTCTACCCACGCCGCCTCCTCACGACAATCAGCTTCTCGACCTACTAATGCTCGTCGTTCGCCACTAAAACCCCAACGCAAGCCCTCGAAACCAGAGCCCGACCCGCGTCATCTTGCGATCGCTCTACACCATGCCAACCGAATCCAAGCTCAAAAGGACACCCAGGATCTCATTCTGAACCGAATCCTGGAACTGGTCGAGCTTCCCTCTTCCCCGTCCGCGGATCCCGCCGCCCCATCTCCCGAGGACGCGCACAAGTTCAAAGCCGCCTTGGTACCCTTCCAGCCGGCCGATTACGATAATCTGGTTCTGGAGAGGAACATCGAGGGCCTATGTGGATACGGCCTTTGCCCCCGCGAACACCGCAAGGATAATTCCAGGGGTACCTTTCGCATCACCTGGGGCGCAAGGGGCAGTGGACCCGGGGGTCGTGGACGCGAGATGAATATTGTCCCGCGGGAGAAGGTGGAAATGTGGTGTTCGGACGAATGCGCCGAGAGAGCAATGTACATTCGAGTGCAGTTGGCCGAGGAGCCGGTGTGGGAGAGGCGTGCCGATGACTTGCGGGCCAAGGAGCTTTTGCTTCTCGAGGAAGGGAGAGCCGCGCAGAAGGGCAAAGCCGTCCCGCGGAATCCAGCCTCCTATAAGGAGGTGCTTGGTCAATTGGATAATCTGCACATGGACATGACCCCGGAACCGAGTGCGGTCGCGGACGAGATAATGAAGCTTTCGGTGCAGGACCCTACGCCGTCTCGAGAACTCGCCCTGGAACGGGGGGATCTCAACCCAGCCCTCCACACGGGCAGAGTCAATGTCCAGATTCAGGAAAACATGAACCCGAATGCCACCGTCACAGTGCCAGCGATGCGACCTGGAGACGAGAAGGGCGGTTCCATCGAAGGTTATATGCCACAAGAGCCGTAATATCATGCCGGTCGACATCTAGACTTGCGCCGGAGGTAAATTTTTATTCTTCTTCTTTTTATATTGCGTTTAGGGCGTTCTACAGGTCTATGATACCCAGAGGTTATAATACAAGTATAAATATACGAACTCACCGTTTCTCCATAACCACGTAGAATGGCACACCCGTAGGAGCCGCAAGCAGCACGCATATATAGGCAAAACAGCCCTTCACCATGCATGAGCCCCCATTCCCGTAGAATCGAGCACCTACAGATCTTCCGTAGAAGATCCAAGCAATACACAAGGAGAAATAATTGGCAATCAAGCGTCATCCCAGAGGGAATCGGCGACACCTTTCTCAGCAGCAATCATGTTTCATTTCTCATATGCTGTTCCTATAAACTGCAAAGGTAGCCGGCAAGCCAGCCATTGGGTGGGGGAGAGAGAGAGAAAAAAAAAAACGAAAACATGATCGGACCGACCACAGATCAACCGAGGTTTTTAATCATAAAAACTTTTTAGGCCTCTATGCGCGGAAGCGGCGAGGACGCTCAGGCTGCTGCTGGGTCACGTTGACAACGTTGACCTTGAGGGTGTCGAACTAAACCAAACTCGTTAGCGACCAGTCTAGTCGACCGAGATATTTCAGGGGTGTGGACTTACGCCGAGGCTCTTGAGGAGATCCTTGGTGTCGGCATCGACGTCGAGCTGGCCAGACTCGGTCTGGGAGACATCGAGAGCGGAGATCTCAGGAACGTACTGATCCTTACGCTCACGCTCCTCTTCCTGGAGCTTGAAGGAGATACCGCGGACAGGACCACGCTGGATACGCTTCATAAGGTGGGTGGTGTAACCAGCGATCTGAAATGCAACAAAAATTCATGTTAGCATTTTACTTCCTACTCCTGGCAGGCCATTCATTACAGCCCAATATATCAGTGAATCCGTACCTTGTTGCGAAGACGCTTGGAAGCAATGATAGCGATCTCATCGCAGACACGCTTGTTGGTCTCGAAGTCGAGGGTCAACTTGGGGTAGTAACGCTCGATGATGACCTTGGCAGATCTCTTAACGGTCTATATTTGGGGGGGAATTAATCAGTTATTTGCATTCAACAGCGATTCCATAGTTGATTTCACTCATGAACTCACCTTAGTCCTGACGCGACCCATTTTGGCGGTTGTTGGCTTGCTGGCTGATTGACAAGTGTTGCGAGCTGGAAGAATATTCGGGATTTAACAATTGTGTCGCTGTCCAAGCGGTGCCGAACCTTGCCCTAATTGACCGCCCACGTGACCTACGCCAAGACCGCCGTATAGTCTTACGCTTTTCGGACTCTACAACAACTAACTACCTTCAAGAAAAACGCGCTGAATGATAAAGATCTCGATTGATTTTCAATTTACACAAAATATAGAAGTGTAGCCTGCTGTATATCACACAATAAATAAATAAAAGAAACAGGAGTACTCTTTACATTTGCCATCCCTTAATCTAATCGTACAGTCAACGCGTTGCCCCCAACCACATACTGAGAAAAAAAAGAGGAAAGTGATTGGAGGAAGTATCCGAATTGCACACTAGGAGCTGAGACTCTTGAGAAGGCTCCTCGCAATATCCTCGGTGGGCTGCTCTGGTTGTTGTGCCTGGACGGGGTTCGCAGAAGTGCGAGCTCTATCCAGTCTGGGGACTGATCGCTGACGGTCACGAACAAACTCGGACAAGTCCATTCCGCGAGTAGGGGAAGTCTTCTTGTATTCTTGGATGTCATATGGAGCCTTGGAGGCAGCACTAGCGCGGTAGGATGCCAGTGCGATCCTTCCACTGGAGTCAACGGAGGCTCGGATAGGGGTGACCCAGTATTTGGCACCACCGGGGATGGTTGCATCGAAAGAGGCCAGGCCGGCCGGTGCGCCCTGCTCGACGAATGTCATAGCATTCAAATCCTCCACTGCAATACCACCCACACCAGCAATTGCCTTGGAGGTTTTGCCCTTGAATCTACCCTTTGGCCGCAAAATACGTGCCTCCACGGGGCGCTGGTAAGTCTGGGGCCCGTGTTGTGGGTGGTTGTAGATCAGAGCATGAGATCGTGCATAGGACAGACCGGCTGAAGGATGCGTCCTTGGAGGTCCAGAGCCAGCATATTCTGCCGAGGATAGCTTCGTTCCGGGAGACTGGTAATACTTTTGGCCAATCCGGTCGCTGGGTATCGCGGGAGGGGAAGGGAGATCCAGCAACTCGAAGACTATCGGGCCGAGAGAAAAGGGATCTGTACGTAGGGACTTGAGGTAGTTTTGAAAGTCTTGCTCAGTGATCTCAACGGGGGCAAGAGTCTCCAGATCCTCCCCGTTATCTTGAGCCTGCTTCCGTCGCTCAGCGTTCCGGTTCGCGACAAAAAGCTCTCGGAGCTTCTTTAACAGCTCTGGCTTCTTCTTCCGTACGTTGTTCAGATATGCGTTGAATTCCGATTCCGTCTGTCCTGCAAGCCATGGGCCAGTATGCCTGAACTGTTTGGCTCCCGGCTTTTCCAACCCTTTGCTGGCCTCTGTGTTGTCGACGTGTGACTCAAAAGGACTTTGATGTCTTGGCGTAATGCTCGTGGCATAGTTGACTTTTGAGGGAAGGGATATCGGCATATGAAGCTCTTGGAATTTCTCCAGAGTCACGGTGTGATCTGCTGCGGATTCGAAGTCGGTAACATGTTCGAAGGTATCAATGGCATTGATCCTGACAACGGGCCGAGATGACTTAAGAGACGTCGATTTTGCCGGAAGGGCACGCTTGAGACCCCAGTCTCCCCTTGCTAGCGACGACGCTGGTGTGACAATGGATGCTCTGATAGGATGAGGGAGGGTTGAGGTGTCGGATTCACGGACAGTTCTCGAGGTCGCAGGGCTTGGGGGAGGAGTCAAGGCTTGCGGAAGTGCAAACAGACGAGACTTCCGCAGCAAATTTGCTGTCGGTGATAATTTGGCCGACGCCATGACAGTTGACAGCCAATTGTGTTGTCTACAAACTGTCTTCTCCGACACGAGCTGGAGAAAAAGTTGGATTCCGGAGCGTTGCGAATCCACAAATTGCCAAGTCCATTTATACGGATAGCGACAAGAACCCAAAGCGCATTTTCTTTCCCTGCCCTTTTTTGGGTTTCTCCTTGGAATCCGTACTTAATTGTGAAATTTAATTCGAGGCCTATGGTACATATTTAATAATAACAAATAAATCGAGAAATTGATTTACCAGCTGGGATTATATTTCTTTCTATATGCTATCTAAAGAATCCCGTCCAGTTTACGCACCAATGGCCAACAATGATTTCACAGCGTCAACCACTGCTTCCTTCAAAGTGTGATACTTAATTCCTAGAACCCGGATAGATTTTGAGTTATCATATCCATACACATCATCTGGCAAGTCACTGGGGTCTGTCTTTGGGGGTAGCCTATCCTCAAGCTCGGGGAAAGACTTCCGGATAATATCGACGATATCCTTCGTCGCATAATTTCCAGCAGTGATAAAAAACCTATTGCCACCAGCTTCTGGGACCTCAATAGCTCGAACGTGAGCTAGTGCAACGTCTCGGACATCTACCCAAAGGAATGTGGCCGTTGGGGGGGTGGCGTCTTTGGAAAGACCTCGCACTATATTACTGATACGTCCGTTGGAGGTGTTAATAGCATCAAGTGAGTTCAGGTAGTGAACGACTGGGCCCATGACGAGGGGAGGATTGATTGTTGCAAGATCGAAGTTTGGCTTCTCCTTCTCGACGAACTCCCAAGCAGCCTTCTCTGCAAATGTCTGGAAATGACAATGTTCGTTAGCTTGACGTGCTAAGAGCGCGCGAGTCATGGTAGTCTCATTACCTTACTTCCCCTGTAGGTTTGGGAAGGATGCAGTGCCTCCTCCCATGTTACAGGATTCCAAACCTCCTCGCTATAGACCTTTGGGTGCTTCTTGACGTTGGTCATGGCGGCGAAAGAAGATGTGATAACCACTCTTTTCACAGTGGGGGCATAAGCTTTGATGGCCTTCAAGATGCCCGTTGTTCCCTTGATTGCGGGGTCCAAAAAGTCCTTGACAGGATCCTGGACATTATAGTGGAACGGAGATGCGGTGTGAAGGACATAGTCGAAGGGTGGGCTGGATTTGACAGCCTATACTGGATTATTAGTATCTGGAGAAGGTGAACTTGTACAAGGAAAAAACTGGGAGTATGCCGAGAAAGAAATTGATAGTACCTCATCGAATGCACCCTCCTGCGCTACATCCTCAACAATAACGTACGATAGCTTTTCCTTGGGTGTGCTGGGATGCGCCTGTAGGATTTTTTGTCCCTTCTGGTCGGATCGAACAGTGGTCACAACCGCGAAGCTATTTGCGCGCCCAGTCAGCTCAAGCTCAAAGTAAATGTTGTGAAGAAGTTCTCCTTGCAGCGCTTACCCATGATTGAGCAACACATCGAGGGTGTGAGCGGCAATGAAGCCACTGCCTCCTATAAGCAATTGGTTAGCTTTTGTTTCGCAGTGCTGTTTCGAAGCTGATTCCGTACCAGTCAACAGTACTTTGCCCATGATTGCTTTCTGGTGGTTTGATTTAGTGTTTTTTGTTTCAACTTGGTCTATAGTCTGCAATTCCAAATCTGTGAATGGCTGTAATATACATGTGGTGACTTTATAGATGTTCAATTGCGACACCCATTACCCCTCTCTAATCTTCGTATCTCCCCCACCTACAATGGTCAGTCAACTGTGATAGGGCGCTGCTACGACAATCACGGTGTATACAAAGTTACCTAGGTACTTGTGTCAACTATTCGGAATTATCACCGGGTTAAAAATACAAGGTCTACCTAACTCCGGGACCTTGCCGCCCCAAAGAGAGCCACACCCATGGCATAAAAGGCCCGCAATCGCCAGACGCGGTCTTAGTGGAGCCTAGGGGATGCTAACGTCTGTCATTGACTCATAGTCCAGATTAAAAAACTCATATTTGGCGGAGATAAAAGCCTCGGGGAATAAGCTTAAAGCAGCTACAGGTCGATTTCAAATCACCGTGATATTCCCCCGGTTTCCTCACATATCCGAGAGGGCTCAAACTACTGAGACTTTGTCGCGACCTGCTAAGTTAATACTCGGTGCAATCCTAGACTGAAGTGTGAAGTTGATCGTGGCATGCAAATTTCGAAGCGATAACTCTTTGCGAAACTCGGTGCATCCGATCGCGACGGAGATATTTAAATGGAGGATCACCAATGCAAGCCCATGCAATTACCACCAAGCAACAGCTCTGGATTTACCTTCTGGGGACCACCCTTCAATCAGTGAACTTTCCAACAACGGAACAAGGCATGTATCCAATGGCTATGATTGTATTGGATAGGGAATCAAATAAAGACACAACCAAGGCGTTCATGGTGCCAAAGGGATATCGGATACTGTCTCTCTGTGAAATGGCATGCGGTGAGCGTAGAAAACCAGGTCTATCATCAATTCGAATAATTACCAAAGGAAACCGAGACGACCTGCTTTAGACGCAATAGTCTCAGGTTTGGAGGAGATCCCAGCCAAGAAACGAACCTGGATCTATACAAGACCACTCAGGATCTTCAAAGCATAGGGATACATGCTATCAAATAGCATGAATGACCAAGAAAGTACCTGACTTCATTGCATCGTGAGGTCAACCGTTAATCCTCCTCCCCGGCAACGTAAACGGAAGACTCTCTCGAACCCCATTCATGTATGATGAGCATAGCTCCGGCTAAATAAGTGCATCCTTCAAGCGTATCTCGCTTGATACTTCAATAAGCGCGAACGAAACCTGGAAGAAAACACGCGAGATACCACTACACTTGATTTGCCCTCTTTTCCAGACCTCTATTCCAGTTTTCAAATCAGGGTTCTCTACTACTAGTATGGGTTGGGAGTAGCTATATGATGATATTGCTAGAATTCCGTATTTCTTCTTCATCTCTATCGATGCTAGAAGATGGCTGCTAGCATGGAGATACCCCTCCTTAAATGATCCCTGCGCCCAGTATTTATTAGGGACTCCCCGTATAGATGGCGTCATTGAGAGAAGCAGAATTCATGTGATAGGCTTCCCAGGAGTCCCAGGATACCTGATATATCCCTAGATTATATCATGAGCAGCGAGAGAGCTAACAGAGTCCTCGGGAGGTGTGCAGGGTGTACGGAGTACTCAGATCCAACTCCGCCATTATATTCAATCTCCTGCTCTAGCCAGAAATACGGCTATCGACTTTATCCGGATGTACTTGAAGCCACACCTACGTACCCAGTACTAGATAGCTATACCTGGACACCATGTTGCTGTATATCCCCATCTCCTGTTAAAGCACCCTACTGAAATCTTACTGTTATCGTTTACGAAAATTGCAAGTTCAAGCTAGTTTTATCATACAATACGATGGGATATTCTCCCTGTTCACTATTCACTCTTTATATATTATCTCCATGACATATATGTATCCCGACTGCGGAGTACAAAAGTAAAATAAGATTTCATGACACTCAGTGTTCGTGTCAGAATATTAAAGTAGATACAAATCTGTCTAGTCTTTGGCGATATTTCTCATTGCCATGATAACAAAAGTGGAAATTCTTCAGGCAGAGCAACACGGCGGCTACCTATCCAACTCTTATATATGAAGCCGGTGAATCCCTCTTTAGCTCACAATTCTAGGTAATCCATAACCAGATATCATCATCATATTATTATTATCAAGTTCACTGAATCTCCCCAAAACTGAAATTTTATCGTCCGGGGGGCAAATCATACCGAGTGAATTGCTATCTCATTCGTACAGAGCCTGAGGCGTGCGGATCTCTATGGCTCTTACTTGTTCTGGGTTTCCTAAGGCACCCGTGGAAGTTTATTTGGATAGGTGAAGATAGCATTTTGATATCGAGACGCCATGCGAGAATACGACGCGTGTTGAGCACCTGGAACGATCCTCTCACCGACTATCTCGTAATCCTCCCTATGTTTTTTCTCCTTTTTTTTTTTTTTTTTTTTTTGAAAATAAATCAATAAATCAATAATTGATGCATTATGAGGATTTGATTCAGCAAATACCCTGGAGATATACCTAGGTACATATTACCCTATCATATAGAAATCTTCACTTTGGGCTGGACATCGACACCCGGTTGGGCAACCTCAGACAACCACTCAGTTGCCGCCGTTGATCTATATACCGTAGGAAAGCATCCTATTTGCTTGCTTCTAGATTGGTAGCTAGCTTCGGTTCATATCATGAAGGATTTCACCCGAGGTTTTGACCGAGGGCATCTCTTCGTTGGAATATAGTGACGTTACAGTGCTGGGTGCTATTCGCTCTACGTTCTTTTTACTTTTGGGGTTTCGTATAAGGATGCGACTGCTTGAAATCCTCAGTTAAGACAGGTGCAAACCAACTTCCAAGGAGCTTGTTCTAAGTCCCCTACAATGCCATTGGAACCGGCCATGACTGCTCCGATGCAACCCAAAGAGGGATTTAAAAGGCTACGGTAACTTGCCTCGTCGGAAAATTAGATCCTTGTATGGCAAGAGGCATTTTTCCTTTCTCATACCAGCTAATCCCAAGATGGGTGCTCAGTTCAGCTTGATCGTGGTTACTGGCTAGTGCTCTTGGTGGGCAAATATCGGAAAGCGCACTAGGCTCCCATTCGTCAGTCGAGGCAGTGGTGGCGGTAGTGATTCGAACGGAGTGGAGTCAGCCGTGATGCTGGGGGAAAGGCCACCACCGGGTGTGCTGAGCTCAAGCGGCGGGAGGAGTCGGGGAGATATCAAGTCCAGACATCGGATTGGCCAACGAGGATCGGGCCGATAGGTAGTAGTGTATCGAAGGGCTTAATGCAAAAGGAGGTAGGCTGACTAGGATCAAGTAGGCGGATGAAATGCGAGAAGAATCAGGGAGAAAACGGCGGGGAAAGGGAAGGAAACGGAGCGAAAGGACGGGGGGGGGGGGGTTAGACCCCAAGCGCTATAGGAGTCAAAGTGTCAAACTGCGGCCGGGCTGGACACAAAGTTACAAACATTAACAGCCTCGTTTTGAAGAGAGTAACAACTAACAAACAGTAAATTGCGACAGAAAGACCCACAGAAATCCCCGGAATGGGTCGATGCATGTTGGGAAAGTGTGTGATTGGACTGGGCCACGTGCTGCGACTCGTTGTGTATACATGCCTAGTACCTATCTGCAAGACTCAGCGGTAGGTAGAACCCGATGATCACAAACTACCTATCATTGCTCAAAAGATTCTTGTTTCTGAGAATTCATCCCCAAGGATGCAGTGTCAAAAGACTTTCGCTCACGTCACATGTGGACCCGCCGCTCCAAAAGCCGATGACGACACTATCCAAAGCCACCTACAGGGCCCAGCAATAGCAGCTCTGCTTTCTGAATAAGATTGTTGTAAGGACATCGTCAACTGGTGGATCTTATTTGGCATTCCTCGATCCACTGAGGAATATCCACTACGAAAGGTCCGGATTGTCTGACTCTTTTGAGTCTCTGATAAACCATTGATGGTTAAGGGTAGAGATTCCGTCTTGGATTCGTACTAGTTGCCTCCATTTCTTTCTTCCGGCTAGACGGTTGTAATTTCCCGGCTCTCTCCTAGATAGCAGCAGAGAAACCAGTCAAGAAGAACCGTTGATTGTAGCACAGACTTGTCAACTGCAGCCAAAAGAGGCGGGAAGGGCCGGGGTGTCGAATCTGATTTCGACCTGGATATACCTTCATTGGATGTACTACTTATTACTTGGGCATCACCATCACTCATCCCATGTACTTAGGTACTTTAAAAGTTACTGGGAGAGTACAGGCAAGGAATTTCCATCCTGTTTCTTCCCCCACCCCCCAGATCTGCGGAAAGTCGGACGAATGAGTGAACGTCATCAAGGTCTCGCTCCTGCGCTTTCATCAGGGTATCGACTGGTCTCTCTGCCCCGCGCAATGTCAACCCCCTCCCCACCCTCATGCAATAACCATCGTCTGCAAAGCAACCATAGAATCCAAGTTAGGTTAATCTGGCTTATTTGATTCACCGGCTCTATTTTGTTTCTGTTTCTGATTCTGATTTTGGTTCTGGTTCTGGCTCTGGTTCTGATTCTGGGTCTGCAATGCAGTGCCTCATCACCCCTTCCTTGTTGGGCTATGACCTACTACTACTCTGACCTTATATAAGAATCCTCTCATCCCCCGCTCTTCTTTAATACTTCCCCCCTTCTCTCTTCTTCTTCATCAACATTATCATCCATTTCTCTCTCTTCCATAACCCAACTCACACAGCATCCATCTTACACTCCTCTCAGCAATCTTCCCCTTGCTTTCTTCTATACCTCATCCTATCTTGCTGCATTCTGGTAATACTCTTTTATCTCCCAATCAAACACTTCACCTTCCACAATGGGCAAGGCAATTCACTTTGGAGGTGGAAACATCGGCCGTGGCTTCGTGGGAGAATTCCTTCACGACGCCGGCTATGAAGTCGTCTTTCTCGATGTCGTCGATGATCTCATCGCAAACATCCAGAAAACCCCCTCGTACAACATCACAGAGATCAGCATTGGGGGTGAAAGCACCAAGACCGTCACCAACTATCGTGCTATCAACTCCAAGACCCATGAGGCCGACGCCGTTCAAGAAATCGCAACTGCTGATATTGTTACCTGTGCTGTCGGGCCCAGAATCCTCCAGTTCATCGCCCCTGTCATCGCAAAGGGTCTCGACGCCCGTACCATGTCCGCTCCCCTGACAGTCATTGCATGTGAGAATGCTATCAATGCTACCGATACCCTCCGGGGCCATATCGCGACGAAGACTTCCGAAGAAGTACTCGAGACCCGTGCAGTGTTTGCCAACTGTGCTATTGACCGCATCGTTCCCAACCAGCCTCCCAACCACGGTCTCAATGTTCGGATCGAAAAGTACTTTGAGTGGGCTGTCGAAAAGCCTCCCTTCGAGAAGCATGGCGTCCAGCATCCTAACATTCCCGCTATCCACTGGGTGGACAAACTTGAGCCCTACATTGAGCGCAAGCTATTCACTGTCAATACTGGCCATGCCACGACCGCCTACTACGGTCATCTTCGTGGCAAGAAGACCATTGCGGAAGCCCTCGAGGACGACTACATCCGCAGCACGGTTCACAAAGTACTGGACGAAACCGCCTCTTTGATCACCGCCAAGCATAACATCTCAGAAGAAGAACAGAAGAGCTATGTTGAGAAGATCATCGACCGAATCTCTAACCCCTACCTGGAAGACAACATTGACCGTGTGGGCCGGGCTCCAGTGCGCAAACTGTCACGCAAGGAACGTTTTATTGGACCGGCCTCCCAGCTTGCTGAGCGTGGCATGAAGTTCGATAACCTCCTGGGTGCAATTGAAATGGCCCTTCGCTTCCAGAATGTGCCCGGTGACGAGGAGAGTGTCGAACTTGCCCAGATCCTGAAAGAGGAGACAGCAGAGGAGGCCACCAGCCATCTGACTGATCTTGAGACGGATCATCCGTTGTTCTCTTACGTCCTTGAGCGGGTCGAGATTGTGCAGCGTGAAACCAAGTAGGGCAACACCCCGACAGCGATTGCCACAGTAGTACTCAATTCGCCCCTTCTTTTTCTTTCCACGCATACACTTACAAAACTCTTGCCATGAAGGGTTTCGAGCCGACCACGACTATAACGGTCCACCAGGCAATGTTTTTTTTTTTTTTTCCAATCGACGTTGAACATGTTGAACCGCAGGACGGAGCTTCAAACGCATGGGATACGGCGAATCTAGGGTCGGCGCGAATGTAGCATGGGATTTCGGGTTTAGCGTTATGATTTGTAGTAATTGCTTAGATGCAGCGCATTGAGCTAATGAAAAATGCCAATTGATATCCCAAGAAATATATGGCCCCAGTACCTAGGTATAGTAAACCGACGGCGGTCCACCTACAGCTTACTTTCCACCCAGTTCGGCTTCCTCTTCTCCACAAAGGCCCTCAAGCCTTCTTTGATATTCTCGCCTGCATTGAGCTTCTTCTCCCAAGTCTCCAGGAGCAACCGCGACGCTTCCTCGGCGCCAACCCCCTCCCAACCCAACTTGACTCCCTCGCGACTCACCATCACGGCGTCGGGGCTATTCGCGGCAATGACCGCGGCGATCTCAACCGCCCTGGCCACCACCTGCTTCTCCTCGCGCACAACCACCACCTCATTCACGAACCCCCACTTCTCGGCCTCCGCCGCCGACACGCGCCGCCCCGTCAAAACCATCTCCATGGCCCGTTGCCGACCCACGGTGCGCACGACTCGCGGCAGGGCCCCGGCCCACGCAACCACGCCACGCAGCACCTCGGGGAACCCGAAAAACGCGGTTTCGGACGCGATCACGATGTCCGTGTTCATGATCATTTCACAGCCCCCGCCCAGACACAGTCCGTTGACGGCGGCGATGATGGGTTTTTTGCCGCTGCGGCGCGAGAGACCGCCGAAGCCTGAGGGGGGCATGAAGCTTTTGTTGGGGTTGATTTGGGCACGGTTGTTCCATTCTGTTTTTTTCATTATCGTTTATTATTATTATATATATATATATATTATATAATGAATAGTGCAAAGGTAGCAGTGAATAGATAGGTAGGTAGTACGCACCCTTTAAATCAGCACCAGCACAAAATGCTCGGCCTTCTCCTGTAATCACACCCACCCGGAGCAAAGGCTCCTCGTCCAGCCATTCCCAGACTGCGTGCAGGTCTTCGTGGCCCTTGGAATTGATGCAGTTTAGCTCCCTGGGGCGCGCGAGCGTTACCAGGAGAACGTGCGGTGCTGGGAACGAGAGCTTTGCGTGTTCGGGTGTTGGGGGGGGTGTAGTAAATGCCATGATTATGATTGTTATGTTTTGCTTTTGTTTCCTTGAGCTTTTGTCTGGGTTATTGAGGATAAGTTTGGGATCTGGTCAGTATATGTATCCGTGTGTATCTAGGCCGGAGTTACCTAGGACCTAGGTACCTAAGTACCGGAGCGTGGGCAAATATAAAGTGCGTGTCCTGAGTAATCCTAGATCACTTGAATAAACTGTGCACCACTAAAGTCATATATATATTCACAAGTCTAACAGAGAGTAAGATATGGTGGTGTCCAAGTGAATATAGAGAGAACATGGGGAATAGGTTCTGTGAAGTACACAAGTACTAAATCTGACTATTCACTTCTCTACCTCTGTCTTTTCTTCTTCCTACCATCCTCCTGTCTCTTTCTACTTCTCCCCCTTCACCCTTGCATCTACAAAATGTTGACCAAAAATAATACTGGATCAGGTAGAAATTGTCTGGACACCTTTTTAGCTGAATGGTCAAGTTTGACACATTCATCCTATCCGACAATAACTTACTCTGTACCACCCATCCGTCAAGGTTAGTCCCCAGAGCTTATAATAAACTTACATCATGGTGAACTAACTCCCTAACTTGAAGATGCCATCTATCACGCTCCACAACGGACCGCGAGGAGGAGGAGGAGGAGTCGACGCTGATGACAGCGATCTCATCACGTTCACCCCCCAAGACCATGCCGACGTCCTACGCTGTCCCTGCTTCAGCTTCGCTGGCAATGACCGGCCAGTATCCGCCCCGCACATTCCGAAGATTACAGGATTGTAATCAAGCTATCGGGGCCCTTCAGGAATCGTTTACACCAGCAGGATGCAGATCAGTACCTTTCTTTCAAGCACATCTCTGCCATATCATTCCGTTCCATTGTGAAAGAACCGTGATCAGCTGCGCAGGGCTTCTGTTCGATTGACCTACTTTCCGGATATTGAAACCCTGCTGATCAAGGTTCCAACGGCTGCACATGCGACGGCTCATAGGTGTTTTACCGACGAGGCCGTTGTTAGTTTGGCGGCTATGGGTATTAGCCTTGCTGAGCGTGTATGTACAGGAGCAACCACATACGCCGCGCCCTCACATTCCGAGAAGGAACCAGACACTTCCTACAAAAATAGCCTCCTGAGACCCCTCGACACTGACTGGCCCCATTTCGTGATCGAAAGTGGGGTTCCCGAGTCGCTGCCTCGACTGCGCCAGGACGTGAACTGGTGGATTGGCAACCCGGGCGGCAGGGTCCTCCTAGTATTGCTTCTGAAGGTTTCCCGTGCGGAGAAGAAACTCACGGTCGAGAAGTACTTTCCAAAGCCCAGGCAGGGTCCAAGCACCAGGGCGCAGGCCGCGGCCGGCGACCCGGACTTTGTGCCACGACTTATCTCTACTACAGTCGTCAATATGAAGAACAGCGCCCCCCCTCCATTCAGGGGCCCTCGGGGGTCCTCGAGTTTAGCAGGGTGATTGGGAGACAGCCAGTTCCTCCCGAGCAAGATGCCGTCTTTGGCCCTGGCAAGTTGACCGAGATAGGCCACGCAGTTTTGGGGGGGGAATTGGAGCGATGGGACCAGAGCCTACGAGGATACCAGAAGAGACTGTGTAACGTATCTGGATCAACTTGCCAGGGTCAAAGACGACATCTTGCTTCTCGGGTGGAACTGGCTGTCTCCCAATCACTCTGCTAAACTCGAGGTGGCTCACGAAGAAGCTTCGTATGATGGGGGGGGGGGTAAACTTCTTGTCTCTTCGTGAGTGCGAACATTTCGACAGTTGTGTGGGAACCAGTAAGTAGTACAATAACACCTCGTCTATGTTCAAAAGCCATATATCTCACAGGACCCCAGCTGACGATAGCAGCTTTTTTCAAGGCTTCGTGGCTCTCCCCGTACGCCCGGTTCCAGGAAGGAGCCCGACTGGGGCCCCCCCTGATCCCAAACAGTGGACGGATCCCTTGCCTTCTCTCGTCACCGAATCAGGAAGCATAACTGGAACAAGTTTCTAGAAACCCGTTATGGTAATATAACATACCTCCTAGCTAACTATTATAAGTTAACTATGCATTGGATGTCTACTACCTATGAAGCCGGTCAAGGTCAAGGAGGATATGTGTTCCCTTGAGACTACTTCCTTGCCACTATTTTGTTAGCTATGTGAGATCTACATACATAGTTACATGAAGAGCACTAGACTTTTGTTTCTTATCAACGACAACGCTTTTCCATTTTTTTTTTTTTTTGTGGCGATGACTTGAGGATAGCCTTAGTTAGTTAGTTATCATGTTATGTGACCAAGAAAGTCGGTTGGTTCCTTGTTTTCGTGATATCCCCGCCATGATGGTTCCGTAGACGTAGACATAGACTAGGTGTTAGTATGTACACAGTTTAGAGACCAGTGCGTGCGTGGTGGGTGATCAGTGAGTGTCCCAGAGCTTCTACACTATTAGCACCAAGGCCATATACATATCATACATATGGTTGCCGAGGGCCGATAGTGATTTGTTAGTTGCGGAGAAGGTCTTCGGAACGGACTGTACGGAGTATACGTACCAGTGCAGTGTACCTATGTAGCTAGGTACGGTACTCTCCACCACTAGTTAAACTGCTCTATAGTATTAATAATGACTAGAGGAAAACATATATAATATAATATAATATAATATAATATCCATGCATGATAATAACTACCTGGTTATACAGTATGAAACTGTACTCCGTGCGAGTGGGTTTAGTAGTGATGCATTTCTAACCCAACAGACTCTCAAACGCCCCGAACTCCCTTCGTCACTCATCGTGTATGTACAGTTGAATAGAACGTGCTGAAAAGACGCTAGGGAGGGAAAAAAAATAATTAAGAATAATAAGAAAAGAAAAGAAAAGAAAGCCTACTACTACTACCCCTTGTTGATCCATCCACTGTGCACCATGAAATCAAAAATTCGACTTGCCTTCGTCGTGTCGATCTAGAGATGTGAGCTACAGGAAGAATGAACACAGCGATGGCCGGTGACATACCTTGCAAAAGGTTCGCGCATCCTTCTTTTTCAGGCTCCCACCTTGCTTCATCGACTCCTTCAACATGGTCTCCTTGATCACGAGGTACGGCTTGGGCTGCAGGTGGAGTACATTACACAACTCGATCTCCTCCTGGGTCAATAGGTGGAGATCCGGTGCTCCTTCATTCTCCAGCTTCCAGGGTATCACTCCGTTCAGTGGTTGAATGACATATTTGGTTTTCGCGGGTTGCGGCGTGGCTACGCCGTCGCCGTTGGTCGCGGCAAACGCCCGGTCGAAATCATTCATGGGGACGGTCGGTGGATCCGGGGCCTTAGCCCCCCCGCCTGCCGCTTTCTGAAGTCGCAATGGGAGTTCCGGGGTGGTTAGTTGACTGGCGGCAGTGGGGTGTTCGGGCTGCTGGTTTTGCTTCGGCCGGGTGCTGGCGAACCGGTCAAATGCGCCTTGGGGCATAAGTCGCTGTTGGCGCTGCTGCTTTTCCTGCTCGTACTTCTCTCCTCCCTTGAGATCCCCGATTCCCATTTGCCGCCATTCTTGTAGTTGGGAGATGGCCAGTCGTAGATTGTGCTCGTACTCCAGACCCTTGCTGAACTCTTCAAAGTCGTCATGGTTCATCATCCGGGCAAACGGCTTAGCCTTGTTCAGCAGGTCCCGCTCCTCTTTGGTGCGTTTTTTCTCCAATGCTGTATTCTTGCGATATTCAAGAAGCCCGTGTTCAAACAGAACCTTCTTGCGCTCCATTCGTGCGGTAAGCCGCGAGTTGTAGATATCGACGACCGTCATCTTCAGTTCCATCTCTGCGTCCGTTTCGCCATTGATTGTCTCACCCGCACCCGGTTCAAAAGTCATATGTTGCACCGCCTCTTCGGCATCGTTCATGAATTCCGTCTCGAACTCCAATCGTCCCGGCATGTAGCCCTGAACTTCGTGGCAGGCTGGCACACTGGCTGTGGGTTTCTGTTTGGGTGTAGTTGGTGGTGCCGCCTTGGCTGCCTCTTTGCGCTCCTCGATGCGCCGCTTCTTTCTCGACTGGAACTCCTCCTTTGAGATGGAGTCGGAAAGACGCGTGTTGTCTGGATCGGCGCGTTCCGGCAGAGGGAAGTTCGGGTTGCCAATGTAGGCGCTAATATAGTGGTCGCGCACCTCCTCCTTGGTTCGATAGCCACCAATATGATCCGCGATATCAGCCCAAGAGCCCAACCCATAGATCTCGGCCCCCTCGAGCAACAAGAGCTCTTCGTCGGCACCCCAATCCTCTTCAAATATCGGGACCGAATTCTGTTCAATAACCTGATACGGATGCGTTGATGGGTCATGATTCTTCGACTTTTCGCCGGCGGCGAAGCAGGGAACGCAGAGATCGTATTCATGGCAGGAGGGGTGTGCGCAAGACACGCGAACCTATGAGAGATTATTCAGATCGGCGTCCATACCGAGCAGAGGGGAGAAAATACAGGAGGTTCATACAGTCGAAGTCACGTCCACAGAGCAGATATCACAGTGATATTTGGTCCCAGCTTCCGTGCCGCGCGAGGCGGTCTTCTTTCGTATTACGCCCATCGATCCCGGGGTCCTTTCATCCTCCGTAGTACCCAGATCCGTTTCAACCACACCTGCGAGCCCTCCAGAAAAGCGAGAGGGCAAAAGCGGGAGGAAGTTCGACGCAAGATTCCCAGTCGAGGGGCAGCAAAGGTTCGGCAGGTGAAAGGGATGGTGATGTCTCCGCAGCTGACTAGGTAGCATAGTGTTCATAAAGGCCCAAAGAGGAAACTCATTATGTACATTATTAGTCATTGCACAGCCTCCCAGTGGCGATTCCTGCCTCAGGACAATTCAAGACCCCAAGGCAACATTTCATCCCGTGACCAATCAGAATCCTTTTCCCTCCCCTTTCTAGAAGTACCTTAAGTTCAGTTCCTCTCTTTCTCTTTCTTTCCCCTCTATCTGGTCATTTCACCTCCCTCCCTTCGCTTCGACTCTCTTCCTGGCCCTGGTTGGTTCTCGTTAATCCCGTTGTTTTTGCGGTCCAATCGCTACTAGTTCCCGATCGTCCACAGTCTTCCCTTTCTCTGTTTTGTCTTGCTGACTTGCTGTGGCTGTGGCGGTACTGCATATCCTCATTTCTTCGTCAATTCTGGTCAGCAGCGGTTGAGTTCTGCCTCATATCTTCATCTTCGCTCCTCATTTCCTCCTCCCTCGTCTTCACCAGATCGGTCTCTTCAACTCCTATCTCGTCAACACCCTCCCACTCCTCCCTCCGTCCTGCAGACATTAGACCGCCCTTCACCATGTCGTGGAAACTCACCAAAAGTATGTTTAGTTGGTCTTCCCATTCCTCCCCTAAACTCTGCTCCCCATGTGTGTTCCAGCAACTGACCCTTGACGCTTCCCTTCCCCCGATCCAGAATTAAAGGAAACCCACCTGGCTCCTTTAACCCAATCCTTTACCAGATCCTCATCCACATCTACCATCAAGGGTGACTCCGGAGAAGACACCCCTGCACTTTCTCAGACTGCAACCGTCTCGTCAAACAATTCCAATGGAATCAGTACGCACCCTCCCCCGTCGGCTCCCTATTTTCCATGAATCATCTAACATGTGATCTCAGATGCCTCCGAGTCCCTCGTCTCCCCTCCTGTAGCTCCCGTCAAGCCTGGTATCCTGATCGTGACCTTGCATGAAGGTCGCAGCTTCGCCCTCTCGCCGCACTATCAGCAGATCTTCAACTCCCATTTCCAGAATAATGGCGCCTACGCGATGCGCCCCAGTTCATCATCCTCTCACTCCACGCACGGCCAAGCGTCTTCCTTTGTGCAGAGTACCCGCCCGCAGTCCACAAGTGGAGGCATCAATGCCGCCCCCACTATCCACGGTCGGTACTCGACAAAATACCTTCCTTACGCTCTCTTAGATTTCGAAAAGAACCAGGTTTTCGTCGATGCTGTCTCAGGAACACCAGAAAGCCCTCTGTGGGCTGGTGACAATACCGCATTCAAGTTTGACGTGTCACGGAAGACGGAGCTGAACGTTCAGTTGTATCTCCGGAACCCCGCCGCTCGCCAAGGTGCCGGCCGTAGTGAGGATATTTTCCTCGGCGCAGTCAAAGTGCACCCTCGCTTTGAAGAAGCCCAACCATACGTTGACGACCCCAAGTTGAGCAAAAAGGACAATCAAAAGGCTGCTGCTGCTCACGCCTCGCAGGAACGTCATCTGGGCCAGCTTGGAGCAGAATGGTTGGACCTTCAATTTGGTACCGGTTCCATCAAAATCGGGGTTTCGTTTGTCGAGAATAAACAGCGCAGTCTGAAGCTCGAGGATTTCGACCTCCTCAAAGTCGTTGGTAAGGGCAGTTTCGGAAAGGTCATGCAGGTCATGTTAGTTCCCCCCCCCCCCCCCCCCAAGGCGTTAAAATCAACCCCTGAAGATCCTAGTGCTAATATATCCAATAGGAAGAAGGACACCGGTCGTATCTATGCCCTCAAAACTATCCGCAAGGCGCACATTATTTCACGGTCAGAGGTCACTCACACCCTTGCTGAGAGATCTGTGCTTGCCCAGATCAACAATCCCTTCATTGTCCCCCTGAAATTCTCCTTCCAGTCCCCTGAGAAGTTGTACCTGGTTCTCGCTTTCGTCAACGGCGGAGAGCTGTTCCATCACCTGCAACGTGAACAGCGATTTGACATTAACCGAGCCCGTTTCTACACAGCTGAGTTGCTATGTGCTCTTGAGTGCTTGCATGGTTTCAAGGTCATCTATCGTGACCTGAAGCCGGAAAACATTCTTCTCGACTACACCGGCCACATTGCTCTATGTGACTTCGGTCTATGTAAGCTAGACATGAAGGATGAAGACCGAACAAACAGTAAGGCCCTCTTCTATCCCGTATGATTCGACTAGCTAACACCCGGCGTAGCATTCTGCGGAACTCCAGAGTATCTAGCCCCCGAGCTCCTCCTCGGCAATGGATATACCAAGACCGTCGATTGGTGGACGCTAGGTGTCCTCCTTTATGAAATGTTGACTGGTCTTCCTCCATTTTACGACGAGAACACAAATGACATGTACCGCAAGATTTTGCAGGAGCCATTGACATTCCCCAGCAGCGATATTGTCCCGCCTGCCGCTCGTGACCTTTTGACACGTCTGCTTGATCGTGACCCTCAGCGCCGACTTGGCGCTAATGGCGCGGCGGAAATTAAATCCCATCACTTCTTTGCCAACATCGACTGGCGTAAGCTACTTCAGAGGAAGTACGAGCCTAGCTTCCGACCCAACGTGGTACGTGACGATATAATTTTTTGTCTATCAAAAAAAAAATAAATAAAATAAACCGCTTGCTAACCTTTCTAGACTGATGCTCGTGACACCACCAACTTCGACGTTGAGTTCACCCAGGAAGCTCCTCAAGACTCCTACGTAGACGGACCTCTCCTGTCGTCAACCCAGCAGCAACAATTCGAGGGCTGGTCATACAACCGACCTGTTGCTGGGCTTGGAGATGCCGGTGGCAGTGTGAGGGACCCGTCCTTTGCAAGTATCCCTGAGTAAATCGTTTGCATCTTGTGAATGGCCAACTTGGCCAAACACGGAACATGCTCTGCTTCAAGGTACCAACCAGGATATAACGTTGACCAAGTTTATCGTTGCATTTCAGCATTTACCTATGCATATCCTGCCACATACTGGCCACTGCTCTATGTTCTTTTATTGTTATTGTGTCTCCTTTCGAACCGGAGCATACAGAGATATCCTGTTTGGATTTCTATGTGGCAGTGATCTCAGTTGAGCGAATTGTGTCTTTTTTGTTCCTTTTTTTGTCGTTTGCATTTGAGATACAATCAGGCAGGCCCCTACCCGTTCGTTTCCCCTTCTTCCCCTCGTACTCGGGCAAATTTCTGTTCCTCTTTTTTTTTTTTTTTTTTTTTTTTTTTTTTGACTATACACCACTTCTACATATCAATCCTAGGGCTTGAGTCAGTTCCCATAACAGCCTTTGGAACAAAACAATAAAATGTGCATGGGCCGTGAAGTCCTCTCATGTATTTTTTATGCTTTGTCTCTATTCGGCGACCAGACTATCTTCCCCCCCCCCCCCTTTTTTTCCGATCTGCTGGTCTGATCCAATTCAACCGTTTCAACAAAACTCGCGTTCGTATAAGGACGAATGCATATGGGCTGATTTCCCAACCAAGTTACTACCCTGAACGGTCCCTATTTAGAGCATCTTTTCTTCAATCTCATCTTTTACTCTTTCTGGCTTGTGTCTTTCGCATTTCTTCTCGTTTTCTTTTTCGCCGTCGCATTTGTTTATCGTTTTCCCCGGGTGGGTATGCAAGCGCACTGGGATGGGTTGAGAAATCAGAGGAAAGCATGGATGTGGATTAAGTGACTGGTTCATAGACTAGCAATGGGATCACTATATCTATCTCTACTTCTTGAATGTCGTTCACGTTATTCTCGACCCCTACCCCAAGTTTTCAGACGGACAAATGAACCATTTGAACCATTTCAGTCTATTCCGGCTCCTCATCGACTCAATATCTATGCTGGTTAAACGAAGATATATGCTAGATTAGGCAGCCCCCCTCTTCCTCAAAAAGAAAGAAAAGAAAAGAAAAGAACTAGCACGTCCAACAGGAACGCAGCGAAAGCCTCTCTCTCTCTCTCTCTCTCCTTCTCTCCTTCTCTCCTTCCTATACCGAAGCAGGCATGCATATATACATGTATGCCGGAACTAAGCCCATGAATCCCTCCGCATAACCCCGAACCGGTATACCAGAGTCAGTTTCCGCCATGCGTACGTACCCAAGAGCACGGTGTTGTCATTGGTATAACCCGATGCATGCATGCATGCATCCATTACTACCGCGGTGTATTATAGAATTATCCAGCAGGAGAAAAACGATTGGAGTACATAGAATAGAGGGCTCCAAAGGAGCAAAGAAAGCGAGGAGAGGATAGGAGACGCGACAAAGGCATATATACCTACTATTATGAAGGAGGTATGTGCGGTAAAGACTGTATCTTTTTATTAGGTTGGCTAGACTGATGCGGTGAGGAATCACAATTGTTAAGAGATGCTAGAAAGGATCATATTTACATCACATAACCAGCCAAAGATCAGGTCATGGCTACTTGGCTGCAGGATCATAGGCTTAATATAAAAGTAATTGAATTGGACGGACGGCACAATGGGAGATTAACATAGACAAATAACACACGATTCTAAAAAGGGGAACGAACATGTAAAAATGGTGAGAGATGGGTAAAAAAAAAAAAAAAACTGTGCTCCCCTCAGGCCAATTTTATAGCTGTGTCAAATATATGGAACATCATATCGTCATGGATTGTTTGAGTGATATTTTCTTTCCCTGGAAAATAAAGGAAAGCTCCAAATCCACTTCTCCTCCATACACCTTCCATTTCTGCTGTCATAACCCACATTAAAACTGGCTGAGCGATCCTGCCCTAGGGCGGATAAGGTATTATATGGTTATATTCATGGATTCGCTCACGCTTCCGCTTCGGCCTCTGCATCGTCTTCTTCCTCCTCGTGTGCACCGTTCGTTTCGGGCTCAGCATCTTCTACATCAACGTCGATGAGAGTAGTAGATGATGGTGGTTCGGCGACAACGCCTTCTTTCTCCAGCCGGAGATATTCATCCCACCCAGGGAACAATTCATCATCCGCGGGAACGTCTGGAGCACCTGGGGGAACACCGATGAGTCGCGAGATCTTTGTCTTTCCAGATTGCTCCAAGGATTCTTTCCATTTGACGACGAGTTCGGGGGCTCGAGAAGGTTGGTATGTCTGTGAAAGGAGAACGGATTCTGCAAGACGGTTGGTGCGTACAAGAAGGTCGATACAGCCATCGACGTCTCCGAGAGACCACAGAGTAGAAAACGCAACGTTGTGGAGGCCTGCATCCGATGCTTGCTCGGCGAGCTTTCGCAGACCATCTTTGCTGCCGCTGGCAGTGTGTAGGAGCAGGAGGGAGCCAAAGTCCTTCGCGTTCGTAAAACACTCTTGAGCCAGAGAGAGGTTCCATCCCGATAGGGCAGCATCGCCAACAATCTTCCACTTGTGTTCCACGTTGGCTTCGCGAGCAATGTCAAGGGCAATGTCAAGATTGTTAAGAGCAAGGGCAAGCTCAAAGCGGTGTTCCTGATCAGTAGCGACCTCCAGAGCCATCTCCTTGTAGCCTTGTCCCTCGAGGAATCGTGCCACTTTGTTCATCTGGTCCTGAGGGATGTCTTTGAGCAGCTCCGCAGCAAGTTCCATGTCTCCACGCAGGACCACAGTCTGGTACTCAACCATACTGAGTGACAGGGCGAAGGATACGGCGTTTACATCCTTGTCGGCAAGATACACTCGACCGTCTCGTGGCAAGTATCCGAGGACGTACATCGGCTGATCAAAATGAGAGATCGTGTATGTTTGATCACCCACAAGGTAGTTCAGGCGGTTCGTGGAATTCGTGTAAATGAAGCAGTCCCCAACCCACTGACCAGTTCGGACAGACTCGTTGATATCAGTGACAACCTCGAAGGCGGACTCAACGCCATCCTCATCGGCTTCGCCGGCATTTAATCCATGGACATAATTCTCCCTAGAGAATCGGAGGACATAGAAGGAATCGTCACAAGCAAGAGTAACCAGCTCTCCAGACTCGGACCAGTAGACCTGTTCAGGTGTGTAAGTGCACTATACGGTGAATAGAGAAAAAGAAGGGAATATTCTTACAGCTCTGGGCTCAACTTCGATGCGTCGAACCAGGTTTCCAGTTTCCCAATCGAACATGCCAATACCCCCCTGTCCTTTTACACCGAGAAGAACACCACCCGCAAGGCCTTCGGCCTGGAAACCTACATCAAGACCACCACTTGCTTCCTTGAAGTTCCTGAAAATCTTGACACTAGTTGCCGACTCCCGGATGGCATAGTCATTGCTATTATCCTTTGAGCCCCAAGCAAAATCCAAAGCTTGGCCAAAAGCCTTGTTTCTCCAGGCCAGAGCAGTGTAGATGATGTATTCGCCATCTCCGCAGACAGAAACAAAACGTCCATTAGGGGAATGGGTTAGGGTCTGGGGATAAACCTCGCAAGAACCCAACTCCTTGGTAGGAAGAGAAATTGGGGCACCATCCTTGAGGCTGGAATCACCACCCTTTATTACCGTCGAGACCACCTCGCTGTGTCTCGCCCAGACGATCTTTCCGGACCCATCCATGGAGACAGCTGGCTCTTCTCTACCCATCTTCACAACCACAGCGCCATCGTCAAAACCCATTGCAACACCCTGCCTTCCACGTTGATAAGCAATACACCAAGCTCTCTCCAATCCATAGCTCAAAGATTGTTCTAGCCTGTAGGTGTTTGCGTGCCATATTTTGACGGTACCATCTTCAGAACCAGAGATGATGACGGGCAATTCCGGGTGGTAACAAGCGAAGGAAACATTGCTTGTATGGCCTTCTAGGGTTGCAATAAGAGCCTTGGTGGTGTAGTCCCAGATCTTCACAGTCTTATCATCCGAAGTAGTGAGGAGGTACGGTTTGTCGGCCTGGGGGTAGTAGTCGACATGATTGACACCTTTCGTTTCGTGCGCCTCGAGTGTGAAATTGGCGTGCGGGGAGCCCAGACTCCAAATCTTGACAGTCCGGTCCAGACATGCGGACGCAAAGGTATTTGTATCCTTAGGATTGATCGCAAGTCCCATTACATAATGGCTATGGCCTTCGTACACTTGAACACATTTCCAGCCTTTCTCCCAATCCCAAAGCTTAATTGTCATATCATCGGAGGCTGTAAGAACGAAGGGTTGAGTTGGGTGGACGGCAATGGAACGAATATAGTCCGGGTGCGCTTCAAAGGAGGCAATCTTCTCAGAGGTGTTGTAATTGTAGACGCGAAGTTGGAAGTCATCTGAACCGCAAACAATCCAGTTTTTCCGGGCGATGAATCGCCCGGCTCGAACGGGGACATCGGTCAATTCGAAGGTTTTGATAATGGACTGGTAAATTGCTTGATTAGCCTCCTAACAAAAAAACAATTAGTCCCGTCAGGTGGCTTACCTGAGTCTCATAGGACCATATGTAGACGTGACCTGTGTATAGGAATTAGCGCATCCAACCAGAAGATCATTATATTGCCATTCATCCACGAACCGCTGTATAGCGTTGTCAGAATCTATGGAAAGTTAGTACAATATCAAGTAACATTGAGTTCAGCAGATATTTACCCATGGCTCCGTGGGATGGAAATCAATGCCCTTTACTCGCTCCGAACGGGCGAAGAGCTGTCTCTATAAGGTAGCAACAATGATCAGTATCAATTCATATATCGGCACGAAGATATGTCTCCACATATCCCGCGGTTTATATTCGGTAAACAAGACAGTATCTTCCACTTCCAGGTCATACCTTAATATCCAACCTCATGTTGTGTGGGGGAACGAAGAATCGCGACTATGTGCGGCGTCGGGAAAGATCGATGAAGGAGGGGAAACCAGGCCACGAGCCGCTCAGACAGCCCAGCCCGGAGTTGCAAAGAACTTCCTTAGGAAGTGAAATTGAAACGGTAGGATAAAAAAAGAAAATAGAAACGACTCGACCGGAATGGCCTACTCAGTCAGACAACAGACTCCAGCGATGTGTCCACAAGGAGACGGCAATCCCGCCAGCTATCTGGAACTGGCTAGCGATGCTCCTCTCACCGCCTACGATCCTGGATCCTGCACAAAACGACCAGAGCTTCCTATATAAGTTTGATGATATTAGGTATGTCTATTGAAGTTGTCTGGAAAGAGGGATATCAAGAATTCGCTATTGGAGTATCCTCTGCAGAAACATAAAGAGATGATCCCCCTCCCCCCCCCAAATGATTTTCAGTTGAATATTCTCGAATCCCAACCCCAGAAGCACTATAGCCCACCACAAGTGAGCATATCTTACGCAACTTGATAAGATATTTTTGGAGAGAAGGCAGGCAAAATAATGAAAAAGTAAAGTATCATAACGGATATAAATGTCACAGATGCGTCCCATTTTAGTTGACACACGTCGGCTAATAAATACAAGTAGTCCAGGGGTCTATCAGTCTTTCATCGAAACAGCCATTTAAGCCTCCGTTTTGCGCTCAAAGTAAGTCCACTGGCCAGGCCTAGGCTTCTCCTCAAGTTCCTCCCAGCTACCAAAAAGTTAGTCAAGTTGAAACGGTTTAGAAAGGAGAGGCATTAGGTAGATCACTCACGCCTGGGACTTGTAAATCTCATCAACCAACTTCAGCTCACCCTCTGCCACCTGAATAACCTCCTCAATAAGGCCAGCGCCGATCTGCTTCTCAATCTCGGAGACCCTGTAATCACTCGTCAGCTTCTTCTAGGCGACAATCTGTGCAGAGTACATTGGCAACATACTGCTCAGCTTCCAGGGCAGGTTCATTCTCCCACTTCATTTCCCGGGTGTGGAAGTCCGAATCCTTAGTCTCAGCCGAGACGGAGTCTTCAATGGCTTGGTGCCAGCGGGCCTCCTCTTCCGCCGTACGGGCAGGGCCTGGCGAGGAAGGTTCCCAAGCCTCTCCATCCCATTCCTCTCCACGAGGGTTGTCACTGCCATCATCACGCATGGATGCGGCATAAGAGCCATCGGCCTGGCGAAGAGTAGCGAATCGCTCGGGTTCGGCACCAACGGTCTTCTTCACGCGCTCCAACCAAGCTTCGAATCCAGGTGGTTTCGTAGACTCGACGACCTGCAGGCGGTGGCGAGTCAATGCCTCAGTAGACTGGCGGTAGGCGGAGGACTCGGGAAAAGACTTCAATTTCTCGAGGGTAGACCTGTATAGGTAGATCAGGGTGGGACGGGGGCTTGGGTGAGTGTTCAGACCGGTCAACCCGGTAGGAGCAAAAGGCTCCAAATACCGGGCCGGTTTGACGTTGGCCAGCAACCGAAGTGTCGATCTCATTGTGGTCTAGGAGTATAGGAAGGGGGGGGAAAGAAATTGACCCGATGGGAAACAGGAGGGGTGCTCTCTTTCACTCAAGATATCCGTCACCCAAAGCGACTGCGGAAGGTTGAGGGTGTATCGGAAACCGGAGAAACTAAGATTCCAGGATCCTGAGGCAGCGCAGCCACTTCCCTGGAACTTATCAAAGGAGAAGAGGACTTTCCGCGTTCTCGCTGGCATTCCTTTTCTATCCTTCATCTGAGGGCCTGCGGAATCCTCGCAGATATCTCGACGCTGCGAGCTTCACTACCTGACGCCTTTAATACATCGGGCTGTCTCTGTCGTGATTGATCCATCGCATTCAACCCCCCGAAATTCAAGCCACCTTTAGACCCTCATCCGTCCAATGTGCCGCCTGTGAATTTAATTCCAGGATCGCGCCTCTTTCTCGAACTCTCGTTGCTTATAATTCGTCAAGAAGGCCTTGAGCCTTGACCTACAGCCAAGATGCGTTCATCTTTGCTGGTATGGTCGTTCCTCTCGCTTTTTTCCCTGACCACTTTTGCCGCTCCCTCCGACCCGACTATTCAAAGCAATCACCTTGCGAAAAGACTCGACTCTGAGAAAGCGGCCTCCAATCCAACCATTTTCAATGGCATCGAGGTACCCACAATCACGGAGTTGACTCCTGAGAACTTTGAAGAGACGGTCAAAGATGGTTACTGGTTCGCCACCGCTTCTACAGACACCACCGTCTTGTCTCGTTCGTATACCCCTAACAGATCAATAGGTTCATCAAGCAGTACTCCCCCACGTGCCCGCATTGCCAGGCAATCGCTCCTGCATGGAAGACTCTCTATGAATTTTACTATGTGAGTTCAACGTTCACGGTATCCCCTTGAATGGTGTTTAACATTCGATAGACTTCCGATCCATTATCCTCGGCGTTGTCGAAATCCCCTGACACCAAATCGTTAAACTCTTTCACCGGCTTCTATAACTTCCGCTTTGCGGAGATGAACTGCCTTGCATACGGAGATTTGTGCAAGAGACTCAGCGTGCGGTATTTCCCGACCTTCTCATTCTATCACAACGGAGAGCAAATCGAGCAATTTGAAGGGAAGAAAACCATGGAAAGCATCAGCGAGTATATTGAGGAGAAGCTTGAACTCATTAAGCCTGGATCTCGCCCCGCGAAAGGCGTTAGATTGCCTGAGATAGGCGCCGATAGCGTTGATACGAAAGCCGAGCCTGAAACCCCTGCTGCTAAAGACAAAGACCGCGAGGCCGGCGCTAAGGCTGGCGAGAGGCACAACGAAAAGGCTGCTCAGCTAGATGCCCAAAACCCATCTACTGAAAAATCTACCTCAAAGCCGAAGCCTAAAGTGAATGCCCCGGCCAATCCCCAGGGAATTTCCGTTCCTCTTACTGCGGAAAGCTTTCAGAAGCTCGTCACTGCTTCCCAAGAACCTTGGTTTATCAAGTTTTATGCGCCATGGTGTCACCATTGTCAAGCTCTTGCTCCTACCTGGGCGCAAATGGCGAAGGAGATGCAGCACACTCTCAACGTTGGAGAAGTGAACTGTGATACCGAGGTTAGACTTTGCAAGGACGCGCGTGTCAACGCTTTCCCAACGATGTACTTCTTCCGCGGCGGTGAGAGGGTTGAGTATGAAGGTCTTCGAGGCCTTGGAGATCTGGTTAGCTATGCTAAAAAGGCCGTTGATATCGGATCTGGCATTCCAGACGTTGATGCCGACTCTTTCAAGGCACTAGAAGAAAAGGAAGAAGTTATCTTCTTGTACTTTTACGACCATGCGACGACTTCGGAAGATTTTGCAGCTCTGGACCGCCTAACCCTCAGCCTGGTGGGCCATGCCAAGCTCGTAAAGACCAGCAGCGCGGCCCTAGCTGAAAGGTTCAAGATCTCGACCTGGCCTCGTCTTCTCGTCTCTCGTGATGGGCGTGCCAACTATTACAACGCGCTAGCTCCGAGAGATATGAGGGATGTTCGCCAAGTGTTGAACTGGATGCGTACGGTGTGGCTGCCCATTGTCCCTGAACTCACAGCTATCAATGCACGTGAGCTCATGGATGGAAAGTATGTGGTTCTTGGTATCTTGAGCCGTAGTCGTGCAAACGAATTCGTTGAGTCGAAGCGCGAGCTGAAGAATGCGGCACTTGAATGGATGGATAAGCAAGTACAGCTGTTCCAGTTGGAGAGACAAGAGTTGCGGGATGCTAAGCAGCTGCGCATCGAGGAGGCCGAAGACCGCAACGACCAGCGTGCGCTACGAGCCGCCAAGAACATGCGTGTCTCTATCCGGGAGGATGACAAGAAACAAGTTAGGTTCGCCTGGGTTGATGGTGACTTCTGGGAGCGATGGCTGCGGACCACCTACGGTATCCACGTGGGCAAGGGGGAGCGCGTTATCATCAACGACCAGGACAACCGTCGTTATTGGGACACTGCTTCCAGCGGAGCTCCTATCATGGCTTCACGAACCTCGATCCTGGAAACCATTCCTCTCGTTATCGCCAATCCTTCCAAGCTGACCCCAAAGTCTACAATTGGTACCTTTGAGTCCATTTTCTTCGTCACGCATTCCTTCATTTCCGGCCACCCTATCCTCTTCGTCCTCATCCTCGTAGCGACCGTATTAGGTGCTACGTATTTCGCCCGAGGAAGAGCATTCAAGCGTGGAGTTCGTGGCGGTATCCTCGGCATTGCTGGCAATGCAGGCGGTTTCTTCCACCTCGACGGGAAGGAAGGGCTCCTGAACGGAGGCACAACCGGAAAGGCAGACTAGAGGAGAACGTAAGAATTCTTGTGCAGTTAGGCTATCTTGGCCTATCTACTTTTCTCATTATCTTTTTCGTTGACTTTGCCTGGTTTCTTTTCTGATAATATTTAACAAAGACTCTTTATCTATTTCATCATGGTTCAATATCAGGCGCCACACTGATTTTCTTTCTCTCTCTCTCTCTTTTTTTTTTTTTCATTAAAATCACCCTTACCTCCCTTTCATTTAGAAATGCTCCTCTGAGCCTTGAATTTGTTTATGAGAAATCGGGCAGGATGGTTTTATATCCTTTTGGCAGGAGCAGATGGGTCCGGAGTGTTGGCATGTTGGGTTTTGTGGAAAGCTACTACTGCTGTGATCAGTTAATTGTTGGAAGGAATAGTAATATTACAATCATAAATCTAGTTATCTATACTCGTTCTATAAGTCCTCAAATATCAAATGAAGCAATTTTGATTCGACGAGAACGTCGAGTCACGTGGCTGTCCACTGCCCACCGCTGATTGGCTGTCGGGTGGCCGCAAGCACTGAACATCGCGGAGTCTCCCGGTTTTCGTCGACCGTCTTGAATTCCACCTCAATTGTCGCACTCTCCGCTGGAGCAATTCTCGTCCCCTTTTCAAGACCACTCGAAATGGTGTGTATTCCCCATCGGCATCCTTATTCCCTTCGCACAATTGGGCTCTGGGTCTTGGTTTGCGTCCTGGAGGCCGTGCGATGAAAGTCCTCCGCGGCCCGAAGCATCATATCATGTCACTCCTGCTGCAACGATGTCATTGAAAGGAGATGCCCCTTCAGTCACTGATGGTTTTGATTTGCTATAGGTTTTCGCTCAGACCCTTCGCCGTGCCGCAGCTCAGTCTGCTGGTGCCTACCGTTCTCCTTATGGCCCCAAGTGAGACCCCCAAACAGCATGCATGTCCTTTAATCGATTTGCGGCCTGGAAACCTGGGTGCCATCCAGCGTTTTTTTTCCCCTTTCTGTTAAGGATAATGGAGACATATATCTAGCTCTTTGACCGGTTTACAACCTGGACCCAAGGGGTCAGGTACAATGGACTGGAGAAGCACTTCCCATGATCGCCAATTGAATATATAACAACAACATAGGACGAGCGGCTAACCGAATGCTCTTCAATCAGATACACCACTCCTCTCCACTTCCAGGGTCTGACCGCTAGCACTGCCACCCAGTAGTGAGTCTCACTTTTCAACTCAATTTCATGGATGGGTGGAGAGTCATCCGTCGGACATGGGAAATAAGCTAATACTAGTTGTGAACCTACAGCGGCCAGATTGCCGCCGCCTTCGGCGTCAGCGCCGGTGTCTTCGCCCTCTTCTTCTTCGGTGAAGTTCCCCGTGTTCGCAAGGACATCCTCCAGAAGCTCCCTTTCTTCGACACCTACCTCGACCGCACAGTTGCTCCTGAGGACAACGTACGTACCCCTTCAGACCAAAGGTTCTGCTACGAAACGAACACAACTGACGGGAATTTAGCCATTCTAAGCCTTTGTTTTTCCCGAGTTTGTCCTCCGACCACCTCTTACACCCATGCTCTATATATGTGCGATACATTACGCTTGCGAATAGATGGGAGGGAGAGGGTAGTGCTGTACCGTGTAGAATAGCAATGAGATTTGTTAGCACATAGACAATTATCTCCCCCACCGTGTTTTTTTTTCCGAGCACAAGCGCGATGACGATAGCCCTCTCTAGTTTGGCTGCTCCGTAACTGCTTCTCTGCGAGGTTTTCCCGCTCTGGTTTCCTCCGCCAGGAGCGGAATCTACCGCGAACCCTGATGGAATCGGTAGTAGTAGTAGTAGTAGTAGTAGTAGCGGTGGTGGTGGCGATGGCGATGGCGCGCAAAGCTTCTCTCTTCAGGATTTAAAACCCATCCCTCCCGTCCAGCCAGGGAAAAAGAATGCGTTTCGGTATAGGCGTGCGTCGTGGAGACGGATGCTTCCTTGCCAGCCGGCTTTGATGAGTCTGGGGCAGATTGTGATTACTTATCAGATGTATACGGGGGTTCGACAGTATATTGTTTCTCAGGGGAAGGGGGGGGGGACCGAAACCGAAACCGAGTCGGAGTCGGAGGAAGACGATGGAGCTGAATCTGATACAGAATCCGAGACGGAGCAGCCCGGGGATGGAAATACTAGTTATCGAGCCAGAGTCGGAATCAGACTCCGACTCAGATTCAGATTCGGATACTCGATTTATATCAGCGCGCAGAGCTCAGATACAAATGCCTAGTGTGCCTCCCCCTCCTCCTCCTCCTCCTACACCTACACCTACACCTACACCCCTCCAAATGTGCACCCTCTACGACCTCGTAACCAACAACCACGGCCTAACTCACAACTGGCTCTTTATCTGGGCCGACCCTGGGAGCCCTCGCCACGGAGCACCCCGGAAAATCCACGACCGTGCCCCTGCCCGAGTCCCATTCCCGGTTTCTGTCGGGGTTGTTGGCAGAGCATGGACTGGTGATGGTCGAGTTTTCGACGTTCCAGTGTACGGGGCGGATGCCGTGGGCGTTGCCCAGGGGGGTTGTGTTTCGGCGGAGGAATGAGTATCAGGTAGTTAGGGAGCAGGTGGAGATGACTGGTGAGGTTGCGGAGGGGAGCGGGTGGGATGATTATTGAGGAAGTGTTATTTTTGGGGGGGGGGGGGGGTGGATGTGATCATTAGTGGGTGTTTTCCTTATTGTTTAACGAGAAGATCATGCGTTAAGTAGAGAAAATCAAGGTAATATTAATAGCATTACTCTACCTACTATTACTTCGATGCCGACAAATCACTCACTCGATGCATCCTCTGGTGGCCCCCCCCCAGCATGTTCAGCAACAGACACACCAACAATGACCCCAGATTCCTCCTGAACCGCATGAATGGCGTGCTCCACGTTCACCTTGGGACCCCTAAACCACTTGTGTGCATCCACAAACCACCAGATTGTGACCGCGAGCATCGGCGCTCCCCACACCAGACAGGTCCAGTTCATCAGATCCGGGGTAAGGTCTGAGCCGGTCACGCTGGGAAGACAGAGAATGGGGACCATCAGCAGCACAAATGAGACGCCCACGCCTCCAATAAATGGGCCAAAGCGGCCTAGGTGCCATGGTCCCCTACGGAAGCGGTCGCCGACGAAGAACACGCGGATCGTGATGGGGATTGCAAACGCAACGAACTGGGCAATGGCGCCAATAGAAAATAGGGCGCCGATGGCGACCGAACCGCCAAACATGAGCAGACACATTAAGATCCCGAGGACAGCGTTAAGTACGACGGCGTTGACGGGGGTCTGGGTGGTGCCGTTGACGCGCTTCCAGTATTTGGATAGAGGGAAGCAGTCGTCACGGGCGTAGGCGTATGTCACTCTGGATGCAGCCACCATGCACCCTTGACCCATGGAGAAGCCGCAGATAATGGTCAGAGCGAGGATGCTGAGCGCGGCCTGGCGCGACAGGACCTGGAACAGGTAAGATGCCCACGGCTGTCCCAGATCAGAGTTGACCACTGCATCGATATCGAGCACCGTGTAGGCGACAACGAGCTGTAGGAACCAGCCCATAAGCCCGCCAACTCCGGAGGTCATCACAATGGCGCGCGGTGAGGCGATATTCGCATTGGAGCATTCCTCGCTAAGATGGAAGGGTGAGTCGTAGCCGGACATGGTCCAGATAACGCCGACAAAGGTCATCAGCACGGCGACTCCGTCGGGATAGTCCGTCCTGTTACCAATCGTCCCCCAGACATCCTTGGATGACGAGAACTTGGGCGAGTTCGTGGTGGCTGCGGGAATAGCAATGATCACAGCGATCAGAGCAAGCATGTTAAAGGTTGAGCCCCATGAGTTGAACTCTGCGACCCATTTCGTTGGCATACTGCTGATGATGGCATGAATAATCATGATCAATGTTGTCAGAAGGAAGGTCTGCCAATCCGCCGGGGTATAGTTGGGGTTCGCGATAGAACCCGCAGCCAGAATCATCGCAGCTAGGGCATAGTCAACGGAAGGGGCAGCGGTGATCTGGCCAATCCAGTTGGACCATCCAGTAATCCAAGCCGCATAAGGGCCGTATCCTGGAGGTGCGAGCACTGCAGCAGCATAGTACAGCCCGCCACTGATGGGCAAGTCAGAATTGCTGCAGCAACAGTAGGAGAGGAAGGAATGGTGTACCTCGTAGGCATAGCAGAGCACAGCTCAGCCATAGACATAGCGATACATTGGATGAAAATCATGGCAATGATCCAGCCCCAAACCATACCCGCGGTTCCGGCATACCCCATCCCTTAGGTAGGTGATATAAGTCAGTCGCCCTATCTAGGGTCTCAGGTAGAGGTAGTTACCATAGTACATTGTGCTTGCAAACGAGGGTAGCAACCCCAGCACCGCAAAACTAACGCAAAATGTGGTCCATAACGAAAACTCGCGCTTAAACTCCTGTTTGTACCCAAGGGCCGTAATTACCCTTTCATCTGCGTCCATCGAGCCATCGTAGTGAGGGACATCTCCATTGACCAGAACCGAGGTAACGGGGTCATGATCGGCATCTTCATACACTGGGCTATTTGTTGCGTTCGCTCCCTTTCCTATGAAGGACATGGTGGGCAATTTCACTGCGGTCACATGTGTGTGTGTGTGTGTGTGTATATGTATGGAGGTGGTGTTGCCTCTGAAGATGGAAGCGAGAGCGAAGGGAGAAGGAGGTTATGATAAGTTAACCACCACGTCTCTGCTGTGTAACACAAACGTGCACCGGCTAAAGGTTAGCTAAATGCGCCCGTACTAATATATTTATATGTATAAATATATATATATATATTAGCAATCAGCATGGAACTGCATATCATTACTGCAGCAGGAGATGAAGGGACCGTTAGGGATTTATAGCAAAACCTCCTCCTCATCAGGTTCCGCAGATGATAACCCACTGAATCCAGATATGGGAGAAAGTAAAGAAAAAAAGGCACCCCTGAATAATAGCGATAACAAGATGGCTTCATTGGAAAAATGCGAGGTGGGGGTCAGACAGTGATGATATGGTTGGCGGCAGGTCACTTGCTGGCTGTCGAGAGATGAACAGACAAACCTTGGCGAATGAATATGAAACCATGCCCATCAAGGAAGTTATAGGCGGGAACCTTGCGTTGAATGAGAGAGAAAGCTTTCAATAAGAGTGACGAGGAGCGGAGAGTTAGTGTTGTAGGAGTGCTTATCTAGAGGAGAAGGAATTATAGCAACAGTAGTAAGATCGATGATGATCAAGGTTAGGGTCTTCCCGAGAGCACACGAGATAAGAGAACGGAAAGCCAGTAGGAAACGAATATTCTCTTTAGCCGTTAAACTAAAGATTCCCTGGATATATCCCTCGATACCACTGGATAAGAGGATATTCCTTCCTTCGTGGGAACTCTTCTAGAATCCGTCATGAGTATCTTACCTAGATATGTAGGCTACTACCTAGGTAGTAGCTAGGGTATTCCAGCATCTCCCCTACACAGGACCAAAGAACTGAGTCCAGTAGAAGAAAGGCATCGAGTAATTCCTCTCTTTTTATGCAATCGTTATTCTCCAAGCACTAGGGATATCTAGCCTCGTACCCGGTTGCGAACTCAGGTTGCTGACCGGTCACAACCGCACTTATGTCCATACAGTGAAGCAATCATATTCACTTTACATGATTCATTCCAGGACATAGGTGATAGACTATTTTTGCTATACAAGATACTTTCAAACAAGGGTGTCATATTTCTAGCTAAGGATAATACTACAACACAGTTTTGTTAACAACACCTCCTATCTTACAAGACAGTCCAAGTAACCTGCGATTTCCAGGGATTGATCACATGCCCATGAGCTCCCCTTACACTAACATGATATAAGATTGATTCATGGGGTGTCCTTAATTCATCGTATCACATCGCATCTCATCGCATCTGCGAGGGACCTTCCAGAAACAAAGCATCCAATCTCTCATACCCTGCCATACATCCATGTAAAATATCCAAAGGCTCTCCAATCACAGGCCACGATAAACCTGGCCAAGCTATCCACTGCACCGATTCCTGGTAGGCGTCTTCCATAGGTGGCTACCATCTGTATGCCATGCTATGCCATGCAATGCACGAGAATATGTAGTATCGACCAAGGCACTACGCTCCACTCTGACGCAGCACATATGTACTATGCAGCAGAGCAAATGGGCTGGGGGCTGAGAAACAAGAACCAGACGTCGGATACTACTGTACTTACTACTTGGCATACCCGACACATTACTTACTCATGGATGGCCGATGATCGATCCAAGCGGAATGGAAATAAAGCCAGAAAAGAAAAGAAAAGAAAAGAAAAGAAAAGAAAAGAACACCGATGACTGGACCACTGGTCGAGGTCAGCGCGGGATTCTGCAAGGCTTGCCTCCATGTAATTATTACCTACATATACCTCTATAGATAGAATCTGCGAGTACCGAGAGTTGCTTTTTCCAGCTTTCTTTTCTTTTCTTTTCTTTTCTTTTCTTTTCTTTTCAATTACCCGCCAGCCAGTAGGATCTTTGCGTTGGGATTCCGTCTTAGTCGGCATGTAGATGTAGGCGCCTCTGAAAGCGACCAAAAAAGAGGTGTGTGTGTGTGCTCTATCCATCACCCTTGGCTTTTTGTTACGTGTAAAAAAAAAGTACTGCGTAGAATGCTAAAAAAAAAAAAAAATTTCTTTTTTTCCCCCTTCAATGAGTAGTCAAATCACTACGGAGTAACACATAGTTAGTTAACCGGCTTGTCAATATTTACTCCGTATGGTACTCCGTATGGCAATAATGAATGCCACCTTAGTGAGTGCAGTCAGTATAACCTCTAACCTCCCCTCCCGATCTCCTATCCATGTACGGAGCAGGGCTCCGTCAGCTCCACCAGACTCCATCCATCGACCGACATGGATAGGAATTCGGAAGGCTAAGTAGCAGCCATGAACCATGCTTGTGACTGGGACTGGTGAGTGGCCCACCACGATTCCGGTCCTTCGACTATGGAGAAGTTAGAACGTACCTAGTAGTTCTTGGTACTTCCCGGGATCCTAATCGCGACCAGGACCAAGCAATACTAATAGTAGGTAAGAGTATCTTTATGATTATTATGAGCATAGGAGCGTGTACGGAAGCCTACCTACGTATGGAGTGTATGCACTACGATTACTATACCTAGGTTATCGGCATTAACCTTCCAGTTCTTCCAATTACCATATCTATTCTATTGCTCGGTCTAACTAACTACTAACTACTAGTTAGTTAACTACTAACTAACTTACTAACTCCTAAGTTATAACTAATAGTTAGTTAGTTAGTTAACTAACTAACTAATTTACAAGCAATTAACTAAGTCACTACCTAGCACTGCTGGGCAAAGGTGGATTCAGGAGAACCAACCCCGTGAAGATATCAGTTAGATAGCCTGCAACGAAGTCCCCATAATTATTCTGCAGGTACGGCGTACAAAAGCTACAATCGGAAAAATGCCAGAATTTAGGTCCTAGGTATCCGTACTCCGTACTAGTCTACCCATACATACCGATGGTAAGTAGAACCGACCATAGCGGTGCTGCAGTACAGATGAGAATTGCAATTACGAGTTAGGGGGGGATCTGTTGCCCAGTGGTTTGTTAGATCACGACGTAATACAGAGTAATTAAATGAAATTCAATTTAAAAGCCACTTAGGGACTGGTAGGGGAAATTATGTACCTACTACTAACTATAGTTAACTAGTCGATTACCTACGGAATGATCCGTAGCTACTAAGTATCTACTAATAGTATCCGTACAGTAGCAGCAATTCCAACTGTTGGACGGAGTAGATACTACATAGATAGATACTTTGTACTCCGTACTTGTAGAAAGTTGGGGTAAAAAAAGGACCGGCAGCACGCCAGGCTGCTCTTAGCATTACTCCGTAGATTAGCCAGGTAGTTAGTTAGGTAGTGGAATGTGTAATAATAGAACTAGTCCTTCGTGCCGAGGTTCTTCCCATCATTCCGTAATCCGTACTCTGTTGGTAGCAAGTTACCATCTACCAAACCAACACACCTCCCACGATGCTGATATCATTCGCGGCCAACGACAAGATCGTAGTCCGCAACCTCCCAAGCTAATTAATTAGGACTTTGTGCCTCGTCAAGTAAGCAAGCAAGCAAACAAACAACCAAACAAAGAAACTTTACTTTCTTTGCCTGCCTCTTGGTTGCCCGGCTTACAAGTTGGCCGCCGGCACCCGGGAGATACTGTACGGAGGACCTACCTACTCTGCATATTAACCTGTATGGAACATGGACTCGGATATGAGTCTTCTAGCGGCGGTCGATTCCCGAGCACTTCATGGCCATTGGCTAATGCCTCGTGTTGGGTTAAGGTTTTGGTTTCATTTCTTGTCTGAGGGAGAAGGTACTTAGGTACCTAGTCGTTAAGTAAAGGAAACTTTCTCCTTTTCGATTTCCACTTATTTGCAGGTTATTATACTTTACGTAGACTGACTGGCCTTAGTTTGCACATCCACCCGTACTATGTCCTCTATAGAGTAATCTAGACGAAATTTAGCAGGTTCCTGAAGAATAATATCGAGATGGGGGAGGTAATGGGGGAGAGTGAGATGGTTGGAGGCACAGGAGGTAAAAACACACTGTAGTAAATACTAAATACAACCTTGGAATAGTCTCCTTACTAGTAATATCTAACTTAGTATGCTGGCGAGGAGGTTGTCTTTATTGATGATTCTGCGGGGTTCTGAATCCCCACCTGTCCATCAGTATCTATATCTTACCTAGGTACTGTATGTTGGAACTTGGAGAAGGCTTATGTAAAAACATACAGTACGTGTATGTCCCAATGTGAGTTAACTTCGCAGCTGTATGCAGAGTTAGGACGTTGCTATAAGTATACATATAAGAGAAAATAATACAATGCAAAGCAACTACTAGTATATCTAGTATACTTATTCGCGAAGAACGGGTTATTTTGTCCTCTGTAATCGGTCATGGAAGGATATATATATATATGAGGACGTCCGCATTTACTGGAGGTAGTGTTTCCCTCACACGGCCTGTAATGAAACAGCTCAACCATCGGAGCATACCCACGGACAGCCACCTATTATCTGTAGTGCACTCTCTCTCGGCGTGACAAGGTTTGCCGACTATTATCATGGCAGGGAATGCTCGCAGGTCTTGGATTGATACTCGAAGCTTGCGATAGATTAATGCTCACCCGTTACGGATTAGCAAATTAATGCAAAGTCAACAGATAATAGCGCGGTCATTTGCTTTGCACTACTGGTAGAGTTCGAAACTAGCACCAAGTAGTCAAACACGACGAGAATCCATGATTTTGTCATCGAAGCCATCCAGACTTCCCCCCCCCCCTTTACTCTATACGGCGGATTCCAGGCTCAGACCACCTCTAAGTCAACTCGCCATCCATGAAAAATGAGGTGTGTGGCGTTACTGACGCCATTTTTATTGGCTTCCAGCTCGCCCTGAAACTGGAACGAACCAGACTTAGCTTCGGCATTACTCCGGCCCATCCGGAAAAACTTCCCCGCCTAGGCAGAAGTGGCGCAGGAGAAAATTATCTGTCCTTTTCTATTTCACTGAGGCCAACTCCAAAGTTACAAGTTACCTAACTACCTACCCACCCTAGCAGGGGGTGCTTAGTCGCGAGGTTAGTCAAGACTCAACCGTACTTGTAACTACAGAGGACTTGCAGATCACCATTGGTGCCGCCGAATCCGGGACGTCACCAAAGGCATCGCTCCCCGAATCTTTAGTCTCTTTTCACTTGCCAATTGTCTAGCTATTTAGTGAACTAGGTGGGAAGAGATGGGTGTACCCGGCAGTAGTGTGGCTACGGATATCAGCCACGTATGTACATTGTAACCTCACAATTATTGGGGTTCTCTTCGTGTGCAGGGCTCAGAGTCACTTATCTCGGTGCAATGGATGAGTATCGAACCTCAATCTGGGTGAGATTCTCCGGTTGGCGGCTGAGTACCTACTTACTCCCCAGGCTATGAAAGCTTCACGAGCGAAAGCCAATTGTTGATTCACTGGACACACATCTTGTTCTCTGGACAGAGTAAGCGCAGTCCACACCGCCTGGCTGGTCTTCTCTCGTAGAAGATTCCATGGGCGGGCCATCGGCTTCCGGGGTGGAGCATAGGTGCCGTGATCGGACCGCCACATTGGGCGAGGTGCAGGGGGGGATAGAATTAGATAGATAGATACTCCGTACTCCTACAACTCAAGTTTATCCTTGGGAGTCGGTTCCATGGGTGTTGGAACACTAAATAACGATACCTGCCTTGGTACCGCTAGGTGTTCACACCAGTGGCAAGTCGAGCGAAATTCTGCAGAAAAACCCGGCCGATTTCCCAGCACGATACGGGTAACTAAAGAGTTTTTTTTAGTGGGATCCGTAAATCCTCAGGCGATGGAACTATTGTCTTTTTAACAAGAAGAATAACAATGACTCCATTCATTGGAAGCGAGAAGGGGAAAAAGAAGAGCTCCCCCGTCCTCTGTTCTTCGCCAGTAACAGCGCACCATAGACATCATCCGAGGTGCTCCGTTGGCTTGCTAAAAAAAAAAAAAAAAAAAAAAAAAAAAAAAAAAGGGCCAAATACGGACGGAGAAGGGAAACTTTCCGTTCTGAGCGATGCTTTCCGCGCTCGACCGGAACGTTCGTCGTCTGATTATTTCTATATTCCTTTCATAAGTTGGTACCTGTAAAGGTGTTTCTTACTTCGTATTACCAACCCAAATTCCAAAATGGTGCTGGGGGATTTTCCAGTTAATTGATTATTGATGCCGTATTTCCCTTGGTCGATTAATCAGATCGGATCAGATGCTGGTCGGGAATAATTAACCTGCAATTAAGCCAGCCCATCCATGGTCAAGGTCCACAATCGAAACGGGAGAAGCTCCCAGCGAAAATCTCCTGGTGGAGCATAGCCGCCAACTTTTTTTTTTTTTTTTTTTTTTTTTTTTTTGGTGAAGCCTAAATATTGACGAACCAGTAGTCTACCTACGGAGTACTACTTAGTAGGTACTCTTTACACTGTAGGTACATACTATCAGAAGAGTCCACCTACATAGAATAGATAACGGAGGAAGAAGGCAAGAACCTGATGTGATTCATCAGACGTGACTCGGGGTGGCAAAGTCTCTTTTTTTTCCCCTTGGAATCCGGAAAATAATTGGGGTAATAAGTACTACCTAGGTAGGTATTTTTGGCACAGGAGCGAGTCTGGAAATGTACAGAGTAAGCAGGGAGTCGTCAGGATGAAACAGAGTGCGTGGCATCACTGCATTCCCAACCGGACCGGGTTCTGCTACACCTGCAAAAGTACGGAGTAGTAGTACTGCAGTCGAGCAGTCTAGAAGCCTGGTGCTCTACTTTTCTTCAGGGCCTGTGATTCCCAGCAGACCTCTGTCGGTACAAAATTGGGAATTTCCTACCTAGGACCCTGGGATGTTGTTGTCTGATCGTTGATGCTTCACTCAGTCATGCAATGATCCTCTAGCCACTACTTGGAATGCTGGATACTTTCTGTGATATTTGGAGATCAATACCGTATCAAAATGGAATCTCCCAGGGCGAATACTAGATATGGGTATTCCAGATATATTTATTTACTTTCGACTGAACTCATCACAATGCATGCTAGCCGTTGAGTTTGGTGTGACACGGCAGGTGATTACTGTATGGTCTCAAACCACTCATGGACAGAGAGAGTGCTGTGAATTCTTGGAGTAGGCTACGATTTGTAAACCCTTTCGCTAACTACATAGTTAGTTATGTGTATAGGAGTGTAAGTTCATAAGCACCTCCCGACCCTAATGTATATGATTCTACAGGTAAAGGGAAGAAGGCGTACATATATCAAGATTAAGCTCACGGATACCCACATTCTGTCAGATGGCTAGTTTGCTGGAGACAGTCGACACTTGTGCCTGTTTATTTTCCCAGCTTGATCCCAGCCGTGGAGTCAAGTGGGCATCCCTACCAGAACCCAATTGCCATTGATTCTTTCTACCTCAGGATCTCTCTCCACTCCCCACGATGATAACTTTGATAAGGTTTCTGCCCCTACTTACTTATGTGGGATTGTGGATGTGCCATGAGGGCCAGAGGAACCAATATTTGAGCAGCGGGTACTGCCAACTGCGGAGAAAGGATGCATGAATCCATCTGGATTCTGCCTTATGGGTTTAATGGGTTGGGCGGGATGGAAGTGGAAGGATTCATGTATGGTCCAGTTGCTGTACAGAGTCCTATGTAGTTGTTTATTGAAGAACCTGGAGCCACTGGGATCACTCCCCTCCTACGTGGTAGTTATTGAAAACGAATCTTAATTATTGACAGTCGTGGCTTGAATTCTATTGGATATCTCAGGATGTGTATGTAACGACGGCTTGGAAAGGGAAGTAGAACGCGATGAGGAGCATATTATCGCCTAGGGGATTATTATTGGGATGGTCGAGGATTACTCCGGCGGCAAGCAATATCCTGATTCTAGTACCTACTCTGACCATCTTGAGACTACCGAGAATTATTCCGATGTACTCTCTATTATTTCAGAATTGGTGGTATATTTATTTATTCTATTCACCAGATGTACTCTTCTGAATCATTCATCCCTACTCAAGGTATTCACGAGTTAACTCCAATTGCCACAACCCATCACCAGAACGCTTACTCTAGAGTCTAGCTCCCGTTGCGTCCCCAGCGTTCGGATACGATTCTCCATCGGACAGACTGTGTTCGGCCCACGTCCGAGGGGTTGCGACCACAAAGTCAAAGAATCAACAGCAGTAGGAAGAAGAGGGGTTTCAAAGTCAGGAAGTATCCTGCAGGCCGGCACGGGGATTATTATTTCATGATCCTCTTTCCCCTGCTGCCAACCAAATTCATATTTTGATTTTTATTAATTTGCATTTCATTTTTGGCTTTTCCTTGGTCTTCCTGACTTCCGGCCAATGTTCGGAACTTGGTTCTTGCTCATATCTGGCTGACCCGGCTTTGCCGTTTTCTGGGTTTAGAGAGGATTTCTTGGTCTCTTCCTCTGATGAATTAAAATATATAAGAGAAGAAGAAGAAGAAGAAGAAGATGTACAATCATTATTCTCAATTACTACCTAGGTCCTTCCGTCGAGATACCCAAATTGTCAGTTGACAAAGAGTCGGCTCTTGTCTTGTTCTCGGAAACCGGGTGAGGCACGAATCAGGTCAACGGCACCATCAACCGTCCTAAACATTATGTGTAGAATTACCTATTTTTTCTTCTTCTCTCGATTGATTTATTATTATTATTCTTATTATTATTATTATTATTATTATTATAATAATAATAATAATTATCCCAAACAGAAATATAATAATACGTCGAGTAAATCATGTAATCGAATAAAATAAAAAGAATTCCCTAGGTACGATCGTCACCGCTCGATCTTTCAGTCTCCAACTTGGAATCAGTTCTCTCTCTCTCTCTCTCTCTCTTTCTTTCTTTCCCTTTCCCGTCCCCCGTCCGACTTTCCATTTTCCATTCCCATTTTACTAAAAAAACCACTCCGTACTTCCTCAACCGCTCTGATTGTGTTTGTTCACACTTAGTTTGACCCTTTTTCTGGGCTCCCCTAACCTTGTTCCGCCTCTCTCGCCTCCCTCCATTCCCGTGGAAAAAATACGGCTACCTTGGGTCCCTTGAATTTTTTTTTTTTTTTTTTTTTGCCTTTGAAACCTTTTTTATTTTATTTTATTTTTATTCCTTTTCATCCACACCACTCACTCTTCTCACTCCCCCTCTCCTTTTCCTCTTTGATTTTTCTTTTTTTTTTTCTTTTTTTCTCTCCCCCTCCCCCTCTCTCTCTCTTCTCTCTTCTCTTGATCTCCGCGACTATTACGCGTCTGTTCCTGGCTAGCTATCTCGCGCATTGTTGACGCGAACAAAAATTGGCTAGCAATTTTTCCCTTGGAACTTGCTGGTTGTGTTAGACCCACTTACACGCCGCCTTCCTGGTGGATCACCGAACCATTGACTGTTTTGACAACGTGCGGATAAAAAGAAGTTCCCACAAAATTCGATTTTCCTGGTGGGTGACCGTGGGGACCTCGGATTAAGCATCTCAACCTCATCCTAATCTTTCTTCTTCTTCAGTGGAGTCGTTCTTGTTCCTCTCTATCTTCTATTCTTCTCTGTGTGTGAGACTGCATCTCCTGGTGTTCGTGCCTGCGTGTTCGTCGTCTGAAATCAGCCATCCGAGTGACTCCTGGCTCCGCCGCTTTCGTCCATTGTCCGCGTCGACTGATCGAGAGTAGCGACTCTTTTTGGAAGGGAAAGAAAATAAGACAGAAAAAAGACAGAGAGAAAGAATTCAGACGGGCAGAAATACCCAAGGGGAAAAAAAAAATTGACCACGCGATCAGCCAAAGTCGTTTTTGTGTGTTGGGAGTCTTTTTTCGCGCACTGAGAGAATTCTGCCCGCGTCAAAAGACCACTTTGAAAGAGTTTTCTCGTTCAGCAATCAATGATCAGGATACCGTGAAACCTTTTTTTTTTCTCTTCTTCTTTCGCCTGTTCCAATCCCTGCCTTTCCCTTTCTTTCACCCCTCTTACCCCCTGCTTCACGTCTGCTCCGCTGCATGATGGATCCCAGATCTCACCCCTCCCGACCCCCCTCCACCAGTTTACCCCAGGGCTCCACGCCTCTTTCGTCAACGCCTATCTCGAGTATGCCCATGCCTCAGTACACGATGCAGCCTCAGTACCCTGTCTCCCAGCCGCATACTCTCCCCCCGCTACAACCTCATCATAGTCAATCTCCTGCTCCTCACTCTTACATGGGCCAGCCTCCGTATCGGCCTGACTTGACGAGGTACCCAACGTCCACTCATGATGTTTACGCGTCGTCTGCTGCGCCGATCATGCCTCATACCACGGTGGGCAGCCTGCCCCCTTCGTCCTTCTTGTCGCACCCCAACCCCCAGGCTCAGCCACAGCCGCCGCAACATTATTCTCCTCACAGTGTGCTCCCACCTGCGTCGAGCGCTCAAACCTACCCGCAGCCTATCGCGCCCGCGCCTCCCCGGGACCGCCGTGATTTCAATGGCATCCCATCCGGTGCTTTTAGCTATCCAGATGGCAAGACTTCCCCCTGGATGAACCCTGATCCGTCCGTGGGCGCAAATGGTGCTGCCCCGTATGCTGCGAAGGAAGCCCCTCGGACCCAGGTTGTTGGGTCCCAAGGCCGACGCGGTATCCTTCCGAGTGTTCCGGGACGCGCGACTCCCGTCACTAACGGTGTGAATGGTACTGCCAAAAACACCACCATTCCAGCTAAGGATGCAGATGGAAAATTCCCCTGCCCGCATTGTAACAAGACCTACCTTCATGCCAAGCACTTGAAGCGCCATCTGCTCCGACGTGAGTAACCCAAATTTTTCAATTTTCCATTTTTTTTTTCCCTCCCTTTTTTGAGATGTCAGTTACTAATAGTCTTCTCTTGTGTTAAGACACTGGTGATCGCCCCTACATGTGTGTTCTTTGCAAGGATACTTTCTCCCGCAGCGATATTTTGAAACGCCACTTCCAGAAGTGCTCACTGAGACGCGGAAACCCAACCGGGGCAACTCACCTGTCGCATCCCAACGCTCATATTAAGAGGTCCCAAGCTGCAAATCCTGCCAAAACCGTTCAGGATGAAGTCAGTAATAACATCCCGCCTCCCAATGGCATGCCCGGTACAGCTTATAGCGAGGGAGCCGTGAACGGTAATGGGTTGGCGCACGGCCGGCCAGGGTTCACGGATCACCAGCCTCTGGGCTTTTCGATGTCGTCTGTCAATGGGATGAACCGTGGTCAGCCAGACGACGCCTTCCCCGCTGGCCGCCCCCATCAGGCAGGTCCTTGGCAGGCAGCTCCCAAGCAGAACCCGTACCTGGTGCAGCCGGGCGCTGATCCATCTAATCAGCAGCTGAGTGTTGACCGTACTTCCCTCGAACAGGTAAAACAACCGATTGTTCACGATCCTAAGCGCCCTGTGATGCCGGGACCCCAGCCTGGCCACCCTAGCGAACTGGAGTGGGCTACGATGTTCCAGCCCGGAGCCTCTGATGGCTATCTCAACCCGGTATTCCCCCAGAGCATGGCATCTGGTCAAGAGCCTATCCACGCTCATGTCGACGCCGAACGCAAGTTTTACCCCGCCACCACTGCTGGCGCCCAGGAAGGCGGAATGAACGGACTTTACCTGGCCTCGACCACACTGAGCAGCGACGGTAAGATAATTCCTTGATTGTGGCTGGAAAGGAAAGCAAAGTTTGATCGGTGGCTTACGTTGAATTAGGCACCGTCCAGCCTGCCAGGCAATAGACGTCAAATGAAGTCGATTGAGAGCCGACTGCTGGTTGAGGCCTCTTTGTCGCGTGCGCTTCAAGTTCCAAATGCGCACGACAATGTTCTTCGATTCCTTCCACACGAGACATGAGAAACCCTTCGGTATCCTGAAAGTGATCTATCGCGAGATACAATCACTGGAAATTTACTAATCGCATGGGAAACAAGTGGTAACATATTTTGAGCGCTTTTGAAATCTTATCCAGATTGCGGGTTATCATGTATGGATCCTTCCTGTCCCCTTGCAGCTTGCACGACAAAAGGTTTCTCTTTACTCGGAAGGGTGCTGCGGATTCTGCCCCAATCGCACATGGAAGAATATCGCCAACCGGCTTGGTCTGGGGCCCAGCATGCAATCTGCTCTCTCAACACCGGACTGTTTCTCCACATCCAGATTTATACATTTTTTTTACGAAAAAACGGGTTCATTATCTGCGGGTTCCATGGTCACAGTTTTTCTTTTCTCTTTTATCATTTCCGTTTTCTCTCTCTGTCAAAAATCTTTCTTTTTATCAGCATTTTCCAACGGCGAGTGTAGTATTGCGGTGGTCCTGGATCTGTTTTACTTTCCCACTCATCCATTATGGGTGGACCGATGGGATAGTGTGTGGTTTTATCCGGCGTCCAACTATAGACTTGGGCATGTTTTCGTGTTTGCGGTTCTTGTTCACTTGATTTTCTCTTCCCATGCGGCCCAACGGATTATCTTGCGGAAGGTCTCCGTCGACTCCTGGTCCCGATTCACGCGTCTGTTTTTTTTTTTTTTTCATCCTCTACCGTCGAATCCCGAGGCGCGCGACAACTCAGTGTGTTCGGGTTTTGTTTGCATAAACGTCACGGCCGTTCCAACCCGCATGTCATTTCCAGTCAAACCCATGTAAGTAGTTTCTGTATGTTCTGCTCGGACATAGGGGCTTGAATTTGGTGAGAGGTGTTTGTATGTTCATCCTTGCGGTGTTTTTTTTCCCCCTTTTCTTTTCGTGTTTTGTGTTTTATCCTCAATGCATCATTTGTCTCTTTCCATCTTTTTAGTTGAAAAGAGGTGGCGAGACATAACTTCAGCACCGGATTTCATACGCCTTTTCGACTGGGTTCAGTACGGATCTTGACAAAAGTCAGCAGCAGCTCTTTCCCTCTGGCGGGACATTGGCTTGCTTTGCCGAAGATGTTTTATACGTCGGTTGTTTGATTATAACTCCATGTGCCTGTTCTGTGTACGGGCGCCATTGCATTTATCTTTTTGTGTGTTTTTTTTTTTTTTTGTTTTTTTTTTTTTTTTACCATCGGCCCATCTATTTGTACGGTTCTTCCGACTAGGACCGGATCATGTACGGGGTAAAAAAAATCCAAGGGGCCAAAAGCTAGAATATAGACAGCCTGTGTTTAGGATTTGATCCAGAGAAAAATAAATGAGGAAATATCCTTCAAGAACCGTGTATTGCGTATAGCTAGCTACCTAGGTCCGGAGTAGGTATTGTACATCGGCTCATTCGGTTATTCACGGGGAGCCTTTTGCCCGAAGAGTCTTCCAAGAGCCCGAGAAATCCCTTGATGTGGTTGGCCTGGGATGAATGCGTCGACAATAATAGCTCATTCTGTATCTGCACCGAAGGAATTAGGTTTTATACCTGATAACCTGTCACTTCCGAATAGCGTCTGGTGGAGACGTGGAGTATGGAGTATACTGGAAGATCCGCAATCTCCATCGATTCTTTAATAGAGAGATTGTTGGATAGACTGGTGGAGATGGATTCTTAGTATGCACGAGCCCACTGAGATTTCCATCCTCCATATTTAGTAGTTCTGTATATAAAGAGAGAGAGAGAGAAAGAAGAAGAGAAAGAAAGAGAGAAAGAAAGAAAGAAAGAAGAAGAGAAAGAAAAAGAATTACGTCACCATTTGCATGATGATATCCCTTCACTCTGATTGGCTACGGCCCGGGTCGATTCGGAGAGTCTAGAAAGCCTCAGGCTGGAACATCTCTTCTAACCTCATTTTTGACTTCCAACTTCCAACTTCCAACTCCTCTTGACTTCTTCTTTTCAATCCTCATCTCCTGCTTCGGTTGATGTCGACCCCCCCTCCCCCTCCTTCTTCCGTTCATCCTTAGATCTTGCCTCCTCTCCTTTTTATCTCTGCCGCCCGGCTCCGACCTCACCCTCCCGCCTCTGCTTCACTTCCTGTCATATCCGGTATTAGAACGCAAATCACACTCCTTGCTTGATCCTGCATCGCTGAATCGTGCCACTCGTGGTCCCGCTTGACTGGCTCAACCCCCGGGATAAGAGTGCGCATCTTGTTGCCTTGCTCCTCCAAATCCTCTTATTCTCCGACCTCCACCACCACCACTACTGCACTTGAAAGGTATTAAATCAATCATCGTATCATGTCGACCAACCGGCCGTTCCTGGCCAACTTCCTTGCGGCCTTTCGAGCTCAGTCGACTTATAAAGCATCGACCGCCGGCTCTCAAACCGCATCGACTGCCTCATCCTCCCTCTCTCCACCCCAGATCTCCCAAGGCGCCCGAGCCATCGCCACAAAGGCCCCCGGCAACACAACTGCTTCTTCTCCCTCTGCCTCATCATCGGCAGAGACATCTTCCCCCGCAACCCACCACTATCATCACCACGCTAGACCGCACTCGCATCCGCGGTCGCCACTGAATCAGCCCTCTGCCTCTACAGAATTCCCGGCGCCATCTTCATCATCGGCTGCTTCCACCCCTTTAACCGGCTCCTCGCCTCCGCCGCCGCCGCCGCCTCCTACATCCTCAACTCCAATCCCCATTACCAATAGTCGTGACCGCGAGCGTCGCGGCAGCGATAGCTCGAGCGGCTCCGGCGGATTTCGGGATGCCCTAGGACCCGAGAAATGGTATATTGGTGGTCGCACGGCGGCCGGGGAAGAACGATTCTACCGACTTGGAATGGTGACCAAGGGTGGAGGTCGATTAGGTGGGAGCGGAAGAGTAGGAAGTATTGATCAGTTGAGTTTATGATTTTTCTTTTTGTTTCCTTTTCTGGCTGGATACGGGCTTAAGCGATTCGACGCAATGATTTGATGCACGATACGACGACTACAATTGATTTAACAATCCTTCGATGGTAATGGCGTTATAGCTGCGGGCATTGGAGAGGCGTTCTGATTACTTTTTGGATGAAATATAAAATACTCAGGCTTTTTCTTCTTCTTTTCTTTCTTTCTTCCCTTTGCTCGTTGCATTGACACTGGCATGAGATTGGCCACTTGTATTCGCTGCCCATTTGGAGCGCACAAGTTGATCATATTATATCAATGTCATGCCAGGTCATGCCATGCATGTCATGGTATGGTTGTATTGTGTTATTCTGCGCTGTGCTGTGTTATGCTATGTTTACACCAAAAGCCTAGATTCAATATATCAGCTCCACTTACAGATACGGCGCCATGATTTGGTATTGTTTAGTCCCGCCACAACATAAGTTGTAGGTATAATAAACATACACAGGTGAAGGGTGGGTATATACAAGCCATGCAAAGTCAAGATAGATGAAAAGCAGACCGACGTCCCTCATCAGTTAATCTCTCTCTCCATCTTCATCCTCCATCGTTATATATTTCCACCTCCTTCCACATAACCCACTCCACATCCTCGAAACCCATCCCTGACTCTCCCCTCGGCTGTGAACTCCAAAGCCCAGCCCCTCAGGCTCAGTCCCAGAACCCAACTGCAACATCAAGGCCGCAGTCCCCGCCAACGAAGTAACCATAAACCGCCCAGCCAAACCTCCACTCGACAACGCCGCCCCAAAGCGGGCCCACGAGCCCACGAACATGCCCAAGAACTCGGCCAGGGTCTGGATGCCAAACGAGATATAATTTCTATGTTGTGGGCTTTGTCATTCACAAAGGCTTCATGGGGATATATGCCTTCATTCCATCTGCCATTCTTTGCTGCTGCTGATATTTGAGGATATATTGTCGTCATTGAAGTGATGGATTGACACCCCCCCCCCCCCCCACACACACTTCAACTCTTCCGTTAAAACAAACCAAAACACCTTTTCAATCTTCTCAGCTTACCTTCAATACCAACACCAGAAGTCCCCTCCTAAAAAAGAAAAAGAAGAGAAAAAGAAAAGAAAAGAAAAGAAAAGAAAATAAACGCAAACTTGAAAATGCCCTCCCCGCATCTTCAATACATGCGCAAATGCCTCTCCATCGCCGAACAATCGCCCCCGCGTCCCACCAACTTCCGTGTTGGCGCCCTCCTCCTCTCCCGCAAAGAAGGCAACCTCACAACGGAGGATGACGAGATCCTCTCCACCGGATACACCATGGAACTAGCCGGCAACACCCACGCGGAACAATGCTGTCTTTCCAACTTTGCCTCCGTCCATTCCACCCCCGCTGAGCGCATCGCAGAAGTCCTCCCTGACGTCCCCGGTCGCAAGCTCATCCTTTACGTGACCATGGAGCCATGCGGGAAACGCTTATCTGGGAACTTACCCTGCGCCAAGCGCATCGTCCAGACGAGGGCCGGCGGCCGACGGGGTATCCAAAAGGTGTATTTTGGGGTGAAGGAGCCCGGGACCTTTGTTGGGCAGTCGGAGGGATGTCAGATGTTGACGGAGGCAGGGATTGAATGGGAACTCGTGCAGGGACTGGAAAGGGAGATATTGTCCGTGGCAACGGCGGGCCATGAGAATAGGGAGGACGAGGTGAGGGCTGCATTGGAGGGCATCGAGACGAATTTGGATGATGTTAGTGATGAGGAGCGACAGAGGCAGCAGCAGATACCCCGGAATCCGAAGAAGAGAATGATGGAAGTGAATTTGTCTATTTAATGAGAATTAATGATCATGATTGTCAAGTTCAGTTTTCAAGCTTAAATCTAGAATGGGGAGAGCTGTTTACCGCATTTGGCATGTATTTCAATCTTCACGAGAAGAAAGATGAAATAACCATCTAACAACTTTCAAATATAGTATCCTGTTCATGCAAGTATTTTTTTTTTTTTTTTTTTTTTTCATAGACAGTTGAAGAAGATAAGATGGAGGCTGCGACCGGCGAAGAGCTATGCGGGCTTCGGAGGTGGCCGAAGGACTTCATCAGACCATTCTATCGCTCTGTCTCCTATCCATGGTCTTTAAAAGGACTGCTGGTATTCCTCTCTCTTTGCCTCTCGCATCTTGTTTTATTTCTCCCAGTCCTCCTTTTCCTCCTATCCTACCCACCATGTCAACTGTCGCAGCTGCTCGCTATGGTAAGGACAATGTCCGAGTCTACAAGGTCCACCGCGATGAAAAGACCGGTGTGCAGACGGTCTACGAAATGACCGTCTGCGTGCTCCTGGAGGGAGAAATTGACACCTCGTGCGTATTCTCTCTCTCTCTCTCTCTCTCTATCATCTATAGCATAACTAAACGAGATCGTAATTAGCTACACCAAGGCCGATAACAGCGTTGTCGTCGCCACCGATTCTATCAAAAACACCATCTTTATCCTCGCCAAGCAGAATCCCGTCACTCCCCCCGAGCTGTTTGGCTCCATTCTCAGCACCCACTTCATCACCAAGTACAAGCATATCCACGCCGCCCACACCAGCATCATCTGCCACCGCTGGTCTCGCCTCGACATCGACGGCAAGCCCCACCCGCATTCCTTCATCCGCGACAGTGAGGAAACCCGCAACGTCCAGGTTGACGTCACCGAGGGCCTGGGCATTGACATCAAGTCCACCATCAACAAGCTCACCGTGCTCAAAAGCACGGGCTCGCAGTTTTGGGGCTTCGTGCGCGATGAGTACACCACTCTGCCCGAGGTGTGGGACCGTATTCTGAGCACCGACGTCGAGACCAACTGGCAGTGGAAGCGCTTCCCTAGTCTCCAGGATGTTCGCGACAATGTGCCCAAGTTCGACGCTACCTGGGAAACTGCCCGGAACGTCACTCTCAAGACCTTTGCCGAGGACAACAGCGCCAGTGTGCAGGCTACCATGTACAAGATGGGTGAACAGATTCTGGCGTCTCAACCGCTGCTGGAGACGGTGGAGTACTCACTGCCTAACAAACATTATTTTGAACTTGGTGAGTTTCTTTTTTTCTTTTTTTTTCTTTTCTTTTTTTCTATCAGCAGTAACCTAACAACTCCATTTTTAGACCTGAGCTGGCACAAGGGCCTCAAGAACACCGGCAAGGACGCCGAGGTGTTCGTTCCCCAGACCAACCCTAACGGGTTGATCAAGTGCACTATAGGCCGGGCTGACGGCCTCTGGAAGTCCAAGGCTAAGTTATAAGCTGGTCTTATACGTTTCGTTTCTTCTTTATTTACTACCCGACACGGAGTTGGCACGGAAATCTTGTACATAGCGGGGATCAGGAATACCATTCACTTTCTATCGGCATTAACCAAGTAAGAGATCAAGAGGATAAATGTAGACCGAATCCAGACATTTGCGAAGAAAGAGAAAAAAAAAAAATGTTGTTTTTTTTTTTTTTCCCATGTACAAACTAACTCCCACCCATGCGCTAGAAAGTTATCATAATAATAAATACACGTAGAAATACAGTATAATGCCGCTGGTATCTAGTCGAGCAAAGAAAACGAATCAAACCGCAGACCAACCCATCCACCTATTGCGACGCCTTCGCTTCCATAAAAGCCTGCTGGACCTCGGGTAGATTTCCAATAGTCGACTGGGTTCCGACCTTGACGATATTTTCCTTGTAGGGGTGTGCGAGACCTTCGAAAGCTGTACCCGTGTTAGCTCTCTCTCTCTCTCTCTCTCTCTCTCTCTCTCTCTTTTTTAACAAAACAACAGCCCATTATGACTGAATAAAGATTTTTTTAAAAAAAAAGAAGGAATCTCACTCTTCAGTCGTGCCAATCTCTTATCCCTCAACCGGTTCTTCGGAAGCATGCCCCGAACAGCTCTCCGGAGCACTTCACCACCACCCCATTTCTCAAACATCTTATCCATAGTCATCGTGCGCAGACTACCGGGACGCGTCGTGTGCGTGTAATATTTCTTCTGGAACCGCTTCTTTCCGGTCGTGTGGAGGTCGTGGCATCCGACGGCGACCACGTAGTCGCCGCAATCCGTGGAAGGGTCATAAACAGGCTTGTTTTTGCCCATGAGAGTGAGGGCGATTGAGGAGGCGAGACGACCCAGACTGCGTGAGTCCGTGCCGACATCAACGTAGTGCCATGTTCGGGAGTAGGCGAGACGAGTCTTGTGTGTTTATTAGATGTGATTGATTCTTTTTTTTTTTTTCACTCAAGGGATATTGAGAATGAGGGGAGTTACCTTTCCAACCGTTTGGGACATCTTGTTTCCCTAGTCGTCGAATCCAGGGACGGGACTCGACTCAATTGGCTTCATATGTATGTGGTCGTCAACAAGTAAGTCAGAGGTTCCTGTCGGACAAGTTCGGCGCCGAAACAAACTGGCATCCCACGTGACCGCGCCGCAAGCCCTACCTGCTGCGTCCCAAACAGGACTAGCGGCAGCAGACTAAGCGAAGTCACCCGCACGGATTAATTGTTGTCCCCCATCTCGAAAGGAAAGTGCACAGAAAGGAAGAAAAGCGACGACAACGACATCTTCATCCACACCCACCCACCACCCCAGCACACTCCCTTTCGACACCGACAAGGGCCATCATTCATCATGGCTTCCGTCCCGAGTGTGCAATGCTTCGGCAAGAAGAAGACGGGTATGTTTTTTTTTTTTATTTTTATATTTTCCTTCTTGAATTGATAGCATGAAACATTGATTGGAGTAATGATTTACTGATCGCATGTGTGTGTGTTTTTTTTTTTTTTTTTTTAGCCACCGCTGTCGCCCACTGCAAGGTATGAAGAGAAAAATCTCTCCTCTCTTAATTCTACAACGCTCTCGTTTTCTGGATATTGGATATTGGATATTGCGCCGGTTCGGTTTGGTTTCGATACGATTGGGAATCTATATATATGGAGTCGCAGGAGGGAAGAAGAAAGAAAGAAAAAAAAGAAAAACTGAAGATGAGCCTGGAAATCGAAACCTCTACCGCAACGCACAATATTCGATCTATATTCATGATGATGATGATATTGAGTTGGGAACCGTACCCACAAGAATCAAAGACGCTGACTATGGATAACAGCAAGGCAAGGGTCTCATCAAGGTTAACGGCCAGCCCCTCTCCCTGGTCCAGCCTGAGATCCTCCGCTTCAAGGTACGACAATATAAAACCTCCCCCCCCCCCCCCCCCCCCCTCCTTTTTTTTCCTGGCCGCATACGCCACTATGAAAGGGCAAAGGAGAAGAAGAAAAAGAAAAAAAAAAAGTTAACATTGGAATCAAAGGTCTACGAGCCCCTCCTCATCGTCGGTGCTGACAAGTTCGCCGGTGTCGACATCCGTGTCCGTGTTACCGGTGGTGGTCACGTCTCCCAGGTCTACGCCATCCGTCAGGCCATCGCCAAGTCCCTCGTCGCCTACTACCAGAAGTACGTCGATGAGCACTCCAAGAACCAGCTGAAGCAGGCTTTCGTCCAGTACGACCGCACATTGCTCGTTGCAGACAACCGCCGCGCAGAGCCCAAGAAGTTCGGAGGTCGTGGTGCTCGTGCCAGGTACCAGAAATCTTACCGTTAAAACACACCACCCCCCTCCCCCTTCTTGCCTCTTTTTTTTTCTCTCTCCTACAAAAAATTTTTATTACGATACGGAAAAAAACAGACAGGAAAAAGGAAGGAAATGGTGTCTATGTGTTTTCAAGGTGTACTGGGTCCATGGATTCGACGCGGGGTGTCCCACTGAGCAATCGGACGAAATTATGTACCTCTTCGGTTGTCGCAGTGGGGTGGGAATTATGGTGCAATACTGGCTCTGTCTCGACTGGATTTAGTATAGGCCAGGAATATGAAATATCACCCACTTTTCCTTTCTTCTTCAAGTCCGTGTGCGGTTCTGCGTCCGTCTATTGTCTCGGTTTTAATGGATCTGAACGTATATATATATATACTCCTTGGATATAGGATTGGTATCGCGCTCCTAGAAATAAATAAATCCAACCCCGACAAAACGACTTTCGAGCTAGAGTGGACTTTCGCGGTACCTACTACTACGTAGATTTATTTGCTTTTGCTGTCTCCGCTCCCCTCCTCTATCTCCCCTGATAAGACTTGCGTGCAATACCACTTGACCAACAGAGTTGATGTTAATACGAAGATTAATATTACATAGCCATCCAGCTCTGCCTTCTCGCTAGCAATTTCCCCAAAGCCCGTGTATGATGTGTGTATGCTAAAATATGAACAGATTACAAGAAATATCGCACTTTCACAGATCAACAGAGTGCAAAATGGGGGAAAACATGTACTAAGGAAAGAAAAATATGGTGAAAGAAGGGAAGAAATGGATCCTGTGGTAGTGCCTTTCACGGATCAAGCAGATACACTGTTGTCTGTCCAGCAGATATTATCATTCATGTTAATACTCACTCCGTCATGATGGTCTCCACTCTCGTCATCCTCGGCTCCATCAAGGAATAGAAGATGAAACCTGTTTGGGACTGAAATGGGGTTCCTTGAAGATACGGGCAGCTCCTTCTTGGGAGCAACAGGCATTTTAGCAAACTGCTCTCGACATTCGTCAGGATAGAAAGAAATCCTCATTCCTTTGTATTTAAAGCGGGACATCATGCAAGATCGTGCGAACAGGGCATTATGCACGGAATTAGTCGATATGAAAGCATTGCCGCGTTTGAACTTCACTGAAATCACAATCAGATTGTGAATATGTTCTAGATCTTCTCTAATCACAGCCTCAGTGATATGTGGGTGGACATTGTAGATGGCTAAATTCCGGGTAGCCCCGTTGTTGATTTTGGCTCGAACGTACGGCGGGAGGTAAAACTGACGGTCATTCCATAGAGCCTCTACCTTTAACGACAATAGATGTGTCAGATCTAGTATAGCTGCTTCGCATGTATTCACTTACCCTCTTTCCAGCTACATAAAGACCATGGGCCTTTGTATGCTGTAAGAATTCCTGGGCAGGGGCCTCGTCGACAAATGACACGCTCGCTGAATGTTCTCGAGCTCGAAGATAGATATGCAGTAGAGGCCCACCTCTCACGGCCTGAGCGATATCTTTGTGTGTGGCTCTGTCAGGTAAGCCACGAATCAGCACGGTACGCTGGTCATTCTGCCCAAAAGATTCTGTGCTTCCTGAAGACTCTCCGTAATCATCTTTCTCATCGCTGTGGGAATCTGTCATGACATCCTCCTCCTCATCGGCTCCTTTTCCATTCAGACGTTCGTTGTGGCTTGCAGAATTCTCGTTGCGCGGAGCCCTATTTGCCGCAGATCTCCCCTTGACATTCTTGTGGGCACTGGGTGGACAAGGTGGTGTATCGTAAATCAATATCTAGGCAGGGTTAGCAAGTATCATGGGTATGAAAGACAAAATCCCACATTGAGGGTTTCCTGAGATAGTCCACCATTCAAGAGAGATTCTTTCAGCTTGTCTATAATTGTTTAGCGGATGATATTAAATGTCGATGGGCCTTGACGTGTTGTCTAATCTTGGAGGGCAGAACATACTTAAATGATTAGAAGCTTGGAGCTATTTCCACGGTATTCATAGTCAGCGGCAAGTATACGTATGTATATGGATGTTGTATAGCCACGATCTACCATAAGCGACTTACCAAAGACTGATATTCCGACTTAGAGATGGTGACCAAGTCTCGACTGAAAAGCTCAGTGTTCTGATCCATTCAGAGTGGAATGAATCAGCAATGGGTAGTTTCCCAGCAAAAGATACTACTCACAGGACTCGTTCTACGGAGGCACCAACGGTTAGTTATCCCAGGAGAGAAAGCCAATGCATCTAGAGTTCGCGATGGGAGCTGGAAGGCAGAACCATCTAGGAATTTTGCACGGCACGATCGAATTGCAACAAAAACATGCAAGGCAGGAAAGAAAAAGCCACTTACTTTTGAAATGAAGGCCCCATGGACTGATTGTCAAGTTTGGCAAAGGAAAAAGACATCGTGATGAGCTAACTAACTATCTCGAAGCTTGCTTAGTGAGGTTCGAAGGATCGACCACTATGTATCGAAAGCTAGCAACTGGACAGAAAGAGAGATAGGGGGAGGAAAGGAGAAAACCAACCAGGGGAGAGGGGAATTGTTAGACTCTTAAATATGGCTACCCCCAGTCAGTTGGGTGATCAAACGCCACAGAGAGAAGTGAGTGATGAGGGGGGGAAGTAAGAAGAAGGAGAAGAGAAAGAAAAGATGAAAGGTATCTGGATATCTTCTTGACTTCACCCCACGTTGGCGCTGCAACTGCGATCGACAGCTGGCTCCTTGTTTGTATTTTTCTCTTTTCTGCATCTATTCTTTCCTCTTTTCTTCTGACCACTACTACTTCTCCCCCTCCTCCTCCTTCTTCTTATCCTTTTTCTTTCACTATAAGATGGCCAGCCCAATCAGACTTACTTTCAAGAATTAATCTCGCAGACAAGATCAGATAAGAATTCACAAACCCATATGTGCGAGGTGGTGGTTGCAGATGGGATGCAGATAACGGTTTGGCAGGCTGTCTGAACGAGAGCATGAAAACTACGAGCGAGAGAAACGGAATATCGGGGCCATATATTAAGAGCTCATCTCTCCTCCTCCTTCCTCCTCTCTCCCTCTAAGAATAAGAACGAGACCCCATGGTCTAATGAGAGCAGTGTCTAATCCGATCTTCGCCAGCCAGGGCCATCGAGTGACCAACAGCAGCAAACCACGGCATACCCGCCTTGTGGCGTTAAGACAGGTCAGAGCACCATCTTTGTGAAACAGGAATAGAAGATGCTGGCAGCTGGCCCCCTATTGCCTCTGGAGGACGCCTCCCTGTGCCTATGCCTGGCAATAGCTCTGGCTTTTATTGGCGATTCACCCATCGTACAGAGCTCCAAAGATACCAACAGAGCAAGCGGTCGATTGACTAGCGGCAACCTCTAGGATCGTCGGTTTATCTGTCCTATGAGATCATGGGAGTTCAAATCATCCTGTTCCCCACTAACGCCCGCCATACATGAACCTATCCAAACCCCTAAGATGGTCTTCATCACGGGCTCTACTCCCCGGTGACAATCAATAGTTGCTTCACTCTGTATCTGCGGGATCCTCTACTACTGCGTGAAAATTCAATCGTGCGATAGGCGTTCGTTGGACGCCCGTAAACTACATCGATTACAGCTCACACGCCATAGGCTGTTCTGAGATGTCGTAGTCGGTAGCCAAGTATGAGCCTGAGTATTCTCAGATCCATCTCCCCAGAAGGAAACAGCTTGGCATAAAAAGAAAATAAAATCACCAACAAGCGCCAAATTGACTTTAGCTTGCCGGTAGTCAGGGTTAGTACCTAGGTAGTTAATACCTATGGATTACGCTGTGACCACTTAGCCAAAAGGTCGTCAAGTGTTCACCAATTCAGTCACGAGCCTGGGTTACGTTGCCGTAAAATCAGTGTCAAAAAGAAATATTGGTTCTTTCACCCGATGTCTCTATCAGAATTAGCACTTCTGGCAGGACTCGGTGGTCGTCCCTCAGCTTCGTCTTGTGGTTCCGTCGGAATATCTGGCTGTTCTTGCATTGTTTGAGCAGGCTGGGTACTGTCTAATCTTGCTTGTCGCCGAGACCTCGCCGCTTGGACAAAATTTGCGGCCATCTGGGTCGCGAAAATGGCAAGAAAAAGGCCCAACACCAGGGTTTGGGTTATGTACGATTCGGAATCTTGAGTTGCCACGGGGGGTAGTTCTGGGGTGTCATAGGAAGAAATCGCTTCATCCGATCCGAAGGAGATCCAGACAGACATGGAGAAAGGTGTGAAAGATGTAACAATACCAGAAGACCGTGAGATTAATGATGTCCCTGACCCAAACAGTACAGAAATAACGGCGAAGACCAAGAGAGGGACGGCTAGTCATAAGACAGCATATAATGACGGACGCGAGCGGGAAAACCTACAAGCAAGCAAGGGTAAGTATCACAAAGCAGCTTGGTAACAGGCACGGGTCTGAAAGTGTACATACCAGTGTCGGTTTTCCATCCTCTTAATCCACCGCGCAGTAATCTTCAACCTCTGCCTTACTGTTGTTGTTGATAGAAGTGCATATTTTTCTTGATCCCAAACCGGGAGAATCGTGCCAAACCACCACGGAAAGACGGCAGGATCCGTTGGTAAAGCCCCATATGCCAGGAGTACGCGGGGATGCAACCATGGAGCTCCCTCTCTGCGCTTCTTGAGTACAAAGTCTAGCGCCAGCTGGAACAACTGCTGGGTTGACATGGATTCTATTAACCTTTCGGTAGCATTGGTCATCAGAGAGTGTGAATCCACAGCTGAGATGTCCATAAATTCCTGGGCCTCTTCTTCGGAAATCGAGACATCTTCGATGCGTTGGATTGTGCCAACGTAGTAGCCATCCACTAGTTCCGAGCTGAGCACCTTGAAGCGAGACAGCCCCGTGGCAATCACCAAGCTTCTTCCATCCGGGAGCAATTCATAACGATCAACCACCAGTGTTGTGCCGTACTGCAAGAAAGGGGCGCTTCCCAGCCCTTGTTGGTATCGGCCCCTACTGTTATGCATGACCATTCCAAATTTGCGGCCTCTACTCTCCATGACCCTCTGAATCATGAGGCGGTAGCGAGGCTCAAATACATGTAGAAAGATTGGCATCGTCGGGAATGCAAGCGAACTTATAAACAAGGGAATCCTTCCCTCATTATCAGCGTCAATGTCGGGAGCCAAATCTGCTCGTCGCGTGGCCACTTCGTCGGGGAAAAGGAACTCAACGAGGCCTGAGACCCGTTTATTCACCCGTTCCGACTGCAGCACAGTAGACAAGTTTAATTTTCGCCTGCAGATTGGACAGAGATCGCTGTGGTTCAACGCCATGGCCACGCATCCACGACAGAACGTGTGGCCGCAAGGGGTCGTCAAGGGGTCCAATATCAACGAATAGCAGACCTGGCAATCAAGCTCGCCGCGCACGGCCGCTTTCAGTTCTCCAAAAGTCCTGCGGTGCCTGCCCACGTTGACATATGCAGAGGGCTTATAGCGGATCTCCACCGCCCCGTAATCGAGTAAGCCATGCTTGACCAACCCGTAGACCCCTCCTAATAGATCCAAGGACCCGACGCTAGCACTTTTCACATCGCTTCCCGCCGCGTCATCTCCCGAAGACGCCCTCCAGGTAATCTCATAACCATCCTCTCCATTCCCCCCCGTGCAGCGAGAAGAACTTCCCAACACCTGATCGAAGATATCAACCAGCCTACTCAGCAGGACATCAGCCCCGCAATCCCCCAAACAATGGTCTGCGCCGCACTCCTCCCTCCCCCAAAGGCAGGTAAACCCTTGCTTCCGGTCCTCGTTTGCAGGATACGACACGCCAGCCCTGGGACGGATCGGGGGCAAACACGGCCGACACAGTGTATTTCCACAGGGAAGACGCAACGGCGAGCGGAATGGAAGCGAGCAGCGCGAGCACTGGATGAAACGGACGACCGCGTGAGCGGGGGTCGGACTCATGTCAACGCTAGGCGTGGGAGATCGCGGCGGAGAACTCAGGATCCTGCTTTTGTCCGTGGAAGCCATGGGGGGTGGGATTGGCATTGGTGATGTGGAGCTGCTGCGGTGGGAGAAGTCATCCTCATCATTGTCATCCTCTCGGTCCCCGTGCGGAGAAGGAGAAGGAGGAGGAGAAGCATCATCATCTTCCATGGATGCCGGATGCCACTGGGTTGGAAAGCAGGGGTTGAAGAGAGGAAACTGTGGGAGATAGATAGTAATAGTAATATTTAGATGAGAAAATATCGGGACCTGTTACGGCGGGGGGGAATTGAGCAGTGGTGGTGTTATGTATGTTGTTGGGCTGACGGGGCGTGGGCCGGAAGGAGGAAGCCCGAGGCTCAGCTGAGTTGGATACTAGTAACTACCTAATATATAAACTACCTAAGTACCTAATACCTACTATCTAGTCTAGGACCTAATAAGTATAATAACTTACTATATAACAAGTGAAGTATAATAATAATGTACTCGGTATTAATTAAATAAATAGTTCAAGGTTGCTAAGACGGCTCTATTGTTTCTTCGAGGATCCACGACTATGCAACAACAGCTTATGTAAATGAAGAACCAAAAAAAAAATGAAAGGTTATATAAATGGAACTGTTCATCTGCAGAATCAAATTGTACCTAAGTACCTATTAGAATCAATCCAGGAGAAAAGGAGAGAATAGAGGGGTATGCATACCTCCAGGCTTTTAGGTGGTCTAGAGTATACATAGACGAGACGACAACAACTTGGTTGAAATATGCCGCGCGAAGCATTGAATTAAATCAAAATTAAACCAGTCTACTACTAAATAGTTAGTTAGATAAATAATATCGAATAGGAATTCCCCATCAACATCAACGCCCGGGTCACCATACCGATATACCTAGGTATAACAACATATACTAGACCCAACCAACAACTTCATCCTCATCTCATCTCATCTCATGCAAACCTAAGAAACCAAACACATGGCGTGCGGATTATAGTGTATATAGCGTAGCGTAGCATAATATGCCAACGTAGAGACCAAAAAAAAAAAAAATTTAACAGAATTAAAAAGAAAGAAACAATCCCCCCCCTCCAGTCCAGATATACAAGTTAAACCATCTTCTCCTCGCAAAAAGACTGGCCGCGAACCCGGAACCCCTCAGGAGTCGGAGGTGGAGTCGGAGGGTAATCGAGGATCTCGAGTTCCTGTAGATCGGAATGATAAGCCATAGCAAGGGGAGAACCCGAGGAGGAAGAGCGGATCAAAGTGGATTTTGCAATTTGAATCGAGGTGCGGATTGCGTGGGAGACGTCTTGGTTGAGGGTTGGACGGCGGGGGATTGGACTAATTGGGGCAGCCATTTTGGGTCCAGGTTTTCTTCTCTTCCTCTGCCTCCTCTTCTTTCTTCTGCTGATTTATATAGAGGGGGGTTGTTATCTTTGGTTTCTTGTAATTGTGGTGGTGGTGGTGGTGGCAACCAACGAAGAGAAGGGGGGAGAGAGAGAGAGATCTTGCAGGATAGAACCATCTGACAGAGATAGAGACAAAGATAGAGGTCTATATACCCGAGCAGGGAGCAGAGGACAGTGCAGAATCCCTTGGGATGTGGGAATGTAAGCATGCCAGATATAGAATAAATCGGGAAAACAAAACTATAGTGCTCCCCTTAGCGTGAAGATATACAGTATGGAGGAGTACTGCACATACCTCTCAGGTAGAGATGTTACCTCCAGATGATAATATATTGCTTTTGACAATAACCTTGGCCAGTCTGCATGGTTACGCACATGGTGATGATAATGCATTGATTGTACTTCGTCACCGGCGGATGATCGAGAAATTCGTCAGAGATTTGAGTTGAAGTAAAATTTCCGGAGCCATGAAGAAGAGAAAAGAAAAGAGAGGCGGGGGAGGGAAAAAAAAAAAAAAGCAAAGAAATGAATAATCCTGACATTGTTATCCACCCTTTTATTGATCCTGAGTGTTAGACGCCTTTTCTAGATACCTCGTCAGAACAAGTTCACTACTACTACTCCACCAACACCAACACCAACAAGAGAAAGCTACATCTGGGGGGAGTAATTGTACACACTCCAAAATACATAGTAAGATAAATGTATCCCTATAGGACAATCGTCAGGATGTATTCGGATAATCCTATTCCATCCTCAGGAGTTACAGATACAGAGTCCACTAATGTACCTCATACTTTAGTACTACTACTACTACTACTACTACTACTACTACTACTAGGCAAACCCCTCCACCAACCAAGCCAGGCAGGAGCCAAAAGTACTCGGTTGCTTTCGGGGGACCTGAGCCGAAACTCACAGTCACTCGCCTAAACCGAATGAATTCTTGTATGCCTAGAAGTAAAAACCACCTATCTAGATAGTAAGAGGGGGGGGGGGGGCCCTACTGGGGTGCGATCTACTAGTATCTACTAGCGGCTCACAGCAAGCTAATAGTGTACCCGGAATGCAACTCGTTTATCCTGTGGGAATAACCTAAACGCCTTTATTTTCCGGGCGAATAGGAAATTCGGAATTGGGATTCGAAACACGACTTGACTGACTGACTGACTGGCTGGAGCGTTCTTATTACTGCGTATGGTAGAGTGACTATGTATGAGAATGCACAAAGCAAGGAGGAAATGGCGCCAGTACGAGGGGAAAAGTAAACCAAGGGGACTTGTGGGGGATATCAGTGATTGCGGGTTCTGACGCTGGGTGGTCCATCTATGTAATTGTCTGAAGCTCGGTATACAAAGGTCGAGGAGAGAGAGAGAGGATACTAGGTATACGTGCTCTACACTACAAGTGACCTTCCTGGCTACAAAAGAAATGAAAGAGGAACAAGAACCAGCCCCTTGTATGCTTAATCCATCAAACATCTCATGTATGTACAATAAATCTGCGAAGATAACGCAGGACAATCCATTCATCTCTGGAAATAATCAAAAATCCAAGCGGGCAGCGCAACCGATACGACCACCCTAACTGATAGACTAGAATTTTTTTTTCTATCTTTCCTCCTGAAAGCAAGAAATGCCAACCCAGATTGGCTACCTAGAGAAGTGATCAAGTTAGGCATACGGAGCAAAATCATTGGCATGCTAACATTCTTTCATCCCTCATAACCAAGGCCGTTCGAACGCCAAACAGAGTGGGAAACTTAGACCGGAAAGAGAGAGAGAGAGAGAGAGAGAGAGAGAGAGAGAGAGAGAGAGAGGGGAAAGAAAAAAAGAAAAGAAAAGAAAAGGACAGGATGGCATTCCCGTAAAAGTATATGTTAATACGTGGTACTGGTGGGAGGTGTAAGAAAGTCAGCCTGATCCTTCTGAGGAAGTTGCGTCTAAGTCACTGTCGGAGTCGTCGTCGATCACTATGCGCCGCAAAACGCTCTTGTCGAACAGATCGAGGGCAAACCGTCGCGCGGGTAGTCGGAAATGGTGGCTTTCGAGAATACTCAAGGTCTTGCGGAAAAGGTGAGGTTGATGGAATCGCTCGGGCTGTTTGGACTTGATACTGTACATTTCATACTTATTTAGCATAACACGGTAATGTATGCCAGCGAAGGCTCTGCTTACTTATGAAGATCTGCCGCTGCTCTCTTGGACAAAACGGTATTGCCCATATCGACAATCAGCTTCAGAATCTTCTGGTTGGCTGGATCTGGATCCATAGAGGCAGCCTTGAACTTTTCTTGGGATGTACGCTTCGCTTCTAAAGGCCTAGAAGAGGTAGGAAAATCGACCTGAAACCAGAAGGTTCTGTTAGCTGCCTTTTAGGCTTCTGGGAATCCATGATGTAGGAAGGGATTACCAGAAAGAGTTTGCCGAAATTTGTGGGAAGACACAGGCCGAGAGAATTCCCTTTCTGGTCGAGTGCAGAGTCCCACCCAGCCTGCCTCAAAACCTGGAGACCGTGTCGACTTCGGGAGATCAACCCGAGCACAAAGAAAGCAGTTCCCCTCATGGTCAGTACTTCAGCACTCTCTGCTATCTTAACAATATTCTTAATAATGTCCAGCCCCAAGAACGGTGCTCCAAGCTCCATGGAGCCGACGTTGCCCACTGCCCAGAGACAGCCTTTGACTTTGAGGAGAACTTCATGGTCTTCTTCATTTAGTCTAAGATCACGGATTGTTCCAGCAAATTCTTCGAAGTGGCCAGACTGCTCGAGAAGTTTGCAGCCCTCTGCGGTTCGGGCTAGCTCTCTGTAGAAATGTGGAGGCACCAGCCCAATATCTTGTAGATCGACTAGATCTTCAGGAACCAGACTGTTTCTTCGAGGCTGGTCAACATAAGCACGCGACAGAGCTGCCTCGACCAAGCTCACATATGCGTCATTTCGACCAAGGAACCAGTCGTCCATTTCCTGAGTGATGTAGTCCAGTCCATCTAGATAGTGGTACCCAACGGAAGTTGACAAGAACCTCAAAAGCAGAGGAGCGCCAATCTCGCCTAGATGGTCTAAAGATGGTCGGCATCTGACCACAAACTCAAGATAATCCCGCTGATTGCAGGCTTCTTCGAGAATTTTCACAGCCACTTGGCAGACAGAAACATCCGGATCGTATAGTTGAGTTACCAGGAGCTTGATAACCCAATCGGCATTCCCGACTGCCATATGCGAAGAGAGAGGCACATTTCCGACAGCGTATTTCCGGAGCAGTCGTGTACCAAATATACGAATCTCTTTGGAACCAGTTGTCAGAGCTTTTGACAAGAGCACTCGAAGGTGGCTTCCTTGGGTGTAGTCCATATTTCCCAAGAGTGTTTGGATTAGGTCATCTCGATCTCGAAGTTCGATAATATGATAAAACATGTTGAGCATATGCCATCGCTCCATCATAGCAAGCCCCTTGGCATCGGCACTTAATGTCCCCAACATCGCAAAATAGCCTCCGCTCAATGTCGTAGACATCCGATCTCGAGAGAAGACGGGGGACGATGAAGTAAGCCCGCTCATACGGTCCACTTGGGCAAGACACTCCGCAACCTGTCTGAGGAATTTGTTTTCCGCCAGATATTTAATTCCTTCGGGAGTCTGCACGAGGGTGCGCATTAAAGCACAACCTGTGCGGACATAACGTTGATTTGGCTTCGTATTCGAGAGCATGGCGAATCGATATTTGAAAGGCCGATAAAAGCCCATAAGACGTTTCATAAACTTTGAGCCCTTGATCGCCTCATCCAGCCTCTTGGGGTTCGTAAGAGGGCCTTCCACAATACGGTGGATCAGGTCCCACTTCCACTTAATATAGTTGACGGTGTTCAAGACGTGCGTTTCCAGGATTGCATTACGGAATTGCGTTTCGTCCATAGCAGGGCTGAGTTTGTCTTTGTTTTGATCCCCTGACAGAAGTGAAGCAGAAATATCAACATCCGCACTGTATCTTGCAGCTCCATTGGGGAAGCCAAAAGAACGGGCCAATGTTCGGTTAATACTCTCGATTTGGTAGATGGTGGACGTGGATACATCGTGGTTTTCAACATCAAAATGAATAGCGGGGGAAATCAGATGTGGGAGGACTTGGAGTTTTGCACTGATACGCTGGGGCAAGGAATGGTGGGCTAGCTTCAGAACTTCTGTTAAGAGCAGCGTTGCTTTTCTCCTTAGCGAGAGATCTGTTTCCTCCTCGATAAGGTCACAAAGAGCCTATGAGGCGTTAGCATATGATATTACAAGAGCGAATCCTAGTGGGCAAACCTTGGATAATCCCGCGTCTATCAAAGTTGCGAGAATCAGGGTTGAGAAGTGCGCTGTTAGGTCGAACTTGTTTTCACTGTTATCACAGAGACCCCGGATTTGTTTCGTCTCTGACTCTGATCTGAGGTTTGTGACTCTACCATAGGTTGTAAGCCTCCTCCCAGCAAGAAAGGACGAGGACCATGATGGAGGCTTTATTCTCAAGGCATCAAATAAGAGTTCCATAATGAGATCCCTCGCCTGGGGATCTGGGTAATGCAAGGAATCCAAGAGTGATTGTAGAGGCCTTGCTCCATTTCTTCCAAGGATGACCAAGCCGGGCCATGTTTTTAACATCGCAGAAATGGCCTTTGCTGACGATTTTAAGCGCCCATTGCGAACTGTGTCTGAGAGCGAGTCGGTAAACGGCGCGAGTACAGCCTCGAGCTCAGAACCGCCCCGTAAATGGGTTCTGCTGTGCGGCGTATCGAGAACATGGAGGAAGCTGGCTATCAAGCTCTCTGAGGCTCCGAATGTGCCTTCTGCTAAGGCGTCATGTAATGGAGCAAGCCCACCGGCATATGCAATAAGTTGCGGGTCCTTCACTAGAATCTCTGCTAGGGTCATCAGCGAAATGTTCTGGAGACGATCCTCATGGTGCTCGGCAACAGAGACAACCGTCCGTACAACAGCACGGGAAATTTCTTTGACGCCATCCTTGACGTCGAGAAAGGCCCGTACGAATTTCAGCGCTTGCTCTCGTTCGATATTTGCTTTGCTTTCTTTCACCAAAGACAGAATGACGAGCTCATCTGTGTGAAGGGACCGAATGATGCGGAGGGATTTTCGATCCGCAATGGCGTAGCGGGTTAACCGGTAACCAGCGGCGACAACTTCCTTACTATCACTTAAGAGCATGACTTGGACACGCAAGCCGAAAACTGACCAAGCGAGGTCATATTTCAAGGTGGGATGTCGTTTGAACAGCTCGACTAGGCTATTTGCCCGCTCAACGTAGTAGTCCGGTGACATTCCCTCAATTTCCAGGGCCTGGAGAGTCTCTGCGAGGACATAAGTCGGCGATTCCATCTCCGCCTCACCATCCTCCAGCTGCTCACCATCCGACACATTGTGACGAGAAGGCGATCGCATAGCGCTGCCCTGAAACAAGCTCGACAAACGACTTCGCGGAGGGGTGGAGGGCGCCTGCGCACGTAACAATTCCTCCTCGAGTTCGTGATGCAGTTCAGCGAGCTTGCGATTCGACGAACTCAGCTCCGATTCCACCCTTAGTCTCTGATCCTTCGTTTGTTTGGGATTCTTCGCCAGCAAGGCTTCCAGCATATTCTCCGTCCCCGATTTTATCTTCATCTCCTTGGCGATCTTATCACGAATCGCAGCCTGGCGTTCCTCAGTGCCCGAAAGTTCATCATGGTCGAAGGTGCTGCTTGGTCTGCGTGCATATGGGCCATCGGGACGTGGATCGGGGCGCGGGGTGGTACTGCGGGACGACTTCATGCTCTTGAGCTCGGAGCTGAAGCTGCCAGGTCCTCCGAGAGAGGGAGTCAGCGACCCTCCTCGCGGACCAATGGTCGTACTTCCCCCGGACTCTGAGCGAGCGTTCCGCACCGTCGTCCTCGAGGCAGCAGCGGGCCCGGGCCAACTGCCGTCCATGGGGACGTCATCCTGGCTAGAAAGGGACCGCCCATCAGCTAGAGTGCGGTGCTGGATCGACGTCGCGGAGAAAACTGAGTTGTATCCGGACGCCATAGGTCTCCATCTAGCCGCAAGCGAGGCGTGTCTATCACCTGTCGCAAATGAGCTGGGCGATAACGGACTGCATTGAGTTCACGGATATATTCACAAGCGCAATCGGAGATATCGGAAAGGCTGCAGGTAGGATCGATCAAGTTACTCTCGAGTCGTCGCCACGGTTGTTTTGTCAAGGGAGAGGGGTGGTGGTGGTGGAGGAGGAGGAGGTGGTCCACTGGAGGTCGAGGTCGCTGATAGAGTGGGTAACGGTGCTGAGGACGGTGTGTAGTTGAAAGTGGTTTTAAGGAGTTGGCGGGAATTCCAAATAAAATATAACACGAAGATCGGATAAACAAGATCTAAAAACCCACGAAGCAATCAGGTTCATTTAATCATTCCCTCATTGACAGGGCATATCCACTTACTCGCTGCGGGTATCCCACCGTCTGTTGGTTTCAGGCGGCCTCAGCGACTTGGCGCTTTGTCGGCTGACTAACCCTTCGATAGACTCGAGTTTCTGGCGTAACTATACTCTGCTTTTCTTACTTTTTATCCAGGGGTTGACAAAGAAATTTAAATTGACTACAAGGCGCGAAGATTCAGGGAATATTTTTTTTTTTAAAAAAAAAAAAAAAAAAAAAAAGGATTATTGTATGTGAGTGAGCAAGGATCAATCAACCTCTATTAGGGTTCCTTCACGAGTCTCTTAAGTAATATACAACGAAGGATTGCATACAAGAGAATGGCAGGATTATGTAAAGAGATAGGAAAGACATAGACAGGATGTAGACTGACAAAAAAAAATTGAGAAAACAAGAAGGGGGCAGAACAGGAAGCCGCGACAGAACTCCAACAACGCAAAGACCCAACCACACTCCTCGCTAGGGAATAACATTGATAACAATCGTCAAAACGTGTATGACAGTCTTATCATGGCTGCCACGGTTTCTCCTGGGAGAGGTCTACTACATCAAGCCGTTCGGGATCTTGACTCATGGAACTCTCGGCCAGGCTCTTCGTCGATTTGAAGGAAGCCATGGTTTTAAGCGTTTTGGGAGGTAAGGCTTTTCGAGCTTGGACCCGATCCCTCCATCTGCGCCAAGCGATCACGCTGACGTATATAATCCCAACACCACCGCTAATGCCGCCGTAGGAAATCGGGGAAGCAGGAGGGATGTCCGGGTTTTTGCCATATGCGTAGTAGAATCCTACTCCACCGTTGATAATGCCCACGGACGAGAAGATGCGTCCCAGCCAGCGATGGGAGAATCCGTACAAAGATTTTTCTTTTGTCTTTCGGAAGTGGCGGTGTTGCATGATACCTAGAACGGGTTGAATTAAGACCACTCCACCAATTGCGAAGTAGCCAATGATGGGGTGGTAGCCTGCAAGTTCTCGAAGATCCTGGGAGACGGAAATTCCAGCTCCAAGCCCTGCTAATGCAAGAAGAACGGCAAACAGCTGCAGCGGCGCGTGAATCCTCGTAACGGTATACCGGGACGGATATATGTAGAGGAGAAGAGCGAATCCGGGGAATAGAAGGACGAAAGCAACCGAAGTCATAACGCCGTGAGCGATTCGTTTGCGGTGGAGAATCGTATCATTGACTTGCTGTTGATTCGACGTCGAGGTATAGTCAACAACGGTGAAATCCGAGCTCGAGAATGGATTGGACGAGTTGCCACCGACGGCCAGGGTTAGATCAAGGGAGAAGATGCCGTGCCAATCGTGCTGGTAGAGTGTCTCTGATACGTTGCTCGAGAGCAACGGTCCACCATGTGTCATGGCCCAGATCCAGGAACTACGGCTGCCGAAGATGCTGTCTCCATTTCTCAATTTCATACAATTGTCACAGCGAATGTTTGCTGTCATGGTTCCATTGTGGACACCGGACCCGTCGAGAAGCGAGGCCTTGATATCCGGATCATAGATAGGTTGAATGGGACCGATTGCCCTCCGCGTAGATAGGGTAATGTTCCCGCCCGGTGCGGCATACACAATAAACAAGTTTCCAGCCAACATCCTATCTCCAGTGCCTAGAGCCATCCATTTGAAATCCCCGGGCCCTTTCAGCTGGAGATAGATTGGCCCACTGCCATTCACTGCCGTGTCATCGGGGATATTGACGCGGTAAGATACCCCAGTTCCATGGGAAGGAGTGTAATTGATAATTTGGCCGAGCGTGCAGGTCACTATACGGAGGATAAGTACGCATCACCGGTTGAAGTTCGAGCATCTTACTTACCCAGCCCCAAAATGCCCACCACGAAGGACCAGAGCCGCATTGTGGAGGGCTTTCAAAAGTTCTAGTGTTTAGAACCGGTGGAGAAGTTTAGATTCGAACTATTGGGAAGATTGAGAAGAAAAAAAAAAAAAAAAAAAAGAAAGGCAGAAAACCGTAGAAAGTCGAAAGCGAGAGGTTAGATACTGGAGCAAGGAAAGTTGACGGAAAAGAAGGTCAAGGTAATGAAAAGAAAAGAAAAGGAAAGGAAAGGAAAGGAAATTGGCAGAATGAATGTTCTGAAGCAAACGCTCTGAAATGAATGGAAGACCAGGAAATTTCACTCTAGTTCTGGTGAATATTTCCTAGGGACAGTGGGATGGGTCTGCTTCTGTTGCAGGGATTCATAGACTGGAGACCAGGGGAGAAGACATCATTCCTATCTCTCCAGTCAGCAAGGGTATCTTGATGGATTTCCCACGTATGCATCGTGGCAGGCGTTTCGAAAGAGCTGAGGATCCAGTGAGTGAGCAACCCGCACAGGATCTGGCGGGGCCGTATTCGGAACAGAAGGGAAGTGGATGGCTGAGGTAGATGGAATACGAGTAGATTTGAGAGAAGGAAGAAAGCAAGAAAGAAGAAGAAGAAGTAGAATGGAAAGGGTAGATCATACTTATTAGTTCAGATGTAAGGTAAAGAAAAGTCAGTTGTCAAATCCTCGCGGGAAGGCCCATAATGTAGCTAGCCTTCAAATGCCATGCAGATCTACCACATGGGAGACCCAACGAGGAGAGAGGAGGCAGGAGACCCGTTAAGGATCTTCAGACGTCTCGAGAAAAGAGAGAGAGAGAGAGAGAGAAAAAAAAGAAAGAAAGAAAGATCAAGTCAAAGTTTCAATTGCAGAAGAAAGAAAAGTCAACGGAAGCCCCAAATGACAGGCAGGCAGATCGCAGGCCCAACAGGCGTTATGATAGAGAAGATAAACCGCTAATCGTCCGTCTGTAAATAAGTTATCTAAAGTAGTATGAAAGTCAAAGACAGCACGGTTAGATTCAACGAAAAAAGAGAAGATCGACCTCAGAGGAAAAGAAAGTGGGCGATTGTCAGATAGATATCAGTTCTTCCACAAGATCCGTATGGAGATACTGCTAGGAAGCGGTACCTTTCTTTTTCTTTTTTTTCTTTCTCTTTTTTTTTTCCTACGTGTAATATAATTCTGTCCGATTATTCTGGGGCCCTGGGCACGGTTAGACATTAGTTAGATATAGTGTGAAAGTTCTTCTCTCTGGAAAGACTAAAATAGCCTCCAGGAGACAACTCAAAAGAGCAAAAAAGGAGATAAATTTTTGGGTGACCACTTGGTCTGTGCTGGATTTGGTCCTTTGCAATATCCTACTAGTTACTTACTCTGTCCTACTAATAGTCTAATACTAGTTAACTAGTAGCTTGCTCTTTCGATCGATTATGATTTCCGAGGGTCTGTGTTTCCAGTCCCTGGAATGTGTTCAAGCCGTTGGATACTCGGAAATCGGTACATACGAGAGCACTCCGTACACAAATACCTCCTAGGTGGGTCATCCTTTTTTTTTTCTCTGTCAAATTTCATTGCTTTTTCCTTCTTCATCTTCAAAATCCGGATTGATCCTGTCAATATCAGATTACTATTACTATTATTATATAACCTTCCGTGCTTGTGGATCATCAGGTAGATAGATGTTGTAGTACTACCTAGGTACTCGGTATTTAGTTACCGGTAGACGAACGATGGATTTGTCACCACCCAAATGCAAGGAAGAGGGTTTGTTGCCTCTCTACGGAGTAGTTACGGAGTAGACTCTGCTTAATGTTCTGAACTTCTGCATTCGGATGGACCCTGTTTAGCTGCGCTCCGCCACAGCTGACCTGCATGAGCTTGGATCAATCAAGATGTATGTTGGACCACTCGGCTGATGGCGGCCTCTTTTTTTTTTTTCACTTCCAATTGACCAGTATGATTTATTTATCACGAACGGAGACTCAACTTCCGAAACCTTGGAACACTGGTTATGCATGGATCCCAGATCAATCCCAAAAGTTGAACAGTCGACGATAAATGAAAGGAAAAAGGGGTCCCTGCTCAAAGGATTCTTTAAAGCCCTATCTTCGGTAGTACGTACATAGGGTTATGTATGTATGGGGGATATCCGTATCGTATCTATAGATGCCATCTGGCAGACGGGATCATTTTGTCGCACTCTAGAGTCTAATCCAGCCAAACAGCAGCATCGATTCTTCCGGAATGCGATCCCGCGGACTTGTGAAACGGAGCCGGGAGAGAGAGGGAGAGAGAGAGAGAGAGAGAGATTCATCTGAGACCTGCCTAGGTACTGTCCTAGCCGGTGGCGTCTGGGATTCTTGCTGGCTCATTCTTTAGTGTCCCCCGCCTCATGTTTTATTCTTAGCAAGAAAAAGGAACTGAAGAAGCCCTCGTTATTGACTCCGAGACTCGTCTCCTGACTCGGCGCCAAACTCGACTGGGAAGATCGCGAGTTACCAGAAACGGATAGAGCTCGGCCCAGACAGCAGAAAAAAAGTCCGTCTTTCTCTTGATAAGTACATAACTATGTAGGCTATGATTCGCACTAACTAACGGGCTCCCTAGTTAATATATGCCGAAAGCTTACCGGAGTTGTCCATAGTTAGTTAACTTGGGTGGTTTAGTAACTACTCCGTACCTAAGTCTAGGAATATACCAGGCAATAATATAATCATCACAATCAGAATAGTGGCATATATCGTATACTTTTGGGTACCTTTCAAATGAGCGTTTCTTGTGGATTGTATCTTAAAACTACAAAACTACTACTAACTAGGTCCGTAGCTAGCGTTCACGTTTAATATACAGTACGAGAGCTCCCTCCAGATATAGGTACGAGTACACCCACATCAGCCCTAGCAGTACGTACCGTACCACGTAATCGCCGCCTAGTCTCATTCCGGCTCTCCGGTTCAATCTCATTACAGTAGATCACGCGTTCTCGTTGCTGGTCTTTTCCAGAATCGTCTTCATCATCTCGTTTCCAAGGTCAGCGGCATCGGAGAATCGAGGTGCAAAGTACTGTTGGATCCGTTCAAAGCGATCTCTGTACGATTCAAAATCTCCGAACGAAACGCAGTCGGACCATGCCTAAAAAGAAGAATGATGTCAGCGGTTTTGAATCTATACCAATACCCCCCCCCCCCTTGCATAGGAGGGATGTGGAGAAGGAAAGCGTTCCTTCTGACCAGGTGTGGGTTGGCACTTACCCTAGCGGCAAAAGTAAATTCTAGATCGTCTGAGCGAAATGTGTTATCGTCAATCGCCGTATCTAGCGCTTCGTCCAAGAGGTCTGGGTTTCGGAATAGGTACTCTGTGACTCCAAGCCACAATCGGAAGAGCTATAGATACCCCCAGTTAGCCTAATTGCCCCAGATATATGACATAGCATGACATGACATGACACAACGGCGTTCGTTTGGAAGGACGGCAGCCGGTCTCTTAAGTTTACTCAATCTGGAAAATGAAGGTAGCGCAAAGGGGAGGGAAAGAGAGAGAAAATAAGACAAAACAAACCAACACAAAATAAACAAATGAACGTACTGGAGTAGAGCAAATCATATGGTCATAGGGCACGATGCCAAGTTTCGACCAACAGTCAACAATGGCCAACAGACTCAGGTGATTGTTGGGAGGGGATGCTTCGCGAGGTCCCTTGGACAGTGAGAACCGGTCTAGCACCTCATCCCTAAGCAACAGGTCCTGTTTCTTGGTGTCTTCTCGGAAGACCGCGGCCCCTGCAGCCCTCACCCGCTTCTTCAGTTCCTCCCTTCGTCCCTCGATCATGAGTTTGTAAAGCTCCGTCACGGACTCGGCGTACTGTCGAATCTGTTCCTTGGCGGCTGGGTTGAGGATCGCAAGGCCCGCATAGACGTGCCATTTGTTAGAGTAGATGCGCAAGGTAATGTTAATCTTGACATTCTCAATTCCTCCTACCCAGCGAGAGATTTCCCACGGGAATTGCCTATTCGCATGCCATGCAGTGCCCATGCTCAGGAACGCCGCATGTGTAACGGCCTGCGTGTCTGCTGTGATACGATCATGCATCTCACCGCTGAGGTAGACATACTTGGAATTAAAACACGAGAGGACCTGCGCAACGAACTGGAGGCTTTCGTCCTTTGCACGATGTTGGATCAAGACCTAATTGAGCTAACGGTTATCCTATAGTTCCTTGTCCTCGTGGGTAGATGGGATTTTTCTTTTCCTTTTTTTTTTTTTTTTGTTGTTGGGGACATACCAACGGTTGGCCTTTGGGATTCACCTGAGGACCATGGAGGGAATGGCAGGATACAATATCTACATCCAGGGGGAGATGTTTATCAAAGGCAGCCAGCTCGGGGGCTTTGCAGGAGGTTTGGCCGCCGACAATTGCGCCAACTTTGGTAGCTTTTTTTTTTTTTTGCACAGGTTAGACATGCGACGGAAGGAGCGGTATCCTTAGGCTGATAAAGCTGCACATACATGGCCCATACTCTGCGACTACCCGGTCGATGACTCCGGCCTCTACGCTGTATATGATGAAATCGCTAATCCTGGAAACAAGGTGTCCATTCGGGTATATTGTTATACCTTTCTATATACAATAATGAGTTTAAGGGACAGACAGCGTGAGCTGTGAGCCAAAGACGTACTTGGGTCTCGAATTCTTTCTTCAATTGATTATAGCTATCGGGTTTGTCACAAGCATTAATCCTTTGGGAGGTTAGTAAATATCATTATATGAGAATAGAAGGTATCAATCAGGATCCTATTGGTAGACTAGTTAGCACGAGACCCAAGAAGAAAAAAATATGGGAAATCATGTAACAGAAGCAAAACAATTCAGACAAAAAAGTAAGGTAGCGTGGTTTTTACATCATTGACAACTTGCCGGGTCACCATCATGCCAGAAAGGCGTCGACAGATCACCGGCAAGTCATACTCGAGCCAAATGCACTCTAGTCATCATGCAAACAATGGGGTAAAGGGTAAAGGGGGGAAACACAAAAGCTTACCTCTGAAGAGAAGATTTGTGGACGACAACGGATAGCCCTGGAATAGACAGGAAACTGTGAGTATTACCTCCAGCCAGCATCGCTCAACCGCTGGGCATACATCTTGCCCATATCTCCCATTCCAATGATGCCAATGGAGGCGGTCTCCTTGGTAAAACCCATCCTGATTGTAAGCAAGCGAAGGAAATCTTCCCTCCTCGAAACAGATAAAATATTACAATGTCTGGTGGAACACTCTTCTCAAAGACCGAACCATCACACCGGGTGACGCTGTCGAGCCTGGTTTTTCGAAGAACTGGGTACAGAAAAACCCAACACAAGGAAGATGAAACGAAGACTGTGTGAGTCTTCGCTGCGGAAAATTTAAATACTTGCCGAAAAACGGTTTTCTCACCGCCTTCGGTCCGACTGTTCCTCCGACAGTCTCCACTACTCTTGCCTCAGGCAGTTTCTTTTCTCGCTTGACAGTCATCTAGCCAATCAAACCCCGCCAATCCCTGGTAGGGCACACATCCGCCAACTCCACCACAGATTTTCTGCTATCCTCAAGGTACAGCGGACGCCGCAAACTTCTGTTTCTTCCTCTTCATATTCCATCCATCCAACCACCAGCAAGTCAACAAAATGCCTCCCAAGAAGACCGCCCCTGCCGCTAAGGAGAACGTCTCTCTCGGCCCTCTGGCCGGAGATGGTGAGCACCTTTGATTTTTTTTTTTATACTGTGATTATTGAAACTAAGTGTGTTATCTAGGCAAGCTCGTTTTCGGTGTTGCCCGTATCTTTGCCTCTTTCAACGATACCTTCGTCCACGTTACCGATCTTTCGTTCGTCTTTCTCTCTCTCTCTCTCTCTCTCTCTCTCTCTCTCTGTATATCGTACAGTTGGGATAAGTCATACTGATAGTTAATATAGCGGTCGCGAAACCATCTGCCGTGTCACCGGTGGTATGAAGGTCAAGGCTGACCGTGACGAGTCCTCCCCCTACGCTGCTATGTTGGCTGCTCAGGACGTTGCCACTCGCTGCAAGGAGCTTGGCATCAACGCTCTGCACATCAAGATCCGTGCCACTGGTGGTATGTACCTTTCCAGCTCAGTCCCAATCCCAATCGCTAGCGCTAGCGCAATCGCAATCGCAAATTATACATATATATATATGTATATATATATATGCAGAAAGCTAATAACATCAAATAGGTAACGGTACCAAGACCCCCGGTCCCGGTGCCCAGTCTGCCCTCCGTGCCCTTGCCCGTTCCGGTATGCGCATTGGCAGAATCGAGGACGTCACCCCCACCCCCTCCGACTCTACTCGTCGCAAGGGTGGTCGCCGTGGTCGTCGTCTGTAGGTATGTGCGGGCTTGTTGGACCTTTTGTTCTCAACTTTTGCAGGCAAGCCTCTTTACGAGATTTTTACTGTATCTGTCTTGGGAATAACTAAGGTCCTGGCAACGCGGCATTACCTGCTGATGTGATGTGGATGGAATAAACGCGGAGAACGGCATTTATCGCCTGGTCTTCAATTTTTTTCATGTCCAATATGATTAAAACAGTTATGAATGTGGTTTTGGTTGGGTAGATTGCTGCTTAGGTAGATTAATATACTCAACTGGACTATTATATATATTTTTTTTGTCTCCCTGCCTTTTCGTTGCGTAGATATATTTCTTCCTCGTCTACTCGAATTCGACATCATATATTGTAAACACATAGATTTTCAATTAGGACCAGACATCTAATTCCTGTGAATCAAAGCATGAAGTAACTTAAGTACGAAGGTACTTAGCTTGCATATACGGAGTATTAAATGCTAGTTAAGTTGACGTCAGATCTCCCCAACTGGTCATCCAAATTTCTCTTCTCCCCCCCCCCCCCTCTTCCCTTCTTCACGAACCAGCTCAGATATTCGTTCTCCTTACCAAACAACACAAATCAACGATTCCTACCGATTCCTCTCATATCGAGTGCATTCAAACTTAATGCGACTCCATACAATCCTCTTCTTCAAACGCCAATAACCCACCCACCAATCTAAGAATCTCAAACCAGGAAACAAACAACCCTTAACAGAAAAAAAAAAAAAAAAAAAAATCATCTGAAGCAAAAACGAAAACAGAAAAAGAAAGGAAGGAAAGATGCTCCTCCCTCCACCGCCAACCCTCCTCCTCCCAAACCTCCCCCCGAAAACCCTCGTCGGAATGGACCTGATCGCGTTTACATCGACCCCGAACTTCCACGGCATCCGCGACATACCCCCCGGGTGGCATTTCGTATATACCGGAGCGACGGAGGTTCTCTCACTTCGGTGCGGGGGGTGGTTTTATGTTTCCGGAACCGATCATCCCGATCACACACTTAGCGATTCGAGAGTGGTTACGATTTCTACTGCAGGGGTAGCTGGGAATGAGCCCGAGATACGCATCTGGCGCTGGAACCCACAAACCGAGACTCTGGAGCCTTTGTCCTCAGCCGAAAAAGAGCAGCATGAGGCGATGCGGTATAAAGCGAATCTGGGGAGAGTGTGGCAGAGCGGGGGGTTATTCGGGTATCGGAGTCGGGTTCCGAGAGGTTTCATGCGGAGAAGTAATGCTAGGGATGGCACTGATACTAACACTGGTACTGGCGGCCCAAGCGAGGGTGTTGAAGAAGAGGAAGAAGATGAACAAGAACAAGGAAGAAGGGATTGGAACGCACTCACGGATCGATTCTCAGGTCAACTATTAACGAGGGTCACAGGGGAGCCGAAGCTTGATTGTGATGGGCGCCCCCGGTGGGTTGTGACCTCTGCATCGACGGCGAAGAGAGATAGTGATGATATACCTGGTCTGGGGCCTGGAGGGGGGCTTACAAGTGGTGAGTCCCGTTCTGATGCAGGTGCTGGCACGGGCACAGGCACAGATACAGAGGGAGAAGTCGAAATGGGAAAAGATCAAGAGAACGAATTCTCGTTTCTCCCTGTTGATTTGAAAATGACATGGCGGGAGGGTGCAATCGGGCGTGAGAGGACAGAAGCAGCGCGTGACCGCTCATGGGCTTTGGGTGATATAATTCATCGGGTTTCTTTACTCCACCCCGGCTCGGACGAAAGCAGTTCAAATAACGGAGAGAGCCAAGTACTCGGAGAACTTCAGTTCACGTTCCTGATGGGGTTGACTTTGATGAACTACTCGTGTCTGCAGCAGTGGAAGCGGCTTCTGAGATTGATATTGACCTGTCGAAGGGCGATTGTGGAGCGGGAAACGTTCATGCGGGACGTTCTGAGGCTATTGTTACTGCAACTAAAGCGGTGCGATGATATTGAAGGTGGATTTTTTGATCTGGACGGCGAAGAAGGAGGGGAGTTTCTGCGGAAGTTGTTGAAAGGTTTCCGCGGGGCGCTTTACGAGGTTCTCGCGGATGGGATGGAGTCGCCTGTGAAGGCTGAGTTTGATCGGCTCGAAACTTGGGTGAAAAATGAATATGATTGGGAACTTGATCGAGAGGCTGTAGTTCGCAGGGGAATGCTTCAGTTAGAGGATGGGGAGCAGGTGGAAATAGATATGAACGAGGACGATGAAGATGATGAGACGGGGGAGTATGCACCCGTCATAGTTGATTTGGGGGACCAGAGCCACAATTCACAGTGATAACTGAGACTGCAAAAAAGCCTGGAATTAATTGTTAAGCATGACATGTATTAACTAACTAACCGTCAACATATACCCAATTTCGTTTGAACCAAATGTATCTAATTCTCAATAATAATAATCTACCATTAGTATACTATGTATAGTCTGAACGTATAAGACGGCCACCAAGGGTCAACCCGGCCCACCTCTAATTTGACTTTTTTTTTTTTTCTTCTATATTTATTTTTGGCTCTCATTCTCAATGAGATACGACCATTCGTGGTTCTCCTGGCCGTCCTTGCCAAACATGATAGCCTCCAGCCATGACTTGATCTGCGCGGCGTATCCAGCACGCTTCGCACCGGCCTCAAGCATGTTCATATCCAGAGAGCCTTCCCTGATCAGCTTCACAGGAGTAACAAAGTACTGCACTTGTTAGCATGTCTGGATTGATTTATATTTTTGGGGGGGGGGGGGGGCAACTTACAGCAGTGCCGCAAACAAAAGCCTCAACGATCCGACCCTCTCTCCAAGCCTGCTCAATATCCCGAATAGTAAATGCCCTTTCCACAACCTCCAGAGCACCAAGGTTACCCAAAGGCTGAGCTAGCCGTGTACGAGCCAACTCTAATACACTGCGACGAGTCACACCGGGGAGAATCAACTGGGTCTCCAGAGGTGCGGTGACAAGCTCCCGCTTGCCGGTTTCTTGATTCTCCCAGATAATAAAGAAGTTACTGGCTCCGGCCTCGGTGACCTGGCGATCTTCTCCGAAGAGCCAGAGGACCTGGTCGAAACCCACAGCCTGGGCCTTTCCATGAGCAACCAGGGAAGGTCCGTAGTTAGCTCCCAGCTTAGCATATCCGAAGCCGCCAGGCCAGGCGCGAATAGAATCCGGCGAGGACGAGAGGAGCTTGAGACCGGGCTGTGCGTCACCTTCCGTCTTCTTGAGATTAGATGGGTCAGGCCAGGGGACGGCGATGATGAACAGAAGGGCCTCCTTGGGAGTTTGGACGCCCAGATGGGGACCGTTACCGATCACTGTGGGACGGAGGTAGAGGAATCGGCCGGGTTGGTCCTTGGGAAGCCAGCCTGTATCGAGCCACGTTAGTGATAAAAACGACCCCTCGAGAATTTACAACAAAGGGGGGCGCTACATACGGGGACCATCGATCTGCATCAACTTCGCAATAAGACGCTTGAGCTCCTCAAACCGGAAGCCAGGCAAAGAGGCACGGGTTGCGCTGTTGGCCAGACGTTCACCGTTGCAGTCTGGACGGAAGAGACGCAGCTTGCCGTCAAAGCCACGGTAGACCTTCATACCCTCGAAGCATTCCGTGGCATAGTGTAGGCAGGATGCTGTAGGGGGGATGCTGAGGTTCTGGAAGGGCTTCACCTCGGGAGTCTCCCAGCCATTGGCAACTGTCCATCGAACAGTGACCATATGGTCAGTGCAGTAGGAATGGCTCAGCTCTTCAGGAGAGCCAGGCAGAGGGACCTCCCTAAGGTTGGTCGATCGAGTGACCTTGACCACGGAAGCGTCGAGCTCAGCCAGAGTCGGAGCAATGGAGCCCATTGTGAATAATAGTGAGATGTGAGGAGTTTTGAGTTGAGGTATTCTGGAGTGGAGAGTTTCTACCAGTTCGTATCGAACGGGAAGGAGGTAAGACCGACTTTGGGACCAAGGTGCAAGATATATATATATATATATGTCAACACCCAAACCCCACCGACTAGTTGAAGGCGTTACAGAAGTAATTCATGCAATTGCAGCGAAAAGGAAGCCAGTGCAGCCAGAGTAAATGTATGAATCCCGATGAGTCACGATAAGATAGCGGGATCGATGTGACTACTGGCACGAAGTATACGTAAGTATGCACTGAACCTGGCCTGATGCAGCATGGGGATTCTCACCAAAGCAGGGAAAAGAAATTATTCTGAGGAATTGATAAGTCCTTGGACTCAATCCCGAAGCGTTTCTTTGCATTTATGTTATCATTATTGTTCCCCCGTGGTTGAGGGGCAAAATTAGTTTTTTTTCTCTCTTGGTCCGGCCCGAGAAATTTCCAAGGCTTTCGCCATCAATATCCGATCATCCTACAATCAGGATCAAAGGGGATTCTTCTTCCTGGAAGTGACTAACACACAGGAAACCGGTTGATAGGCTCATTCCCATTGTTCTGTGCCACTTTTTCTTGTTTATTCGGTCCCGTCAATATCTCCCAAATGCCCCAAATCTCCACTGCTCTCTCGCTTTGCCCCTCGTCTGGCCGATGCTAACCGACCGTCTTAGCTGAAGGTCGAATTAGAGAGCTGGAGGAAGTATAGAAAGGATGATATCTGAATGAGTGCTGGCCCTGAAATACAGCCATTTTGAAGTGGCTTCAGGTTAACCCTTGGTCGTGGTACTTAGTCCATCTGTCAGTGAGTTCGAAATCAACTCAAATTGGTTGACTATCCACCAAACCAACTCTGATCGACTCAAGGCCAGTCCTGTCTGTGAAGAAAGGGGGTGGTAGGGGGGGGGATAAAGAGAAGAAAAGAATAGAAAAAAGAGGAAGAAATAAAGAAGAGGAAGAAGAACATTAAGAATAAGATCCAGGTTTATCAGATTGTCACAGTTTCAATGTTGTGTTTCATTGTTGTCATGTTTTGTCACATTTTGTCACGTTTCTCTATGTACATAACTAGTAGGTTACTTTAATAAAAACAACCAATCTTCCACCACCTTTTTCCCTAACAGCAACCCATGCTATACAGATCCTTTCCATTAAAGTAATGAACTAGACTAGCCCTAAGTCTAAGCCTACCTCCTTGTCTACCTACGACAAAATCTAAGCCTCCGTGTTGGTTTGCTCATTATCTGATCTCGCAATCTGTTCAATCAGCTTAGCCAGCCAGCTGAGTTTGACCTGTCTTTCGGCTGGCTGCACATGTAGCGATCTGTGACTCTCTGCGAATCAGTCAAGAGCCTCGGTAAAAAAAAAAGAAAAGAAAAGAAAAGAAAAGAGAGAAGGATTTCCGAGGCATACTCCGAGGATTGCCTTGCCACCAGTGAGACATGCCCCTGTGATGCACAACTACTCTGTGCGCTAAGACTCCTAAACAAGACGGAAAAGGTTCCCGCGCGAGTATGGATCATCTAATTGTTGGAATATTGCAGCATGGCAGTCACATGTTATAAATTGGCCATGTGTGGCTACTGCCGCTAATCAGGATCGGTATGAAGTTAGGCAGGATAAAGACGAAGAACTTGATATCAACCTCAGGGTTAAATCACCTTAACTGGCTGGTTAAATCTTCCGCCCATTACTTTCCCTTATGTTAGTTATTGGGCGGAAATGTTACAGACTTTTGGGGGGGAAGGGGGACAGAACCCGCTTCGCCGGGACATCATAATGGATGGGTGTTGCATGTTAAAGTATTCGATTTCTTTCCGCAAGCCTCCTTGGACTAGACGGATGTCTTTCGTGAGATGCTCCTGGTCCATACCTCTGTTCTTATATAATAATGCCTCTCATTGCTCGTCTTCTAAACTCTCCTATATAGTGTTAGGGAGCGAAAGCGAAAGCAAAAGCATAGCAGGAACACCCTTGCACTTTCAAAGCTCATATAAAAGCTTTAAAGTCGGCATACTGATATGAAGGATCCAGCTTCGTATGTGGTTGAAATGGGAAGGTACTACCTATCTGGAATTTTCCATCAATAAGAGTAGTTCATATGAACAGGGTCCTGTAACCCTGCCGACATAGAAGCAATGCGGCCCCTGTGAATTGTGCTGTATGGATATACCATGTTCAATATTCATGCTCTTCCAAGCCGGACTGGGAAATTTCTGAAAAAAAAAAAATGATTAGCGGTTCATCAATCTGATAGGCTTAGTAGGTGTATGCTCATCCGCTTTCGCACCTATAGGCAATATCATCCTCCCCAGAAGAGCTGGATAATATCTGGATGGCAAGTATATTTACTCTCCTAGATACATTTTCCATATTCGCGGGGCTGTTACAACAGCAGAGAGTCCTTTGCCAGTCATTCATGATGAGTAGGTGTCCCTCGTGTTGACGTAGTGAGTTCCCTGAATTTTTATTCTATATTTTTGTCTTTTTAAGATCTTGCTGCCTTTCCACCGCCCTCTGCGATGGCCTCTGCATGCCTTTGTAATACACGCGGTTCGTATTTCCTATTCCGAGGATTTCTCAACCCTGGTCATCTATCCCGCGTGTTTACCTCCGTTTCACGGGAGCAGGCTCCCCTGGAAGGGAGCCTTTTAATTCTGCAAAAGTCAACATTGGTCATCATAAGGAATTTTAGAGAAAAGTGGCCATACTCGGTGCTCACGAGCTCCCCTGACGCGATCTAGACCAAAGCCTCTTGAGGAGCCCAATGTGCCTGAAAATACTCAGCCTCCAGCCGATAACCTCTGGCATCAACCCTCACAGATTCCCCCCTTTCAACCGAACAGTGATATGAGGTTTGATAAAATATAACTGGGACAATTGTTTCCCTCGCGATATCTCATTTCGTTGTCCAGGCTGCCCACGAGAAGCATGGCTTCTAATGGACGGGATAGACAACTACCTACGATCGCCCCTGGGCCCGGGCTTATATCGACACATCGGCCGATGCCCAGGAAGACAAAAAGCTCAAGCGCCTGCTTGTCATGTAGACAAGCGAAAAGAAAGGTAAGATGTTTGGAATCAGCTCGTTCTTCAACCTTAACCTGCCAGTTGGGAGAGGCAAAGACCCTGCCTGGTCAACCACAGAGCAGTTCCGAGTTTTGTTGCCGAATTTCTTCAATTCTCCAGTTGTATGAGTTAGCTAATCTTTTTTTTCTTTCCGTCCGATTATAGTGTACTGGACGTCCGGCGCCTTGTCACGCATGCCAGAACGTGGGAGGTGATTGTGTCTTCGATGAGACACTCGATCTGCGGCGCAAAGTCGCCGCGAAAAGAACCCTCGGAGAAATGGAATACTACCGGGGTTTGCTGTTTTCCCTCTTAGAGTCGCTTCGAACGTCGGACGAGGAAAGGATGCATCATGTCTTGGAAGCTATACGGGGGAGTGATGATCTGAATGATATTGCTACCGCACTTGAGGCCCTTCCCGTCGAGCCAAGTGACACAAGCTTGGAATACCCTAGAAGCATAGTAAGTGTGGAAGAGAACAACGTTCTACAGGGACCTTTGGTGATCGATCAGCGATCTAGAATAACGGTGGAAAAACTTTGTGATAATCCTTTGTTTCAAGTGCCGGCGAGACCATGGACCACCGTGACGGACGACAATCATCTCGTTTCACATCTGATATCTCTGTACTTTGTATGGGATCACCCAACCATACAGGTGATAGACCAGGAGAGGTTCTTGAGGGATATGGCCAGCAAAAACACAAGCTCCAAATTTTGCACCCCTGTCCTCGTAAATAGTATTCTAGCTGTGGCGAGTGTATGACCATGCTTCTACCTTAATGTCTATTTCGGTCGATAACTTCTTCTGACTATGATAAGACATACTCCGATTTTCCTGAGGTGTTTGGCGTCCCTGACGATATAGCCTCTCGAGGGCAACATTTTTTTATGGAGGCGGAAAGATTGTGGCAAGCACAAGAGGGCCGGCCCTCGTTGGCAAATATCCAAGCTGTAGCCCTCATGAGCCACAGGTAAGTCATTGCAGAGGCTCTGGCGACTAGGCTTGGACCCTGGCCACGCAGCTAATAAACCAAAGTCTAAAGCTCCACGGCAAAGATGATATCAGCTGGCTTATGCTTAGGCAGGCCGTGCAACTCGGGCAGGATTTCGGCATGTTCAAAGCCCCCAGAACAAGGCATCATGAATGGGATCAAATGCCGGAAAATGTGCGGCGTATTTGCACATCGACTGCTTGGGGAGTATTTATTCTAAACTCGTAGGGTGCCCAATGACACAAGCAGCTGGCCTTTATTAACTGGTTCAGCAGGACAATATCTATGGATTCTCAAAAGACGACAAATCTTGAATTCCCTAGGTCAAGTCTCGATCCAATGAATGACCGCGAGGAAGATTCCATTTGGACTCCATACCCTCAAACAAATCATGAACACTATGCTAGAAAGCCATCACTTGTCGGGTATGCCATGGTTAGATTGGCCAATCTAACAGAAACCATTGTGGATATCCAGAACCTATTGTTTGACAAGGCTTTGGATATTAGCATGAACGAGGTGTGGGCAAAAGCAATCCAGTTGCACGCCCGCCTCGAAGCGTTCCTAGAGAGCCTACCAGATACCACCGTTCTTGGTATTCCACCTGTCCCGCATGTTCTCTTCCTATAGTAAGGACCCGGGGACGTCACAAATTTTGGCGAAAATTCTTAACCATGAGCTGCAGCATCAGGTGCTACCAGATATCGATCGCGCTATTTGGGTTCTTTCTCGAGAAACAAGACCTCGATTGTTTGTTAGGCCCATCGAAGGTAAAAAAAGCCAGATGGAACCAAGTTCTCGCCGCAAAACAAATAGCTCGATACCTCCGATTACATCGTGAAAATTTTGGGTTCCGACAAACACCAGGCACTATGCTTGGTCCTGCAAACAGCAGTGCTTTCGTGTTAGTCCGGTGTCTGTCTGACAAGGACTCGATCGATGCCTTCGTTGAGTTGTATCGGTTCATAGTTTCGTTCGGTAGACGGTTCCTTCCGGCCAAAGAGACGATTTGCAAAATCAATACGATTATTCGTAACTCAGAGTTCAAGCTGCCGTTCGAGATCGTTGGGGTTCTTTCCCAGGGAGAATCCGAATGCTCGTAGTGGTCATTCTTTATGAATCTGAAACTATTGAGAGTGAATATGTAGCTAATCGGCAAAAAAATTGTCAACGAGGCGAAGCACTTTCGTTCAACCATCCTAGCATATTTTTCAACGCTTGGGTTGTGGTGGGAGAGGGCCGGGGTCCAAGGAAGGTACGTTTAACAACGTTCTGAGAGAATGGGAGGGTTGAGAGCCATTCTGGGATAAGAGTGTTGTCGCAGCATCAGCAACAATCATGAAAGAAAGAGTCCAGTCGGATAGCTGAATAGAGACAGAGGGTGCTCGTCGGCTACTCACCTTTCGAGAGTCGAAGGCATCAAGGGTCGATGACAGAAGATAGGCCTGAGCTGAAACCTTAAGAATCTGTGGTGAATGATTGCAAGTTCCCGTGACGCACCTAGGTAGCACGTTACTGCTCCAAAGAGGCTCTCCTTTCTCAGGCAGGTGGTGGTTTAGGGACTGAGTCGACATGAAGAAGTTGGGACGAAGGATCGTTACCCAAATACGCGCTCCAAAGTCTTGTGCGGCCCGCCTGTCCCAGCCGTTTCCTTTTGTCGCACCATTCAGAAGGACGGAATCTCAAGATTTGAGGGGGCATGGTCCTCTAAGTTGCTGCTATTAGGTGCTTCTCCGGTTTGAAATGCCAACATCATAGATTGATCATCATTCCAGTTTTCCATCCTTTAGATTGAAGGAAGGCCGTCGCGGATATGACTTCCAGGCCACCTGACAGACCAACCCAGGGTTCACCATATACTAGTCAAAGAAATCCACATCATTCTTATGATGAGCAGTTGAGAGGCAAGCACATTAATGTATAACATAGTATTACTGTCCATTTTTATCACAGGGTAAAAAGAGAGACTCACGACGAGGTCGGTAGCATGTTACTCCCCCTTCCTCCACCCCAAAGCCATTGTCAAGCTACATGCTTGTTTTGCGGCACAGGAACCTCAAATTCGGTGTTAAGAGGCCCATTCTTACGCCAGAAAGGTTTCCCTTCATTCTCTGTCCTTGGGACTATGGGATCCGCAATAACAGAGAGCACTGAACCGCCTCCCCGAGACTTTTAGCTGGGCTGACTCTATGATACGAGTCAATATTCTGTATCATGCTTGTATCCTGGCCGTCTAGAAATATCTATTAGGACTAAGTACTAAGTACTAGTAGTAGTACTGAAGTTAACGTAATTTCTGACCAGACACTAAGTAGCTACTAGTACTTAACCTAGTATGTTATTTAGATAGATATATAGTAGTTCAGCCTTTTTTTTTTGACTTATTAGAAGTTTAAACGTACAAAATATAAAGGCGTAATAAAGTTGAATTATATTGTATTGATTTGTCTTGGTAAGGTGTGTATTATTAACTATACATTACTGTAATTTATTACGCATGTGTAGAGATTCCTTATATAGAGCTCTTTCCTGTTCCTGGCTTTACTTGTTTATTATAAGCACTTTAGCTCCTCCGAACCCTACCTATATATTTGATTAACAGGGTGGTGGGAAAATCAGATCAGGCACAATCATAGGATATATTGTTTCTCGATTCTTGTGTAGTTCTATTTCTCGATTTATCAACCTTTCAGTGGAACCCTAGATTTTTGATTAATACATCAAGAGATATTAGAGGTGTTAGTCTTATCCAATGCATGAATATTGTGGTGAAATGCTTTGTTAGGGTCCTGAGGTGTCAATTACACAACGGGTATAGCTGACTCAGTATTAACATTATTTATGCACAGATAAGATAAGCACAACCCGTCCAAGCGAAAACCCTCAAAATTCGATGCCGCCGAAACAATCGAAATCCCACACGCCGCAACGCCAAGTCATCACGCCAGACGACGTGCCCGCCCTCCTCACTCTCCCTTGCCGACAATTAGCAGGACGACTTTAAAATCGTCGACAGATCCCTTTTTTCTTGCCCAAGATGTCCTACGAAGAGCGCGCCAACGCGCACCCCAATCTGGGCGACGAGTCCGATGTCGAGGAGGAAGCGTTGGTCAACGATTACCGCGAGCAGGTTAACTTTGACGATGGCATGAGCGAGTTGGATCGGACTACATCTCTGGGAGCTGCCTCTCAGACCCAGGACCTTCAGGCACAGCTCGCTGCTGCTGCGACCCCGCTCGAGTACCAGGCCACACTGGAGACCAAGTTTGCAAGCTACGACAACTACTGCAGTCTTTTCCATTACATCCTCAACTCGGATGGACCAGTGGAATTAGAGGTTCCTTCTGTATGTTTCGCCTATGATAATTTAGAATAATCCCACAGCCTATGACCTCCGGATATTCCTACATCGTTGGTGCTCTACTTGTTGTGGGCAATGAGGGTGGAATGCTTCGTTCATTATGCTAACCATGTGGATCTTGAATAGTACTACTGGGCTTGGGATGTGATCGATGAGTTCATTTACCAGTTCGAATCGTTCTGCCGCTACCGCAACCGTGTTGCCCGCAGTGGCTCCAACGAGGAGGAAGCCCAGCTTCTCCGTGAGAATCCAAACACCTGGGGCTGCTACTCCGTCCTCAACGTGCTTTACTCCCTTATCCAGAAATCTCAGATTAATGAGCAATTGGCTGCCATTAAGCGTGGCGAGGACCCGATGGCATTCGCTGGGGAATACGGCTCCCGCCCCCTCTACAAGATGCTGGGATACTTCTCTATCATCGGATTGCTTCGCGTCCACTGCTTGCTGGGTGACTTCAGCCTTGCCCTCAAGACCCTCGACGACATCGAGATGAACAAAAAGGCCATGTTCGCCCGTGTCATGGCTGCTCACTTCACCACCTACTACTATGTGGGTTTCTCCTACATGATGATGCGCCGCTACGGCGATGCTATCCGCATGTTTAGCCACATCCTGGTCTATGTCTCCCGGACCAAGAACTTCCAGAAGGGCAGCAACAGCTACGATGCTATTGCCAAGAAGAATGACCAGATGTACGCCCTCATTGCCATCTGTGTCGCTCTCCACCCTACCCGTCTCGACGACACCATCCACTCCGCTCTGCGTGAGAAGTACGGCGAGCAGCTCAACCGCCTTCAGCACGGTGGCCCCGAGGCCCTGCCCTTGTTCGAGGAGCTCTTCCGCTCTGCTTGCCCCAAGTTCATTAGCCCCACTCCCCCCGACTTTGACAACCCAACTGTCAACGTTGACCCTGTTGACCACCACACCGCTATCTTCATGGACGAGGTCAAGAACACCCTGTACAACCCCACAATCCGTTCATACCTGAAACTTTACACAACAATGGATCTCAACAAGCTCGCTGGTTTCCTCGAGGTCGAGCCCGAGAAGCTTCGCTCTTGGCTCCTGATCAACAAGCAGCGCAGCCGACAGGTCCGCTGGGTTGAGGGCGGTCTACTAGAAGGCGAGCCCGTTAACGCTAATGATTTGGACTACGCTTTGGAGAACGACCTCATCCATGTCAGCGAGACCAAGGCCGGACGACGCCTCGTTGACTGGTACCTGCGAAACCTCGCCCGTGTCTACTAAACTAGGCGCCTTACTTGCTAGCAAATGTGTGTTGGAGGTCTCAAAAAAGATAGCATACACCCACGCCGGTTTGTAATCTGCACGGGAAAAATATCCTCTTAGCGAAAACCCCTAGAGTCACTTCGACCGGTGAAAAGGGACGTTGATTCGACGACTCATATGCGGGTTGGGAGTCTTAAAAGGTTCCGTCCGCGACAGGAAGAGGAGCAAAAGACTTTAATCAGCAATCATCATATCTCCCTTGCCCTTTTTTTTTTTTTCCCAAAAACCTCCTCTGCCTTGCTAGCATCATGACTCTTTTTTTTTCCCCTCTCCCCCCCCTTCCCTTTTTCCCTCTTCTCCCGTCTCTCGCACCAATATCTTATTTTATTGTCCATGATTTATCTTCCGGGGGGTTTCGAAGCCCTTGACCTCTTACCTAAGGTCTTGGGTTTGGCGGCTACCGCTGCTGTTGTTGAAGTGGACACAAAAGGAATTTTGAGCAATTGTTCGAGGCGTATTCGTCATGCTTGTGTTTGGTACTTTTTTCTTTGTTTCTTATTTTCCCGGCTATTTGACATGTGTAAACCGTGCATATTTGTGGTACGCGCGGTACATAAAAAGGGTTATAGTTGGGAGAGGACGATGTGGTAGAGATTCATATGATGAAATAGATGATGACATTTCTCACTTTACTGTGGACATTCTACTCGATGAAGCTAAATGTAAACGACATATTCTATGGTGCGTATATATATATATATATATATATTATTCTATCCGTAGCTAAACGTAACATGATATACAAGAGTGAAGATGATACTTCATTACTGAGTCACCTGCCTAAGCAAGGAGCCAGCATTAATCAATGACATCAAAACTAGTCCCACATCCGCAACTACTCGTTGCCCGGGGATTATCAACGATCTTAAACTGACTCCCAATCAGCTCTGTGGTGTAGTCGACGGTGCTTCCAGATAGCAGTTCAAGCGAGGGTTCATCCATGACAACCTTTGCGTCACCAGACGTAGAAGAGGAGCCCCGGTCTGCTTCAAAGATCGTATCTTCCTCTGCGTCAATCTTTGACGCTGCCTCGAGGGACATTAGGTACTGGAATCCGTGGCAGCCGCCGCTGGTGACTGTGATTCGGAGATGGTGGTAGGGGTTTTCTTCCTTGGTTGCGGACGGTGAAGACGAAGGATCGGTGATTTGTCGCAGGCGCTGTTTCTCCATTAGAAAGCCATAGAGAGAGAAACAAAAACACACACACACACACACACACACACACAAAAAAAAAGAAACAAAAACAAAAACATACAACAGTCAGGATTCGCATGTGGTCACCCACCATACTACTAACTGACCGGCGTGTGGCTTAAGTACGGCTGAGCGGACGGGAAGCCCTGTTTTCCACACCCTATGGTCGTATGTGCTCATTTAAGCCTTTTTAGGACTTATATGGCGTAGAAACAACCATATACCATCGGGATAGCATCATTGCCGATACCATTGCCACACCCGACTGTTGTTGTATGTCCCAGCGCCATTCATCCCAATGATCCGGGATCATCAAAAGTCCAAGAACAAATGTATGAATATATGAAAAGGTGTAGAACGTACTTCTGCAGCCCGTTCGGAGATGCTTATCATCAGCGGATTCCCTTCATCGTCTACCCTCGGATTCTGTGTCACCTGTACGGCAGGTCGAAGGGTGGAAGAGGAGAACGTTGCGCATTGTTGTCTTGTCCCAAGATGAATCCGTGAACGTCTAGACGGGGTGTCTCTGACTCGAGGGCTATTTCCCGGCACTGAGGAAGGCGATATTTGTAGTCGATGTGAGGAATGGGAAAATGATGCGGAGAAGGACAAACTTGGGACGGAGGACGAAATTGTTGAGACTGTTGCATAGGCCGGATGGGGTCGAGATAGCCGGCGAACGGCGGAAGATAACAGCAGACGAGACATATTTGTGATCAAGCAAGTAGAGCTCAAGAGACAAGATGCTTGAACACTCCTGATCGACTGTTTCTGGGCTTTATAATCATACCTGCAATCAGCGCCAGGAAGTGAGAGGGTTCTGTATCACACTATTGGTTGGGTTGAAAGCGGGAAAAGGGGGCAAAATAATAATATCCCAAAAGATATGCATTTATTACTAATCGGTCGTTTTCAATGCATTTTGGCGGGGCATTTCAGTATGAGGGGAGACTGACTGATCATGTTGGATAGATATCATGCTTCTCCAACTAACATAGAATAGTGATATTTCCACCCAGATCAAGTTAACGAGGAGTCTGCGCCATGGGTTCTCGATTACATGTTCAGCAGATCAAAAGCGGCCCCCCACTCCATTATCGCGATGACATCCGCGCGTTTACCAAAGAATATGCCGAGTCTCTAGATGCGACGGATCCTTTACATCATTTTCGTGAGCAGTTCATTATCCCCTCTAAAAAGGACCTCAAGAGGAAGGCTCTTACCCCGGAGAAAGGTAGGTTTAACGCCATGTTATAAAATCTACGTACTAGGTATATTCACCAGACACAGAAGCTTCATCCGATCCCAAGAGCGTGTACCTTTGCGGAAACTCATTAGGACTTCAGCCTCATAATACTCGGAAGTACATTGACTATTACCTCCGGACATGGGCTATCAAAGGGGTAACAGGACATTTTGTTCCCCATGAGGACGAATTGCTTCCTCCATTTGCCGACGTCGACTCCGCTGCAGCGAAACTCGCAGCTCCGATAGTGGGAGCACTAGAGAGCGAGGTGGCAGTTATGGGCACACTTACAGGGAATTTACACTTGTTGATGGCGAGCTTTTACCAGCCAACAAAAGATCGATACAAGGTCATCATTGAAGGGAAGGCTTTTCCAAGTGATCACGTACGACACCCTAAGACACCCAGCGCTGAAGGTCTTTGGAAAGAAGCATGGCTGCTGACGCTTCTTGTTCTCTACAGTATGCTGTTGAATCGCAGATTCGTCTTCACAATCTTGACCCAAAGCACGCTATGGTTCTCATTGAGCCGGAATCCCCTGCCCATCCAATCCTAGAGACTGATCACATACTTCGAGTGATTGACGAACATGCCTCGAGCACCGCTCTTCTCCTACTTCCCGCCATCCAATTCTACACCGGACAGTATTTCGATATTGAAAAGATTACGGCTCATGCTCAGTCGAAGGGTCTCATTGTCGGTTGGGACTGTGCCCATGCCGCTGGTAATGTTGAGTTGCGACTGCACGACTGGAACGTTGACTTTGCAGCGTGGTGTCACTATAAGTACCTCAACAGTGGACCAGGTGGGATAGCTGGCCTATTTATCCACGAGAAGCATGGGCAGGTGGACATGAAAAATGTCAATAAAGAGGAAGGGGGCTTTCGTCCACGTCTTTCTGGCTGGTGGGGACACGACAAGACCACTCGATTTGACATGGACAATCGTACGGCCACCTATTATCACCCAGCTCTTCACTGATATCGCTAATCGTTGTCAGACTTCGTTCCTCAAACTGGCGCAGCAGGTTACCAAATATCGAACCCCTCTGTACTTGATACAAATGCAGTTGTGGCATCCCTGGAAATCTTCAATCGAGCATCCATGGCTGAAATTCGCAAAAAGTCTCTAGATATCACAGGCTACCTCGAACATCTCCTTTTAAACTACCCACTTGACCCATCTTTCGAAAAACCATTCACCATCATCACCCCGTCGACCCCAGCAGAACGTGGTGCCCAACTTAGCTTGCGACTAGCACCTGGCCTCCTTGACAGTGTATTAGAAACTCTCGAGGAGAATGGAGTCATAATCGATGAGAGGAAGCCGGATGTCATTCGCGTTGCACCAGCGCCCCTATATAACACTTACACGGATGTGTGGGAGTTCTGCCGTGTCTTCCACGAGGCCTGTCGCAAAGCAGTACACGAGCAAAATTAAGTCCCCAATGTGATACATTGTGCATTTCCTTTGCGTTGGGGGGACAAGCAATGTCTTGGATAAGCGATTTGTACAAAACTAGCGTTTCGTGATACAACAATCAGTTAATTTCCTAAAGCTTTACTCCGGTCTTAAATATTAACAGGATCAGTTTCAACCGAAAGCAAAATGAGCCCGTTCCAACGGCTGCCGTTCAGATTCCCAAGCTAGCCAGTCCGATCTCGTAGTCCTATTTCCAGACTAGTTAGCCAACATCCAGAGAGACACGAATAACCCTGCACCACAGGGCAGAAAGGAAAGAAGATCACATACGGCAAAAGTCCCATAGCGTTAACCTTCCACACACCTAGCGCCAGCAGCACAAACTGCATTAGTACATATACAGCCTTCACCCCCAGTATCTTGCTGCGTAAGGCCTCTGTATCGAATTTGGCGAATACAGCGTTTGTGTTGATAAGACCCTGAATAGGACCCTTGAAGAGCATAAACACCATCATGATGCTGAAAATCTGCAGACTATTCCCAGACATATACATCATGATCGCATTCATTGGGATTTGTTTTGATGGGGCGAGAGCGATTTCCCAGGCCTTCTTCAACTTGATAGTATCGGTTTCGGTGGGTTTGGATGGGGTTGGTTGCTGTGTGCGCTGTGGGATGGATATGTGAGCTAGGTTCTTGACACAGATCGCTAGTCAAGTATTAGGAAAGCAAGAGGAAGAACCCACGCTTTTACCCCCGGTCTTGCGAGAGAAACCGGGAGGGTCGGGGATGCTGGATGTTGATGCTGAAGGACGTGGCAAAGGGGAGTTGAGGTCTGTAACCCATTTCGGGCGAGGGAGAGGAGGAAGAGGCTGAGAATTGGTCATGGTGAATCTCTACCGGAGGAAACCAAGTGAGATTAAAAGCAGAGAAACAAAATGCCAGAAACGCAGCTAGCTTCCAGCGGGAGTTGAGCACCGACGACGGTTGACGTGACGCTGTAAAATTAGGGAAGAGATGACATTCTCCACTACTGCGCGGAGTTGGCGGCATCCGGTCCACTCTCCTGATTCTCACCAGCTCCAGGCTGCGAACTCCTTTCTCGTTTGCCTTTAAATTAAATTCTTGACTCCCAGCCATTGAAGACCCCGAATCAACATCCGACATTGATTTGGACCAGGTAGGAATCATCTCCGTGCTTACAACTTGCTCGTGCTACACTGACAATTCTGGTGCGATCCCAGCTTCTCAAACCGAACCCGTCTCTCGAAAGGCATGGAAGCTTTGAAGCAGCGTGTCAGCTAAGAAGGAAAAGTCTTCGAAGCCACTTAGGCCACAAAAAGATCCCATATTCTCGTTGTCAAAACGAACCGTCAATGTGATTTGATTTGCCCAAGGAGAGAACTAAGCCTGCATTTGGAAATCCTGCATAAACCCAAGAACCCAGATCTATCGCCAATTCGCTACTGTGAAGCCATAAGACCACTATGAGTTCCAGCGGGGGAGATGCGAAATTGTTCGCTAGGGTACGTATGAACTGCTATTATGATACTATCTCTTGTCACACCAAACCTCCCCCCCCGCCCTTTCGGCTTCCAAAGAGCGATCAAATGATCTGTCTTATCTCCCCTCTTCCCTCTCATACCGGTCGAACTATCTGGCTTTTATTCCGCGCACCTCTGGTTTCATCTCATGGCCCCTCTTTGCTTTCTTTATGCCTCGTTTCTTCATGTTGTGCCCTTGGTATACCGTTTACATCCCCCTCTCTATGTTTATCGCTCCATATGCGCAATACAACTCACCATGGGTTCGAAATCCACAGGGCAAAGTCGCCGAGCTGCGACAGGAACTGAACAGCGGCGGCAAGAAAGACAAGAACTACTCCGCCAAGAAGATCGCCCTCAAGAAAATCGTCGCGAACATGACCATGAGCAATAACGATATGATCGCTTTGTTTCCGGACGTGATCAGTTGTATGAATTTGCCGAGCTTGGAGATCAAGAAGATGTATGTTCTGGGATTCATATACTATACACCTGGGATGTATGATGTGACACTAACTGATGTCTCCTTTGCGTCGCATTAGGTGTTTCCTATTTCTCGTCAACTATTCGAGGATGAAGCCTGACATCGCACTGCAGGCGCTACCTCTCTTGGTCGAGGTATGAAGGATCCATTTGCCTGCAGGGAAAAGCATCTGACCGGTATATTAGGATATGGAAGCGTCCAACCCACTTGTGCGCGCCCTGGCGCTGCGGACAATCTCATACATCCATGTTCGAGAATTCGTTGAATCCACAGTCCAGCCACTCAAACGGCTAATGGAAGATATGGATCCCTATGTTCGAAAAACCGCCGCTTTCTGTGTCGCGAAGCTATACGAGCACGATAAGAAAATGGTCGAAACTTCCGATCTCATCGATCGACTAAACTCGATGCTAAAGGACGAGAACCCTACTGTTGTCTCTAGTGTCCTTGCTTCCTTGGTTGACATCTGGGGACGGAGTGAAACCATCTCTTTGACCATCGATTATTCCAGCGCATCAAAACTGGTATCAATTCTACCAGACTGTTCGGAGTATGCGGTTTCCCATCCAATATCCCTGGTGCATAGTCAGCTAACAATCAGTAGATGGGGCCAAACGTATATCCTAGAGGCATTAATGTCATACATCCCTCAAGACTCCGCAGAGGCGCTGTTGCTCGCAGAACGTATAGCCCCCCGTCTATCACATTCAAATTCTGCTGTTGTTCTCACCTCCATCCGTGTCATCCTCTACCTGATGAACTACATTGCCGATGAACGGCATGTTACATCGTTATCGAAAAAGCTATCCCCGCCTCTTGTCACGCTTTTGTCCAAACCGCCAGAGGTTCAGTACCTTGCCCTTCGTAATGCAATTCTTATATTACAAAAGAGACCGGAAGTCTTAAGAAACGATATCCGCGTGTTCTTCTGTAACTACAACGACCCTATCTACGTCAAGGTCACCAAGCTTGAGTTGATATTCATGTTGACCACCAAAGAGAACATCTCCGTTGTGCTGGCAGAACTGAGAGAGTAAGCTTGTCCGAGGCCTATGACGTGCGAAAGCCTTTGACTAATTTCCCTTCCAGATATGCAACTGAGATCGATGTCCATTTTGTACGCAAGGCAGTACGTGCTATTGGGAAACTGGCCATCAAAATTGAATCTGCCGCGCAAGAATGTATCAACGCCCTCCTGGACCTTGTGAGTGCCAAAATTCCGTATATTGTCCAGGAGGCAACGGTTGTGATCCGCAACATCTTCCGCAAATATCCCAACCAGTACGAGAGCATTATTGGTCAAGTCATCCAAAACATCGATGAGTTAGACGAACCAGAAGCGAAAGCCGCCGTTATCTGGATCATCGGGCAGTACGCAGACCGCATTGAGAACTCCGACGGTCTTCTTCAGGATTACTTAGCCACCTTCCACGACGAGACAGTGGAAGTACAACTCGCCCTGTTAACTGCAACCGTCAAGTTCTTCATCCAGCGTCCCACAAAGGGCCAACAGCTGGTCCCCCAGGTTTTGAAATGGTGCACCGAGGAAACAGACGACCCCGATCTCCGAGATAGAGGATACATGTACTGGCGTCTCCTGTCGACGGATCCTGCCACAGCTCGCCAAATCATAATGGGACAGAAGCCGCCTATCACCGCGGAAAGTGAGAAACTCGACTCGAGAACTCTAGAGGAGCTGTGTTTGAACATAGGCACCTTGGCAACTGTTTACCTGAAACCCGTCCAGCAGGTATTCCGATCCGCGCGTACTCGACGACTCCAATATAGCCCCGCCCTTCAGAAGCCCAAAGAAGACCCCAGCGCCAGCGTATGGCAATTCCCTGGCCCAGCTCCCGATCCCAACGGTGCTACCTCTCCTGCGTCGCCAACCAACGGCTTCGCTGCTACACCGGCTAATATGAATGCTGCCGTGAACGCTGCCGACAACTACTTCAACAGCGTAGCAGTTGGGACCCAGCAAATGGCAGCTCTGGATCTGGGTGGTCGCGATGATAGTGGTGTCGGGGACGGAGGTGTGCTGCAGAACCAATACCTGGTTAACCAACATCAACAACAGGTGTATCAACCTTATTTGGCAGGTGGTGCAGCCACGGGTGAGCTTTTGCTGTTGTAATGTGTGGACGAGAGTGATTAATAATATAATATGGCTTCTATGCATGTGTTAAAAAACCTTGCCTTTTTTTTTTATTTATTCTAGCGATGTTGGTCCATTAGGGACTTTGTGATATACCTGGTTTATTTCGTACTGCTTCCTTGGTTCGTTCGTTCGATTATTATTTGCATTCATTACGGTTTGGTTTGGGTGTCTGGGAATCGAATATGTTGAGGGCCATTCCTCAGTGATAAGACAGGGTAGGAAGACCCTCATCTCGTCGTTCTCATATCCATAGAATTAATCGCAAGCATAATACAGAAGAAAAGAAAAGAAAAGTAAAAATAAATAAAGAAAGAATCAAAAATAAATGGAACCAGCCATCCTAATCATCCATCTTGGACAATCCACCACGATTTCGCCTGATCCGCTCATCCAAGCTGTCTTCTTGGAGCTGACGGTGAAGACCAGACATGAATTGACCGCGATCTGAGCGGTGCTTGTCATCATCCTGAAGCTGCTTTTCCTCCATGGCGGAGACTTCAGCGACACGTTGGCGACGGGTATCTTCCATTTCGTTCGCGTTCGACATCATCTCCGCCAGCTTTCGCTTACGCTCCTCCTCTTTGTGATTTTCGTTTCCATCTGCACCTGGATTCCCCCCAGAGTTATTCTGGGCTCTAGGACCACCACGGTTATCCCTTTGGTCATTGTTGCGGCTGTATCTTTCTCTTCTATCCTCTGTTCGACGGCGGTCAACGGCGGCGTTACGATCAGGCTGAGGTGAGGTAGATCTGGACACCCTGCGCGTGGATCGGTCGTATCTTTCGTCCCGACCGCGGTACTTGCTCGTATGATGGACTCTTTCTCCTTTCTCCTCTCGCTCTCCTTCGCGATCTCGACGACTCCCGCGATCGTAATCCCTGTAGCGTCGATCATCACGATCGCGATCATCTCTGCGGCTTCGATGCGAACGTCCCGGCGACGCAGCAGGAGACCTAGACCGGGAGCGGTGCCGATGTGACGAGCGCCGATGGCTATGTCGATGTGAATCCTCATCACTATACCGTCTGCGCTTATGATCCCTATCCCTATCTCTGTCGCGGTCTCGATCACGGTCACGACCACCATCGCGCTCCCTAGGCTTCTCCCTCTCCCGATCACGGTTCTTCCTCACCGACTCCTTAACCATAGTCTCATACGCCGCCTGCTCCCTCTTCTTAATCTCCAACAGCGGATCCGCCAGGACTTTCGCCATCGTATCGCGGGTATTATGAATCACAGGCGGAAGAAGGGTCGCCGCACCGGCGCCCGCGCCACCACCCACAGCAGCACCCTTCTGTAACTCCTTACTCTCATCATTCTTCAACAAGATCCCATCAATGCGTCGCTTTCCAAGTAAGTACCCCTCCATTTCCTCGGAGTAGTGGCCCGTTGCGCTCGAGGGTTCCTGATACATCCAGTCCACGCGCTGATGCTGGCGTGGCCCTCCGGAGCTCTCTTGCAACCGTTGAAGTTCCTGGATCTGACGCTCTTCATCCCGTTCGCGGCGGAGCTGGTCGATTCGTTTGCGTTCTTCGAGAGCGCGTTTTTCTTCCTGCCACACGCGCTCTTGGTTGCGGAGGAGAGATGGGTGCCATGACCTGTAAGAGGGATGCGCTGTTAGATTTTTTTTTTTTTTTTCATTTGTGCGTAAGGGAATTTCTTAAAAAAAAAAAAAGCTTTTACTTACTTCTTCAAGTTCAGATCGCCACCCATTTTGATTCAAATGATGGTGAGAGATGTGGAGGAGAGATGTTGCTCAACTGGAAGAGTTCCAACTTCCCGATGAGGAAACATGCGGTCACGTCACGGTACCACCCCACATGTTTTGGTGCCTGAGGCATCATTATATATTGACTTTGGATCTTGTTCGTCTTCCATCAATGGTTATTCTATGTATTTCAAGGACTTCAGAGGAAGATATACAAATATATGAACCTTTTGGATAGTAACTATGGTGCGTACCGTACGGAGCTGGGGTAGATTCCAATAACTATTCTCTTAATGATTTTTCACAAACTAACTAGAGGCATTTCCTCCTCACAGACCCCTAGAGTCTTTCCGTATGAACTCCAGGGTTGTCAAAATTCCAGTCAAATAATACTCATGCCTAGGTTCATATCCATGAGAGAAGCACATTAGAGATGGATTCAGAGAAGAAAACCTCGTGAACTACTAATTTAACGGCCGTGACTCTAAACAACAGCTATAGTTCTATATAGAACGGTGCCTACCTCTCTCTTCCTGGGTCTAGCAGTAGAGATTTGGAACACAAAAAGACATTTACATCCTCTAGGTGCCAAAAGAGGACTGGGAAAGAGAAGGAGGGCAGATGAATGACGTTGAAAACCCTGCCGACGTTGTGATCGCCACTACATCTACAAAGACGGCCAGAGACGGTTTTATCGAGTATCAGCTCACGACTCCAGAACCACATCCCAAGTCCATGGAAGGCGAGACGGATGAAATCCTGGAGGTCGCAAAGCGGAACGAAAGACGATGGATCATGCCGCAACGATTTCCGGCTAGGCGTGTGCTGCATTTGGGTAAACACCAGGCATATTGGGAATGACAGGATGTCGTGAAATCGGAAACTGATGAGCCACTTGGCAAAATTCCGATATCTGGTGTTGAGGCTTGCGACGAGGAAAAATAAGGCGAAGATACCGAACTCGAGGCCCTTACCTTAACTACCGGTATACCCATCTGATAAACTCCCCACCCTCTGAGGGGTCTTGCCTCCCACATGGCCAGATCTGGGCACACGACCTCGCGCATGACCTCCCCTGGTGGTTCATGGACGGCGACAACAGACCAAGTTCACACACATGTCGATGATCTCTACCTGGTCCTGGCAAGTGGAGATACGCAAGCTTCATGGCCAACGCATCAAAGGACTGCATCCATGACTCTATCCTGGGGTAGAACGGGAGCATCTGTTCTCGTGCTCTTGGGCGCCTAATGTGCAACTCGCTGGGACAGGGGGCGATCTGTATGGAGATATCGAGTCTGCTTCATTAGAAGTGCGTGGAAAGTTTCCGGAGGTGGCTGCGTCAAAGCGCTTGTCTCAAGAGCGCCGTGCTGCATATGGACGACTCAAGCAGTTCCCTATGGACATCACAGTGGCTAAGCCCAATAGACCACCACCACCTGCTCCTCTCTCTGCAGGGGATATAGCCGCAACCGGATGCCTTGATCATCCGTTCGGTGAAGACGACCTCACTGATCAGGGTGGTGGTGGTGGTTGTTGTTGTTGTTGTCGTCGTCGTTGGAGTGTGCCCATAATTATTCCGGGGGAGAGTTCTAGCGTGTGGGGTTTTCATGTAACACAAGGATCACATTGACTTGTTGGAAGGCCTAGACAAACAGCAGGTACATGTTCTTTTTAGGTAGGATGGAGGGGAGCGAGCATGAAGATGTGTTGTCAGCTGAATGAGGGATTTTCAAGTTCACAGCATTACTTACTATACTTGTGCAGCTTGGATATTAATGTCTGCCTGAATTAACTGGGGTTAAGCAAGGGCATACTCTGGAGTGGAGTAACTACTACTAGTACCGAGTATGTAGTCTTGGAGTGAATACTATCAAGGCCCGATCCGTAGTCAACCTGCTAGACGACCAATTTTCGATGATTGAGCTAGAAAAGTTTATTGAGGCATCGGTGGTTTGGGATAGTCTTGAAACGATAGAAATCCCTTTCATAGCCACGAGAAGGGGCATCTAATAATTGATATGGATTGGCTAGGGGATGGATGAACTCAAAGATAGGACAGAACGTAATAATACATCTCTTGTGGTCTGAGATCAAAGGTTCAGCGGAGAGGTGACAGATACAGAGTATAGAGAGAGAGAGGGACTGAAACCATGCAAGGGAGGTTGGTGCTAAGATTCCCATATATATAGTTAGTTGAGGAGATGCGCATTTTGCCCCATTCACGATCGCTCGCATTGACAGCCACCTGGATAAGACAGAAGTACGGGGTAACGCAGCCCCTTTCCTAAATTTACATATCTTGTACTCTGGTCTCTCTGCATCAAGGTGTTTAGCCAGCTCGGCTACAATTGTGAACAACTTACCCCACCACATGCTCGTTCATGCAGGCTGTACGGAGTAAGGGCTGCACTAATTTGGAGCTAGCGGGTAAATGGACAAGTGTGACCCCTTAAAGCAGGTTCGATCAGACCTAACATCTGGAAGCTGGTACTCCGTACTATTTGTAGTTTGTACACGATGATGGCCCCGCCCAAGGTAAGGGTCCTCGATATTAATAGAACCGGTCCAAGTAGGATCCCAGAGAAAAGTCACTCGCAGCCTGCAGGTTGCAGCGAACTGAACACAAGACTCAAGTAAGAGCGAATAGATCCCTGGGAACATGATCCATGCGGACGGGCGACATTCCTTGTTCGGAGTGGCTGCAAGACGTAATGGTGACTATCATCATCAAACTATCGCGTAAGATGGAAGCTGACCTATTTTGCGCGAATTTACAGAGTAAGATTCGAAACAGGTAGCGCCATCCCTCGGATTCACCGAATACGGGCAAAATGGGGGGGGGCCAGGAGCCGATCCCGTAGCGCGTAACTAGAGCAGGCCACCAGTTTCGAAAAGGATGTACGCTCTAATTTAGTGTCAGCCCTCGATCGACGTCAGCAATAATCGCCCCTGCCAATCAAGTCTCTTGGAGAGGGATTAAGTAGCCAAGCCCGGCTAAGCAGGATGAAGCTCCGAGAACCTAGCCATGCGAAGCCTTCCGCCACGTTGCTTGGAGGCGAGTGGCTCAGGCCTTGGTGGTGCCAAGACCAGCCTGTTCCCAGAACACCTGTCCACGTTTGTTCAAGGTCGAACTTGACTGGCCTGTTCATGTAAGATGAGATGTCGTTTAGACTGTTTTCCAGAACAGGTGGTGACGTTGTGACATACAATCCTCACAAGGGGTAGGAGTGACGCTGATAATTGCCTGATTCGCGACGGCTGTCTCATCTGGATCCACGAGGATGCCTGGTAAAGAGAGTTTTCGTATTGTTTGACAATGTGAGATTCTATCCGTAGGTAGAACGGAAAGCATGTGCCGCTCAACATCATGATAACGCAGCTAAAATGAAACGGGGATGAATTAACCAGATAGAAGCAGGAAAAATAATGCATCAGCTTGTCCCTATAACTAGTTAACTATAGGGGTGTTGGTTCTTGGTTGATACCGACTAGATACTTAGCGAGGGTTAGGTTAGGTATGCGATATCAGGGGCAAGGCCGCCAGCTCCATCGTCCTATGAGATGCAAGGGATGGAACCACGTGCGGAAACCTTCAATCCCGGTAGGAACAAGAACATCGTTGTCCAGCAATACCGGTAGGTTAGGTAATAGGACCATTAGAAACGCGCTCCCGGAATGCCAAGAATATCAAGATCCAAGAGAGCTCTTCTAATAGTGGCAAATAATCATGACAACCTTATCATAGAATATCGTAATCATTGGTACCGATGGTCAAAAACAGGTCTCACTGCACCAGAAGGAATGCTGTCTCTCTCTGGGCCAACCGACCACTGTGAGAGACGGGCTGTGACCACGAGTTTCGGCCCGGCGAGAAGGTAGGTAGGTATGCGACAATAATAACTAACTCTGTGACGCGATGATCTTGCTTCAACCGGTGGAATATTTGACTGGCCAAGTCCGGATAAAACGGGCTAAAAAGTCTGCTCCTATTCCCCGTCCACATTATCACCAATCTATTATCCCATGTCAGCAGCCATCATGCAAGGAATCAAATTCTGAACATCCGATTCAGTTGGATACTCCGTAGGCAGTCCTCATATCATGCCAGTAAGAATCAGCCTGGAATACTCCATTCCCCCTCCCCCCCACACACATACACTGCATATCCAGAGAGTCCATGCCCCCATGGCCGGGATACGGGGGCACCTAACCACTCTGGGATTGCAGCGCGAAAGCCTGCCATTATCGCAGGGAAGAGTCACTCGACCTCCTTCCTTTTTCCTCTCTAGCGTGTGTAGGGGAAAAGTCCGAGATGTTGGCGGCCAGAGAGCTGTGGAGGGATCAAACTTCTGCGGACGCAAGTAGTCTGGAGTCATTTGACCCCGTGCTCAATTGGCGAGCCTGATTGGTATCACTGCAACCGGGGGGGGCCGATTGCAGAAGGCGGTGGGAGGTAGATCTTTGCAGGATCGGTTCAGATATTTTTCAGATTCTGCCACCACGTGCAAAGATGATTGGCCAAAATTAATCTATATTTCCGCAATTGTAAATGTGGTTCCGCTGCCAAGAAAAACTCAAAAAAAAAAAAAAAAAAAAAAACCGCAAGTCCCTCCCGGACTAGGCCCCATGCCCGATAATTCCGGGATGTAGTCTAGTATAGACTCTCACACCTCACGCGAGCAAAAAAGGAAAAAAAAAAAAAGGAATGAACGCAATGGAAGGCAAAAAGAACCAGATGATATTCGTTCAAATTTGCCTGATTAAGGCCACTCGTATCCTAGCTCTTCATTTTTGACGAATAGTCCTACCACGTTGACCAGAGTCTGGGTAGAGAAGTCACCTCCCCGCCTTCTGCCAGTTGAAACCTGGGCACCTTCTATCTGCAGTGGAACCTCCCCTCCCCGTTGTTACGTTGGATCTAGCCAAAAGCCCACCCACTGACTTATCGCACGCCACCGTTCGGACATGGGCCTGGGTCGGAGCAACAGTTTGGCTGCCCTCTTCTGCCGCCTCCCACCAGATTTCTTTTCTATATATTCCTCACCCTGGCCTTTCCGACTTGGCCTGCATACTTTGTGACGCCTCGACACATTCGTCTTACGAATCCGTGGCCCCAAAACTCTCCTGGGACGTTCTTAGATCGCCCCGAACGCCTTCTTAAAACTCTTGTCTTCGAGGCCAAGAGCGTCCGTCAGGTTCACACGTGTGTGTTGCTGAGATTAGGGACAAGATGGCTGATTTTGGTCCACGTGCACCTCATGGGCCCGATATGACGGGAACCCATGAGCCCTTGGAGGACATGGACATCCATGAGAAGGGGGCTTTTGATGCTCTTATTCGTCCCTCCGACAGCTATACACCAGAAGGCACCTACTGGGCCGACTTGTCCATTCTGAGAAGGATGAAGTTTGTGGGTTCGTACGATGCGGGAGAGGCGAAGCGCGAGCTTAGTGGAATCTGGGACATGGTCAAGAAGGATCCTCTGTCGCCCGTCTCGTACTATTTCCGAAATATGGTCCTGCCTGGTGCTGGTCTGGGTTTGGAAGGGTGAGTTTCGCGCTCCAAAAGAGTCTCGCCTGAAGATGCTAACGAATCCTTCCTGCTGCTAGTTACGTGCTATTCTCTATTGGAAACCTGAAACCTCTTTTCCAGGCTGCTTTCCCTGCTTGCTGGGATAAAAACACCACCTGTAACGTTCAGTGGATCCACGCTATCGATTACCTCGAAATCTGTGGTATTATCGTTGGTCAGATCTTGGTCGGAGTTTTGGGTGACTGGTATGTCTATCAAATAGGAACAACAAAACTGAACTATGTTAGAATATGCAAATGTATGGATTCTAACCAGAGTTTTCTGCAGGATTGGTCGACGATGGGGTTTGATTCAGGATGCCACAATCATGTTTGTCGGTCTGCTGATGCTCACGGCCGCCTGGGGTGTCACCCAGAACGGCTGGATTATCTGTTACGCCTGGTCTCTGTTCTTCTACGGTATTGGTGTTGGTAAGTGCCCAGTGATATGAGATATCCATAGTTTCTTTCAATTCCCACGCTAATCCCCCCCCCACAGGTGGTGAATATCCTATGACCGCCACTAGCGGTATGGAGAATGCTGTTGGATCGGGCAAAGTTTCTACCAAGGAGGATCGCCTTCACCGTGGCCGCAAGGTTACCAGCGCTTTCTTGATGCAGGGTTGGGGTCAATTTTTTAACCAGGTCCTACTCATCATCTTGCTGCTTTGCTTCCACCACGGCAGCGGCAATCCTTCTTACTCCACCGTCGCCGCTCAATGGACCTACCGCGTTTCTTTCGCCATTCCTGCTGTTGGAACCCTGTGGCTCGTCTACTATCGTGCTTACCACATGAAGGCTGCTAGCAAGCAGCTCATCACAGCCAAGAAGAAGGCATCTGTGACTGGTTACGATTTCAACTCGCTCCGTCTGACCTTTAAGCACTTTGGATTCCGCCTTCTTGCTACTGCTGGTACTTGGTTTGCCAATGATGTCTTCTTCTATGGTAACAAGCTCTTCCAATCCGAGTTTATCAAGGTTATTAGCCCTCATTCTACCTCCATCATGCCTACCTGGCTTTGGAACTTGGTCAATGTCGGTGTGTCACTTTGCGGGTACTACCTTGCCTCCTTCATGATCGACAACAAGCTATATGGCCGTAAATGGATGCAGATCATTGGTTTCCTAATGGATTTTATTCTCTTTGTCGTGCCTGCCTTCCATTTTGACTACTATAAGTCCCCAGAGCACATCAAGGAGTTCCAGACCATGTACTTCTTGAGTTCGTTCTTCAACCAGTTTGGACCCAACTCGGTCACTTTCTTGGTTGCTGCCGAAGTCTTCCCTACACCCATCCGTGCCACCGCTCACGGTCTCTCTGCCGCTGCTGGCAAACTTGGTGCTCTCCTTGCCTCTGTTCTATATAACTACATTGATACCCAAACCAAGTTCTATGTTGTTCCCTGGTTTGGTCTGGGAGGTGTTGTCTTGACCTGGCTCTTCCTTCCCGATACCACCGGTCTGGATCTGAAGGAGCAGGAGCGCCGCTGGATGTATCTTCGCGAGGGCCGTGAGGCCGAATACCATGGCCCTGCTGTCCACCCCAAGCATCTTTCCATCTGGGAACGTTTCCGTGGCAAGGGCAAGTACTATGATGCTGAGCTTGATTACAAGCAGAAGGTTGAGGAGTACCGTGCTGAGTGGGAGGCTGCTATGAGCTCTAAGATCGCCGAGAAGGAAAAGGCCGACCTGGCTGACGACACCGACGACAGCCTCCTCTCCGGCCACGTCCACGCTTACTTCCACCGCACAAGCCCCATGTTCCGTGGCATGGACAAGCCTAGCAAATCCGATAACTTTGCCCTCCCTCCTGCCGCCCAGCGTGACGAGACCAGTGAAGATTCTATTGAAAATGAAAAATAAGCAACACGCTTTGGACATCCTGATACCCCTCCCTGAATTTGTTTTCATTCGACGTGTTTATATTTGATGAAGATTTTACCTGTTTAATTTTTTCCTCTTTTTGTTTCTTTTCTTTTTTTTTTCGTTCATTGAAAGAGGCTAGTAGAGTAGCCAAAATGTCAACTCACAAACATATATAAATACCCAGGTATATATTTTAGTACTGAAACTCTCAATACCAAAAGATGGTTCCACACTCTCGTAAATATTCTGATATCTCCAAAAACGAGTTGAGTTATAAGTGATCCTTGCGACTCGCAGACTTGACCATGCAGCTCTTTTGCAGCTCTGGAGATTGGAGAATACTTTTCTGCCACCACCCAACCATTAAAAAAGGCGGTGAGCCAGTTATGCCGAAGAAAGTTAAAACGTCCCATCATCCATGCTTAACCTCCCTGTATTACAACCAATTGAGCATCAAACTAAACAACTTGATTCAAAAAAAAAAATAAAAAAAAAATAAGACAGTCTCGCCAAGTTGAAAGTTATCAGAAGAACACCCCCTCATAAGGGAGAGTGCTTGGAACCAAGCAACCCAACATGGTAGTCCTCTTTGCATTCGGCTCAAATGGATCCGGCCAATTAGGCATCGGGCATGAAGACGATGTTTGTATCCCGACAAGATGCATTTTCGACGAAGAAAGCGATGGCAAATCACCAGGGAGGTTATCAGCAGGGGAATCCAGCCCGCTAGACCACGGAAGCGGGAGGAGAATTACACGCATTGTCGCGGGTGGGAATCACACTCTTCTCCTGCTTGAGAATGGGGCGGTTTATGCGGCTGGTTGTAACGAGGATGGGAGGTGTGGGTGGGACCCGGAAGATGAGAATGGCGGGTGTTTGTTTTCGGTGTTCAAGCGGGTTGTTATTAAGGTATGTGATGGGGGGGTGGAACGAGTGTTTACTTCATTCAAGGGTGTGTCGGCGACTTGGGAGGGGACTTTTTTGGTTACGCGATCGTCACTATTAGATGGAGTTGGTGGCAATATGGAGAATGGGGAGGAGGAAGAGGAAGAGGAGGAGGAGGAGGAGGAGGAGGAGGAGAGAGAGAATGTTTTTGTTTTTGGGTCTGGGGGCAAGGGAGAGCTAGGGTTGGGGAAGGACTGTGTGCGGGCTTCTCTTGCTTCAGGGGGCATGAAGATTCGGGATTTCCCGCCCCGGGGCACAAGAATTGTTTGTATCGCGAGTGGGATGGGACATACCGTTGTGGTATTGTCGAATGGGGAGGTGTATGGATGGGGCGCCGCGAGGAAGGGCCAACTGGGCGCTTCTGCTGTGGCGCAGAAGATCGTGTGGTCGCCGATGAGGATTGAGGGGATCCCGTTTCACGTCACAGGCGCTACTTGCGGTCGAGAGTTTACTGTTTTAAGTGGTGACAGGGATGCTGGGGAATTCGCTGTCCTGGGAGGATCTGCTGGGAATAAATGGAATATTCTGTCTGACGTCCCCAGCTCTGAGACTGTGAAGGGGTATGTGAGGATGGATGCTAGCTGGCATGGTGTCTATGTACATCAAGGAGATCTGTCCGTCCATGCTTGGGGACGAAACGATCGTGGGCAGCTCCCACCCGCGGATCTGCCCAAAGCCAGAAAGGTGGCAGTGGGTAGTGAGCATGTTCTTGCTTTGCTAGAGGATCCGACTGTTGTGGCGTTTGGTTGGGGTGAGCATGGCAATTGTGGTCCCGATACGGATGCACAAGGGAATGTCAACGGTGTGTATAGTCGGATTTCTTTGCCCAACGATGTTGAAGCGGTTGATGTTGGGGCGGGTTGTGCGACTAGCTGGATTATGGCTTCATAATGTCGCCGGGAACGGGTGGTCCAAGAAGGTTGCTTTGCCATAACCTCCCTTCTCAGAACCTTGCCGCTCCCAATCTACACCACCTGGGGTGAGGCAGATTTAAAAAAGGGCCCTCAGTCGAAGAGGCCAAGTCCGTGCAGCTACGAGAGTCAGCCCAGTCTTGAAGTGAACGGGTGCAACATACCTGTGACATGCGCTGTGTTGGCGGAATACCCGTTTCTGCCTCCTGACTCAAGTCCATTTGCTCATTGCCTCCCTTGAAGCTAGGCTCAGTATCTCGTAGGCGGAGACCAATGCTATCGAAATTATCCTGAACGTCATGTTAGCGACCAACGAGGACGATGCGCAGGTAATACGACGTCGTACCGGATCAGCGCTTGCGTCCCAACCCAGGATATCTTCGGCTTCATCCTCGTCCTCGTTGGGTACATCCCATTGCCTGTCATCGTCCGCTGGGACGAAAAGACTATCAAATTGGATCGACGGCGGCGGCGGCTGGGATGCTGTCTGAGTGTTTGGCTCGGGTCCTCGCGTTGAAGTCCCCGTGAGTGGACGAATGGGCCTGTTGCGAGGAGGAGGAGGCATCGGCCTTGTATTGGCTGTGCTATTCGCTTGACTAGTAGTGTTTGCCAGCGCCGGTGTTTGCCTGGCCGATAGTTGCGGTACCGGTCGAGAAGAGCTAATATCTTCCGGACCAGCTTCCCCGGTTGTCATCAAGGTGAACTCCGATTTTACACCCTCAAATTCATAAGCGAGTTGCAAAGGCCGGCAAGGACGAGTGTATCGGGCAGCAATCATCACCTGCGCAGTTTCAGCATGGGATATTACTGCTTTGAAGTCCTTTAAGCTGATGGCAACGTGGAGACTGTCCTCAGCTAGGAAATATTCGAAATCCTTCTTGTCAATGGCAACTGAGGTGTGCACCGGTTGCCTGAGGATCTCTGCAGCAGATAAATCAGTATAATGGATATGAAGAAAACATAAAACTCGCCAAGAAGCAAACCTTTTCCATCAGTAATTTTAGTCGTAAAGCTTGTAAAGATAGCTTTGGTGCTTTCTGAATAGATGTCTAGTTGCTCTGCCGAAGGACTGAAGTGATCGGTTATCTCTTTCAGAAACTTCGGCTCTATACTCCATTCATTGGTAGCTTTTGACCTATCAAATACCGCATGTTGGATTGTTGTAGATTCATAGGTGAGCTTGTATGACTTAATGACACCTAGAAAGACACGGTGAGCAGACTTAAAACCGAACAAGGTTAGAAATTACTAACCAAGCCCGCATATCATCTTGATGATGAGCCGACATTCGGTCTCATCCAAGTCCTCCTGAAGCTCGAAAACGCAACGTTCAACTGCGGTATCTTTGTCTCGGCCGCTTGTTCTCCCTTTGAATACGGAGAGCAGTGCCTGATGAATGTTAGTGGGCGAAGAATCGTAAGCAGTGTTCTAGGGAATGCCTACTTTCAGATATACTTGGCAAGTAAACTTATTTGGGCGCAGGGACCTAGAGTTGCCCACATTTCTAACTATGCCAAAGGAATAGCTTTCGAAGAAGCTATTGGCTCCAAATGCAAATGCAGAATATGCCGTTTTGCTTGTGTTGAGAGTGCTCAGCCGAAGCTAGGATATCGTTAGAAAAGGCTCCAGGTGTCAGATTCCACTATCACCGCACGTACCAGATCATATTCAGCCTCAATTGATACAGTATCGCTAAATTTCGCCAGACAGGTCAGGGCATCATGCAACCGTAATAATGCCCCCGGGAGGAGCGAGAATGATAAGGTGGTCATTGGCTCTCTCGGTGGAGAAATGCTATGGCTGCAGGTTTTTGTTTCCCAGAGATTCTCCTCCGGTTTAAACCATCTGATGTACAATCAGCCCTTGGTGTTCGTACATATTTCTCCTTTCTTGTGTTTGTGAATATTGTGAAGTCCAAGTCTTGTCACGTTCAAAATGCCCCAGGCACCAGGACGCGTGTTTACATAAGCACCGTCACCGATGGAAGGTATGTTGCTTCATCGACACAAGATATCCATCACCTCTAAAAAGCTACTTGGAACATCAAGATAGATGCTGATGAGCTGCATTGTGTGTGTGGTGTGACTAGGTCCTGAGGTGGTTGTACCTCTGTCGCGAAAATGGCCGTTACGCTACCCAGCGACGTTCTCTTTATGATCTTGGATGTCTTGGGAGATGAGAAGGACTACAACAGCTTGTATCAATGCGCGCTAGCATCCAAATGCTTCACCGAGCATGCACTATCCGTGCTGTATAGGTAAGGATATGGGTTATTTTCGATGGATCCCACGCGTTTCCATCTGCTTACTCCCGCCATCAGGCTGTATGATACTTCGCCTTTAAGAGGCGGGGGTACCGAGGACGAGCAATTCAGAGCTCGACGACCAGCAGCAAGTTTGGCTTCTCTTAGGCGAGAACAAGATCCCACTATCAGGAAATGGATCGTCCTTTGGCGCTCTATCTTACTGTCTACACTTGACCAGACTTATCTACCTTATCATAGGTACATTCGGTACCTAGATCTTGATGATCTGGGGGACCTTCTCGGTTCGAATAAGGATGTCAAAGAGTGCGTATCCATCCTCTTTACAATATTCCGTAATATGTTTGTATGTTAGCGCTCTCTCTAATACCCTATAGTGAGCTGTTCACTCCGGAGCTCCTGGATTACGTTTCTCAGGAGTATGTATCAGAGGGCAACAAGCGTCGTCGGTCTCCGAGAACATTGCCTGATAACGAATGGATCAAGATAAAACTTGGCTCTGGTTAGTTATGTGCTTTTTACAACCCCTGCAGCTCAGTATCAGGACCGTCTTTATGACTTATAGCTCACTTCTCCAGCCATTGTCAAGAGAAATTCGTCCATACGCGGCATGTCATGCAATGGTAGGCTACGCACTTTAAAGATTCAACCAAGTGGCGTCGTGCTCAGCTGACTTGGGTTAGTCGCACCGACAACATTGAATGAATGGATAGAGGGATCACCACAGCTGCAAGCCCTCACTGTCTGGTCAGGATCTACGCTTTCACAGCATGCCGGCCAGAAGATCCATGATCACTGCCCTGAATTTAAGCAGCTCAGAATCTACAGCTGGTACAATGCCGTGTCGTACTTTACTTCTCAAATGCTAATCGCCATTCTCCAGGCAAAGCATTGCCCCGCAGAATGCAGACACTGATGCAGAAGAGTTATTCAAAGAACTTCACCCCAATTCTCTGGAGTACTTCGAAGTGCTTAGCTTTTCCCACCTGGGCTCGCGCTCAATAAAGGCCCTAGGGACACAGAGGGAATCTTTAGTTGAACTGAAGTTAACATACCTTGATATTGAGGCAATTGCAGAACTCCCGTCACTATCAGAACTTCCAAAACTAGAAGTTTTGGCATTGACAGATTCGATGCCTACTACCTGGAACGACCAGTTCTATACTACTATCGGCCAAGTCGCCGACTGGATACGAAGTTGTAAAAAATTGAAACGTCTGGATCTGAGAAAGTTCGTTGACGATGCTGAACTACTTACACAAGTGCTCGCGAACAATGAAATTCATTTGACCAGTCTATCCTTTGCGGGTTACATGTTAGCTAATAGTCGTGGATTTTTCGATGCGGTTTGCACCCATCAATCCTTAGAAGTGCTTTATCTACAAGGAGAAGGGAGCGAAACCCCCGAGGATAATGAGAAGCTTGTGCAAGCCCTCATCGGACTCCAGGATCTCCGTGAACTTGAACTCAAAGACGTATCGGACTGGTTTACGATGGACCATGTTATGACGTTGACACCGTTTCTTCCCCGTCTAGAGAGATTGTGGATTAGTGGTGAGGCCTTCGACGACTCTGTATGGAGCGCATTTTTGTGCTTGCAAAACCTTCAGAGTCTGGCTATCTACGCCCTCAGTAACTTCACAGCGGAAGGGGTACTCGACTTTATCACCCAGTTGGGACCTGGAAACAGAGGTCTGAGTTTGTCAATACTGAACGCAGCGTCAGATATCTATTTCCCGGAAGAAGCGCAGAATTTGATTCGTGAAATCCTGGCAACCAAGTTAGACGGGTCGTTTGACTTTGGACTTGTTCAACGTGTGTTTGACTTTGGACTTGTTCAAGGTGTGTTGCACTCAATATCTTCAATTTTGAAAAGACAAGACTAACAAGCAGTTACAGAGGAACCCAGCGACTCCAGTTCTGGCGAAGAAATTTACGATTAATAAATAGCTTGTCGTGGTCTTTTTTGGGGGGGGGGCAGATGAGGACTCTAGGAAGTACTCCATAGGGTATTAGGAAAGGACTTTGGAAAATAACTCGCCTTGAGCAAATTGAGCATTATTCATAGAGATCGATCATGACCTCCTCAAACTTCAAAATTCCTTCTTCTTGTAATTAGTGTATGCAAAACTAATTAATGTGGATTGGCGGGATTCGCGTCCACACCGCGTCCGGAACGCGTTCCCATCCGGCGCGACACCACAAACGAATCGGAGGCAATGAAATGGTGTTATCCCTTCCCCAAGACACAACAAGGACAACCCAAATCAAGAGTCAGTGCGTCAGTCTACTGTGCCTGCTTCATCAAACTTCTATTCACGTTTACCATGCCCATGTCATCCGCGTAACGCAAAATATAAAGAACAATGGCTGCAGCTCGAGCTAAATTGGCGGAGCTGAAGGCCCTTCGTGCTGCAGGAAAGAAGCGCCTGTCGACGTATGAGGTCGAAGAACAAGGCGACATTTACGAGGAAGTCGACGACGAAGGATATAAGAAAATCATCCGGAATCGGCTTGACGAAGATGATTTCGTTGTCGATGACAATGGCGAGGGATACGCCGACGATGGCCGAGAAGTCTGGAATGAACGGGGCGAGCGCTACGGCGATAGCAACAGCGAGGATGACGAGTTGCCTGCTCGAGGCAAGGCTGCAAAGAGGAAGCGCGAAGAAGAGAAGCAGAGAAAGGAGAAAATTAATAACGGGATCTCCAAATACTTCAATAGCGGGAGCGCAAACTCCGCTCCTAAATCCAAGGTGAGTGGTAGTTTGAACAGGACGACGACGATGCACGAGGTTCCTGGAAGAATTGAGTGCTGATAAACTTTGGTATAGCCTGTTGCTACAGCGGAAGATGAGGCCTTTATGGCTGATCTCCTCGGAGAGGTCGATACCAATATCGTTTCGAAACACGTTCCAAAGCATAATGTGGTGAAGTCCGAAACCCGTCGAAAAGTTCGCATCCTATCCCCACCTCTATCGGACAGAACGCGCACCCCGAAAGGTATCACAAAAGACGCAAATAGCGACCCAGTATCCCCGGGTGACTCAGAGCCAGCGCTGAATTTGGATAACGACGATGGACCGCTCCTTCACGCAGACGACGACGACGACGTCCCAATGAGCGACCCCATGCCTTCATCCCCGGTTAGCAAAGCAGTAGAAAGAAAATACATGGCGCCTATCAAGGCGGAAGAGCCTGAGGAGGACGATAATGATCTGATGGAGGTTACCCAAGCAACTGGTCATCTTGAAGCAGGTGTGAAAACCGTCAACATGGCCGGAAGCCGGCCTACCCCCAGCCTTAAGAAGGAATTATACCCCCCAATGCCCGCAAGCTCTTCTCCTATGAAAGCAGGAGCGGAAGTTAACGCCTCGTGGAATGATGTACGTGATAAATTGAATGTCCTCAACAGCCCAGCATCGGAGCCACGCTCCTTCGGCAAACTAAGCCCTAAGGATGTGGTGGAGGAGGATGGGAGCCTACGCATGTTCTGGCTCGACTACACGGAAGTCAACGGCAGTTTGTGCTTATTCGGAAAGGTGAAGAACAAGCAAAATGGCTCCTATGCAAGTGCGTTCGTCAAAGTCGATAGCATCCTCCGAAAGCTTTATTTTCTCCCTAGAGACTATAGACACAAACATGGGCGAGACACGGATGAAGAAGTAGATATGGAAGACATGTACCATGAGGTTGATGCGATGATGTCAAGGCTTAGAGTTGGCATGCACAAGATGAAACCATGCACTCGGAAGTATGCGTTCGAGTTACCTGGTGTACCAAAAAAGGCCGAGTATCTGAAGCTTCTCTATCCTTATGACAAGCCGGCACTACCGATGGATACCAAGGGAGAAACATTTTCTCATATTTTTGGGTCAAATACCTCATTGTTTGAGCAGTTTGTTCTCTGGAAGAACATCATGGGTCCTTGTTGGCTTCAATTTGAAGAAGCGGATTTCTCGGCAGTCAACAATGCTTCATGGTGCAAGTTTGAATGCCAGACGACGAAGCCAGCACTCATCTCCCCCGTTCCTGATTCTGAGAACCTCGAGGCACCTCCGCTTACACTGATGAGTCTTTCGTTTAGAACGCAGCTCAATGTGAAAGAGAACAAACAGGAGATCTTGGTAGCAAGCGCCAGAGTATACGAGAATGTATCCCTCACCGATACCACCCCCCCAGAAAAACTTCCTTGCAAGACGTTCACGGTCATGCGCCCTTCGGGTTCTTCGTATCCAGTGCATTTCGAGGCTGAAGTACGAAAGCAACGAGGCACGTACATACTGGAAAAGAGCGAGCAGTTCCTTCTGAGCAAATTCTTGGCACTTTTCGAGAGGATGGACCCTGATGTTCTGATGGGACATCAACTCCAGGAGGTCGATCTCAGTGTTTTCCTGAGCAGACTTAAGGAAAAGAAAACACCCGGATGGCATCGTATCGGTCGATTAAAGCGTGGTGAATGGCCCAAAAACTTCAATAGAGGAGGGGGTTTCTTCACCGAGAGGCACTTGATAGCAGGAAGGTTGATGTGCGATGTCGCCAATGACATGGGCAAGGTAAGAATATCTTATTTATTTTTAAGGAAAGATTTACTAACACTTAATAGTCGCTTATGATGAAGTGCCAATCCTGGAGCTTGACCGAAATGTGTAATCTTTACCTCGGACCGGGAAATGCAAGACAAGATCTGGATATTGAGGCTGCCTTGAAGACTTGGGCTGGCTCAAAGGATGGGCTCATAAACTTTGTGAATCACTGCGATGCAGATACTTACTTTATTGCTGCGCTAGTTCTACGCCTTCAAATGCTGTCCCTGACCAAAGTCCTCACCAACATTGCTGGAAACTCTTGGGCACGTACCCTGAGTGGTACACGTGCTGAGCGGAACGAGTACATTTTGCTTCATGAATTCCATCGCAACAAATACATCTGTCCTGATAAGTATTCTGCTAAGCTTCAAAAAGCAGAGGAAAGGATCCAGGAAGGGGATGATGAAGATTCCGCAGATAAGAAAAAGAAAGATAAGTACAAGGGTGGCCTGGTTTTCGAACCCGAGAGGGGGCTTTACGACCGATTCGTGCTCGTCATGGATTTCAACAGCTTGTATCCAAGTATTATCCAGGAGTACAACATTTGTTTCACAACGGTGGACCGGACGGCATCGGTGGGTTTTTCTTAAATACCCCCTCACTCTTCCCCTGGAACTTGCTGACATACCTTGCAGGCTGAAAATGAAAATGAGGAGAAGGTCCCAGAGGTCCCTCCCTCAGATGCTGAGCAGGGTATCCTACCGCGGCTGATTGCAACCCTCGTTGGTCGTCGACGGGAAGTCAAAAAGCTCATGAAGGACAAGCGCGCAACCCCTGAACAGCTCGCACTATGGGACACTAAGCAGCTCGCCTTTAAGCTGACTGCCAACTCGATGTACGGATGTTTGGGATACACGCAAAGTCGTTTCTACGCTCGTCCCTTGGCAATGCTTACCACCTTTAAGGGTCGTGAGATTCTTCGAAGCACCAAGGAACTGGCAGAAAGCAAACAGCTTCGGGTCATTTATGGTGATACTGACTCTGTCATGATCAACACAAACATGGACACCATTAGCGATGCCCTAAAGGTTGGAGAGGAGTTCAAAAAATCAGTCAATGAGCGATATCGGTTGCTGGAGATTGACATCGATAACATTTTCCGCCGTCTCCTCCTGCACGCCAAGAAGAAGTATGCTGCCATCAACATGACGGAAGTAGATGGTAAATACGTTGATAAGCTCGAAGTCAAGGGTTTGGATATGAAGAGACGTGAATACTGCGCCTTGTCGAAGGAGGCTTCACAAAAGCTTCTGAACGAGGTTCTTTCTGGGGAAGATCAGGAAATAGTTCTCAACCGGGTTCATGACTACTTGCGTGATTTAGCAAGTAAAATGCGAGAATTCACGATCCCTGTCCAGAAATACGTGATTTACACAGTATGCACTTGGCTTTGTTCAAATCTTGGGTTCCTAACTAATCGCTCTACAGAAACTTTCCAAGAAGCCCGAAGAATATCCAAACAAGGAATCAATGCCTCCAGTTCAAGTCGCACTGCGCGAACTTGCTCGCGGCAAAAACATACGGCCAAACGACGTTATATCATACGTGGTAACCTCTGGAGACTCAGAAACATCGTCTCTTCCTCCCGCCAAAAGGTCATACACACTTCAAGATGTGATCAAGGCGGACTCGGGATTGAAACCAGATGTTGAGTTCTACCTGCTCAAACAAATTTTTCCTCCCATTGAGCGTCTCTGTGCTCCCATCCCGGGTACTGATGCCGTTCGTCTGGCCGAATGCCTAGGACTGGATGTTCGCAAATACCAAATCAACACATCCGTGGCAAACAGCCAGCAGAATGCAGAAATTTTCCCCCTTGAGTCACAGATTCCCGACTCCATTCGGTTTGAAAATGCTGCTAGACTGACCCTCACCTGCCGCTTCTGCAAAGAGCGGTCCGTCTTCGAGGGACTCGCAGTATCAATCAACATGTGCAATCCCCATGGCATTGTTTGCCCGAATTCAGCCTGCCAGAAACAATTCACCGTTTTGACGATTGTTGCGCAGTTGGAGTCTCAGATTCGGGCTCAGACCTCCAAATACTACGAGGGCTGGCTCGTCTGCGACGATTCTGCCTGCGGCAATCGTACCCGCCAGATGAGTGTTTATGGACACCGGTGTCTCGGACCCCGTGGCCATGCTGAAGGCTGTCTTGGGAAGATGACGTACGAGTACAGTGAAAAACAGATGTACAATCAACTTCTTTACTTTGCCAGCCTCTGGGATGTGGACAAGGCCCGAGCAATGGCAGAAAAGGAAGCTAGTGGCGAGAAGAAGGACAGCGTTGCTGCTCTCGTCGAGTTCAATCGTATACGGTTTGGAACGGTTAAGGGAGTGGTGGACGCATACTTGAAGAAGTGCGGACGCCAATGGGTCGAGATGGATAATTTGTTCCGTTTTATGTTGCCTTGATTCTTTTTACTTGGATGGATAGTGTGTTCTTTACGTCTGCACATAGCGACTCTTCCAGCCGGACGACTTTGGCTCTGGTTCTATTATTACTGTGTCTTTGCTTACTGTTTTAGCGTATTTTGTTAGGGTTGGGTGATGATGGGATAAGTGTCACTTGATTAAATATGAATGATAGTTTGAATTGAGTTATATGAACAATGCTGAGTTCATACTCCCGTGACGGCTCCAGATCTTAGCAGAAACTTGTCGAGGCACACACACACTCTTCGCTATATTCAGCATATCCCAGGTTGGAGATTCTCAATATAACGCGTTGAAGTAAGTTGGTGAGATCTATCTGTGAAGGAGGTATTAAGTGCTGAATTGCCCTTGATAAACTCGTGAACATCTAGTTGGGGAGCGTGCAGGCTGCAGTAAGTTGGCCAGGCGAAAAAGGTTCCAATAGACGAGAGAAGCCTTTAAAATACTTGTAGAAGAATAAAATACACGGCAAATCCGAGTTCGTGACTTAGATACTAAAATACATCTTTATTTGACATTTCAAAGACGAACCGATGTTTATGGTTCTAAAAGCTTATAATAGGAGACTGAGTCAAATATCACACATCGAGATTTCCTAATAGAGGATATACTCCCGTAGCTCAATCGGTTTAGAGCACCAAGCTTATATGACATGGTATCAAAAGTACCACTTATATGTGCCTCTTGGAGGTTGGGAGTTCGATCCTCCCCGGGAGTATGCTTTTTTCATGCCCGTCTTATTATTATTTTTTTTTAATTTTATTTCTTGTCCGTTTAAACCTCGAGTAATTAATTAACTAGGTATTTTACTAGATCCCTGGGTTCGTTTTCTGTATGTATTCTCTCTCTCGCTCTATATCCCGGCCAAAACCGGAGTGCTTCGAATTTCTCCCCTACTACCAACCACCAACAACCACCTTGTCTAGTTTCTGACCACAAACGACTGAAAATAGAAATATGCTTGAGATTGAATTTTTCTACTGTGATTAACTTGGTATCGTCGAGGTCAAATATATGACACAAACAACGCTAGACTCTTTGGGTCCGAAGTTATGCCCCACCTCTATCGATAATAATTAATCGGGATGAATTCCATCTTCTCCGGAACAACCTGGAGAATATCTGGCATCAAGTTATAGTTGCTCAGTAGCAACTCCCATTCTGAACTAGTCTAGTTTTACACCTATGAATTCAAGATCATGTCAGTGAAACGGGTTCTCGTGATTGCAGGCTCTGACAGCTCCGGCGGCGCGTAAGTCATTCCCCTCACTTCCCCTCCACACCACCTTGACGGATCAGCTACCTTCGGTCACAGCAAGCTAATGCACGTATATCGGATTCAGCGGCCTAGAGGCTGATCAGAGAGTCCTGGCTGCACATGGATGCTATGCCCTCACAGCTACTACTGGGCTCACCGCTCAGAACACTCTTGGGGTGCAAGACATTTTTGTCGTTCCACCCGAGTTTGTTAAGAAGCAAATCAACGCTAGCCTTGAAGATATCGGGGCAGATGTTGTCAAAATTGGTATGGCTTTGCGCCTTTTTTGGGGGGGGGCTTCCCTTTCCTGTTTCTGTTACCTCCAAGTATCTCTGACGATCTTATGTGCTGGGCTAATCATTGTACAGGAATGCTCTCGTCCGCGGAGACAATTGATATCATTGCAGATGCACTTGTCTCTTACCAGATTCCATCTGTAGTGCTAGATCCGGTAATTTTCCTGTTCTGTGATTTATTTTCTTGTCTCTTAATGTCGGATTGGAACAGGTGATGGTGTCTACAAGCGGATCCCAGTTACTGCCTGAGGCGGCTGTTCGCGTGTTGCGAGTGAAATTGATCCCTCTCGCGACTATTCTCACTCCTAATATCCCAGAAGCTAAGCTTCTCCTAAAAGACTCTGGTGTGGACGTTCCAGACCCGGAAGGTCTTGATGGAGTCATCCATCTCGCAAAACAAATCCATGGTCTTGGGTCCAAAGCTGTTCTACTCAAGGGTGGCCACTTGCCTCTCACTAAAGATCTCAAAACTGCGCACAATGTAGAGGAGGCCGCGAGAGTCGTTGACATCCTTTATGACGGTGAAAATGTTACCTTATTTGAGACTGACTTTCTTATCTCCAAAAACACCCATGGCACCGGTTGCTCCCTTGCCTCTGCCATCGCAGCCAATCTGGCACTTGGGAAAGATATGACAAGAGCTGTCCGCAGTGCCGTCAGATTCGTCGAGGCAGGAATTAAAACCAGCTTTAGTCTTGGAAAAGGAAGTGGACCGATTAACCATTTTCACTCCATGCACTCACTACCTTTTGCACCGTATGCTTGTCTACCCTTCATACCCTTTTCTGCACAATTCAGACAGCTGATCAACCTATATAGTGGACGTTTCGTGGAATACATCCTGGACCGCCCTGATGTTCAACCAGTCTGGAAGAGGTTTACCGAACATGAATTTGTTTTGGGGTTGGCCAGTGGCGCACTTCCCTTGGAACAATTCAAGAAATATCTAGTCCAGGATTATCTTTACCTCGTATGTACACATTTTGCAGGGTTTTCACATCTGTTATAACTAAAGGGTTTCCATACAGATTCACTTTGCTCGGAGTAACGCCCTAGCTTCTTACAAGGGGAAAGACATGGAAACCATTGCTGCTGTAAGTCCGGTCAAACAAAGCTAATGTGTCTCTGTAAGTATCACAACTAATTTGGCCATTATAGTCCGCCAAAATTGTCCTGCACATCCAACGAGAAACCGCACTACACTTGGATTACTGTGCGTCTTTTGGGATATCCAAAGATCAGATGGAGAAAACACCAGAAACCATTGGTAGACATCCATCCCCTTTTGCGTTTTGTAATTTCGCCCTTGTATATTGACAAAAACATGAATAGCTTGCGCAGCGTATAGCAGATATATCCTAGATGTTGGTCAATCAGATGACTGGCTAGCGTTGCAAGTAGCCCTCGCACCTTGTTTGATCGGGTATGGAGCCATAGCCCAAAGACTGTACAACAACGCAGGGACGCTTCGAGAAGGCAACCGGTACTTCAAATGGATCGAAAATTACGTTGCGGAAGATTACACTGAGGCCGTCCGGTTGGGGTCTGGTAAGAAATCTGCAGTTTCCGAATACACAAAGGCTATGTCTAATGCTTTTTTCTACAGAACTGTTGGAAACCTATATGCGACAAGTTTCTCCCTCCCGGATGGAAGAGCTGATCAAGATCTTTATCAGGGCAACTGAGTTGGAAATCAGTTTCTGGGATATGGGACTTGGCAATGCGCGTTCGTGAGGTAGATCCCTACTTAGTTACTGTGTAGTAGTGGTACTACTACTAGTAGGAGCAGGCATACAGAGAAAAATCCTACATACGCAGACGGTTTTCTCTGATTATGCTATCCAGAACTGGAGCAAGTACCCAAAAAGGAAATCGCCATCGAACCCATGAATCGAGCGCCAAACTTTAATACTGCCGGTCAAAAAGTAACGTGGCAAGTCAGATGATAGAACATCAAGATGGCGATGAGTGTTCAGGTTCGTCAATTCGCAGCACTTGCGGTAGATTTGGCTGAGGAAGCAGTGGTAAAATTCATTTGGACTACTTAGATTCACACTCAACCACTTTATTCCCCATATCCACCAGTATTTTTTCAAAATGCGGCCCTATTTTGTTGGGCCACACCGCCTCTGGAGGTTCGGCTTACGTAACCCCGGCGGTGTAAAAATTTAGCCCCTGCGCTAATCCCAAAACGAAAAAGTTGCCTCAGCGCCTTCTTTCCTCTTCTTTTTTTTCTCTCTCTTTGCCTCCCGCCCAAAAATCTTTCTTCCTTTATCCCCCCATCTTCGCCTCTCTCTCTCTCTCTCTTTCGTATTTTTCTCTTGATATTGTTTTGATATCATCCTCTTCTCTCTCATTCATCGGAGATTCTTTATTCTCCTCCTGTCCTTGCCTTTGTTTTCCATCCCTCTCTCTATCTGCACTGGTGTTTTCCATTTTCGCAGGTTGAGATTCCGATTCTTTTGCCACGAAGGACAATAAAACACATCGTTTCCAATCCCCATCATGTCCTACAACGGCAACGGTGGCGGCTACCAGCGCGAGTCCTATCGGTAAGTAGTTTTATGTTCTATCTTTTTGTGTCCTAGCAACCCACGAGGATATGCGCTTGGCGGATTTCATGCGTGTTGTGGTATGTTGGACTGCACCAGTGCTCTGGGTGTTCAGTCGATTGTCACCTAGTACATATGTGGTTGCTTCTCTAGTGCATTGCGCTTTATGAGAACCAACACTAGTATTCCACGATCCTCTAGTCCAACCACTACCCATCAGCTTGAAGTCCTTGTCAAGGAGAAAAAAAAAGGAAAAAAAAAAAAAAAACTTTTCCTTTTCCAAGAGCACCCTTGTTGATATTTTTCTTCATTTTAGCTCCCGACAAGGTGGTAGTGGTGGATACTCGAACGGCCACTCCAACGGCGGCTACTCCAATGGTAACGGAGGCTATGGAGGTGGCTACGGTGGCGGCTATGGCCGGGGCGGCGGCGGTGCCGGTGGTGACCGCATGTCTAATCTGGGAGCCGGGCTCAAGAAGCAAGAATGGGGTAAGTTTTATGCCGTGCTTGACAACCAGCGAATTCAACACTAACCCCTTTCTAGATCTAGATACACTGCCCAAGTTCGAGAAGTCCTTCTATAAGGAACATCCCGATGTCGCCAATCGTTCTCAGCGCGAAGTTGATGAATTCCGTAAGAAGTTTGAAATGACCGTGCAGGGAAAGAATGTCCCCCGTCCTGTTGAGACCTTCGACGAGGCTGGCTTCCCTCAATACGTTCTCAGCGAGGTCAAGGCCCAGGGTTTCGACAAGCCTACCGCTATTCAGTCTCAAGGTTGGCCTATGGCTCTATCCGGTCGCGACGTTGTCGGTATCGCTGAAACAGGTTCCGGAAAAACTTTGACATATTGTCTTCCCTCGATTGTTCACATTAATGCTCAGCCTCTCCTTGCGCCTGGAGATGGCCCTATCGTCCTCGTTCTCGCCCCTACTCGTGAGTTGGCAGTCCAGATTCAGGTTGAAATCACCAAGTTCGGAAAGTCTTCCCGCATCAGGAACACCTGTGTCTACGGTGGTGTTCCCAAAGGTCCCCAGATCCGTGATCTTTCCCGTGGTGTCGAGGTCTGCATTGCTACTCCCGGTCGTCTGATTGATATGCTGGAAGCTGGTCGTACCAATCTTCGTCGTGTCACCTACCTCGTTCTTGACGAGGCCGATCGTATGTTGGACATGGGTTTCGAACCCCAGATTCGCAAGATTATCTCTCAGATTCGCCCCGATCGTCAGACGTGCATGTGGTCCGCTACCTGGCCCAAGGAAGTGCGCCAGCTTGCGAGCGACTTCCTCAACGACTACATCCAGGTCAACATTGGTTCCATGGACTTGTCTGCTAACCATCGTATTACTCAAATTGTCGAGGTTGTTTCGGACTTTGAGAAGCGTGATCGCATGATCAAGCACCTTGAGAAGATCATGGAGAATCGGTCCAATAAATGCCTTATCTTCACCGGTACCAAGCGTATTGCTGATGAGATTACTCGTTTCCTGCGTCAAGATGGATGGCCCGCCCTTTGTGAGTACTCCTATCTACCTATGATCTTCTGACCCCGCTAACATACGTGCAGCAATTCACGGCGATAAGCAACAACAAGAGAGAGATTGGGTCTTGAACGAGTTCAAGGCGGGCAAGAGCCCAATCATGGTGGCTACTGACGTGGCTTCCCGTGGTATTGGTATGATCAATTTTCAACCCCCCTTCTCTTCCCTTCCCCTTTCCCCCCCCCTTTCAGCCTTCTTTCTTAAAGCACCTCAACCGCGTTGAGGCTGTGTGACAGTGACACAGTGCTTGACTCTCTAAAATAACCATGTTGGCATACATGACTTGTCCAGGCTTTGTCGGGTCTCCTGAAATGGTTCTCAAGCCAGGAGAACCTTGGACTTACAGTGCAGTTTAGCAGACACGTAGGATTCTCTTATTCTTCTGTTCTGATACTCCTCTATTCTTGGACCTAGTTGGTAGAGAAGGGGGTGGTGGCCCTCTCTTCCAACTTGTTGAAGCTGCATTCCAAGGTTGCTCTAGGACCGCGATTTTTGCCAACCCATGGACTCACCCACAACGGATCTTGTAATGAACATCCGAGGAAGAGAGTGATGCATCTAGTCTCACGACTGAGAAAGGGCTTATAGGCCACGCTGCTATTTCCACTAATGCTCTGTTTGCTAACATAAGTTTGTCTGAAGACGTTCGCGACATCACCCATGTGCTGAACTATGACTATCCCAACAACTCCGAAGACTATGTTCACCGTATTGGTCGTACTGGTCGTGCTGGTGCTAAGGGAACTGCCATTACCTTCTTCACCACTGACAGTAAGTTCCTCCTCGTGTCTTTTACCCTTGGAAAAAAAGCTCGTGTTCCTAACATTTCTCTAGATTCTAAGCAGGCTCGTGATTTGGTCACCATCCTCTCTGAGGCTAAGCAGCAGATTGATCCCCGTCTCGCTGAGATGGTCCGCTACAGCGGTGGCGGTGGTCATGGCCACGGTGGCCATGGTCGTTGGGGCGGCCGCGGCCGTGGCCGTGGTGGTAACTCCACTGCGTCCAACTCGGCCCCGCTTGGACAAAACCGTCGCTGGTAAACTGATCTTGATGCTCCAGCGCAGTGTCACGAGCTTGTATTCCGCTATTCCCACGGTAGACCTTTTGCTTTCCTTTTGCACCTTCACGTTGTTTTCAGACATTTTTCATTCGTAACTCAGTATGGGCGGCGTTCGTCAATCTCACGATAGACTGTTTATGTGGTTTACTCAGTTTACAGGGTTTTCCGAATTGGGACAATAACCCACGGTCATTTTCATGCACACTTTACACGGATACATGTTAATTCTCAATTTTCTCTGTCGTTTAAAAAGTTTTGTACCACTCTTCGCTTTCTCAAGCAGGATGATGGGCTTCTCTAGATAGTGTGTAGCTTTGATATGGCATACTAACAATCGAAGCAATGTACCTATTTGATTACACACAAACAAGGTCCGGTTAATTCTGTGAGTAGGTAATGTAACTCGATACTTGTAGTCTTGTTCCCAGAGGTGCTTTTATATCTGAGCTGAGGCCTTGGATGTAGCTGTGCTGTGAGTTTGTGGCAACAGGCTCAGGCTGGGGATCTGAGGAACTAGGGTTTCGCACTGGCCGGGGATATATGCCATGATGAATCGTTTCGGTTTCTGGCTCTTCGCAGTGTCTTCTTCTCTGAAAGCCTTCATTCGACTCCAGGGCAAAGACGCAGATGCCATCACACCTATCATATATGCTCAGATACTAATCTCAAACAGATCACGAGCGCTACTCCGCACTGCGAGACCTGGAAATGTGTGATCAACACGTTGTGAAACTGGGCCAGAGCTATCCACCACACCCAAGTTTTGTCAATAATGTCTTCAAATAGTACATGCCCGAAAAATTCGCCCTTGACCTCCTAGTTCAAGCCGTCCATGTGATGCCCCCATTCTTTCTTCGGCCTAGGTGATACAACGTGTGTGTGTGTGTGTGTGTGTGTGTATGTATATATAGACCCGTTTAACCCAGCATAGTTCGACCCCGATCATCCCATACTTCAACGAAGCACTTTGAACCACACAGACTACTACTACTCTTAGACACCGCATTTCCATCCTGAATCGGGGCCCCACACAAAAATGAAAGCCACTGCCTTCCTCTCCCTCTTCCTGGCCTCGACCGCCGTCCTTGCAGCACCCACCAAGGTCACCCGGGAGCCCAGCGCGATCGAAGAGCGCGCCAACTCCGCAACCCAGGTCCTCGCCGCGATTGGTACCAAGGTGGTTGCCCTCAACAGCGCCATCACCTCGTGTGGACCGGCGGCGACTATCCCCCAGTCAAGGCCGCCTCTGACGTCCTGATCGAAACCATCAACAACGGCACCACAGCCATCCAGAACGCGCCTGCGCTCGACAACCCCCGGAGCACTGGCGCTGACCGGCCCCGTCCAGGACCTGACCAAGGAGGTTGGAACCACTGTGGACGACATCGTGGCCAAGAAGCAGGCAGTGGTTGCGGCAACAGTCGGCGGCGTCACCAAGACCTCGTTGAATGACCAGTACGCCGCGGCGGAGAAGCTGTCCAAGGCTCTCACTGCCAAGGTCCCTGATGCGCTTTCGGGGATCGCGGCCCAGCTCTCTGCTGGTATTACCGATGCGATTCAGAAGGGTATTGATGCGTATGATGATGTGTCTAGCTCCTAAAAAGGAGGGGGGGGGGGGGGGGGGTTGTACTTGTTTTGCTGGTGCTACTTGTCTACGAAGCGGCAGGTAGGACACACACAGAACTAGGGCTGAGAGATATACTTTGCGGGGGGGGGGGGGCCTTAAAAAAAAAAAAAAAAAGAGAGGCAGTTATAAGATGTACTACTCCGGGCTATGTCTCCAAAAAAAAAAAAGATACATTCGTCTCAGCTGTCCTTAGAGAACCGACGCCTATGTATATCGTTGGGCAATGGATATGATCCAGAATATCTTCTTTGCTTTGGTTTCGTTATTGTAGTCTATGTACTGGGGGATGCTGTGTAATAATTGAACCACTGCACTGTAGTAGGCTCTGAACTGTTAGTGTTATTGAGGTGAGAAGAGTTCTATATTAGTTGTCCCTTATGGAACGCTATCAAGTATATATCTTGCCTAGAAATTTCCATACCAACCTCAGCATTCTTCTATAAAATGGTTCTTATGACCCAAAATACCAGGAGAGATATACATTTAAAAGATGCAAATTCTAATGCCCGTAACTATGTGGCTTGCACATATATATATATACAAACCACTGAAGCAAACCATAAGAAATACATTAGCCTGAGTTAGCGCGGCTTTGAATGACTGCCGATATAGGCACAGGCCATAGAGAGCGCTCAATGCACAGACAAATGTCGAGTCGAGGTCCAGTAAAGTGCCTGTTGGTTGCCAGACGGGTTCCGCCTCTATTGGTGGAATACTAAAAAGATTGGTGCAGACATTGTTTAACTAGCCACAGAAAACCAGTTACAGGCTCCCTAGCATAATTTCCACATGCGGGTTGACATGTATATTTTTATCTTGAGATCAGACTCTTGGTTGCGGAGAATATTCAACGGAAAAGGCGATGGATGGATGCATCTGGTGTACAGAGGAAGGAGGTTAATGGAAGATAATTCTCCGGTGACGAGCCCCAGGCCCCCAGCCAGCCGATAGGAACTTTAATTCTTACAGTGCATTGTTTAGTAGTCTTTAGAGAGGTCATGGCCGTTTTCATGGTCCTTGTTGCATACTTATCCTACCGAGTGGTCCTCCTCAAACTATGCCTGGACAAGGAAGGCAGCAGGCATTGGTGGGAGGGTAAGCTGCGAATATCCCAGCTCCAGCTCCAGCTCCAGCCCCAGAGTCAGAGGGCCATACCGGAAGAGAATGCCACGATGATCAGCTGGGGTCGTTTATCAGAGGACCTATTTGAAGTTTGAAAGAAGTACTAACACCCGCCGCATATCAGAAGCTTCCGTGCCCGTCTGGAGACGGCGGCGACAACACCTTGGTGCCAATTATGCCAATTACGCCAACAACAGCCAACAGCAGCAGCTTCAGCTGTTACTCTGGTACTTTCAGGGAGGCTCAACTGCGGGGGTGTAGGGTCAGCGCGTCCCTAGGCGGAATCATGTGTTGCTAGCCTTCGAGCCAGAGGCCCCCGCCCCCCGTTTTTGTGGAGAAAGGTTGGGTATGATAGTTAGTCCTTGCCTTCGGGAGACTAAATTGCATAATCAAACTTAGCCGGTCGTTGGCTTGACTAGGGGCCGCTGGGGCTGGTGGTCGAGGAAAGAAATCTGTCCAAGTGTACTCCGTACAGCACAGTATATCACTAAGAAAGCATTGACTGATTAGTGATGGGGTTCTATCGAGTATTTCGGAGCACCTCCCTCTTGGATAATAGGGGGGTTGGATGAAATCCCTCCCTACCAAAGTAGGCGTTGTGCAACTGTCTCTTGGTTTAAGGTTAGGATGCAGGAAGTCCGGTAAAATTTCTTTCCGGTACCTCGACAGGATGAGAGAGAGCTTTGGATGAGGAAGTCTGCACGGTACTCTTAATGAAGACAAATCTTTTCTCTTCGAGTCCATGGGGATCGGATTGATTGTGATTCCTCGACACTCTGCTTAGATATCACTTGGCAAGTTAGTTAGTTAGTTAGTTAGTTAACTATCATGTACTGCATATCTATAAACTTGTGTGCATGACATGACACGTTGAGAATTCTCCGTAATGGCCTGTATGGAAAAAAACAAGATCGAACAGTGTCATGGTACGGTATATACGGCTACTCTCAGAAAGGTTAGCAGTAAGTTACAGATTTGATAGGCCATGGCTCGGGTAAGGAGGAAGCTAAGAGCGACTACTAGACTAGACCCATTAAACTCCGTACAACTACACGGAATTCGGAAATCCCGCTGATGGGAAAATCACGAGAGAATCAGATTGGATAGGAGGGATGGAGTTAAGGGGAAGGTAGGCGTGGGTGCTTCTATTACGTTTAGAGCAGCCGTAGAACATGCATGGAACCTCGAGCAAGCTTGACAACAAATAGCCGCACATGCTCAAAAACTCTGGTACGAGACTTACGTAGGTACTCACTCGCTTTTGATGATATTGTCTCTCTACTCCGTAACTGAATCCACTTCTTGGGGAGGATTGAGTCAGGTAGGATGACCTGCCTGATTGGACTCTTTGTGGAGAGACCGACACCAGCCGTGAATTTCTTGAATCATGAACCTTGGCAATCCGTAAAGCCGGAGATATTTGACCCAACCAGGAGACTGGAAACTGCCATCATCATGCCAAGGTCATTTTTTTAACGTTGGAAAACTCCAGACAGAGGCATTCTTCTACAATATTAAATAATAATAATAATAATAATTGATTTCAATCTTTCTCTTATTTTTCTTCGTCAACCGCTTTACTCGCGCTTTTTTAACCATCCTTATCCGTCATCGTGGGCCTGAGTGGGCCAAATTATCCGGCGTTGTCTTTGGTTTCTAATTTTTTGAGCTGTGAACTGGCACTGAGGTACTGTTCCCCAGATCCTTGTATCTCTCGGTTGACAATAAAGGGGTTAATGGTTGCATTGCCATCTGGCTTGGTTTTGAATACCAGAGTGGGAAATAGCGGATGGCCTTCGAGGTCTTCGGTACAAACCATAGATCATACCTGGACAAGGGGACACCTGGCTACCATAGTACCACCTAAGTAAGGATCGAGTTCTAGCAACCTGGAACTCATTGGGTTGGAAGTGGCTTCGGACCAGTCGATTTCATTCCTGATTTTGAGTTTACGGGTGATATATCAATTTCATAGCGGCGGCTTTCCCTTCTTAAACAACAACAACCATATCTTAGCTCCATCCGGACACTCCACACCGGAAGACTCTGGATCTTAAAATGTGTATGAGATAACTAGTCAACATGTGATGATATAGCCTAGAGGGAACATCGTAATCTTATTATACCATTATGTGGTGCGGTGTCGGTTCGTCGGCAAGGTCCCCAGTTTGATTGAGGTCTGGTATACGGGTAATTGGCACGGTTGTTCCTTCGATTCTCTTATTCAATTTCAAGATTGAAAAAAACATCTGCATCAGAACCGGGGGGTTAAAAAAAAAAAAAAAAAAAAAAAGCAAACAAAGTTACATAGAATCTTAGAATACTGCGCTGGATAATAAACTTAACTACTTAGGTGCCTAGTACGTAACCCCCCCGTATAAGGTTCTCTTTGCCCGCCCCCCTTTTCTATCCGCCTCGTCAGAGTATATCAAAAACGCATACGAGTACAACTACGGAGTGTAGTTATGCAGACCAACAATAGACAGGCGTAAGGCGAATATTCAAAGAAAGCCTACCTGCGCATAGACGACTAAATTATACTAAGGCACTCCAGTCCAGGCTATAGCCAACTACATACGACACCCACGTGGAGCAGGGTGAGCCTGGGTTTACCTAGATATGAGAACAGTGTAGCTACTACGTAAGTATGTAGGAGTAACTATGATGTTGTGTATGCGGACAATAACATCCGCCCCCCTTACCCCCTTTAGTTGCGGTGGGAAAGGAGTCGGAAAAGAATACCAGAATCTCAATTCATTGTCGGAAAGAACAGGACGCACATTCTCCATTAAGATCGGTAATTGGTAGAAAGTTGCCCCTTTTCATGTGCATACGGAGGTCTCCATCCAGAGAAACAGTATCAATAATGATAATAGAAAAAAAATAAAAAATAAAAATAAATTGAGGAGGTGGGTGTCGAACGTCGATTCAGCGCTTTGTTGTCAAGGTGGACCATCCCGGTATCGTAACAAACGCGTATCGATATTATTATTATTATTCCTCAGGGTAATGGACAAAATCGTCGGAGATAGATAGACTTTTTGCTTTGCTAGGAGGTGTACAGATCATAGAATTGGTTGACGGTTATGATGGGTCGACGTGAATATCTTGTACTCCGTACGAGCCAACAGCCACCATCGGGAACAGACAGTGCATGGATGGATGTAGAAATACTTCCGACCTAGGTGTTAGTAGTAGGCATGATGATAATATTACCTACCTCCTCCGGGGATACAAATTTCGATCCGCTCACTTTTCTTCAGGATTCCAAGGCTTCTTGTTGAGAGAGCTTCTCATGATAACATCAATAACAGGAGACCGATGTAACCAAGTCCACGGGTGTATCTGATGAAGGCATCATTTGATATAGTCAAGGAATATCAGGGCGTGCACCCGATGCTGGCAGTTGATATCAAATACCTATTATTATTTATTGATTTAAGTGATCCACACTTCCAGAACCACTGGATGGTTGCCCTCCGTGTGACCAGCAGTAAGATAATTTTGATGCGACTGTAAGATAAGGTCGGTAACATCTATCGAGTCATTGCGCTCCCTGGGAGAATTATTAAAGACCTAGCATAATGAGTTAACTATTACGATAATATTGCTTACCGACAACACAGTTGAATCATAATGATGTTATGATGTTGATGCCAGCTCTACTTAGGTAGCATCCTTGCTCTCTTCACCGGCAGTCCACAGTCCACTAGGTAGGTTTTGTTCTGGTTCCGCCTGTGCGGGGTATGGCTTGGTGAACATACCAATCATACCGCGGTCATCGCACCACTCAGAGGTTGTCTGGTCTTGAGGGGAAGACCTTCCGAGGTTGGAGCCTTGCATTTCTTGCGTCCCTTTCTCTTCCATCCTCCGCATCGCTTTCCTATCAGAACAAAGTCCGCCCTCCCCCTTTTCTCTCAGTGGGAACTGGGAAGCAAGAGGAAATGCGAGTCCTATCCATCGAGAGCTCAAGCCATATTAAATCAAGTAATTTTGCAATTCCCTTCCCGGTATCCCCGGAGTACTACCGAAACTCCGTTTTTTGCTTTCGGATTCTAATACCAGGCAGGTACCTATTATTATTATAGCATTTAACTTCCAGGGTGGACTGGAGAAAGTGTTGATGTCTTGGGCCATACCAAGACACGGATTTCGGCAGTGGAGCGGTAGTACTTTCCAGGTTATGGACTTTTCCCAGCCTCTCTATTATCTTTGTTATGGTCAACCAGCCTTTGCTTTCGAGTGGCATTTCTTTCCTTTCCCCCAATCTCCTTATCAAGATTCGGAAAATCTCGCATATCTCCCTATTAAGGCATTTTCAGCCTGTGCTTCATTTAGCGGCGGAACACAATGACCCTTGTACGAATACATCAGATATCATCATCTATCTTGCACTACCCCGTAGAAAACATCAACACATATAACCCAATGATTATTTAGGTAAATACCTACCTACCTATAGATACCCCAGCCCTATCTCCTTTCTCTTCATTTGGGAGCAGGTAATCCTTTGGAGTGTCTACTTACACAGGGCGTCTGGTATCTACCAAACTTGATAATACATGCTTATTACTAACGGTAACTTGGAGAAAACTTAATTTATCAAAGGTTCCATTAACACTCCACTTTTATTGGTCAGTAATCCTCGTGTTCCCCACCCACGCGTTCCTGACTTGCGCAAAAAAGAGACTAGCATGTACGGGTGTACCAATTATTCGTTACCGCTGGGACTGACATCTCCTGATTTGAAAGCAGAAATTTCCTCTCCGCTTTTACCTTAATTTTGATTGGGTACTTCTATTCTCTCATCCTGATGGCTTGGTTGGATGATTCTGCCAGCTCCTAAAACCGGCCTCCAACAACCGGTTGGCCGACAGCGCACCCTCCAGCATCTAATCTCTCCTCCTGGCTCTGGTTCTCCTTTTCCCACCAGTCGCAGGCTCGCGAACGGGTTGAAGTGACCCGAGTTCCATCAGTTCCCCCTGCACAAACCGAACATGCTCAGGCCATCGAAGTACAGAGTAGGTAGGTATCACTGGTGTCAGGTTTGAAATCATTTTCCAGCTTTCATGTTACCATCCTGATCTTGATACTATTTCCTAATATTAATATTAATTTGTATACCCAGCAATAATAATGATAAGAATTAAGGATACTACTACTACCTTACCAACTTGACATCCATCGATCTTTAACAATAGTTACTCCGTATGTTGTCTTGGTTCCGTCAGCCTCTACCACGGGTCCTGCACGCGCTCGTCACTTATCCCCGACTTACGCTACACCCTCTTTTCTCCTAGTCCCGCGTTCAAGCCGTTTCTCGGGCACGCCATACCTAGCCTATCTTTGTGTGTCCGCTAGGTAGGGCCCTGATTCCCTATCCACGGCGCGTGCTAAACGTTGGCCAACGATCGTGGACCGTACCCACGGACGGAACACACGCTAGCTAGGTTCACGACAAGTCTCGCAACCCGGCCAAACTCGACAACGCGCACCGTCGTCGCCCGGCCCAACTCGCGGGTAGACCATCCAAGCTCTAAATCCCTACCACTATCATTATACTATCACAAGTTATTTTCAACTTCATGCTTTTTTGTAACTAGTTACCTACTACTTTATCCCTCCCGTCTAGTTGTCGTTCTGGCCACAGCGGAATTGAAAAAAAAAAAAAAACAACCCACACACACAACTTCAAAAAACTTGGGTCTTTCACAAACAACATGGCCAAAAAAAAAAAAAAAAAAAAAAAAAAAAAAAGAAGGGGCGGATGACACCGCGGAAATATTACCGTATTCTGAAAGAGGAAAAGGGGGGTGTTGGAGAAATAATTTACTGATTTCGCCACTTTCCGCGGAGTCTGCCGCTGGAAGAAGAGGGGGGAGGAAATCGAGGAAAAAAAAAAAAAAAAAAAAAAAAAAAAACAGGATATCCAGGTAATATTCCCTTAGAAAATAAAATAAAAATGAAATAAAAAGAAAATACGGATACTCGAGAAAGAGAATCTCGACCAGACAAGGAAAGCTTAGCCGGGTCAAAATTCACAGGTTTTAAAAAGATTAGAGTGAGGGGAGGAAGGGGCCAAAATTATACTGGCAGGACTCGAGATTATTACCAACTCCTGAGTCCTTGGAGTATTATTATTTACATTTTAAGAGGGGACAAAACGAGAGAGATAGAGATAGAGAGGGAGAGGGAGAGGGAGAGGGAGAAAGTGGGTCAAGTTACTGGCAACGGAGCCGTCCACCACAAAGCGACAACAACTCCGCTCCATGAGAGCCAAAAAAAAAATCGAACAAATAAGGATGAAATCTTCCGGGCGGCCCCCTCCAGCAAAATCCAGTATTATCTATTACCTTACCAAAACCGCCCCCCCCCCCCCTTCACCTTTTGCTTGTAGTAGTATGTATTACATGATTTTACCTCATCATTTTTATTTATTTTTCTTATTTTTTTAATTTTTATTTCTTTCTTTTCTTTTCTTTCTTTTCTTTCTTTCTTTTTTATATATTTTAAATTATATATTTTCTCTTTGGATTTCTTTTGCCTATCATCTGCCAGTAGATGAAAATTACAGGGCCCACGCGCTCCCCACCATATCCTCGGATCCCACGAGGTGCTCCAAAAAGCTGCGTTCTTCCTCCCCCTCTGTGCTGCTCCTCTGAAGCCTTTTTAGGTCGCTCCTCTTCCCTGGTCTGGTCTGGGTTTTTCGGGTCAAGTCGAAACTATTTTTCCCTCCGTCTGTTTTTTAGGGTGATTGTGTTACTGTGTCGCCACTTGGATCGAGGCATCGTCTCCTGCGCTATTACTCTTTCGCCTTGGTGGATTCTTTTATTTTATTTTAGTTTCCCCCTCCGTATACTTTTCTTTTTTGGTTTGATTTTATTCGATACCTAAGGTATACATATGTACCACTTTCTTGCTAAGCCAGGTTTTGGTTTGGCTGCTTTCTAAACCCTCTATTACTATTTCCCCCCCCCCCCCCCAACCTTGCCCGGAGCGCAGATAGCACCGTCCCTTTTTATTTTATTTTATTTTATTTTTTGTCCATTTTTCTCCCGCTGGATCCTCCTCCTCGTGCTGTCGTGCCTACCGCCACCTGCAAGGCCATTCTCCGTCACCCTAAGAGGCGACTAAGACGATTAAGCATCTCGATCCAACGCTGCACCTCCTAAACAACTACTACACAAACCTTCATTTTTCATTTCTATTATTACATGTCCTCTGCCATACAGTGGTAATTTTCAATTACTGCTTTGGAGAGAGATAGAAAAGAGAAAGAGAGAAAGTGGGCGATTTGTTACTTTCGCGACTCATAATTACGCGTCGATCCTTTCTTTATTTTCCTTCCTCGCACCTCCTCTTCCCTATCGTCGTCGAGGGAAAAACCCCCCCCCCCCCCCCGTGCAGCGACCTGGTCCAAGTCTCTGTTTCCCCTGTTCGAGTCTCGCTGGCCTAGTCGCAATCTTGCAGTCCTGCAATCCCTCAATTCCCACTAAGAAATCAAGAGTACGTTCCAACGGAAAAAGAGGGGATCTCCAAAGCGAATTCGCCACGGGATTACACTAGGATCTCTCTCTCCCCAATCCAATCCTCTTTCCCACCCCCGTTTCTATACTTATCACCTTCGGCACACCTTGCTCTTTTTACCCGTTTTGTACTACTTTTTTTTTTGGCCGTTCACAAAGCTCATTGTATCCTCCGACGCGTGTTTTTGTAAACAGGCACACGCGAGATCAGCTTGGAGGATCGTCCAGGGATATTCTTCCGGTAGCGGCAACTTCTGTATTATATGGACAACAGACCTGCTTCCGAGTACGCGCAGTCAGGTTCGCACTTTCCATATCCAAATCCTCCTCACCCTCCTCCTCCTCCTCCACCACCACCGGTTGCCTCCGCGCATCATCATTCTGAACTCCCAGCTGCAGACCAGGCTTCTGCTGCTGCCACTGCTCAATATACCCCCCAACCTGAGGTCCGCCCCAACCCTCAGTACACGCCGCAACCTGAGGTCCGCCCCGCCGCCAATATTTCGTCCAACAACACGCCACAGTCGGACTACGGTCTGAACCAACCTCCCACTGCTGCGCGCTCTCCTGCCTACCCCGAGTACCTCGCCCGCCCACCTCAGTACCATCACGCGCCGAACACCCAAGCCGGTGGTGCGGCAGGTATGGCTCAAGCAACAAGTCCGTCCATGAACACCCTCACTGATGGGCCACACAATGACCATCGCAATCATCACTCGAACGTGAAGTCTGACCCGGACGTTCCTATAGATCCCTCAATCGCGGCCTCTAGCCCTACCTACCCTCCTCCCTACTCGCCTTACCAGCCACAAGGCCATGACATGGCTCAGTATCAAGGTCACCCCCCTCCGCCGCCCCCACAAATGTATGCGCGTCCAGAATGGTCGCATGGGTATGGACAGCACCAGCACGGTCTCCCTGGACCATACAACACTCCTGCCACAACGGTTGGTCCCGCCTCCCCTGCTGCGACCGCAGGGCCGCGCCCTGGCCAGGTATGTTTTTGATGATTTTGGCGTCTGTTTCCAAAGGCTGCGCATTTGCGTTGACTGTTATCTTGGGATGCCCGCCCTAGCTATTGGGGGGCCTTGCTATCCAAGAGTGACCCCTCAGAGCCATGGGAGAAACCGGGCGCGCTATTTCATCTTTGTCTTTTAAGGGCTTCCCATGATCTAGAGGCTTATTGGCAAATCATTAGGTTTACTCGTTCGTTCCAATTCCCGGTGCGCAGCAGCATAAGCGTCCTCGTCGCCGGTATGAAGAGATCGAACGTATGTACAAGTGTGGATGGAATGGCTGTGAGAAGGCTTACGGCACTCTTAACCACTTGAATGCCCATGTTACAATGCAATCGCATGGTGCAAAGCGTACCCCTGAAGGTGAGTAGGAAATTTACGCCAAATTTTATTACTTTTTTTTTTTTTTTTGAAACCTGGGGATTTGTTTTGGTGGTTTGCGAAGTTGTTGCTTGTCGCAGCTGTCTTTGGTTCGCTAGTGCGGGTACAGCACACGCTAGTCGAGTTACACAGCTTTAGCGTGACGGATGGCAGTAGCGTCCGAGTCTGTCGCGAATGATCCCTCTCTATCCCATTTTTTTTTTTTTTTCATTAAACCAAGATTACGCTTTTCATCAGTCGTCAAACACCTTCCTGACTAACACGCCATAGAATTTAAGGAAATCCGCAAGGAGTGGAAGGCTCGAAAGAAGGAGGAGGAGGCCCAGCGCAAAGCTGCTGAAGAGCGCGAGCGTGCCGCAGCTGCCCAGGCTGCCCAGGCTGCCCAGGTTGATGCTCCCAATCCTGCGGATCCTGGTCAGCCTGGTCAACCTCCTGCCTACCCTGGCGGTGTCCGGCCTCAGCTGCCCCCCATTGGATACCAGCCTGCTGATGGCCAGGTGCCTGGTCAGTATGGCGGTGGCGCTGGTGGTATGGTCTACCAGGGCAACGGACAAATGGGATACCCTCCAAATTACCCTCACTCGCCTTACGGGCAGAGCAGTCAAGTGTATCAGCAACGTAAGTAGCCAGCCCTTTGTTATGTTTGCATTGTTGGCCAGGGCCAGGCCATGAAGGATCTCGAATCAAGAGAGACGACCATTGAAAAAAAAAAAAAAAAAAATTCCCACACTCAGCGAAAATGGAAGCGCACGATTTCAAAGAAGGTCCTTGGGTCTATTGCTTCAGGGTTTGTAGCTGATCGATGATGGCTTCGCAGAAAACCAATCGACCAGCTACCCGCAATAGATGTCCCCTCTTCCCTTTCTTTAGGCTGCATGTTCTAATACCAATTTCTCCTAATCCCATATCGCCATCTCCGGGTCTAATTTCTTAAAGTCTTGCGCACATGATACCATTTATTGGCCTTGATTGCTCCAGTCAAAAGAGTGGCCTTGCGACTCATGCTTCTGTCCTAGTTATGTCTTTCCTGTTTCCTGTTTCTATTTTCTTCTTCTCTTTTTTTTTTTTTTTTTCCTTTTACCCCCTTCCATTTGTTGAACTAGATCGTCGCATGAGAAAAGGAAAGACTGTCTCTAGTCAAAGGACTGCTTTTTTTCTGCTCCCTCTGCGGATGTTTGGCTATGGGATTGTGATATGGGATGTCTGGCGGGGCCCTCTGCATTAGCTATGCTTTATTCCAACTGTGAATTATGTGTCTCTGTTATTGTACGTGGAATTGTTTTTCTTTGTCTCTTGTTGTCCTTATTTTCCTTTTCTTTCGATGACTCGACCAAATTTACGTGACCTATCCTTGGGTTTGGTCCCCGAAAGTGTGCCATATCCTTCCTCTTTATGTCTTTGCGAACTTGTCTTGAACCTACTCTGCTTGTCAGAGTTTTGATGTCCTCCGAATCTCCCTGTTCTTACTCGGACCCTCTTCATTTCCAGATTTTTTTTTTTGGATCCCCTTCTGTTGTATAGTGTTAGAAATGACAGAAACTGTCCAACCATCCACTCTTTACTATTTGTTACGGTTAATTTCCGTGGAGTATGGGACAGAAAGACCCTCTTCTAGAACAACGGATTCGATGCGGTTCCTGCATTAGTATCTCGATGCAAGGCTTCTAGGCTCATCTTGACCTAGCAGGACCGGGGAATATCAAGAACTCTAAATTAGATGCATCATCAGCATTAGCGGGGTGACTTGGGTTTGCAGTGACTAGTCTAGTTCCCCGTAGCACAAAGTCTGAAGACACCTCCCAGTAACCACTAATGTACGGAGGATGTAAGGGTAGTTTCTGTGACCAGGCAGACATGTACTAGCTTAGAACGTGCAGATCTGGGAGTGCTTATCTGAAGACAATAATAAATACCGTAAATTAATGCACTCTGCAATAGTCTCTAGCCCATAACTGTACTTGCTATATATCTGTATGTATTGAGTAGTAGTAGTAGTAGTAGTAACCAGCACATCACTAGATTAAGTTATCTATAGATTAGTTACTAGCGACTAGTTATGTATACCTATGTAGTCAGTAAGTACTATGTAGTCAGTAAGTACTATGTAGTCAGTAAGTAAGTAACGATGTACCGTTTACCCGTTTACTAGGGCCCCCCGGAAGTTTCAAAAAATTAGTGAAAAAAGATTTAACTATTTTTATTATTTTTATTATTTTATTTTATTTTATTTTTTGGATCTTAACTACTAGTTAGTAGTAACTAGCTTTTTAGTCTTAGTCTTAGTATAGTTAACTACTACTAGTATCTAGTTACCATACTTAGATTGAGATCGGATCTTGAATAAGATTTAAAATGGTATGGTTCTGGTTGACTAGCGGATGGACTAAAGAAGGAAGCGAGGTTAGTTACCTACTAGGTACGTAGTAGGTACTAGGTAGACCTTTAGATCCAGATCTGAGGGCGTTTTTCTTGAGAGAATGTAATGTTGAGAGTATAGATTGGGGAGGAGACATTCGGATCTGGCTGTAGGTGTAGAACCTGGGGGTTGGTACGGAGTAGATACTGAACTATTACTATTAAGGTAAGTACTATGTTAGGTAGTGGATGTGTACTGTCTTTACTAGTTGTACTTGGGGTGGCAAATGCTTGTTTTATTTTATGTGGGGAGAACACTTAAGAGAGGGAAATGAATTGATTCTCTCGGGGCAGATTTTCATTATTTGGTCTGATGTAGATGAACTCTTCCATAGGCACTAGACTTCACTACCAGCCTAGTACTGGGTATTGTTGTATTTACTGACTTGGGACTTGTTGATCGAAGTTGAATAGCTCTGTATAAGTGGGAGATCTTTTCATGCCTCAGGCAGGCGTTTTGAAGAAGTGCAGAGAGCAATTTCCCCGAAGCAGTTGACTCGCAGTTCAAGGATAAAGTTACAGCTGAAGTTTGGCGCTTGGTTGAAGTAATCTAGACACACTTCCATCAAATAGAAACATAGTCCTAGACTTGATGCCCTTCAAGAGACGTCGGCTCTGTATATGATCACGTGACCACCCGCGGGACGGAGGTAATTGCCTGACCACTAGTGCCGCCTAGTGGTCGTTTCTGGTCGTCGCGATCAGACATTTTCTCGTCCCAAAGCTACAACCCACCTACGTCGTCTGTATTTACCTACACTATAATCAGACATTCCTTATTTCCTCTTGAATCCCTCCGCTCTGCTCCTCTTGAACGCCATTACCAGCTGAATTCCTCTTGACCTACATCCCCCCCCCCAAAAAATTGTCGCAAGCCGAAGCATCGCGCAGCGAAGACAGCAGGCGACTAGCATTGTCTTTGCTCTGCTTTGAGAGAATACAGGAAGGAATCGGACCGTTTTTCTTGGGTCTTGATTTGTCGAGCGTAGATGCTCCGCTGCAGCCATGCCGCTGCGCTTCGAGCGAAGGTTGAGGGGAGCATGGCCTTGAGAGTCCCTTTGGGCTCCTTATGGGTTAAAGGTGGGGTTGGAGTATCGCAGAGAGCAGTATCTCTTGCGCCGCGGGTATTGGGTCTAGCTTCACTTGCACCGAAGAACATAACCACGGGCTTAAGGACGTATACTACGAATTCTGATAGCTTGGGAACAGGAGGCGCAGGAGGATCCCACCGCGAAAGTGCCAGTGCGGAGACCTCTGGAGACAATGAATCAGTTCTAGCTCTGGATTCAACTTCGTTTTCAGCTTCGAATGCGCGGCGGGAATCGAAGTTCAGAACACAGAAGAAAGATCCGATTTTCCTAGCTGCGGCTGGGAAAACGCTGGAAGGGGAAGAGGGCACTGCCAAGGTCTCCGCCAAGGTGGTGGAGATGGAGCTGAAGTGGTTGAAAGACCCCCGTGCGCTGGCGGATCGAATCGGGATGTTGTTACAAGCGGATAATATTGGTCTTGCGGCGGAGATTGTTCGTGTTGCGCAGAGCGAGAAGATGGAGTGCGCGGTGGCTTGGAATCATCTGATTGAGTACTGCATGAACAAGAAGAATTCGGCAGCTGCTTTTAAGTTCTACAATGATGTATGCCGTCGCCTCGATGCTTTCCTTTGGCTTTGAGTGGCTTTTGCTGACTTTTGGTTGTCGAATAGATGAAGAAACGCGGCCGCAAGCCGAATTCGAGGACTTATACGATCATGTTGAATGGTCTTACGAAAGAGAAACACCCCGCTGCTAATCCTGTACGGAACGCGCGAAATCTCTACAAGTCGATTTTCTCCGAGTTTTCTACCGTTAAACCTGAGATCATCCATAGTAACGCTATGCTGAACGTCTGTGCGTCTCATGGAGATATGGATACAATGTGGGAGATTGCCGGGGAGCTCCCCGAGGATGGACCAGGCTCTCCGGACTCCGTTACCTACACGATTATCTTGAGGGCTATCAAGGACTCCGCTCACCGTGATCTAGCCCGGTTGGAGCCCAATCAGGCTGAAAAGATTTTCTCTCGGAAAGTTATGTGTGTCAACGAGGGGAAACGGATATGGTCCGACATCGTGTATCGGTGGAAGAGGGGCCAGCTTGTTCTGGATAATACTCTCGTTGGCACAATGGCGAGTGTGCTCTTGGAAGGCCCTGGCGACCATCATTTCTGGGAAGTGTTCCAATTGTACCATCAAACTGCGGGAATCCAGGTTCTTGCGAAAGAACCTCCACCAGACACCCCGCGGCGTTCAGTTCGGGAAAGCCTGCCAACGAATTCTTTTCGTACACGGAAAGAAATAGATGACGTCCCATTTGTGGACGAGGGAGGCAGATTATACCAGCCCTCAGAACCAGAGGCTGATCCTACCGAAGAAGAGGCGGTCTCAGAGGAGAATTTCGAGAAGTTGTTTGCCCCAGTCGTTCCGGAAGGCACGATCCCTACTACGACACTGGACACTTCAGGCACCCAGCCTTCAGGCCCAGCATACATTGCTTTAGGAAACAGGGAGCTTTCGATGATCCTCGAGACCTGCTTGACCATGAACCAAGCCCTCTCGGTTGGGAAAACTTATTGGCAGGATCTTACACAGGGAGTCCATGCGTACCGGATTGAACCCGACGTAGGATCGTTCCACCAATATCTGCGTCTTCTCCGTCGGGGCCGCTCCAGCCGTGCTACTGTTGAAGTGGTACGCGACCAGATGGTCCCGGCCCATAAAGCAGACGGCAGGACATTTCATATCGCGCTGAGCTGCTGCCGCCGTGATCGCAAGAATATGAATGTTTTGAAGAATGCCAATGAGCTTTTGAAAGCAATGGAGAAAGCTATTGTGCTCCCTGATCCTCGCGTGTTGGAAGGGTACCTTGAATTAATTCGATCGTTGGAAGAAAGCCCCTTGATTCTGATGTCTCTAAACGGTCTTGATGTGGAAGAGCAGCGGCGGTCTAGCGACCTGGCAGCTATGGGACGAAGGTTGCAACTGAGCCTAAGATTAGTTGCAGTTGAGAACCTACGGCCTCTGATTGCCAAACTGGACGAAGCCATGGAGCATGGCCATGTCTCACGGGCGTCGTCTAAGGGTCCTGGAAAGAAGCCAAGTGACCGACAAAAGGTGCCCGGTGATGGAGCACGAAAGGCGCTGATAGGGATGAGAATGCTCATCGACTCGATCTTGAAGTCCGAGGGAGGCAAGCTCCTCAAAAAGGTCCGCCAGCAACTTGAAAAAGAGTCTAATGACCTGCGCAAGTACTCGAAGACGGAGGTTCTCACCAGGTACAATAACTCGCTGGTGTCTCCGACTCCGGAACAGGTTCTCGCGCATCGAGGGCAAGAAAATGACGATTCTTCTCCAGCTTCTGGGGACAACAAATGATGCACTTTGTGTATAGATATTTTTTTTTTTTTTTTTTTTCATTGCATGACTCTACTCTTGATTGGTATTGATTGCTCTCTCTTTGTTGCATGCATCCTGGTGGCGTTGGTATATATCGCAATCACTCCATTTCCATGTATAATAATATTAGACAATTGGGCAGATCAGGATCAGGTAGATTTAGTTGATTCTATGTATATATAGTTACAGAATGTATCCCATTTATAATCATCTAGGAAAAGAATTCACTATTCCAAACCAACCTGCATTGTACAATCTTCAACTTCTTGGACGACGTTCCGCCTGCCTCTTTCGGGCCGTAACCGCGTACGTAATGGGAGTAATGCCACTCTAGCCTCTCCGGCCAACAATCAGGCAGCACGAGGGAGTTCTTCTCATCATTCAATATTCCCCGTCCAGATCGGATCACGGAATACTCAGCTCCTGCTAGGTTCCTACTGCGATTATCCGGGTTGAGCAGGTTCTTACCCCTTCGTTTCTTGTGGTGACCACCCCCTCGTGCGGAATACCGGAAAAAAAAACAACCCAAGCTGTGAGCTCCAGTACGCACCTCCTGTATTATACAATATACAAAACAGCCATGGCCAGCACAACGCCGTACTATGCGCACGACGACCTGCGCGACGATGAATCGATTCTGGATGATGATGATGATGATGTAATTGAGGCCGATGATGGTTAGTTGGACTGCGACAACGCTGGTTACTATTGCTTTGTCGCTGACGTCTTCCATTTATTGCCTCATAGCTCTTGAAGCCGATGACCCTCTACATGATACAGATAGAACCCCCCTGACGGGCAACATTCAAACCGAGTCTTCGAGTTCTCGCGGCGGCAACATCACCGGAAACTATTTGACCTCTCAAATCCCCGGCGAGGACCGCCATGCGGGCCAAAATACAATCGACGAGAGCGTCTGGCAGACACTCTCGAGGGACTTGTTGGCTGTCTGGGAGAAGATGCGCCAGGTGTTGTGGCCCAAGTATTTGATTGGCGGCATGTTGCAGCGCCGTGGGGGAGGGATCGGAGCTGCGGAACGAGGAGAAGCCTCTGGGTTTGGCAGTGGTGTGAGAGATATTCTTGGACGTTGGCCTGACGCTGATGTTGTCCTGCAAGGCGGGATGAGCGAGGGCTTGCGCGATTGGGATCTTTGGTGAGTTATGCCTGCTTTCCCCCCCCCCCCCCCCTTCTTTTCTTTATTTACTGACTTGAGTGTGCTACATTCTAGGGGTCCGCTTATTTTCTGCTTATTGCTGAGCATGTTTCTTTCCATTGCCAAAGGTGAGCAGTCGGATCTGGTGTTCTCCGGAGTCTTCTCTCTCGTGTGGATCGGAGAGGCGGTGGTGACGTTGCAAATTAAGTTACTGGGAGGGAACATGTATGTTGATGCTTTCTCCTTCTTTTGCTTTAAGTGGTCTCTGGTTGCCACACTGACGCGATCCATCTAGCTCGTTCTTCCAATCGGTTTGCATTATCGGCTACACGCTCTTCCCTCTGGTTATCGCCGCCCTCCTTAGTGCGCTTGGTCTTCCCACAATCGCACGCATACCTGTTTATCTTGTCTTGATCGCGTGGTCTTTGGCAGCAGGCGTGAGCATCCTGGGCGGCTCGGGGGTTGTGCGAAACAGGGTGGGTATTGCGGTTTACCCTCTCTTTGTCTTTTATATCGCGCTCGGATGCCTCTGTTTCATCAGTTAAAGAGAGCTGCGAGAATGTGGTGAATGGAATAAGGAGGAGAGCTGGGCTGTAAGGCTGGTTCGAGCCTTTGTTTGATCTCATGTTAATGTGATTCTATTTCTCTTCTTCTTGCTTTCTTTATGGTATTTTGCATTCTTCATGTATTAGACCTTTGGCCGTACCACGATATCCAATGGAACCAATGTAGTTTGCCTCGATTATTATGGTAAAAAAAAACAAAAACAAAACAATGTCGGGAACTGGGGACTTCAAGATTCGTTAACTCACCTGCGGGGCGGAGTGAGCGGTGACCGAGTGGCAGTCAGTCCGGCGACAACACAGCAGGCTGTTTGCTGCTTCATCCTCTCCATCTCCCGCTCTGTCTCCTTTGTCCATCCTTGCGATCGTTCTTCTTCCCCACTCGGTCTTCGCTGCATATACGCCCCATTTCATCCGCTACTAAATCTCTTCTTTGTTTTCACTTCTTCGATTTCTGTCACCCTTTGCGCTGGTTTCATCTCGAGACGGGCACCTTCCTTCATCCCACCACCATTTCTCATTCAATCTTCACCTTCGGACCTCTGTGCTTCAGTACTCGAGTCACGGATCATATCTCTCGAGAGGAGCTGGGAAAAGCTTTATCGGTAAGCATCTGATTATTTGCGTCAGGCTACTTTCGCGTGCGGGTAGAAGCTTCATATCGAGAATCTCCGCCGAGACGAGTTCGTTTTTCATGATTTCCCCCTTTAGATATTTGTGTTTGGCTTGCCTGGTTTAGCGGAGGCCGTACTTCATTTTTGTTGAAGAGAATAATATGTCGTGGTTTTCGTGCAATCCGACTAACAGCGCAATTTCTCGTTTCCAGTACAGCCTTCGCCCCCTAGACTCGCCTCGAAAATCTCCCAGGAAGCATAGTGAACATGGCGGCGGATTCACGGCGTGATGGCGTGGTAGAGGGTATGTTCATTCGATGACACTATTTCTTCCGGCCAAGTTAAGTTATTTTGGCTGACTGGATGATACTAACGTTGATTCTTCGCACTGCGAAAGACGTTGAAAATGGAGCCATGGATACTACAGGTACGTGCTTTGTCTCTGATCTAGTTGTTACTTTAGCCTTCGGGAATATTTGTTCTTGCCTTGTAGATGCAAGCAACCAATTATGGAGGTCTTATGGCTAACGGCTAACGGCTCTTCTACAGTAACTGCTGCCGATGATTCTCAACTATCCGACAACGATGGCGGCGAGCGCCCTGTTCGAAATAAACTCAAGGAAACATCCATTACGTCGGCCCCTAAAAGCTCTGCAGAGGGGAATTCTGATGAGGAGGTACGGGATGGTGAATCTAGCCGGGAAAGTAGCCGTGGCCGGAAGCGCTCTTTCAATGACGACCCGACAGAGAAGGTTGAGGACGAGGCAGGCCACAGGCGGAAACGGTCGCGCGACTCTAGCACGGAAGAGACAGCGCCAAAAGTAGATGAAGTTAATCCACTGGGGTTGAAGAAAAAGAGGAGCAGGGAGCAACTTGATAAGGACTACTCGAAAACAGTGGGTGTTGCAGAAATCGCAGATTCTAAGGATTCGACAGAGGAGGGCAAAACCGCAGCCAAGTCGGGCGCCGAAGGCGAACCGGAGAAGAAAAGGCATCGAGACGATTCCCAGGAACGGGATCCGGTATATATATATTTCCCATTCACCGGTTGATCGAATAACAGCATGAAACATTATATTGACTGATATCGAATCTAGGCTCCCATTCCCAGCGCGTTCGCAAATGTTTCTTCTGTATCTCCTTTCGGATCTCTTGGTGCATCGGCATCCAAGGGACCCTCGGACGCAAAACCCGTCACTTCCGCTTCTGCGTTTGCCTCGTCAAGCCTTGCTGCCTTTGCGGGCTCGGAAAAATCACCCTTTGGCGCTTTGGCGAGTTCCACACCCTCTGTGTTTAAATCGCCGCCTACCTCAACCCCTTCAGAGACACAAAAGCCTATGGCTTCCGGATTTGCGGCGTTAGGTTCCGGGTTTTCTAGCTTCAGCGGTGGCTTTGGGGCCGCTGGCTCAGGTGGCGGTTTGACCAGCTTCGCCTCTCCAAACGCACCTAGTGCCCTCGGAAGTTCCAGGCCGAAGGCATTCGGAGCTGGAGATGAAGGATCTGACGAAGACGAGAAGAGGGAGGACGACGAGGAATCTGGACCCGCGGAATTCGCAGAAGAGAAGGCCGACGAACGATTCTTTGAGCGGCCAAGTAAGTCAACTCACCTACTCCCTTTTCTCATACTCCGCGCTAACATGCCTTTTCTCCACAAAACAGCCGAGACCGGCGAAGAAGAAGAGAAAACATATTTCAGCTGTAAGGCCAAACTATTCCAATTTTCCGATAAGGAGTGGAAAGAGCGCGGTGTTGGCACATTCAAAGTCAACGTTCGAGTTTCCAACGGCGTAGAGGACAAGAAAGCGGCCCGTATGATCATGCGCGCAGATGGCGTCCTCCGAGTCATGCTGAATACTCCCCTCTTCAAGGGCATGACAGTTGGCGATGCGTCGGGCAAGGAACCGAAATCTAAGCAGATCACTCTGGCGAGCTTGGAGAATGGCCGTACTATTCCTATCTTACTTCGGGTAAGTTAATACTAACCCAATTTCTCTGATACAATGACTAACGATGCCAAAAAAAAAAAAAAAAAAAATAGACTGGAAGCGAAGACCATGCCAAAGAACTGTACCATGTCCTCCAGGACCTCCTGGAGCACTTGTAAGCTTAACTCGCAACGCTAAATATAAAATAAAAACCATAAAACTACGCACCAAGAGAGCCTTGGATTGAAAGTTTGATATTTTAGCTTGGGGGAGATCGGGATGGCTTTCTTTGCATTGGGACTGAGGAGTACCGTTTTGGCGGGAACTGGCTGACTATAAATGCTTGTTTTTTATTTATTCATTCATTCATTCCTTTGTTTTGGATATTGCTTTCTATTTTTAGCCTGAATATATTCTCTTCTTGCTACCTCCTTGACAGACTCTAGCTCGCCCTGAATCCAGCAACTTTTCAATTATCTGACCGAGCCAAACATTTTGCGTGCTAGGAAGTCCCTCCCTCCGTGGCCATGAGCCATGGGGTACGTCCCTGAAGATATCCAAATTCCCTTCGCCCTCTTCCAGCTGCAGATAGATAGATAGATAGATACATAGATACCTTGTTCGTGCTGGAGCGACTCGATATTGGCCTGGTATTTACTATTCCTAGCCAGTACTTCTATTGCAGCAATTTATATCATCATCATCATCATCATCATCATCATCATCATCATCATCATCATCACCCGTAATATAAAGAAGACTCTGGCTAAAAGTAACCCAACCACCCTGTTCCAAAGCCGTTCTAAAAAAAAAAAAAACGATGCATGCATAGTGTGCTTGCTTGCTTGCTGCTTTTGGAGGATATTAATCCGAATTCAGGCGTTTAACTAGAAGTTTTCCTTTCTGCCCATGGAGGAGGAGGAGGAGGAGGAGGAGGAGGAGTTGCTTGCTTGCTTATCTTTTCGGCCATACTGAAATTTGACTTGACTTGACTTGCCCGAACCCTCCAACGAAGTCTCCCACAGTAGATAATTGTATACTATACTATACTATACTATAATTCTATTATTATGGCGGGATACTAAGTAGTTAGATATATGCCCATTAGTACGTAGTAGTATATTATGTAGATTAGGTATCTGCCCTAATGATACTGTAAGAGATAAGCTTTACCCATGATAGTGCTACATAGCTCCACCCCACCCGTGCCGTGGCCCAGAATAACACCAACATCAACTTGAACTTTGCATCTTTCCTTTCTCTTCCCTTTAGAATACTAGGTACCTAAGTAGTATATAATTTTGACATTACTACCGAGTACACTACCAACCCAAACTACGAGTATGGGGCATCTAAATGGCCGACTCAACGGCAAAGAGAACTACGCCTTGTGGGCCCGCGTCGAATGAACCCCACCGCCAAAACCAGAACCAGAACCAGAACCAGAACCAGAACCAACTGGGATTATCATCGAACTTGGACGTGTCAGGGACTGCCGCAACGGGGAGTATGGGGGTAGAGAATGTGGAGAAGAAACGCCGCAGGGGGAAGTCACCAGCTACGTCTGAATCGCAGGGAGATGGTAATGAAGGTAAAGGGGATGAAGACGACGGTTGTGCAGTAGGATCCTTGAACACGCATAAGAAGAAGAGCAAGAAATCTAAATCTGCGGCGTCGTCTGCGGTATCGAAGCGGAAAGCCTCTGCGCCGTGGCCGGAGGCATTTAGGAAGGTATCGCGGACCCATCGGGCGTTGAATATAGTATATACGTTTTGCTGTACGCGGAAGCATTTTGCGACTACGTTCGAGAATATCAAGAAGGCTGTCCAGGCGCAGATCGGCGGTGGGGAGGAGCTTACCGTTGAGGAGATCGCGCGGGTGAAGGTTCTTGTGCCGCGGGCGGTACGGTTCGAGTATGTGGACGAGGCGAAGTTGGAGGTTATGACGGCTGGGGAGAAGCAGGATCTACGTGGCTTTGGTCGGGATGTATTGGGTGGGAGCGAGGGTGGGGAGGCGGGGACAGACCTGGAAGAGACAAAGGCATTATTACTGTTTGAGTTTTTGGATGGGGATTTGAAGAGACAGGTGAAACACCCGCAGACCGGAGAGTCGACGAACCCGGTGCGCAAGCTGAAGGACGAGGATCTGAAAATGCCGGTTTTCAGTCAGAAGCAGATGTTGGCGTTGATTGAGAAGCGGAATCAGAAATTCTCAGATGCGATTGACGCGTTTTTGGTACAGTGCGAGGACCGTGGGGTTGATCCGGTAGAGCTGTTGGAGAGGGAGAAGAATGCGTGGATTCCGGTTCCTCCTGGTACTGATACTGTTGCAAATAAATCATCAAAACACATGGGGCCGATCCCCAAGGAGCGCAAGACAATGGCTGAGATCATTGAAGAGATCAGAGCGATGGACTGGTATACGGGTCAGATTGTTCCAGACGGCCATAGGGCTTTCGATGCCCAGCCTGCGATATATGGGGACCTGAATTTCACTCTTTCACAGGGCCTAGTAAATGCGTTGTATAACACCAAAGGAATAACTCGATTTTATTCTCACCAGGCAGAAGCAATCAACCACCTATCTGATGGACGCAATGTCATCGTCTCGACGTCGACCAGCTCTGGCAAGTCGTTGATCTACCAGGTTCCCATGCTGCACGAGTTGGAAAAGGACCCAAACAGCAGAGGCTTGTATATATTCCCTACCAAGGCTCTTGCCCAAGACCAAAGACGCAGTATGCAAGAGCTTTTGCAGTATCTGGAAGGATTGCAAGGCACGATGGTCGAGACCTTCGACGGTGACACACCGATGGGAAACCGCAATTTAATTCGAGAAGAGGCACGCATCATCTTCACCAACCCAGATATGTTGCATATCACGATCCTCCCACAGGAAGACTCCTGGCGAACCTTTCTGAAAAATCTCAAATTCGTTGTAGTTGACGAGCTCCACGTCTACAATGGGCTGTTCGGATCCCATGTAGCATTTATCATGCGCCGCCTGCGTCGTGTCTGTGCAGCTGTGGGGAACCGCCATGTCCGGTTCATATCCTGCTCAGCGACTGTAGCGAATCCGCAAGAACACATGAAAGCCATATTTGGTGTCGACGACGTTCAACTAATCGATTTTGATGGCTCTCCCTGCGGTCGTAAGGAATTCCTCTGCTGGAACACGCCGTACAAAGACCCTGGTGATCCTACGTCCGGAAGAGGGGACAGCATTGCGGAAACCGCGCGACTCTTTTGCCAACTGATTCTCCGTGGTGCTCGTGTGATTGCCTTTTGCCGAATCCGTAAGTTATGCGAGGTTCTGCTACAGGCTGTACGGAACGAATGCAATCAGCTCGAACGGCCCGAGATTGGAGAGCTGATTATGGGGTATCGCGGGGGATACAGTCCACAAGATAGAAGGAGAATCGAGGCCGAGATGTTTGAGGGCCGGCTATTAGGCATCGTTGCAACTAATGCGCTTGAACTGGGTGTTGATATCGGATCTCTTGATGCTGTTATCACTCTGGGGTTTCCTTACTCAATCTCTAACCTTCGACAGCAGAGTGGTCGTGCTGGACGCAGGAATAAAGATTCTCTCTCCGTTCTAGTTGGCGATAGGTATCCCACAGACCAGCACTACATGAAGAATCCGGAGGAGCTTTTCACTAAACCTAATTGCGAACTGCAAATCGACCTGTCCAACGAGCTGGTCCTTGAAGGACACGTCCAATGTGCTGCATTTGAAATGCCCATCAACCCAGATCAAGACCAGGTATACTTTGGCTCACAGGGAGCCGAGTTGGCAGGCACCCGGCTTGTCCGTGACGTGATGGGCTTCTATCACTGCCATGAACGATTTCGACCTCATCCCTCACGGTGTGTACCTATCCGCGACACGGAAGACCAGCATTTCGCCGTTATCGACACCACTAATTCCCGAAACCTTGTTCTTGAAGAAGTCGAGGCCTCGCGTGCTTTCTTCACCCTCTATGAAGGTGGCATCTTTCTTCACCAGGGTCAGGCATACCTAGTCAAAGAGCTGAATACAGACCAGTTCTTTGCACGGGTTGTCCGAGTCCATGTGGACTGGAACACCATGCAGCGTGATTTCACCGACATCGACCCCATCGAGACAGAGAATATGCGCCTTATCAGCCTGTCTCCTAATGACAACGACAATAACACCGCCACCACGCACATAGGAACAAATGAAGGGTCGCGAGCCTTTTTTGGCTCCGTCCGCATTCATGCCGTTGTCTACGGCTTCTTCAAAGTTGACAAACGCGGTCGCATTCTCGATGCTGTAGCTGTTGATAACCCACCAATCGAACTTTTCACCAAGGGTATGTGGCTTGACGTGCCCAAACGAGCCCTCGAAATACTCGAATCTAGGCGCCTCAATATTGCCGCTGCAATTCACGCCGCTGAACACGCGGTTTTGTCATTGCTGCCTAGCTTTGTGATCTCCTCTCCTGGCGACGTACGCACCGAATGCAAGGTCGCAAAAAAGGAACTCGGGAAGAATTTAAAACGCGCGGTGGAACATCGGTCCCAGAGTTGTCGAGAGGATGAAGAGCATGCCAGGCTGCTGGCTCGTTTGCGCCCGCCTGCTCGTCAGCGACCTGCGAGACTGACATTTTATGATGCAAAGGGTGGGCCGTGCGGGTCTGGTATTGCGCGGAAGGCTTTTGAGTTTGTGGATGTGCTTCTTCGACGGGCTGTGTCAAGAATCGAGGCTTGTACTTGTATCACTCCGAAGGGGTGTTTGGAGTGCGTGTGCGATGAACGGTGCAAGGAAATGAACTCTGTGATGAGTAAGGCTGGCGCAGCGGTGGTGTTGCGGTGTCTGTTGGGATGGGAGGTGGATGTAGATGCTTTGCCGTGGGGCGAGGTCGATGAAGATGGAAGGGATGAGCTGGGAGAATTAGCAGGCGGATTAGAAACGGTTGTTTTGGCCAAGGAGGTTCCCTGGAGGAATCCTTGACTTGGACGCCTGTTTCCAACTACATATTATTTTGATGTAGAGCTACAGCGGACGTGGTATATTATCCAATGGAACCAAAAGACATTGTTATCTATCATTCCCCAAACTTTGTATGTATAGATAAATGAATAGATCGGGTGGAATGGGTATAATGTGTAGTCATGGGGAGCAGAATACATGGGGATGGGTGAGTCCAAGAAGAAAAATCCAGAAAAAAGGTGTTGTGAGGTATATGGGGGCTGGAGTGCAACCGTTATTATCTGGTTGAGACTGCACTGAAATAAGCTTGTAATCATAGGCTTGGGTATAGAACACTTAGGAGTGAGGGATATCATCCGGTCATTAAATATCAAGGTTGCGGGGTATCGAAATGGTGATTAGCTATTAAGGAGAAGCATAAATGAATAGCGCTCCGTATAGACAGTGAGTAAATTTGGTGGCGTTTGGGAGGATGGAGGGCCGATGCTAACGGGGACGTGCAGACCAAGGTACATCTGTTCCCACAGAGGATGGGCTGTTCTCGCTTTCGGTATCGTCGAGACTAATGTTCCAAAAGAGAGTCTTCATGTCGCGTACACTTTCTCGGAAACCATCCCTAGGATTGTTTGTGCGCTCTTCGGTCATCGCACGCACCTCACGAATGATATCTGGATAGCCTTCATCGTTTGGGAGCCACCAGTGGTTGAGTTCCGGCATCTGCCATAGCGTCGCAAGAGAGATTCGGAATTTTGGAGCAACACAGTATCTGCAGACCATGAATTTTCAATCAGCGTGGGGGTGATTTGGGGAGAAGGTGACCCAGTATATTTAACTTACCCGTGCTGCTCCATGAGAGCAAATTTTCGCCTGCTCCACATAAGGTGCTTTGAATCCTTCGGGAGAAACATGGCTACCATTCCGATACTGTTCTTGAACCCAAACACGTAGCCGTTTTCCTTGTCTGGCCATCGGTGGACTGACTCGATTAAACGACATTGCTCGTATGCGAGGCTCTGCAATTCCTCCAACGACGACTGCCTTAAAGATAACATGGACTGATACTTGAACATAGCTTTTGTTGAGTAGTAGTCAATCCAAGCAAAATTCACCTCCCAAAGCGGGCCATAATGTAATCCACCTGGGATATACGGGTCCACAATATCATCCTTTGTCAAGGGTTGCTGGTTTGGATAGGTTTGAACTTTGTATTCCAAGTTGAACTTCTCCAAGATGCCCCGCATACGCTCTAGAGTTTGTTCAAGATGGGTGTTCTGAATTATAAAATCCTCGATTGCGATCATGCCACGCGAGAATTTGGCGTACAAGGATGCCATTTCCAGGCCAAAACGACGGTTAATCGAAGATGCCAGCGCTAGTTGTTTCTCGATATTATCTGGATCGTTTGCTGCCTGCTGTTCGTCGTATTCTTCTCTTTTAATGTACCATTCTCGTCCCAAAACCACCTCGTTTGCGGCGAGAATTCCGGCTACTACGTCGAATCGTGCATACCATACGAAGATGTGTCTATGAATCTCGTCCGAACTTGCCGATTCAGGTGATAGAAGATCGCGTATCAGAACATGGGCAGCCTGGTGGTGGTCAATCAAATTGACCCAGTCACCTATGAATTCCTAGAGACCGCCGTGGATCTTAGCATAGTAGTGTGACAAGGGGGAGAAGAAAAAAAAAACCGAATCAAAAAGTATACCTCAAACGTAGTGAGTACCAGCACGGTGACTAGGGTTGCTTCACTATACGGTTCCCCGGAGCCTAGAGACTTCCGCAACTGTGTCAAGGCTTTGTTGTAGTATCTGAGGAATGAATAGAGCTTTCCATTCCCGGTCTGTACGCAATGATGGTATGAAGCGAAGCCAACAATTGCGTAGAGTAGAGGCTCATACTGCAATGCAAATTCGAGGATAGTGTCGTGGACAAAGTTGCTGCTGGAAGGCCCTAGAAAGTAATGCCGATAATCGATGAAATCTTGGTGATATGAGAGATAATAGCGAAGATCTTCTGATAAATGGGCTGTATTCGGGGGTCCAACAGAATCGAGGGGTATAAATCCGACACTGGCCGATCGTGTACTCAACGATTCAAACCTCGAGGATCCCTCAGTGGACGGTGAGCTACTGCTCTCTTTGCAGGAGACCGCGGGATCTGTTGTAGCACCACCACCGCTCTGCCATTTCCCTTTGCGTCGCCGTAGAGGCTGACCACTACCCTCCTGCTGCGGAAGCTCCGGTTTTGATCTAACTGGAATAGCCGATGCAGAGGGTGGCGATTGATGCGTGCTGGAATTGGGGCTGGTTTCCTCTTCTCCTTCGTCTACAATCGGGTCTAGGGCACGAACTTCGTCTGTTTCAACATACCCGGAAGAATCACTCCCACAGGATTGTGGACGAGGGACCTTCCCCTTGACGACAGACCGCAATCCCGGCTTTGATGGCGCGCCCGTTCCCGTGGAGCTTGGATAAACACAGTCACGACTCCCCTTTCGACATCGATCGCAAATCGGACGGGTTTCGTCGCATTTGATGCGACGGGATCGACAGGTAAAACAACCACTTCGAGTCCGTTTGTGCTTTTTCTGATCCGGTAATGGCTGGAGGAGGGATGGTGTTGTGGGGGGTGCTGTATAGGAAGCCGCGGGGATCTGTGGCGGCGACGGTTCCGGTTGCTGCTGCTGCTGTTGCGCCGGAGGATTATGCCAAAGCGCAACGCTTTTTGGATAATTGGCAGGACCCAAGATTGAATAGGTGGAGAGCGGAGAAGGCTCCTGGGGATGTAAAGAGCCCGAGAGATAGCCCGTCATGGGGGCTTGGGGTGGGGGGGAGGAATGTGCCATAATGGGAGAAGCCAGCAAAATTGTAGGCGGAAAATTCGGGGAGCAAGGGAGCCGAATTCGATAGCCGGCATAAGTTAGGAAGAGAAGGAGAAAGAGGCAGAGAGATTAGCCTAAGGTGGGACGCGGATGAAAATGCATTCTTTTGTCACGAGAAGAAGAAGGGAGAGAAGGGGAAGAGGTTAAGATAGGATGATAGGATGGATAGGAATAGGAGAGGGGATGGAAAACAACGGGAGAAAAGAAGGAAAGAATGGATGAAGAGGAGAGATGAAAGACAGGATTGTTGGAATGAATTAGGACAGAAGTGGAGGGGAAAAGAGAGAGAGAGAGAGATCACCGAAGGGGACAGTAAAAGTAAATAACAATGAATAATGAAGGACGAGGTATCAAGATTGGTCGGAATCTGACAGGAAAAACAACCCTGGAAAGCTTTCTTTTCTACTCTGATCAACTCTTCTTTTTATTTTTAGGAAGATTTTCCGATCAACCCTATCTTGATCGGTGTACCTGTTTTGTTCCTTTAAGTTGTATGTAGGCTACTATGGACTAGTTAAGGATACATACATACTTACCTATTGGATGATCAATTGGCAGCCATCTACCTGTAGATCAACCTAGATATCAATTCATTATACAGTACTCTCAGCTCCGTACTCTGTATTGCTGCCTTGAGTCCGGGGCATAGGAGAATAACTGGCCTCCGAGATGGACAGAGAGAAGAGGGGCACCGAAGGCTAAAGCCAGTAACACACCAAAGGCTTCCCAAGGACCCAACGCTATTTCTTTAGTGGCCCTACAGGTGGGAACAGGCCAGGATTCTTCGATCAATAACACCAGGATTTTTTCTTTTTCTTTTTCTTTTTTTTTTTTTTGAGAAATTACACTCCAGCTCGAACCAGCAAGTTAGATTCCAAGCTGAAACGATGTAAAAGTCTGGCTTTCCTCCTCACATCCTCTGATTCATGGGCCCTTGAATAAGTTTAAGCGCTGGTGACCTCATCCAGATAGGTGAAAATGTGCTCCGTAGAGGTACTCTTGTAGGAGTACTCGGTACTAACAGCACTAGTAGCGGGACCAAGTGGAGCCTACTGCATCTGGTGAACCTTGAGAGCCAACCTTCTGGGTCGTACTATGTACGGAGTGCTTTAAATTATTGAGGGGGAACGCTGGCTGTGGCTGTGCAGCCGAAGAAAATATCTCAGTAACTTGGATCTCCGAGTTAAACTGAATAAAAAGACGTTATATGAGTCCGCAGTGGTGCCAAAAGTACCCCCCTACGGAATGCATAATACCATACAATAATACTAGTAGTTACCCTATGTAATCCCAAGACTCTACGAGTCATTACAATGGCCAAGGCAGCTTGATCCCTGTGCAAATCATCAGTGCTACATGTACATGATTCACCTTGACTGATTAACTAACTATCTACTCGTTTATTGTTAAGCTGCTCTGATTGTCAGTTTGGCGGATTGTCCCTGGGAATTAGGTTGGCTAGCCCGGTATTAGAAAAGAACCACCGTATCCATAAATACGTTGCCACAAACGTTCCTCCACAAGGTGGAGCCGGAAAAGGACGGAGGTGATAGCCTCAGCCACGCCTCATTCGGATTTCAGACGTTGCATGGTCTGTAGGAGCTGAAGAATTACTTAGTTAGACCAAGTTGCAGCCAGAAAGAATCCGCAGATCTCGATTAGGGAGATCGGAGTTGACTCAAAATTTACGTCGACAGGAAGCTTTCACTACATACAGGAACGGGTATCGGCATTCAGAGAGATTTTGACAGCTCTCAGGCCTCCTTTCTTACTCATCATGTCTCCAAATGGTTCTCTCCGAGGACGATGATGGATTACGATTTTTTGTTGACTTGTCTAGACTCCTCTATTAACTTTTTCCCCTGCTTTCACCTTAATCAGACATGTAAAATTACCGTCCCCGGTCCACTTCCGTAGTCCTCCGTAGTCTCGATTCTTTGGCTTGCTGAAGGCTGAAGCCCGGATTTAAAGACGTTCAGTTTGTACACTCATTGGGTTCATTACCCTGCATATTTCCCGCATTATTTACTTTGCCACATCTTCCGCCCCGGTTCAATAAATTAGCCACAGACTTGAATTGGAAATACGGATGCCTCGCTGTACAGAGTAGACTGATCTCTCCACGTGGGTTTGCTCTCTTGACGCTCGAGTTCCACCGTTCTTGAATGGCCAATAATTGTCCTACACCAGCCTCACCTTGTCATGGGTGATCTAGAATAGAATAGAGTAAATGCTTTTGCTCAGTGCTGTACTCTGGTAGCTTGACATGGATACTTACTCACTCATCAGACCATAGTGAGATTAAAGAATCCCCAGTTCATGGAAAGAAGACCAGATGTTGCTCTACTTTATTCATTCCTGGTTTCATCCGTAGTTCTCTGTGGGCACGTTTAACGGAAAAATAACTACGTAGTCTTATAATATACGTCGCACGCACAAAGACTGGTGACGATATTCTATACTACCTATACTACAGAGTATACTACTGATCAACTCCATCCATGATATATTACTGTATGATCACACCTACTTTGATCTCCTAACTCAACAATCATCTCTTTCCTCCTTCTCCAGGATGACAGAAATCAAACCATATCTCATGGCCCAGTTTAGTAGTAGTCCCAGTCAAGTACCTAAAATTCTTCTTACCAACCTCCTCCCCTCCCAAACAGGAACTTAAGCCCGCGCCGCCTGAATCTCATCAACAGCAAGCTGTATCCCTTCAATCACAACCCCCCACTCCATCTCATGTACCTTCTGCTCAAAGACATGCAGATCCTCATCCGTCCCCTTGACAAAGGGAATCTCCCTGACCAGAATCGGCTTCCCCATATCAACCTCCGAAATCACATTATGGATCATGACGCCAGTTTTGTCGATTTGACCATCAAGCCACGCCTGATGTGCACGTTCAATAGCATTCTACCCAGAAACAAATCATGTTAGCATGCATACTCTCTCTCTCTTTCCCCCCCCTCTTAGAAGTCTTCTCGAGGGGAAGGAAGAAAAAAAAAAAAAAAAAAAAAAAACATACAGCACCATTAAACTCCCCCGGCAACGCAGGATGCAAATTAATAATTTTCACCTTCCCTTCCTCCAACGGTGCCAAAAACCTCGGGGACAGAACATGCATGAATCCCAAGCAGGCAACCAAATCCGGTTTATCGGCTAGCACGAGGCGCGCGAGCTCCGCATCGTATGCTTCGCGCGCGCACTGCACGCCCGCCGGGGTAGCAGGGTGTTGCCTTTTGTATTTCACGAGGTTATGGTAGTGTGTTGGGATGGAGGCGCGGTGGGCGCGTTCGAGCCCGAATGCGTCTTTGCGGTTGGAGATTACACGGATGATCGACGCGGGAAGGGCTTGTTGGGAGGAGGGGGCGGTTCTGTCGATTACGGCTTGGAGGTTTGTGCCGGAGCCGGAGATGAGGATTGTTAGGCGGATGGGGTCCATCTTTTTTTTTCTTTTTTTTTGGATTGCTTTCTCTTTCCCAATCTCTTCGTTCTTTGCTGTTTCAGGGTCGAGGTGCGCCGGGGGTTGTGCGATGACTGGACACTGGGGATTCGCAGTTAGCTGAGGCTCTTCGATTTTTCAACAACAAAGTCTTTTACATGTATGTAATAGGACAATGGCAATTGGAGATGAGATTGTATATTACTTGCGCACTTGAAAAGCTTCTTCTGCTGGATGAATCGGAAGCGGGGCATCAACGGTGCTGAGTCATCGACAGTGGGCGGAGAATGCGGGGCATCATTGAACTATCATGAATGTCTTGGTATACTCCGTACTCCGTACTACTTGAGAAACATTTATAGATCTCACCATTCCATTGGCATAATGTAGACAATAATACAGTCTATTTGAAACGCAATGTTTTAAGATATATCACAAAGGTAAGTTTGTAACCAGGAATATCGAAAGCTTCCAGCCTGTCGACGTCCAAAGACCTGTCCCTGGAGTCTCTTGAGACATCCCTAGTGACACCCCCGAACCCAAGGACAATAACCAGAACCAAGGAACTCTCACAAAAGGCAATACAACAATGGATATCGGTAAGTGGAGAAGACAATAGGCTAAAAAGAAAACGAACAGAGAGGTAGAAAGGCTAGACGCTCCATGCTAAACTTGACACACAATAACTCAAGAAACGAATTGGGTCCTCATATTAAAAACGACGGCCGTGACGATATCTGTGCATTCAAGCTGCTGCCGCGCTCGGCGGGTCTGACGATGCTTCGGCATTCGACTTTTCGGCGACACCCTGACCCCGACAGAGGGGACAAGAATTGCGACCTGTCGTTAGCCACTACAGACATGTCAGCTCAGGTTTTGACAGAGGAATAGAGGAGATAATACCTGGTCAATACAATCCCGGTGGTAAAGATGTTTGCACTTGGTAAGTTGTCGCAGCTCCTCAGCTACTTCATAATCACTGAGGCAGATCAAACACCGTTCTCTCTCCGGTATCGGAATAGTGACAGCTTCATCAAGGGTCTGTGCGACAAGGGAACCACCATATTCGATGACACGCAAGAGGCCCCCCGCAGACGTGAGATCTTCTTGACTAGCGACGGGTGGCTTAGCAGGGCCAAGGAGGGATGAGAGCAGGATCATGTCTTCGTAAGTCGGATTCTAAGAACCAGGTTAGTATGCAGCCACATAGCATGCAAAGATTCACTCACATCAGTGAATAGGCTTGGGGTTGCAAATGCAGGGTGATTTTCCGAAAGGTTAGTGCCGACAACATAGATCAACCAGCTTCTACCTGCCGGTGGCGTCGGGTTGTCGGGTTCCACAACGCCATTTCGTCTAACGGCTCCAGAACCCAGCTCGCGATGGCGCGCAAATTCCGAGTCGCTTCTGCGTCTCTGGCGGGATGTAGTAAAAGGGATATTGTCCTCTAGCGGCTCCACTGTGGGCTGCATGGACCGGTTCTCGTCAAGCTGAGGAAGGATGTTGGGTGACATCATCGATGCGGATGACAGTCTTCGACTTGGAGTGGACGCGCCCGACGAAACGGCAGAAAGACCAGGCTCTGCTGGTGTAGATGGAGGTGGGTGAGGACCTGGAGGGCTTTCCGATACGACAGAAGGAAGCGATGACGGTGGGCCACGGCTTCCAGCGTCGGAAAATCTCCGCGATGGGCTCGACAGTCCTTGCTGTGATGGGGTTTCATCGTTGATAATTGGTGCACCGGCGCTTCCTGCCGTAGGACGATTGGCGGCAAAACCCGGGCGGCCTCCAGCCCGTGGGGGAAACCCAGGGCCACTATCCTGATTTCGGGGGATATTCCCTGGTGTCAAGAACGGAAGTCGAAGCAAAGCATCTAGACCTGGCCCCGCTGTGGGTTGTTGGTCACCACCAGGGCCATTACCGGAGGGAACAGATCGAACTCCAACGACCACCAGGGTAACTGTGCGACCTTCAGGCCCATCTACATGGTTATCGACATCGATGCCATCTCCATGGTTCCCAGAATTGTCTGACTCTGTGGTTGACGGATTTGACGGGCCAGGAGCGCGAGGGCTGTCGGAATTGGCGAATCGAAAAACTCGCAAGAAGTTGACCGGAGCTGGGGGCCCATCGTCTCCTGTGCTATTAGATGCGTCGCTAGGTGTTGGGTGGCCAGATGTGGCATGCTGCAGGCTCTGAATGAAACTTTCCAATGAACCATCCAGCCCATCATTGCCCAGTGCTTGAATGTTGGGCATAACTGGACCAGCAGTACCGGAAAGTTGGGCAGCAATAGCCGCAGCGGCGAGCTGAAGGACGCGCGACAGAGGTGTCTGCTCTTCCCGTCGCAGAGCTCGAGATGGCCGTGCTCGCAGCAGACTCGGAAAGTGTCGCGCACTCGATGGGCTTTGTGCAGACTGTGGGAAAAGGGGGGAACCTGGACGTGGGCTTCCCACTGCAGGCTCCACGGAATCCAGTTCGTGGGGGGCATCAAAATCTGGACGGGTATCCATGGGCACTGGATGCGGAATAAATCCAAGGGAATCAGGGCCGGGCATATGGGGTTGCTGGGTATCTTCAGGGGTCTGATCAGGAGACGTACCTGAAGACGGCTGGCCAAACATCTGTGTAATGGGACTCGACAACGACTGTCGCATGCGATGTAGTCGAGCGTTTCGTCGCCATGACACCCTCCCCGATTCCGGACTGTTTTCCGCAGACGGATCCAAGGAAGAGCCCGAATGGTTAGGGTCTGAAATGACGGACGGATCACTGCGGGGAATGAAGTAGGGTGCACGAATCGAGCGTCTTCTTGATACGCCTCTGGCGCTAAGTGAGGTAAAAGGGCTGAAGCGGCTACTGCTGTGACCGATCTCTGATCTTGGAATCGATCTCGAAACTATTCCATGTCGATGCGCATGTCCTTCTGCTGGGGTTTCCTCTTCGCTGCTTAGAAGGCCACGGATAACCGAGTTCGGCAAAATCCTGGATCCTAACCTTGACATCGTTGAGTGTCTTCTGGCGGCCATGCGAGCTAAAATTGCAGATCGGTATTCCCGCTGGATAGGTTCATACTGGGATCCAGTTTCTTCTTGGATACGCCCCATTTGTCTTGAATTCCCCGAAAGTTCGCCGGGGGTGATCGTCGGCTGCCACGGATCAACTGGGGCCATCATTTGGTCCACCATTCCAACATCATCGTTATTTATTTCAAGGCCTTCCTGGGGTCCAACAACCCCATCCTGCTCCGTATTCTGGCCGGTACTCATATCTTCATTCCTCCTGCGGCTGTGACTGCGTTGAAGAGAGGTCAGGTGGTGGAAAGGAGTATTCTGGCGTTGATCTCTTTGCGTAGAGGAGGACTGTCCCATAGTAACAAAAAGGAAAGGCTGGTATGTGGCGATGGGATCTTAAAAACCACCTATTGCCATGGACAGGTAGATAACTAACGGTACGAAAGCATTAGTAAGATGTCAAATAGAGCTGGATTACCAAAGACGGGGACAGATAGAAGAACTGGAAGGGGATGGAATAAAGGACAATAGTGTTGCTGAGTAGTCGATAAAGCAAACGCCGGAGGATGCACCCTCGACGGTGCCACCAAACCAGGCGAGTCTCATCAAAGAGAGCTCCCCGGCCTTCCGAAACAAGCATGACGACGGTTATGCTCACCATTGGACAGCTTGTGCGGGACAACATACAAATATGATGCCCAATCCGGTGCTTTTCCCAAGTCTTATGCGGTATTATAATACTCTTAGGAGATGTGTTTGTACGTATGTGATGTGGACTGCGGAGGAGTAAGGCGCCAGGCCGCAACCTCTCGATTGTCTTGACAGGCGGGTTCTCGTGAAATGCAAGGCTGCAGTGACTGTGGATAGATCGAAGGAAGAGTAACACGATATTGTTGGGGAAGGGATGTGATTTCCCACCTTGACGATGGATAGAGGTGAAGATGAACGGCAGGTGCCAACTCTAAGTCAGCTACGAAGGAGAGGCGAACGATATTCGGGGACCCCACGACAAGGTCTCAAATCCGAGAGAGCGATTTAATGAGGAAAGAGAAGTAAAGTGTAATGAAAGGATCGATTAGAAGAGAAGAAGAAGAAAAAGAAGAAGATGATGATGATGAAAAATTCCGAATGTCAAGGAGGGGGGTAGAGGCAGGAATCAGGAGAAGGAGGAGGAGGAGGAGGAGGAGGAGATGCTGATGGCAGATGGATGTGACGATGGTGATGGTGATGGCAGGTGAGCGATAACAGATCGGCTGCTGACGAGTAGTACAAGTACGGTACGGAGCACCAGTACCAGTACGTACTACTACCTGTATGGTTGGTACGGGGTTGCTTCAGAGTTTCCAGGTTGAATTACGGAGTGGACACTGTCTCTCTCTATTATATTAGTTATGATTACTAGATGATTCATGAATCTGCTTTGATATAACTAACTACGTATAAATAAAGCATTACCAATCTCCCCTCTCCCATAGTTAATCATCCACAGGACGGACTGGTAACGAGGTGATGGAAGATGGAGGATTCAGTGGCGGTTTCGGATGGCCCGATTGGGATTAGTCTCCAACCGACTGTATTGTATTAGTAATTACTGTCCTCACAGTTAACTACCTTCACCTGATTCGCTCGGAGAAGCCTGAAAGATGCCTTGGGGCCTTGCAGATGTATTTTTTGTATTCGATTTTTTTCCCTCTTCTTGAATACTGGCCAAAACCCTCACATCTCGACCTCTATTTTCAATTTCTGTATCCTTGACCCTACACTTTCTGTTACATCAATTAAATAATAAAACAGATTGCCAAAGGAGAGACAAAAAAAAGAAAAAAAAAAGAACAAGACAGTGATTGAAAAATTAGCACAGTTCATTAGTTAACTAGCCTGTCTGCTTTTTGAGATCTTGGCTAGATGCGGATATTTTGATCGCCAGTCCTCAGGGGAACTACGAAGAATCTCCTGAGGGGAAAGCCATCAGCTCTTAACGGCCAGAATCTCCATGGCCCTCGTGCCCTCCGCCTCTGCATTCTCTTTGCCGCTTCCGTTATGGCAACAGAACCCTAGTCTACGGGTAACCAAATACGAGTCCAGGAAACGCAAGAAGCAGTATGATACTGGGGAAGACACTGACCACAATGACGGCGGTGAAACAACTGATGCTGCATCTGAGAAAGCGCCAATCTCGCAATCTCTTCTTTTATCGTCAGAGGAAGCTCATCAATATCGCACAGCTGGTCTTTCTTTTGATGAGGAATTACCTGGGGGAAGCTTTCCGCATGGCGCGGCCGAAGAAAGGGTCCGCCAGGTGAATACACGCGGTGCAATCCTGCGTCAACTTTCATCTTTGACGCCTCCTCTTTATGCTCCTCAATCGGCAGCACATCAAGGCAACCTTCGGTTTCATCATCTTGCGGTGCTCACGGCCGTTATGCATCGATGCCTTCTAGATGGGGACTACATCCGAGCAGGAAGGGCATGGGGCTTGATTATTCGCGAGCAATTCGGGGGACATCCGATTGACGTGCGTACTGAAGATCGATGGGGCATTGGCGCGGAAATTCTACTTCGACAGGATCGCCAGAAGTGCAAAACTGCGACCGACACTTCTCAGAGCACGGGGCGGGTTTCTAAGCTACATTTTACTCGAAAGGGGTTCGAGGATGCTAGGGAGTACTATGAAATGCTCATAATCCAGCATCCATACCAGAAGACAGCCCCTAACGTTACAAGCGCCTTACACTTTTACCCAGCCATGTTCGGACTTTGGATATATGTTACCCAAGAAGAGAGTATTGCGGCACGGAATTCACTCGATGATCAACGTGAGAGCTCAATCGAAGAGCCTTGCGAGGATGAAGATCCTGGGTCGGAGCTTGATGGCCATGGTAACTCAGGACAGCGACACCAGGCTCTTGTCGCTGGTGTCAGAGCCAAGGAACTTGAGCAAGCCCAAAAAATCTCCGCCAGGATGGATGAGATGATTGTTTCGCCTCCATATTCAGATAGCCCGGAGTTACTGGAACTCCGGGGAATGGTATCACTCTGGATTGCTGACCTATTTGTGTCCAGTGTACCTGGTGGTAAAAGTGACGATTACAAACGCGATGATGACGAAAATTATGATAACGAAGATAATGATCTTTTTATGTCTTCAGAAGAATTCCCTAGTTCTGTGTTCGAACGACGAGAACGGAGACTGGCGATGGAGAGAAGGGAGGCTGAGATTGAGAAGTCGAAAGAGTTTATGGGTAAAGCCCAGCAGCGTAAGCTGGGAGTAGCTTCTAGGCTGCAAGACTTGCATATAGACGATCTCTCTCTCGGTACCCTTGATCCGTACGAATAATCAGGTGCACCTTAGGCGTCCCAGTGGATGGACTATAGAGTAGAAAGGTATTATTTCTTCTATTCTATATTAATTAATATCCAGACTTTACATTGAAATGTATCCATCCCTTTTATTTCGTATATAAAAGTGGTAACTGTGGTAGTAGTGAGCCTTTAATTTACTTTTTTATAGTAGATGAAAGATAGTTATGAGGTAAGCTCGTGTGCCTGAGGAACCCAACACGTCGTCTTCGCCATGAAATTCAAACAGCAGCTTCGAAAAATATCCTGACACCAGAGAACCATCCACAAGAAAAGAATTGGGGACCAACGAACGCCATCTTATTATTTTCTTCTGAATCCCATGGTTTGATATTGTATTGTCGACAGTTTCATTTTCTTTTCAACCTCGGTTCTGGGTTACAGGTCGACTAAACATGGGCGTCGGGGACTATGTGCATTCCAAAGAAGCTCGCCAGCATGATCCCCAACCAACTAAGGCAGTGCCAAATCAGTCAAGACAAGCTCTAGCAGACCAAGCCAGAGTTGAAGTTCCCACGGCAGCTTTGATAGCCCCTGTGCCGATTCAACCCCACCGACAGGCGCCGCTAGATCGATACGGCTCGCCTTTTCATGAGCAGCTGAATGTTCCAGCTGAACAGCCTGTATACAGGGATGTTTTCGACACTGATGTAGAGGGCATTGATGACTCGACTGTCGCTGGGACAAGTGTCTATGGCATCGATGATATTCCATACAGATTGTCACCCGCCATAACCGCCCAGCCTCAACACATCGAGCATCCCCCGCAACCTTCACCATCACCACCACACCAATTCCGACCAGTGCGCCGTCCTCACGACTCTAAATGGTATGAGGGTCTTGGCGATAGGGCCATGAAATCAGCTGGCTTTGCTTTGGATGACATCGACAGTGTAAGCCAGCTTACCTCAACCGCAGGTGATGATGAACAATCAAACGATACAGACGATCAGCGCTTCGCGCCTAGGTACAGAGCCACAGAGGAGCCTATGAGCAGACGACTCCAGAATTTCTGGAGCGCGAGTCGCAGAAGCTATTCCAACCACGACAGTTTTATGCCCAGCGAACCGTCCAAGAATCCATCCTTCATTCCAGTTGCTTCTACCTCAAAGCCATTACCCACTAGTGCGAGGAAAGTAACTCTCACTCGCAGCATGACTACAACGCCAAGGACTAGGTTTAGTCCTCCCAAACCATCTCTTCTCGACCAGCTAGACTTAACGCCTACCCGACACAGCTCCGGTAGTCGATCCCAGCCTAGTAAAGACGCCGAGAAGAGTGACACTGATCTCCAGGATCCCGACGAAGGCTTAGGATTATTCGCGGACGACCATGCCCGCTCAAGCAGTTTCCAGTCCCTCAATGTCTTCGATATGACGAACCTGGATGATCTAGATGACGATCCGATTAACGACCCATTCGCAAGACGTAACTCTGTTGTCAGACGAACGGCTCCAGAACCTACAGAAACAACAAAAACACGGACCAAGAAACGTCAACTTGATATGGATTACCCTCCGGAAATTTTATACAAAAAGTCGTTCGCCGATCTCCAAGCCGAACCCTTCGACCAGACTCCCCCTTCGCAATCTGCTTCAGAGACACAATCTACTCCCGAGAAAGGAAAAGAAGAAGGCAAAATCTCATTCCTTATCAGACTCTCTGACCAAGAGCGCCATGACTATTTTGCAAAGCTCTCCATGGATGAGTGGGAAGACCACGGCGACCTACTCGTTGAAGAGTTTAGCAAAATGATGTTGAAAATGAAAGATCTGCGTCACGCCCGGCGGAAGACGGCAGCTTTATTCGAGGGCGAGATTAAGAGAAGACACAATGTAGTCGAGGAGCTATCTACTGAATTGTCTACCAAGTTCGAAGAAATGAGAGCCGGTGGCGCCGAAATGCTACGTGGCCGTACACCTTGAAACAGCGGATATGATTTCTTTACATCCTAAAGCCTGCGGGCGTTTCTTGCCTGTTGTTTTATTACCTGATTATATCCGAGTTATGCTGTTACTTATTTTTTTTTTTTTATATTTACCTCCCCATTTCCTATCAGGCCATATCTTTCATCACTGTGCGAGATGACCTTGCTGTCTCAAAGGTTGTCTGCTTTATATTGACTCGTTCGATTTAAATTATCCGTTTAAAAGCATCACTATACCCATTTCAGAAGTACGATTGTTATGTCTCCATCATGAACTCCATCCAATGCCAACGAAGAATTTCTATCCTCAGAATGCCAATAAAAATGCTAGATGTCTAATCCAACCACTGATATCCAGCAGTGATCTAGGAAAGTAAGGTCAAATCTTTCACGCTGATGAGCGCAGATAGATGCAGATACAAGGGGGGAAAAAAACTATAAGAGGAAAAACACAATGCCATCTAGACGCCAGGAGAACAATGAAGGAAAGTTATTTGAAAGTCAGCCCTTGCTTTAAAAGCGCAGCGGAAAGGCGCTTGTAATCTTCGAGTAAAACGCTCACGTCTCCAATAGTTAGATCATTCGCATTCTGCATCTGGAGGAAACGCTGGATTGGGGGGTCAATTTTCGCTTCCCGCGAGAATGAGAGCCCCTTTGGCCTTTCTAAAGGAGAAGGGGATGATAAGGCAGGAGATTCAGGCGTGGCACGGCCAAAATTCCTGATCATACCCGGGATGTGGTTGAGTGGGTTAAGAGTGTTGCCAAAGTTTCTCATCGACTCCAAAGGTGTTGGAGCTAACGATGTTGAGCTTGATGTGGAAATTTGGGGTTCTTCTTTAAAGAGGCTCGAGGGTTTAGAGCTTTCCTGCGTGCGGACGCTCTCCACGCTCCGATCTCTGGGAGTTCTCTGTCCACTTACTATCCCGAGGAAAACCTCTTCAGCCTTGGAGCCGATGCGTCTCAGTTGAGGTCGTTCAGTAGCCTGAGGTTCTTTGGCGACACCTTCCTCCGAATTGAGTTGAGTGTTGCCAGTAGTTATTGGAGCAGTCACCAAGCGTCTTGCCTCAGCTAGTGTCTTTGGTAAAACAGGCCCTGTCCCGTCTTTACCCGGGATTTGGTTCGATTGGAGTTCCTTGAGTCTGCCAAACAGAAAATTGAAACTGCTGTCTAATGTTGCACTGATATTTTTTAGGCTTTGATCAGCAGTGTTTCGGACGGCATCGTTAGCCGCTCCGAGTACCTTTGAAGGGGGCTGGAAAATATTATTTAGACGTCCTGGTTGAACTTGCGTTGGGGGCTGAGATCTGAGCAACGTGCTTGACGCTTCCTTTTCACTTGGCTTCGAAGGCTCGGCAGAAGCGGTAACCGGTGAAACAGACGATGCGGGGATCTCTGAAGCTGGTTGAAGGGAACCTGTTTTTTCAACGAGTTGTACAGCTTCATCCTTCGGTGCTTTTGCCTGTCCTTCTGGCAACTCGTCGGCGCGGAGTTCAGAAAGATCCACATTTTCGAGGAAGCTGATAGCCGCCTCGAGGTTGGTTAAGCAGTATGCAGTTTCACCGTCAACCTTATTAAATGATCTGAATCGTTGTACAAAGAGGAGATTGCTTATGATGTTGATACCCTCGGGTGGACAGGTAACCAATGTGTAAATGAGAGCCGGCAAGATCTCATCAGCTGAGGAGGAAGAAGGAAGTAGCTTGGTCAATGCATCGACAATAGCCTTGTGTGCCGCAGCAAGGTGCCGGAGCTTCCCTAACGGATACTTCTCATCGTTCATCTTCACAAGACAATCACGCGCGATTGCGAAGCCCTCATCTGCTTCTTTTTGTCTTTCCTCGTCAATTGTTGTAATGTCAATGTCCACTCCAAGATCCTTGAGGTTGATCCCAACTAAAAGCAGTGCTGCTGTTTTTGAGCGCAACTTCTCATCTCTAACCTCGTCTAGCGTGCTCTTATGCCTCCATATTTTATCATAGATACTTTCACAAGCCCTCCGTTCTACAGCTTCTTCCAAGTCAACGCGCTTGGAGGCAAGGAGCTTTCGTGCATTCCGTTTTTCCGCCACTTCCGATGCTGTCAACATTTGACGACTAGAGGCAATATTTTCTGTATCTTTACTACTGAATTTTGTTTTCACCGGATATGGCGAAGAATCGCGATTTATCCGAGAGGCAAGTGCAGATATGTGAGTAGCTATATGGGATTCCGCTCGGGAGTAGAAATCTTGGAAGAGGTTGGAGATTTTTTCTATTGTGGGCGGAGATGAGTGGACTTTTGCCGTTAGGGAGTTCACAAATCTAAGATTAAAGAGATTAGTTATTACAATTGGTTATACAGTGAGAGAACCACAAACCTATCGGTGAGACTGATGAGCTCTATCGGTAGCTCCTCTGATTGATCCGGCACGTTCCTTGAGAGCACTGAAGCCTCCTCCCCTTGGGGTCCATCGTCCCCGACACCGGCATCAGGAGTCCCTGACTTATCGAACAAGTCTGGACCGCTACTCGAGTTGTCTTCATTTGTCGACAATGTTAACGGAACAGCGTCCGAGTCTACCGATTCTGGAATTGCGACGGACTGAGCGGTTTTTGACCGTGACCGCACAAAGGTGTTTGTGTTCGAGCTATCCATCCTGGGAAATGAGCGAACTGAATGCAAGCGAGGCTTTGTGGAGCCAGTATCTGAGGTCCCGGAAGACATGGCCATACGCAGGAATTGCGAGCTGTATCGGTTGGTTTGTAGCTTGGAGTTCCGGCTAGCTGCCCCCCGCGGATAGATATCGGAGCTCTGTTGGCGGTAGGAGAATGGACGCCAAGGCACCGGGCAGTATGAAATATGGTAAAAATTGACACGAACTTGAAAAGATGCTTATATCTCAAATGAAAACATGGTGAGATGCCAGGCTCCAGGCCTCGTGAGATTCACGCAAGATGGCTGATGTTCAAATAACTGGAAATGATGATGCCTTCGTCGATGCTCGTCACGCGTAGCCCGTGATCCACGTGACGCCTCCTCTCCGCCCCCCAATATGCGTCACCGATAAGTGAACAATCCCCAGCACTCTGCATCAGCTATCTGCGCCTCTTCTGTTCATAACGCTACTTAGCATTGTTATTTATCGTAATACAGCCATGGAAAGACCATATAAGCGCCCTAGGAAGCGCTCTTTGTGGGATACGGGCTTCTCAGGCCTACTGGTGTCTGCCGCCATACTCCCCAGCGTTGTCTCCGCTTATCACCCTGTATACTCGGGATCCCGAGAATCGTCCCCTTTCCTCCCTCCACAGATCCCTTTGTCTGGATCTCCTTCTCTCTCTGGGACACATGAGTTTGTATGACCTCCGATCTATTTTTATACCTAGCACTGCTTTACTAATTGTTGGTTTAGACTCTTCGCCACATTGTTCAGCGAGGGGCGTACGAGTACCCTCAGCTTCACAGAAGGCTCGACATCAAACCGAGTACGCGACTACGAGCAGTTTCAGAAGATGGAATTGAAGAAACAGAGTTTGCTGTCCTCGATTTACCCCTCGTTGCGTCCTCCGAGCCCCTTACAATACAACGACTAGCCGACCGTCGTCTCTCGGTTGTTGAAGGGCACCTAACAGCCGCACGAGAGGGATCCATAGTATCTCTCTCTTCGTCAGACTGGGTAATGGACACGTTACCTGGCCCAAATATTACGAATAAGGAGAGCGTGATGACCTTTGCAAAGATGACCGCAAATGACTATATTGAGGAACCGGGTACGGAAGACTGGGAGGATATCCATGGTCAGTTTAATTACTCCTCCAGCTTCGGCTGGCAAAGTGATGGACTCCGCGGTCATATCTATGCGGATAAAACCAACAGCACCATTGTCATATCTCTAAAGGGAACCTCGCCGGCTCTCTTTGACGGGGCAGGTACAACAACCAACGATAAGTTGAATGACAATCTCTTTTTCAGCTGTTGCTGTGGGCAAGGAGGCTCCTATCTCTGGCGGCAAGTCTGTGATTGCCAGGCATCAGCTTATAACGCCAACTTGACTTGTATCATTGAATCTATGCATGACGAGAACCGATATTATCGTGCGGCCATCGACTTATACTCCAACATCACTGAGCTCTATCCCACCTCAAATGTATGGCTAACCGGTCATTCATTGGGTGGTGCTATGTCTAGCCTTCTTGGATTGACCTTCGGACTGCCTGTTGTCACTTTTGAGGCTGTCCCTGAAGCTCTCCCTGCAGCACGGCTTGGCCTCCCAAGCCCCCCAGGGCACGACCCGAGATTTCCTCAGACACGAAAGTATACTGGATCATATCATTTTGGACACACCGCGGATCCTGTATATATGGGTACTTGCAATGGAGTTAGCTCTGTCTGTACCTGGGGTGGCTATGCGATGGAGTCTGCATGCCATACTGGCCACATGTGTGCTTATGATACAGTTGCGGATAAAGGATGGCGAGTGTCACTCAGCACACATCGTATCAAGTCTGTGATTACGGATGTCCTCGAAGCATATGACAGTGTCCCGTCTTGCGTAGCGGAGGAGGAGTGCTATGATTGCGAACTGTGGAAGTTCTTCCGCAGTAATGGCTCAGAACTGACAACAACGACCTCAGTCCCAAGTTCCACAACCACATTTACTTCAACCAGGACCACAACCTGCGAAACTCCTGGATGGTGGGGCTGTCTTGATGAGACCACTACTACTGATAGTACGACTACAACCACAGTCACGACGACGACATCAACATGCAAGACACCTGGGTGGTTTGGTTGTAAAGACCCGACTACCACTACTGACACTACGACGCCGCCGATCACAACCACTGCCGAAGTTCCTACCAGCACCACGACTTGCAAGGATCCTGGATGGTTTGGATGTCGGGACCCAATCACTCCAACCACCTCGCCGGCTTCTGTGCCGAAAACAACCTCCACATGCGAAACTCCTGGACTTTTGTGGGGTTGCCATGACTCCTCTACTGCGGACAGCCATTTGATTACCCCGGCCCCCGTCTTACCTCTTTAAGACCACAGATGCCCCCCTGCCTGAGCAGTAGAATTCCACCTTCACTCCCGTCATAACTGTTATGACTATATACAACCTACAGGCAGTTTACTAGCGAGCGATTTTTTTTATTCTCATCTTTTGGGTTCGTTTACTGAATTGGAGTTCAAGGTTGCATTGGATCCTATTTAGAAACCATTGATATCATTATTATTCCAAGTCCCTAGGTAGGTAGTTGCACCTATAGTGACGGCGTTGGGTGGCAATTAGCAACAACTCTAGCTATTAGATAGAGATATAAATCAGACTCTTTCGGATCGCACGCGTTCCTCACTTGGTATTATTGCATTAGTAGTTCCCTAACTTGAGAGCTACGAATAAAAGCAAGCCACGTGAGTGAATATTATAGTCCGAGATGCATCGAAAACAGTGAGTGTATAAGAGTTACAGGAACTGGATTGTTTGCTTATAGAGAAATCTCGCAGGTATCTGGTTCTATGCATTGGAGAAGCTTATATATACCATTTACATATCATTACTTAGAGGAATTCTACAACTTGATCTTTGCTTGTTGCTGACAATGTCTCAAACGTGCATGCATATTAGGCGTCCGAACTCCTCTTACTGTACATGCCAAATATCTACGTAACTATCTATAGAAAATGTTTATCTCCGGATGATTAATCACATTTATAGCGAGAGAAAGGTGTCCCAACCAGCTAAGAGTAAACCAAACTTCGCTGGGCTAGAACTAAGAAGAGAAGGTTCATAAGAACAAGCTGGAAGCTTACACCAAAGGGCTTAGAATCCTATTGTATAGCCTTTCGGTTCACGGGATTTAGGTATCCGTCAGTACTAGGGTTTCGCGAATAAAACTTGGGGAACCATCCCGTGGGGGGTCTGCTGAGTGACAAAAATCGCTACTATACAGACTGACTCAGGCCAGTGAAGCCGCTCGATTTCAGGGTGAATCGGACAGGACGGCATATGTTACGCCTAATTGCCCACAGACGATAGTCATATGAAGCAATTACGCTGACCCGGAGCGCGGAGGTGGTGTTCACCAGCGGACCGAGTTGCACCAACTCGTACGTAGTTATTGAACGTAGATAGATATTCTCTCCAGGTCACCTTAGCCAATCCGCTGTTTCCGCCTCACCCAGACTTCTTGATCGGTGGTTTCGGAAGCCTCATCAGTCGGGGTCTCGGAGTTACGTAGCTGCACATCCCAAACCTTGAGCTTGTAGCTACCACGGTCCGACAGCCCCGAGAAAATATCAAAGGACCAGCCGTGCTTGGGACAGGTGATTCCGGCACTGAGGACAACCCCAAAGTCCTCAATGTCAAAGAGGCTCCCCTGTGAAAGTGGGAATGACGAGTGAGGGCATTGCTAAAGGGGTCAGTCAGCCTTCATTTCCCCGTCGCCTGTCTCTAGCTTGCTCACATGGTCAATGGCATGGAATTTGCCCTTGTACTTGAACACGAGCACTTGGTCCTTCAAATCCCCGGCCCGTTCCAGATCTGCTTCGACTGGAGCCTTGGGATCCCCGGGGCTATTTGTTTTGGGGATACTGAAAGCTTTGCAACTTGGGGTGACCTGGCAGTCGTCGTTGCCTGAGCTTACGTCGGGGAAGGCGGACGCACGGCCGACCAAATGCCAGCCAGCACCCGCATGGGATGATTGTACGAAGGGTATCATCGCCGGGATAAAAAGAAAAGGGAGAAGGAGGGGGGGATACAGCTCGGCGTGGGTAGAAAATAGTTGGCGCTAGTTTTCTACCCACGCGGAGTTTTTTTCTACCCACGCCGAGCTGTATCCCCGATGGCCGTAGCCGATCTCTGGTACAGCCTCAAGCTCTTTTTCCGACGGCCATACTGTCTTTTTGCCTTGTTGTCTTTCGCTCACAAACCCAATATCGTCTTTCCCACGAACATAGCCATGGCTAGCGACATGAGTCCCATGCAGGAGTTGATTTTCGTCTTTGTAGCAAAGAGTCACGTGTGGACCCAAAGGATCTTTCTGGTGTATGCCATTGATACTGGTTGTATCATGAACCTCGGACCTGCAAATTTATCCAGACATCAGTTAGCATCTAGTAGGGATTCAAAGTATCACCTTGCTCGAATGCATTGTGTACACACCTAATGAGAACCGCCTTGGGGTAGAGCTTTCTGTCTCTTGCTGTCTGATATGTATGCCAGAGCTACAAGCTGGCGCAGTCGGTCTTGATCTTTCGGGACCATATTCGTCTCAACGTCGGCGACATAATGAAAAAATATTGTGAGATATTTTTATCTCCTTTATCAAACTTGTTTTGGCTCAAATTCTCCGCATGATACAGCGATGAGTCAATTGTTGTCACTGGCCATTCGGTTGTTGCGCCCGCATTATTTGTGTTCCTCAACCATTTCTCCTGCCCTTCGTAAGGGGCATATGCCACTGCTTCATCATAGCCAACCTCGCTGTGCGTTGACTCGCACCGCATTCAAATTGATGGACACCTACGAAGATTTTGACACACGTCTCCTCTACGAGCCTCTGGAGGGAGTCGAAAGACTTGAAAACTATCGACCAGGGGGCTATCACCCCATTCAAATCGGAGATCAATTTCACGGTCGATATCAAGTTGTTCATAAGCTGGGACATGGGTCTTATTCAACTGCGTGGCTGGCCCGTGATGAACAATTCAATAAATACGTTGCAGTGAAAGTTTGCACTGCAAATGCAGATCCAAAGGAAGTGGACATTGTTTCCATGCTCACTCGTCCTCATTGTCCTTCAGTCAACCATCCAGGGAAAATGATGGTCCCTTCGATTCTAGATAGGTTCACCATTCACGGCCCAAATGGCAATCATGCTTGCTACGTCACAGCGCCGGCGAGTGCTAGCCTCTCCGGGGTGAAAGATGGCTCTTGGATCCGTTTATTCCAGCTTGATGTAGCCCGGTCATTGGCTGCACAACTCGTTCTTGTTGTGGATTATATACATGCCCAAGGAATTGTCCATGGAGACCTTCACCTCGGCAACATTCTTCTTAAAGTTCCGCCCAATTTTGACCAGCTCTCACTGAAACAATTATATGAGAAATATGGAGAACCGGAGCTAGACCCAGTTGTTTGTCTAAACGGTAATCCGCTTCCGCCTGGTGTTCCATCCCACGGCATTGCGCCTATATGGTTAGGGGAAGCGAGTGAGAGAATCACACTTTCAGAGACCAGGATCTTGCTTACAGACTTTGGTGAAGCCTTTTCCCCTTCAAAAGAAGGGAAATACGAATCTCGCACCCCCCTTGTCATCCGACCCCCCGAGGCACGGTTTGAGGCAAATGATCCTCTGTCTTTTTCATCGGACATTTGGACCCTCGCCTGTACCATATGGTCTATTATAGCCCAACGAATTTATTGTAAATATTTTAAATAATTATATAATTATATTATTCAAGTCATCAATATGGTCCCTCTCCTCAGGATACTTGGTATTCTCCCATGGCTCCCACAGCTGCGCATCCCGGCGCAGAGAGGTGACATTTTCCCAAATCAGGCAAAATACCACCAGGGCCATGACGATGGACAAAACAGAGGTGATGTCCAGCTTGTTAGCGAGCCCCAGAAGAACAAGAATGACGCCTACAATGGGTCGCATGATGATTCGTGAATGCTGTGGAAAGACAAGACAGATGGTTAGCTTTGGAATCGACAGGCTATAGGGATCCGGGGTTGCAAAGCAAAAGAGCTACTAACTTTACCCAAAATCAAGGTACACGGCTGATCATTACACTCGAACAGGCTCGCCAGGGCATATAGGCAAAACATGCCTGCTCCTAGACTTCCACATAGCAGCCAGCGCTCGGGGTCCTCGAAGCGATCTTCGGCGGTGCTGGTGGCGGCTACATGACCACTGGCTAGAAGGCTAGCACATAATGGGAGGTGAAGGAATGCCCATGCAAACGCAGTGGAAACCGAATATCGCAGCGGATGGGTACTGTGTAAGCCACCATCTTTGTGGACGTACATCCAGTTCAGGCAAAAGGCAATGATCAAGGTCCACACCGCGTGGAGCAGGCCCAGATTCAACCCCATAGCGGCAGGCGAGCCAACCACAATTTGGTAAAGGTATTCACCCAGTACAATGATGTAAAATGCGGCGAAACGATCCACCTCATGGGGAATATCGACAGCAGTGGTATACTTGGCCTTCAGGAGCTTCTTCGCTGCTGGCGAGAAGCAGAAAATCCAAAGTGCTTGTTCAACCACAATAGCCACGGTCGCAACGGCAATTTTAGAGCGGATTGAGACCGTGTCAAAGTAGAGTGGAATATAAATACAGAGGGATAATGATGAGAGCGCAACCCACAACCGCTGTTGGGGACGATGGTGGTAACTGGAAAACGAATAGAATAGATGCGCAGCGTTACAGGACACACGGGCCACCATATAGGAGGCCACAGTGGCGCGCATTGCCCCAATTGATTCATTCACCAATGGCGCATTGTTGCCGTAGACGACCATAAGAGCCATAATCCAGAGGATCAATACTCTCTGCAGTAGATCGTCATTGTAAAACGAGTTCATCAGTTCGCGGAGGTCGCTCCAAACCTGCCATGAGGGGGCGAGGATCAGCTAGTCCCAGGCCCTAGTTAGTGAAGAAGTTGTTCGCAGGCTATATGTATATACCTACCAAGTACTTTACGAGAGATACACCCGAGATGTCCTCCGCCAGTGCCTCGGCGAAATTGGCCAATATGGCGACGTACAACAGGTCGAGGAAAAGCTCAAACGGGCCTGCGGTAGTGCGGTTAGTACATTTCTTGAGTATACAAAGAAACCGAGAGGTGCAATTTCATATTTTAACAAGAGACTGACCGGCCGATCGCTCCTCCTCCTTGCATTTCACAAGCCGTCCATTCTCAAACCACTGTAGGGCGACTGGCTGGCGAAACAGATACCGCGAGTCGGTTTCGAGGACTTGGGCATTAACTGCTGGCATTGCGACCCGTCGTCGACCTATCATGAAAAACGCATAAGACTGCGATCAAGGATGTATCTTACACTCGAATTCCAAGTGAGGTTATGATTGAGGTTATTATTATTTCGGTGTGGATAGAGGGTTTGCACTGTTTGTTCTGGATCGATATATGGCAATTAGCCCTATCGTTTTTTGATTACCATCTAGTAGTGTAAGTACCTAATCTTAAAATACAGTAAAGCATGCCCTTCTCCAGGAATTCTCGAGGTCATGAATCGTGATGTAAACGGATCCTTTTAAGGTTTCATCGCGAGTCAGAACCAGTGGGGTGATATCCCGATTCGGATAATCACCAGCATGAGTTCCATGATGTTATCCAATATGTAATCTTGCACTATGCGGCCCAATCCGGAGCATATTACCAGGTAGTTAATGCATGGCGATGCATAACCCAATCCATCTTGATCTATAGATCCCGCGTTACCTAGCTCTGTGAATTATACCTCCGGCTCAACATGTATGTAAAAGGTTCATTCCCCCCCCCCCAAAAAAAGTCTAGTCACCCCTTCTTTCATTTCATAGTTCCCTTCTCCCCGCAAGAATGTCGATTGCTGGCAAAACCGCCCTCATCACCGGAGGGGTCAAGAACCTCGGCGCCCAAATCGCCAGAGAGTTCGCAGGCGCCGGTGCCAACCTAGCCCTGCACTACCACTCTGCCAGCAGCCAGAACGACGCCGCGACACTGGAAGCCGAGCTCAGGCAAAAGTACCCCGACCTGAAAGTCACCGTCTACCAGGGCGATCTCACCTCCGCTGCGGCAGTCACCAAGCTCTTCCAGGAGGTGCTGCAGGAGTTTGGCAAGATTGATATTGTAGTGAACACGATCGGCAAGGTGTTGAAGAAGCCGATTACGGAGATTACCGAGGAGGAGTATGATTCTATGTTTGCGTACGTATCGTGTCTTTTATTTTTTATTTATTTTTTTTTATTTTTTTTTTTGAAAGAAAAAAAAAAGAGAAGAGAAGGGGGGGTGGTGGAGATGTACGGTATACTGACAAATCCAGGATCAACTCCAAGACGGCCTTCTTCGTGCTCAAGGAAGCCGCAATTCATGTCTCGGATGGCGGGAAGATCATTACCATTGTTACGGCGCTGCTGGGGGCCTTTACGGGCTACTACACCTCTTACGCTGGAAGCAAGGCTCCCGTCGAGCATTTCACCCGGTAAGATATATAAAACCGCCCTCTGCTTTAAAGCAATATGTACTCTACTAACTTGTTGTAGCGGAGTCTGCAAAGAACTCCAGTCCCGTCAAGTGAGCGTTAACAACATCGCCCCAGGCCCTATGGATACCCGTGAGTCTCGACCGGATTCTACTCTAGATGATGGAAAGTCAAATGCTAAATCCATATTGTCCAATTAGCGTTCTTCTATCCCCAGGAATCCCCCGAGGCCGTCGCCTTCCATAAATCCAACGGCATGGGTAATCGGCTGACGATGGTGGAAGATATCGCACCTCTTGCGTTGTTCTTGTGTACCGGGGGGGCATGGATCACGGGCCAGACTATCTTTGCGAATGGAGGATATACTACTCGTTAAGCTGGGTTGCTTGGGTTGATTTGACTGTATATAACGAAAGCCACGCTGTTCCGACTCTTGATTTTGAGAGGGTCATTTGACTTCACTCAAAGTAGTAGAAAAAAAAAAAAAAAAAAAAAAATATTATGAAGCTCCGAGAAAATGACCCGGGTTTGGGTCGGGCAAGGGCATCCCCGGCGCAAACGTTTCCCCAGGAAAGTAACATGAGCGAGCCATGCAAAAAGGCAGAGTTACGATCAATCCACACGACGATTCGTCGTAGCAACCCGTTCAGCCCGAGAGAGGACAGCCCGCCCCGGAGTCCGATAGCGCGGGTGAGGGCCTCCATGTGCACGGAGTAGTTATGCAGGTTCCCAAACATGGCCTCATAACTGGCCATTTTGGCGATTGCGCCAACCAAGGCATCGGGTACGGTTTCCGGTGACTGATGCACCAGCGCAGTGTTGATGGCTTGTATGGCCTCGCATCGGAGACTCAGCAGAGTCAGCCTCATTTCGATGGACCGGTCATGAACAGAAGCGTAGTGGGATGTAGCAAGCAAGATAATGACCAGGAACAGAGCCGGCTCGGTCATTACAAGAGGGAACCAGCTGGTTCTTAGAAGTCCCCGGTTTCCCGATTGGTCGAGCTCGGGGATATCAACTGCCATACTGACCAAGTCTAAAATGAATGGCTTAGTATAGTGAACTAGTTGCCGGGGATGTTTTAATTGCTTACAATGATCCACGATTAGTGGAACAAAAGGCCGAAACGATATCGGATATGACCAGAACGGATCCCCCTCGCAGCCCGCCCAGCTGACGCGGTATCGAGGTCCGCATGTTGGCACCGGGGTCGGTTTCAATCTGCGTTGAACAGGATGGGTGCTCTAATTCCAGACCCATTGACACCTGCGCAAGTCTATTCCGCGGCGTGCCTTTTTTTCGAGGAGCGAGTCGTCCCAATTTGTTTCCACTGGTAGCAGGCCACATGCGATCGGATTTCAGGTTCTTTCGCCAGTTGGAGCGCATCCTTTGGCTCTTTGACGTTGATAAAGATAAAGTCTTTTCCCATATTCTCCTCCTACCTAATTTTATAGTGCTTGTTGTTCCTTGTATGCAGCGCAAGATGTTGGGAGCGGGGGATTGAGCGTCATTGAAGGAACGTGACTCCAACTTCTATCGAGTTATGGGGTGTTGAAAGGATTGGAGAAGACATATGAGACTAGGTCTTCGGCATGAATATCGAGGTCTAGATATCAGGGAGTGTCACTGTCAACTGTCAAGCGATGGGATCTGCGGTCTCAAAAAAAAAAAAAAAAAAAAAAAAAAAGCCTTCCCAGCAATTCCCCGTGTTCTCCCGATGTCCAACCCCTACTTACTAGGGGATGATGTACTCTGTATGTGCGTACCTCGTATCCGTACTAGTTGTGTTGGTTATATACTATACACACGAGTGGGCGGCTTGGAAAGTGTTCTATTTAGAATATACACAAAATACAAATACGGGGATGTATAAGATGTAAAGTAGAGGAATAAAAACTGGTATCGTTATTCAGATCTGATGCCGTGTAACTTGGTTTTTTTTTTAAACTATTAAACCGCTCGATAGGAAATAAATTACAAACGTGCACGGGAGTCGCTGACGTTGGCTTCAGTAGCCTTTTCAATCCGCGCACCCAGGTCAGGGTTGACGCGACGGAACATGCCGTATGTCGCCTTACGGACTTTGGGGTGAGCACCGCACAGATGTACCGCAATATTGTTGACAAAGTTCTCCTGTTGGCCGGGCTGTCTACCGAGAACCTTCCAGAGCCCGTTGGCTTGGACATAGTCCTCATCGGTGACGGGCTGTTGCTCGGTGAGAATAGCGCCAGCCCACTTCTCGTGCTCCTGGCTGGCCTTGACGGGCTTGTACTGGATGGGGCGGAAGGTGGACGGGTAGTTGGGGTTGGCGCCGTAGTTACCGTGGACGTTCATATAACCGTCACGGTGGGTGGGGTTGAAGGCACGGAGTGGGCAGTTGACGGGGATCTGCTCGTAGTTGCCACCAAGACGGTGACGGTGGGTGTCGGGGTAGGAGAAAAGTCGGGATTGAAGGACTGGGTCGGCGGAGGGCTCGACACCAGGGACCATGTGGGAGGGAGAAAAGGCAGCCTGCTCAATTTCGGCAAAGTAGTTCTGGGCGTTCTTGTTGAGGGTGAAGCGGCCGAAACGGCGGAGGGGAACTTCAGCCTGGGGCCAGACCTTGGTCAGGTCAAAGACGTTCCAGCGGAACTTCTCTGCCTGTTCGGGGCTGAGGACCTGAACATAACAGGTCCACGAGGGGTTTTCACCGCGCGCAATGGCATTGAACAAGTCCTCAGTGTGCCAGTCGGGGTTCTCGGCCTGGAGACGGGTGGCCTCCTCGTTGGTGAAGGTCTTGTTGCCCTGATCGGTCTTGAGGTGGAGCTGGACATAGTTGAAAGTGCCATCGGGCTTGATCCACTTGTAGGTGTGTCCAGAGTAGCCGTTCATGTGACGGTAGGAGTAAGGGGTACCACGGTCACTGAAGAGGTGCATCACCTGGTGAACGGCCTCCTGATGAGTGGAGAGGTAGTCCCAGAACATGGTGGCATCCTTCAGGTTGGTCTGGGGGTTGCGCTTCTGGGTGTGGATGAAGATAGGGAACTTGGAGGGGTCGCGCAGGAAAAAGACGGGGGTGTTGTTGAAGACCCAGTCCCAGTTGCCCTCTTCCGTGTAGAACTTGCAAGCAAACCCACGGGGGTCGCGCGCACTGTCCGGAGATCCCTTCTCACCTCCAACGGTGGAAAATCGAGTCAACATCTTCGTCTTCTTGCCAACGCCCTTCAACATGTCGATGGTGGTAATGTCACTGATGTCGTCGGTGACCTCGAATTCGCCAAAGGCGCCAGCACCTTTGGCGTGGACCACACGTTCGGGAATGCGCTCTCTGTCGAAGTGGGCCAAAAGGTCGATCAGATGGAAGTCCTGGAGGAGGAGAGGTCCGTTCTTGCCCACACGCTGGGAAGCTTCAGGGTCCATCACCTATATGTTTTTATTTAGCTAAGTTCTCCAGTTCTTTCCTCTGGGGGGGGATTAGGAGCTTACAGGACAGCCATTGGAGGTAGTGTAGACCGGAGTCTCATTGTAGCGGTAGGTTTCTATTCTGTTAGCTTCGAAGCTACGTAGAGAGATTAGAAAGAACCTACTAGGCTCGTCGTCTTGACCCATGTTGGATGATGAGAGGTAGAATAGGGGAGTCTGCGTGGAGAGAATGGGAGAAAAAAGAGAAAATGAGAGGAGGAGAAGAAGAAGAAGAAGAAGTGTGGGGGGTATATATAAGAGATGGAAGAGGAAGAACGAAAGAAACGGGTAGTGAGTGGAACGAAGGCTGTTTAAGAAAAGTTGGGGTTCTGGATCTGAATGGAGACTTTTGTATACAGCAATTGACAGCTTTAGCCAATCACCACAGGGGATTTATTAACCATGACATCCCTTTCTTTTTTTTTTTTTTTGCGTTCCTTCAATGACTAATTGTGATTCATAATCTCGATTTCAACAAGTAAATCAAGTATTTAGAATCCCTTCCTGCTAAGTAACTATACCTGGGTACTTTATCATGACTTCGGTACTTGGACTTGCCTACTCCGGAATAGTTTGCCGTATCTTTTCGCAAAACGAGCCCGGAGCTTCCCGATGGAATCCTGAACTTCTCTGGTATCCTATGGGGACTATTGATCTAATTCTACGGTGTATATTCCCTAATGTTAAATAGAATCTTATCAATGAACAATGTGGTGTATTTTATAGAGGGATTTGACTTGTTCCAAGTGATTTAACCTCGGTTCACCAGATATCTCCCCTTTCAACCCGTCAAGGAAACTGTCGCCGTCAGTTCCTCATTTTACAATCCGAGAGATTAGCTAGAGGCCCAGATCAGAAAGTCACTTTCCCGAAACCGGCAAGTTCTCGATTCTTACCTGGACTTTGGAGCCGTGGCTGGTCTGTTCTCCTGACTAACCTCCACTGTCGAGGTAACTATCTGGGCAACTCTTACCTAGGTAAGGTAAACCAAACCCTCTTTCTCGAGTATATCGAATCTCAATGCAATGCCTTTCTCCGACAAGGTGTAGTAGTCAAGCTTGGATTTCAAGGGTTATGGTATCTATCCACGTGTCCACGCAAGGGGTCTTCTTGATAGACATTATCATTCTTCACAATTCCGGGGTATCATTCGGGTTGTACAATATAGCCACTCTTGAGGCTAGTCAGCCAGGCTACTTCACGCTTGCGCATGCCGGGCGTGGTACAGCTTGAATATCCCAAATACTAATATTTAGTTAGTTAAAAATATAATACTAACACTATTAACTATAATCTGGATAGTGACTCAACTCTAATATGTAACTCCCTTTTTTTACCCCAAAGCCTAGGCAAGCTGGGGAACGAGGTGGAGCAAGAACTGTACTCCGTACTTCTCAGAGAGTGGTTCTGAAGCAAACGCTTAGCTTGGTTGGAATCTCTGGTTTCCATCTGGAGAGAGGAAGAGTACAGGGCCGGTTTAGATTTACAGAGATACGTGGACGATTTCTTCAACACCACCGAAGAAGGACAAGAAGAAACAACATCATTCAAATAGATTCATGAAGCTTGCATGGAAGAGCTCCTTTGGAAGGTATATCCTCATTCATGGCTTAACATGTTGAAACCTCGGGACCATCGGTGGCATTTATCGGACTCGAGATAATTCGGAACCCAGGAAGATTATAGGACTGTAATTCCGCACTAGATGCTATCGATTTGACGTATTAGGTCCCTTTCTGGAATCACTGGTCCAAATTAGCTGGTTGCAAGAAGGACAAGGGGGACGGGGACCTTCGAGAAGGACTTGGAACACGCGAAAAGTTCACAATGAAGGGTCTCATCGGAGATTTCCCGAAGCGGCTAAGACGAAGCTATTCACTTAGGAACTGACATCCAACCTACCAACTTCCACGAATTCGCGTTTTCATCATTCGCCCAAGTACCCTACTTCGGTTCCTTCAGGGAATTATCCCGATCAATGGCCAATTCTTATTTCCCTGGTGCAAAGCCATCCGGACGCCCCTCGTCGCTCACACTAACGGCTTGGCCGCACCACAAAAACGATCTCTCCAAAAATCATCCGTTCCCCACAAACCCCGGTCCTGTATGTCGCTCATTCTGCAGCTTTGACTTTCTTAGTCCAGTGTCGCATGCTCGAAGGAATTTTGAAGTCTTGGATGGTCAGTTGCTGACCTTCGGGGGAACTCTTCGTGGGAGGTGAGAGAGAGGAGAAAGTGGGGACGGTTTCCTCTCCCATTTTCCCCTTGTCCAGAAATTGAGGGCTCCAGTCCTTCCCCCCCCCCCGCCCCGAATGGTTCTAAATTTCTAGCAACGTTCTTCTCTCTAACCCCTCTGGCCTCTTTTCTTCACGGAACTGTCGCCGCACCACTTGACGGTTCTACTACGTTCTTTGCGTTCCTGGTTTCGGTTTTCTAGTCCCATCTGAAGGGTCCTTTCTCACCATGGAGTCCCTCAAGACTGAGGCCGAGGAAACGGTTTCCCCGACGGAGGGAAAAGGTCCCGCTCAGGACTGCCAGAGCTCGACAGCGTCCATGGCGAAGATTATTGAGAACGCGAAATCTGCTGCTCATAAGGAACAGAAAATGACTCTGTGGCAGGGAGTCAAGCTCTATCCCAAAGCTGTCGCATGGAGTATCCTCATTTCCACCTGCATCGCCATGGAAGGGTACGATATTAGTCTGGTCACCAACTTTTACGCTTTCCCTCAATTCAATCGCAAATATGGGGAATTGGGGTCAGATAACAACTATCAAGTTCCTGCACGGGTAATTATTTCTATTCTTTCGTTGTAGTTTTCTCTTTGCGTTCGGAACCCCGCGGATTGTTGACGAAAAATTTTTTTTTCCCATGTAGTGGCAAGCTGGTCTGAGCAACGGTGCATATGTCGGTGAAATTATTGGTCTGTTCATCAACGGCTGGGCCTCTGAACGATTCGGATATCGATATACGGTTATGGCATGTTTGGTCCTGATCACAGCATGGACTGCGATCTTCTTCACGGCCCCCAATGTTCAAGCGCTTCTCGCCGCGGAGATCCTTGCGGGTATTCCCTGGGGTGTCTTTCAAACGCTGACCATCACCTATGCCTCGGAGGTTTGCCCCGTTGCGCTGCGCGGGTATCTTACAACCTATGTCAACTTCTGCTGGGGTCTGGGACAACTGATTGGAGTGGGTGTTATTCGGGCTATGATCAACCGCGACGACGAATGGGCCTATCGCATTCCCTACGCCCTGCAGTGGATGTGGCCCGTGCCACTTTTCATTGGCATCTTCCTCGCACCAGAATCGCCTTGGTGGCTTGTCCGGAAAGGCAGAACGGAAGAGGCCAAAAAGTCCTTGTTGCGCCTCACCAGCACAAACCGAGACACGGAGTTCGATGCAGACGAGACAATCGCCATGATGGTGCATACAACCGCGCTCGAGGAAAAGATCACAACGGGGGCTAGCTACTGGGACTGCTTCAAGGGTACTGATCGGCGCCGTACGGAGATTGTCTGTATGGTGTGGGCTATTCAGAATCTTAGCGGCAATTCTTTCTCCAACTACTCCACCTATTTCTTGCAACAGGCCGGACTTCCAACTTCCACAGCCTACTCGTTTGCCATGGGACAGTACGGCATTAATATGGTTGGCGTCTTTGGCGCATGGTTCCTCATGTCCAGAGGTATTGGCCGTCGCACTCTCTATCTTTACGGCCTCTGCGGCCTATGTGTCATGCTCCTCGTGATGGGTTTCCTCGGGCTTGTTCCCGAATCCCACCGAACCCAGTCTTCCCTCGCGACTGGCTCCATGATGATCGTGTGGGCTCTATTCTACCAGCTCTCGGTCGGAACCGTGGCCTACTCACTCGTTGCAGAGTTGTCCACCCGCCGCCTCCAAATCAAGACCGTCGTCCTGGGTCGTAACCTGTACAACATCGTTGCGATCATCTGCGGTGTCTTGACCCCTTACATGCTCAACCCTACCGCCTGGGACTGGGGCAACTATGCCGGTCTGTTCTGGGGGGGGATCTGCTTCCTCTGTATCATCTATACTTATTTCCGGGTTCCCGAACCTCGGGGCCGTACCTTTGCGGAGCTGGATGTGCTCTTTGCGCGCCGAGTCAGTGCAAACAAATTCGCCAGCACGCAGATCGATGTGTTCGATGAAACTGTCGAGAGCCACGTGGTGCAGAACTATCAGCATCAGCGAGTGGATGCAACCGCCGCTGATGTGGCTTAGACAGAGCGTCAACCACAATCCCGTCATGTCAACCTTTACTTGCACATTTTACCGACTAATATAATCCATGTACATAATATGATCATGAACCACGAGGCAAATGATATCTTCTTAATGATGCCGTTGGAATTATCAAGCTATTTGAGAACATAATATCGCATACAAATTCTCAACCATCCTAATTATTATTGATTGCCCGTCCTTTTCCTACACAGGCCTGTTCATAGATGAATAAACAAGACGCGATCTACTCGTTCGACCACTCGGGTTTCTTCTTCTCCGCAAACGCAGTCATGCCTATATATATCACATCAGTCATCCACAATCCAAGACCAAGAAGAGAGAGAGAGAGAGAGAAAGAAAAAAGAAAGAAAAAAAAAAAAAAACCGGGGAGGAAGTAAGGAAAGGGTTAATATACCAATCTTCTGATCCTTACTGCCAAACAGCCCATGGAACAACCGCCTCTCAAACTCCACCCCCTCCCTCAATGACAGCTCCTGGCTCTTGTTCACCACCTCCTTAGCAGCCACAACCGCAACCCGACTATACGCCGCAATGCTCTCCGCCGTGTTAACCGCTTCCTCTAGCACCTCCTCCTTGCCTCCTTCCACAACCTTCGCTGCAACCCCCCACTCCCCCGCTTCCTTCCCGCTAAAGTTCTTCCCCGTGAGAATCAACTCCATAGCCTTGCTCTTGCCCACGGCATGCGTAAGCCGCTGCGAGCCCCCTGCTCCGGGAATAACCCCGAGCTTGATCTCGGGTTGGCCGAAGGTAGCCGTTGCGGTGCAGTAAATGATGTCGCACATCAGGGCGAGTTCGCATCCCCCGCCGAGAGCGTAGCCGGAGACTGCGGCGATAACAGGTTTACGGATGTTTGTAGCGAGGTGCGACCATGGAGCGATGAAGTTATTCGAGTAGGCGGCGGAAAAAGTTAAGGGGGCCATTTCTTTGATGTCTGCGCCGGCTATTTTTAAGAATTAATTCACTGAGCATTGACGGCTCTGAATATGGCCTTGGAAGGGGGGGGGGGGCGGGGGGCGGGGGATGTACCAGCGAATGCCTTGTCGCTGCCCGTGATGACGATGGCGCCAATGTCCTTGTTTTCGTCATACTTGGAGAGCGCATCGTTGAGTTCCTTGAATAAAGGACTGGAGAGGGCATTGAGAGCTTTGGGACGGTTGAGGGTAACTGTCACTGTTAGATTCCGGGTCGCTTTCTAGGGGCAGTAATCATTTTGTAGCGCGTACTCAGGCCAACTCCTGGCTTTGGGGTTGAGGTGAGGATGTGCTCATAGCTTGCGGCTGCGGAGGAGTATAAACGGGCACGACGAGCAAAGACTGTGGTTTGGGAGGAGATGAACCGGGGGGCCTGGCGGGTGAACATGATGACTTTTTTTTTTTTTTTCTTGTATGAAATTAGGGATAATTTATTTACCAGCAACACGATTGAAGAGGAAATGCTTGATTGATGTTTGTTGCAGGTTGGTCTATCACAGTTGTTGGGATCCCCGCATTGCCGATGCGAACCGCAGCGCCGAGGCTATTTACACGTGACCACGACCTGGCGCGCTGAGTCATCAAACATACGGAAAAAAAAATACTTTGCCTAAGGCACCAAAATTGCATAAGCCACTGTGGCTGGGGATTCCGAAAACGCACTAGCCACCGGGCGCCCTTTCTTTCGCCGCGTTGTTGGGAATGTGGACAACTTTTGCACATCCGGAAGCCGACTACACGACATCCAGCCCCAGTCTTGTTGCATGCCGATCTGTTTGCGCTGAGCGTGCGCTTTCTCTTCATCCTATTATATTTCTCAGCTCGTTGTCTTTCCTTCTTCAAATTCGACTCTTTTGTTGGTTTTCTGCTTCTTCATTAGTCTCTCTCCGCAATGGATGTTCCTGAGCCCGACCAGTCGCCATTTATGGCTGTTTCAGCGCACACTTCCAAGCTTGCCAGGGTGAGTCGCTTCATCTTTCAGACAGACTGCTCTTTTCAGATAAGAACAGTGGAAGGTCTAGACAGATTTTTGGAGCAAAGCTGACCCCTACAGCAATACCAATCCTATCTCGATGCCTGCACCCCATTCACAGCCTATCGCTGGACCAGCACAGTTGTGCTCCTCCTCGCCTTCTTTCTGAGAATCGTCCTCGTTCAGGGATGGTATATCGGTATGTCAATGCCTCTATCTACTTTCTTCTCTTCATCGCCAGAGTAAGTAGTCTGTCCGCCGTTCTAACCACACTCTTTGTATGCTACAGTCGCATACACACTCGGCATCTACCTCCTCAACCTCTTCCTACTCTTCCTGCAACCCAAGTTCGACCCCTCCCTCACCCAGGACGAAGGCCTTGAGGATGGCGACGCCGCCGCCAGCCTCCCTACAAAGCAGGACGACGAATTCCGTCCCTTCATCCGCCGTCTTCCCGAGTTCAAATTCTGGCACTCGGCAACTCGCGCTATTGCCATTGCTTTTATCTGCTCTTGGTTCCCGGTCTTTGACATTCCAGTCTTCTGGCCTGTTCTTGTAGTTTACTGGATTATGCTGTTTGTTCTGACGAGTGCGTTCCCTTCTTCTCCTTCTCCTCTTCAACAACGTTAAATCCTAATGTTGAATTAAATAATGCTAACATTTGACTTCCTATGCAGTGCGACGACAGATCCAACACATGATCAAGTATCGCTACGTGCCCTTCTCCTTCGGAAAGACCAGATACGGCCACTCATAGATATATGAACGGCCTTCTCGGTCATCTCTCCACCCTCATACTTTCCTCCTTTATCTGATGATAACGGTATTTGCGTCCTGATGGATACCTACCTAGGCGATGTCTTCTACTTGCATATGTCTCTCTTTCTTTCTCTTTCTCTCTCCCCCCCCTCCTCCCCCCCAAAACTCACCCTGTTTTTCCTCCTCTGGATTGACCGTATTCAACCACCTGCCTATCTGCCGACCTTTGTTGGATACATTCTGCAACCGGGGGAAAGAAACAGAAGAATTTGAGAATATAGTTTATAATCCATGCCATGCCACACCTTTTTTGTTGTTCTTCTACCTACCTACTCGTTTGATTGATGATGACCGTTCATGTGATTTGACTTCATGAACTAATCCTCTTTTCCTCCTACCTACTCCTTTTTATTTTCGATTATGTTCCATGTACAGAGAGGGTCTGCATTCTTCATCTGGCCCGTCGTTCTTCATGCCGATTCCAATATACTCACGTCATATGCTATTCAAGAGGTGTATTCTTTATTATTCTGTGCATGTATGTTTCTAGTCCAAAACAGAATAGACCAAAATTGCGACTTGCATAACCCAACTCCAATTATAAGGGGAGGATAGAGAGAAGACACGCCTGGTATCAATATCACATTCGGGGACTTTTTTGGGTATAAATCCAATTTACCACCTGTACTACCTGTAACCTCACTCCGGTGCACCTGCCAACCCCGAGAAACGGTGAGGTATAAACAGAAAGAAATCTGCACCAAGCCAAAAAAAAAAAAAAAATAATGATGATGATCATAAGAAATGTATAATAAGAAAGAAAACAAAAACAAATAGAATAAAGAGAAACATTGATAAGCACGCTAGTATATATATATAATAAAAAAAAAAAGGAGGAAAAACTGTGTATCCACTATTCAATATTGTAAGGCATTATTACAAAAGGGTTAAGTGGGAGGTGGATTTGGGGGGGGGGAGGGGAGGAGGGGAGGGGATGTTGTTTAGATCTCGAGGTGCTCTACACTGTTAGATCTCTTTTCTTGGGCCGGCCGTTCCAGTTCTTGTGTCTTGGTGCAAATCCAGGTGGAAGCGTACATATTCACCCTGTTTCAGTCAATTAGTATTCGGTCCTACAGAACCCCCAAGACAAAGAGAGTGAGAGAGAGTGAGAGAGAGAGTTGGGCTTACCGGTCAATGCAGCTTCCTGGGAATCGTGCTCCTACTCGTCGGGCTGTGAAGCCGTTCTCTTCGAAGTGGCGGATATACCATGGCTCGATGCTAGCGGAGCGAAGAAGAACTCGGCCATCCATCTTCAGGGCTTGGTTGAATTTCCGTGCTTGAGCAGCGGCGTCTGTGCCTTCGGGATCAAACCAGTCCATGGAATCCATAACCTGACAAAATTAGTAAATGTTGTCAAACATTTTCTTCTGTGGCGAAATAACTTACCACCGCGATTGTGAGGCTCCGAGGTGTGATGCGTCCAATTACTTCGTTAATCTCATCGGTGTGAATTCGGAGGCCGTCAAAGGCTCCGGGAGAAGACAGCTTGACATGTGCTTGAGAAGAGAGGTAGGTAGGTTGGCATCTGGCATTTGGAGTCAGCAATGTTCATTTGTCATAAGGGATTGAAAGAAGTCTTCTCACTTTTTGGAAAACTTGCCCTGTAAGCACAGGTAATAAAAGTAATTATCATTGCTGATCATGGTTTCCTGAACCACAGGGTCCAGGGTGTCCACCACGTATTGCCAGATGGACTGGCCACTAATATCCTTGGATTGCTTCATGTCCTTGTTCAATCCACTCCTCTTGTAAAAGTCATCAATGATCATATTTCGCTGGTTGCGAGGTACTCCAGCGGCCTTCCAGGCGAACCACTCAGTTCCGACGACAGCCCAGTGGAGAGGCTTGCTCATCAACACAGACCGGATCTTAGGCCAGATTTTGCGCTGCTCAACGAGGGTCTGGGCCTCGCAGAGCTTCTTAACCTCGCCCTCAAGGCCAAAGACCTTGAAGAGGTAGCGGACCATTTTGATTGCGTGACGCGAACCACCCGTTTCGTATAGTCCTCGACCAGACTTTGACGTGAAAATATCGGTATGTTCAAGCCAGTACTGGAAGGCCTGGCTCGACAGATGAGGGCTGAGGCGGGAGATCAAAAGTTGGCGGAAATCGGAATGTTTTCCCTCGCCAAAGATCTTCCAGACATCACGCTGGCCGAGGGCCATGAAACTTGCGACCTTGAGCTCGAGGAGATGGTTCTGGTTGGGATTGAGATCAACGGCATGCACACGACGAGGGCTCTTCTGCAGGTAATCTAGGATATTGTCGCCAGCGCTTGTAATAGCCAGAATAACGTCATCGCGCTTAATATTCAGCAGCCTATGGTCAACACGAGGATCCTCCCAATTGAACGCATAGATATACTCGTTCTTAAACTGTGTGTGTTTGGGGAGGAGATCGTCGTAGAAGATGCGGTAGTGGTGGTTCTGGTAAAAGGACGAAGGAAGAGGAAGATCCGCGCTCAGGTTAATGACAGCAGACTCGTATGCCTTGGACCGAATCTCCTGAGTGGACCTCACGACAGCCTTGTCCATCTCCTCGCGGTGATTAGCAGGAGAGAGGTATGGTGACTCGGTGAAAGTTGCATCCAGTTTCTCGAGGGTATCGCTGCCCGCCTGGTTGGGAGAGATTTCCTTCTGGCAGCCAAGGAAGATATAGTAGGGAATACCACCAAGGAGATAGTTGCGTTCGCTTGCAGAGATGACAGTTCCGAAGCGGTACTCCAAGTAGTCCCGGCGAGCGGCATCGAGATTCACGCGATCTGCATCGAACCAAGCACGCCAAAAAGCGCGACCCAACCAGTTGACGTGTCGGTTAAATGCACCTCCGATATAGTTGCGAGCGGAAACATCAACAATGCTCTGGACTGTACATTGAGTTAGAGAAGACCTTTTTGGACAATTCAAGGGGAATTACCGTAAAAATCGCAAACACCAAGGAGTCCGGAAGATTTGATCAGCTTGCCCAAAGAGTCGACGACGGTATAGTAATCTGTGAACGTAAGCAATAGCCGACAATAAATTATCAATGGCTACTGACCAGGAATCATTGACAAGCTGTAGCTCATGGTGACGACATCGGCACCCGCAGTGGGGCTCTTTTTAGTCTCTTTTGTTGGGGCCACGTCGGTATCCTCTGGCAAGCGGAAAGATCGTGCATCCTGGCAGACAACGCTAACATTTTTCCATCCCAATCGCTCAAAGCGCTGACGGGCAATTTCGCAGAGTGATGGAGAGAGGTCAACCAGGTAGACGTGGGAAAAAAATTCCGGGACAGGAAGAAATGCGGACATGGCTTCGATGTTGTATCTATCACTCCGTTAGGACAACAGGTACAGGCTATCGAGTGCAATTCAATGCTCACCCAGTTCCACCACCAATCTAAGCAAACAATTGTCAGTGCGATGCCAGCTGAGAAGATAGGAAAGGGGGGGGGGACTATATCTTACATCAACCCAGACGGCCTTTCCAGCACGCAGCTCTTTGTTATCGACCTTGTACTTCAGCTGCGCCGCAACCAGACCCAGCATATCCTCTCGACCGCGGAGGAGACGCTTTCGAGTAGCATCGTATACAGTAGCCTATTTGAAACGTCAACAGACGCGCCCAAACACAGCGAGAAAGCGGCAAGCTCATACTTGAGTCCTGTAGAAGCTCTCCAATGCATCCTGCTGGCCATGAGCACCCCTGGCGTGGGGTTTCAGGAAATTTGCATAAATAAATTTCAAATAGACGAAGAATCCTTTGTCGGAATCCAGCTTGCTGTTCTTGCGCAATGCCACAAGAAGGACAATGGCAACGAGAGCGCAAACGAGAGCGGCAGTGCCCGCAATGGAGACATAGAGACGGTCCATACCGTACTGGAGGAAACCAACAGGGCCACTGGCAAGGGAGCTCATAGTGTAGGCGAGGAAAACACAACCAACGGAACGAAGTGCTTAAACACCGCCAATGGAAGGGTTGAGACGACAAAAAGAAGAGGAGGGGGAGGGAGAGGAGGAGGAGGAGGAGGAGGAGGAAGAGTAGTGGCAGAAGCAGAAGCGGCGGCGGCGGCTTCTTGAATCAAATGCAGCTCCAACAGTCGGGAGGATATCGGACGAGGGGAATGGATTGCGCGCATGCCTCATCAGTAAGCCCCACTAGCAGCACCCCTCTATCATACAAAGTTGGCCCCAAAGATGGTGATGGAAAGTATGAGGAAGCCGATGCCCTATCAGGGACACACATGGGCCTGGTGCGATAAAGACACAACGACTGGAAACGGAATTGGTTCGATAATCGCGGAGGCAAATCAAGAGGCGATCATAGAGTGCCCCGTGTGCAATTGGCCATATGCGACGGCCCAAGAATGAAAGATAGGTCATCTTGTTGAGCTAAGGTTCCAGTAGGATCCAAGCTCGTTCGAGGGAGGACCTGCAGACCGCCTGCAGAGATCCGAAGCACGGAGTCCAGCTGGCAAGTCAGAGCGCGGAGTGCCAACATGTGTGGGAATTGGTCGAGGAGAAAGAACAGCAGCAAGAGAAACGGCCGGAAGACGTTGGAGGGGGGGGAAATGCATCGGGGGAACAGGCGGATCGGCCAATTAGCGCCTGAGTTCCCGGCACACTTTGGCCTCTGGATTCCGTACGGTTCCTTCAGATAAAAGCAGCCGGATTAGGTTTAAAAGGTGAGGTAAGGATAGGTATTTCGGAGATCATTCCAATTCGTCTTATTTAGCTATAAGGATTTCCTAGCAGTAGTTGAATTCTTAAGTACAGAGTACAAAGTACTACTAGGCTACCTAGGTAATAGCCACGTAGGTACTTCGTAGGTACTTTCTTGTCTTAATCCGTACTACTACTCCATAGTTTCAGATCGGAATCCACAGTCTAGAGTCCTGAAATAACATCATTTATATGGGGTTTAATCCACTTGCGGAGACTTCGGTGTCCAACTTCCCCTACGGAGTACTTACGGAGTACTTACGGAGTACTTACGGAGTACTCCATTCCTACCTGGAGATAAGTACATACGTATCTACACGGCACACAGTGGATTTCTTCAACCTGAACAACACACAAAATATAAATGATCATCTCTTCTGCATTATTGTGGGTTCCTCACACGTTAATTCCCAGGGTTGGCTCTAAAAATAAAAGGTAAGCCATCCCAACCACCAATAACCACTTCGTATTCGCCTATTGCGGCAAAGCGTCTGGCACAACCCCAGCCTCAATCTCTCCTCTCCATAAACTCATATACAGATTAGTTCCCCTCAAGGATGTCTTCGTCATTAGATCGTGAGCTTCATCTGCTTTGTGATCTTTGTCCTTTCCTCCTTAGTATACACCGATTTCCACGAATTTGATCCCCGCCTGCCGTTTCGCGGATTAATCCAACACTCCCCCGCAGACCTCTCTGTCCCCGCCATCTCATGCGAAACGAATCACAAATAGCCAAACCAAGAGCAAAGATTCACTCCGGAATCCGCATCACAGCCCTCCCATCAATCTCTGACCTGCCCAACCTCTGAATCACATCATCAATCTGGTCAAACTCAAAACACTCAATATGCGCCTTTACATCCCCAGCCACAGCCATCTCCATCAACTCCTCCATTTCCCGTGCGGTTCCTGCAGAGTTCCCCACAATCGTTAACCCTGCACTAGACAGTCAGCTGCTGCTTTCCCCCCTCAATTCAATCCTATGCGAGGCAGAACCGTACCTTTCACAATCATATCAAACGGAGAAGCCGGTAACCTAAACGGCACGTTCGGAATCCCTACACAAACAAGAACCCCCAAGGAGCGGAGCAACCGGAGACTCTGCTCGTATGCGGCTTCGCTCTGTGCTGTACAGATTACAGCGTGTGCGCCGAGTCCGGATGTCAGAGCTTTCACTTCACTTTCTACGTTGTCGGTTTTGTAGTCCAGGAAAATCGTGGCTCCGAGCTTTAGGCAGAGTTGTTTTTTCTTTTCCCCGCTGTATTTGGTGAGAAAGAAAAAAAAAACAATAATAGTAGTAACTAGCGGGATACATCGACTGAATAAAATGGGATAATGGGGTAAAGGTAAGATATAGGTACGTACCTATCAATAGCGATGACTTTCAGTCCTTTTTTTACAGCAATTTGGACTCCCCTGGTTATGTTAATTTTCATGCTATACGTATACATGTATAGAACAAAACATACATGTGTCCAAGACCACCTCCAGCCCCTGGGAGAACAATCCAATCTCCAGGGAGAGTCTTGGTTTTCATGATGGACGAGTACATGGCAATTCCAGCTAGATACTGTCAGGACTCGGATGTCTTGAATAAATCCCTCCAGCAATATAGATCAGAATCATGCACATACCACATAACAGCGGTGCTGCTGTATCTGGATCCAACTCCTCTGGGATTTTCGTAACATGTGCTGCAGGACTGACAAGATATTCTATCCGGTAGGTAGGTTTAGGTCGCAGCCTGACACGCTTTTTGTGGGTAATAAGGTAAATACTCACGCTGGAAAGTCCCTGGTACATTCTGTACGTGTGTACACACATTAGCTCTCTCTCTCTCATATACTTCCTTTAGGTTTTTTATAAGAAAAAGTAACATACCGCCCCCGCATTCCTCTGATAAGGACAAGCCGTATGATTCCTCTCGCAAATCTCACACTCCAAACATGAACTGTAGAGCCACCTATCCGCACAACCTATTAATGTCTGCTCCAACGAGGGAAATACAGCAAATGGCTCCAAATAGAGGATAGAATATAGAGGTAAGTAGGTACGAACCGAATCCCAACTCTCTTTCCCATCCAACCCTTGTCATCAACTCCACTCCCAACTAGAATTCACTGGTTAGTTGAGTCGATAAGATCTAAAGCACAGCCAGAGCATATATACCCCCCACCAACACACGGGAGAGCCGCTTATTATAAGATAGACAGATAGTAGTAGGGTTCACGTAACACAGACCTTGAACCACCCTCCCTACGCCCTCATGCCCCGCTACATCAGTCAACATGGGTGTCTCTCCACGAACACTATGCACATCTGAATGGCACACGCCCGAGTACTCGAGCTTGACGAGGACTTCGCCTTCTGCGGGGGTGGGGACGGGACGGTCATTCCGGATATCGAGACGAGCCTCTAGAGTTGCACCGGAGGGGAGAACGGCTGCGATTTGGGTTTTGGGGATTGCAACAGCAGTCATTATTTGGAGGTTTCTGGTATGAGAGATGCCTGTGTATGTATATACGGAAGATATGGACTAAGAATGGATTTGGTTGTGTTTGATAAGGGAGATTTATTTACAATAGGAAGGTGAATTCCCGGATCCCGTTAGTCTTCCCGTCGTGGGTGTACGATAGAAATGTATAGAATTATATTATATGTACTTTGATCTTTTCCTCGTACATTACTCGATGAGTCGGGACGAGCCCTCTCAGCAGCAGGCCATGGCCTCTGTTTTATTCGATGGCTTACTCAGGGCCAACTCTGATTCTGATTTAATCCGACATATCGTCGAATCGCCTCGATTAAGTCCAAGCCCCAGATTTTTTTTTTTTTTTTCTCCGCCGACCTTGTCGCTAAACAGCACGACCCGACCGAGGTGGAAGATGTAGTCCAGGCCATGGGATTCGCTCGACAACTGGGTATTCCTCCGCCTCCCATAAGAAAAGTTATTGCAAATGAACAAAATGCATATTGCATCATGGAACGCGTTGAGGGGATTACTCTAGAGCAGGCGTGGTTAAACCTTGGTTGGTGTTTGACCATCAAGCTAGCTCTCCAGCTTCGTCGCTTTATCAAATGTCTTCGATCAGCGACATCCTCTATGTACCGCCGGGTCGCTGGTGTCTGGCGAGTGCAGGTCATTCTGGCTAGAGGATCGTTATGGCCTCCCACCACGATCTAAACCCGAACACGTTGCATGTTTCTTTCGAGTTTGGGCAAATTTCACAACCATGCGCGATGCGATCCGGGCTGCAACCCAGGGCAGCGTGATGGACTCTGAGGAACGATCCTGTTTAAGATCGGATACTTTTGTATTTACACATCACGACCTGGCACCTCGGAATGTCCTTCTTTCACCCTCAGGTCAGCTTTGCCTATTAGATTGGGATTTTGCTGGGGTTTACCCGGTATATTTTGAGTACGCCTCTATGCAGAATTTGGATTTTTCTTGTTCACCGAGAAGTTTGCCTACCGTATTGTGGAACTGATTTGTTGACTCTGGCGCTTGTTGAATCGAGATCAGTGTTCAAAACACCAATGAGAAATTTCGTTCTATGGACAGGCATGAACATGGTACTAGGTAGGAGTCTGTAGGTCGCTAGGATTGTAGAGAGTACTGGTGTACGTATATCACTCTTTATAGCACACATAATATACATAGTACTACTAGGCTCGCTGATGTCTGTTGATTGTATGCTCAATGCTGATATACCGGTCCTTTATTCATATCAATACAACACCATGATGCTGTCTTGATGCCTCGTATCAGTCCAACCAACCAATCTTTCGTGTCATGTCAAATACAAGCAAAGTCAACCGTTCAATCTTCGAATCAATTAGGATATTATGCTGGGCCTTCAAAACTTCCAAATCAAAAAAAAAAAAGGTATACTGTATAAACGACATGAACTCCTGTTCCCAAAGAATCGAGGAGAAGGGAATATTAAATAACTCTATAGCACGACACAAATAACGCCAGCGCTCATGCGTTTTCGGATTGAAGAGTTTGCTATCTTTCATCAGTATAGGATCCAATCGGAGATGAAGAGAAGCGCAACGTACCACTAACCAGTCCATGCCCTCATTGAGACCCTTGCCATCAATAGCGGAGCACGCGACAATACTCCAGTTCCTATCTCGTAGTTCCCCGAGCTTTAGCGCTTCCGAGATCTCTCCGGCACCCTTGGCACCAGGCTGATCTTGCTTGTTTGCAAACACCAGCAGGGCCGCCTCGCGAAGTTCTTCTTCATTCAGCATGGAAGCTAGTTCGTCAGCAGCTGTCCCAAGTCGCTCAACATCTGTAGAATCGATAACGAATATAACGGCCGCAGTGTTCGCGTAGTAGCATCGCCAGTAGGGTCGGATGGATGTTTGACCTCCGAGATCCTAGAACAGGGCAGTGGTTAGCATTGATTTGTTATTCGCTAGTCCAGATAAAATTTGGGTTGTGCAGCCGCGAGAAGTACCCAAACATTGAAGTTAAGATTCCTGTATGTCACAGACTCTACGTTGAAGCCGATGGTAGGTATTGTAGTCACGACTTCGCCAATCTTTTGGAGAACATGTAATTAGCTTGTGAAAGTTGTATTTCAGATCCATGTGGAGTCATGAGACATACCTTTAATCTATAGAGGAGAGTAGTCTTGCCAGCATTGTCCTATACAAAGCAGTGAATGAGCCAGGATTCAAAATACTTTTGGATTTCTGAGGTAAGCCGAATTCAACGCACAAGACCAAGAATGAGGATTCGGATTTCCTTCTTCGTCCAGAGGAGAGACCATAGTCGCGACAGAGAGCCTCCCATGGCTGTGTTTTTACAGTGATGAACCGGCGATACTCGCGATATTCCGTAGCGGGTAAGTCGTCGATCGGAGGTGGATGGAAGGGGACAACGCCGTTGAGGTCTCACTTATCAAGGCGTACGGCAGTGGAGTGGAGTTTGGAAGGCGCTAGCACGAGAGAGTAAATGTCAGGTTCGATGAGGGAAAAAGTTCTTTGCGACGGAGGAGATTGAATTTAAGCACAATCCAAATCCCCAGAACTCCCAGGAGGCTAATGAGAATGAAGACCCAAAGTCCAGGATGGGCGCTGACTAAATCGCCATCCAGGTTTCAGCGGAACGGATGAACTGGTCCAAGCTTATCCTGGAGGCAAAGAAGGGTCTTTTTTTACATTGTTATCTGTACAACTGGAGTTCTAATGGAAAATTTACACAAAAGAAAGCATTCCACACATCTGGTTTTAATATTCGATAAATTAGACTATGATGAGTTCACTAGTTTTTTTTGCAAGAGAGAAAAAAAAATAATAAAAAAGAAGAGAGGGCTGACCGACCCAGGGATCGAACCTGGGATCTCTCGTGAATACCTATAATGTAAGACGAGCGCCTTGAAACCACTTGGCCAGTCGGTCAGATGCCTAATTTGGGGAACTTTTAGAATCATAGCCTTGGGAAAATAATACATTATGAGCAAAATCATCCGAATTGGCAGGACTGTTATATAGATGTATATAGTAATTTGCAGTTAACTAGTGTTAAAGGGCAATTAATGTCTTTTAATATTATCTGCAGTATATCTACTAAAAAGACATCAATTTACTATATTAGCTTAAAGAATTGGATACTGGAGCATGAAGAATTAAAAGCTGGATAGATAACATCCTTTCGCAGCTATTATGAGCTACACACTAAACTACCTAGGTACATTAAATATTTGGGAGATACTAATCACAACCTATTCTATAATATGCGGCCTGGAATAAAATTTAGCTATAGATTACTGTAATATTCATGTACTTATATTCAAGATTATATCATATAATAATTCATTCCACTAAAACAGCCTGGTGGCCTCTAAATTCATTCTAATGCTTCTTGCTATGAGAAGAACGCTATACCGTTTGTAGTAATTCGCCCTTCAACTGATTAGTGCCCGGAGTGTATGGAGCAGTCCCGGAGTTTGTCTGCAAGTACGATCTTCCTCCATTCGCGCCCACCATAAGCTCAAAGTCTCTTCTTTCCCGCCACCAGCAACATTGGCGTTGTCTCCTCCATCTATATCTGACCTAGACCTGGGTTCCCCGCCGCCAAGCGAGTAAAGGAGCCCCCTTGTGATCTCCTCGCTCTGTTCAGGCGACGTCCTGGATTGAGGTCTCCGCTGCGATCGAAGAGAAGGCTCACGCTCCTACTCTATCTACGAACAGCACACAATGGTGGGCAAGAAGTCAGGAAAGGCTCTCCTTCGGGATGAGGGTATGTTTTCCGAGCCCGTTCCAGCCGATACTACTGTGTTAGGTGCCCTAACACCTCGTCAGGTCTCGAGAGGACGGACAACAATATGGAATTATCGAGCTGGCCTCAGATCCCTGCAATCAATCAGAAAAACTACTACACGTTAGTGTTCCACATTTCTTGCCCTATCCGCTCTTAGAAATGTACAGCGTAGCTGACTAGGTCTTCTCAATGGACAGGGACTACCTTAAGCGCGATGATCAGTATCTAGCATTCAGGCTGCAGAATGAAGAGGCTCGAAATCGGATGGCGAAAACCGCCAAAGACCGCGATCGCGCTCTTGCCATGGCAAAGGCAAATGACTTGGGCATACCTGAAGCGGAAATGGAAGCGGATGGTGATACTAATATGGAGGATGCGACGGAAGAAGCTTCCAATGAGACTGTTGGCTCAAAGGTCGTTGTAATTCACGTTGGAAGCCAAAACTTGCGAATTGGCCTCTCTAGCGATGCGCTGCCAAAAACTATTCCGATGGTCATAGCAAGAAAGTCGGCTACAAGCGAAGCGGATGATCACGAGGAGGAACCGTGTCCTAAGAGATTGAAGCTGGACGATGGCTCTGATATGGAACCGGAGAAGATGTTTGGTCCTGAGGTATGTCATGTTCCTGCAATCATTCGGCCTGGCTGGCGATGTGTAGCACAATTCCTAATCGGCTATAGTTCTCCTCCCAATATACTACTATGGTGGCCGAACTCAAGACACACATGCGACAGAATAAGCGCCGCACTTTGCCAAACTCGAAGGAAATGGTAATCAACTATAACCGGCGAACTGTACCGGAGACCATTTCAGAACACAACGACCCGATGCGGATTGAATGGACTGAAATCCTAGACCCAGCACCGGAATATATAGTAGGACAGGCAGCCTTGCGGATACCGGACGATTCCAAGCCTCGTTACAAGCTCTACTGGCCAATGAGGCACGGCTGGTGTAACGAGAGGGATTACAACAACAAGAGACTCCTATTTTTAGATATTTCTCTTATTCTTGAGGATGCGATCAAATCCCAGCTTGGCCTCACAAGTGAGAAAGACTGGCCGCAATACTCCTGCGTCTTTGTCATCCCGGACCTTTACGAAAAATCCTACGTCGTCCAGGTCCTCGAAATACTCATGAGAGAATTCTCGTTCGCTCGTGTCTGCTTCATCCAAGAAAGTCTTGCGGCTACATTTGGTGCAGGTTTTACCTCAGCGTGTGTGGTTGACATTGGTGCGCAGAAGACGTCTATCTGCTGTGTCGAAGAGGGGATGTGTATAGAGAATTCCCGGGTCAATCTCAAGTACGGCGGGTCAGACGTAACGGATGTATTCGTCAAGATGATGCTCTACGACCATTTTCCTTATGCCGAGATCAATCTGTGGAGGCGGTATGATTTTCTCTTAGCTGAGGAGCTGAAGAAGCAGGTCTGCACCATGAACGAAGCTAGTGTCTCGGTACAGGTTTTCGATTTCCATCTCCGTGTTGCCGGTCAAGACACTCGCAAGTACATGTTCAAAGCCTATGATGAGGTACATCTTGCCCCCATGGGCTACTTCCAACCTACCATCTTTGAGAACTCTACGAAACTTGAGGGACGAAGACAGCTGATTTCTCGCTCTGTTGACATTTATGACGGCCAGTCAAATGACCCAACATCCGCAGCCCAGTCTGAGATTTTGACCGCCCTTGCCCCTCCATTGACTAATGGTCAGATGAATGGTGAATCCCAGCCAAATATGCTAGATGTGCAAGCCACTCCTAGCCGTTCACAGCAAATCAATGCCCTGAGCCGTGTGCAGGAGCTTGATGCTACCCCACGGTCCTCTGTCGCAGGATCTCCCGCGCCAGAGACCCTGGGAACCCCACAGGCAGGCGGTGGTGGTACCCCTGGTGTTGGAGGCACCAGTCAAAGTGCCTCTCACCGTGTTCCGTCTATTGAAGAGCGTGATGATATCCTTCCATCATTCCCACTAGATACCGCGATTCTCACTTCAATCGCTCACGCCGCCCGCTCAGATGAGCGCAAGATGCGTGACTTTCTTGGTGGAATCATGGTCGTCGGGGGTGGAAGTTTAGTCAATGGCTTCCACATGTTTCTAGAGGAGAGACTCCAGCTTCTCCGGCCAGGCTTTGCGAAAGAGATCATGATTGGCACACCGCCCAGAGATCTAGACCCCCAGGTCGTTGTGTGGAAGGGCGCAAGTGTCTTTGGCAAACTGAGTGGAACCAATGATAGCTGGATCAGTCAGCTAGAATACGACCGTCTAGGACATCGCCTTTTGGGCTATAAGTGTATGTGGTCGTATTGATTTTAGTCTCTCCCTCTTACTCTCCTTTGTCCTGGGTATGGTGGATGATTAGATATTACATGGTGCCTTGTTATGATATTATGTAGCTTTAATGGGATTTTGGTTATTCTAACCTCCTGTTCTGGTGCTTGAAACTGCTGCTGTTGTGAAGTTAACTAGTTAACTATGTCTGTCTGCCTGCCTTGTGACAAAGAACTATATTATGATTACATAATCTGATAATAACACAAGAGAATTTCGGGATAAAATTCCTCCGATCTCCCAGACCCCCTGTTCACACTAACCACAAATGCCAAGCGGTCAAGAACTGCAGAATGCCACCTCTCACCCCAAGTAAGTTTGCGCGCAATATTGGATCTTATTGTCCCAAAGTCAACTCATCCATTATCTGGTATTCCAGCGCTTGCACCGGTCGATTCCAGCTCCAGGGGCCCGGGTGGGTCTTTAATATCGGATTCTCAGATCTCTCCAATTGCGCTTCCTGCTCAATGTAAGTATCCTACTAAGAGGCAACTCTCACTTGGAGCTTCGAAATCCCCGAAATACTTATACCAGCTGAATAGTGTACACTCCGCCATCCTCAGTTATAGTAGCTCCTTCACCAGCAGGCGGTTCCGAACAGCCAGAAGCCGACATGTCGAAATCAAAGGATAGCAGCTCCTCTGGGGGCTTCCACCAGGAATACATCGCATCTTTACGCTATCGAAATGACCTCCCGCCTCCCGACATGCCCCCGAAATTCCTCGACATCCCTCATGAGGGACTGGAGCGTTTCCTCACCCCCGGGTTTGCTTCTAATCTGGCGCGCCGTGAGGAACCAAATATTGACGTTGACGCTGAGGGTGGTATGCCGATTGATCTAGTCGGTATCCCGGGCCTTCACCTCGGAGATGAGAGTGGTATGTAGCTTTCTTTTGGCCTTTGTTTTTCTGCGTAGGGTTGTGCTAATATCATTCTATTACACAGCTATTATGGCACCGGAAAACCCCGACCCCATTGAACCCGCTGATCTCCCTCTTCTTATGACTCTCGATCAATTGAAGAACCCAGCTCCTAAGAATGTCAACGTCAGCTTTCTCCGTCGCACACAGTATATTTCTGCTGGTATTCGTGTGCCTGATGGCCCACGAGTCACTCCTATTCGCACCAAGTCTCGCCCCGACAAAGTAAAAACCCAAGATGAACCTGCTTATATCAAGAAGTACCTCCAGAAGGGCTTTGATATTGCATACCCGAGCAGCAAACATGTTGGCGAAGATACGCCCAGCCAGATCAAGGGCCATGCTCCCACAAAACTCGAGGTGGATGCGTGGGCTAACCCAGTGCATCCTGATAACCCCAAACTGAAACCTGTTGGTTTCTATCCGCTTCTCCCCGACCTACAGGGATTCCCAGACCCCGGAGGATTCGTGCAGTTTAAATTTGACAAAGCGCCGGTTCAGGGCTCCGGAGGCAAGCGCGACAAGCGCATGGATGTTGCGATTCTACTCCCTTCAGCTCCTGAGGAACGCATCTGCCAAGAACACGCTACAAAGGTTGCACTGCATAAGTCTAACCCTAACCTCTACCCGGATCCCGGCCCAATCCCCTGGGACTACGATCTCTTCCTGCCTGAAAAGAAGGAATCTGCCAAGAATGTCATATCTAGCTTACAATTATCCAACCCGGACCGTGATGATGAAGGTCTTTACACTCACGAAGGAACGGAGAATAACAAGTTCCACCGTTATGATCGCTCACGTACATACGCTACTAGCTCTCAAACCCTGGGGAATGATCAGAAACAGAAGGATGTTGCATTAACCCTTTTCGATCCCTCTGAATCACGAGATGGCAACGGTCCGTCAAAGCAAAAGGCGGCCTACTACTACCCGATTCTTGGAAAGACACGCCTCAAGCCTGAGCGATCCCGAACCATCGCACAAGCCGGTCTTGCCCCGACTCTTCCCAAGTCCAAAGAAGACCAGGTTGACCAGATTCAAGTGGCGGTTCGGGATCCCGATGAATCCGAGATTTATAAACGAGGACTCCACCGGGCTGCTATTGATCCAAAATTCGCCCAAACCATGCCTCCTCCGCCTGAAGAGCCCGCTGAGGAGCCTCAATCTCCCGAGAGATCTACGCATGACGAGAGCAGAGCCCACGAGCAGAGCGACGAAGAGGACGACGACGACCGGATGAGTGACGATTGACCGATGACTAACTGAGCTTATGTCGCGACGCTTTCCACTCTACCTATCTCCTACCGTACAATACTATACCCTCCTCTTGCACGCACGCAGTACCTGATCTACTACCTACCTTCTTGTCAATTTCAATCAATCATGACTGAACCCAAAAAAAAAAAAAGAAAAAAAAAAAAACTTTACTTTTTCTTGGGATTGTCCATTACAATGCAGGGCTGTCCTCCCATGTAATTTTAGAAGCAGAGCCGGAAAGACTTTCAACTTGAGGTAACTTGCAACGTGCAATTTGCAAACTCCTTGGTCAGTTGAGTTGGCCTCTTTCTTATCTTTGGCTCCGGCCATGCTATTGGTAATGATGATTTAAGACAGCAGCAACATAGGCGTTTGAGTGGCATGAAAACGATTGAGGTTTAGCGGAATTAATTTATATAATTTATGATGGTGATCTCTTTCTTCTGTAGTATATATATATATAAACAGCCCTCTAAGAAAGATAGAAGAGGGCAAAAAAAAAAAAAAAAAAAAAAAAAAAAAACAAAAGCAAGTCGCTCTTCAATCAACAGCAGCAACAAACCTCACAGCACCCGCAGCATGCAAGACCAGCACAACTAGGTAGTAAGTAACTATTAGCTCTCTCTCTCTCTCTCTCTCTCTCTCTCTCTCTATATATTCATTTTTTTTTGGATATCAACACAGTTCACTGTACTTACATTCCACAGCAGAATCCGCCTCCGCGTAGTTGCATACGCATCTCCTCCCGGGGAGCCTATTGTAGGTAGATAGTTAGTAAAGTCAGTCAGTTCGTCAACCATAGGATAAATCACGGAATTCAGCAGGTAGTAAACTACTCTGTAAGCGAGAGAGAGAGTCCTACGGGTTGATCTGTCACCACTTGCTCGGTGGATGGAGCCGAAGGACTGCTGGGTGGAGTCATGGTAATGGTTTGGGGGTTCCAGGTATGGTCTTGGGAACGGGGTGAAGGCTCAGTAGTGGTAGATTTGAACAGGTTGAACATTTTTCTTCTTCTTCTTCTTCTTCTTCTTGTTGTTTCTTTGGAGGGTGAGGGCGTATGTAATTGAGAATGAAGAAGGAAAGAGTCTCCCTTGGGTTGGGAAAGGAGAAGATCTACTCCATACTCTGTACTCTGTACCCAGACTAGGATAAATAAACAAGCTGGGTTTACTGTTCGTTGCCGGTAGTTTCTATTTAAAGCTGGATTTGCACAGCCTAATAAATTAATTACTTGGTAGGCAGCCACAAGTTTTCTATGCGGGTTTGGCATGATTTGCCCTGTCACTAGGTATGGAGTAGATTAGGGTCATAACAATATATTCAAGTACTGCATAGTACTCTGGAATCGAATTAGATTTCGATACTAGTATTTGTTAATTGTTTTTATAGAATGGGTACCCTAACGAGGACGAACCCTGATCTACTCTGTATACAAGATATATATATAGGCATATATGTAGCCACACTAGGGCTGAATGGAATGTTATTAAGGCTCAAACTTTGGCTCGTCATATAGTTATCCGCTGGATTGATTATAGAAATGAGAGCAACACTTTTGTCACCGGAACTAAGGCTGATGATTGAAATCCGAGAGATCCGTTCTAGACGATGACTGCTTAGACGCCAAAAAAATGCTTCTGCCTGCACCAAGTTATGTACCGCCCACGAATCCACTCCTCTATACCAACAATGGATCCGGAGGATGCTTAGAACTATCCTGCTTCTTGGAACTATTGGTTACTCTGACTCTATGTAGGGTCTGAGGCCCAATTGCCGAAAGAAGTAACGAACTCGATGGGTTATTTCCGATGCAACCGTCAGAGGATTACCAGATGTTCTCCGGAGTTGCCGGGGCATATCTGAGCTATGTATATAATAATAATCCCCCGGTAAACTGGGGATAACTTCTCTCGGTATCACAAACGACATCATGACTTCAGCCGCTTTAAGTACCTTTTTGGTCTTGGCTCTTAGCTCTGCCCCTGGTATGTGTGATCCCACTTCAACCTCATGTAAACTCAAGCTGACCCTGTTGATTTCTCTCGGGTTAGGGGTGTCTAGTGTCCCGACAGCAATCGATTCGGTATATGGGGATCTCACCCCACGAGCGCTCCCCAATGCGCCAAATGGTTATGTCCCTACCAATGTGACCTGCCCAGCTAGCAGGCCTCAGATTCGGAGTGCAGCCTCTCTCTCAACAAATGAAACCGCATGGCTCCAAGTGCGACGCCCAGAGACCATCTCTGCGATGAAGGATTTCTTTAGCCATTTGAATATGACCTCCTTTGACGCCGTTTCCTACATCAACCACCACGAGGGAAACCTTTCAAACATCCCCAACATTGGCATTGCGGTGTCTGGTGGCGGTTATCGAGCGCTGACCAATGGTGCAGGCGCAATCAAGGCCTTTGATAGTCGAACCGAAGGATCCACGCAAGTCGGACACCTGGGGGGCCTGTTACAGTCCGCCACCTATCTATCGGGGTTGTCTGGAGGCAGTTGGCTTCTAGGGTCCATCTACATCAACAATTTCACGACCATCTCCAATCTCCAAACCTATGACGAAACCGAAGTTTGGCAATTCCAAAATTCTATCATCAAAGGGCCCAAGACGGGAGGATTGCAGGTTTGGGATACGGTCAAGTATTACCATGAGTTGGAGAAAGTTGTCAAGGGGAAGAAGGACGCCGGGTTTAAACTCTCCTTTACCGATTACTGGGGGCGCGCTCTTTCCTACCAGTTGATTAACGCCACAGATGGTGGGCCGGACTATACATGGTCATCCATTGCCTTGACCGATGATTTTCGCAATGGCAAAATGCCTATGCCCCTTGTCGTTGCCGACGGGAGGAACCCCGGAGAGGTGCTTATCGGCAGCAACTCCACCGTGTACGAGTTCAACCCTTGGGAATTTGGCACCTTTGATCCCTCAATCTTTGGCTTTGCTCCCCTGGAATATCTTGGATCTCACTTCGACAGCGGCGTCGTGGTCTCTGGGGACGCTTGTGTTCGAGGATTCGATAACGCAGGCTTTGTCATGGGGACCTCGTCGACTCTATTCAACCAATTTGTTCTCCACTTGAATAGTACGGATATTTCCTCGGGCCTGAAGGACATCCTCCGTGATATTCTGACAGACTTGGGCGACCACGACGATGATATTGCCCTCTACTCGCCCAATCCCTTCTACAACTACCAGAACGCCACCCACGCCTACGAGAAAACCAGTGCTCTGAACGTGGTTGACGGCGGCGAAGATGATGAGAACATCCCCCTTCATCCACTCATCCAGCCAACCCGCAATGTGGACGTTATCTTCGCGGTGGATTCATCCGCCAGCACCAACCTCAGCTGGCCCGACGGCGGTCCTCTGGTGGCCACCTACGAGCGCTCTCTCAACTCATCCGGCATGGGCAATGGCACCGCATTCCCCAGCATCCCGGACAGAAACACCTTTATCAACCTCGGCCTGAACACCCGGCCCACCTTCTTCGGATGCAACAGCTCCAATATCACAGGCCAGGCGCCCCTCGTCGTCTACCTCCCCAACTATCCGTATACCACCTACTCCAACACATCCACCTTCAAGCTCACCTACGAGATCTCCGAAAGAGACGACATGATCACCAACGGATACAACGTCGTGACCATGGGCAACGCAACCCGAGATAACTACACCGACTGGCCTAGCTGCGCAGGCTGTGCGATCTTGAGTCGGTCTTTCGACCGTACGGGCACGGAGATGCCAGCCGTTTGCACGCGGTGCTTTGAAAAGTACTGCTGGGATGGAACGCGGAATAGCACCACACCAGCCCCGTACGAGCCCTCACCGATTATGCTAACGACAACCACCAAGAAGGAAAACTCGGGGTTGAGAAACACCTTTAATTCGGGGTTCGCTCTGCGGGTTTCGTGCGCAGTGCTGCTTGGGGCTTTACTTTCCTAAAATCTGAATAGGGGTAGGGGGGGGGGGGTTAACCCATCAGCGTGATATTTTCCGAGGCATTGGCTTCGATTTTTTGAATTATATATTGACCTTTTTATATCTGTCATGTTTCATGTTATATTTACGAGTAGTTATGTAGAGCGAGAGATATATAGAGACGTGGGTGGATATTCTACAGAACAAAAGAGGTCCAAAGACATCATCACGAATTCAAATTATGTAGTTGCATTTCCAGGAAATCCTCATTATCCTCCCCCCCCTTTTTAATACTAATCTTCTCAATATCCAAGTTATGTCTCTGTACCTACACAGATATACTATGTATACATTCAGCACAAATGGTCCATCTAGTCTACCATACATACAGATAATTTCCACCGCCATCCTGCGAGCGTGCAGAGTACCAAGCCAGACCATAATTAATTCACATATATACATACATTCTACCCCAGGTACGAGGCTGGCACTATACTTATTGTCAAGATATAGCCTCTAGAAGGCGTTCGCCATAAATCCCACCCTGCCCCGCACCACCACACCACACCACACCACACCACACTACTCCAGTTACCTCCTCACATCTACATAATCAGGCAATCAATCAATCCCTCCTCGATTCTCTCTCTCTCTCTCTCTCTCTCTCTCTCACACCCACAAATGGCTACGAACTCACTCCACCGACGAATCGCGGCGCTTCCGCATCTCCCCCCTTCCATCCGATGCCTGCAACACTCACGACCGCCCCCAATTGCACACAGACACCTGCAACTCGCGCGATCCCCGAATGCGCACCGATACGCATCGTCCGACGCGGCTGCCACCCAAGAACCCGCCCAAGAAGCACCGAAGAACGCGCGGCGCGGAGTCCGAAGAACAGTGCTGGGGACTTCGCTGGCGCTCGCGCTTTTGGCTGGGTATGTGTATGTCACGGATACGCGGGCCAGCGTGCATCGCTACGGCGCTGTGCCGTTGATTCGGCTGTTGTATCCGGATGCAGAGGATGCGCATCATCTCGGGGTGGATTCGTTGAAAACTTTGTATAAGTATGGGTTGCATCCTCGGGAGCGGGGGGGGCTGGATGCGGATGGGGTTCTTGAGACTGAGGTAGGTGTTTGTTTATCTATTTTTTTTTTTTTTTGAATGGAGAAGAAGAAGAAGAAGAAGAAGAAGAAGAAAAAGAAAAAGAAAAAGAAAAAGAAAAAGGCACGATGTGTATGGTACGGTGTTGAAACTAAACGGTGGCAGGTCTTTGGTTACACTCTTTCCAACCCCATTGGAATCTCCGGTGGACTGGATAAGCATGCCGAGATCCCTGATCCGCTCTTTGAGATCGGTCCTGCCATTGTCGAAGTCGGCGGTACGACGCCTCTGCCGCAGGAGGGGAACCCGCGTCCCCGCGTCTTCCGGGTGGTTTCTCAGAAGGCCATGATCAATCGATACGGGTTGAACTCCAAGGGAGCGGATCATATGGCTGCTATTCTGGAGCAGAGAGTTCGCGACTACGCCTACGCTAATGGGTTTGGACTCCATGACTTGGCCGAGCAGCGTGTTCTCGATGGGGAGGCCGGTGTGCCCCCCGGCAGTCTGCGCCCAGGAAAATTGCTAGCCGTGCAGGTCGCCAAGAACAAGGCCACTCCCGACGGCGATATCGAAGCGATTAAGCGCGACTATGTGTACTGCGTAGATCGCGTTGCCAAATACGCCGATATCCTCGTTGTCAACGTGTCGAGCCCCAATACTCCCGGTCTGCGTGATCTCCAGGCCGCGGCCCCCCTCACTGCTATCCTCAAAGCCGTAGTCGGAGCCGCAAAGAGCGTCGATCGCAAAACCAAGCCTTCCGTGATGGTCAAGGTTAGCCCCGACGAGGACTCGGACGAGCAGGTCTCTGGCATATGCGACGCAGTTCGGGACTCTGGCGTCGACGGCGTTATTGTTGGAAACACCACCAACCGTCGCCCCGACCCTCTGCCCCAAGGCTATGCTCTCTCGCCAAAGGAACAAACGACGTTGAAACAAACAGGTGGATACTCCGGCCCTCAGCTCTTCGACCGCACAGTGGCGCTCGTAGCCCGCTATCGCTCCATGCTGGATGCCGCGGCCTCGGAACAACCCGGAGCTGCTGTCGCGGAATTAGTAGAGCCTGGCTCGGAGAACGTTCCTTCTGGAGTGGAACCTACTAGCAGCACTGCCAGTGAACTTCCGCGCAAGGTCATCTTCGCTTCTGGAGGAATCACCAATGGCAAGCAAGCCAAGGCTGTTTTGGATGCTGGCGCGTCCGTTGCGATGATGTATACGGGCGTTGTTTATGGTGGGGTTGGTACCGTTACCCGTGTCAAACAGGAACTGCACGAGGAGAAACAGCAGGTGCAGAAGTAAATATAACAGTAATGCATGCATGGATTTATGCGTAGGTTGGGAAAGAAAACAGCATGGGGATGAATATGGTTATTGTAAATAGTCTAGATCAGTTGTAGGAGTTAAAAAGCATGCATATGTCTCTTTGCATCTCTGTGGTTGTACGCTGAGTATTTTAGAATATCAACCAGTTAGTTCGAGGATGATTCATTCATTGACAGTGTTCGTGTTCGTATGCATTTTCCTTGGATTGTTTCTAAGAAAGTAAGCAACACTTGTATGCCTATAACCAGGTACACTACCACTAGTTATTGTTGTATGTATCCCCACAGGATGTGTATCCGAGGTGTGGGTAAAGCATGCCTGTGAAAGGCCCCATGAAATCACCATGCATTATTGATGCATAGCGGTTATGATTATCCATGCTAGAAAAGAAGAGAAGAATGGCGAAATGTTCCCAAATCATGGATCTCATTTTAGGCGGAGAGGTTTAGACGAAGAGAATCTGATGCGCCTTTTTGGTTTCATAGGCAGTATATGCAATTTCCAAGCCAAAAGACTTCGTAATTAGGTCGGTGGGTTTTGGATTTGAATTGATTCAAGCGAGGGTCTCTTCGACTTCACGGACGACTTTGCGCACACCCTCGATTTCATGCGCAAATCTACCCAAGAACATGCCGTCGACTGCCTTTCCCAGACCACCTGGTCCCCACAGACCCGGTCCAGCGCTTCCTCCATACAAGATACGAACGTCTCCGTCCCGCTGCCCGATCACTGTGCGCAGGCCGTCTACAACTGCAGATATGTGGTCGACACCTGCAGGAGCAGGCTTCCCAATTGCCCAGACAGGCTCATAGGCAAAGATCACAGGCGCATCGGTAGGAATGGCATTTAAGACCGCACGGATCTGGATCTCGCACTCGCGCACTGCCAGCCCGATAGCCTCTGACACCGCTGCACCTGGAGCACTGACCTCTCCAATGCATACCAAGGGCACCATGCCTTGCGCACAGGTCGCAGCAGCCTTGCGGGCAGCGGTGTCGTCCGTTTCGCCAAAGATAGCACGGCGTTCTGCATGGCCCAGCTCAACGATGGAAACACCCATCGAACGGAGTGCAAGCGGAGACACCTCGCCTGTGTAGGCGCCTAGAGGTTCCCAGAAACAGTCTTGTGCACCTAGGAGGAATGGAGCCGGTAGGAACGGGGAGGTATCTGTAGGAAGAGTGGACTCGAATTGTTTAATAATCTCCGCGCAGGGGTATATGGTTAGGAAATCGGGAATCAAGCCCAGAAGGAGTTCAGAGCGGTTTTGCGGTCGAACTATATCATTCTTCGGATCCAGCAACGCGCGACAGTACTCAAGCGTGCGGGACGGCGTGAAGTACATTTTCAAGGAAATAAGGAGTAATTTGTTGGGTAGGATTGGATAGGCTTGATTTGCGATCGTAGCCATTGTTCTGCGAGTTATTCGTGGTAACAGATAGATATGTCCTGTTATCTTCTAAGGATAATATCCCCAAATGGAAAGCTCTACCAAAGACACTCTGCAAGAGGAGAGAAACGCACTTCTATCTTACAGTCAGAACTATCCGGGGACTGGAACCAGAATGTACATTTTGGGGGGGAAGCAGTGACGAAAGCAGAAAATACGGAATCCTCCCACAGCAAGGAAATGAATTTTGCGCAACGGTGACAATATTGAGTCTAAAGATGGTGCAGAATCCGACGACCAATTAATGGACTGTCGCAGTATCAAAATGATCTCATTGAAGCCTGAGGATTCGGACTCTGGGATAGAAATGGAGACCAACTTGGTAGACTTACCCTGAAAGAAGGTAGAGCCTAGAGAAGGATCCACGCGGAGACGCAGGAGAAGACAGCTGTTAGGATAGTTTGAAGGTTGAGTTCCTGGCGAGGATATAAATATTGATATAGAAGTCACGGGACTGGATGTGGGGTTAGTCACAATACATACGCATACGTCGTATACAAAACGGATGAGCTCCGGAGAGTGTAGAATAGGTAATACCGAGCTCGCAGCTTCTCCGAAGTCCATGTAATTTGGTAACGCCTTACGGGATAAATTACAGACAAGGATACCCGGATTCCTATATCCTTCCGTATCCAATCAGAAGGGAGTGTTTTGCTTTATAATGGGGCAGAGTGGAGCATAGTGGGGCTCCCCGGATATTCCAAATCCAGCAGGTGCCTTTTTTATACATGTCCGCATTGGGAAAGAACACCTGTCTGAGTGACTTGTATGTGTGTAATTATTTATTATCAAGGGGGATTATAATCCAAACCATCTGAAGCTGGTTTGGCAGTCTGGATCTTGAATAGAAATGCCTAGGTTCCCTAAATGCTCCGATGATGCCACCTTGAGATGATGTAAAAGCAGCGAACAGGAAAGGGCCAACCGGAAGCGTTGTTGAACAGCTAGAAAACGAAGCCAATTTTAAGGAACCTGAAAGGAATCAGGACAATTGTTCAGTCTAAAGCAAATAGGCCCTACTCAGACCTGATGCATTGGAGTGGTTGAGATCGTCCATAGATCGTATAGATATCCATCCCATACTGGTATGACGCCGGCGTGGGACAAAGCAACGCCTCTCATTTATCATCCTGATATTAGTATTAGACCAGGATTGGACTCCTGTACCAGTGAGGAATTCAGGAATGCCGCGCAGCAGGATAGAGTGCCTAAAAGTCCAGTAACAACTTAACAAGTCGAATCCTGCAGGGCCTTGGAAGTGGCAGTGACCTCATTTTCCCAAGAATTCTCCATTTATGGAACCTTGGGTCAATGGAGGCCATTTGCAGTGAGAGTGTTGATTGTTCAAAGAAGAGTTATCGACAAGAGAAAGGAGGGGGCGACAAGTGACTTATAAAAAGGTTGTTGACTCCCCTCCAACTTTCTATACTTTTTCCTGGCTATCACTGTCCACTATTACTTCCACTCTCTCTCCACCCTAAAAACCCATTATCTACATCCATCTCTGTCCACATTAAGAAATCATATTTATATCAATTTCCCCCCCAAACTCTTTACTCTATCACCACTACCACAATGTCTACCGATCAGAAGCTCCGCATCGTGTTCGCCTGCGACGAGGCCGGCCAGCCCTACAAGGAGGCTCTCAAAGCCGCTCTTGCGAAGAACCCCAACGTGGGTGAAATTTTTGACGTGGGTGTCGACTCGACCTCCGACAAGACTGCCTATCCTCACCCTGCCGTTAATGGGGCCAAGCTTATTCGCGATGGTAAGGCTGACCGTGGTCTCTTCATCTGTGGAACCGGTCTGGGTGTTGCCATCTCCGCCAACAAAGTCCCTGGCATTCGCGCTGTCACTGCGCACGACTCCTTCTCCGTTGAGCGTTCCATCCTTAGTAATGACGCCCAGGTTCTCTGCTTCGGCCAGCGGGTTATTGGCATTGAGCTTGCCAAGCGCCTTGCCAGCGAGTGGGTGACCTACCGCTTCGACCCCAAGAGCGCCTCAGCTCCCAAGGTCCAGGCGATTAAGGACTATGAGGCCGAGTTCGCTGCTGGTCAGTAAATTCGAGCTCCTAGGTTACCCTGAGCCAGGCTCAAGTGGGCCCCCGCCCAAGCAACATGAACCATCGGACCGAGACCGACGTGGAGGAGGTCAAAAGACATGTTTGTGAAAAGTCGAGTGCGCTCGTGACGGTGGACAGACTGATCGAGAACCCCGTCTAGCCGTCTGATACTCCACCGTGGGGGGAATAAGCTGGGGATAACGCTTGATTCTTCCTCCCGCCGCTTTTTCCTCTTTTGTGTCTTCCGAGCGAAGCGACCTGGGATGATTATTTCGGGACTTTCCTTAATTTATGAAGTGTTTTTTTAATGACACGGTACAGTAGCAAAATGAGTTAATGATACCATGAGCGGATAGGATGCTTTTTGCGGGCCAAAGATTCTCCTTTTTCTTCTTTTTCTTCTTCGTCAATAGTATAGATAAAATTTCAAGATTGACTTGTTTTCTCCCTTTCTAATATTTTTTTTTTTTTTTTTTCACAATTTTGTTCATAAAATTTTATGTGAACAACCAGAATTGCTGAGTCATCTCTTAGGTTCTGTGAGTGTCGATCAGCTTCGATCTCCAACTTCACCTGCAGTGACAAACGCGACAAGGAGCAATTAACACTTCTGTTGAAGATGGAGGCCAGATCTCTTCTCCATTCTTTATCTAAATTGCTCCAGTCGGCACAGCTCTCCATACCCCTCCCTGCGCTGTCATTTCAGCTCTGTTTGACTTGCACGGTCCCAACTGGGTAGGGACAAGGCCAATTTGAACAAAAAGTACTGGGATACTGACCCGCCGGCCCAGCCTTGGCCACGACTCTCACTTGTCAGCCTTTGGATGCGGTAATTGCATCGGAGACATGAGATTGCGACACTCTCCTCTACTAGCATTCTGATATCCTCTACCCTTCTTCTTACGAAGGCTGCAATACAGTCTCAGGAAGGAAATTGTCCCCGGCTCCGCACTGGTGCGGTAGATCGATATCTGAGCCTGCCCCACCAGTTGGCCGTAGAGTCCGTTGAGTCAATTCCGACGATCCCAAGAGCACTCTCACGAGGAAGTGTACTCTGAAGCCAACGTCCACTCCCAGCGTAGACACTACTGCGACGTGCTTTTGTACCCTCTGCGGCCATGTCATTCGAACTGAAAGAGAGGGGCAATCAGCTCTTCAAGGAGGGAGACTACAATGGCGCTGAGGAATTCTACTCCCAAGCGTAAGTCATCATGTAACTTCTCCCTCGAAGGGATTTCTGTTTGAAAGACTAACCACCCCGGGCGGAATTCTACAGTATCCTCAAAAACCCTCGTGAACCCACCTTCTTTACCAATCGCGCCCTCACCCGAATGCGCCTCGAGCAATGGGCCGGCGTCGAGCACGATGCCCGCACCGCCATCGACCTCTACGGCCCCAAGTCTCCGAATAGTCTCAAGAGCCGGTACTATCTTGCACAGGCGCTGCTGGGCCTCCAGCGGCCACAGGAAGCGTACGAGGTCGCCATTGACGCATACCGGGCTAGTTTAGCGGCCAAGAGCGTGCAGTCGGAGAATCTCTCGAAGACTGTGCTGCGAGCCAAGCAGCAGATCTGGGCTGCGAAGGAAACCGCAAGATTGCGCGAGATGAGCGAGACCCTACGCACGGTGGAGCTGCTGATCGAGGCGGACCTGGACCGTGCTCTCGCCGATCTACAGGCTCAGTTGGATCGAGGCGAAATCGGACAGACTGGGTTTGTGGAGGACCAGAAGGCACTTCGCGAGGATGCAGAGAAGCATACGCAAAACGTCCGGGACGCGTTCCGTCTCTCATCGCAGGGGGAGATCCAGGAGCGGGTAAGTATGCTTCTCTTGTCATGGAGAATATCCTGTGTTTTTTTTTTTTGGGTTTTGATGCTGATTGCGCGGATAGGTTGTACCCGATTACCTTGTTGATGGGATTACCTTTGAGATCATGCATGACCCTGTTATGACCCCCTCGGGCACCAGTTTCGACCGCATCGGGATTACCAAGTACGTTGAGCAAGCGGCTGTAGACCCTATCACTCGAACACCAATGACAGTATCCGATCTCCGGTCGAACTATGCACTTAAATCCGCGTGTGAAGAGTTCCTTACCAAGAACGGCTGGGCTGTGGACTGGTAATCACTTCTTCTTCTTCTTCTTCTTCTTCTTCTTCTCTTTTGCATGGACGGCGTTGGTGGAAGTTGCATTGTAGCCGCAGCAGCTTTGCACAGGAACCATTCATTGTAGTAGTGTAGATATTTGTATTTCTGCAGTTGCTAAATATTCCCAACTTTTTTTCATCCTACACCGCTGGTATATATACATTGCTTCTCATAGTGTCCTATCCCACCAGATTATTCCAGCCCCACGAAACCCCCGAGGAATGGGACCTAATCAACTTCATAGTGGGAGCTATAACCAGGGCAGTGGAGTTACAGAGGGGCAAGAGAGCCTGGAATATGCCTGCGGAGCGGATAGAATTGATGGACGAGCCATTTGAGGATATCTGCTAAGATAGATCGGTAGGTGTACTCTGTATGGAAAAGATTTGTTATACGGAGTAGTCTCAACCCCCTCCCTCCCCAACAAATACATACCTGGGCTGATTCCAACCCCACCAAAACCAACCCCACTTCTAGTTCTTAAGCAAAAGCAAAAGCTCCCCCTCCCCGTCCCCCTTCTCATCCATCCGCCCTTCTCTTTACCAACGAACATCCTTATCGTTACTTATTCATCATCTGCAGCCCTTTAAAACCAAAGCAAAGCAAAGAACAAAATGTCCGCCCCTGCCTTCTTCACCGCTCTCTCCTCCGCCCAGTCCGGCGCCCAGTTCACCCCCGCCGTGCAAAAGGCCTCCCAGGGTATCGACGTTGATGCCCTCAAGGCTGCCGTCGAGGCTGTTCTTGCTGGTGGCGACGATGCCACCGTTGCGGATGCAAGCCAGGCTGCTGCGTTGAAGGCCGGATTCGTGTTTGCGACTGAGTTGGTGAAGATGTTGAACTCGGAGCCTGGCAATGACGATAAGTTGAAGGTATGCTGGGAGGAGCTCGCATGAGTTTTTTTTGAGTTTTTTTTTTTTTTTTTTTTTTTGCGTGGGCTAATATGTTCATGGGATGAATAGCTATATGCTTTCTTCAAGAAGTCTAGGAATGAGACTCCCGCTCAGCCTTCTTTCTATCAGATTGAGGTTTGTTTTATTTCTCTATTTCCTTTCCCCTTGTTTTATGGATGAGAGCTGACTTTGGTAAAGAGCAAGTACAAGTATAACGCGTGGAAGGAGATCGAGCACATCAGCGAGCAGAGGGCTCAGGCTCAATATATCAAAAAGGTCAACGACCTCATCGAGTCCATCGGTACCCAGTAAGAAAGGATACGGATATATGGCATGATAAACAGAGGCTTTTTGGTTACGGGAGGATATCTGATATGATATGAATATCGAATATGAGTATTGAATATGAATACGAATAGGGTAGTGAAATGAGGCTCATGAGCGTGTTCCACAATGCCACTGGGGTAGGATATATAGGCTGGGTCAGCCTGCCCATGTTTGCCCGAGCCAGTCGGGCTCCGAGTGACGCATCGTCGCACACCACGGTGTGTCGTTTGCGCTGTACGATGTCAAGGGTAGATCGTACGGCATGCGAAATCCGACTACGACCGTCGGTTCTCCTGGATTGTCTGGGAGCGTCATTTGGGAATGATCTGGACAGTCCTGTTTGAAACATGGCACCATGACCGAGCACTGTGCGTCTTGCGTGAAGAGCGCCGGCCACACCATTACACCGATCTCCCAACTGCAGATGCGTACCTCTCCGCTTCCATTGGTAGCTGCCCCCCACGCCTGTGTCGAGAGGTTAGCCGATGTAACCAGGGCCCAATCGATAGTATCCATTCTCTGTGCGTCCGCGAAACGCACATAAGTTTTGATGTGCGGGGCTGCGCGACGACGACCGGCGTCCTGAATGTTGCGAGGTAGAGCCTGGTCTGAAACGTCTCCAGCCCAATGTCGTAGGTACGGGTGCAAGTACTGGAGCTGCTTCTGCTGCGAAGCGCTTTGTAGTTTCGTGTGGATCGACCCACCCGAGGCGTATCCATTGAGTGAACGCCGGATCTCCTCGGCGGTTGGGAAGATTACAGAGTATTGCGGCGATGTCAGAAGACTTGTAGGTGTGCTCGTAGATGAAGGTGGAGCTAGGGAGTCAAAGAAGACGTCTTTTAGCCACTTCTCCGTCGTTCCGAGAGAGGCAATGGACGACATCTATATCATCTTTAGCGCCATGATCTCATTTTCCTAGCTAGACATATACGAACCTGGGCAACGATATGCGGTGTTGCATTACTGGTCTCGCACAATGGAACATGTCGCAGGACATCTCGTACAGCCGGCCACCCCCAGAGAGGCTTTTGCAGTCCGTTGCTCGATCTGTCAATCTTTCGCTTTGAGGGCACACTCGCTATCAAAGCTGCGCGAACAGCACTGAAATCATACCGAGAGAGCTGTTCCACCAAGGGGCCAGTCTTTCGCGCACCATATTCCGCCAGGTATGCAAGTAGATCACGCTTGAATCTCGCGCCAGTGCCCCAGACAGTCGAGTCGGTTTCCTTGCGGTCGCCTGATTGCAGCGGGAGCAGAGGAGATCGCCAAACAGCCTGGCACATATTTGCCCAGTCGCCGGCGATCATGTTCGCGGTATGAATGATAACCCTAGTAAAAGACCATATTAAACCATGTCCTTATAACCCAAGCTGGAGAGCATACTGCGCAAGATCGTCATGACGAAGCAGAATCATCATCTTGGAGTGATGCGTGCCAAAAGGCTCAGGCATGTAAGCCACAATAGGCTCGACATTTGGATGTCGAGAACAGGCTTCCTAAAGGAAGGGGAGTTAGTTACGCACCTACATAGATACGAACGAGTAGAGATGCACCCAACCAACCCGTGAGGTGAGGTCGATAAGAACAAAACATCATTCGAACGCCGCATAAGTACTCAAATCAAATCGGTACCTAGGAACAGAACAGAACGCACATCAATTTGAATCCGGTTCTCCGACTCCCTTTTCCATGATCCATGGACAACTTTCACGCGTACTAGGCTTCGGACATCCTCGTCGAACTGCTTCATCAGGAAATCCACGTCAAACAGGTAGTTGAACTGCCAGCATTCGCGAATCATTGGGTCCCCGAGCAGGTCTGTCAACCGAACTGTACCGGCATTGTTCTCGGATGATACAGCAAGGTCTCGAATGTGAGTGAGGTTAAATGGTGACGGAATTATCCGAGGTCGTTTTGAAGACGCTTCTCCTCTCTCCCCGTCGAGAGCTACTGGTGATTGCGGGGAAGCGATGACGTTTTGGCGAGAAGGGCGCGATGGAGGGGAAATTGAGCGACTAAGAGATACTAGAGATGGCTCGTTTGATGTTTGGGGATCTAGATCGGACGACACCTTAGCCCGTTTTGATGAGCGACCGTCATGGTCGTCGTGCATTGTTGATGTTGTTGGAGAAGTAAAATACGCTGTGGGCGGAAAGCAAATAAAATATTGACAAAAATGAAGCTCCGGGCCTATATAGAGTATCTAGTAGGAACGAGCATTCCTCACAATAATCCTATAGTAAAAATAATAATACAAAACATGTGTGGCTCTAATTTTTAATATGCTATAATACACCAAGCCATACCTTGACACAATTCCCATTATTAAATCACCACATGAACCGTTGGATGTTCCCTGGTTCCTGCGGCCATTCAAAACCCCCGTAGAGAAATAGCAGTCCAGTGACCGCATTGATCGCCAGGAACCATGCAGTTTCTAGGAACAGTGGGAAATTGACCGCAATGCGTGCTTCAAGATCCTTCTTTTCATCCTGATCACGCGCTTGACGGTAGACTACGGGCGCTGGGGATGGCGGCAAATGAAGCCTCCACATTACCCAAGGAATGATAAGGTACCGTGGCTCGACCAAGGGAGCGGTAATGAGTGACAGTGCTGTTGCTGCGAGCCAAACGAGGACGAAGCTCACACGAGACGTTTCATATTGTAGCCGTTGCCGCCTCATAATATGTGCTTGAAGATCAGCAAGGACCTCGGGAGATATAGGCGCTGGAGCTGGAGCTGGAGCTGCGGCAGGTTTCTTTGATGCTTTCTGTTTGCGTTCGGTCATTTGTTGTCCTTTCGTGGCCTGTTGTTCCGATGGCGAGGGTGAGGATAACGGTGGCTGAGTCTTGACAACCGAGGCTAGTCGAGGTGCAGACGTGAGAGGCGAGAACCCAAGAGCGGAAATAACCATCCATCCACCGAGGAAGTAGATGATAGTAGCGGCGTATCTTGTGTAGGGATGAGAGCGTAGGAGAATTCGGAAAACATAAAAGACGTAGTGTCTGTTATCAGCAAGGGTAAAGGGGTGGACAATCGTGTTAAAGTGCACCACAGCAAGCATTATTCCTAGAACAAGAACAGCAGTCAAGACTTTCGGGAGTCCTCTTCGGGTCGCTGGAAAGCCTTGATCCAGAAACTTCGGTAGCATAAACTTCGGAAGTAGTATGTTGGCCATCGGAGCTAGAAGGAGAGGCCAGGAGAAGAAAAGGAAGTACGGCCATAAGTAGAACATCTGGGCCAGATGAAGACCGGCAGTGTGGAATTCCTTGTGGCCTGTGGAGTAGCTGTCAGCTAGAGTGCATAAATCAAAATATTGGGCAGGGACCTACCCAAAACAACACCATCGTTCCACAGTACAAAGCCTCCGAAACCCGTCAGAATGAGTAGATAGGGGATGAGAGAGATTATAATAGAAGGCAGATTATTCAAAGCGACGGAGCAGAGAGAGGCAGCAGTTTTGAAGTAGTCTGCGCTCCGGGTCAGTTAGGCTGTAGCTAAAACAAGGAGGAATTACCGACCTGCAATTGAGGCGTCCAATACTGTGGGATCGTACAACTCATTTTTAGAGCCGGCCCGCACAATGTCAACCATACTGGATGACATACACGTCTTGGTCTCCCTGCGAACTTTTCGGACAACCTGAAGTCCACCAAAAAAGACCGACACCCAGAAGATATTCGTCTGTCTGAAAACCAACGACACAAGACCCAGAAAAACAAACACGGCAGTCTCAAAAGGTGCTGAGCTCACCCTTGAAGTGCGCCTCAGATCCCAATTGTATGCTTCGACAACCACAAGCAGTGCCAAGACATCTGTATAGTACAAGCCCGAGAAGAAAAATAGTGGCGGGAAGAGGCAGATATTTAGCACTGTATGGCTCAACCAAGCTCCAGATGGTCTCTTATTTGGTTGCTTTCGTAGAGTATCAAGTGCGGTTTGTAGTCTCATCGGAAGGAAGACGGCTGCTCCTGCGACATTGGTTGCGCGAAGTGCCGGGGGATCCAGCACAGTCGGAGAGCCTCGCAGGAACAGCGTAAGGGCACAGAGGGCGTAAGAGAAGAGGTATAAACCGGGAGGAGTCGTAATCTTCGGGTCCCAATGAGTCCATTTGTGAGCCCAGTATGCTTGAGCCTGAGGAATATGAAATGCTTCGTCCAGATACGGCTCAGGGACGACTTTGTTGACTTGGGTCATCCACAAGGGGATCAAGATCAGTCCAAATGGCACTGCATAGCGGGCAGCTAGAGCCAGACCCGACCGGGGTTTGGCATTCATGATTTCGACAATTGACCATAAATCGAGAAGTTCTGAACGAGTGAACAAACAAGAGGCCAGAAATTAATGATGATGACAGTTGATTCGGACCGGAGGAAAGTGACATTGCAAACAGAACAAACCAACCCGCGATGACAGCGTCGAAAACATCTTCTACAGGGGTCACTTTTTCTCCTTGCAGTGCGCCAATCAGTCCACCAGAAGAGAGAAAATAGACATGTGTTACAATTGCTGGGTCCAGTAGTCCCGTTTGATTTTTATATTCATCTTCCTTCTCGCATCATCCCACTGAGCCCTCGTCGTGACGAGTCAATGGCCTTTCCCCTCCAGCGGGGCATCACGCCCCCGGAGATCTCCTTCCTGGCCGAGATGGAGATGGTCTCAATTGTGCCTCGCCAGCGATTAGAGGGCCTTGAGCTATTAGGAGTGAGTTTTTTTTTTGCCTATATGGATTGTATTTCCGTCGTTTTAATGGCTCTGAATTGGTGAACTACACGAGACGACTACACGTTATGCGCCGTATACTCCTCCAATTTACATAGATAACGTCTAGGTAACTGACAATGATATCTCTTTCCAATAGGGACCTGTTGAACCGTTAATCCCTCCTCGTCGAGCAAATATCCCGTTATGGCTCGCTCTCCTCCTTAAACGCCAACGCCGCGCAAACATCCTCCCTCCTCCATGGCTTCATCCCGAGTACCTAACTATGATCCTCGACATTGAAACACAGCACCACGACTACAAAGATGCCTTCTCCCCTCCAATGACACTACCAGGACAACCAGGTCTATATGACCGTGATCAGAGACCCGTTGCCCGACCCCGGTATACCCCCGAAGGCCAGCGATACTATCCAACACCTCCATTCCTACCCCAGAACGTAGCGAAGGAGCAGGAATCAGACCAGGCACCAGCATTACCATTTCATTGGCTTGAGGTGGGGACAATGCTGCTGGACGTAGCCAGTGATGATTTGGTAGAGCCGGACCAAACCCGGAGGCTCTTGAAAGAGCTGCGAGAAGTGCGCACAGCTAAGATCCGCTCTGGGGTGGAAGTACTAGACAGCGCGGCAACGGCGGGAGGTGGCGTAGCCCTGACTGGGGTTGGGGCGATGGAAATCGGGGAGGGGAGAGGTTTTATTGTTGGCGTGGTTGACGGACTCCGGTAAGTTTGACACCTCTTGATATTAGATCAGATTCATTGGGGCGTAACCTTTTTTACTAACATTTCGATTAGACGTATTGGTGCATCGAAAGAACAGGCTCATCGCGAGCACATGGCAGAAGAAATGGCCAATGGTGAATATGGCGCCACGCAGGACGACGAGGATGACGACATGGAGTTCTGAAACGACTTTTTTGGTATTTCCTTTTCTGCAACCTGGAGTTACGGAAGGTACAACAAGGTGGCGCATTTTCGCCTATCCAACGGATTCATATGTATATATACCCTATCTTTCCTTGCTGTAAATGCAGGTAATCTGATTCAACCTAACACCATGAACATGCGACGCTTTGCTGCAGGACCAAAGAAAGGAGGAGGTGAGTAACGACGAAACAGAAACGACCAACGAAACAACTAATATGAGGTAAAATAAGGAGGGTATGTTGTTAAAAAAAAAAAAAAAAAGGCAACTTGCTGGGCAAACTCGCACAACCTCGGCCCGCAGAAGATCTTACATCCAGTCGACAACAGTACGAGTTGTTCAAGTGTAGTCGAAGCCACAGCGCGAAACATACTGAAGATTTCGATCAAGAAGACAAGACAAGCGTGCACACACAGAGAGCAAAGCAAGCGGGAAAGAAGAAAAAAGATTCGATTTGTTCTCTTTTCCTGTTTACTACTATCAAAACAACGTCATCACCCCAACATGACGTGGTTTAGGATGAGACTGTTATTGAGTGCTTTCCCGATCTTTCTGCATCATCTTCCTCCGCGCAGCAAGAATCATCTCATCCCTCCGTTTCTGGAGCAGACGCTGCCGCTCTTCTTTATTCTGCGACCAGCCGCTTGTCGCTGAACGAGCCGGCTGCTCGGCGGGAGTCTCTTCGCCACCGTCCTCGGCGATTTTCGTCCGAAGATTATACCGCGAGATTAGGTCCTGGCCGTCTGACTTGGAAGTAGGAGTGGGTTGGGCAGGAACTCCAGTCGGGGGGGTGGCGATCAGAGGCTGAAAGGAGGGAGGAGGCTAGAATGTCCATGCATCAGTCTTGAGGATATAAAGCGACAGCCTAAGAGAAGGGGAAGAAGACAGCATCGCAAATGATACAAAGCAAAGACACTCGGGGTTAAGTTCTTAGTTAGGGTTCTAGCAAAGAGACAATGACATACCGTATCCAAACCGCGGCCCGTAAGGATCCTCTCCGTGGTCGCAGCAACATTTCCCCCATTACGCTGTAGGTCCCACATGATGTCGCGTGTGCTCAACTGCGGGAACATCTGGGATATTTGTTCTACCTGGGCGGGATCGACGACATTTCCTCGGGCACGGCCTCGGGATCCAGATGCGCTGCCATCGCCATCACGATTGAAGAACCATCGGATAACGAAGAAGGAGACGACAGCGAGTGTGAGGAGTGAGGGGATGTTCAGAGACGGCTCGTCGTCGGGCATTGTGTCGGTCGGGCACACTAAAGAAGCGGGCTGTACCCTGTCTCCTGGGGAAGAAATAAGATAAATAAATATCTCCGGGAGATCTTCAGGCAATGAACGGATACCCCGGATTAGACAGGGATATATATCGCGGTTCCTCGGGGTTTCGATCGACGATGATGCGAGATTAATGGAGGCAAGGACTCTTCTATGCCGTGGGCGGTCACGATGGAGGCGGCGGGTGGATGGCGGAATACCTTGAGGGAAGAGAGAACACAACAGAGGGATGCGAAACGATATTGTACACTTGCAATAGGAATAATAATGCTTTAGGGAAAGATAAGAGAGAGATGAAGAGAGGAGAGGAGAGAACAGCAGAGGCAAAAATGATGGAGAAGGTGGTGGGTTGGTCAGAAGTTAATGGATGCTGACCGAACCTTGAGACTACGATCGATTGGAGGCGGAACGAACCCACCAACTAAATAAACTTATCTCAACCTCCAGTGAAGTGTCAACACCAATTTAGAAAAGGTTCTCGTGATGCCATTGTCATATCATTAAACAGAAGCTAGCAATAAAGACAGAATTTCAAGAATTTATCCAGAATCCATATATACACTCTCCCCAAAACACCGTCACATCAGAAGTCCTGTACCACCGTGCCCAGACTGAGAAACCCCCGAGAAGAATTATCAAATTATCAACATAAGAAGGAAGCGCATCTCGAGCCGATTATTTCATGTCTGCTGGGGTGAGAGCTTGTACAACACTGGTGCCCTCACTGAATCTGGTTCGGAAGATTCTATTCGCATTCTGAAACATGCCGTCCTTGAGGGACACAACAATAAACTGAGATCCCTTGAAGCGGGTCTTGATTAGTCGACCGATATTCTGTGTGTGAGACAGATCCAGAGCAGCGTCAACTTCATCGAGAATGTACATGGGGGCGGGCTTGAATTGGAGGAGGGCCATAATTAGGGAGAGCGCAATCAGAGACCTATTCCGCTCGCGTCAGTTCAACAGTCCAGAGATTTATTATCAATAACATGGTTACCGGGTACTTACCGTTGACCACCGCTCAATTCCGTCAAGCTCTGCTTCCAAACCTTACCCAGAGATACCTTGACCTCAAGACCGTCCGTGATGTCCTTGCCCTCGGGAGGATCCAGTTTCGCGAAACTACCAGGCAGGAGCTCTGCGAAGATTTGTCCAAAATCGCCGTTGACCTTAGTCCAGGTCTTGTGCAGGGCCTCTTTCTTGTACTCGTTGAGATTGAGAATGGTCTCCTCAATCTTGCTTTTATCGCGGATGACTGTCCTCATCATGTTCTTTAAAGCAGCCTCTTTCTTCTCCACGCTGTCAATCATATTCATGACCTTAGGATTAATCTTCTTCTTCATCCCTTGGAAGCGTTCGGTAACATTGCGTAGGGTGGCCTTGCATTCTGCGATGTTCTGATTCTTGAAATCATAAGCTGTGTTGGGGCGTCCAAAGTTGTCCTTTTCGTCCTCAATCCACTCGTGCTCTTCTTCCAAATGGGCCACTGCCTGCGCCGCAGCCTGCTGTTCTTTCTGGAGTTTCTCTAACTGGTGTCCAAGCTTTTGCATTTCTAAGCCTTCCTCGGTGATTTGGGAGTTCTTCGTCTGCATTGTTCGTTCCAGGTCACGGAGTTCATCATCGAATCCAGTCAATTTGGCCCTCTCATCTTCAAGATGTGCTTGGGTAATGTCGTGGGCATCCTACGTCCAAGCATTAGTACAATTCCAATCTAGCAAATCGCAACGCAGCGTTACCTTAATTCGAGCCTGTTCCCGCTTAAGTGAGTGGATTTCCTCCATCTGAGCCTTCAGCGTATTCTCGGATTCGGCGAACTGCTCCTCTGCTGCAGATAGGTCGCTTCCAACCTGTTCTGATTCTAGCCTTGAGCCCTGGAGTTCTTTATGCAGGCTCTTGACTGAGTTTGAATTCTTCGCGAGGCCCTTCTTAAGAGAGTCCAGGGAAGCCTGCAATTCTGCAAGCTTGCTATCCTTGTTGTTGTTGAATTCACTCATGTCCTTCTCAATCCGCTTGATATCCTTAGATGCTTCGCTTTGACGAGCCTTGGCATCGGTGATATCTTTCTTGGCTTGTTCGATGTTCGCCTTCATTTCTTCAACAGCTTGGATAATCTAGCCCAATTAGAATGGTTACATATGTTGAATAGGGAAGAGGTGTATTTTGGGTGCTTACCGATGAAGACGAGTTGCCGCTGATCTGTTCTTCAGTGAGTTTGATCTCGTGGTTCTTGAGATCTAACTCCTGCTTGATAGAACGAGCAGCATCCAGTTTCTTCTTTTCCTTTTTCATTGTCTCCTCCAGGCTAGCCAGAACACGCTCTTTGCTCCGTATTTCCCTTGTAATCTCGTTAAATTTTTGAAGGGTTACGAGCATACCACTGGAATTCGGTGCGCTGCCACCGGATAGTGTACCGGAAGGATCATAAACATCGCCATCAAAGGTAACGCTCTTGATGCGCACCTCAGGATCAAATGTTACCCGCTTTGCTGTATCTGCATCATTGCAAATCAAAGTATTTCCGAAAACATAGTTCATCGCTGCAGTGATTTCGTCATCATACCCAATAAGAGACAAGGCCAAATCGACTTTGCCAGGAGCGATGTTCTGAGCAGCCCCAATCTTCTCTGCAGATGCTCTGAACGAGGAGATCTTATTTAGTGGAATGATGGTCACCCGCTTGCGAAGCTTTCCATTCTGAAGAAGCTGCGTACCGGTCTCGGCAGTGTCGACGACGACGTTGTACAAACGACCTCCAGCGCAGATCTCCAGCGCTGTTGCGGCCTGAAGCTTGTCCTTATCCAAGGTAAAAAGCTGGGCCACCAATCCCTTCACCTTGGATCGGTTGAAGTTCGGGTGTGGGTCGGTGTAGTTGAAATCTATGTTCGCAACTTTCCTCTGAAGCCCGTCAGCTCTTTGGCGCAACTCACGGATCTCTCTCTGGATCTGGCTTTGCTCTTGGTAGAGCTGGTCTTCTCGACCAGGTTCGAACCCAAGCCTGGCTAGCTCAGCTTCGAGCTTTTTGGCTTGAGATTTCAGGCCCTCGAGATCTTTCAGGAGGCCCGAATTCTGCTCCTTAGCCTTCTTCGCTCTCGGTTCTTCCTCCTTAATCCTCTTCTCCAGGTGTGCGATCTTGAGCTTTGCTTGCTCTTGTTCGGTAACTGCTGTACTCGCACGGTTACGAGCGTCTTGTAGCTGCGCTTGATATCCGCTCTCTTGGCCTTCCTTGGATGCAACGCCTGTTTGTAATGTTTGTAGTAATTCCTCCTTCTGCTCTACTTCTGCTGTCTGGGCATCGAGTTCTGCTTTGGCGGCATCATACTGTGCTTGAAGCTTGTCGTAAATCTTCTTCTTTTCCTTAAGCACTTCCTCCAAATCGCTTACCGCTTTCTGGAACTCTTTGCGCTTCTCCTTTTCTTCCGCGATACTGGCATTTTTCAGATCGAAAACCGTCGTTAACCGAACGAGTTCGTGAGAATGGGCTTTGACTTCGTCTTCGAGAGCTTGAAATTTTCCTCCCTTTCGCAATTCCTTGTCCCGGGCCGCCTTTACCCGCTTTACATCTTCCTCCATGTGTGCAATTTCACTCTTGAGCTTGGCGGCATTATCTTCAAGGGCTTGCACCTTCCGCCTCTTATTGTCACATTCCTCGCCAGATGCCCGTAGTCGCTCTCCGCTTCTGAGGTAGTCGTGCGCGACGACCAGGCGGGTGAGACGCTCCAGATCATTCTGAGTCTGCTGAAAATCGAGGAAAGCACGTTTCTCTGCCCTGAGTTTCTCAAGCTTGGGCTCAATTTCCTCCTTCAATAGGCCTTCAATTTCGCGCAATTTAAGTTCCTTCTTGGACATTGTCTTCACTGCTTTCTCTCTCCTGTCCTCAAACATCCGTGTGCCAGCGGCTTCCTCGATCATGGATAAAATTTCAACCGCCTTCATGTTCAGAACCTTCGTAATTCTTCCTTGCATAATCAAGAAGTTGGGATTGTTGATATTCAGCTGCACGCTCTGAAACAAGTTCTGCACAGTTTGCTGCTGCGCACGATGGCCGTTGATCAGATATTTACTCGTACCGCCGAGAACGATCTGTCGGGTAACTGAGATGGTCGCATACTCTTCGAAGCCGATCGGTGACTTGGCCGTATCGCGATTATCAAAAACAATGGTCACGCTGGCTTTGGTCACACCAGCCTGCCCTCGCTTATAGATGAGATCTTGTAGGTTTTGCGCGCGAACGGTGCTCATATTCGTAATTCCAAGGACAAAGCAAATGGCGTCGAGGATGTTGGATTTACCACTGCCATTGAGACCAGTGATCGAGTTGAAGGACTCGTCCCTAAAAACATGATACCAGTGTCAGTTTCACCCCGTAAAAAAAAAGAACCATATGATTCCCAGAGTTGTAAGCGAGCGAGGGAAAGCAGCGCATACCATCCCGAGATCACCGTACGCACAGCGTACGATTTAAAGCCCTGTCGAGTCCGAATTAGCATTTCAGTGTTGCCTGAACCCATGATTCGTGAGTAGGGAGCTCACGTCGATAATAATTTCAATGATCCTCATGGTTCCGACTGCAAACCAGGCTCGTCGACTAGAGAATCCGATGCATTCAAGATGATGCAGACGGTGGTGGATTGTTTTGCGGGCGGTGTTTTGGCGGCGGGATCATCCATGTGTTTATGGTTTGCTGCTTCGGGCTTAGTATTATCGAGATAACATAAGCAATGGGAAGATCTCTCGGAGCGGAGTAACTATAATCCTTCATGCCACTTGCTCGTAAGGCATGGGTGTCATATTGGATTATCTCCCATTAGGAATTAGATTCTATTATCCATGATGTAAAGATAGCAGTAATTGACGTATCTCGTCGATTCGTCTAGAAAATACACAGAAAATGACGCATGAATTCATGAATAAACGACCTAAAGGAATAACCATAAATCCGATAAATGAGGGGTATCACGTGTCAGATAACGTGACCCGATCTGTTTTGGAGATGTCGATATCTTGCCCTAACTACATAACTACTCCGGAATGTTGTATGCTTATGAATTGCCTTGAGAATTGAATCATCGAATAGAAAGTATTTCTTCGATGCGCTTGTTTCATCTGCTGTGTACATTTTCTCTCCAAGTAAACAGAAGTGTGCGAAAGTCAGAAATAAAACCATATACTTCATTTTTATCACCAATAACTTTGCCTGATGTATAATTCAGCGAATAAAACTTGTACAAAAGATATCATTTAAATAAGTTTCCCACTTTTCGATATCCATACTTCTATGAACCTCACAGAGTAAGAGATAGCAATCTCAAGGGACTCTTGTAGTAGGCTCGAACGGGTTCAAGCCCCGATGCGGAGAGATTTCGGATACTTTTAGAAGCAACCAGATTCAAGACCTCGAGCGGATCAGGAGTCCAGATTTCGCTACTAATAGAACTTGTAAATTGCTATTTCTCAAGAGCTTGTCAGTTTCTTACTTATTCCTTTTTTCTTTTCTTTTTTTTTTCTCCTCTCCCACGTCTCTGCATACTCTACTCTAAAAAATATTTCGTTGACTTCGAGAGTACTTAAATCCCGACAATGGCCTCAAGTAAAGTCATCACAGACTTGTTCAAAGACCCAGCATTTATCACCCAATATCGAAATGCTGAGAAGGTCACTGGTGCCTTTGCTCCTCCGTTGGTCCAGCAATCTGGTATCGCAACATTTCAAGGTTCCCCGGTCATTCTAGACAGCGCCTGTGGGACAGGAATCGTCGCCAGTACGCTCGTTTCTATGCTTGGTGACGAGGTAAAACAGAGCTGGGAATTAACCTGTGGTGATCTGTCCCAGGGGATGGTCGAATATACCCGCCATCGAGCTCGAGATCAAGGGTGGCCGAATACCGAAGTCAAACTCGTGAACGCTCAAGATACAAAGCTGCCTGCTCGGCATTATACGCATATCTATGCTGGGTTTGGTATGCAGGCATTGCTTCAGATTCTCCCATATGATCCTCAATCCTCATGGATACCTAAATGATTTGTATATGTCTCTAACGTATACATACGACATTCCCGACCTTCTAGGATTTGCGTCTTTTCCTGACCCTGAAGGTGCGATCAAAGGTGACTGAATATTCCACCTGCTTTTACTTGCCCCAATGGAGAATGCAAGTATGAAACTAATCCGGCATAACCTAGAATGCTCCCGAATCCTCAAACCAGGAGGAACGATTGCGCTCTCGGCCTGGAAGAATGGTAAGCCACGACAGCCCTCGTGCAAGAATACACACATCCAACGGACCTTGACCAGATGAACTAATATCGGAGGGGAAAAAATAATCATACAGCGTTTTGGGGAGCGATTATAAAAGCTGCTCTCGACACCATCCCAGAAGACCTACCCTTTCCTGAGGGAAGTGGAGTTCTGAGACTCATTCACGACGAGCCCTGGGACTCCGAACTGTTCGTGCGCTCTCAGCTCGAGCAGGGAGGGTTCACAGACATACATATCAATGTGATGTCCAAGCAGATCCTAATGGGTGTTGATGAATTCCTGAAAGTGCAGGACATGATGCTTCCACTCGTTCTGTCAAGGTGCTGGACTCAGGAATTGCGGGAGAAGCATGAGAAAAGGGTTCCAGCGGTGCTTCGACAATATCTGGAGGATAAATATGGGCCAGATGGATCGGTGGTGATAGAACCGGTGGCGATTATTGCGACGGCTCGTAAACCTTGGTAGTTGACAAGTTGTTATTTGCAAATTGGGCAGAAACAAGAAGTCCCCGGATATTTTGAGGATATCACTTGTGCTAGCTAGGGGTACCGACTGAATCTACTGGAGAAAGATGTGCAATTTGTAAGATCCAGTGTAACTTCCCACAACGAATTTGCACAGAAATGTGAGAATATCGTTGAAGTTATGTATTTGATTTGAAACAGATATATCCTACTTTCCCGTGTATCACATAATTTGACAAGAGAAACGCCTTGTCTCTCAGCAGAGCAGGTGACACCCGGATAACCTTAAGGAAACTGGCAGTGAACCAAACGCCGATGCTGATCAGACCCCAATCATGTTACCCCCAGACATTCATGAAGCATGATGCGGAAATCCAACCCGTGAAAGACTCCGGTTGGCATCCATCCGGTTATCTAGATCCTCATACCGTAGAATAAACTCGCGCTATTAAATGATTAGCTTGCTAACTCTTCGCAAGTAGTATTGGCAGTGGAACATACCCTAATCTTCTTCCAGCTTGCAGGGTCCCAAAGGAGGTAAACGCCTCGCTCACTCACCCCTCGGTCGACGTCAACAGGACCGGGGTACGCCTCATCTCGTGTCAACCAGCATCGCTCGATTTTATGATATCTCCATTTACGGCCCATAAGCTCCTCGGCAACAACTTCTTGCATGATATCTCGGGGCATGCTGTAGAAGATATAAAACAGTGTCTCGTCACTAAAACTAGGAATGCGAGATTGTAGAGGCTGTACGTTAGCCACGCTATAGCACGATGGAAGAGCGAAATCCTGCTCTAAAGGAACACCAGATATAGACGCAACGAACGGCGAAGCAAACGACGTATGCAGAGGTCTAAAGGACTTCAAGTTAGCAATGAAGGGAGGCTTTCTATATGACGAGCAAGCATACTCTGGTTGGTTTAGATCCAAGCCCAGTGTCATCAAGTCCTGCCCTACAGCAAGACTAGCCACATCCGCACTATCGCTATGAATCATTCGAAGCAAGCCTGCGAGTCCAAACTTGTCAAGCTCACTCATCTCAGCTAAAGGTGGTTGCTCTGCTCCAGAGTCTTGCGATGGACGGGTGAACCCAGGGGCCGGTACTGTCTGTTGCTCGCTAAATGAACGTTGGCTAGAAATTACGGAGGTACTCGGGTCCTATACGCCCTATTAGGGTTGGGAATCAAAGCTTTAGGCAGGACATAACTTTACCTCTTTTTCTTGCCCCCGAACACCATTCGACGGTTGGTTGACAGGCGACCGTGATGTCGCGATACCTAAGAAAACACGATCAGTTCTCTACAATTCATTGGAAGCACCGGCACATGCTACCTGCTGAGCCCGCGGCTCCTGGTGACATTATCCTTTCCTGTCCGCTTATCGATGTTGCCATCATGCTCCGGGTTTGGGCAGACTGCGCCTGGTTTACACCGGAGAACTGCATGTTGGCGTTATAGCTCCCAAATCCGGCACCTTGCATCAATGATCCTCTGCGATCCTGGCCAATTTCCGCAGGGGCGTTACGACCAAGGGGAGGAAACTCTTCAATATTCCCTGTCTGTGGCTGCGCGCCAGCTCCTAATTGCCCGCTGATACCTTGACCACCATTCCTGTAATCATCTAGGCGATTTGCGAACTGAGCTCCAGAAGGGAATACATCATCATGAGCAGGCTGAGACTGTTGTTGTGGGTGATGCGATTGTGTTTGCGGTGCTCGTGAGGGGGCTTGAGAGGTGGGGTGCTGTCTCTGAACAGGAGTCTGCTGTACGCCCCGTTGGCTAGCATTCGCCCATACTAAGTGTGCCGGATTCTGTGTCTGTGATTGCGAAGGTGCTCCGGATAGCGAAGGGAAATCACTAGCAGGAAAAGAATTTTCTTAATGTTAGAACTCAACAAGTTGCAAGAACCACAGACATTGGGAGTCAGAGGTCAAAAGCGATTGAGAGGCCACACTTACGATAAGTCAAGGGGGGTAGCCGGTTGAGACCCGCTAAGACTCTGCGCGAAAGTCCCCATCGTTCCGATGCTGCGCTGTTGGTTTCCTTGTATCCCTGGTGTACCACTTACGGGCAAGTTGAAGTTCCAGTTTGCTGCGCTACCTGTTCGTTGGCCAAAGTTAGTCCGCGAGACAGCAAAGACCCAAATCCAGCGAAATTAGGCGGGCAATCGTACTTATTTTACCGTTGGGAAGTCGTGTGGAGGCCAACGTCGCATTTCGAGCTTGAGCTTGTTGTTGTGCGGGGAACCCTGACATGGCTCGTAGAGGTTGTGGGCCTGGTCCTGGTGTATCATAACACCCGTCAGCGACAGAACCAAATGTGTTGACAAGAACTTCAATGACCGGGCGATTGCTTGAGAGAAAGCTGGAGGAGTGTCTTTATTGTAGGAAGCAGTGCGAGGTGCGTCGGACGCAGCTGGAGGAACCATCTGTAAGAGGGGTTGCAATTGGAGCAAGCAAAAAGAAAAAGAAGACCTTTCTTTGCACAAACCCCCTCCAAAAGTAATGAGACACTCCACAATGTCACAAGCACCAGAAACCAGCGACGAAAATGGTCGCACGCTGGGAGAGGACCGCCTGAACCACGAAGAAATCCAAGGGAAAAAAAGAAATTGACGAACCTGGCCTATTCATGACGAGACCCTAACCTGTTACTGCAGTCGATATGAAAATAGAAGGGAATATATATTATCAAGTCGAGCTTTTTAGGGAGAAAGCCAAAGACATTCAAGATCGGAGTGGTTTCCAGGATGTCTCTTTGCCCACGCTTGTTGCGACGGTAAAGTAAGTGGAGTGTGGGTGTAAGCGCGCGCTTGGTACTTGTGCACAGACCCAGTAGCCGCAAACTGCTTTAACTCACAACATAAGAACTTTTATTTTCGGGACTGATTCTTGATATGGATAGGAGCCAAGCTGAAGAATGATAGACTTAGAGTTATTAGCTGAAGATTAATTGCGTTTCAAGGGCCTCGGTAGATTGGTTGCTTGTTCGTGTAGTTGTCACTCTGGAACTTATTTACCAAGTTTGTAGAAGAGCAAATCAATTATCTTGTATCTTAATTGACACAGCTTAACACTTGATTTTTCAAATACTCTATACCTAACATATCTACTGTGTTGCAGACAGGGAATGGATGATGATGACAGTGACACAACGCGCGGCTGTGAGGGTCACGTGATCTAACCGCCGGCCCAACGCTAGTCAATTCAGGCTTGGGCTGGGGCCGCAGAAAAGGAATCTCAACCTCCGGAATCTGGTCGTCCAGAACACCGCGTTCACTTTGGTCATGATGCATCGTCAATCCGTTCTACGGCTGGCTTGCCAGTATGGGGGTCTTCCACTGGCCGAATTGCCCCCTCCTTACCTCGCGCCATCCCTCCATTTTTCCCTGAACCGGTCCCCCGTCCAAAGCTCGAACTTTTCGTCCACCGCTGCCGCTGCTGGACACGGGCGTGACCTGAGCAAAACCCGTGGAGTGTCTGCAATCCATCGTACCGGGCCCAAATTCAAACTCGGAGCTTCCAAATATCCATTGCCAAAGCCTGTTTCTCCCGAGGCGCTCGAGAAGCGCCATGCGACCCCGGATCACGGACTTTGGGGATTCTTTCCCAAAGATCGGCAAGCATTGGGCACACCAGAGTATGATGTCGCTCACGGTTCGTTGCCCAACATTTAGTGCTTTATTTTACATGCATACATGCTTATTCTTGAATGTTAGGTCGCTCTTGGTCCATTCAAGAACTCCGCGAGAAGTCCTGGGATGACCTCCATTGCCTTTGGTGGGCCTGTGTTAAGGAGCGCAATCGCATAGCCACTTCCAACTTGGAGAGACAACGATTGAAGGCAGGATATGGCGAATGGGAAGCCACCGAGCGGGACCGAGTGGTGAGATTTGTCTTTGGAATATCTCTACACGTCAAACGTTGGATACTAATATATGGCCCTGTATCTAGATCCGTGTCACGCAGAAGAGCATCAAGCACGTTCTCCGGGAAAGATGGTATGCCTGGGAGGATGCCAGTGCACTTTACAAGAAGGGATACCGGCCGCAGGATGACGAGGCGACCGAGGCGTGAGTTCGCCTGTCGGTGGCTCTAAGATTTCTCCTGTCTTGATAATCGAGACTCTGTACTTTTCTTATCTGTAGCATTATTACTTTCAATAGTTGATGGCCGTTATTGGCGAGGATTGACCTGTCCACGAAGACTGACGTATTTGTAACTTGTGAGAGAGAGCTATGATGGTTGCTATAAATGGTAACGGAAGCCATTTTGGGAAAAACTCACGGTATTTGGGTTAATAAATAGCGTTGAGGTGAGCAAGTCAATAGTTAGTCCTCTATGGAGGAGCTAGTTCAGGTGTAACTTGCAATTCGTCCCTGATGTCTTGAAAAGGGGGCGTGAGAACTCAGGAGGTCCGCTGAGGGTCGAGATGGAGATTAACACATCTTGACCAAATAGTTTCCATACCCTTATCCAACAGCATAGAGGTAGTTATTCCGAGGGAATAATTACTAGATATGAGAGAGTAATTAACACGGAAATAAATAATAAATAAAATAAAATAAAACCGCGGTGGAAAATCGGCATTCTCTCTCTCTCTCTCTCTCTCTCATATTTCACGATCACAATAAGGATGATCCGCGGGGGGCTCCAGTTTCCACTCCCTCCTGACGCTCTACTCCTTTCCAGACTCTAGTCCACTTCACCGCTAAGAGCTAAACCACGCCGTACCATCGATCATCTCCGCATCCTCCTGTTCTCTCTTTCTCCTGCACGCTTCTCTTACCTGCTGCTGCTACTGCGTAATACTACTGCTGCTAGCTTATTTGTGACAATACAATTAATTCACCATGGACGATATTGCCCCCGAATATGATGTCGTGGTACTGGGCACTGGTATGTACTTGAACCATTACCCCGCTGTTTGCAACCTGAGGTGCTCACAACCCCCCTTCACAGGTTTGACGGAGTGTGTGCTGTCTGGGTATGGATCTGCTTTTCATCCGTCCTCAGCCAAGTCATTAATTTTGCATTGCATACAGCGTTCTCTCCGTCAAGGGAAACAAAGTACTTCACATTGATCGCAATGATCACTACGGAGGGTGAGTTAGGCAGCCCCGCTGGGTAGCTTTCGAAAGGGGAACCATCAACTTACTAACAACCAACTCAGCGAAGCTGCTTCCGTGAACCTCGAGACTGTAAGCTTATCTATCTAGCTCTTTTTTTTCTTTTTTTTCTTTTCGTTCGTTACTGAAGTTTTATTACCGTGCAGCTTTTCAAGAAATATGGCAACGTCCGCCCCGGAGAAGAGCCCTGGACAAAGTATGGACGGGTTAACGACTGGAACGTGGACCTGGTCCCCAAGCTGTTGATGGCTAACGGCGAGTTGACAAACATTTTGGTTTCCACCGATGTGACAAGATATCTGGAGTTCAAGCAAATTGCCGGTAGCTACGTTCAGCAGGGCAAGGGACCTAAAGCGACGGTGGCAAAGGTGCCTTCGGATGCTGGCGAAGCTCTACGCTCATCCCTCATGGGCATGTTCGAGAAGCGGAGAGCTAAGAAATTTCTCGAATGGGTGGGTGAATTCAAGGAGGAGGATCCGTCCACTCACCAAGGTCAGTGTGCTCTTCCTCAGGATCTTATGTTCCAATTAAATATTGATGCATCCTAGGTTTGGACATCCACGCATGCACCATGAAGGATGTCTATGACAAGTTCTCCCTCGAGGATAACACTCGTGACTTTGTTGGTCACTCAATGGCCCTGTACCAGTCCGATGAATACATCACCACCGCCGGGATGGCCCCCGACGCTATCAACCGCATCCGTCTATATGTGAACTCGATGGCGCGGTATGGAAAATCGCCTTACATCTATCCCCTCTATGGCCTGGGCGAACTTCCTCAAGGATTCGCCCGTCTCTCCGCTATCTACGGAGGCACATACATGCTTAACACAAATGTGGACGAGGTGCTTTACGACGAGAGCGGCAAGGTCTCTGGAATCAAGGCCACCATGGATAATGGCGACACTATGAAGTTTGAAACTAAAACAAAGAAGATCCTCGCAGACCCATCCTACTTCCCTGACAAGGCCAGGGTTACGGGCTATCTCCTGAAGGCTATCTGTATCCTGAAGCACCCTATTGACAAGACTGATGGCAGTGACTCCCTGCAGCTGATCATTCCCCAGTCCCAGGTTGGAAGGAAGAGCGGTATGTTGAGGTCATCGCTGTGAAGTTAAGCTCCTGATCCTAATTTTATCTAGACATCTACATCGCTATGGTCTCGTCGGCGCATAACGTCTGCCCCAAGGGGTACTACATTGCTATTGTCTCTACTATTGCTGAGACCGACGTCAACCATCACATGGAGCTTGAGCCAGGATTTGAGCGCTTGGGTCAGATTGAGGAGAAGTTCTTCCCAGCTCCTATTCCGCTCTACGAGCCTCTTGAGGACGGTACTAAGGACAACATCTTTATCTCTAAGAGCTATGATGCCACATCTCACTTTGAGACCACAACCGGTAAGAATTTGCCCTTCATTGGCGTATTTCGTCGGTGCTACATCAAAACAAAGTGAAGAAAGATGAACACTAACCTCGACGTAGATGATGTCCGCGATATCTACCGACGTGCGGCTGGCGAGGAGCTTGTAGTCGAGGGCCTCCGGGAAGGCCAGACACTTGCAGAAGAGTAGAGTGCTTTAAACGTCGCATTTGAGGGTTTTAGTAATGTATTGTCGCTTTGGATGCCGTGAATTGAGCCATAATATTGTTTGGACTTTTTTTTTTTTTTCGCCCCGTCAATCGTACCGAGTTGGAATCCGCACGCTCGTTTTAGCTTCTTGGACATGCATCATTATTACTAGTAGAAGCCGGTTATCTGATGCCGCCGGCCCCTTCCTACAAAAAGGATATACATATTTATCAGACGAATGAAAATAGCTACTTCACTATAGTTTCTGTTCCCACGGAATAAATAGATATACCCACCTCCAATCAAAAGTCCTCTAACTCTGTACATTCACCAATATAAAGCAATCATATGCGGAATAAATGCAGACCCAAAAAGAAGATTATCAAAATGGGGGAGGACTATTTACATTTTCCCACTTGCCTCTGGGTCCGTGTTCACCTTCTCATGATCCGACACCATACAGAGATCCCCCGTATCAACCCGGTAAATCTCTGAGCGCAGAAGCGTCAAGCGACGACCCATATGTACAACCTTCGTCACGAGTCGCATCTCTATACCCATGGGCACCGGTCTTAGATACGTGACCCCGAGATGGCGGCTAACACCACCCAGAGAGAACATGCCGGGTCTAGAGGCACCGATCAAGGTTACAGAAGACAACATATCGATCAAGGTGGCGGCACACCCACCGTGGAGGTTACCGAGCCAGTTGCAGAGTTTCTGGGTGCAGACGAGGAGATAGGAGGCTTGTGCGGGAGGTCCTGGCGTTGCGGATTCGAAGCGGAGATTACAGTCTTTGACGTCCCAGTCGTCCCAGCCCTTAAGGATAACTCATTAGTTTTGTTTTTCTTCTTTTCCCTCCCTTCAGAGTGTACTTGAATTCTTGGGAGGGCAAAGGGTAGATTGGAATTGGAATTGACTTTATACCTCCCCTGTCCCTAAGCGGGAGCAGACCTGATATATACCTTGCTCAAACTCGGTCAATTCCCTGGCTGGTGCACCGACTTTGTTTTCCGACATTGGGCCGTATTGAACTTGGCCTCACGGGTCAAGGTGGTTTGAAGGATATGATGGAGATGAGTTAAGAATGTCAGACATTTGTTAGAATCCTGGGGTAAGTCGATGTTTATGTTGTTGTTGAGCGCGGAGGGGGAGAGAGCCGAGGTTGTGAGATAACCGAGTCAGGTTGAGATACAATTACATCCAGATCTGAGAAAGAATACTTTGGATGAGACTTTCTCTAGTAACAGACCAGTTCAGCAGCACTAATTCACATTTCCAGGCGAAGCAGACAGGAGATTTCCCTGTACCTACGAGAACTGTGGATTGTGGATATAATCATTGTGGATTGCTAGTCGGATGGAGTCTCATGGGAATCCACTACTCCGTAGTTAACATCTCTACTCAGCACTAACACTGACTCTGTAAATAGAAAAAAATGTCACCTAACTGTCACCTCCCATCGTCTATTCTGCTGCCTATACAAGGCGACTCTCTCAGATTACTCTGGATAGTTGCAACCGCCAGAAACAGTAACGATCACCCAAAAATTGGGAGCTGACTCAGCAAGCTCAGCAAACCTCCTTGTTTCAGCGAAGAAGGAAGATGAGGGACTGGAGGCGATTTAACTGCTGCGTTTCGCTGAACTGGAATTGATTTCGGAATGTCAGACTAAAATGCAGATATGGCTGACAAGCTGTTGGCAGGACGTCGATCTCACCGCAAGTCGCGACATGGCTGTCAGCAGTGCAAAGCCCGCAAGGTGAAGGTGTGTATAATGACCGACCGCCGCTGGGAAATTGAAATTGCTCGTGTCGGAGCAGCAAGCTGGCCATTATTGGAGGACGATCCCGCGTTTTATGGGACTGTGACTGAAAATATGGGCTAACTCTCCCGGTTGCAGTGCGATGAAGGGAAGCCAGCCTGTAAGAACTGCAAACGCCATGGGATAGATTGCTCCTTCGCTCTTCAACGCAGCGATACGGGTTCATCTCAATTGCAAAATTCAGCCAACTCCGACACTACCAATTCACCGACATCCCTTGGCACTCATCCAGTAGAGGCCGTATCAGAACTGGCTATAGGCGATCTGGAGTTACTGCATCACTTCTCAATTTCGACCGCCTATACGTTCTCTAGGCACCCAGCTCTACAGACCCTCTGGCGGGTTCAGATCCCCCAGATTGCGTTTTCTGCACCCTATGCCCTACGGGCCATTTTAGCCATTTCCGCTCTGCATCTTGCCTATTTGAGGCCCGAGAAGAAGCAATACTATCTCGCACAAGCCGAGTATCACCATGAGGCCGCATTGAAAGTCGTGAGCCCGGATATGGCCAGTCTCATGCATGAGAATAGCGATGCCGTCTTCCTTTTCTCTGTTCTTACCTGTTTCATTTCATGTGCAAAGCCACGGAAATTAGATGACTTCCTCTTCTTTGAACATGGGCGAGTGTCTGACTGGCTGATTTGCTTTCGAGGTACAAGGACTATCATTGAATATGCAAACGACTCGTTAAACAACGGGCCCTTCACCACAATATTCACTATTCGAGGCCGCAAGTTTGAAACCCGAATGCATCAGCAGGGAGCAGGACAGGGACAGGGACAGGGGCAGGGGCAGGGACAGGGACACGAGTATCTTGAGAATTTGGAAACGCTCGTCCAAGAACAGATCAGAGAGCCAGATGATGTGCGCATATACCTGGACGCAATTGAAGAAATGAGACAAGCCTTTCCAGCGGGCACTCATCAGTTTTCAGAACTCTGGGAAACTGACGAAGTTTTCACCTGGCTTTTACGCATTTCCGACGGATTCCTGCTCCGCGTTCGAGAACAGGAACCTGTTGCCCTGATCATCCTTGGATATTTCTGTACTTTTTTACGTCATTTGGAATGGATGTGGTGGATGGATGGATGGAGTATCCATTTGCTATCTCGCATCCACGGGCTCCTGAATGATGAGCATCGCATGTGGCTGCAATGGCCAATGGAGCAGCTTGGCTGGGTGCCATGATTTCAACTGAATGATTATGTGAAAACCAATACAGAGTACGTACTGATATTAGTTACTTCCCAAATGAATCTGTTTATGTTTACGCCCGAATTATATAGTTCAAAATTAGGCAATTGAACAGATTAGATTAAATTGTTAGTTATAGAGTAACTATTCTTATAAATTTCACTTTGGCAGTCAGGATTCGCCTGATTTCGCGTCGCGTGTTGCCTCAGGCACGCGCTGTCTGGCCTGGATCACCAACCAGCTCAGGTCAAGCTATCATCAATGACCATCAAGAATCCTCAACTCTCTGTGCCACGGACTGGGGCCATTGGTATGTACACGTTTATGCCATTGACATTGATTCTATAACCATCAGTATTGATATCTAATATATTTATCTTTAGCACAGTGAGCATCCCCAGGAGACCTGAAAACATTTCTTGGTAACCATCCATGGGCTCCATTTCTCGACGAAACCTCACGCTGCAAATACCTGCCAATGAAGTCCGATAATACCTGCACACTCAATTTATCTTGTTTCCGAATCTTGTAATGTGTGTAGGTATTTGAGAAAACTCCAACCCACCTCTCACACCACACGCCCGCAAATACCCCCCCCCCCCCCCTGCGCATCTCACAATCCTTCTCCGACCGAATCACCACACCATCAACATGAAAGACCCGCGTGCGGGGAAAAGGAGGAGAATTTCCGATACACCGCCAGTAGACGAAGACGGCGATATCGCGATGCATGATGATGCCCAGGAAACTCTCTCAGATGCTCCTGGATCGCCAACTCCATCAACCGCTAAATCGCGTCGCTCGTCAAGGGGCGCACAGAAGACTGGCCCCGAACAAACGCCTGAAAGAGATAGTGAAGATCTCAATGCTGAAGATATACAGACTCCTTCAAGAACTGGGACAAGATCAAGTGGACGAACACGGAGGGCGCCTCAAAGATTCGAGGATGAAGTCAGGCATACGCGATCGACAAGGAAGTCCACAGCTACGTCGACACTAGGCACAAATGAGGCTACCCCAAAGAGTACGCGGAGGCCCAGACACGTATCGGAGACAGGCAATGATAGGGAGTCGCCAGACTCCCCGGCTGAGAAACTAACGAGGACGAGGTCTAAAAGAGCGACTGTGCGATTCGATGGGTTGGATAATACGCCGAAAGGAGACTCAGGAGCAGCCCGCAACGGTCTACAGCAGCCACAGTCCCCCGATGATTACCAAGATGGACTAGACGATTTAGTGTCGATGCAACTACAGCAGGACATTGTTCATGAGGGGCTAAGTGGCAAAGAAGAGGTCATGTCCGCTAACGAGACCGTCCCCATATATGCCGAGCAATTCCAAGCTATTGCTAGCAGCGGTGTAGAAAACGAAGTGCGACTATTGACAAAGATTGTGATCGAAAAGCTCAATGGTAAAAGGCTAGTGCCTTTGAAGGGACTTGAGTATGAATATCACAAGGTCTATCAAGTTATCGAGCAAACAGTTACCGTTGGAGAAGGTAACTCGATGCTACTTCTCGGATCACGGGGATCCGGGAAATCAGCCATCGTGGAAACCACTGTCTCTTCTCTGAAAAAGGCACACAAGAATGATTTCCATGTTGTTCGCCTTAATGGTTTCCTACACACTGATGACCGATTGGCACTGCGCGAAATATGGCGCCAGCTTGGTCGTGAGACTGATACTGAAGAAGAGGCCGGCAAGGTGACCAGTTACGCTGACACCATGGCCACACTTCTTGCTCTTCTATCGCACCCCGAAGAGCTAGGTGGCTCTTCAGACAACCCAGAAGGTGCAACAGCCAAATCAATTGTTATTGTGCTTGATGAGTTCGACCTGTTTGTGACGCACCCACGCCAAACCCTCCTTTACAATCTGTTTGATATCGCGCAAGCGCGAAAAGCCCCGTTGGCAGTGCTAGGACTTACTACGAAAGTTGACGTAACGGACATGCTAGAAAAGCGAGTGAAAAGTCGATTCAGTCATAGATCCGTTTACGTCCCGCTTCCAAGAACTCTCGAGGTATTCTCCGAGATCTGTCTCGCTGGACTGAGCCTAGAAGATGACGAGGTTTCAGAGCTATTGGAGGAATTAAGTGCCGACGAGCGTTCCCTCGTCCAGTCCAGTGGGTGGGGGAAGGCATCAGAAGGGTGGCGAATGTATCTACAGGTAATTCTCCGCTGCTACGGTGACAAGAGTAAATTTATCATCGTGGGTAACTAACCCCGTATAGGGACTTTGGGCCGACGCTGCCTTCCAGACCCATCTACGCAGGATATACCACCAAACAAAATCCGTCAAAGAGTTCTTCACGAGTGCCCTAATGGGATTAACGGAGCTGCACCACAGCACTCACAATACAAGTTCCTCCTTGCGAGTCCCGATCCCCACGAGTTTTACAACCCAGCTCCTCTCCTGTCCAGACCCGGCCCCGCTGCCGTTCTCAACGTCGACAACCGCAGCAAGCCCGTCGTCACTGCCGTTATCCTTATTATTGGCTGCAACGCGATTGACGGCGCTGTACGACCCGGGCCTCGAGGCCGCACAGACCCAGGACCTTGCTCCACTCGCCCTGTCATTCCCCGCTACTTACGCGGAGTATGTCCGACTGTTGACATCAGCCAAAACCTCCGCATCGGTATCTGGTGCGTCTGTGACTCCTGGGCGTGTCTGGGGCCGGGACGTCGCACGGGAAGCGTGGGAGAAGCTAGTAAGCTGGGGTCTGATCAGTCCTGTTGGTGGAGGCAGTGGGACGGCGGACGGGCGGATGTTCCGCGTAGAAGTCAGCTTCGAGGAGGTGGTGGCTATGGCTGGATCTGGGGGATCACTGGGTAGATGGTGGCGTGACGGATGATTTTCCTCCGACGGCACCAAAAAAAAAGAACCGAAAAGGAAACACGGTTAGGGATACTGGTGTCACAGATGGACAGTAGTACTCGTCTAGTGCGACGCCCGTCGAATTGTAATGGGGTTAAAAATATCTCGTACCCCGAGTTAGGCGGATCGCTGAAGATGGCTATTGCTGCTGTACGAGGTGAGAGATGGCTGTGCTAGCAGCTAGGCAGCCTTTCATCTATAGTAGTTATATAGTACTGTATAAATCAGCGATATTCCCGACCTATTCATTCTGTAGCTATGGCTGCTCAGACACAGTTATTTAGGACTCGGAGGATACCCCCCCCCCCCTTCTCTATAAATATCTACTATGTATATGTATATATAGACACGGTTTGACACAATTCAAGAATCTCCACCGCAACCCACCCAAAAGCCGTTTCAAGTACGAACAAACCTAGAGCATAGTCACAAGACCATCATAACCCCAACCACATCCATAAACTACCAAAGGTACACTTGGCTACCTAGGTACTTACGAGTGAGTGTGCATCCGACGAACACCCGTGAAACATCACGATGGGGACAGGATGGATGACTCCACCGTCCCTTTTCTCTAGACTCTTTCTGATTCAGTAGAAGAATTTTTTTTTTTTTAAAAAAAAAAAGAAAGTCTACCGAGAGAAGATCAGAATTAGGGTTACAGGTTATACAGGTACAGTACTACTACTAGTATAACTAGTACTTGGGAGAGAGTGTTCTGTACATAGGACGGAGTTTAGTATGTCTTATCTTTATTTAGATAGATAGATAGATAGATAGATAGATTGAAGGATCATCAGCTGGACTGGGACGGTACTAACGGCGTACCTTGTAGACGTGCTTAACTAACTAGTTAGATTCTAACTACAGGTATGTACTCCGTAAGCAAGCTGTATGTTAACTAACTAGTTAAATAACTAGTTAGTTAGTTAGTTAAACTCACAGACATACACAGTAAGCTGTTTTGCTTTCCTTTGCTTCTGTTTGCCAAGGGCTAGGTTCATAGCATGGGATTGTATATCCTAAGCCTGTGTGTGACCTGTTCTAAGTGTTGGGCAGGAGAAAACAGTTTGAAGGGGAAGAAGGCATCTATAACATCCAAGATGCAAAAAACATGCAAGCTGGCGGTGGACATGTCCCCATTGAGTATACATAAGAATAAGGAATAAATAATAGTATCAGCATCCGGAATAGCTCGGAACGCAAACTTTGCAATGAAAGGAGGTCTGGTTGAAACAGATCTATCCTATTCCTAGGAGCTATAATCAGGCCATTAGGGCTAGAATGCGGTTTCAAGTTGGAGTACAGAGTAATAGGGGAGCGATTAAGGTTTCTTCTGCATGCTCCCTAGGCGAGCCGCGAAAGACTAGTTCTAGAATCCTGGAATCCAAACGGCCATGACTTTGGTTTACGGTGTTTGAAGATAAGTGGTTTCAAGTCTCTCCGTAAAGTGGATTGTACCTATTCTTGGGAGTAAGCGGTCTTTTAAAGCACCAATTTATTCAATCTACTAACCATACAGGGTTTGGGGGGGGGGGGGATGTCGGGGTTGTCGCTTAGGTTGCGCTAGGCCTCGGATTCTAGAAGGGAGAAAGGACCGGATTTGAGACCCGATTCCGAACGTTGAGGCTTAGAGTACATATTCTCATGTTTTATCTTCCTTCTTCTGGAGGGAATGGGAGAGCTGGAAACTTGAGAGGGATGGCACCTAGTACTCCATGAGTCCATGCATAGTACAGCGTTTCTCCGTACGGAGTAGTTGACGGGGATCCCGAGCGACGCTAATGTGCCTTTCGTTTTATGTGACATAGTAAAGTAATTTCTTTCCCCTGGCGCTATTCAGGTTGTGCTCACTAGTGATGTATTCCAGACCTGGGTACTAACCAGCTAACGAGGGTGAGCACGCGCCATGACAATTCGCAAGGTACTTATGTACCGGAGGAGTATGTTTGATGGGTGAGTTCTCTTGTCAGACTAGTCGGGACCCTCAGATCATCATTTAAGAAACTGTCGATTAATGTTCCTCCGTACAGTTGCTCTAGGTGCAAATCAACCGGAATGGAGGGAAGTGGATTTCGTGCATAAGTCTGACTGGGATGAGTCCTTGCCAGCTTCTACCACAAGGTTAATCATCCAGAGGTGATAGTTAACGACTTCCGTAGAGTCTAGACGGGAATAAGCAGAGCTGCCTGTGGGTAGTCTGACCGTATGATAACGGACATGAAGATGGAATTAGGGATCTACCTAGGTAGAAGCCAATCTTAGGGGAAATTCAGCGCCAGCCCATAACCAAACGGTCGAGACCACCAGTTTGTGCAACAGATTCTCCCAATCCCCTGGCTCTGATCAATGCAGGGGGCTGCTGGTGTCAAACCGGATATATGATTTAAGAGAAGCATCCCTGGGATATTTGATATTCTTAAGATACTCTCCGCCTTTTACTGAGACAAGTTCCCCCTTTTTTGTTCTCTCTTGTTCTGGCTCATAACCTCACCTTGGGTCTGTCAGGCGAATGATCGTTTCCGTTCTGCGAGACTAATGCATGACATTGTCTGTGTATTTCTAGGGTAACTATTGTAGGCAGATCTTGGCATTGGATTGGAATTTTATCTCTGACTTGGTTGGGTTGAATATCAAGTTGGGTTATTTCAGGGTTAGGGTTTGATGCTAACGAATTTTCCGTGAGTTTTGATCTGTCAAGTAGTCTATAGAGATCTTGAGATGCATCTAGCCGTTCTGGCCATTTGAGAGCAGTAGATACCAGTAACACAGCTATCCTAAACTAGTATCATGGCTATAATGACTCCCTGGATGTACTCCGTAGCTTCTCACCTCGCGTGGACCGCAAGGATCAGCGTCTGCAGTACCAACCAAAATCTAACATCAAATAGAATCTAATGTTTACCCCTATTATTCTCACTTCTCTTCCTCAGACCTTGAAACATGGAAACTAATAATTCTTGCGAGTTTTTGCGCCTTAGTAGACCAGGAGGTTAGGTTCTACTAACTAACTATCAAAAATGATAACGGCCACTCCGACTGCTTAGATAATGATTTCTGCGGAATTTTCTTCCCCATTCACACCCGTAGACGAGATCAAATAGGATCGTTTTCTTTTCGCTTGTTATTCCCATTCCAGAATCCCAAGTAGCGGTTCCGGCCCAAGTAGGCGTGCGGTAGATGCCGCTTGCAATCCAGTACCCAAGGATACAAATACCAAACTTTCAGGACCATTACCGTACTGACACTAGTGCGTTACCAAAATACGCTAACTCACCGCCTTCCCGGAAGATCATCTCCACGTGCGTTTCCCAGGTAGGAACTTGGGGCCGTCTGGCTTCAAAAGGTTGAACATTGCACATTCAACATTGTGCTGGATGGGTCTTGCCCAAGAGCTTCGACCGAATTACTCCGGGTACGGAGTACTCTTAGAGTCTTAACACAATTTTGATCCTCAGAAAACATTGGAGCTATTTTATAGTAGGATGGCGTCATCAATCAATCCCCTTTCTAGCGCCTTCTAGAACACTTCTCGAACAAATTATTGCCTTCTAGCGCATTACCCCTTTTTCTGCAAAAAAAAAAAAAAAAAAAAAACCCCCCCCCCCCCCCACTCGATGTGCCCCTGCTGATGGTTTCGATAGATTCTAGATTAAACTCATTTACGCAACCGTGGCTGGAGCCCTGAAGCTAGCCCTGAACGGCTGGCAGGATGATGCATATGATTTCATATGTTGTCTCTCCCGAGCCATATTCCGTTTTAGGGAATATCACTAAAAATAATCACATCTCTATGAGTATGGGGACGGTCTGAAACGAAATGGGCCCTGAGAGCCACAATTGAGTCCACAGGATCCATCTGGCTTCTAGAAGAGCGGTAAATGCTACAGGTACTGTTATAGGAGCTTATTGTATTGGCAATAGATACGTGTATGCCGCGCTTGACCGCCAAATTAAGGAGAGATCCAACGGAGAAATGAAGGTTCTGAATTTTCCGTGTGATCCACCTTGAATGTTGACAGGGACTACCTACCGATTTTCTGCGGAGATATAATAACATCTCCGGAGGTGAAGATAAAAGAGAATTAAAAGTCTCGTATCACACCACCTACTCCGATCCTACGTGTGTATTATTGACAGTTTGCAGCTAGCGCTTAACATAACCTGAAGACAATTAGAGGAGAATCCATTGGATGCAGAATTGCTAGCCTTTACCAGTCTAGTTAGCCCTAGACCCATTAAGGTAAATGGGATAAGATCCTGATTCGGAATCCTTTATCTTTATCATTTATCACGCCAGATGTCTTGAATCCTGCACCTGAAGGATTTATCTTAGCTGGAGGGGAAATATTGATAGACAGAGCTACGTACATATCCGTACATATCCGGGAATAGGCAGCCACATCATGGATGATCCAAATGGACTCCTCGGCAAACTCCATCTTATCTACTGGATATACGGAGTACTCACTTGGTCACAGGTTAACTACCCGAGATGCTCCAAAAAAGAAAACAAAGAGTATAAAGTTTCTGACTAGCCTTATTCTTAATACCACGTGGCTCTCGCATTCCATCTTCCTTTCTCTCTCTTTCTTTTTTTTTTTACTCTGGAAATTTACACATTAATTCAGATTCCCTTTAGCGTCACCTTTAGCCCAAGTCGTCCTTCCTAAGAAGCCCACCCTTCGCTCAATTTTCCCGTGCGCCAACCTTGATGCTTTGACGACAACGGACCCACTTACTCAACCATTGCCTACTAGCCTCGTCTATGGAGTCTGTCTCCAACTTGGTCTTGGTTGATACGGTGAGAAGCTCCACCACCCACGAAGCTTCTGACAAACTCCTCCGTCACTCATCCTTCGTCCACGACTAATCTGTTCGTTACCTATCCGGCCCCCTCCTGCAAGTTGCTGAATGGGGTAATTTACACTCAACAAATGGGGCCAAATTACTTCAAGATAGAGGGAAGCGGCCAGCTTGTGATAAGTATCGGATGGAATCATGAATCGTAGATATCCGCCATTGCTACCTGGTCCTGGCGGGTAGAGAGCCAAGACTGTTTTGGACCCTCTACGGAGTAACTATGGGCATCCCAAGTTAGGTAATCAACTCTGTACTCTGTAACTACCGGAAGTCTACCGTTGTTCGGGAAGCACAACTGCCGAATCTCAACGGGGGTTCTCTTTTCATTCCGTCCTTCCAGTTTTGATCCTGCGTTTGTACTCTGGACGGTGGGAGATGAAGATCATCAGAAGATAATGGCGAGGTAGTCTCTAGATAGGTGTGTGCTTTCTTGCGAATGTAGTAGTAACTTACTCCGCACTTGCATACCCTACAGGTTAACTATCCTCTACCTAGAATTACTCATTTATCAGCCGAAGTAGTTGTTAACTAACTAACAACTAACTAGCTGTTCAATTCGACCGATCATAAAGTCAATCCAACAAGAGGAATCAGAAAGTAGACCCCGGATGGATGGATGGATGGATGGATGGATGGATGGATTGATTGATTGATTGATGCCTTCTTCGAGCCGGGTGGTGTGTATCCGCTGATCGTTCATGTTGCATCACGGAGGACTATTCCTACTATGATTAGAGTTGTGAAGATCAGGCAATACTCGGGAGCCGGGGCACGGCTGGTTGACACAAAAACGAGTTCTAGATTGTATGTACGGAGTACTCCGTACTCCTAGGTCAATAGGATCTGGCTTCAGCTGAGACTTAAGGTTGATATGTAACTAGTTACATAGGGGACAATAATTTGAGTTTTAGCTTCAGCCGCAATATCTGAAGTTGGCTGGTTTGACAGGCAGCCAGAAATTGCAGGATCCTCTCTACTTAAGGTTCCGTAGAGTTACTTGACAGCAACTCTCCTACCCTGCCTAGACCCCTGAGTCAGTCTACTGAGATAACTAACTACTCCCTACGGAGTAGTAAAGTAAAGTAGGAAAAGATTCCTCCGTATTTGACTGAGGGGCCGTCGTCCCTCCTTGCTTGTGTATGGCCGGCGATCAGAGATCGGCGGCCGTCTTGCTTTGCGTTTCCAAGTTTCAAGCTGAGGATTCCCTGGGACAGAAAAGCCCGGTAGAGTTTTGTATTTACATTACGGAGTTACGTCCAGATATTACTTGGTAGTTGGGTAGAGTTGGTAAGACCTTACAGCTAGGTTCTAAGATACATGATACGTCTGATTAGAATAGGTTAACACAAGGTTCGAGTTTCATCCTTCACTGCCAACAGTTGTCAGAACAAGACCTGAGAACCCAAAGGAACGAAGAAAGTCTATGTAGGAGTAAGTTCAGTCTTGGCCTGCCGAGGTCCGATCATCTGCGATCGAAACTTGGTTGTTAGGACTGCCCAACAAATCCTGGGGAAGAGACGAGACAAAGAAAGAAGGGCCAACAACTTGGGCAACGAAAAAAAAAAAAAAAAACAACCAGCGCTCAACTTGCAACCGCACGGGTCATGATACAGCAATAGCAGGCGAGTTAAAACGGGCGGACACCGGGTTAAGCCGCCTGAGCGACTGTCGCTTCTCCACGTGTGTCCACGTGGAACCGCATGGATCTCGGCTAGAAAGATACTTGGAAGAGTCATGGAAAACTTTTTAGGGGGGGAAGGATTCAGTGAAAGTGAAACTGGTATGTTTTAGCGCCATTCAGTCCGAGTTGATTTTTTTTTTTTTTTTTTTTTTTTTTTTTTTTCCACTGGTTGTTGGCTTTGGAGGGGGTTGATTGCTCGATTCTCCAGGTCAAAGAATTTGAGAACCAACACGGTTTTTTCATGACGAATACTAGATTTTAAATAGTAGCTTGCACTTTATCAAGGAAGAGACCCAATGTCGATCGATCGGATCAAAAATGGGATCATTAAATTCAGGTCATATGCAAGACAGTAAATAGCCCCGATACTACAAAGGAGCTAGTAACAATACAACTGGTAGTCATGACTCATGAAGGAGGAACTGATCTACCTTTGGGAAAATGCTTGATTCGCTGAGGCGCCAATTTCCCACCATGAGGATAAAGGCTAACCTGGGCGAGGATTCCACGTGGGCAGAAGGAGCCCCAAGTAAGAAATTAAGTTGTAGTACGCACTCTTCTAAGATATGACATCAAGGCTTTTTTGAATTAAATCGGGCACCAAATTAACTCAGTTCATCAGGAAAAGGAACCTGACTAAGCCAAAACTACAAACCAAAAAAAAAACCCTTGCCTTACCTAGGAGAAGCCTGAGGGTGAGTCTGGAGCGATACTGGATTGGTGGAGTCAGACCCGGGACTGCCAAGAAAGTAAAATTTGAGAGGTGGACTGGATATATTCATACTAGATCAAAAACAGGAAGAGCATGACTTCACAGGGAGGTTGATCTTTACTAGAAAAGGGTGGGCCTGGTTGCTGGAATTGGAAAGTGACTAGCAAGTACCAACGACGGTGTAATTTTTTACTATCCACGTTTTTCTTTCTTTGTTTTCTGTCCCAAACAATTGGGAGCCCACAGCTCGTTTTCTGGTTTGAGGTTTTTTTTTTTTTTGGAATTTCCGTAAAATTCTCGAATAATTGACAGCGTTCAGAGTCAGAGTGGATGAGAATCTCAAGGTTCCCTACAAAGTGTGGTATTTGAAAGGGAAAATCTGGGCTGATCCGGTCAAACCCTCCCCAGAAGTGTAGATTCTGCTGATCATCCGACGCTTGCAGTGGGCGGAAACAGTGTTGAACTCCCAAGGTATGGTGTAATTCGGTGTACCGAAAATAACAGGATACGGTATCGCCGCGGTATGGATACTTTTCTTTTCTTTTCTTTTTTTTTTTTTTTTTTTTTTTTGGTCAGAGGTCTAGAGATCAAGATAGTGGATAGATAGATTTGACTATTCTAGTATAGATATATACACAAATTAGAAATGCAATATAAGAGAAAGGGTTTTAATTAGTAATACTCCCTCTGCTCCCTTGGCCCACGTTGTCTGGTGCATGAAACCGTCCGCGTGCACAGTGGGTCAGGAATGACAGGCCAAATTCTTCACCCCCCTGGGGATTCTTCTGTGTCTTTTTTCCTAGTAAAAGAATTAATAGTACATAGTAACAATTATCTTTCTATCCCATCAATGTAAGAAAACTCCTTCTCTTAACTACCTGTAGGAATGGCTTCCTGAGAGACTACTGATGGTATGATTGGAAAAATCAAATTCCCTATATAATCCCCCCCTTTCTGTTTCCTCACACGTTAAAATATTATTATTTTAGTATTATTTTATTTCAGCCATTATTATTATTTTATTTATTATTCTTTTATTTATTCGATTTTATTTATTCGATTTTATTTATTTTATTTTATTCCATTCCCCCTCCCGAATTATTTTTATTTCTCTCTCTCTCTCTCTTTCTACCCATTTTTCCATACCTACATACAAACCACACAACCCACATTCCCCCCCCCCCCCCCCGTAACTACTTTTACTACCTACAAAACCCCCTCTCCCACTTATCTGGTTCGCACTATTCAATGCCAACCATATCTTCCGCTTCGCTCAACCAAGGATCTCCCCCCTCCTCTCAACTTCATTATCAGCCTCCCTCCTCCCACTCTTCTTCTTCTTCTGCTGCTGCCGCTGTTGTTCCTGTACCGGTCTCCTCCTCCCCGGTCGACTTTGGTCTCCCTACTTTTACTTCCGCCTCTTCCCTTGCCACCTCCGAATCCCCCGCTTTTGTTGCAACCACTTTTGCTACGTTGAATACAATCCCTTCCTTCACCACGAATACTCCCAGTTTCCCAGGCTCTGTCATCGGCTCTATTTCGCGACGCAATCGCCGCTCGTTTGCTGCGTTAGCCCGAGAAAAAACTTCCAGCGCCTTTGCGAACTTCTCGGCGATTGGAACAACGGGAACCGCACCTTTGCGGTCGTCTGCCTCGTCTGGGAGTCTCTCAAAGCACTCGCGAAAGCATTCTCAGCTTAGCGCTAGCGACGCGCCAGGGATCACTCCATTGACTCCGCCATTGTCTGAGGGCAGCGGTAGCAGTGAACAGTCAAGTCCTCCATTCGAGCCGAGTTCGACTGTGACGGAGCACCCCGCGAGCACTACTGAACGTCGTCGCCAGACTATCCAACTTGCTCCGTCCTCTGAGCCTCGTTTGGAACCTACATTGTCTTTGCCGCCCGCCAAAATGCATCAAACATCGTCGAGGCTGTTGCGGATGACGGAAGATGACCGCCCTTTCACCAAGGTGGGTATTGCGTCATGGACATTGACTCGAGTTGGAAGGCGCCAACTTGTCCCAGAAAGTACGGGTTGCTAATTGCTTGTGATATAATAGGATTTTATGGACTTGTTCTCCACTTTGATGGTGAGCTTGAAGTTAGATTCACACCGTGTACGATTCACAAAATATGACCATACCTTCACATCGGAGGAAGCGATCAACAATCTGGGGTCGCTCAAGTTCTCCCAATCAAATCGAATGCCCGACCCGAAAGACCCATCCCGTATCGTTACCACCACTACAACCACAACTTTCTCAATGGCGAAGGAGATGGCTCGGTCAGTATGTCAGCGTTTTGTCGATGCCCGATTTATTGAGTCCTTGGACGGCAAATACTCGCAGATTTTCCCGTTGAAGGGGGCGCTTTACCAGCTCACCCCGAAAGGCATCAACATCCTGCAGAGATTCTGTCAAAGGAACGGAATTACCGCGCGCCATGTTATTGATGTTTTGGAGTCGCCTCGCAACACTATGCAACTGGTGAACCTTGAACGCGATTCCGAGACCGATAAGCTGTCCCACGATCGAGCCACCATTGAGGTTATTTTCCGCCGCTTCGCTGGCCAGGACGGCCCCAATGTTAAGAACAGCATCTCTACTTCCGATTCGGATTCTTTGAGCGATTATTCTAATGGCCTGGTTGGAGTTAAAATGGCCAAGGAGCGCAAAATTGGCGACAAAATCTTCATGAACACTTTTACGGGCAAAGCGGCCGTTGACTGGCTGATGGACTGCTCGACTACTATTGAGCGCCGCGAAACGGTTCTCATTGCAGAGCTTTTCGTCAAGTACGGATTGATGATAACGCTGCAGGAAGACCGCTCCATTCCCCAGCCTGAAAACCTACTAGTTGCGTTCCAACCTTCGAAGAATGCAATTTACGGTGTGTCGGAACGAGGGCAGCGAGTTTGTGGATGGATCGCTCGCGACAAGACCCGCGATACGACAACATACGACAACAGGGGTATTCCACGAGACTCGAACAATGCGCGACTCAACCATATTCTCCACGACCCAGCTTTGCGTTTGCTGTTCCGAGAATTCCTGCGCTTCTCGCTTTGCGAAGAAAATCTGTCGTTCTACATTGATGTTTCTGAATTTACCACAACCTACCACAAGGCCGAAAAGGTTGGTCACTTCAAGAAGCCCGATGCTGTTCGTGAAACACTTGCTGCGGCCTATGGTAAGCTTTCGTCCGGGGGGTTTTTTTTTTTTTTTTTTTGTGAAACACTCCTTAACTTCTTAAACAGGTCTTTATAACGCATTTTTGGCACCTGGATCGCCTTGCGAGCTTAATATCGACCACGCCCTGCGGAACAGTCTGGCAAGCCGCATGACAAAGGCCGTCGGTGATGATGAATCCATGCTGAAGAGCTTACAAGAGGTTGTGCAATTGTTTGAGATGGCCCAAACATCTGTTTTCAAGTTGATGTCCAGTGTAAGTGTCATGTCCGGCGCGGCAACCTGAGACAAAAGCTGATGTCAATTAGGATTCTGTCCCCAAATTTCTGCGTGACCCCAAGTACTCTAGTGTCCTCCAAGAACACGATGTGGATTTAATCGGTGCTCCGAGAGCGTACTCGCCTACTCCAATCCCTGAGCGTTCTATCAGCCGTTCCGCACGGACATGACCATAGAGTGCTGGGCATTCTGCCTAAGCTTAATTCCACGCTTTCGACCCGTTCGATTCGTTTCAGTCCCGCTGCTGCGTCCTGTGACGCCATTCGGACCCTTGACACGACATGATATTTTAATTATTTCCCACGCTACGCCCGCATATGAACGCTTCTCTCCCTTCCTATATATATTTCCTGACCACTTGATACACCATTATGCGAATTCTACCCTATCGGCGTGATTTCCTTTGTAATCAAGCCATCACGACATATGAAAGATGTTACGATCCACGGATCATGTGATAGAGATGTCTGAGTTGAAGGTTTCCTTGAGTTTTGATTTTCCCTTGTGTTGTCCCGTTTCCTTTACCTGTGACTTCTAGCCTGCAGGCAGAGAAATCAGAGAGGGGAAACCCTGAAAGATGATTGTTTACCGGCATTAGAGAGGCGTTTTTTTTTTTTTTTTTTTTTTTCCTCTCTTCCTTCTCACTTCTCTTGCATCTATGCATGATTTCAAGATTTCTTTTCTTTTCTTCTCTTCTACTTTCCTTTGTCCGAGAGACATAATTGATGTAAATGTTGTCATATGTCCCCTGCATCAAGCATTGATTTGCGCTTTTTGTCTGCATTTTCAAGGGTTCAGCGAATACCTATGGCCTTTAAATTTACTCTTCTATCATTCCTGTAGCCGAATTGACATACAGAAATGCAGTAACCTGTCCATGAGCTAGCTCACTATCAAGTAATTCAATCTTCAAAGCCCCGTTTTGCCCTTCTTGTCTCTTCTTTCCCCCTCCCCCCCGGGAAACCGGCGGACAGAATTATTGTAAGGTTAATTTAACGGACAGACAAGATGTATACAGATGTAGCCTCCTCCACAGTCCACCCAACCTTGGGCACTGTAACAATCATTTTTTTTTTTTTTTTTTTTTTGCTATACCGTTAGAAATCGGGTTGCGTTGCCTGATGAGAACTTCACATGCAGGCAGGCAGGCAGGCTCACTCACTCACTTACTCACTCAAGGACTGACTCGACTCGAAACAAAATACTCGTTCGTCATTGTAGTCGGGGGAGAGATTCTTGAAAGCCGGTACATAGAACTGCAAGAATACTGGGGCCTCCCTCCTCTATTTTTTTTTTTCTTTCTTTCTTTCTACTTTTGGGTGGTTGGCTCTCAGGGGTGTGGTGAGGAGGACTTCTAGCATATTCAGAACCAATGTCAAGATAGTTATTATTGGTAGTTAGTTAACTAGTTATTGTTGTATTCATGGCTAACACAACACACAGACAGGCTTCTAGTTATTCATTCATCCGTATCGCCCAAAATGAAAGAAATGCATATTGGAACGCCATATCCCCTAACGCCTAATACATTGTGATAAAGGCAAAAGGGTAAATTTTGGGAAATACACTTGAGAGGTATAATATAATATAATATGTGAATTGAGGTCGTGTGGACAAGAAGTTGAGAAAGGATGAAGGTTGGAGGCAAATGTATGACACGCTAGGGAAGGAAGGGAAAGCAAGAAGAGAGATGACCTCGATATAATTACTTGGATCCCCATCCCCGTTGCTTCATACCCTCCTCGATAACAGTCCAAATGCCCTCAACAACTTCGCGATCACGCCATCGGCCCGACCCATTCACGCCCCCCTTGTCGTCCCAGCGCTCTACGGAAAAGCTTCGTACCCCACGACCCCAGCCGCGAACTTCGCGAGGAACGTCTTCACCGCGCCATCCGATGTACACACCGGTGGCGTGCTTGAAGAGGTCCGGAGGCGATGACCACTTATATGACTTGAATTGCCAGGTCTGGCCCGTTGTGAAAACGGCGACAAGACGTTGCCAGTAGTCGGGCTTGAAGTTGGCGGTGCTATCCACGAGAATGAAACGAGTTGGTTTCCGTGACTGGCCCTGAGAACTAACAGCACGCGACGATGAGCTGGAGGGGTCTGATAGTCCACTCAGTGGGCGGTTAATGTACAGGATATTGCTCGAAGCGCTGGGCATGGCGAGGGTGGGGTGGTCAGGAGGAACGAAGACGCCATCCCCAAGGAACGAGCGTACATTCGACATGCGGATAAGTGAAGAGGCAGATGGAGAGAGCAGGATAATGGGGTCTTGAGTTTTGGAGCCGCCTTTCCGAGGCTGAGAGAGACCAGCCGATGGGGCAGGGACTATAGCGTGCGGCTTGGCTCCAGGTTTTGTGCCTGGGGGATATTGACCCGCCCGTGAGCGATTGCGTCCGAGGAAAGCCTCCGCGACTTTGCGAACGTGCGAGAAGTCCTGGAGAAAAAGTTACAATTAGAACCTGCGTCTAAGAGAGCGCGAGCGAAGAAGACAGAGATTCAAACTCACTGTTTGCTTAATTCCTCGCAGAACACTATTCCGATCTCCCATCTTCCGCTCCCCGTTGTAAATCTCCTGGAGCCGGGGATCAATGACTTTCCCCCCCTTTCCTGCCTGGGTACCAGTGGCTGGAGCAGCACTTGGAACTGTAGATACACCCGCCGTCCCGGACGCAATATTGGCGGAGGCCTGAGCCTGAGCCGCAGAGGCAGCTGCACCCACAGCACCCTCGAGCGGTTTGATATATTCACTCTCATCCGAGGCGCCTTCCAACCAGGTGATGAGATCCAAGCGCTCAACGAAGACTAAATTCAGGACTTGTTCTTCGGGAACCCCTTCGCTGCGCTCCTTCTGCTTGAGTGTCTCGTTCAGCTCCTGCGCTGAGGCAATGTACTCGGGAATCGCAACATCTTTCTTCTGCCACGCGAAGAAGATACTGCGCAGGTCGACGGCGGAGTCAGACGAACTGGAGACGAAGCGTGTGGGCGTATTTAAGGCGAGCGACTGCGGTAAAGGCGTTTGGAAGAAAAGATGAGTAGCTTTAGCGAGGTCATCAGTGGCATTCTGATCGGAGAGATCGGACGAGGTCGTTGGTGTGGGCAAGCTGCCGGACGCGATGGCGCGACGCAGCGCCAGGAGTGGATCTTGGAGCGAGGGATCGGTGGCCATGGTTAGATACCGGACAGGGTGACACTCCAAGCGACCCTTCAATAAGCCTAGACGTGGCAATGGATGCGAGGAAAGAGAACTGGGATGAATGGAATGGGGGATACTCCAGAGTCAAGCTTCACTTCGGCCAGAAAGAGGAAAGATGGTCGGAAATACTATGTTCCCGGAGAGTATAATACGTCGGCCAACCACAACCATCCTTTTCAACAACCCTGAAACTCTTGCCATCATCTGAACGTCTTCCAAGACTCATCTAGACGAGCGATCGGCATCTCCCCTTCTTATCTGCCAACATGAGGGAGTCTTGGACACTTGAGCAAGTCTCAACGCATCTCCACAGCCACATTACACACTGCACCACCTCATTGGTCTCTTTCCAACACCGACAAGATGAATCGAAATCAGAATCAACCTCATACATCCGGTGAAAGACGATACCTCACCCAAGAGGCTCGGCAATTGCGCTGAGATCCAAGAGCTGATGACCATGGCTGGGGTAAATTCCTGTTTTGACTCAGAACTCTAGCCGTTCCGTACTATTGAATGACTTGACTGGTATCCCGATATTGCATCCTAGCCTTTGCCAAGAGCTACATATCCATACTCTGTCTAAGATATGTGAAGAACATGGGGGAATTGCCTAGTTTCCTAATATCCGGGCAATTCCACTACCCCCCCTTCAACCGGATACGAGGAGAGTGAGGGAGAAAGGTATAAATTGGATCACCTGAATTATGCAATGCTTGCCCTTTCTCCCTCAGCACATCTATCTATATATCTTCGTCCACTTCCCCTTCTCACTAAGAGAGAGAAAAAAAAAAACAAGGCAAACAAGAAGAGCAAGCAAGCACGATGTTGTCCCACATCCTCCTCCTAGGCACCTTTGCCTCGCAAGCCCTTAGCCACGGACACGTCACCAATGTTATCGTCAACGGCGTCTCCTACCCAGGCTGGGACATAGGCACCTTCCCCTACATGAATGACGCCCCCCTAGTCGCCGCCTGGGGCACCCCCAACACGGCAAACGGCTACATCGCCCCAGACGCCTTTTCCACCGCGGACGTGATCTGCCACGTGAACGCCACAAACGGGGAGGGCTCGATCCCCGTCGCGGCAGGGGACAGCATCAGCATTCAATGGACCGCATGGCCGGATTCCCACCACGGACCCGTGATCGACTATCTCGCGGACTGCGGATCGAGCTGCACGACCGCGGAAAAGGCCACGCTGGAGTTCTTCAAGATCTCCGAGGTGGGACTGGTGGATGGTTCCGTTGTCCCAGGGACGTGGGGCACCGACGAGCTCATCAAGAATAACAACTCGTGGCTTGTCCAGATCCCCCGCGACATTGCGCCGGGGAATTACGTGCTCCGACATGAGTTGATCGCTCTGCATGGGGCGCAGACCGAGAACGGCGCCCAGAATTACATGCAGTGTTTCAATTTGCAGGTCAAAGGTTCTGGATCCATGCGGCCCAAGGGCGTTTTGGCTACGGGGCTTTATACGCCTACAGGTGCCGGGATCTTGGCGGATATCTATAAGCCGTTGTTGACTTATACCATTCCGGGGCCGAGTTTGATTGCCGGTGCGACAGCGGTGGCACCAAGTACGTCTGCGATTACTTCTACAGGGACTGCCATTGTTCCCCAGGCTACCTCATCGTAAGGAGGTCTTTTGTTTCTTTCTTCGTCTCTTTTGAATGAATGTGGAAAATGTTGGTGTCGAGACCAGCGTCCGGGGATGCCTGAATTGGGCCAAGTTGGACTGAGCCTAAAGTTAGCGTCACTCGTTCAATCTGTATATAGTTGAGTATGCGTATTTAGCTTCACTCAACAAGCCAGTGCACAGCTTGCCGCACTATTCTTACATGATTATCTTGGTACTCTTATAACAATGCTAGAAAAAGAAGATCAAGTCTCCATTCCATTCATCTGGGCAGCAGACACTAACCCGACAATATTTCACGGGAGAGAGACAATGAAAAAGAAAGATAGTACAGACAAATCGTGAAGCAAGAGGCTGCACATAAGTGATCGGTATGATCTATGGGGAACTTGATATTCCATGGCCCATCCTTATTCCTGTGAATTCCCATGATCCATTATTTCCTTCCAACACGCCGATGACGCCGCCCTTAGATCAATAAGTAATAAAGCACCCAAGCCCATGAATGAACGCCGGTCCATTCCAGTCGTTTACAGATAAAAAAAAAAAAAAAAAAGGGTAATAATAATAATAATAATAATAATAACAGAGAAAATAAAGGGAGAAATTTCCACCAAAGACTTTAAATGGCCAAACAAGGGTACGGTTGTCCCTTCCGACAACTCCCGAACAAAGCGGGAAGGGGGATTAAGTAACGGGAGGGAGACGCGAGGCCTGTGTCGAGCCAGCTACGTCTTTCATCGCAACATCGGTAGTAGTTGGACGCGCTGTGTTTGTTGGATGGTTGTTTTCTGGTTGAGCGCTGCCTGTGGCAGTCGAGGAATCTCGTTTCTCCGGAGGTTGTTGGGTGGGTGGGGTGGGTGGGAGCATTGCGGTGGCCTGGGACTGAGTCTTCTCGGAGGTGGGAGTTTTTAACGTCCCTCGTTGGATAAGGTAGTCGCCTAGACTAAGCTTTTTCTTCACTGGGCTGGGCGCAGTCACTCCGGACCCCGGAACAACCGTCACAGGGTGCTGGGAGGCAGGATCCAATGTGGATGGCGATGATACGGCTGGGGATATTGCGGAGCTAGGACTGGTAGCCGATGGTAGAGAGGTAACGTTGTTTGGTGGGAGTGGTACGTGGAGATCAAAGCGAGGACTTTTGGCGGGTTTGGCCCCCGGTATTCGAGCGTTATGCGCAGCAGTAGAGGGCAATGGCGGAAATTGTGGTTTTCCTGCACTCCGCCCGAAAGACGGCGAGACATCTAAAGGGGCATCACGGCTCTGTGACATGCCGGATTCTGTCCCGGTCGGTGATTCCACATCACGCATTTCCACATCTTCCCGCTCACCTGACACACTAGGGGTCGTGACAGTAAGCGGCGCGGCTCCGTGGGGACTGGAAACAACCGGCGAGGCGTTGTGTATGACATTTGACTCGAACGAAGGGGAAATTGGTTGTTGCTGTTGGATCTGTTCCAATCGAACACGATCAGCGTAGCAGCGTTTAAGCAGACGTTGGGTGAGGGGGAGAAAGCCGGGTCGTTGTGAGGACGGAGGGGAAGGCATAGCTCCATTGACGCCGTCGAGTTCCGCCTGGGTGGCGGAGTCCACGTACGGGGCGCGACCATGCGGATACGGCGCGGAAGGTGTACTGAGACCAGATGGTTTGCGCGGAGAACCGTGGCGGCCGGCAGACAATGGAGGTGAGTATGACTGGCGCTCAGCCATGCCAGTGCCCCCAGTCTGCGTTGACTGACCACTGACGCGTTTCCTCCGTTTATAGGATGCTTGCTGATCCTGCTCTAGTTGCTGAAACTTTTTCTCTGCGGCAGCAATCTTGCGTCTTTCGCGGGCAGACAGTCCCGACTCTCCGAATAGAGGAGTTTCATTGGGAGTTTGCAGCGTTGGGGTGAGATCACGACTGTGGGTCTGGCTACGGATGGAACCCGACGCGGAACGACTGTCAGCGGGGTCATCGTCATCTAGGTTTTTGTTGACTACTTCACTCCCTGCACGGCTGTTAGTGGCAGGAGGCGTAATGTTGGACTTGCTTTTTGACTTTTTTCGCTTCGCTTGAACCTGCTTTGAGATAGCATCTGCCTTCTTCGGATGTCGGCGTCGATCCGTGTTAGAGAGCAGGCAGTTGGGAGGTGGGATACAGGCACAACCACCAAAATTCGCAAGTACATTACTGATGCAGGTTGCAGCCATATCTTGAGCATTATCGCTGGACTCCTGCTTGACAAGGCCATTGCTTGACCCGAACAACTGGGCGTCCAAATACCACGTAGCGGTAATCTCAGAGTCTGGGGCGATTTCCTCTTTTGCCACAAAGCAAAAGTGGTACTCTACTTCGTTCGTGATGTAGGTTTTCATCGTCACGTTCGGACGACAGGACCGTCGGGCGTAGCGGAGCATACTGCCTTCTTGTCGACTGTCGATGTAGATTGGCAGCTGGGGGTGGAAGAAAACAAACGGTTCAGGATGACGGAGTTCCTGCCAGCGGTTACTCGGGTCGAACGAATAATCACGGAGAAGACCAATTTTCCCGGTGATTTCTCCGACAATTTCGTCCTTGGCGATACGATCTTGGGTTTTTAGAATCCTCCAGGTTGGGTGCCTCCCATCGATTTCGATGTTCGGTTCCGCGATCGACTCTAGGGATAAGGAGGGCCAGTGCGAGCGGTCTAAGGATGCACCGGACCAGGTGAAGACGTCTTCTGCAGAACGACCGTTTGCCACACGGGCGAGTGCTGACGGGTCAGTAACCCAGGAGGCTAAATCCCCAGCCAGGGTCAAATTCACAAAGAGGTTACAGTCCATATTGGCATGGCCATGATCATTATCGTATAGGTGGAGAAATTCATGGGAGTACAGGGGAATCACCGGGCCCGAAGGCTTAGTTGGACTCATGGATGCGGCCGCGCGCTTACGAGCATCTGCAGCCAATGTTGGCACTCCCGAGGTGGAACTGATGGACCCTGATGCGCGATGGCTGGTTTTCACCTTCTTGGGAGGAGGTTGGTCCCGGGCGCTGGAGTCGGACCGCTGATGGAAGCCATTTACCTGATCCCCAAGCTCCTTTGTTTTCTTCTTCTGGCTCTTTGCACCGGATCGCTTGGATTTCCGGTCACCGCCGTCACTTTGCTCCCTGAGACGCTTCTGTCGCTCGGTAGCGCGCCGACCGTCGAGATGACGGGGCTCGCAATCGACACAGTTATGAACATCAGGGACATCCCGGCCATGGTAATAGCACTCAATGTGCTGCCATGTTTCGCAACCCTCGCAGAAGACCGTGTTCCCATCGTCATCCTCGAATGCACAGATGCATTTGATGGTATACGGCTCTTCATCCTCGGGCGCGAGAGAGTCCGAGATAGCGCCGTTGACGATGGGTGAGTTCAGGGGGGCGGTGACCGGGTAAGGCTCCGTGGTGGGATGCGTGATGGCGACTGGGGAGGTATCTGTCATAATCCGACAGAACACCCTCTCCCAGGATCAAAACGAGGAATGCGCGGATGTTCGGTAGGAAGGTAAATGGATGGCTTGTGGGACCCGGTTAAAGTCCTCGACACATACCACCTATCGTCCGCGTACGATCACAGCCTGATGAAGCGTCACGTACACAGACTGCCTCACCTCGCCTTGTGAGGTGATATACAGGTTGATAGAGGTTTCGCGTGTGCACGAGTCGCGACTAGGTGATGATGAAAGATGAACGCCACCTGTCCGCCAGCTCAGAAAATGTACGTCACTTCAGCTAAGGATAAGATAAAATTGACCGGAGGATTGCGGCTCTAATAAAGGCGTCGTGCTCGTCTGCGACCGTGGAAAAAGGAGGTATGGGTTAAGGGTCGAGAGTCGAGGAATGTAAGCAGGCGAGCAAGCCACGAATCGCATGGAGAAGGGACGAGGACGAGGACGAGGACGCGACGGACGAGAATGAGAATGAGGAAGAAAGAGATAAATAAAAGAAGAAATCGATATGAAAGGATGAATGGGAATAAGGAGAAGAGATAGGGAGCACGAATGGAGATAAAAATCTAAGAGAAGGAAGAGTGGGCGAAAAAGAGGAGAAAGAAGAGAAAAGAGGAGGAGAGGAGGAGAGTCGAGGAAGACGGGATAGATGGAGGGAGAAGAGGAAGTGGGTGAAGTCGAGGGATTCGAGGAAGCAGTAGAGGAAAGAGAGCGAGAATAAGTTAGTAAGAGAGAGAGAGAGAGAGAGAGAGAGAGAGAGGGAACGAGGAGAAGAGGAAGATGAGGAGCGAAGGAGGGAAGGAGGGAGAGAGAGCGAAAGTAAGAGAGGCACAGAGAGAGAGAGAGAGAGGAAAGAAAGAGGCTAAAGCCACAGAGGGACCATTCAAGCAGTGCGTCCCAGGTCCAGGCAGAAAAAGGAAAAGCGCCGAATATTTTTTCCCGTCCGGTCTCGTCACTTGTTTGTGTCTGGGGGAGGCGATGCTAGTAGTTGGTAGTATGAAGGTGAGAGGAGGAGATGAAGAATGCCATAGTTTCTTAACTAAGATCTTTGATTGTCCTTGAACCTTTGGATTTAGTAAGTTAGATTCTTGTTTGTAAAAAAAAAAAAAAAAAAAAAAGAGAACAATCAAATAGAAAGCCCAGGGCGAGAAATCAGAGAGGGGGAGGATCCGGTTCTGTCTTTCTTTACTGGAGGAGAGGGGGAATGGCAGCCTGAGAGCTCAGGCCAGTACGAATACGACGCCTGGTCTGTTTTCCGGCAGGGAAGCTAGTCTCAATCGGGGAAAATATGGGGGCATAGCAAAGATCAGGTGAGAGAAACAACGAGAATGACAGAGAGAAAGAGAGAGGGAGAAAAGGGAGTGTGTTAGTAGTAGAGGTTGGTTAGTGAGCAATATATCAGTATCATTCTGAGTTTTTCCAGGTTGGTCGATTATCTCCCTAGACAAGAGTAGCATCATCATCGTCTTTAAGTAAGATCGTGTCATCCAATGTGGGTTCCGGTCACAGAATTGCCCGGGATGACAGGGAAAAGAACATCGAGTCAAGCAGGCGACAGCATTATCGACATATACCTGTTGAACCGGTGTTCAAGCAGCCTTGAAGGATGTAGGAATAAAAAGAATTCTGGTCTTTCCTCTCAACCCAGACAAGAAGTGGAAGAAGATCTCTTCGGACCTGACGCTGATGGCAACAATGCCATCTCAGCAAAGGCACCAGGTAGATCCTGAAGATTGCTTCTCGTCAATAATGATAATAATGGAAATAAAGGTAAAGGCGAAGACAAGCCAAGTAGAAGAGTAAGAAGAGGAAGAGGAGGAGGAGGAGGATAAGGAAGAAAAGGAAAATGGGTAGGAGTTCCTGATGAGGAGAAGTATCAGAGCCCAGAAGCGGAAAAGAAGTGGACCACAACATGGGCAAAGAGATGCAAGGATCCTGCTATCTTGGTTTCTGGGTTCGATATATGATCTAGTGTTTGGAGACATTCTTGGCCAAGAGAGGGAAATAGAATAAGAAGGCGAGGAACCTAGAGAGGAGAAGCATAGGGTGGGTTGGGCTACCAGTGATCAGTAGTTCAGATGAGAAGTGACGGGGTTTACAAGACAAGAAAGCAAGGAAATAAGTATAAAAACCCAATCGTACGGTGATGGGGGGGGGGGAAGGGAAAGAAAGGGTCACAAAGGGTGCCTAAGTAGGTAATCAGGAGCAAGTCATCTGAGCGGGAAAAGATAGCAGCAGAGCATAGTATAGGTATAGCATAGTAAGAAAAAGAAAAGAAGAAGAATAGAAACACAGAGGGGCAAAATTACTAGCCAGCGGTTTGTTGTTACCACTGGGACTTGGGCCATCAGAGGGTCGCCAACGGCCACAAAACTCGGGCGGTGACAGAGGAATACAAACAACAGATTTAGGAGAGAAACAGTTTGATATTAGGATCTTTGCTGGGGCAGTTTTAATGTGCGGTACTGCAGTTGTAGTTCCTGTTAGGGGCTGATGATTCCGTGTGTTGCAGGAAAAAAAAAAAAAAAAAAAAAAAAGGGAAGATGACAGTTTGCTGCCTCAGGCAGCCGTTACTCTCAAATTTACTACATGGGCTGGTCAGAATCATTATTTGATTTATCAAGGATTTCTAGCACAAACTTATGCCCGTCTAGAGGGACCTAGCGCAATAGAATGGAAGTCGTTGGAATTATAACAATACTTGGCGTAACTAAGGCATTGGCCGTCATTACAGGAAAAGGTTGTTATAGTTATCTACTGGAATTTGTCACCTCAAGAAGAACCCGAGTTTAAAGAACGTGCAGTTGGTCCCTCACCCTCACCCTCAGACCTAGCCGGCTGCAGCTCCGTACCTTCCGCTGGGACGTGATTAACCGCCATCTCTCTATCATCCCCAACGTCCGGCGCCTCCAAGTTGACAGGCTTCGGGTGAATTGTGTGCTGAATTTGATGTCCAAAGTACATGAGCAGAAACAAAATAACCCCAATGAAGGCGGGAATTGCATTCCGGGGATTAAACTGCGGCCGAGAGCGAAAAACAAAATGTAGAAGATTGGCAACAACCATTAGAGCACTCGCGACTAGAGAAAAATAGGTCCCAACGGGTTGTAGAAAGGAGCGGTGCATTGGCCTGGATCCCGGGAGGCTAGCGGCTTGTCGGAAGCGTAGGTAAACAACACTTGAGCACATCCAGGAAATATATCCGGAAGTAGTAATAAAGAACATGAGGTAATTATACATAGCAGAGCTCGAGATTGCCATGGACAAGAATGCAAAATAAGAGAATCCTGCGGAGACAGAGATCGCGATATAGGGAGCACCCCATCGGTTGCGAACCATCAATATTGCTGGAGCATGCCCGGTTTCGGCCAGCGAGTACAGAAGGCGCGAGGCCATGTAGAGAAAGGAACGGCCGGAGGCCACGGAGGAAATGAAAATCAAAGAGGTCGCAATCACCGGAAGCGCACGAATTTTGGCATTTTTGATGCCTACGAGGTAAGGCGAGAATCCAGCGCCGGTGCCATTGTTCGTGAGCAGGGGGTCATTATAAGGACTCACCAGTGTGGTGGCCAGCGTGCTCAAAGTATAAAGAACAAACAAAATAATGTTGCTAATCCTGGCCTGTTGCAAGACTCTAGGCCCGGGGTGGTCCGTCCCTCGCTCTGACTCAAATTTCTCCACCCTTTGCACGGTCAATTCTGGGATGAATATGAAGGAAATGGTGCTGCAGAGAAGGCACTCTAATAGACCAAGAAAGCGCCCCAGGGCTCCTTTGAACAAGAACTCATTCATAGCGCCGGGGTTGCGCCAGTAATCGAAGCCTCGCGCTGGGGGGCTGGGAATACCTCGGATCGATAGGCAGAATGAGACCATGATGAGGACAATGGTAGTTAACAACTTTAATCCAGTAAAGAATGTTTGGGATCTCATAAACATTCTCTCAGGAAGCATGTTGAAACCGAATATCACAGACATAACGATACCCATGCGCAATGCAATTTTGGCCCCGGGGTGCCAGAGTCCAAGATTGACCATCGCGGTCGTGATCTCAAACGGGATTAGCATCGCCAGAGTATACCAACGCAGATACCCGGCCGAAAACCCCAAATGGCTTGTAGCGTATCGGTAGGTGTGAGTAATCAAGGTGCCATTTCGATCGGGGACGTGGGTTGCGATCTCTGCCAGAGCTGTTGTTAGGCAATATACTAATAGCGATATAAATACGTAGGAAAGAAGCAAGGACGCAGGCCCCCCCGCTGCGAGTGCCTGGCCTGTCCCAATGAACAGGCCCGTTCCAAGGGTAGGGCCAATCGTCATTGCTTGCGATAAGAATAAGGAGGGTAATAGAATCGGGGAAGATTATTGTTTCATGAGGACATTTCAAGAATGGAGATGATATGGATGACGGTCTGGCATTGATTCGAAAATAGAACACCCAATGATAGGGGCTCTAGAAGATGCAGAGCGCCTGCTTTCCTAGGTCCTCAATGGGAGGTCTTAAAACAGCAGGAAGGAATTTATAGTGGTCACTGCCTCGACAACTACGCTGCATGCGCATCATGTCATAGTTCCCCGGTGCTGGGAGGTGAGGAAGGAGCGAGGGCCCGAATAATTTAAACGACCTCGGAATGGATAGCAAAAGCAAATGGAGCACAAATTAGGATAGCTTAGGTGGGAGGCGTAACAAAAGAAGAAGAAAGAGACGAATGGGTATCACTGTCTATAAAAAGAGACAATCAAAGTGGTCAAGAAACCTGCGGAATAAGGTGCCTCCCTCAAAACAGACACGGGTAACCGGGTAACGCCTTGCGGATCATCAAACCCCATATCGGGTGCTCTCGCTTGAAAAAACATTGAATACTTGGATCAAAGTCCTGAAGATAGGAACCTCTATTGGTAGGTCATGTCCGTTTCGGCGTATTCGAGCCATTCGCCCGATAACGACTTCTTCCAAAATCGAACGATGCCGTCGTCACCAGAGGAAATAAGACAATCCCCTGTAAATTGGTTGGTAACTATAGACAGTGATGCTGGGGAATTCGCTGCACTTACCAGAGTATGAGAAACCGACTTGCCACACGTCTAGATGTTTGCTATCGATGCATGCAACCTCTCGACAGGAATGCTTGAATTGTGAGTCACCGGTAGTCGAACGGCTAGTCATAGACATGGGCGTGCGGTTTGCGAGGGCAGAGCCAATGCCTGATTGTGCAGTTGCGCGAGATGATTGTGATTGTGTCGACATCTGAGAGCTGTGCCGGTTGGAGCCTTGTGATCCACTCGAGGCAACGGAAGTATACACTTCGAATACTCGAACGAAGCCATCCTTACATCCACTAGCAATAAGGTCATAACCTCGGACCGACCCATTAGCCCAAGATAAATCTCGTACTAAGCCCCCATGCCCAGTTAATTCAATGGCGGGATAGAAGCGGCGATTAGCATCGGTCCGGTATATCTTCACACTATCCATTGCCGCCACAACGAGGGACAAACTTTTACGGTCCCAGGAGGGAAGAATAGAATGTGTGATATCCGTTGGATCATGGTGGAACTGCACTTTGAAGCTGGTTTCCTCGCCTCTCTGGGGAGCGGCGCAAACTCGAAATTCATCAACGGTCTGCCAGTCCGCAAGTGTATCCGGAGTGACGGGCTCCATAATCATGAGAAAGCCGTCGCGAGTGATAAGAGCAAGCCATGACTCTAGGTCAATGTTACGGAAATCAATTGAGACAAACGGATGGCGCTGCGGTGCTGTCAAGCGAAAGATAGCTCTAAACCTCCGGCCGGAGTTAGGTGGCTGGGTGACATCTTCCTGCCATATTTTACATTTCATATCTTCACCCACACTGCCAATATGTTGGCCAGTGAAGGGCCCATTCCAGGTCGCCTATGCCAAAGTTTAGAAAATGAAGATGAGACAAAAACGCGAAAGGGTGAGTATGGTCCTGCTTACATCGCGGATCTCTGCGTCATGGGCACGCCAGGTATCAGTTAATTGCCATTCACCATCTTTCTGATCCCACACCTTCATACGATGGTCAGATGAAGCAGTCACAATGCGATTGCCATAGAAATTAAACTTGGTCACGGTCACCAAATCACGATGACCGGCGTCGAAGTCGGCGAACCCAGATGACATCGCAGCCCGCACACTCCAAATAAGAAAAACCCGACCACCAACTCTAGGTAGGGCATGTAGAAAGCAGTGTGTTGATATGAATCGATGGACGGAAAGAAAAGTGGTGGAAGAGCTCTCTACTATTCTAGAGGGATTAGACCTGCTGCACCATCTCTTTCTCGCACTCTCTCTCTCTCGCACTCTGTTTGCATATGAAGCAATTGCAATTGCAATTGCCAGGATGGATCACGGATCCTTGATTACATCAGCAGCTATGATACACTAGTCCTCTTTGAGCGAGAACGTGCGCGAGAATTGCGCAACTCACCGCCTTCTATCGTTCTCGCGACTCCACTCGGCAGAATGACTGTATACTATTTATTCTGTAAAAGCCAGATTGCAGTGGACTGACTCTTGATGATGCTGGTGGAGTGAGAGAGAAACGGGAGAAGAGGCGCTGATAGATCTCTTGACGCAAGATGAGTCCCGCTACGTCAAATTCTCTTTCCCGTCGAGAGTCCTGGACACTCCTGGTTCTCGCAGGGGCTTGCATTGGCATTCTGTTCAATGCCTTCGGGGGTGAAGGAGCGCCTCTGGCAGCTTCCATCGCCTTCAGCGGTATTGCTTTTGCTGTAACATTCAGCATGATCAGATGGCTTGGGCCGGTGTTTGTAAAGGCAGGCCTGAGTGGGAAGGATATGGCAAAGCCCAAACGGCCTGTCATGTATGTGTTCTTTCTTTCTCCTTCTTTCGCGTTGTCTTTTGATTACCAATTATTGTGCTATAGATTCAAATGAAGGGGTTACGTTGCTGACTTGTTTCGAATCTAGACCGGAAACTATGGGTGCTGTTTGCGCCGTGGTTTATCTTTTGGTCCTGATTTTCTTCATCCCTTTCGCCTTCTATCAGGATATCGTCGCAGCCACCTCAGGCGGAGGCAATCGAGACGTTGTACTTGAAGTACACCATGTTGAAACGGGTCGCACGCTGCACCGGTTTCCTCATGAACGGGTTTGTGTTCCTGCTATTTTGTTTGCTGTCATGAATCGTCTACTAACAAGCGCCCAGCTCGCCTCCTATCTCTCTGGTCTTCTATCCCTTCAGTGTATCGTCATTCTTGGAATTGGCGATGACCTCCTCGATATTCGATGGAGGCACAAAGTGCTTATTCCAGCGTTTGGTGCGATTCCCATGTTGATAGTCTACTTTGTGGATTTTGGCGTCACCCATGTCGTCGTTCCTGTGCCTTTGCAACGTTACTTAGGCTCCTTTGTTGATCTCGGCTTTCTGTACTACGTGTACATGGCCGCAGTGGCTATCTTTTGCCCCAATTCCATCAACATGCTAGCAGGAATTAATGGAGTGGAGGTTGCCCAGTCACTCGTGATTGCGGTTTTATTGATGGTCAACGACATATTGTATCTCATCACCCCATTTCGACACCCCGCTACTGACTCGCACTTATTCTCGCTTTACTTCCTGCTGCCCTTTATCGGAGTCTCGTTTGCTCTTCTATGGCACAACTGGTATCCGTCCAAAGTGTTTGTTGGGGATACATATTGTTACTTTGCGGGCATGGTTTTTGTTGTTGTCGGGATACTGGGACATTTCAGCAAAACCCTCATGCTTCTCTTTATCCCGCAGATTTTCAACTTCCTATATTCGACCCCTCAGCTTTTCAACCTGATCCCCTGCCCACGGCACCGACTACCTAAGTTCAGTGCCGAGTCTGGACTCTTGGACGCTTCTGTGACCGAATGGGTAGTGGCCCCTTCACCCTTAATTGCGGCTGCTTTGGATCTCTTACATTATCTACGTCTTGCCCGTGTCCATAAGAATGACAAGGGCCAGATTGTTGAGTCGACGAATCTGACTATTCTTAACCTGTGGCTAGTATGGATGGGTCCAATGCGGGAGGATCGGTTAGCGTTAAGCATGGTGGTAGTCCAGACAGCGTGTGGGCTTTTTGGACTCTTTGTACGTCATTGTTTAGCCTTACTCGTATTCCAGGCAGATAACCGAGCATTTGGTGTTATTTTGTAAAACCACAAAAAAATATATATCAATTTATTATTATCACATTCTATATTTAGAGCGATTTTTGTTGGGACTGCTGACACCTTTAACTTAATTAATTAATTAACCCCGATTGTTCTTTGCTGACTTGCTGACTGATCTCGTCCACTTTTAGTTAACTCCGCCTATTCTTTTGAACAGCATCTGCACCAAGTGTACAAAGGGGTTAACACGGAGTATATGGAATTATTTCCCTGTCGACCCATGGATCTATCTGAGCTCTTGTGCATTCCACCTTAACCGGATGACATGCTGTGGTTCCTCTGTCTTCACCATGACGCTTGTCTCCGTCTCTCCACCTTGCTGCTATTCTAGCGGTGTTGCGCAGCTATAACTTATAAATACTGGAGGATTTCCAATGGCAGAAGAAGAAGAAAGAAGCGAAACCATCAGATCAACCTTCACTACACTTGGAAAACATTACTCTCTAATATCAATCCAATTCAGCCTCATCATGACCGACTTCCTCAAACCAGCACCTGAGCCACTTACTGAGCTAGGTCGCTATCGGATTCTTTCCTCAACAGCGGGGATTCGTGTATCCCCGCTGCAATTGGGAGCCATGTCTATTGGCGAGGCATGGTCGGAGATGATGGGATCAATGGATAAGGAGTCATCATTCAAACTCCTGGATGCCTTTGTTGAAGCGGGCGGTAACTTTATTGATACGGCCAACAATTATCAGAATGAGCAATCGGAGGCTTGGATTGGCGAATGGATATCACTCCGGGGCAACCGTGATCGACTTGTGCTCGCAACCAAATTCACCACAGACTATAGGTCCCATGCGGTTGGCAAGGGCAATGCTCCAAATTCCTGCGGAAACCACCGACGCTCTCTGCACATGAGCTTGCGTGATTCCCTCCGCAAGCTCCAGACAGACTGGATTGATATCCTCTACGTCCACTGGTGGGATTACACCACCTCTGTTGAAGAGATCATGGACAGCCTCCATATCATGGTGGAGCAGGGCAAAGTGCTTTACCTGGGCATCTCAGATTCACCTGCGTGGGTTGTAAGCGCCGCTAACACCTATGCGCGCGATCACGGCAAGACCCCCTTCAGTATATACCAGGGACGGTGGAACGTGATGCTGCGGGATTTTGAACGGGATATCCTCCCCATGGCCCTCCATTTCGGCATGGCCCTTGCCCCTTGGGACGTGCTCGGCGGCGGCAAATTCCAGTCTGCAAAGGCAATGGAAGAACGTCGAAAGGCTGGGGAGGGCCTGCGGTCTATGATTGTATCAGGAAAGCAGACACCGGACGAAGTGAAGATGAGTGAGGCTCTGGGTCAAGTGGCGGCTGAGCACGGTATTGAGTCAGTCACGGCCATTGCTCTGGCCTACGTCATGGCGAAGGCGCCTTATGTGTTTCCCTTAGTCGGAGGCCGCAAAATTGAGCATCTTCATGATAATATCCAAGCCCTGAAGATCAAATTGACCCCGGCGCAAATCGAATATCTCGAGAGTGTTCGTCCCTTTGACGTGGGGTTCCCCCAAAACATGATCGGCGCTGATCCCAGGATCACTGGAGTTCCAGGGCCCTGGTTGGCAATGAATGCGCAATTTGCCCTCATGCAAACTTCAAACCCGATTTCTCCTCCATAAAGGAAGTCTTATGTTGGGACTCATCTAAGAATGATAGGAGATGGCTTGGTGGTTTAATTATGGGAAGATTGAGGACAGGTTGCTACAAATAACTTTGTCGCCAATTTGCACATTAGTTTTGACTGTAAAATGAACGATTTCACTCATAAATCCTTGTGAATTGCATATATACTCCTCCTCCCTACCTGCTAGACTCACTCTGTAACTATTAACTAGTTAACTACGGATGCAGCCCGTTAGTAAGCGTTTCTGGCCGCTGTGGAGCACCGGTACCGGAATCTTTGTGCGAACAGTGGGTCTTACGATTGACCAATCAAACCCGGGATATTGACTGCTGACCCCCCGAGATCGGAACAGCCCCTCGATGTTGAGACAGCGACATCGCGGCACAGAAGATTTATTAACAGCCTGTACAGCTTCTGCTTCTGTTAAAGCTCATCATCAATCGAGCCTCAATCCTTGTTGGAGATATTCAACTGTTTGCAAGTTACGGATTTGCTATACCTTTTAACCCCCGTTTCCCTCGTTATATCTACACCTACCACCCCTCATGCCTGGTGCGGACAGGAAGCCCAAGACCTTGTATGACAAGGTTCTTGACCACCACATCGTGAATGAACAGGAAGACGGCACTCTCCTAATCTATATTGGTATGTCTACTATATTCTAGTCCTTTTGTTGGGAATGATTGCCCTAACTCCATCTACAGACAGACATCTTGTCCACGAAGTCACCTCTCCAGTATGCCTTGCACCGACCCCTATCAATTTGCATTGCTTGATGTTAAATTGCCCTGTTTGAACATACCTGACTCATTCGTCTTGAACAGCAAGCCTTCGAAGGCCTTAAGAATTCCAACCGCAAAGTCCGCCGGCCGGATTGCACCTTGGTTACCGTTGACCACGTATGTACCAAACATTCCCACCCCATTTTCTTCCCATTTTCTTCCCTTTTCTTCCCTTATGATCGTCGACCATTCAATCACCCGCCGCTGACCGTTGACACGTTAGAACATCCCCACCTCCTCGCGCAAAAACTTCAAGAATGTCGAAGAATTCATCGAAGAGAACGATTCCCGCCTGCAATGTACTACCCTGGAGGAGAACGTGAAGGATTTCGGCCTTACATACTTTGGTATGGGTGATAAGCGACAGGGTATTGTCCACATTATCGGCCCTGAGCAGGGTTTCACCCTCCCCGGCACAACCGTTGTCTGTGGTGACAGCCACACTTCGACCCACGGCGCCTTTGGTTCCCTTGCCTTCGGTATCGGTACTAGCGAAGTCGAGCACGTCCTTGCTACTCAGACCCTCATCACCCGACGCAGCAAGAACATGCGCGTCCAAGTAGATGGTGAGCTTCCTGCCGGTGTCACCTCCAAGGATGTCGTTCTGCACATTATTGGAGTCATTGGAACTGCCGGTGGTACCGGTTGCGTCATTGAGTTCTGCGGATCTGTTATTCGTGGCTTGAGTATGGAAGCTAGGATGTCCATGTGCAACATGTCCATCGAGGGTGGTGCGCGTGCTGGCATGATCGCACCTGACGAGATTACTTTCGAGTACCTGAAGGGCCGTCCTCTGGCTCCCAAGTACGACAGCGCCGAGTGGAAGAAGGCTGTCAGCTACTGGTCTAGCTTGGCTGCTGATGAGGATGCCGTCTACGACAAGACTGTCGTGCTGAATGGCAGTGACATCATTCCCACAATTTCCTGGGGTACGTCTCCTCAGGACGTTATTCCTATCACTGGTGTCGTCCCTGGCCCTGATGACTTTGAGGATGAGAACCGCAAACTCGCCTGCAAGCGCGCTCTCGAATACATGGGCCTGACTGCCGGAACCCCCATGAAGGAAATCCCCGTTGACAAGGTCTTCATTGGTTCTTGTACCAATGCCCGTATCGAAGATTTGAGAGCCGCCGCCAAAGTCGTGAGAGGCAAGCACATTGCCGCCAATATCAAGCGCGCTATGGTCGTCCCCGGTTCCGGCCTAGTTAAGCAGCAGGCCGAATCTGAGGGGCTCGACAAGATCTTCAGCGACGCCGGTTTTGAGTGGCGTGAAGCTGGTTGCTCCATGTGCCTGGGCATGAACCCTGATATCCTTTCCCCCCAGGAGCGCTGCGCCAGTACCTCTAACCGCAACTTCGAGGGTCGCCAGGGCGCTGGTGGTCGCACCCACCTGATGTCCCCTGCCATGGCTGCCACCGCCGCTATTGTTGGCAAGCTTGCCGATGTCCGCGACCATCTCGTTGCCAGCCCTGTCCTTGGCAAGGCGCAGCCCAAGGTTAACGTTCAGCACGAAGCCGACGAGCCCGAGACTGAGGACGAGCTGGAGCGTATCCTGGACCAGCCCGCCGACAATGAACCCCACACCAACACCTCTGCCGCTGGCACCAGCGCCGGACTCCCCAAGTTCACTACCCTGAAGGGTATTGCCGCCCCCATGGACCGCAGCAACGTCGACACCGACGCCATCATCCCCAAGCAGTTCCTGAAGACCATCAAGCGCACCGGTCTTGGCAGCGCCCTCTTCTATGAACTCCGTTACCAGGACGGCCAGGAGAACCCCGACTTCATCCTCAATCAGGGCGTGTACCGGAACGCCAAGATCCTCGTTGTGACCGGCCCGAACTTTGGCTGCGGTAGCTCCCGTGAACACGCCCCCTGGGCTCTCCTTGATTTCGGCATCAAGTGCATCATCGCCCCATCCTTCGCCGATATCTTCTTCAACAACACCTTCAAGAACGGCATGCTCCCCATCGTCATCCCCGATACTGCCGTGCTCCAGAAGATCGCCGATGAGGCCCACGCTCACCGTGAAGTCGAGATCGACCTGGTCAACCAGGAGATCAAGGACGCCGAGGGTAACAAGCTTGCTTCCTTCGATGTTGACGCCTTCCGCAAGCACTGCCTCGTCAACGGTCTCGATGACATAGGTCTTACCCTGCAGATGGAAGACAAGATCCGCACGTTCGAAGCCAAGCGTACGCTTGAGACCCCCTGGCTGGACGGCAGCGGCTACCTGAAGCGTGGTCGTCGCGGTGCTACCATGGTCGAGGCTGCTCCTGTCCCTAAAACCAACCGGGGAGATGTCAAGACCGAGCCTCTGGAATGGTAGTGGCAGCTTTCCTGATTTCTTTTCTTTTTTCTTTATTCTCCTCCCCTCCTCCCCCCTTTTACTACCAATCTCGCCACGTTTCCTTTTGCTATAATCACGAAATTTTTTCCTCTTTTGTTTTTTTTTTTTTTTTTTTTTTTTTGTCGGAGTTCGATACAAGCGTATGTAGCCACGCATACACAAAAGCATCACTCTCCCTCCTGGCTTGTTGGGGGATTGGATACATACATGCATGGGTGCCATGTTCGGGAATTTGTTTGTTTTACTACGACTACGAGTCAATATACCAGATAGGAATGAATCATAATAATAAGATTGATAATGTTCAACTTCTCACTTGCTCTTACACATCTTCTCCTGGACAGGAACTGGAGTTCTTTCAAATTGTCTATTGTAATTATTAAGCACTGATGCCATAACTAGTTAACTAACTACCTAGATATATAACTAAACAGGTGGTAGTACCGAATACACCCTAAATATGAGAGACAAATGCGAACAAGGGAAATTGAAAACGCTTCAGATAGGCTAACCCAGAAAGAATCGATATCTCAACTCGTGAACAGTAAATAGACCCTGATGAATAAACAAGCAAGCAAGTAAATAAACAAATGCAGGAAACTCTATTAAATAAAAGGGGAAACAGGTGAAGAAGGCAAGGTAAACACAAGATCCTCACCCAATTCATCGAGCATCCAAAGAAAGAAAAAAGAGAATATTAGATAAACTTCAACCAACAAAAGTCCCAACCCTAACTATTCATTTCCATTTCCTTTCTCACATGAACACAATTCGATTCTATCCATTTCAACATGACAATTGACAACGTAGCGTATTGACATTCAGCATTCAGATCCATTAGAGAATAAAATCGTGAATCGGAAAAAAAAAAGGAGGAAATATGCAGTTGGAGAACGAGGATTGATGGATAATGGATAGCTTCAGAGTGGTCGTAGTATTTATGAGCTCGGTGTCGATGATGATATCGAAGGAGGTGTTTAATGTACAAAGGGGTACGTGTGTTTGCCCTTTTCTTTTTCTTCTTATATTCGGTCTGGTTCGGTGTGATTTTTTTTTTTCTTTTTCTTTTTGAACTTTTTTATTTCTTTCCGTTTTTTTCTCTCGATATGCTCAATGTCGTTTGGAAGGGTGTTTGATCATATCGACAGCTTTGGTTCACGTTATGGTATGGAAATAGAATGGGTAGGTTGAAATCAGTCACTCTCTTAGGGCTTGGTAAGCTGCTCTTTCCGGAAGAACATCAGGAACCCGGCGCTACAGAACAACGTTAGTCAATTAAATGGAATCAGATGGAATAAGACATACCATATCAACAACTGGAAGAACAAAGCTATCCAGAACCATGCATTGGCGACAGAACTGGCTCCGTCCGTCACATCTGGTGAGATCGGCCCAGGACCGATACTATTGGGGCCAAATGCCCTAGCACAGATAGTGGCAATCGACCCAAGGACTTGAGATGCAAGCAACGCGAAGCAAATATGCATCCGAGTCAAAGTTTGGAGCAGGATCATACCGAATCCTAGACCCTGCAGGGAATCTAGAATACCCAACCAGAGCCACAAACTGCGAGATGCGAGAGCACCACTTGTATAACTACCCGCCCACGGAAGGAAGAGACCCATTCCAGACACACCCCACCATATCTGGGCCCAGCGGGGTGCTCCAAGGCCGCATGCAAATACAGGGAGGATCCAGCTGTGGGATTTGGATAGGTGACCGAATAGGAAAAGCAGCGCAGCCCAAACGATTCCGAAGAAAACCACCACGAGGATACCAATTTCCCAGGCTTCAGCGTGGACCGAGCTCCAAAGGACTATAAGAATATTAGCTGGTGTTGGACAGAGACATGTCCTGGGCCATACTCACAGCTCCAGTTGCGTCCATAAGGTGCACTAAGAAAGAAGTTTTGCAAGATAACAACCACAAAGTTCCAGAGAACGATCTTTCTTCTAAAGACTGATTGATAGAAGGAAGGAACCTTTCCAGGGGTTTGTCGGTAGTAGTTTGGTAGACCGAAAAAGACCAAGAGACCAAGAGCCCAAAGGAAGACAGCAATTGGGATGCAAATGGCACTAAAGAATAAAGTTAACAACGATTTAAAAGAATAGAATGGATATCAAAAGGGGGACGTACGTCATCTTCCAGCTGTCTGTAATAGCCGCCTGGGAATTCCCAAGGCCTTCAGTAACACCTTGGGATATCGATGTTCCCCAATACCATAGACCAATAACATAGGCTTGCTGGGTGCCTTGAATAAGACACGCACGGAAAATCCATTCCTTGACGGGAGCTCCATTTTCATCGCCAAAGTTGAGAGCAAAAAATAAGGAACCGCTGGATGATGCTGCCGCATATACTCCACTGCCAACATTCTGGATCCAAGCCCGAGAAAATTCATCGCTCTCGTAATGTGCTACACCAATGAGAACAAATGCAAGGCCATACAAGAACCAGGGAAGTGAGAGAACAACCACAGACTTGCAGAATCTGAAAAGAAACCACCAGATGATCGAAGTAACAAGGTAGACTGTTGCGATACCGTAAAGCTTTTCCGGTGTCTCTCCTATTTCTCCTGTAAGCAGGGTAATTTGATATGAATTTGCCGCAATGATTTGACCAAGGCCCAAAATGAATGAGTAGATAGGCCAGTCGAATATCCTGATTTGCATCCATTTCCTGAGACCAGAGGGAGGAACGTAATCATTCCCAAGGAAAAATTCATCTCTTCTCTTGTGCGCCTCGCTCCCACTTTCTCGCGACCCCACCTCATCATTAGAGATCGATCCCATAGGCGAGGATGTTTCCATTTTGGCATGGAAAACCGAAGAAGCAGGGGACTGATTCCGGCCCAGTTTGGCATCCCTAAATCTATCAAACCATTTCTTTTCACTCTTCTCAAGGTACTCTTCGATGCAAAGTTGTGATTCGGAGTTAGATCCATTCAACTTTTCCAACCTAGTTTCAAATATCTGGTAAAACTCCCCAGTACTATCTGTAAACGACGGGTCCACCTTCTGAAGCTTGTAATCTTTCTTTTCGCCGATGACAGAGTCCACAGAAAGGACAGACGCACTGCTGAGACGGTTGCCAGGCTCTGCAAACGGGCGTGCGGGTGGAACAAGAGTCTCATCAGGATCAAAGGTTCCCGAACTTGCTGGAGACAGCATGCCTCTAGACAGAATTGAGCTTTGGCTAGAGTGTCTGCGGGTGAAGAAGTCTCTAACTGAAGAACGAGAATGTTCTTGCTCTGTCGTTGCGTCCGCCCGGCGTCCCGCTTCTATCTGTTCAGGAGTGAGGGTATATTCGTCTTCGCCATAGAAACTAGGGATAATGTCATCATCGCTGCTTTCCTCCGCCATGGAAACGCTGGCGTTTTCATCAGTTCCGGTGTAACTGTTTCTCAACTTGCGGCGGCCACGACGCACTAGATGCCCAGGACCAGCCCGAACACCAAGCGACAACTGGCGACCAAGCCCAGTCCTGGGTTTGTCGTTGCCTCCAGGGCTTGGGTCTCTGCTGTATACAATTGTGTTGCGCTGCTGCGGTCCATAGGCACTTAGGCGGTTGAGATTCGAGTAGCTTCCTGATCGCGAATGCGCCAGGGGAGGTGTTTGCACTCCAGTTGGCGTCACCGTTCCGGTCGATGCAATAGTAGGGGTCATCATTCCGCTAGGAGTGTTGCATCCGGATGGTGTGTAAGGTTGACCATTGGCCTTGACAAGGCCCTTACTATGAATTCGGATCGCCGTTGACTGCAGGATTTCCAAATCTTCAACCCATTGGGCAACAGGGAATCGCTGCTTCGCAGATCTTGCACGCATTTTCGCTCTGACCTGAGGCTTAGAATTCAATGCACTTGCAATAGCGAGTTTAAATTGGTGTAGCAGATGTGCAGTTGTCGTAGACTCAACGTTATACCACCACCCGGGCATCTGGCCAAGACCACCGACACGAGCTCCAATACCTAGTGCTCCCTTGCGACCAAATTCAACAGCCACCAGGCCGAATGGTTCATCACGGGATGGGATCAAGGCGAACTCAGCCCCCGAGAAGATAAAGGGAGGAAGTGCCGTGAACTCAGGTCGAGAGTACACTCGCCCAGGATAGATTTTCATCATTCTTTCAAGCTTTAGGGCAGCAAATTTACCGTAAAGATCAATTACCGGGCCAACACAGATTAGCTGCACGTTGGGACGGGCTTCCAGAACAGCAGGCATGACATCAGCAATTAAATCAACACCCTTTTGCATAGACCACCGTCCTACAAAGACAAGTAGGTCCGCATTGGGGTTTTGATCTAACCCAGCCCATTCCTGAGCCTGACGTTTGAGCTCCCCCCGGCTTGCTTCATACTCTGGATCCACTTGGACTTCAGTATCTTTTGGTAGTTCCTTATTCCATTCTGCGGTATCAGAGGGGTCAGGATTAGGGAGATTCCCAACTTTCTTAAGACCCCAGAAAATTGGATAGCGAGCATATGAGCGCTTTCCATATTTCCTAGACACTCCCACAGCGCCAAATCCTTGTTGGTGAACACGGAGATAACTTGCGCCAGCATGGAGCATATTGAACACTTCACCGAATTGGACATACCGTCTTGCAACATCAACCTCAATGTTAAAAACAGAGCACACTTCATCCCTTTCCTTCTGAGTACGCATCGGCCACAGTCCTTGGAATTCCGCATTATGAAGTGAGAGGCACACAGGCACTGTCTGAGGAAGAAGGTAAAGTGGAGCAATAGAGCCATGGTAGTCGTTAATATGATACAAGTCAATAGGGAAACGCTTGATAACCTCTGCGATGCACTGGTTCCATGCAGAGTAATAGATGGCACTATCCAGATCGTCCATGCGAGGTGGATAAGGTTCTGCCTTTGATTGCTGACGGAATACTGGAGCATCCAGAAGAACATATGTAATATTGTTCAGGACATGGTATTGAACCTTGACTTCGTAGGAATTGCCGAGAACTGTTACAAATATCGGCTCAGCTGGCTGGTCCTCTGGATAATCGACACCTCCAACACACGGAACAACCCAGATCAAATCTTGGTGCCCAAGGTTCTTTCCCATCAACTGAGCCATGACTCCTAGGCCGCCAATCTTGATCTTTATAGCCCAGTCTTCGATATCATACTCCATGGTGGCTATGAGAACTGTTTGCCTCCGGGCGGAGCCGGTTCTGAAAGCAGGCGTGCTTTGAAGGAAGCCTGACTTGTTTGCGAGACGCAGGAAGGGGTTCAACCCTCCAAGTTTGTTGCTCTTTTTCACGAGGGCAAATGGAAGCAATGACTTCTTCTGGCTGACTCCAACTTGATTGAACTTGACCTGGTAAAACGACTTCATGAACGCATAAACGCATCCGACAGCTGTAACTATCGGAACAAGCCAAAGCAAGCAATAAACGATGATTTGGATGGCTCTTGATCCTGTGGGCTGTAAATGAATGCGCAAATCGCCATCGTCGAGCCAAAGATCCCATGACAGATAAGGAGAAGGAGGGATTTCGGTGACGTTGACAGATAGCGAACTCAGCGAGGAAGGTGGCATGCGATCCAAGACACCATCGGAATCCACATCCCCATAAACAAAGCTTTGGTCAGGTTTTCCATCAGGGTTCATGCCCCAGACGTTATATTGTCCTTGTGCAGGGAATTCGGTCCTAAGTCTGAATTTCCAGTATCCGTCTTTATCTTGTACCACCTTATTGTCAAGTCCAGCATCGTAACCGTATTGATTGTAAGGCCCATTGAAATATAGGTGAGGGAAACGTCGTTGGATATCAAAATCGTAGTCACCTTCCTGGACGTAGTCACTGCTGCCGGTCAATTTACTCCAGTATTCGACACGAACATGCTTCCCTTGCCATCTCTGCTTATTTGTCCCAGACCAGGGTAATTCGTCTATAATATCCTCTCCACCTTTATAGGGAAGCCAGCTGGAGAAAGAGCTGCCCCAATTAGTGGAATAGCGATATTTGTCAGCACCTACAGCCTTATGTTGAATGTAGAGTGTGCCATTATCGTACTGGTGGAGGAGGCTTGTGGAATAATTGGCGGTATTGAAAGTGATCGGGTTGTCTGCCTGGCCGATGCGAAGTAAAAAGTGATCCACAGCCCCAGTCGAGCTATCCCCAGCTTCGCTAGTCGCATTTTTGATTGTCAGTCGATGAATGCCATTGTAGACACCAGTTAGCTTTCCTGTCCAGACCCAAGTACTAGGAATTTGGGCAGTCCATTGGGTTTCGCTGGGATCCATGCTCTTGCAGTTGACATTGTCTTTGTCAATAGACGGTGTCTTGCCGGAGGCAGTGGTAGACTTTAGGGAGATGGCCTTCGTGACCGAGTCACAGTCCATCTGGGTGGAGAAGTAGATACTTAAATCAATATCCTCGGACTCATTGGGACCAACTGTTGAGAGCAGGGGCTCGTCATGTCCAGGAGTGATCTTAGTGACCATGGGGCTGGGACCAACAAAGCGACTCTTTGGAACAAATGCTTTGAACTCAAAGGCTTTGAGTGTCATGCTATCGAGACAGCCATTATACGCCTTGGAACCATTAAGATGAAGCTTTTGTGGGCTATCCTTTAGCTCATATTCATCATGTGGGTAGAACAAATTGACAACTGTAGTGCCAGTTGCGAAAGGTGATATCAAAGCAGTATCATTCTCACCACAGTCAAATTTATAGTCGACTGTCTTATTGTCGTTCTGGTAGACAAGCCAAATTGGCTGGTTATCAGCGTCGGAACCCAAGTCCTGATACTTTGAAACGCGGTCCCTCAAAATAGACCACATTCCAGTCTCTGTGGCTGTTCCGTTGGAGCCTGGATAATAGATATCATGGGTCTGTTTAGAAAGCTTCTGGACAGAGTATCCATCATTTAAAATGGGATAATCTTTTCTCAGCTGATACATATGCTTGATAATATTCCGAAGAGGGTGAGAAGGATCACGATGGTCGTAAGCCACAGTTTCATCATGGCATCCATCACGGCCTTTTTCAATAGGCCAATCATGATACTGGCTTGCATTGAGAGCGAAGCATCCATGAGTCTTCCAAGCTGTTGCAGGTGACATCGCCTGTCGACCATAAACATAGTTATCTGCGGTAGCATCTAGGATATAAAATCCCTGTTCTTCTCCCCAAAGCAGGAGTGGAATACCAGGAAGGTGGAGAGTAGTAATAAAAAGTCCTAGGAGTTGTCTTTCGATACCAAACTGGAGAGCTGGCCAGCGGAAGACGTCCTGATTTGTTGCGCCATACATATGGCGGGGATCGAATTTTCCAGTATTAGCATTAATCATATCATTGCTCATTACCATGACGTTCCATGCATCTGTCCAGTCCAGTGGTGTGTCGTAACCAGCTGCAAGATTGCCGCTAAGCCCAAGAAAACGAGTGAGGGATCGATAGACCGAATAATGGAAGGCAGCCCCATCAAGAGCCTGGAGACCATCTTCACGAAGAAAATACTGCTGATCCGACCTGTTTGTCATTCCCATAGAATCCATCGCAGATTCTGGGTATTGATTTGGCTGTCTGCCGCGCCCAAGATAAATGGAACCAAAATTGTTTCCACCAGTAATTTCACCAGGCAAGAAAAAATTGTCCTTTCCAACACTCCGGGCACACTCTCTATATGCGCTTGACATATCTCCGAGGGCGTCAACTGTAGCTTGCGTGGCTTTGTCAAACCGGAAACCATCGATATCAAGCGCTTTGATTATCATGCAGGAGTGTTTGGTCAATCGATCCCGGACTGGTGGATACCATTCACGAAGACGGTCTTGGACCGAAGCAAACTTGGCTAATTCACGCTGCCAGTCTGGGTAAACGCCAAATGCTTCTCGGTCACCATACTGGTCGAAGTCGCTATTATAACATCCCTTCAACTCGTCACGAACGTCCTGGTCAACAGGCCACCCGGTCTCATTCCAAAATCGGGGGTATTCGCAAGTTTCGTTATAGGAGTTTCCAAACGAGAAGTCCACATAATGGCGATCCGATTTCCAGAGGGCTTCGTATTCTTTGACGGAGAATGGGGTGGTAACATTCAAATAACCTTTGAAGCCGATCAAGTCACCCATACTAATTCGTTGATCATGGGTCAGCCGAGAGACACCTAATGGACTGGAGGGGGACAAACTTACGTTGCAATAGTGTTGTCAAATACCACATACATGCCACGCTTATGAATTTCCGAGATTGCATTTCTCCATGTCTGAATGGTACCATAATGTTGATCAAGCAAAGTTGTATCCAGAATTGAGTAACCATCAGCGCCCCAGGGCTGATTCATCAAAATAGTACCTGCAAGATAAATTCCCTAATAACAAGGAATATTAGCACATGATCAAATTTAAATCATGAAGGATAAGTATATAAAAACGCATAAAAAAAGGAAACAAGAGACAGCAGAACCTTAATCCCCATTCCCTGAATATAGTCCAATGTGTCCACCAAACCATCGGCATCGCCGCCGTGTCGCATTTGATTCGAGTTCAAATCATGTTCAAACAGAGTCCCGTTGATATTGTCGTTGGTGGGGTCACCATTGACAAATCGATCTAGAAAGAGGGTGTAAAATGGAAATCGCCAGCTTTTCGGAGACGGTGTGTATTTATGGTCTGGCCATTCTGGTGCAGCGTAGTCTAGTGGCGTAAGCGCAGTCTTGTTCACATTAAGATTATAGTCAACCAAAGACTGCTCATAGGGCCAGCCCGCGGCAGTCGTTGCCAATAAAGCAAGCAACGAGCCTGAAATCCCCCACTTCATCGTCGAAGGTTACTGAGGAAATATTTTCAGATAACCGACATGTGCTCCGAACCTCAATGAAGATCAATGCGGTAGAGATTTGAGGAGAGGGAGAGGCGGAGAGAAATCAGGTCAGGAGTCTATCCCAAACGGTCTTATGAATACTCTTCCCTATTTCAATTTCCCCCTCTCAATGCTCCAATATGGACGATGAGTGATTGGCAAGAGACAGCCGGGAAAGAAAAGAGAAGAATCCCGACGAGAATGTGCTACAGCGCCGGCAACGAGAGAGAATAAAAAGAGGACAAAGGGGAGGGGGAAAAAAAAAACAATATGCCCGAGTATATGTCCGAAACACTGCAGAAAAGTATGCAATCCAGAGGACCAGGAGAAAGCATTATTAGCTGTGGTATACCGATAGGAAGGAGGGTCAGCGAGGGATCGACCCTATCTTGAATTAGAAAAAGAAAACGATGATCCTTTCATGCCCTCAGTGTTACCTAGGTGCTCTAGCAGGATGAAAGCTAGATTTCCCAGCTTGGCAGGAAGGTAGACAGGCTGATGGAGACTTCTACCGTGTCTTGAGTGGCGTTGTGGAAACAGGTCTCTCCTTTGAAGGACCAGCCACCAACCCATCCATAGCAACTCGAGCTCCATGATTTGCTAGCTGGGAAGAAGACAGCCGAGACACCAATTGACTTCAAGCAAAGTTGATGGAAGGGGGGGGGATTGTGTTGTAGGAGGCCACGAAGCGAGGACCACCAGAGAGAATCAGATGCATGCAGGTCAGTAAAAACGGCGCAGTATACTATTTACTGGGCAGAGTCTATATTTACAGTAGTGGTATGAGAGCGGGGCTGGTGCGTAATGGTTCTGCGTATTTTTACGGGGGATTGCGTTGCCTCGACTCTATTAGGTAGGTTTTGAGGATGTATGATGTATCTGATATTCCACTCTTTTTGGCAGTAATAATAGATTAATGGGTATTTGTATGCTTGTTCTAATGACAGTCAAGTCAATCCTACGAGCCGGTTTCGATTTCCTTATCCCTACTGTGAACTCTATGCAAGATAGAGCTTGAATTCTATCAAGCAGATGAATAATCAACCCTATAGCGGTGGCAACCTCCTCTGAGAATACAAACGAAGACGATGAAGATAGCACCCGGTATGCCATATATTAGGCAATTGCCGCGTTAGCAATACTAGGCATGTAGGGAATCTAGCCATCACTATACAGACAGGTCTCACAGGGTTAATAAAGTAGTTATCAAAATGTATGCTTAAAAATACGACATGACACTTTATGTTCCACGAGGCGTTTTCTAAAGGAAATGAAAAGCGCCTCTTGATCTCGGCGTTCTTGCTTTGCTCTTATTGCTATTATTAAACTTCAATATTGATTAATGTAATTGCTTATTGGCGATGGTTTCTTTGATGATGAATGGTGTAATATGGTCTCTATATTGCATCTGCAATCCTGCATCCTGCAAGCCTTCTATACGGAAACCTAAGAAAAGAATATACCTTAGGTACTCTGATATTGGTCCGTAGGTTTGGTGGAGAGCTGAATTGCGGATTCGTTAGTTGCGCCCATTTCCTCAGAAACCATTCCAATTCACCCTATTCCGATTGATATTGGAACTGCCTAATGGAATCACCTGAGTAGATCTTTGAAACAGTTTTACATTGGAATGCTGAGTCAAACTGGATATGATTGATGTTATCTCGAGTTCCATCTTCCTTACTCCCTTCGACTCACATGCTGCTTTTAGGGTGGCTACTCTCGTAAGCGATGATGTTGCAGGCAGCTCTTAGGCTAATTTTACGGATATGAAGTTTGTTGCCTTCATATTAATCATTCACTCTATACCGACTAGTAGGAAGTAACATTTGAATAGTCCGGATCAGGCGTTGAACTCCTAATTCGAGATAAGAAAAACAAGATCTGGTCGGAAAAATTACAGGTATACCATACATACAGATACAGAACCAAGGGAAAGGTAATAGTTAAACCCTAAGGTTTGCTCCCCTTACTTAGAAGGTTCAAAGGGATATGAGGAGTGTGGACCTCTCAGTTTGATGTCTCATTTCTTGTTCATGATCAGATGCTTTGGGACAGCTGTCTCAATGAATCTCTTCCAGTGAATACAAAGAAATGGGCCCTTTGTGCCCTCCTAGGGATGCTATGCAAGGGGACTCATCGAACAACTCCGGGTCCTCCTGAAGTTCTGAACTGCTAGTTGCCTGCCTTATCTGATATTCTTTGCTCTTGAGAAACAAGATAGGGGAATTTTCAGATTGGGGGCACTCTTGTTGCTTTCTCTAAAAATCGTTGGCCCACTGTATCCTGTTGGTAGTCATAATTTGCCGGGCCGCTAATAGCGAAAAATATCGGGGATGAGAGGTTATTTCTGAATCCCATTAGTCGCCAAGGTCTGGGAATTGTCTCATGATTGAGCCATCGATGGTTTCCTACGTCCGATATGGAGCTACTTCCTCTCTTTATATGGTTATGCCGGTCCTTTTCGCAGTTATCTGACAGCAAGCTTTTCCAAAGGCCTAGTGTGGTCTTTTGCGATCAGGCTTGATGTAAAAACGCTGGCTATTACTAAGATATAGAGTAAGTTCTCATTAGATGCGCTTGTTAGCATACTACCTACTGATAGTAGGCAAGCTGTCATCTAAACCTGACATGTGCGATGTGAAAGCTTCCCGTGCTTCTGGACAGCATAACCGAGCGAGCAGCTCCAGTAGTTACTGAAGCGTTGGCGATCGGTGGAAACCTATACACGTACATAAATTACAGCCTGTATTAATCTTACAAGCTCCCGCAGTGGATAGTTAAGTAGTGCCCGGTTAACGCAGCTTAAACTTGGAACTACAGTTTCTAACTGGTTGCTATGGATTTCTTGCATCTTAGAGTGGGACCCTACTGTACTACAGACCGCTGCGAACTTGTAAAGTTGTGCTAATCCGCCCTTGGTATGGCTTCCACCTCACTCCTGGTTCTTCCCTTCGGATGATCACTACCAGGGTCTCAGACCATTTGTTCAGATCAACAGCCCTTATATCCCTTATTCACCTGATGTCATTGAATCCTGCCACCATGATTTCTTTGAGTCTCCCAAAGGGGGACGGGACCATGTGCACTGCCCTCAGCGAGTCTGCGGTACGTGTGCCCTGATGTTGACAGGGCATGTCGACTACCAATGTCTATCTAGCAGCAAAAAGCCTTTCAAGTGAGGAAGAGGGTATGTCAAAAAAAACCTCCTTCTCCGTTCCACGAGAGTGATATGACAAGTCAAAATGGTATCATGAAATACTGAGTGGCTGGGGCGTATCATCGATAAGTGTTTACACTCTCACCCACCTTGGTATACAGTTACTCAGTCACGGTGCAACAGCAATCCAGTATACTCAGCTTTAAATCCTTACTACTGTAGCCAGAAATTCTTGTTTCGGCGTATAATCTACCTGAAATTCTTTTAAGGCATCATCATCTCCGAGTTAAGCGAGCTCGGATTACTCCGCTCACAGAAATAATCACGTCCTTAGCCTCCGAGTCCCAGGTGTTAATTTTACCTGATTATGATATCAGAGAACCAAATGTGGTTTGTCTATGCATGCTGAGTTCTCCGAGTATTCAACATCATGCGGTGTGCGATTGATTGCCGTCTTCTTCCACCTACAAATTACCTTCTCGCTCGAGTCCAGTTAAATCGCACCGCCCCAAGATATGCACCAAAATACAAGAAAGTAAAGACGCCGGCAGCGACTAGGTTTGCCGCTGCATATCCGATGCATTTCATGCTCAATTCAGTATGGGCCATTGGCAATATCGCATCTGAGCTCCATGGTTTATCCCCGCTTTTCAGCCTTTCAGAATTAACTAGATTGTCCAATGTGCAGGTGCCGATAATTTCTGCCTCTAGGCACATGGCAGAGCCGTAGTGTCATCCACATATAGAGTGCATAGTTATTGCATGATCTGCAAATTTGACTTGTTATACGTTAGTATCCCTGGTACATGTCACATTATGCAAGCCGTCTTCGAAAACTTAGCTTACTGAATCGCATACACTATCTATGAGCTTCTCAACGGTACATCAAACCTCCGAAAGAGAGAGAAAAAGAAGCAGCTATCACAACAAAAAGGAAATTCTTAGCCTCGTGTACCTGTTTGCCCCTTCACAGCCCCCCAGCTAGTCGGTTGTGTCTTTTACTTGAACTCACCGGCATGTTCCGTCTCTTACGGGTCCCTGCTATGCAAGAAGAGCTACATATATTTCTCAATCATGTTTTTCGATGCTTGGTCCTTCAGCCCACAAGTCCGCTCATGCTCATGCTCACCGGTTTTCCGGAACCGCGGTCCTAAGTGTTTTCACTCGTCAAGGATTGCTTCAGTCCTTGAGACATCTCACCTGTCTACACTCTCCACGGTTCTGTGTTTGGGTCCGCTTGGTTCCGTACTCATACTGCGTCGTCGTCCCGGAAAGTTGCAGACAATGTAGAGGAACTACTTAGTGGCGAATTCATGACGCCGAACTTGTCACTTGGATATCATCGCTTTCAATCAGAGTTATTCGGGCTAGGGCGGATAAGCCTAAAGTGAAATACATCTTGAAGAAACTACAAGACTGAGATGCAACCAGATCTGTCAAATCAGACAAGTCGTACACTTCTTATCTCTCCTTTCAATCTCAACAAGGGTATCTCAACCTGTCTAGGTGAAGGATGATCATATTATCTTTATGAAAGTGAATGGCCACAAGGTGGCAGTGTCGCGATTGTACGAGGATTCCGCATGTGCCCGAGTGATAAATCTCCTCTTCGTCCAATATTAAATAGTTCATCACCTCCCAGGTAAGAAGAAACGGCTGTCATCTATTCCGTTTTGACTCTCCCTCCCAGTCCCCACCTAAGTTGTACGTGCCATTGAAGACTCGGACAAAGCCGATTCACGTTCCTCTTGGGCGTCATCTTTTTCGAAAAATTAGCTGAATTGTTCCATTAGATTGATATTAGGGTTGGCTCTAGTTGGGCTCTTTCGTGTTGGTTGGTTGTGCTTTAGCCTTCTACCTATTCTCTACTTGGTGTTATCCTCTGGAAGCCTTCAAACCCCGAATGACGACAAAGGTATAAATTCCTGCATCCATGGGTACGTGGTAGGACGAGACAGGTTCCTTAGATATAGTACCGACACATTATCAACACCCCACATTATGTTGTATTTGGAAGTAGATAGTATCGGCTGATAATGCTGTGCTGTGGTTTGGATAGTTCCTAAGTGCATGTTTGCATATCATAGGTCTCAAAGTCACTTAAAGTAGTATTCAGGGAACCAGTAGTGGTTAGTGTAGATACCCTCATTGAGCTGTTTTTTTATTCTTTTCGAGAGTGATCAGAGGATCCCTACGTCATGTCATGGTGTTCTACTTCAAAAACCATACATTAAAAGTGCTCGATAGCCAAAGGTGACTTTGATGTCATCCACATAGAAATATATATAACCCAGCAATTAGTGTGCGAGAAGATTGTCAATCAACATCAAGAGGTGGTTAGAGGCCACCTCTTGAAGCCTTGAAATGTAGTTTAGAGACCAGTTAATGCCAAACTAAAAAGACACTCACCAAGGGCCCCAATAAACACCAGGAGCTTTTTTTTTACTTCACTATTTCTCCCTAGCAGGCCTATAGAAATACCATAAAGTACCAACTAAAAAAAAAAAAAAAAAAAAAAAAAAACATATAAAGGAAATCGTTACTATATCCTTATCCTATCTAAAGTGCAAGTAAACCCCCTCTGGACAGTTATCCAGGTATCTATTCAGCCCCGTAGCGCGCCCTGTACTCCTTCAACCGCTGGATCTCAACCTCGCCAATCTCCCCTCCCAGCTTCTCAATCAAATCATGAAGTCCAAGAACCGCACGGATAGGGATATTCTCACCCAAGCTTCTCTGCGCAACGCCAACAGCACTCTTGGTTTCCGTCTCGCTGACTCGCTCCTCGCGATCCAAAAGCACCACAACTCCAGACACAATTCCGCCCTCCTTCTCGATAATGCTCACAGCCTCGCGCAGAGCCGTGCCAGCAGTGATCACGTCATCCACAATGACAACACGCTTGCCCTTCAGCGGCGCCCCGACAATGTTACCGCCCTCTCCGTGGTCCTTGGCCTCTTTGCGGTTGAACGAGTAGCTCACGTTATCCCAGGTTCCCTTGGGGGATGCGGACAGCGAGTCTCGCACGGCTAGCTCGTTCACGGCCGCAGCGCACAGGACGATACCCTTGTACGCGGGACCGAAGACGATGTCAAAGTTGGGGGTTGTGGTGCCGTCCGCGGCGGTCGTGACGAAAGGCGGGGTAGAGAGGACGCTCGCGTAGGCGGCGGCGGTGGCCCGGAGGAGGGGAGCGGTGTGCAGGAGGGAGGAAGTAAAGAAGTAGGGCGATTCACGGCCGGATTTGAGGATGTAGCTGCCGAAGGATAGGACCTTGTTGGAGATCAGGAGGGGGAGGAGCGTGGCCTTGTAGTCTTGTTCGGCGGCCATTTTGTCTTCTTCTTTTTTTGACTCTCTTGAGGTTATTTAAATATGGAACCCAAGGTTTAAAAATAGTTTTTTAAGTACGAGATGGTATGGATGATGAAGATAAAGAGAATTGGAGTGGAATTAGTCTGTATGGATGCAATGTACTCCGTATAGAAAGGTATATTATTGAAATGCAGTAATTTTTTTTTTCCTCCTTCGCCGCCAAAAAGAGGGGCGGAGAAACTGAGAGGCGGGGTCCCTCGAGATTCATCAGCGGCTTTCTCTATCAACTCCTCATTGCATTTTCCTTCTTCTTTTTCTGTTCTTTTTAAATTTCCCACATTCCAGAGTTGGTTTCTTGTTGGCCGTACTTTTTTTTTCTTTTTTCTTTTCTTCTTTTCTGGTCGGATACATAATACTTAGATTTGGAGGGGGGAAACACGTGAGAGGGCAGATTCTCCGAACTCCGGAGTCCGCACCAGACTCCAAACTCCAAACGGGGGGTCTTTCTAGTCATCCTTCTCTCTTTCTCTTTCTCTCTCCTAATTGTTCGTGAGCAGACTCTCTCTGCTATCTGTTATACTCTTGATTTTGTTTATCTGTATTGGAGTTTCTCTCTTTCCCCTCTTTCCTCTTGTTCTTAACCTTCCTGAGGTTGTTTCCTATCATCTCCTTGGGATCCAGTTCCGACGGAATCTCCGGTGATTCAGGCAGTCTGTCAGCATCGTGAGAGCTGGACAAGCATCTTCTAGCTGAAGGGTTCTTGTTATTATCTCCTAGGGGAATTATTGAATCAATGTGAGTCAAATGAATCAACTTTAACGCGTCTTTACTGTTTAAACAGTTCCCATCGCCATTATTACTAACACCCCGCCTTCTAGCGTCATACTTTGAAAATGCATATCAAAGAGAAACTCGCCCAAAATGAGGCCGCGGGGAGAATCGGCATCTCATTCGAGTTCTTCCCTCCCAAGACCGCACAGGGTGTACAGAATCTATACGACAGAATGGACCGCATGCACTCGTTAGGTCCCTCTTTCATCGACATCACTTGGGGTGCGGGTGGCCGACTATCGGACCTGACTTGCGAGATGGTCAACGTCGCCCAGTCTGTTTATGGTTTGGAGACATGCATGCACCTGACCTGCACAGACATGCCGCGAGAGCGAGTGGATGCTGCACTTCAGTCTGCCTACAAGGCGGGCTGTACCAACATTCTCGCTCTTCGTGGCGACCCTCCTCGTGAGAAAGAAGTGTGGGAAGCTGCCGACGGAGGCTTTCGCTATGCGAAGGATCTTGTCAAGTATATTCGCGAAAAATACGGCAATCATTTCGATATCGGTGTTGGAGGTTACCCTGAGGGTGCCGATGACAATCCCGATGTCGATCTTTTGATTGACCACTTGAAGGAGAAAGTGGATGCGGGGAGCTCCTTTGTCGTTACCCAGATGTTTTACGATACAGACCATTTTATTAACTGGGTCAAGAAGTGCCGTGATCGGGGTATCAATGTGCCTATTATTCCGGGAATTATGCCAATCCAAACGTATGCTGCATTCATTAGACGCGCCAATTGGACCAAGGCCCGGATCCCCCCCGATTGGCTCGAAGCTCTGGAGCCTGTGAAGAATGATGACGCTGCTGTGAAGGAGATTGGAAAACGCTTAATTGCGGATATGTGTAGGAGACTCATCGCCGCTGGTATCAACCACCTTCACTTGTGAGTCCGGATCTTATCCCTAATGAAAAATTCCGCAAGCTCACAAAATCTAGCTACACGATGAATCTTGCCCAGGCTACACAACTCGTCCTTGACGACCTGAAGCTTACCCCAACACCGGAGACGCCACTTCAGAGAGCTCTGCCTTGGCGCCCCTCGCTTGGCCTGAACCGCCGGGAAGAGGATGTCCGCCCAATCTTCTGGCGAAACCGCAATTCCTCGTACATTGCCCGCACACAAACTTGGGACGAGTTCCCTAACGGCCGCTGGACCGATTCCCGATCACCCGCTTTTGGTGAGTTGGATGCTTACGGCATCGGTATCAAGGGCACAAATGACCAGAATATCAAACTTTGGGGCGAGCCCAAGTCTCTTCGCGATCTCGCCGACATCTTTGTCCGTTTTATGGAAGGCAAGCTGGAGCGACTACCCTGGAGCGAATCCCCCATCAGTGCAGAGGCAACCTCAATTAAGGAAAACCTTGTAGAGCTAAACAAGCGAGGTCTCTTGACTATCAATTCTCAGCCGGCTGTTAATGGAGTCAAGTCCTCCCACCCCGTGTACGGATGGGGCCCGAAGAACGGCTTCGTCTACCAGAAGGCCTACCTCGAGCTTCTCCTTCCCCCATACCTGATCAATGATCTCATTGCTCGCATTGAGGCAAATGAGGACCTTACCTACCACGCCGTGTCAAAGAGTGGAGAGCTACTAACTAACACTCGTGACAGCCCCAACGCTTTGACCTGGGGTATCTTTGCAGGGCGTGAGATTGTTCAGCCAACAATTGTTGAAACCATCAGTTTCTTAGCCTGGAAGGATGAAGCCTACCAGCTCGGTGAAGACTGGGCGAAGTGTCACGATGCCGCTAGCCCTAGCAGGAAGCTGATCCAAGGCGTCATGGATAACTGGTACCTTGTGAATATCGGTAAGTGATTATGTAGGTTTCGTCATGGGGGGGACCTTGCTAATCTTTAACTCAGTCAACAACGACTTCCACAACACATATAACCTCTTTGAGCTGTTCAACGACTTGAACGTCAAGGATCTAGATGTTGAAGTCGCCGGTGAAATTGTAGAACCCAAGGCTCTCCAAAACGGAACTACCAACGGCACCACTAACGGAGCCACACCGGAACCCGTTGCGCAAAATTAGACACGAGATGACAGCTCAATACCTGTCCTGCCTCTTCTACTAACAGCCCTCTAACACATTCAACTCTTCAACTACTCCAACTCCAAAATATTCAACTAATTCAACACAACTCTCAACGATAACCTGCCTGGGCAATCCCCCCAGGCACCGGAATGTTTTATGGCGACACGAAATGAAGACCTCTCAACGATTTCTTCCTCTCAGCGTTATTTTAATTCAACATGACTTTTCATTCTCACATATACCCTCTCGCATTTTTTTCCCTTTTCATTTTCAGTTGCTGTTGGGCACAAGAGTCAACACGAATTTCAACACCAATATTCAATATGATATACTTCATTTTTTTTCCCTTCACCATTCGACTCGAGCTTGAAGCTACCGGATCAAACCCAACCTTCATTCACATCATCATCATCATCATTACATGACATGACATTTTTTCTGCTCTTTTAAAATTAAAAGCTACTACACAGGTTTAGGAGGTTTTATAATATTCAACACTAAACGGGATGACGGAGTTGGGTTCATGACAAAAAAAAGTGATCGATCCTCTTCAACATGGGATACAGACGGACGGAGTCTTTTCTTTCATCCCTTTGTTCATTATTTGCATGGGTCGCTTAGTTTTCATCTCTTGAGATTTTATTCCCAAATCCCCCTTCCCTGTTCTTTTTCTTTTTCTTCTTCTCCTCGTCCTCATTGCATACTGCTTTTTTTTCCCCCTTCTTTCTACTTTCTCTTCTTTTTTTTTTTTTGCGGAGACCCTGTCTTTCTTTCTGACAGTACTTTACGATATGATTGTTATAGCGAGAGACCTGATCCCGGCATTCGCCGGACAAATGGTAGTATCACTAGCTGTAGATAGAGTTGGACAACTGGTTGGGGATATCCTCTCCTCCTCCTCCTTACTTTTTCGGGGGACATAAATAGAGCTCATTCTTCCATCCAAAATGAGGTGGAATGGAATATTCAACATAGCCTGGTATTTCAAAATAGGTTGTAGGTCTACTGTGCATTTTATGAACTTGAGAACACGTATGTAGTTTATATTAGAGTTATGAGGATTGTGATCGATTAAAGGTACTTTGTCGACATGTAGCTACTCTTTATTTCGAAAGCAAAGAGGCATGGCAACATGCTCCGTAGTTAAGATGTACCTAGCTTAAGTTGGTAGGGGGGAGAAAATGCGCGGAAAATATTCGTTACTATCAACCACCTAGGGTTAAAAATACAAACTGTATCCTCCCATTGCCTCCAGGTGAAAAAAAAAAAAAAAAATAGAAACACGATAAGAATAGGAACAAGGTTAGAAAAAGGAGGAGATAAGAGGCCAAGAAGATCCCACTTAGACCAACAACGCTCTCCCAACTGTGGCAAAGACGAGAGCAAAAGGTCTCGCAAACCATACTACCCAGCTTCCGATGAGAACCACATACCCTGCCGCTCGCCCAACAATCATCATAATGAACCCGAGAACCACGAGGTATACCATGGCCTGCCCGATTTCAGCTAATGACCTAGCAAGATCCTTGTCGTTAGTCTTAGGCCAATCCCCTGTCGCATTGTATGTTGATACAACGGCTAAAATATTCCTCGCAACGTGTAAACAATGCTCCAGCATCCCCAGAATACCGTTCAGAAATAATTTGAGCAGGACAGATTTGGAGCGTCTGTTTGCCTTGATCTGGCCATAAAATCCGTGTGCCTGCGCCGTGAAGACAAGAACCATATCAATGATGAGGTTAAGGGACTCCAACCTTATGATCCCCTTCGCATCAGCCTGCATTTTGTGGTCCCGCAAGTCGAGATCAGGACCAGTAGGTTTGATATTAGGGGTGGCTTCTCGGGGATCTTCCACCTGCTGTCCATCTAACTCAGCAACTTCAACCACTTTCGCTTCCCGCAGGATCCTTCGGCTCTCCGGGTGGTCCTGGATGGTTGACGGTGCTGAAGTTATCCTGCTTTCTGGGCGCGAGGTCCCTAACAGTGGAGAGCCCATAGTGTTTTTCATTAAAGGAAGGCTTCCAGCTATAGTTGCTGGGCCATGAATAGGAGGAGGCTTCGGAGTGCTAGAGGCCACGGGAGCGATGAGGGTTTCCGTGGACGATCTGACTATGCCTGGCGTACGGATGTACCCACGCATAACTCTCGGCTTTTCTATAACGATCTCTGGTTCTGGGAGATGCCTTGCGGTAGGCGTGTTCGTCGTAGGAGTTTTTCTTGAAGGTATTGCAGATGGCACGTTTGACCTTTCCCAAGAATTTTGACTCGCCCGTCGTAAACCCGAAGGGGAGACACTCGTTTGAGGTTTTGTGTTTATCCGAAGTTTTGTGCGAGAGTCGGTGATGATCTCTCCTGCGCTGCGAGAACTGGGTTCTGGCGGCCTCTGGGTTTTGCGGAGGTGGCCCTTTATATCGGTCATAGTCACCATAGTACGTGTTATAGTAGGTGTGATAATGTATACATCGTCGGGATTGATCTGCGGTCTTTGCTGCTCGAAAGACATGGTCTTCCTTGCAGAAAGCTCGATATTCTCTTTCCTTGGGCCTTTCGTAGATTTCTCTGTTCGTTCCGATTGTTGACACTGGACCTCGTGACACATTGTCTTCGGTAACGGCTTGGAGCATTGGGCATGCTTCAAATTCTGAGAAATTGGTTTCCATTCTTCTTGGACCACAGTCTTCCCCTCCAAAGCTGCCGTCATATGCTGCGTGGCTACGAGCTTGGGTTCCCTGGGTGTTCTGGACGTTTGAGGTGGAATGTTCACGACTTTGGGACGCTCGTCCACGGTCGAAAAGAGTAAAATTTCGTCTGGATTCCGGTTGTTCGGTCCATTGATTTCCCTGCACCCTAAAAAAGAACCATCTGCGTTCGCTTGGGGTGATTTCTGTTTCGGTACCATAGATGACTCTTCCCAGATTGTGCTACATCTCGGTCTTCCAACCTCATCAGGGCAATAATATCGCCGGCTATGGGCTTCATCTTCTTCGTTTGAAAGAGGCGGACGTGAATCTTGGCCATCAAATGTTCCCAGTCTCCTTTCACGCGGACCAAAGGGGTTGCTCTGCTCTGGTGTTGTCGTACGTGGGCTGGGAAGAGTTTCGGGATCGAGCATCGCCCCACCTTCTTTATGTACTTTCTCAATACTCTTCTGAAATTCAGCAATCTGATGCGCGTTCATCGTAGGTGGGTTGGGCTCCCGCGCAGACGGCATATTGACCACGAATCTATCTTCCCATTCTGTCATTGAAGTAGCCGGCCCCGATACAGGGGATATAGAAGAGCGTGAGTTGTCGGATGAATGGGTAGTATTCTCCGTCTTCCCTGGAGATTTCTGTGATGTAGTCTCATTCGTACCTGGGAGAGCACTTCGTTCACTACCACGTCGTCCCCTCCGGAGCATAATGGAATGACCCTCGCTATCACTCTGAGAGCCCTCCCCTAGAACAGATCGATGTCCGAGACTAGGAGTTTTGGCTAGTTTCTCGAGTTTATCCCCTGGCTTGGATATCCCCTTCCCGGTTGCAGCGATCCCGAGGTGTTTCAACTTATGTTTGGCTATTTCCTGCCGAGGAGAGCTAGCCAACGAGATGATCTTCCGGTACGCTTCATGGTAGTAATCCTTTTGCTGCTTTTCCTTGTTGCGCGGTGAGAGTGGCAATCGACGGTCTTTGTCCAGCTTGTCTCTAACTTTTCGCCAGTACTGCTCGCGCTCTTTATCGGTTGCCCTGGGAGATTCACGGTCTAGAGCGGCATCCGAATTCTTTGGCTGAACACGTACACCAACCCCGCGTTCTTGGTGGCCAGACGCGGCTGAGTTACCCTTTGATGGAGTACAGTCCTTATCCACAAAGACTTTGAGAGGAAGCCTGGTAGGTGTAGTCTTTCGTCCGGTTGCCTCTGGTGTGTGGGGTTGAGATATATCCTCTCCGTATGAATGGGTAGATTGTTCGGTTGTCCTTTTTGTAGGCTCATCACGGAGTATGTGATTAATTGCATCAGGACTGGGTCTTGGGCGCTTGCCGTTTCGAGATCGGGTTGGAAAGTTGAGCAAATGCCCATTGGGGAGATGGACAGTCTCTTCCATGACCACAGGCTATCGGTCGCAGGGACTGCCAGTATCGGCTTCAAGGTCAGTGCCAACCCCTCGACTCAACCATCCCTTCAAGCAGCGGGTTTTTTTCAGTGCTATGAAGAGGTCAACAGTATGGCTGTTTCGCCTTGTCGCCCATCCGCTGTTCGGTAATGAGGAAAGAAGATTATCATCACACGTAACTACCAGCAAGGAACTCAGAGAGCCATGTTCTCGGCGGGGTCGACTCACTGCCCATTCGGAGGGGAGTTCGCGTATAGAGTTGGAATGTTGAGCATCAAGGCCGCCACGCTCAAGAATGTACCAACAAACGGAGATGAACAAACCCGGAATGTTCCTCTCAAGATTTCTGCTGCAGCAACTTGGAATGGAAGCTGCACCCATGGCAAGAAAACCGATTGCATTTTAATGGAAGGAGCAAGGCACATGCCAATTCATTTTCCGATGAGCAATAACAAGATATTTATGCGGATGGAGTAGATGATATGGCTGCGGCATTGTCGTATGAGAGCCAATGTGCGTATTTTTTTTTAAAAAAAACAAAACTTCATCCAGGCTGGCAATAATACCACCCTGAAAAGATAGTACAGAGGCTGGATGGACCTGGTGTCAGCCTACATTCCAGCATCGACTAAGGCTTAACATCACATGAAAGATAATAAATACAGGTAAACAAGCAGAAGCACCAACGCCATACCCAATGCTAACCTGATAATAATCACACGATGGGCCCTTGGTTCAGAATCCGGAAAAGGGAAATGTGTGACGATGCCGAGAGTTATTATGTATATCATACTTTACATGGAAGAGGCAGTCGTAGCATCATTGACCGCTTGGGTCAATCAGAAATGCCCAGTTTCACGTCGCCGGTCAATGAGACTTCTCCTTGTTTCTGACGTCATGGGGCTCGCTGCCGCGGATACATTATTGCTCTTTTTCAGCGGACTAGAGGGTCGCGAAGTTCGTTCTCTGTAAAAAAAGTCCCCGTTGTTATGCAGGCGACGTTCAAAGTTTGCTGAAGTAGATTTTCTCAAGGGTGAGTTGGCATGCGAATAAATGCCGAGGCTACCACCATCACCTGTGGCGGCGGGAGTCTGTCGAAACTGGGGCTGGCGAATGGAAGATAGGGGAGCTTTAATAACAGGAGAGGCGTCTCGCAGGTGGTTAGGCGTTTGTACCGAACCCTTATAATGGGAAGAGCTAATAGGCGTGGCGCTAAAGGACTGGCGTCGAGAGGCGGACGCGTCCGGATCGACGTGGCTGATATATTTTGGGTTAGGGCTAGTCTTAAACCCTCGGTTGATGACAACTGTGGGCGTATAGGTCTCAACATTGTTATATTTCTGCTCGAAGGTCGAACTAGGGCCGGAGAACTGAGTGCCAACGTTTCTCATCAAGGGTTGAGTGCGAGGGTGCACGTATTTTGTGTCATACTCCTTCAAGACTTCCCTGTGAACAAGCGCGGAATCCTTTGCCTGTTGCTTGAAGGAAGATGACAGGAACGACATCTGTATCGAGAGCAGGGTGGTCAAAAAGATGGCAGTCACAATGGTAACGCTCGGTCGAGGGTCGGATAGCTGAGTGGGTAGGAAAAGCCAATAGACCAGAATATGACCGGGACCGAAAAGGCAAAATAGTCGGAGGCAAATCGGTAGAGGGTCCCAAACCGCAAGCTCCCAAACATCACGTTCCGCATCCTGGTGTGCTCTCGACTCCGCAGACCAGGAGAGGGCATTTGCAAGGTATCGGAGTGGTGACGCAGCCACCGGTGTTGAATCGACTCGCACACGGTGGGCAGAAGGGGTCACAGGCGCCTGATCAATAGAAGCTTCAAACAAGCGATAGTGTCGTTTTCGACAGAAGGTGTAGAAAGTGTTCAGCGCGACGACACAGACAAGAAAATGAACCACAAACGAGGCCTAATTGAGCATTCGGTCAGCCCTCAGCATATCATGGCCAAATTACTTCCCGGGGTCACCAAAAGGTAGATATTTGTCACTTACAAACCAGCTCAGCCAAGAACTGCCCCCATCCTCACCAAACACATCATCAATAGCCTGGCTGCCACTTGACTGACTCTTTGCCCGCGCAACCAAAAACACAAGATTCAACGTCACACCCAGCGGAAGCGCCCAGTTTTTCTCGAACTGATCCCAGTCATTTGCATCAATCTCTTCTGAGAGCCACAGCAAAAAGTCTAACGGATTCAAGTAGGACTTAATGCGCTCTGCCAGCGGTTGGCGGCGAATGAGCCGGGGCATGGTGATGTCAGTCGATACTCCTATGAGGAGAAGCTAGGAGACGCAAAAGAAAACATCAGCTTAATTTCCAGACGAAAAAAAAAAAGAGGATCAGAAAAATCGACCATGAAGAACCTACCCGAAGCAAACCCGAAGCGCACACACAAAAAATCCCCCCCAAAGCTTCTAAATTCTGGATCCGTTTCCACCAAGTAAACAAAGTTGCCATAACATTTAAGGAAAAAGATGGAGGGCTCTGCTTAGCTAAGCAACACTAAGCGGCGGTAGTGAATCTGCAAGTTGAAACTAACGGGATTCGGTATGACGATGGACTTGATCGATTGATGGGACTTGACAGAGAGGCAGTTAGGTGCTCAGTCTTCAGCTGTGTTTGAGATTACGCAGCGACATCTAACCTATACCTTGCTTTTCCTCTTCCCTGCCCTGCCTCACGATGGCCACCTCCACTGCTTATAAGGTACCGACCTACCTTCCCCCCTCCCCCTCCCCAAAAGCCTCCAACATGAGACACATGAACATATCTAACCTTGGACTGCTACACAATAGGACCGACAGTTTCTCGCCGTGATTGGTGACGAAGAGTAAATTCCCACACACTCAGGGATTTCCCGAAACACGCAAAGCCCCTGCTAATTCTGCCTTGATCAGCTCCGTAACGGGTCTCCTCCTCGCCGGAGTCGGGGTAAGATTCACACGCGCCACGTATATTCAACTCGACCTAACGCTCTCTATCTTTTCTAGCATGTTACAGACGGCCCCGACTCCCAACGGAACTTCCTTGTGGTAGACGCGAAGACAGAGACGGCCACAATCGAGAAAGCATTCCAGAACTTCACTCAGGAGCGGAACGATATCGCCGTGTTACTGATCAACCAACATGTATGCATATCCCGGCCAGTCCCAGTCCTACCTAGGCCCCAAGCACGGAGGTGGAAAAAAGCCCGTGTGGTGCTAATTGATGCAAACCCAGATCGCAGAGCGCATCCGACACAGCGTCGACTCCTACGCGGAAGCCTTCCCCGCCGTCTTGGAGATCCCCAGCAAAGACCACCCATATGATCCGGAGAAAGATAGTGTATTGAAACGAGTGCGCCGTTTGTTTGGGGAATAGGCTTCTTTTTTTTTCCTTTTCTTTTACGTCTTTTTCCTTCTTCCTTTTCTTGTTCTTTTTCGTATATATTATTTGCCGTCGTCTGCAAGCGCGGTTTCAAGTTACTTGGTTTCTTGATGCTTGGACGGGATGCCCTTGGGCCTGTTCATTTATTTCTTCATCTTATCGTGATAGTCTATTACTACGGGACTATATCATAGAGCAACAGAGTACAATGGGAAATGCCCAATCTCAATATGCACAAAGGGGTTGGGTTCGTTGAATTACCGATTTTGTCAACGGGTTCAAGCGGTACTGTAATAAATATATGTATGTACTATGTATATGAATATCTAAACAGCTATACTTCGGCAATGAGCTACCCTTGAGAATAAAATCCGGGGAAATATCATGGTGGATAATTTTACTTTATATATATATATATATATATAGCAAGGGAGACAGGGAATATTTTTATAATTTTACTATCTAGGATGCCATTCGGGTAGTTATATTACACCCCTAAACCCTAACAGTCTGACGAAACTATACATTTGGTATTATATAGAAAGTGTGAAACTAATTCCGGCAGAAACGATGGTAGATTAACAACATTTGGCTGGTCGCCCAATAGGGAGCAATAAAAGCAGTCGCCAAAGGAGCTGGTAGTTTATTCTCAGTGGAAAAAGAAAAAAAAAAGTCTCCCAAACGCCGCAAGAGAGGTGGCACATAGCATTACACGCAGCTGGCAGCAATCACGAGTACAGTGACAAAACTGGATAGGCGTTGATTCGGGAAATAAAACAACGAGCACGTAAAATAGAACAACGACTTGAATGGCTAACAAGAACACAAAAAGTTGATATGCATGATGTCGGAAATCGTTATGAAGGTACTGTGGGCGTTATCAGTGTCTCACATTGAGCACCCCGGGTGGAAAAAGAAGAGATAAATCTGACGTTGGATAAATTAGAACTGGATGTTGCGGGCGTCCAAGCAAGTAATGCGCTCATCGTCTTTGGTGTAGACATCAGCGTGAACAGTGTATTTGCCCTGTTGATACCAGCATGGTCAGTTTCCGGATCATTCTAGCCCAAACGATGGAAAGATAAATCAACATACGGGAGGAATCTGCGCTGGCAGCTCAACTTCCTTGGTCAAACTCATGGTACCCTCCTCCAAGGGACATTCCAGGTCAACATTCACGATCTGATCACAAAGGTCGGGCTTTTGTCGGAGGAGGGTGATCAACCCGTATTTGACCTCCAAGAGAACATAAGCACCCTTTTCGATCCGTTTATGGATGGTCCCTTCCGCCTGGATTGTGAGGGTTTGGCCACTGACCTGGATTAGCGGAGAGGACTCGAAATAAGAGGTTAGTTCGATCAACGACTTACGCCTTGGGAGGGTTTGGAGACAAGTCCACCGATTTGATGCTTAGAACATCCCCGTCGGGATTGGTGCAATATTCCAAGGGATTATTGCCGTCTACTGGAAACGCTTCTTTCAGCGTAACCTGAGAGGAGCTAAAAAGCGTGTGAGGCGAAGCGGTAACGGAGAGGGGAGCCAAGCAAAGCAACGCGGCGGCCGACGATAAGAGCTTCATGGTCGTAGACTGAGGAGAGATCTCCGTGAAATCGAGAAAGAGGTATAGAAGATAGCTAGAATAGGCCTGGAAAATACCTTTCTCTAGTGCGGGCAGGAAGAAAACGACGATGACAGGGAGTTAAATGTAGAAATGAGGAGAGATTGTGTCATGGGAGGCGGCTTTGGGGGTGACGAATGATGGCTGGGCACACGTGATTGTTCCGCAAGGGTGCTTATCCAGGCTGTAATTTTAACCAACGGTCCCTGGCGGTCAAGCAGGGTATCCTGGCCCGAGGAAATATTTCTGCATGGATGAGGTTGAATTTTTAAACCCAAGTCAGGCCTTAGAGATATAAAAAAAAAATTGGAGGGAGGGATTTGAGCCTAGTTATCCAAATTGCCAGTTTGGGGCTTTATAGCAATTCAGACCTGTTCTCCATCTCAGTGAACAGACAGTCCAGTATACCACGTCTACAGTACCTAACTGTAGACCACACCACGGAGGACTGGATATATAACGACGTTCATTTAGTTCTTCACATTTAATTGCATATTATTACTTAGATACCACCTTTGCACTTCACAGTTCATCCTTAAGACACCCTATCCTATAAGTAGGGGAGCTCACTCTGTGACTGACTGTAAGGGTAAAGGCTGTCCGGTAGAACGATGCTAGTTGATCAGGTAGAGAATCCGGTCAACAAAGGATCGCGTGATGGAAGCGAGGAAGAGGAGCCTTAAATTCTAAGTCCTAGTTGCTGTTACGAATGAGGCAGTCGGAACGTCGAGATAAGGCGGCGTTGGACTTAAGAATAACCATTTCCGGATCAGGATGATAAGCTTTGGCGGTTGTTATCGGAGAGTGTATCAGACGCGTCTCCTACGTTCCTGGGTCTTCCCTTCCTTTATCTCCTCAGCTTTGATACTCTCGTGAAGTAGCGCAAGTTGATCCCGAATCCCTGCCTGGATGTAACAGTTACAGCCTGATCGCCGCCTACGTCCTCGAACCGTAGCCATGCAGAACTCCACGCCAAGAAGGCCCGAGACGGTAATGAAGATGCGGGAGTTCCATCGTAGTCAAAGGGATCCCCTAGCTCTAGCCATGGGACAGGGCGGACTCCAGACTTTCCTTCGCACACAGTCTGAGTTAGTCACCCCGCCGCCCTGAGCTGCCCACTGACCTAACCTGTAATTGCGACCTCGACAACCGCTTTCCCGATTATGCAATTTAGTATCCCCATGGTTTATTTTCAGTGTCAAGAATTTTCGCCCGTAGGTGTCCTTTCTTCTCCGTAGGGCGTTGCTTGTCTGTAGACTTTCGGGAATCGGGCGTTTCGTTGACATTCGAGGATAGTAGTGAGAGGCCGCTCGCTGCAAGAAGGTCTTCGATGTTGGTGCTTCCACTCGGCGCAAGCCCACCACAGTCTTCAAAATCTTTTAGGACCTTGTCGATTATCTCCGCCTGGCCACTTAGATGTAGAAAGTTTCCAATACAAGCGTGGATTCCGAGAAGTTTAGGATCTGGAAGTTCCCAACTTCCTTTGTGAATTCTGAACTTGACAAGCCGATTTTTAGGTAAATTCCGTATCGGCCCTGTGGCGGTATCTGGAAAGGTCTTGATTCGATACTGGTGAGCAACTCCGGTTGCTTCAAAAATGAGTCTGAATTGACCGAATTCAGTGTGAAGTGGCGACTCTAGCATTAGGATGTTCTTTTCCGTATTGATCTGGTCCGAGGTAAAGGACATACTGCGAAGAACTGGAAAGTATCGCCTTAGGTTGACCCAAGTCTTTGCATGTCTGTCCACTGCCTCACCGTCATTAGCCTGAAAGGATCCAAGTGCAAATGGAATAATGTGTGCCGCTTCAAGATGGGTCGTTATTGCGTTCTGTGGATGGGGGTGACTGTGACTATACTGCCCCGTTGCAAGACATTTGTTGCCATCTCTTTCTAAACAGTGGTGCCGGAGTTGCGACTGAGAGCTTCTGCTGATGGGCTCGATGTTTAGGCTATTGAGATTCTCGATGGAATCTTCAACGCCGGAACGCGGAGACGGAGTGATTTCAGTGGGTGTTTTGCCGCCCTGTGCTTTCATAGGAATCAATAAACCAGTTCTGATGCTTTGGACCAGTTGCCGAAGCTCCTCATCGTTTGCACACCCTGAAACGTCTCCCGCCAGATTTTTTTTTCCGTCAGGAGGAAGGATCTTGAAGAAGTCACGGAGGAAGTCCTTGGTTTTGTCCGTGGGCTCGAGTGGTGTGTAGCTATTCAGCTTTTGATCCAGCTTCTAGCTTGATTATAAGTATTGAAAGACTAGAAGACAAAGAAGGACACACCGTCTTCGAGGATGATGACATTCTGCTGACTGCCTAGGTTGGGGTGAGTTTAGGGCCAGTTTGGAGGGCATGGTACTGTAGTTCCAGTAAAAGCAAAGCGGCCGAATCAGCTGTGGCCGTTAAGAAGGGGATTGATGATAGATGAGTGAGATTGGTTGAAGGAAAGTTAGGTGGGCGAGCCTGATCGCCCTCATTAAAGCGGCGGCAGCCCAGAGAGGAAAACGCCACCCCGCGGACATCAGTATTCATGGGGAATGGCCCACCATCACCACTCTCTCTTTAAATACAAGTATACACCTAGGTTGCCGGAGACAGAAGGACTGCCAATGATTACGCTTCCGCATATCTTTCAAGAATAGGCAACGAACGCGAGTATTATCGACATAGGCCAGGTCATTTCAAAGTATTATTTACAGATATTTACGCTCAAATAAGACAATCTAGTGCTCAGAAACAAAGATACCAGCCATTCCCATGCCCTTAAAAAAGAAAAAAAAAATACGTTAGTAAAATGACCCTGCGAAAAAAAAAAAGGTATCGTGGAGACTCACAGTTCCGACACACATGGAGGTGACAGCCACCCTCTTATTCTGTCGTCGCAATTCGGAGAGAGCTGTGACAACCTGGCGGGCGCCAGTGGCTCCCAATGGATGACCAAAAGCACTGAGATTTGTTAGTAAACATAAAATTCCCCGTAGATATAAATGTAGTGGTTGTGGACTTACATAGCACCACCACGAGGGTTAACCTTGGCCTCGTCAAGCTCTAGCTTTTGAACGCAGTATGCACCCTATTTCGAAGTTAATCGCCATATTTGGTTGCAAAGTCTAACAGTTTACATACCATGGAGGCGAAAGCCTCGTTGATTTCGAAAATATCAATTTCGTTGGTGGTCAAGCCGAACTTGGACAGGATCTTGGGAATGGCGTAGGATGGTCCAATACCCATGATTCTGGGCTCCAGACCAGTGACGGTAGCACCGCAAAACTTGCCGACAATGGGCTGGCCGAGCTCCTGGGCACGAGAGCGCTTCATGAGGAGAACGGCAGCCGCGCCATCAGTGATCTGACTTGCGTTTCCACCAGTGGTCTGGCTGGGCTTCCACTGGGGGAAAGCAGCGCGAATCTTTCCGAGGGATTCAGCAGTAGTACCGTAGCGGATACCATCGTCACGGTCGACAATAATATTCTTGACTTCACCAGTCTTGGGGTCCTTGATCTGAGTTTTGACCGGGACGATCTCGTCGTTGAACCAGCCGGACTTCTGGGCGTGCTCGGCCTTCTGATAACTCCTGGCAGCGAATTCATCCATCATCTGACGAGTGATGCTAAATTGACCGGCAACGTTTTCGGAAGTCTGACCCATGGGCTGTTTGTTCTGTGAGGCAATAGGGTGCTCGCTGACCTCGGGGGACATCTCGGGGGCACCTCCGTCGGCGTTGGTGCTCATGCTCTCGGCACCCACAGCAATACCGACATCGATTGAACCAGCAATGATCTGGTTGGCGATGTTCTGGATTGCCAGCAATCCAGAGGAGCAGAATCGGTTGGCGACAGACGCGGCAGCTGTGACGGGGTATCCTGCGGCAAGGACAGCTGAACGAGCGACATAGGCTTGACCGGGGCAGAGACAGTTGCCAACGCAGACATCTTCGACAAGGTTAGGGTCAAGTTTGGATTTCTCGCGAACGGTCTGGTAGTGCTGTATTAGATACGTAAAATAGGGTACGTTAGGAAACAGGTCGCCATTACCGTCAGTAAGGAGACAAGGAGGCTGTCGAGATTTGTGTCCTTCAACCCACCCTTCTTGGCTTTTGTGAGAGGGGTGCGCACAGCAAGTGTGATGACCTGTTTTTGCAATGATCAGTAATCAAGCAAGCCTCCATGGTATGAATGATGTGAAAAAGCTTTCGAATATACCACATCGTCCGCGTTCTTAGCCAACAGCTTTTGTCTGTTAGTAGTGGCGCTGGAGCCCGCAAGCTGGCCCGCAATGGAGGACAAGCGCTGTTGAGGAGAAGACATTGTTTCGGATTATTCTATGGGGGATGAGACAGCTAAAGATGCTTTCTGTAGGACTTATTTTCCAAAAAAAAGAAGAAGAAGAAGAAATGTTCACATTGTTATATGAAGAAACTGGGAGAGAGATGCGATCAACCGCGGCTCGGGGGAAACCCCATAACTAGTAGGTGGGCCAAAGGTGAGTCGAAATCGGTTCACGGGGAGGGACACGATGATTGCTTATAATTTATGGAGGAAAGGCCATGGCGTAATGTGGGATTGTTTTCATAGTTATGCCACTATAAAAGGAGAAATAGCTGACTTAGGTACTTGGATTCTTAGACAGAGTGGACGGAGGGAGTACGGAGTAGGAGGCATCACATTTCGGGATACTTCCGTCTCCTCAGGTCTATGGAGGAAGCTATCATTTGGAGTATAATATAGTACCTAGGTCCTAGGTAGCTATTAAAACAGTACCCAGTATAAATATCCATGATCCATGATTTGTAGTGTGAGAGAAAGTCTCAGACAGCCGAAAGAAGATGCCGTTAACAAAGGCGTAAAATTCGTAAAATACAGGTAAAGTTACTTTACTGGCCTCGGTTGTTGGTGTTTAGAAATTACCCCTTTTAGGATATATTAGTCAGCAGTTTGCTGGCATGGCTGAGTCAGCAATTATCATGGGGAACACAACACAACAACAACTACTACTACTACCTAGGTGTATTCCAGACTCAATTATATTTACAGGCTCATCTTATCACGTCCGTGTTGAACATGTCCCTGTCCCTAATCGCATCTCCTCCATCTCTGCGAGGAAGAAACGGATATTCTACTCAACCGTTCACGAAACTTGGAGGTTGGAACTACGGTGATATCAATTCTCATTAATCCACCAGTGTATTGGTTCTTCTTCCTGTCTCTGAGCCATCGGGTCTTACACCGTCTGCGAATTGCCGTATTTTTCACGAGCCGATAGCTGGGGATAACTCTCTGTGCCTGTGTAAATAAGCGGCCGATCAGCGGGGCATCAGCTCCCGTCCCCAGATTCCGACTCAGTCTCCTTTAGACATAGCTATGTCTGGCCTATCACCTAACCATCGACCCTTGGAGGGAGGTTAAAAGACTCCAGGGCCCGCATGGCCAAATGCGGGGTTGGTGTTTTGTTGATGATTTGTTTCTCTCTTCCAGTTCTCGGGGCATAATCGGGACCTCGCCAAGACTTTGGACAGGTCAACATTGAACTCTAGGGTACCTAGTTACGATACTAAAGATACGACCTCCTCGGTTTTTGGAGTATCCCTTCTTCCAGTCACTTGTGCCACAATGGATCTCTTTTCCGAGATCAGCATACCTGCGATGGCTGCTGCATCGACCTTTTCCCTCGCAGCGGGTGCTTACTTGAATGCAAAACTCTCCATTTCTACGGATTTGGCTACAATCTACAATGATCGCGCTTGGGAAAATCGCCTGTCTCACCGCATCTCCCAGCTGGGTGATGCAACCACTCTCTATGGGATGCTCAGGCGAGTGGTTGAGGTAGAGGGTCATGGATCGAAAGAGGCTCTTTGGTTTGAGGGCAAGACATGGACCTATAGCCAAGTGAAAGACCGTATGTTGATTTCTCTCTGACTCGTCGGACGCAAAACTTAGTTTGCTAATTCTAGATCAAAGTTGCGGATCGAATGGCCACTCTCCTCCATAGAAAGGAAATCAAGGCCGGCCATTTTGTTGCTGTTTTTACAACCAACTCCCCCGAGATGATTGTCATCATCTATGCTCTCTCAAAGTTGGGCGCTGTTGCCGCTCTCATTAACACAACCCTGCGAGGTATGAGTGCACATCGATGTCTTTGCATGGGTTTGACCCTCTAATTATGCATCAACCAGATGATACCTTCATTCACTGCTTAAATGTCTCGAGCTCCAAATTCGTGATCTCTTCGCCCGACCTCTCACAGTTTGTGTCCTCTGATTTACCCCATCTATCGCTGAATATCTCGTCTTTTGACGGGATTTCACCTGCATGCGAACTCGTGACACCGGTTGAGCTGCAGCAGTTCTCACCATCTGAGCTGCTTGCCGCAAAGAGATCCCCAAGTGATTTATCTACCCTTATCTACACTTCTGGTACTACTGGGAAACCCAAGGCCTGCGCTGTGCGCAACATGATGGTTTTAGCCACATCTAATCCCCTTTCCCTCGACGTCGACAAGCCCTCCAAATACTTCCCTCTTCGCACCTACTCCTCTCTTCCTCTGTTCCATGGTACTGCCTACTTTACGGGGCTGTGCTACTCTGTTGGCAATATAGGAACCCTTTGTCTGCGCCGAAAGTTCTCCGCGTCTCAATTCTGGAAAGACGTGCATGACTCGAAATCCACTCGTATTTTATACATTGGGGAACTCTGCAGATATCTGCTCTCCACATCTCCGTCCCCTTACGACCAGGATCATACATGCATTGTTGCCAGTGGCAACGGGCTGCGTGGGGATATTTGGGAGCGTTTCCGCCAGAGGTTCAACGTTCCCGAAGTTCGGGAGTTCTACAGATCTACCGAGGGCATCGCCAAATTTGACAACTTGGGTGTGGGGTCCTGGGGAGCTGGAAAGGTTGGGTTCTCGGGGCCGATTCGGAGGTTCTTCGAGGATGATACAATTATCGTCAAGTATGATACCGAAACAGAAATGCCCTATCGGGATCCGAAAACTGGCTTCTGTATTAGGGCTAGGCTTGGGGAGGAGGGCGAGGCAATTGGCCGAGTCAGGAACCGAGGTCTGCTCACCGAATACCTGCACAATGAAGATGCCACTGAGAAGAAACTACTCCGAGATGTGTTCGCGAAGGGCGATATTTTCCAACGGACAGGCGATTTGTTCGTCCAGGACTTGGATGGATGGGTAAAGTTTCAGGATCGAGTGGGAGATACCTTCCGCTGGAAGGGCGAGAACGTCAGTGCAGGAGAAGTCAGAGATCATATTTGTCGAATTCCGGATGTCCATGATGCCGTTGTCTACGGTGTAAAACTGAGCGCGTATGTTGAAGTACTCATGGTTTGCGAATTAAGTGCTGATTACTCAATCTCTAGATACGATGGTCGGGCAGGTGCTGCAGGTATCACGCTCGAGGACCCCTCCGAGACTACTGCCACCGAATTCATGGGCAAGCTCCATAGTGAGCTGAGAAAGAAAGGAGTCCCAACATACGCTGTTCCACGACTTGTCCGGCTTACAGAAAAGTGAGATTCCCAATGTGAACCGCAACCGGTATTTCTGTTACTAACTACCTCTTCCAGAGTTGCAACCGGAGTGACGTTTAAGCAAGCCAAAGGGGATATTACCAAGAAGGGCTGGGATCCCCGAAGTGACTGGAAAGGTGATAAGCTATTCTGGCTGAATGGCACGAAATACGAGACGCTCAATGATGAGAGCTGGTCCTGCATTGAAAGTGGGCGGGCGAAGTTATGATGATGCTTTGGTATCCGTATATTATACTAGCCTTAAATCCTCGCTACGCTCGGCGGCTTGTTGGGGCATATGGCAAACTAATAGTATAGTCTTAATTATAGTATGATAGCTACTATATTAATGCAAGTATGGAAGTTAGAATTAAAATAGGTATTAAAGTAGATATTAAAGGAGGCATTCAAGTAGGTATTAGCATGGTAATATTAGCATGGTAATAGCTTATAAAAGTAGATAATATAGGAATCTCTATAGCTAACAGGTTAACCAACATCCCAAGGTTCTACAGCATGGAAAAGATGGCCCTGCGGGCCATAGTTCTTCCGAAGCGCGCGTAGAACTCAGCACGGTGTACGGGTCATACCACGAGTGTTTGAGGGAAGCTTCCAAAAGTTACCTAGCGCCACGTGATCCACAGTATTTAATTCGCCAATTCGTTCTACATTTTCATACATCTTAAGCAACCTTTTCCATACCAGTAGAATCCATCGTCATCGGGGATTTGACGTTCATTCGATAGAAAGAACATAGACAGAATATTTAGACAGACTCATAATCTTACTTCTTGATCTCTCGTACTCTGTAGGATGTGCGGTCGCTATCAATGGCTTGCTTGTACTTAGAAGTTTTTGCGGATGTATATTGAATCCCGTCATCTGACAAGCCAGTCTCCTTTTTTTGGGGGGTTTCCAACGTCTCTTTTTAGATTTCCAGACTCTCCTCATACACAATGAGAAATCCTCAGTCTCCTCAGAAATCCAACCGGAAACCCAAGGGAATCCAAGTTTCTACAACCCCACATCTCACGTCCTGAAGCCCGAGCCAAGTCAAGACGATCGACACGCTTGGTTGGAATCTGGATACCGCTCGACTAGTCTACGGGCTGCAACCCACATTTCGATAATGTGTCGGGTCTGATTGCTCGAGATACGCACGTTCACAACCTAGTTGAGGAGACTAATAATGAGAATGGACCCGGCTAGTTCAAATGTCGATTGGTGGGGTTAAGAAATCAATCTCTTAGCAATTGATTAAGGAAAGGAAATCATGGATCTCAGCAATCCCCCCCCCCTTCCTCCCTCTCCCTTCCCTTGCTTTGCTTGACATTATTTCCCGAGTTTCAGTTCAAACGTTCCAAGGCGCATTGACGGGGTCCTAGCTGCAGCTTTAATCGCCACTTTACGGACAATATCGGTGGCTGTAAAGCTTCATCTGCCTCAATTTAAGATGGCTACTGCGCTTGCTCCTCCGTCACAAGACGAGGCAGCTAAATCCCAAGATCTTGTGGTTCAGGATGCCTTGGATGATAGTAAAACTGATCTTGAGCAACCTACAGCCCCTGATCAATTTGATGAGAGATACCGCACGACCAAATTGGAGATTTGGGCTTACTATGCGTGCGTAGCAGATGATGGGTGTGGATGAATTGAGCTTTGCTAAATTTTTTTCCCTGGCTAGTTATTATATTGGAAATAACGGATTGTCTCTGTTCAGTGAGTTTTTCTCCTTTCTCTCGGGAAGATTCCGATGTTCGTCAGTATTCTAATAGGTATCCTAGATTTTGCACCCACTGCTTTTCAGAATCTGCTGTATCAAGCGGCCGGGGATGAAGGTGTCCTGATGTTCGCAGGCAGACTGCGCTCCATCGAAAGTATTGTCCTCCTGAGCAACGGAATTTCATTCGCCATCCAGGTTGTTATCTTCCTGATCATCGGTAGTTTCGCCGATTTTGGGACCTGGAGACCAAACATCCTCATCGGATTGTCAATTATTGCGTACGCAATCGGATTCGGCTGGCTTGGTGTCCATACTGAAGATAAGTGGCACATTGGGGTTGGATTGTACATGGTTGGACTCATCGCCTACCAGACGACGTTGACATTCTGGACCGCTGCGTTCCCAGGTCTGGCGCGCAACACAGCTGAAATGAAGGCGAAAGCCGATGAGTATAGGAGTGGAGATATCTCGCGTGACGAGTACGATTTTGCCGACATGATGAAGCGGAGCCAGTTGGCCAATATTGCGTTCTATATCCAATCGATCGGCGAGATCTTTATCCTGGCTATCATTGTCGGGATCATGTTTGGCCTGCGTGTTGATGACAGCGAAGCGAACAATAACTGGGGGCTCAGCGTGCTCATTGCATTTGCTAGCGGCGTCTGGTTACTTATTTCTTTGCCCTGGTTCTTCATTGAAAAGAGACGGCCGGGACAGGATACAATGGGTCAGAATATTATCCTAGCTGGGTTGAACCAGCTCTATCAGGCTATACGACAGGTTTGGAAGCTAAAACAGAGTTTACTATATCTTATTGGTAAGATTGTATTCTCAGGCTTTCTTTTGAAGGATTGTAATACTAACAGAAGTGCTATAAACGACAGGATACTTCCTCCTCGGCGACTCCTTGAATACAACAGTGACCGTGATTTCTACCTTGCAAAACAGCATTGTAGCGTACAACACTCTACAACTGACTTATTTACTGATTGTCGGAATCGCAGCCCAAGTACGACCCCCAACTCCCCCAAGATCCAGGTAAATCTATATTCACAGACTAACATCCAACCAAAACACAGGCCGTCGGAATCTACGCATTCTGGTACCTACAACAGCGGTACAATCTCTCCCCTAAGACCATGTTCAACGCCGTCGCAATCGGCATCATCCTTCTTGACGGCTGGGGGATGATAGGCATTTGGACCCAGAAATTCGGATTTCATAATTCCTGGGAAGTCTGGGTATGTCCTCACCTTTCCATGCACTCTTTTATATACTCTCTCTCTATCTATCTATTTTCAAACACCCCCTTAACCATTACCATACTCCTATGTAAGTGGCTGACTTGAAAAAAAAAAAAAAAAAAAAAAAAGGTCTACCAAGCCTTCTACGGTCTCTTCGTCTGCCCCTGGTACAGCTACTCCCAGATCATGATCTCAGAAGTCACCCCACGCGGCCACGAATTCCTCTTCTTCAGTCTCTTCAGCATCATTGGGAAAACATCCTCTTTTATAGGCCCGCTCGTGTCCAGCGCGATCATTGATGTGTCGCCGAACAACAACTCCTCCACGCCGTTTTACTTTTTGTTTGCCTTGAGTATCGTCAGTTTTGGCGTTCTGGTGATTTGGTTGGATTTGAAGAAGAGTCGGGAGGAGCAGGAGAGGTTTTTGAAGGATAAGATGAATGGGCTGTAGGTTTTTTTCATTTTTATTTTTCATTTATGTTTTTGTCTTTGCTGAGGGAGGGGGGGGGGGGGGGGAGAAAAAGGAAGAGGGTTGGGTTGGGCTGGGAATGGAATTGTGATGGTATAGTGGATATATATATATGGGTTTATGAGCTATGGTTGAACAGATCCATAATGATGTATGTATGTATACAAGACTTAGATGCAATACAATCTACAAGAGATAACATATGAAGAACATGATTTAAATCTTGTTTCATCCGGTGTGACAGCCAAATCTGCCAATCAGATAATTGATACACATTTTTGACCAAACACAAGTTTAGTGGCCCTTTCAAGCTTTTTGAACTTTGAAAAGAGATACAAAGAAGAAAAACTCCAGCCTATGCTATGCCTCCGCGCCTTGTCTCTGACAGTGAACGGGAGGGACTCTGAAAACACAAACCAATAGACGAAAATACAAAAGCAGACGCAGCAGAAGCACCAGCGGAAGAAGGCGTGGGTTAAGCCTCTCCGTCCGAAGATGCATCGCCCTTGGATTTGCTCTTCTTCTTCTTCTTCTTTTCTTTCTTTTCGGAACTCTCGACGTCCGGCTCCACTTCGGAGTCCCTCTTGCGCTTCTTCTTTTTGTCTTTCTTCTCCTTTTTGGCTTTCTCTGCTTCCTCTAGCTCCTCCGGTGGTACAAACGCCTTCTCTCGCTCCTTCATCTTCTCCTCGCGCTTTACACGCTGCTTCTCCATAATATCCTCCTTGTGAGCACGATCCTTGGCCTCCTTGGATAAGAAGTACTCTCCGGACTCGATCTGTAAATCCACCTTGCTCTTCTCCGGCGCTGGAGGGAAAGGAGTATACGTCTTCTTGGACTTGTCGGTGACCTTGAACGGGACGCGACGCTTGGAGAGGGTGCGCTTTTTGAAGTTAGGCAGGAATCGGTCCCACGATTCGTTCGCCAGAGTCGGGTCCTTAGCCAGCTCCCGCTTGATCATCAATTCTTTAATATGGTAGATGGGGTGAATGTTGGCCATGCAATCGTCAATGACTTTCCGGACTTCCTTCAAGCCCTTGAAAGGGCCCATGGCTGCGACGGTGTTTCCCTGAACGAGGATATAGGTGCCAGTCAAGAGCTCGAGCGCTTTGAGAGTGGAACCTGAAGGACCAAGAATACGTTGACGGCGCTTGACAAAGCGTTCCTTGCTGCGTACTTGGTTTCTGATCTTGATAATGTCACATGCGACTTCGTCTTCGAGGATTTTCAGCGCCTAATATCATGAATGTGTTAGTCGTGGGGGGAAGCGCTGTACGTATGAGGAGGTCGGGATAAAACAGCGCAGTCAGCCACTCACCTGTTGAACGGGCACACTTCGCGATAGTAGTTTGATGAGATCGCGAGCTTTGAGAATCGCAGCGGGATCAAAGGTTTTTCGGGTGGTCTTCACCGTCATGCTACCCTCCACCAAATCCAGGGTACAGGCGATTCCATTTTTCTCTAGAGCTCTTGTGACTACGGGCCATGCTTCCTTCAGGTATACTTCGCGGTATTTAGGGAAAAGAGTAGCGAATGACGATTCCTCGGCGAAACTACCAGAAGCATTGTCCTCTGGCTTGAAAGGATCGATCTAGTGTAAAGAATCGCGGGTGAGTAGAGTGACGAGGCAAAATTTGGGGGAGGAGAAAAAAAAAATTGGTCAAACCGTACCTTCCACTTGTCGATATCATCCGTATCCCACGGCTTGTCCCTCTTGTATGTGGAGGGCATTTTGAGGGTATTGATGTTGGTTGAAATGGACCAAAAGGATTCCAAACTGCGAAATTCTTTGATGGCGGATAACTTTTTTTGGGGTTCGGCCAGCCACTTACCGAATCAGGAAGGAACTTACAGCCTCAAGATCTAGGCAGCCACAAGGCATCGATCTCATCTTGGATTCCCGCCGTAAGCGCCCAAGCGCGAAATCACTGGGGACGCCCAACCCAACCATGCCTGTCATTTCGATCGAGTATCCATCCCTATGGTCTCTGGATGCTTGAAGAAGGGGTTTAGACTGAGGGAAAAGGCTTAGACTGCAAGGCATCACGCGTCATTTACAGCTCGAAATACCCACCGGCCTCCTGATGATGGATCTTATCCCTGATAGTCTTGACGGAATAGGACTAAGTCTGGCTGGCCCCTTTTCCATAACTCCGGGGCAACTTATTTGTTCCGTCTGATTTAGTGCGCCATTGAATCTTGTTTTTGTCCAAGGAGGGAATGGAATGGCTCTCTATTAATAAGGGGGGAACTGTCCAGGGGGGACATTGGGTATCTATTACGGTATTGGGCATTTTCTGTGAGCTGAAACGACCGTCAACCCGAGTAAATTACCAATACCAATGTAGCAACTTTCCTCTTACTGGGTGAATAGACTTTAGGATGTTGTTAAGTTATTCCTAGCTCTTATAAATAGTTTATAGATCTCTTGGTTGTGTCAACAAAGGAAGGACAATCAAACTGGCCCACCAAAGCAAAGTACGGGATGGATCTCAATTTTCCATGAATTGGACGAGATCGGATGATTGCCCGGTACTAGGATTCAGGGAGGCAAATAGTCCATGTATCTAATAGACAGAGACGTGTGCTGCCCCTCTGCATTGTTGGTGGTCGTGGTCGTGGTGGAGGTGCTGGTGGTGGAGGATGCACCACCAGGTCATAGCTTCTATAGGCAAGAACTGAAGATAAATTGAAGGTTAGATAATGTGGGATGTAAGACAATAGAAAATTTACCAGCTGGTTCCCTATAGAAAGCCTCACAGAAAATGGATTTGCGCTTTGTTGAAGGTGGTGGTTTGATTTTCTTGTTCGTTCCCAGTACTAAGGTTCAGTACCCGCAACGGCCTGTGACCTCTTTGGTCTCCTTCCTCTCTCTTCACCTTCAGTCTCTGTTTCTTCCTCTTCTCCTCTATTTTCTCTCCGTGGCCATTATTGTCACATTCGCCCATCCCACCTAAGGTTCTCACCTTTGACTCTGAGAGACTTCTGGGTGAAAGTACAACTGATACGCTCTTCTTCCTCGCGCCCACAAGCTTTTCGGCTAACAGAAAACAACCAACAGCCTAGGGATGGAATGTGCGCATCCCATCGAGATGTGGTCTAACACCATCTGTGGAAATGCATCTGAATTGCTAACCCCCACAGCCTCCCTGGCTCTTGGGTGGCATGATAGGTCCTGTCAAAAACCCTCACAAATAAGCTAAACGGCGTGCTAGCGGCTATGAGCACAGCAGCCCTAGACAACCTTGGACTCGGCCTGGGACTATTCCTGATAAACAGCTTGTAATTCCTAGGCATGAAACTCGGTGGATCTTGGATCCTAAGATCTTCTCCGGAGTTTCACTTATTTTCGAGAAACTACCGTGAGTATTCACTTTTCTAGACTCCTGTGGAATATCTTATGTGAGAGAAGCAGAAGCCATTTAACTGACCACTGGCCCTTGACGGATATATCAAAACTCTAGATAAGATTCAACTTTGTTGGCTTTGACTAAAATTGAATGCCTTTCTTCTGAGCGAATTAACCAAATATGATTCCCGAACACAGACGAGAAACTCCGATCTAGTCTTCGAAGATAGGACAGCCTTGGCCGGACGTTGTTTCAAACGACCAATTTACCCATGAGGTTTTCGTCCAATACAAACGTATCTAGGCTGTTAGTGCGTTCCTAGGCTTATCGCAAGCACCAGTCACTTACAATGGGAAGTAAGCTTTCAAGCTTAAGTCGTCAACCTCGCGTTGAGCCCGGGATATCAAGTCTTGGTACTGTTCTTCTGGCATGTTGAGGCGTTGAGTCAACGGGTATAAGGCGAGAGAATGAAGCAGCTTCGCGACATTTTCACGATTCATTGCACCGATGTCCCGGATAGACGGGCCTTACATGTGGTTAATCGGGGTCTTCAAGATGAAGACAAGGAAAAAAGGTATTTTGACTTACTATTCGACCATGCCGATAGAGGCAGGGGAATCATTTTTGCCTCAACTTCTGTGAACCCTTCTGCCACCAAGAGCGCCTTCAACCGCGTTCCCACCCGAGGGTCCTTTACCTCTTCCAACGAGCCCATGAGCCGAGTGCTCCATTGCCTTAATGCATGTTGTTCGCCGATGGAGCCGTTATCTGACTGGACATTGAAATATATTTCGACTAATTGCACCCAGCCTCCGGGTTTCAGAACTCTGTATCACTCATGCCGTCAGCCATGTCTCTACCGTCGATATCGGTGAATCTAGTGGTATGGTTGCTATGCCATGGACTGAACCTTTTGATGTCTCGAATATAAGATGACCAGCGTGTTCGGTTGATACCTGCCGCGAGCAATCGAGAGTTGACCAGGTCAAAATAATTGGAGGAGAATGTGAAAGGGCGGTTTAAGTCGTCGACCTGGCAAGAATTATATCAGCATTCCTTGTTAATATTGCCCTCATCAGGTAAAACAGTCATGATATTGGACTTGTTAAAAGGGTAGCATTATGCCATAGATGCCCATTCAACAATTTTTAGGGTTTTGTGCGGTTGGAAGTCGGTCGGAAGAGGAGGCTGAGGGCATCTCACCTGGAGCCACAAGTTTTCCGGCGTATCATCTGGGTTTGTGTGAGGAAATATATCGACTCCGATCACCTTGATCATTCAGGGAATCCAGTTAGTTCCTGGTGATATAGGGTTTAATTTGGATAGTTACCTCGCAGTCAGGGTTTTGCTCTGCAACATCAATAGTCCATGACCCGGCCCCATAACCACAATCCAATAGCCTTCGAAGGCGAGATACAGGAGGAAAAATCAGTCTGTTATCAAAGAGTTTGTTGAAAATTCGGTGCTGGAGTTCGAGGCGCTCGGCTTCATCCTGGTGACACTCAGCAGTCAGCAAATGGTAAGAATCCAACAATCGTTGACCTTACGTCGTCGACAGGTTCAAACGATATTTGGTTATCTATTGAATATTTTTGATATTCGCGGTCTTGAACGGTTATAGTGGTGAGGTACTTGTCATCTAACTCCTCTGTTTGGGAATCTGGGTTCCTTCATGGGTAGAAAGTCAGCCACTCCTGCAAACTCCTACAGGCTTAGGCTAAGGATCGGGTACGTCATTGCCATTTGTGAAGACTTCCTCTCAATTCTATTTTTCCGATATCTGACAAGTTAATTCAGGTGTGCGATGGAAACTCCATTGTGAGGCGAGATTTTCATAGGATATATGGTGGTGAATGAATGAAGCGCGAACTTAGTGTGGCCTGAGCCTTTGTTGAGGCGAACGATGTGGCAGAGAAAATCCGTCGGCGATAAAAGTGCCGCTGGGCACCGGCAAAAGGCCAGCGTTATTGACCCTCTAAATGATCTGAAGAAGGGCTATGCGGGACTCAGATTTCGTACTAAAATGTACTGACAGTATATGAATCCTGCTTGGCCTAGAGCTTTTCGTGTGTTCTGCTGGTGAAACTCGGAGGCGAAACAATACAGAAAAGTCCCAAGACGCCCCCCCTCCCCCCTCCCCCCCCCCCAGAGACACAAAGACGGATCTGCAAGTATTGCTTTTTGGCTTACGTCCTCTTCTGGCAGCCACAGAACAATATCGCATCGATTGCCTAAGTGAAATACATATCTACCTTTTGAAGTATAAAATGATTACATGCAAGAAGCATTGAAGGGAAAGGAGGGGCCCGCGGTGCGTCCCGGAGGGGTCACAGCCAACATAATTAAATATATGACAAGCGCCGAAAAGGTCTCCTTTGTCTGATCCTTGGGATTCAGCTGATAGGCCCTAGCTGGCCCAAGGGGTGGTCATAGAATCTTTCGGCTCCCTTTTTGGGATTAATACACGCACTTCTGATTCACAATCACTTCTGCGAACCGAAAACCTGCGATTTCGCTGCTAGTCATCCAGGGCCCTAAGAGTTTCTTATATGAGATGTTAGTCGTCCCTGACGACTTAGATCCACAACAGCACGGGACTCTGAGCAGCTAAGCAGGGTAGATATCGAATATGTTTCCTAATAACCAAGACATGGAGCAAAACGTATGCCAGGGGGGGGTTAAGATATCCAGGAAAGGAAATCGAAGGGCGAAGAGAAGGGAGTAACGACCCAACGGCATAAGAAAAACAAACCCGCATGTTTTGCAGAGCACATGGACTCGTCGAAAACTAGAAGGTCGGCTGAAGTTAGAGGCACCTGACCAATTCATCCATAAAACAGGCTGAACGAGAATCTTCTAGGATAGAAGCCGACTCTGATGTTGAAAATTGTGGCTTGGGCCCAGCCCTCATCTTTATCCGACAAAACTGGCTACCGTAGCCTCAAAATCTTGATACACATTTCATTTTTTTCAGCAAAGCATATGACGACATCCGATTGATGTGGGCAGCAACAGGGTTTTCATATGTGGGTTACAAGTGAACAAGCAAGTAATCCGCACATAACTAATCTTTCTTAGTCTCCAGGTCGGGTCGACTAACCCTTACGAGCTTTTCCAGAAGCGCTGCGGCCTGCAGGATCTTTATTGTTATTATTCTTCTTCTTCTTCTTCTTCTTCTTCTTTATTCTTTCTTTATTCCTTGCTCCCACGCTTTGCCTCTTCACCGCTTCTTCCGGGGGTTTGCGTTGTCCATGGGCTTCGAAATAGGAGACACTAACCGCTCTATTTGATGGGGTCACAGTCCATATAGAGAATAGCAGGACAGCCTGGTATGCATTGCTATTAAGGGCGGGCCAATGGAATCAATTGGCATTGTCGTAGGCCCCCATCCCTCGTGAACAAGCCAAGCAGCGGGACGTTGGGATCGGAAAGGTTGTGGAGACTTGGAGACTTGAAACAGGTTGCCCTCCCATAAACGTCTTGTAAGTGCTACGACGACTGGGCGGTGTTTACTTTTTCTTTCATTTCCATTTGCCCGAGAGACTCAGTAACCACTACCTGCTGGCTTTTTGAGACGGAAATGACTCCCCAAACTAGACATACGGGGGCCCTGAACTTGGGAAAGAGAAGACCCATACCGGCGACGAATTAGTTCACTTGCATACCACAGCAGGCCGAGTCATTTCTTGTTTACCATAATTGGTGGCGTGGTTGGGGGGTAATGCTACGCCCAAGCCAAGAGACTAGGCCGAATTTTTTTTTTTCGAGAGAAATTCAGTTGAATGAACCTGAATGCAGGCGTTCATGCACGTCACAACGGTTCAACCGGGCCCGAGTTGATAAACCCAGACCGTCGGGACTACTTGCTGGTAGAACGACAAGAACACCAGGGATTAGGGAACCCAGAGCCACGGTTCACCTCCGGGAACGCAGAGGTCAAACCGTCAAAGCTGGGGGTGCGGTTAAACCCGCTGCTGCTAGTGTCACCGGCGCGTGAAGAATGGAGCCACCCAAATTTAACCTGTTATTGCTGGGAAATTTGGTTCACATTGGTTATTCCTTGAATTTTGGCCTTTGCTAAATTCCAAAAAAAAAAAAAGGGGGAGAGGGGGGCGCACAAGAAAATAAAAAGAAAAGGAGAAAAAAGATGGCCGAGAATCTGGCTTGGATTTTTGCGAACCATCGTTCAGAGAAAACTCAGGTACCTAGGTCGCGTGGTCCTTGGTGGGCAAAAAGAGCTAGCTGCCCAAGGAAGCAGGACGCAGATACCTATTCTGAAAGGATTATTTCAGAGCCATACCTTTTTCCCTGCTAACCAAAGTGGCCTTTCTTCCGGGCCAGGACTCAGAATGGCTGTCTGTACAAGCGGAGTTGGTGTGTGCATTCTGACCACCTGGCCGTCTTTCAGTATTTGAGATGATCTGTTATTAGCCTACTACGGACAAAACTAAACTGCGTACAGAGTAGGACAACGTAGATTATACGGCTCTATGCAGATTTATGCCTCTCTCCATCCAAATCAGGGGGTATTTCCATCATGTCATCCCATCCGATGTGTACTCCCATTTCCCACCAAGAACAAATCACCTTAAAAGTAACAGCAAAAACAAAAACAAAAACGAAAGTCATTAAAAATACGCTCCCACACACCTAATCCTCGACTGTGCAGCCTCAATCCAATCGTTATCAAGTGCGCCCCATCCTATGAAAGCGGTTGATGTACTTACCAAGACCCGGTTTTTGGATTAAGCTTCTGGGATGGGGCTGGGACGGCAGACGAATGAATCAACCTTGGGGGACATTTCTTCACTAGGCCCAGACCAAGCTAATTTGCTGTCTTAACCGAGATAGAATATAGGGGTCGGTCCCTTTGAATAACTCGTATAGACCCCATGAGTGTAGTCCGGTAATACCAAGGCCCGATTTTTGCTTTGTAGATGTGTGCGACGTAAGGCTGCGTCGTGTAATTCGAGGGCTATTAAGGGTCCTGTAAAATGGCGCCTCGGGAGGATCGTCTCAGTCCTCTTTACTGATTGAGCTCAAGGCATGCGCTAGTTTCAGCAGGACAACACTCTCGGTGGCGGCGAAGTAGTTTAGGCTACGTTGGATTAATCATACTGCATGTCCTATTTTCTTTGAACAAGAAGAGAACTGGGGAAGGGGTTGTTGCTGCATTACCTGTCCATCAGAATCCGGAGGTGGCGACCGAAATGGTCCTCGTATCGTTTCAGTGTATCTTCGAGTTTCCCGATACGGGTTGGATCGTAATTTCGTCCGTCAGAGCTGGGGGTGTTGGAACTTAGGTCCGGGTCGGCAGTAGTCAGAGCGCGTCCAAGTGAGGAAGCGGCCCAGGATGCGAACATCGTGCAGCAGGTTAGTAGCTTTGAGTGTATCTAGCTTCATCGTTAGTCTTTTTTTCCGCCCCCCCCCCTTCCCCATCTTTGCTTGAAAGGTAAGTTCCATGGTAAAGCAAACCTTTAATAGCTTGGCTTGGGTAAGCATGCATTCTTTAAGGCAAGTGTCAAGAAAATCCACATGGTCCTGCATCAATTCATCCACAGTTCGATTGACTTGCTTTGTGCCGTTGACGGTTACTTCTGATCCGTCTGCGTCCGTACCGTTGACTCGATCCATTAGATTTTGCCAGTTTGGTTCGATTACTTCCGCGGTGCAAAAGTAAAGGAGCTGCTGCACGAAGACAAGCATCTTTGAGCGCAGGTTCCATGCACGCCTCTTCCACATCTCTAACCTTCGGTCTGATGACTTGTGTCGCCAGCCCGGTACCTTGCTTTGATCCAGCCAAGAAGCAGCCAGCATGTTCTCCAAATGGCGAAGAGACAGCAAATGGCGGAAGATTAGCTGATATCGGAGGACGGTTTTGCGGCCGATAACGAGAGAGAGAGGAAATGGCACAGAGTAATCGAGTTCAAGGGCATCAAATCCAAGTATATCTTTGTCGTCCTCTCCTTGCGTTTGGGGTACTTGGTATCTTTCCAGGGCTGCTTCAGGGTTATCCTGGTCGATACCGGAGACGCTGACCACTTGCATTAGCCATTTGGTGAGCCCAACTTTATTCATTCGGACTTTGACATCTTCCTTGAATGGGTCTTGTGCTGCGATACTCCCTGGTTGACGTAGAACCAAATCGAGAAGCGATTGTAGTTTGCTCTCATTAACGCTTTTGGCTGGTTTGCGTAGCTCAGATGTACCCAGCTCCAGAAAGTACGAAAAGAAATCGGATCGATCGAGAAAAAAATAATGCTTGAGGGAGCGGAAGCGAGTAGTAAGAGAGTTTTTGGTTAACAGCAGGTTTAGTAAAGAAGCATTGGCGTAAGTATATGCGGCGTTCACGTTCTCTAGGAATCGAGGGTCATCGAACGTCTTGGGGACATCCTTAACGGCCTTGCTGATATCCACACCTCCGCACTCTCGTACCACATTGAGGTACTTGCCGGCCAGAAGCACTTTGTCCCTTACACTATCCAGTTGCGGAGGAACCTCATTATCGCGAATTGTGTATCGCTTCTCCCAGTACTCGTCCGTATAGTCTTCCTCAAGTTTCTCCCTCTTGATCCATTTCTGCTCCTTCACGAGAAATTCCGCATGGGGATCCTTGATTCCTCCGTGGTGAAGCCATTCATTGAGCATGGTCATATATGGCCTGCTCGATTCCCGGAGCAGCGTCTCCAATAGTGTCTTTGTGGTTGGATCTCCGGAAAAGGTTGCTAACCGCTCCGTCAGAAGTCGGAGAACATTGCCTCCTTTGCATATTTTTTTACCCGACATAGCACCGGGGACAAGATTTCCTCCTTCTTTGAGTTGTTCGAGGATATTATCGACATCGTCGAAGTCATCAATGGATTCATCAATATCTTGGTCTAGAAGACCGTTCTTCCAGAGTAGCTCCTGACCCAACGAGTATAGCTGAGCCAAACACTGGCTAGTCGGCATGGTGTGGAGGTGGAGGACGTGAAGAGTGAAGTTCGGATTGTTTAGAAGCTGTGTTTCCAGCTGAGCAATGAGAATCAGGTAATCCTTGAGAAGTTTCCGGATTGTAGCACATAATGCATGGCTTACAGCCCCATATTCAGCGCGACTTTGAACCTCAACAAATGCCTCTAAAGCGCTATAGTGCGTCGCCATCTTCAGCATCGACCGCGTAAGGTCCCTCAGGGTTGGATCTATTCCTGACGGTAGCTGGAAAGCTGGCCCAGTTAAACGGTCTTTCTCCGCGGATGGATCATATTGACTGTGGTAATGAATGTATTGGCCCTCGAATCCCATAAACACGAACAGTAGATCCTCCAAAATAGCCTTCTCTTGCTCGTCGGTGGATAGGTCACGAATCGGTGCGGGGTGAAGTGATTGCGGCAGCACAGAAGCTAAGGGGGGTACCGATACGCGCGTAGCTAGCGGTGCCGTAGAATGAGGCATCAAAGAGGCTTGCGGGCTCCAAGGTGCTATGTACCATGAGTGTCAGTATTAAATGCGATTCTCACATAGGAGTCATAAGCTCACCATCCGGCGCTTCCCTCTCCTTCTTCCGGATATTGGGACTGGATGCATCTGGTTGATTGGGCCTTTTGGAGCGCGACCTGTCCCCATCTCCGCGACTGCCAGCGTTGGAGGACTCTCTTGCAGGGTTCCTTGTTCGACCTTGGACCTTTTCCTTGGTCTGGATCACAACGCGCTCGGTTCGCTTTTCACTCATGATATGTTCCCGGGGGACCTTGATCTTCTGGGCCGACGTACTTCCGCGATGATCCATGTTCTCTGCTTGTACTGGCGAAGCTGTTCCGCCGCGTACACCGGCCCTTTCACTGTCGGCAACGCGACTCGACGCAACGCGGGGACGTGGGGCGTTCATGTGGCTGGCGCGACGCTCATTGAGGGACATTGTCCTGCGGAATGCAGACAGAAGGACCGATCATGAATAGGGAAACAGGAGAGGCAGGCAATCCCAAGTGAAACTGCAAAATATTTCTCTGTACTGAGGCGATATACTGCGCATGTCACTTGCCGTCCGTTTGTTTTAGCGCGATTTGGGTGCCGCTTGCTGCCTTTATGCCTGAGGCCGCCCAACCGCCTCTCCGCCAGGCACTTGCGGGACTTGCGTACGCCGTCGACTGGCGAGAGCTTCACCCAAGCTTCCCAGTCCCCCAACAGCTACTTCTTCTTCTTTTTTATCTCTATCCTCTTTCTTTGACACGCTAGTTTCTTGCCCTACTGGTCATCCTCCGTCTGCTATTTCCTCATTTAATATCTCTTTCACGAATTGTCATCCTACTCCAGATAATTCAATATGTTCATTGCGCGATCGGAATATGGTAAGCTCTATGAGACCTCTCTCGTTTGTACCTTCAGTTGTCTAACTATCTGCTCTGTAGACCGTGGAATTAAGTACGATATATTTCCTACATACCCTGAGGTTACAGTCAAGCGGGCTTACTGACAGTGAACGACCACAGCACCTTCTCTCCCGAAGGGCGTTTATTCCAGGTCGAATACTCCCTCGAAGCTATCAAGCTAGGCTCCACTGCCATCGGTGTATGTCCATACGCCCCTTCAAGCCCGTTAGACCATCACACTTGATATGAGAAAGCTCTCTTTATGCTCTGCGATGGGAATGTAAGCAACGTCACTCTGACCGCTTCACAGGTAGCGACATCAGAAGGTGTCATCTTGGGTGTTGAGAAGCGTGTCACATCTACTCTTCTTGAGGCTTCGTCCGTCGAGAAGATTGTCGAAATCGATCAGCACATTGGCTGCGCCATGTCCGGCCTGCAGGCAGATGCCCGGTCTTTGGTGGAACATGCCCGCGTAGAATGCCAGAACCATGCCTTCCACTACGCCGAACCACTGAGAGTCGAGAGCTGCACCCAGGCTATCTGTGATTTGGCTTTGCGATTCGGAGAGACTGGAGATGATGAGGAAAGCGTTATGAGCCGACCCTTCGGTGTTGCTCTCCTCATTGCTGGTTTTGATGAAGATGGCCCTCAACTGTACGTTACTATCCCGCTTTCCCCTTCCAGACGGGGCGCTCCACGTTGTCTCATGAGTTCTCTGCGGTTCCCAATTTCTATCCCTTTTCCGGTTATAAAAAGCCTTTTATCTTTTCTTTTATTTTCTTTTCTTTCTGACGTTAGTCTTCCTACTAGATATCACGCAGAGCCCTCTGGAACATTTTACCGATATGACGCAAAGGCCATCGGATCTGGAAGCGAGGGTGCCCAGGCCGAGCTGCAGAATGAATACCATCGCTCCTTGACCCTTCCCGAAGCTGAGACACTGGTTTTGAAGACACTGAAGCAGGTTATGGAGGAGAAGCTAGACGCAAAGAATGTTCAGCTGGCTAGCGTTACAAAGGAAAAGGGATTCCGGATCTACAACGATGAGGAGATGGGCCGGGCTGTTGCCCAGCTCGGTGGAAATCAATGAAGGGGGGGGGGGGGCTAATACAGTGTCTGTGAAGGCGCCGAGGGAGATGTTACGTATGACACAGCGTCTATCTTGAAGCTACATAGAAAAGAACAATGACCTCGTTTAATGATTTTGAAAGAAATAATATTTCCGAGTAAGAACCCTTAACATATGAACAAATAGATTTTTTTTTTTTTTAGGCTTGCACCGGCTCCACCAATAATCAGAGTTAACAATGTTATATATATACACATATCTGATCATCGAATCTTATACACACAAGGCTTGAGCACAGCAGCCTCGTCTTCTGGCGACATGCCATTGTCAGCAGCAGGATTTCTGTCGATGAACCTCTTCTTTCCAGGGGCAGGAGCCGCTCCAGTGGCTGATGCATGCTTGCCCTTCGCCGGAGCACCGCCCTGCTTCACAAATTCCATCTTCACGAACATCTTGTTCGACTTATCCACAGACTCGGGTTTGAGGATAAAGCCGCGGGTGCGGAAGACCTCCACGAACGCTGAGATATCAGTCTCGTCGTCATTGGTGGGGCGAGCATCTTCCGCGTAAACGTCCGCGTCATCTACATCCGATCCAGCATCGTCATCTTGCTTCTTCTTGAGCTTCTTCTTCTCAGCCTTGGTCATGGGCTTCCTTGCACCGATCTGAGCTTTCTTACGAGTCACCTTGCCAAAGCGGCTCTTGACTTCACTAACCCAGCATTCACCCTTGCCGTCGCTGCGGAGTACACGCCATGCTTCCTCGACGAATGACACCCAGTTGGTGCCCATGAGACTGAGACAAAAGATAGCCACGTCGACGGAACCGTCCTCAACAGGGAGGTTAGAGATATCGGCCTTTGTTATGAGTGAATCTTTGGGGGCGTGCAGGTCGAAACTGAGGAGTTTGAGGTTGAGTCGCTGTCCTGAGGGGCTCAGAACCCGAGCAAGCTGCGCATCACCACAGCCAAGATCCACGATTGTGCATGCACCGTGTGGTCGTCTCGGTAGCGGTAGACCCTGGTTTCGAGGGTTCTGACCGGGTCTATTCCCTTTCCTCGGGGCTGAGATAACTCCTCGGGTACGAACCGCCTTAATGTATCCGTCAACAGGGTTGGAAGGCCATGATTCCTTGACTTGGCGAGAGAATCCTGCATGGTATTCGTCGAAAAGTTCCGGGTTCGTAGTGAATAACTCAAGGGCTTTCGTAGATGGGGTGGTGTAGAGCGTTTCGTTCAAATGACGGAAACGAGATGAAATCAGCTTCTGTCGCATAGCCTGCTGGAGGGGTGTAAGGAGAGCCCCTGTCGTTGGTGGCGCCGATGGTATCAAGTCGGCCATCGGGGATTCAGCAGAAGCTGTTTGTTTTGCTTCCATGGGCTGCTGTTTTTCATTTTTCTTGTTCCTTTGCTTTTCCTTCTTCTGCTTCTTCTTCCCCTTGCTTTCCTCAGCATCATTGTTCATTCCTGCTTCTTCTACCAATGACTGTATCGTAGACTCCAGGTCTTTCTTCAATCCATCATTCTTTTGCTCCTTCTTGCTCTTCTTGTCGGGCTTCCCGAAGATGTTCGCGTTTTGCTTCCCACCTTTGAATGAGGGTTTCTGGCCTTCAATGTGGCGACGGTACATTTCACCAACATTTCTGTTCGTGACATGATCATCACCTCGCTTGCGCTTTTTATTGACATTCTGTTTAGGAGTTTCCTTGGTCTGTTGCGCTTGACTCTGGGCCTGTGATGCCGGCTCGGCCTGCTGCTTGAGGGCAGAGCTCGAGACAGACCAACCTGGGACGGCGAACATGGTTGGTTCTTGAATACCGGGAGCTCTATCCAGGGATATATTCGGATAAATGATCAAGATGGTTCGTTCTGACGAGCAGGTAATGGGCTATTTTGCTGCCGTTGCAAAATTCGTGAGAAATTTCTAAGCGGTCGAGCCCTGGGTACTTTTCTGCCTGCCTAGAAAGGCGGTCTAGAAGCCGTTGACCCACCGCCTGAATGACTCGCTTAGTCAGAATTGGGATAACGAGAGAGCTCACATCGTCCTCTTTGGGGAGGAGTAGAAGTATTTATAATCACAGCTTATTCTCTTCTTCTGATGTGAATCTACTGGGCTGGCTCGATGCAGGTACTCCCTGAAATCCAGTCAAGAAGATAACACGTCAAACGCCACAATATACTCAGGGACGGCCTCGAGCGCGGCGCATAGTTACTATGCTTGTCACTACGCCGCCACCAAACAGTGGGTCTACTTCTGCAGAATGTGGTCAAAAAGACACCAAGTTATTGACATGGGGGGAAGAAAACACTGACGTCCAGGACCTTCATGTCCAAACCCCCAATCCCACACTTACCACCAACTCGATGAAATTCCCCGTTTTACACCCGTCGATATTGCGCAGAGGATGTGTTCGTTCGGCCGATCATGGATCTTCCATGCCCTGATAGGCTCCAACCAATCAGCGATCGATTCTCTAGGCCCTTGCGCCACCAGCCTGGGCGAACAAACAGACATCAAGTCTCGACATCTCCCCGCAACCACCTTTCCTTTCATCTCCTGCCGGCCTTTAGCACTGTTTATTCAATGTTTGCTTGTTGTTGCTCTGACTATGGAACCGACCCTACCATTAGATCTGCTTAACCGCTATGGAGTACATGAATCCGACGAGCGAATCTCAACATCGATCGTTGACCGGTGGTTCGGATCCCAAGCCGAGACCTGAGTCTATAACGGTCCAAAAACAAGGCCTTGTGGAGATGGAGGCGCCACACAAGGCTTCCTCGAAATCTACCCGGAAGCGCACCAAGACTGGATGTTTGAGTACGTTGAGTAGATTGGAATAGCATGCCCAGTGCGTCACGGAATCGCCATTAACTTGAGGTAATTAGCTTGTCGGCAACGTCGTATCAAATGCGGAGAGGAGAAGCCAGTCTGCAAGAACTGTATCAAATCGAAGCGTGAATGCAAAGGATATGCGCAGCGGTTAATCTTCAAAGCCCCACTGGGGATTCCCGGAATCCGGAAACCCATCCCCACGCTCACAGAACAGATACAATCACTCCCTCTGACGGGCAAATATGACACTCAGATTGATTTCCAGCAAACCTCAGCGGGCACCGATGGGCCAATACTAGCCCCGAAGCTTACCAGTATCACAGGCCCAGTACAGGATAGTTTACCTCAGCCTTCTAGCGGATCTCGAAAAGAATTTCATGGCCATAATGCACCTCCCTCTAGTCATTCAAACTTTTCATCACGGACTCCATCTCCCTGGACAGGACCGGGATCACATTCTAAGAACCCGTCATCACACCCTCCAGACTTTCTTCGGCAATCGAGACAAGATATATCAGGTCGGGCCGGGACAGGCTACCCTTGTGGATTGGTCGACCAAAGACATTCTTCTCCACTAGAAGGCGGCATCTCAACTGCCCAGGAATCTACGTCAAGTTCCATACGTCCTTCTTATGCCCACCCAGGGCCTCATGTAGGCACCTCTGTAGTTATTTCATGAGGACTGATTCGAAGACTAATCCATTTATTTAGACATTGGAACCATCCTTCCCATCCGGCGAAAGCGTGTTGCCTTCACCTGAAACTGAAGGGCACCAGAGAGCTTCCGTACAAAGACGAATATTTCCCCCATTATCCTACATGGATGAAGATGATGACGATGATTACTATGATGTCGAATCTGACGAGGAGGCGGAGGAGCAAGTCAGGACGCAAAACTTCAACCAGCTCAGCTTAATTATAGCTTCTGCGAATCGAGACCAACGGCAGATCCGTTCCTTCACCACTTATCTAAACGAGCCTAATGTGCTGGCGTCTTATAACCCATCATACGGGTCTTCTCCTCTGAACAATCCAAAAACTGCGCGGGTTTTTCTCCATTTCATACATGCCACCGGTCCAATTTTATCCATTTTCGAGCGACATCCTATCGACCCTTCGACTATGCTAGGCACCCCTGTTCCCATGGCACAGCAGGGCCTGTGGACTTACACGCTACCTTTTAAGGCGTTTGACCACCCAGCGCTGCTTCAAGCAATCCTAGCCCTGAGTAGTCTCCATATTGCGTGCCTCCAACAGTCTCCCATCACGATATCACTCAAGCATTATCATTATGCACTTAAGAGAGTGGGCAAGGCTGTTGGCCTTCCCAACCGACGAAAACAACTTGGCACTCTAGCGGCTACGTTGTTGCTAGCTTATTACGAGGTAATGACTGCCGATCATTTCAAATGGAATAGCCATCTCGCAGGGTCGGCCCAATTAGTTCGTGAAATCGATTTTGCTGGTATAGCCCGTGATCTGCGTGCCCAACGACACATTCGGTGGCTTGAGCGACAGCAAGAAAACAACAAGCCGTACAGCTATTTCACGGATGGTTACATGTTCAACAACTCGGTTTCTAGCGACGATCCTTTCGCCGAACTAGAGGGCAGTATTAATGAGAATATCATCGGATTAATACTTGGTCGGGCGATCAACTACGACGAGTTTGGAGAAGTCGAGAATGACTGCAGGTACACTTCAAGTCGCCGAAAACACTTTACTCGTAAAGATATCGAAAACTTTCGAATCCAGTGCGATCTCTTCTGGTGGTACTGCAAGCAAGATTTCATCCAAAGCATTGTCAGCGGCAGCTCATTATTGTAAGTGGCCTCCTTCCCTTTCTACCTAGCGTCACACTTACCAGAGCCAGTTTGCCGTATTCACAATGGGGCCAATGCCCTCCTCGCGCCGGCCTAGGGCGGATAGATGCCATATACGGCTCGGGTGACCACCTAACGCTCTTAATGGGACGGCTCGCAGACTTTGGCGATCGAGATAGGAAGAGAAAACTGAAGGCTGCAAAAACTAGCGGATCGGAATGGAGACCAGACGCGAGGTTGATGAAATTTATGGGTCGGTTTGCAAGAGGCCCTCCCGGAGATCCAGGACAGGGTCCCCCGAATCATTCTGTCCAATCCGATCCCCCGTCTTTTGGAGGTCCTCCTCATGGCGGTTCAAACTCACAGCCGAGTATGGGCCAAAGAAAAGGGTCTCAGACAACCAATCCGGATGCGCAGCAATCACCTGGTAGCTCACCTGGTTCGTCTCCCGGCGGCCCTCCAATGTATGGTATGATTCCATCGAATGGACCCCGGAGATTACCCTCTGCGTTTGCGACCAACGCATGCGACGACCCCGATGCCTATACTCATAACGAGATGGATGAGAATATATCATACGAAGAGGCTGAGAGTGAATGGGAGAGCATACTGGCAGCATTCGAGATGTTTGGTCAAGCACTTGGTCCGGACTTTATGCCTCTACCACCCGACAGTACACTTCCCATATTCTCTCCCTTTGGCCCAGCCCTCCAGTACCGTACGCATAATATAGGAGCCCTATGGGCACTTTATTATTGCGGCCGTATTCTTTTACAAAGACTGCATCCATGCATGCCACCCGCAATGATGATGGCGGCCGGGGTAGCAGCTCCCACAACCGCGGAATTCGCGCAAATTATTGGAAAAATTACTGCTGGTATCTATTGCCCCCAGTCCTCCTACGTGGGGGTGGAAGGCTTGAGTCCGACATTAGGATCTTGCCTCATCGAAGTTGCAGTACCGATGTTCTTTGCAGGTGTACAGTACATGGATGCCTCACAACGAGCTTGGACCGTTACTGTTCTCGGTGAACTCTCCCGCCTTACCGGATGGAAATCGGCGGATGCGATCGCTCGGGGATGTGAGAGGGTCTGGACAACTGCCGCAAAGCAAGGACGCGGTCCCCCTTACCGCCCCAATAACGAGCAGACGTCGAGTTGGACAACACATGCGACCACAGAAGAGGTTCAACTTCACATAAACGGTAACTCTGAGAGACGCTTTGTCACTATCCGCGACCCTCCGTACCTTAGCTGGGCAATGGGGATTTTGAGTTTGGGGGACCACGTCTTCTGATGTGGGCCAAGGACTGTGTATATATAACTATCATAGGGAGCGAGTTGTCTCTAGGCAAATTTTATAATGTGCCAATACCTAGGTAATGTCAACAAAGAAATAGAGCCTTGGGAAAAGGGTTTCCATAAACCTGATAGTTTGCCTCTGTTGTTCATGCCCTGTATCAGCTCACAAAACACAAGGTATTTATTTATAAAAACCAAGGCCTAATCTAATGGCCGTAAGAGCCCGAGACACAGTTGCCCTTCTTTCTATAATGCTTGGAAAGATGGACCATATACACTTGCCTCGTGTTTCTAAATGGGGCTGGTTCCTAGTACCTAGATTAGGATTAAACTTGGTTCACTTCACCTGACTTGATATTTCGTGTATTATGATGGGATAGTTGAGAGTAACGTAGATGCACTTCGGATAAACCCACAGGTCTCTCCGTACCGTATTTTTGGATACCTGTGAGGCGTTCAATCAAGGTAAGGAAAGGTTGGTTGGGAATGATATTTTTGGAGATCACTCTATATTGTCCCCTCTTACACTCCAAGACATCTGAGGGTACGTGGTTGAGATCCCTCTCATCCGAACTGATCGTGTGTCCTCGTCGGTATGTACTCGAACACTGATTGAGTGCTTCACACCTGCAAGAAAACGTATGTGGCTTCGCTACCATCCGACGGGCGGGCCGATCCATTTTGCCAGCGCTCTACTCCGCATAGGAACTTGCAAACACAGAGCAGCTTGCAACAACCAGAGGGGGGATCTGCGCCACCTTCTGTGCCTTCCTCCGGGACATGAGATATATGCCAATCAGCGAGAGCCAGGTAAGTTCGTATCCAGTCCCATGGCGGATCCGGCCTCAACACTCAGTTCAGATTCACTCCAGGAACAGTGCGTTGAATCGAGTGGAAACCAGTGGATAGAAACGGCCCAAGTTTCAGGAACTAGTGTAGATCATAACGGTGCGAACCAGAGCATGCATGAATCATGGGTTGGGCAGCCGCTGTAGCCCTATCATTTACCGCTATAGACAGGCGCTGCTGGAGCTTGCAGGGATCATGGAGCTGAACATTGTTGTGCAATGGTAAGGGCAAGGCAGCACTGAGATCCCCAAAGAGAGGTGAAGGAGAGATGTAGATGTGGCGAATATCGAAGCCAGACGACGAGGCTCTTATCGTCTGCGCCTCAAAGAGGGGAACAATTACCGTAAGACTGTGTATTCGTAAGGAGTTCAGGGGGCTTTTTAGCTGCGAATACACCAGGTGCTGCTGTAACTGCCTGTATTCCGCTGTATATAGTACAGACACAGGAAAGGACGTCATCGTCTAGCAGGCAGTGCTTCATTCGTTCATTCCTCTCTCTCTCTCTCCTTCATTTATTTTTTTCTTTTCCCCTCCAGCTTTTTATATATTCATTCGTCCCCCCCCCCCCCCTTCCTTTCTGTCACCATTGAATTCCTCATCATCACTCGGTTTTCTACCTCCAAACTCATTACTCTGAACTTTCCTCTTCTGCCTCTGGTCCGCCGTCCCTCCTTTACATACCCCACCCCGCCCACCGTCTACGGTCCCGTCTCCGTCACCCGCCTGCGTCACCCACGGTTCGCTCAGGCCCTGTTGGGATCCTATACTACAGCTCCTCAACTCGTTTTGAGGTCATCCGACATGTCGTCTCGATTCTCCGATTTTCGCCGCTCCACCGGGGTCGTTGACGCTGATTCCGAATATTATTCCCGTGAAAACCGTGGCCGTCATCGCACCCGGGGGGGCCGTGTGGTCGAAGAAGACCGCTGGAGTTCGCGCTTACAGGAAACTGATCGCTATGGGCCACCTGCTCGCCGGCCGAGCAGACATTACGAGGATGCCCACCTTCTGTCTGGATCACTAGTCCACTACGAGCGCCGCCACGCTGAAAGCCCACCTCCTCGACCCCGTCTTTTGCGGCGCCAGTCCTCCCTGGATACGTTTGATCGCATTCCCTCTCGCAAGATAGACGAGTACTACCAAGGTTACCTCCCTCGAGCTGCGCCTAGTCCGCCACCTCAACGCAGGGGACCATCCCGGCGCTCTCTCGATGTCGATGAGTATGAGGAGATTCGCGTCGCAGACCCAGACGTCTATAGTGACGAAGAGTTTCATCGCTTCCGTGAGCGGGATCGTTTTACAGACCGACGACGCCGCTCTGATAGCCGATTTCGCGAAAGAGTGGTAGGAGAAGTGAATATTGGAAAGCCGTATCCGCGCAAAGGCAAAACTCGCATGCCCCGGAAACTGGTTCATACTCGCGCGATTCGGGAATTTGGTTATCCTTTCGAGGAAGAGGTACGTACTTGGCAAGAGAGGCCTTTAGACCTTTGTCGGTGCTGACACGCATGCCTCAGGGTGACCTGGTCATTATCCAGCTAGCTCTCTCTAAGGAGCAAATTGATGCTGTCATTGAGAGAAGTCGCGAGATCAAGCGTGCGAGCGAATGTAAGTGGGCCACTTGCTCACAGACTGCGCCATTAAACTGACTCATTATTCTCCTAGCTGTCTCGAGGCAAAGAGCTAGATCCCCCGTTCGTGCAACGTCCAGACTCAGAAGAGTAGATCGAGTCGCAATGGAGACGCTTTCCCCGCGCACCAGCGAGACTCTGATCATCGAGCCATCGCCATCCCGGCACCGGTCGCCGTCTCGTCGGCATTATGATTATATTGAGAAGACCACCAAACGATCTGTCTCCCGTACACGGTCGACATCAGTCCATGGTCTTCGTGCGCGTCGTTGCTCCTCGCCTGTGCGCATGTTGATCCACAATCGTGAGGATCGCATCGAAGAACCCAGAACTAGCTCCAGCCAGCTTGCTATTGTTGTACGCCCTCGAGAGACCGACCATGACCTTGGCGAGTATGTCACGGAACGACCAGGTGGCAGAGAGGTGATTCGTGATACGAAAATCATTGGCGACGGTGAAGAGGAGGAAATCCTAGAGGTCAAGAAGGAGCGAAAAGGTAAGCTGCCTCTGCTTTTAAAGTCAACACAGAGTAAAAGGTCTGACACATATATCTAGGCCCCACTCCTCGACTCCTCCGTGCTATGCTTGCAACGATGACCTAGGCTGCTCTCTCGGATTAGATGCTTACTTTCAGACTGATACGGCTTATTATGATTTGTGTCTTGCTGCTCATGTTCTAGTTTATTGTATGATAACAGGAAGAATGCTTGTATGGGTATTGTATGAATTTCGGATTTTGGCTTGATTTTTCTTTCTTTCTTTCTTTCGTTCTTTCTTTCTTTCTTCTCTTGCTGTCCTTCTTTGCAGCATATACTCTGATTTCTTTCCCACTTTGTTTGCCGCTATGACCAATTTTATTCCCCCCTATGATGTCTTTAAGCCATAATATAATCTATCCATATATACACACTTTCGCATTAATTTAGTATTATAGATACCTCAGCAGGAATTCCTTTAACTATATTAAGTTTTACTTATCAGAATTAATACCTAGTGATCTTCTAAGCATGTGAAACAAGTGGCGGTGCAAGGCGGTACACTTTGACTTGCCATTGATCCCAAGCCAGCCAGACCAAGTTCCTCAAAACAACCCACATTAAGACCCTTTCTCCAGGAACTTACATTGTATCGCTCGCCTTTAATTTTGATCAGCTGGACTGTTGTGAACTGCGCACATCATGGATAAGTTTCAGGCATTTGGAAAGAACCTCAGGTGAGATAAATGACAGCCTGGGGCCATGTTTTTCCCACATGGCTACTTAGCAGTGCACCCCTGAGACACGTCAGGTCGCCTGCAGTCTCCATTTGAATATGGGAGCTAACGTATTTTGTATCTGTTGCTGTTTTTCTTTTGGGGGGGGAATAGTGCGAACTTCACGCCTTTCGCTGCGCGTACGCAGCAGATGATCCGAGAGCAGCTGGGACAAGTCGAAGACAAGACCCAGCTCCCGGATGAATACGTCGAGCTCGAGAAGCGCGTGGATGCTCTGAAGCTGGTCCATCAGAAGCTCCTTCAGGTGACGTGAGTTGTCTCTAGTCTCTGATTTTGTTTTTTTTTTTTTTTTTTTTTTTTTTTTTTGCCCCGTATAAGCGACCCCCCATTCTGACCTGTGTGATAGTTCCCAATACTCCAATGAACCTTACGACTACCCACCCAACATCCGTGAATCCTTCAACGACCTCGGTCGCACCATCAATGAGAAAGTCCAGCTTCTTTCTCAGGCCTCCACCCCCGCAGAGGCTCAAGCCGCCCTGACTGCCCCTCCCTCCGCCAAACCCCAGCCCAAGACCTTCAGCCATGCGATCGCGCGTGCTTCTCTGGCAGGCTCCCAGACACTGGCTAGCACCTCAACTGGCGAAGACCCCCTCGCGACCGCGCTGGAGAAGTATGCGCTTGCCTCCGAGCAGGTGGGCGAGGCTCGTCTGGCGCAGGACGCCCAGATCCAGTCGCGCTTCCTCGCTGGATGGAATACCACCCTAAACACGAACCTGATGTTCGCGGCCAAGGCACGCAAGAATGTTGAGAATGCTCGTCTGATGCTGGACTCTATCAAGGCCAGCAAAAAGGCTGCTGCCCACGGTGATCTGGACAATCTGAGCGAGGAGGCCCGCGCCGAGATCGAGCGTGCGGAAGACGAGTTTGTCGGTCAGACAGAGGAGGCTGTGAGCGTGATGAAGAATGTTCGTTTTTACCTCGCCTCTTTTACTTTGAGGGATTTGGACTTCGGTTTGGTTCGAAGTGCTAATGTGATATGATGCAATAGGTCCTTGATACACCTGAACCCCTAAGGAACCTGGCGGACCTAATTGCCGCGCAGCTAGAGTACCACAAGCGGTCCTATGAGATCCTCAGCGAGCTGGCCCCGATTGTTGACGGGCTTCAGGTTGAGCAAGAGGCGAGATCTCCCTACGAGTATTGACGTAGCTGAGTAACTAACCATCAATCAGGCTAGCTACCGCAAGAGCCGTGAGGGAGCATAGACAAGAGCGATTGGTACTTTGCTGATAGTTTTTCCCTTGTCTGTTTTATTTTATCATTCATGTGTCTTTTCCTTCCCCTCTTCCATTCGATTCAATTCCGCGGCCGATTGTCGTAATTTACTAGTTAACTACCTTATTTGGACCTATGTAAGACGAGACGTTTGTTTGATATCCCTTGATGAATATGTAGGGTTTGAAATTGATCCATGCGTCAAAAATCTCTCTTTAAACACCCTGATCTTGGTCTATATATGATCTCAATTAGGTAGTATGTTGGTTTCTCATCTTTGTGAAGGAACAGGGAATTCCAACACATATACGGAGTAATAGGCACGGAATGAAATGCACCGCCACACCTCCCGCGCCAACCAGCCACACCTCAGGGAAATCGAAGCTCCGTGGATTCAATCCAACACCAACTCTCTCGACCTCTTCTCAAGATTCATTCCCACCCTGAGCGCAGAGCATCACAGAGGTAACCTCCGATCCGAGCCGTGCCTTTATATACCTATTCAAATCCCTGGATAGCAACGGAACACGATACGATCCCCTCGAGCCCGCGGACCTCCACAGACTTCATTCCACCGCGAACATATATCTCAACTAGGCTGGTCCTACGATTATACCCATCACCACACGGGATTCGATCTGATCGCAGAGCAAAGAACGAACGAACGAAGGAACACACGAAAGCATAATTCAACATGGCGAACGGGTTCGTTTATTCCATCTACCATTCCCTCCCCAATCCCTCCGCTCACACGTAACCCGCGAAACCACACACATCCACTCTCTTGATCTTTTCTACACAAGGCCAAAATAACAAATAGAGGCTAATATGCTCCTGGGAAACGGTACAGCTGGAGTCTCATCATTGGACTGATCATCGTCGTTGTCGCCGGTATTGCGGCCTGGATCTTTAGTCCTAAGGGCGACAATCAAACGTGAGCTTTCTCTTTCCCTTTTTTTCTTCTTCTTCTTCTTCTTCTTCTTCTTAAGATCTGGTTCTGGGTTGTGGATTAAACCGCCCGGAAATCAGACTGCCCGTTGATGACCAGCACAACACGCTAACATGATTCGTCTTGATTTCTGAACAGACTCTGGCGAAGCACGCTCCTCCTCTCGCTAGCTTCTTGTTATTTGATGTGGGGTACGTACCTTTCTTTTCTTTTCTTCTCGATATATATCCCTCGTTCTCTCTATTACGTACGCAATACAATGGATGAATTGGATATTTCCCAACGCTTGCTATGATCCATACATATATCTGTCTGCATCTGTATTAGAAACAGGGAATAACTAACATCGCCTGTTCTCTGTTCTAGCTATCGTCTTCCTCGCACAATGGCATCCTCTGATCGTTCCGAAGAGAGCGGATATCCGTCCTGATCGAGTACCGCAGTAGTTTTGGGCGACGTTGGGGGGTTTTGTGTTGCTTGGTTTAGATTCATGAATGCAAATGCGTATGCGTCAGAAGACGGGTGACTTCCCTTTTCTCTCTCTCTCTCTCCCTCCCCTTCCCTTCCTCTCCTTGCGAGGTTATATCATGGATTGGAAGAGGAGGATGAGCATGGAGTCGATTACTTCACCTATTATGCATATGTATAGTAATTTTTTTTTTCTTTTTTCTTTTCGTTTTTTCTTTTTTTGTTCGAAATATATCTATATCCATTTTGTTTCAGAATTGTCTTTCTATTCTATTACGTGGCTTCTTTTAGGAATTGCTCGATTTGGTTTTCACATGTAAATCGGGAATGATTGAGTATATACATAAGAAATATATAAAGCTCTATTCAATTCTCTCTCTCTCTCTCTCTCTATATATTAACCAACACCCACAGCGCCCAAAATCACCCTTTGAACCGTCCACCTCGCCAGAAGACCCGCTACCGCTAGCGCCGCAGCACGCAGGTAACCACACCCGAGAAGAATATACAACGCTTCGATATTACTCAACAGGACAAGATGCATATCCGCCGCCCCCAGGGTAAACAGCGAGCCGGCCAACTCCACAAAATTAGACAGGTAGGTCGTCGGTACAGCGGCGGGCATGACTTTGACCAACCCCGCGAGCAGCGACGAAGAGACAACAGATGAAGATGGCCCCGGTGTGGTTGGAACAGCAGGCGCGGGACCACCCCGCAGAGTTATCTGGGCGGTATTCGGATGGCTTGCTGCGCTGGCCCCCGTGCTTCCTGTACTAGATGTCTCCGAGAGGTGGCTGCTTCCGCCGCCGCTGAGGTCTGGGCCCCAGATCACCAGGAGGATGGGGAAGAGCTTTGCACAACTGCTCACGAACAACGCGGTGCTGATCGCTGTTGGGCTGGCCGTGGATGGGGGAGGGAGGGGCTGGATGCTCTGTGCTGGAGCTGTAGATGCACGGCGTAACGGCGGCGGGAGGGCGGAGAAAGAGCCCCTGGGACTAGGGGGGATTGGCCGGGGGGTGGTGTCATTTGCGCATAGGTTGGCGTTGGCTCCGCCGGGAAGATCGTGGGACGAGCCCTGCGGTGTGAGCGCTGGAGGGCTCAAGGTGTTTGGAGCGGGGGATTGGGGTCCCTGGGGAAATGCGGGAAGGACTGGGGTCGAGGGGACGGAGAAGACAGGTACTTCGGACGGGGTGGTATTGGAGGTGTTGTTTTGGGATGGAGGCGGTGGCGCGAAAATCGAGGCGAGGAGACGCACAGTGAGGTGGTGGGCAAGAGTCGCGACGGCATTGAGACTTAGGAAGAAGAGATATTGGATGATGATTGGAGTGCGCGAGAGAAAGGTACTATCCAAGGACGGGGACTTTTCGATCCGTGCCCAGGTGAGATAGACATCGAACAGGAGGAGGAGGACTCCGAGACGGATGATAGAAGGCTGCCACCGGAGCAACAAACAGGTTAGCTAGGGCTCCAAAGGTCGTCAATGTGTGTGCTATGAGGCTTACATCGAACTGGTGCTCGTCTCCTTCGAGGCGGTTGAAGAGTAGATGGCGGTAGACCTTATACTGTCAGTGATGCGCTCTCATAAAAAAAAAAAAAAAAAAAAAAAAAAAAAAACAAGAGAATGACAAGAGATTTATCATACCTGTGGCTTGATCAGGACCAGGTCAATGAACAGCACGACAAAGTCATACTCGACATATTTATCAGCGAATCGTTTACAGCGCGGGCATTGCGTCAGGCGCACACCTTTGCCTAGAGAGCGATCATCGGCGCGGCTGTAGGTGCTGTACAAATGCGAGACGGGGTAGGAGCACTCGATGCAGATGGGCATCGTGGATTGCAAAATCACTCAGCTCCTCCTCCTCATGATGGTATATCTATGGAATGCTTTCAAGGAAACAAAAGGGAGAAAATGGAGGCTTTGGGATGAAGATAACAATCAAGACCCAAAGGCGGTGAAGAGATGTTTATGTATAGTCCAAGTTGTTATTGTATCTTTGTATAGGTAAAAAGGGAAAAAAAACTATTAAATTTAAAACTCATACTCGAGAAAAATACATTTTAATTAGTAGCAGTCAGGAATCTTGCAAATATGATTCTAGTGACAGAATCGAGTGTCCATTCAGAGTCTATAATCTCTGCAAGCATGGCCTTGAACTGTGTAAGTAAACAACCCTTCTCACTAATCTAGGGGTAATTTACAGTATACATGAAAGGGTCCATATATCAGCAGGAAATGATATCAGCTCCTCAGGTAAAAAAAAAAAAATAAACCTCGGGGGGACAAGTATTAGCGGGTGTGTTTGAATAATCAACTTCCAGATGGCCCTTTCCAGGAGGATATCCATGGATGATATCTATATTCGAAATTTTTTATCTTTGATATATATTGGACTGATATGTACCCTCGTAAATCAATCAATCGACAACACCTGTGTCGTTCGCCCAGCTGGGCTGGATGCCACGACACACCCCTTGGTAATCGCGGAACCTCTGGGGATCCTCGGTCAAATCTGGAGTCGTCCAAAACATCGTCCAATTGGTATCGTCTAGCTTCCAGGTCCCCAGGGACCGCTCAAAGTACCACTTGTTCACCGGGTTATCCTTGCGACTACGCCAGCATACCCCGTTAGGAAAGCATGTGCGCACCATCGCATTAAACACAATGTCGGCAACACCTCCTGCACCCTGGCTGCGCTTGAGGACGGCGAATTTATCGAGGTAGGGTACCATTCTCGCCGCACTGGCCTCGCTGCCATCATCCTCGACGCCCGGAGGTAGTTCCCAGGTCAAAATGGCACCACCTTCGTACTCTCCGGCAATAATCAGCCCAGCGAGTCGACCGTTGACCCGGTTCAGATAGTCCTTGACGTCAAGTTTACGATTGAATGAATCTTCGATGAGGTGGACTAAACGTGGAAGATCAATGCAGGGGTCTTCGAGGCTCAGCTTCGGACGGGTTTGGGCCGTCCATACCTGAACCCGCGGGTCCGGTACTAAAGTGAGGGGCATGCCTCGCTTGACAAATGTCGTATGGGGGGTAGGCATGTTGATAGTGCCGCGTCCCCCATTCATAGCTTTTCGCCTGCTTACGGGTAGAGACGAAGAGAGCAGGGGTTTATCTGTCAGCAGGTTGTGAATGAGGGGATTCCTCTGTCGTCGGGTACCCACTGCTGACAAGTCAGAGGGAGTGGCTGCAGGAGAACGTGCTGAGTTGGCAACTTCCAGCGGAGAAGTGATTATACCGGACGATGCCGAAGGGAGCATGGCCAGGGTCTGCTGAGATAACCGTAGGTTGTCCAGGTGGCCGTCAATGGCACTTTTCTCCACCTTGTACGGTAGAGAGACGCGAGAATCTCCAGAAGGTACTGGTGCGATCTCCGAGCCTGCAAACTTGGAGAACAGGTTGCTGTCTGCAATGGGATATGCAGGTTGATCCGCGGACCGGATGTCTGCTTCAGCCGATTGCCGCACTTTGAGTAATTCACTCTCGATATTTTCGAATTCCTGGTTCATATTGATGAAAACATGCGTGTTCTGTGGACCACCAAACGAGGGCATGCCCCCCAGTGGATCCAATATGATGACACGATCTAATGAAACCTCCTTCTGTAGGTGGCTAATCGTCTTCGCTGTGACCATAGGGTCTTCATCTGGATCCGGTGTTACCGCTAGACCCGCAAGCTCCTTTGTCAAGGAGAGAATCGCGTCGTTGACAGGCATAATCACCGCCTTTGGTGTATCTTCTGTGTAGGCAATCGGGGCAATGACGATGATTTGGCCATCCCGCAATGGTCCTAGGAGGAGCTTGCGCGAGGAAACCGTGGGCGTGTCTGGGGTTCTCGGGGAGATCGATAATATGGAGTCTAGATGAGCAGATTTTGAGTCTGGCTGGGCGTCAATTGCCGTGGAAATACGGTCTGCCTGTTCAGCAGCTATCTTCCGCAAAGCATTGGCGCTACCGTCTGACCCGGGATCAACCACCACACAGCAAGCCATACCCAGTCGGTTAAGCTGGGATAAAGTTTTAGCCACCCCATTTAGGGTCGAGTCATCCAGAAGCTGCGGTGTTTTGATTTTGATCAGAGCCAGATGTAGTCGCTCAGGTAGATGCTGACGAATGGGAGTCGGGGTGGTATCTTGTCTGAATACGGGACTATCGTAGACGGATCTCGAGGCGCCATAAAAAGATCCCAGGTTCACGCCTGGTGGTAATGATTTGGCCAAGGTGCATTCAATCTCATTGTTGGACGGTTTCTTGGGCGACTCTGGTTGGTGTTGAGCTTTCAGGCGAGCTAGATAGGACTTGGCCTCGCGTTTCGTAGATGCGGAATTGAGCAAGCTGAGGAAGAATTCCTACATCGGTCAGTCGTCAGTGGCTACACGCTCCAAGATGGTATACACAGTCCCAAATGGTGTCCTACCCGATCAAGCAACTTTTCCTTGGCTCTATGACCAAGGCGATTGTAGCTCTGACTACTAGAAGAAAACTCGGCGCTCTGCTGGACTCGGCGACCGCACACGGACGAGAAACAGCGACGACGAGGGAGGGGAGGGAATGCGGACGAGGAACCCCCCTCATATCTACCAAGCACCGCATGGCGCTGCTGAGTCGAAACACAAAGCCCATCAGAGAGATTCGCTCACGCAAAACACATGGGAAAGAGGTCGGGTACCTGGAGGAAAGGGGACTTAGCAGTCCGCGGCCAAGTGAGCGTCCTCGAGCTCATGGTTTAGCTCCGAAAAGCTATGCGACCCATGCCAGAAATGACCAGGGAGCGGAATGGAAGAAAATGGGACAACACCGGCGCGCGTACTGTGGGGAGAGTATAACGCGGGTCGGGTGGAAGAAAGCGAAAAATCGGTGGATTGTTTGCTTGGGGGGGAAATGAGTCAATGACGCACCGTCGCTGGTCCGTTCTCGGCTCCCTGTCAACTTCGCCCAGGCCGATCCCACGCAAGTCGAGGTCGACGAAGTTAAAGCAGGAAGATGATGGTGGTGAGGAGGCTTCATCTTTATGTTTTTGCTATTATGAGGCATTTTGTTCCTGGTCTGTGGAAATATTTGCATGGGGATGTGCTGGTTGCTTATTCCCTCATCCAAGCCAGGGCCCCCCAAGCGGTGGGTGTCCAACAGACTGAAGGGGGGAAGAACCCAAGTCATTTTCAATCCTCTGATCCGGTTGGTCTAATGTGAGCTATTAAGAAGAAGAAGAAGAAGAAGCAGCAGATTATGGCCAATCATGAAGAGAACGGATTGCAGTGGAAGAGAGGCAGAAGAGGAGGATGAAGGAGAAGAGGGAGGGAGGGGTAAGATGATGCCCAAGGGGAATGAGTCCATCTTCATGCTGGAGACACCTCGATATGCAATGCAAACCCAATCAAAAGTTGAGACCTTTCAAGTCATTTGCCTGGAATATTGCTGATTATGCCGACAGTACAGATGTGTGCTCTTAACCTACCTAATTAACAACATCTCAACCTTCCCCAGTGCTGATTGGCAATGAGAGGAGAAGTCCATTAGTGCTTCTTCCCCATTCTACCACAAATGGAAAGGAAACGAGAATGCATGAATGCAGGCACTCTCTCTATCAATGGAAATATCGTGAGGTGACTTCTACTCATACACCTAGAGGTACGGGGTACTTAGGTAGGTACTACATAGATCCTCCATAGAGGGTAAAAGAAAGTCAGATATCTCTCTTTAAGGAAATTGTGAGATTGCAAGTTCGAGTCTTGCTCTGACCACTCGTTTTTTCCTGGCTCTATAACAAAACACACCAGTCAACTGCAGGAACCTGTAACGAACACATTTATTATTAGCTCCTTCGTTCTATAACAGGTATTCTTTCCCAGAGCAGAGACCAATACGATCACATGACTTGCAGTTCCCCCATAAATCCTGTCCAGGACTCCAGAGTCCAGCCCTTTCCCCCCAGAAGGAAACTAACAGCTTCAATAAAGAATAACCGATGAACTAGACAGGAATCCAACAATTGCCTTGTAAGATGCTTAGAGGTACGCGTAATGAGTGGGGGACAAGGTCAAGGAATGTCTGCCCCGCAATGCGGGAATGGAAAATTCGGGTTCTCTACCCAATCAATCTCTTATAAGAAACAGTTCATTTGCAGAATATGATCAGATCGAGACCAGGATTCTTATTATCTACTTCGTAGTATATGTATTAATACATATTGGATTCATCTGCAAGATCTGATCTGGGACCAAGGGAGTCTAATCCGACGCAGGGGTTTTATCTTATCGTGTGCATTGGTTAATTGAAGCGTGACCCCCCTTTCTCGACCATTCAGATTCTCCTCGGCCTCTTTTTTTTTTTTTTTTTTTTTACCTCCAGGCCAAAAATCCTCGGAGTTATCTACCGTTGTGACTCTGCAATCGCTTTCTTTCCCTTCCATCAACCTCCATTTCTTTACCTCAGATCCTCCATTTTATATATATCTCTCTAAATAACCCTCTGACATTCCGTTCCTCCTTGTTTTACTCCCCTTTCCGGCCATGTCGGATCAGTCAACCCACCACCAGTATTCCGAGCCCATTAATGGGTTCAAACCCTTATCTAACGCCGGCGGGTTTTCCCTACCTGCTTCTGAGCACGATCTCTCACGGTTGACTGAACATGCTGAGGCGATCATTGCGAATGGTCTGCCCTTAGAGGAGGTTGATGAGGACGACGAGGAGGAATATGAGGATGCCGATGAGGACTATGTCGCGGTGGATCATGACGATTTGAACGAATACCCTTACTGGTTCCGCCGCCCACCCGTGCATCACCCCTCGAAGTTGGACGATTTGCATCCCTTTGTACAAGTCTTGACGGAGTCGAATGTGGATGATTGTATTCTGGTCGAGGAGGCATTCCCCGAACACGAACGCTGCACCCGGGAGAAGGTATGTGTTTGATTCTACCTTGAGCACGTCTTCGCCAGAACCCAGGCTAATCCCCCCCCCAACCCCCTAATAGTTCACATATCGTCTTGGAAGATGTCCCGAACTTTGTCTCGGCCTGTTTACCCTTCCAATCATTGACGAGGGAGAGCCGAAACCTCGCCCGACTCTGGTGGGACATATTATTGCTACACGAACATCGACCCCCCATGTGACAGACAAGTCTATGGAACTTCCAGCGAATTGGAAGACTGAGCGCTTAACCGTGGTAGACGGACAGACCGTTGGCCATGACGAATACGGCTCTACGATTGCTATTCACTCGCTGGCGGTCTTGCGCGAACACCAAGGCAAACAAGTGGGCAGCACGCTGATGAAGGCCTATATTCAAAGAATCAGGGAAGCTATGATTGCGGATCGCATTGTCCTGATTGCCCACGATCATTTAGTGCCATATTATGAGTCATTCGGGTTCGAAAACCGAGGTCTCAGTAAGTGCCAGTTTGGTGGTGGAGGCTGGACTGATATGGTGAGTATCCTTGCTTGTATGGCGGAGCCGTTTTACTAATAAATGAATAGGTTTTGGAGTTCAATAGTGAATAAGCAGTCTGGACTTGTCTCTTTAAGGACCGGCATTCTTTCGTGAAAGTCGTCGTGGTTTCCCTTTCTTCTTCTTCTTCCTCTTCTTCTTCTTCTTCTTCTTTTTTTTTGCTTTTTCTTCTTTAATTTTCCTTTCATGTTTGACATGTTCTGTTTTCATTCCCATTCGTTGCATGTTCATGGATTATACTCTGGATTTGGTCTTACAGGGCGGGTTATAAACTTCAAAAGGAATGGAGTTCTGATGGGCGGGGCTACGAGGATACGATCTGCTATGATATGATGACCGGATTGGTTGGGTCAGGGCAGGCATCAGTTTTTATCATAGAAGCATTTCCGCCGGTAGCTAGGTAGTCAATATAGGTATATGGTATTCACATGAATTCCCTCGTGAATTTGTGAGGTTATTCAACTCGCCCAAAAGTACATCACCATTGTTGAAATCTCGGTTGCGGAAAATTACAAAATCCCCTCCTCCCCACATTCGGCCTCACCGCCCGCCAAAAATTCTGCCTTCGACCGCCCTCCTAAATAATTTTTTTTTTATCATAATCATCTTTGATTGTTTTCATCTCGCTCCATCCTCACGTCGGGTTACCTTTTGTTAGAGTCCTTTTTGTTATCGAGATAGACTCTCTTTTAGGTACCCATCATGAAGACTACATGGAAAGATGTGAGTTCCCTCTCTACGACAGCCAAAAAGCACTTCTTCTCGATTGAACCGTTGGCATGCTGATGTTGCTTTTCACCGCTTGATTAGATCCCTCCTGTGCCTTCAAGCCAGGAGTTCCTCGATATTGTCCTGAGTCGCACCCAGCGACAGCTTCCTACCCAGATTCGTGCTGGGTTTAAGATCAGCCGTATTCGAGGTATATACCGGTCTTGAGTACGAAAGAGTTGCATGGTCACTAACCCGAAAATTTTCTCTTCTACTCGATAGGCTTTTATACCCGCAAAGTTAAGTACACGCAAGAGACTTTCTGTGAGAAATTTCAGGCGATTCTCGATGGATTTCCTCGACTGCAGGATATTCATCCTTTCCGTAAGTGATTCCTTTTTTTTTTTCCCTTCCCTGCTAGCATTTGGGCGGTTTTTTTTGTGGAATCCATCTCACACCCGATTAGATAAGGATTTGATGAACACCCTGTACGATGCCGACCACTTCAGAATCGCCTTGGGTCAGGTCTCGACGGCTAAGCATCTGATTGAAACCGTGTCTCGCGACTATGTCCGTCTGATTAAATATGCGCAATCTCTGTTCCAGTGCAAACAGCTCAAGCGCGCTGCCCTGGGTCGCATGGCTACCATCTGTCGACGTCTCAAAGACCCTCTCGTTTATCTCGAACAAGTCAGACAGCATTTGGGCCGTCTTCCGTCCATCGATCCCAATACCCGAACCCTTCTCATCTGTGGGTACCCCAACGTCGGAAAGTCCAGCTTTTTGCGCAGCATCACCCGGGCCGACGTTGATGTTCAGCCTTATGCATTCACCACCAAGAGTTTGTTCGTTGGTCACTTCGACTACAAGTACCTGCGATTCCAGGCCATCGATACTCCCGGTATTCTGGATCACCCTCTGGAGGAGATGAACACGATTGAAATGCAATCCATTACCGCCATCGCACATTTGCGGTCCGCTGTGATGTATTTCATGGATTTGTCCGAACAGTGCGGATACTCCGTTTCCGACCAGATCAAGCTGTTCCACAGCATTCGGCCCTTGTTTGCGAACAAGATTGTCTTTGTTGTTGTGAACAAAATCGATGTCCGCCGCCCCGAAGACCTTGAACCCGAACTGCAGGAGGAGCTCCAAAAGATGCTCAAGACCGACGATGTGGAGCTGTTGCAGCTATCCTGCACCACCACGGAGGGCGTGACTGCCGTGAAGAACGCTGCTTGTGACAAGCTCCTAGCAGAGAGAGTGGCACAAAAGCTCAAATCTGGAACCAGCAGCTCCGGCACGCCTGGGGGTCGATTGGGAGACGTTCTTGCTCGCATTCACGTTGCCCAACCCATGGGCGGTGCGCAGCTTGAGACTTTCATCCCGGATGCCATCAAGGAACTCAGGAAGTACGACAAGAACGATCCAACCCGGAAGAAGCTGGAGCGGGATATCGAAGAGGAGAACGGTGGTGCTGGTGTCTACAACATCGATCTCAAGAAGACGTATACTCTTGCAGACGACGAATGGAAGCACGACAAGATCCCCGAAGTGTGGAACGGCAAGAATATTTACGACTATGTGGATGCGGATATCGAAGAGAAGCTTGCGGCTCTGGAGGAAGAGGAAGAGAAACTGGAGGCAGATGGCTATTACGATTCCGACGAGAGTGTGGAGGATGCAGAGGATGCAGATATCCGCATGAAGGCAGACCTGATCCGCGAGAAGCGTACCTTGATGCGCAACGAGGCGAAGCTGCGCAAGTCGCTCAAGAACCGTGCGGCCATCCCCCGCAGCGCCAAGTCCAAGAAGCTCTCCCATATGGAGCATGCTTTGGACGCCGCTGGCTACGATCCCGAGGCTGCCGTCTCGCGGGCCCGATCCCAGAGTCAAGTCCGCGGACGCACCAGCACCCGCAGCGAAGTCGACACTGGCGATGCTATGGAGATCGACGGTTCCGATCCTCGCCTGGCTATTGCCAAGGCCAAGAGCCGTGCTCGCAGCCAGGCGGCCACCAACCGTCTGGTGGACGGTGTGACCGACTCCACCGCGCGCTCCAAGGCCGAGCGTCTGGCCAAGCTGGGTCAGAAGAAGATGAACCGGATGGCCCGACAGGGAGAAGCCGATCGACACACAACCGCTTCTCTTCCCAAGCATTTGGTATGTTATATCTGTTTCACTTTCATACATATAAGCATTTCACGGTACTAACTGAGTTTAGTTCACGGGCAAACGCACCATTGGCAAAACCCAACGCCGTTAAAACGGCTCTTTTCCTGTGTCCATCAATCCGAAGTTTTTTTTTTTTTTTTTTTTTCTTTCTTTTTTTTCTTCCTAATATACTCCGTCTCGAGTCACGGTACATACTGGTCATGACCTAGGTGTCTAAAAAAAGGCGTTGGGTGGGGTTCTTGATTCTGTGATGATATCTTTCTGCACTATAAATACGTACTTAGAAATCGATGAGTACTTTATAATTGTTCAGTAGTAGTAGTAGTCTTTCAAGGGACGTCTTTTGTTCGCCCCCCCAGCATCTGCGTCTGATGAGGTTTGCTGGGGCTCGTGCAAAAGCAGCTGCAACAATGAGAGGGAAAACGACTGTTGCTTCCCGCATCTTATCCAGGATGGGAATTAACCAGTCCTCAAAACAGAATCGTAGGAGAGCGAGCAACTTGGCGTTTACCCTATCCAACCAGACAGACTATTACCGTGCTCCAGAGGTAATCCTTGAGGGGATATATAGGTACCTGTTCCAGATGGATGGATGACCTTTTTTTTTATCTTACTCATGTTTGTATAGTTAACTAGTTACTAGGTAGTGGATGTAATCAACCCAATGCATTGGAAAAATCAACTAAACCAACCCCACCCAAATGCAAGATATATATATATAAAGATATATATATATATACCTAGGTATGCATGCAAGATACTCAGTAACCCCCCCCCCCCTATTCTTTGTCCAAAAGCACAGACGCTAAACAATTATTATACACATGATGATGATGATGATAACAGAGTATCTGTCGACAATACTTCAGTAGTAGTAGTACTATGAGAACTGAACTGAATCATCAATCAAACCTTCAAAAAAAAAAAACAAAAAAAACTACTCCTGAATTTCAGTCGGCTCGCCATGCTCGGTCTCGCCGTGCTCGGCCTGGCCCTCCTGCTTCTTGCTATCGGGGCGAGCATGCAGATCCTCAAAGATGTTCTCGGGGGCCTCCCACGAGCTGCTCTTCCAGGGGATGACGTGCAGCACGTACATGGTGTCGACCTCCTCCAGGGTGCGGCCCTGGGTCTCGTTGACGAAGAAGAAGACCACGAGCACGGCGGCGAAGCAGCACGCGGCGAAGACGTATCCGTAGGCGAAGTCGATGGAGGACGAGATGAAGGGCGTGAAGAAGGAAATGAGGAAGTTCCAGGTCCAGTTGGAGGCCGTGGCGATTCCGATGCAGATGGCACGGTATCGGGCCGGGTAGAGTTCTCCGCAGATGGCCCAGACGATAGGACCCCATGTGGTAGCGAAGCCTTTTTGGGAGTTAGTGGATGTTATATATATATCTCTCTCTCCATATATATATATATATCTCTCTCTCTCTCTCTCTCTCTCTCTCTCTCTCTCTCCATATATGGATATATATTTTTAAAAAAGGGGAAGAGACTAACCAACAATGAAGAAGCAGGTGAATACAATCATAGCCGATCCTGCCTTGGGGGTCGCCTGCGGGTTGCTCAGGTCAAGGGCGAAATGACCAATAGAGGCCCAGATCATGAAGCAGATGAACATCCATGCCGCACCCACCATCAGACTCTTGCGGCGGCCAAAGTGCTCGACGACGTAAAGACCGGGCAGGGTCATTCCGAAGTTGACGGCGCCCAGGATGATCTGGGTGACGTAGCTGTTGTCCAGGCCGGTGGAGGTGAAGATGCTGTTGCCGTAGTAGAAAATGAAGTTGGCACCGGTCAGCTGTTGCAGGGACTGCAGAGCAATCCCCAGCAGAGTGCGGTAGAACATGCGGGGCCCCGTGAAGATTTCGTGCCACGAGGCGGTGCCCGCCGCCCGTTCCTCGTCCAGCTTGTCCTTCATCTCCTTCATCTCCTGGACGATGCAGCGGTGGTTGGGCCCCACGCCGTACAGCTTGCACATGACGTCGCGGGCCTCGTCGATGCGGCCCTGTCGGTAGGCGTAACGGGGGGACTCGGGGAGGAACAGGGTACCCAGACCCAGAATCAAGGGCCAGGCGAAACCAATTCCCATGGTGATTCTCCAAGAGGCAGTGGACGCAATGGACTCCGTGCCGAAGTTGATGAGGTAGGAGATGAAGATACCAAAGGCAACGAACAGCTGGAACGCGCTAACCATGGCACCGCGGACCTGACGCGGGGCCGATTCACTCTGGTACATGGGGACCACGCTGGACAGGGCCCCGACACCCAGCCCGGCCACCCAACGGCCCATGGCAACCTGGTACCACTTGTCGGTGGTAGCAATCTGCACGATGATCCCCACGATATGGATCAAGGACCAGAAGGAGATGGACAGCCTGCGGCCAATTCGATCCGAAATCGGAGCCGCAACTAGGGCACCGATCATGGTACCAATGGATAGCTAGAAGAGGGGGGGGGGTCAGTCAGTCAGGTCTGATATTGACCATGGCAACCAAGATGTGCCCGTGGGGAGTGTGTTGTAACCTACCAGACCGACAATCAGACCATTACGGACATTGCTAAAGACATACTCGCCGTTCGGTTGACGCTCGGCAAAGCGCATCTTAAAGTCATGCATTGTGGTGAAGCCGGCAATTTGTCCTGTACCGAGCAGCCGAGGCGGTTGGTTAGTGAGTGAGTGAGTGAGTGAGTGAGTGGACTGAAATGATTCCCTGGACGGAAAAGACCCTCGCACATACCGGTTGCGTAACCAAAGACGAACCCACCCATGGAGACGACAATGCCCAGAACAAACGACCGCCAGGTCAGATACTTCACGGGGCTGTCATCGAGGATGTCCTGATTCTTCTCGGCGGTGGAGTTGGTGCGGGCAGGAGTAGAGGCGTGGGAATCCTCATGCTCCTCCGCGCGAGGCTTGAAGAGGCCCTTGATGTTACCTACACCCATAATGACGATGCGGATGATGATACTCGGGAACTCATGAACTCCGGAGGTTGATAGAGAAAAGGAAAAAAAAAAAAAAAAGTCAGACCAAGAAGAAGCGGAAGAAGAGATATAAAAGAGGGTCGTGGCGGAGTAGGGGAGATGGAGACATAAATTAGACGGGGAAAGGCGAAATGCCCTCACACAACATCCGTTCGTCGTGCATCCCACGGAATGGGGAACCCAGGTTCTGTGAGGGAAAAACGGGGGCCCGGATCTAACAGGACCGATTCGAGGGGGGAGAAGAAGCCTGAAGGCCATGGAGGTGGAATGTTCGTTTTTTCGAGATTTTCCGGTGGAGAGAGAGAGTTGCCCCCTGGTTGTTGGGTATCCACTTTACTTTTTGGTATTATTCTTCTTCTTCTTATTATTTTATTTGGATTACAGGCAGATCTCCAGTGGACCAAAAGAATTTGCTGCCTTTTCCCAGCCATCCTGGAGAACCATCTAGATTGATCTTTCTCTCTTCGTTCTTTCTTTTCCCGCAATCTGGTGAACCGTGAAAGCGGGAGGTGGTAGAACAACTACATACATCATAATCCATCCCGAACCCGAGTTCTCTCTCGGCAGGCCGAAAAAAATCGGATGCCGAAATCATCCAAGGCAGAAACTCGGTGTGCCGATTCGGATAGTGGCAACTCTCGAGTTTCAGCGAAATCTCGCCGACAAGTGGGTCGAATGGCTCCACCAAGCAGAGTTTTTACGAGTCCGTAGAAGAAGTATACGTAGAATCACGTCCAAGCGATATCTCACGGCGAGAAGTCTAGGTAAATGTAGAGCAAATGAGCACATGGGGGATCTCTGCTTGCTGAATGAAAAATTATCCTGGAGAAGACAGAAGAAGAGCGAGCTGGAACAGGGGAAAGAGGGGTTATAGCGCTGTCCGTATAGAAGGGAGTTTCCTCCAGGACTTTGACCGAGCCGGAACTCTTCCGTGGACCAAATTGTTTTAGATTACGGTGGAAGAAAAAAAAAAAAAAAAAATCTTGGTATCAATCTTGCAAGGAGATTTTAACTTGGTCACTTGGCCTGGGTTCAAGGCTGTAAGGATCACTACACTACTAAGGTACTATTACACTACTACTACTACTAGTAATGTAATAGTACCTTAGTAGTAGTGTAGTATAGTAGTGTAAGAGTAATCCAAGGAAAACCTTCCCTGGCTTTACCCTACATAGTTATGCATAAGATACACAGGACTACGCAGAACCTTCCGGTTTTTTCCGGGTTCATACATGTACAATGCCTGAAAGACTTGGGAGAGAAGACTTATTCACAGGGTTAGGATGAATGGTGGAACCACACCTGCAGAGTTGCACACACACACACTCTCTCTCTCTCTGAGACAATATACTGTCCAACAATAATAACATGATTTTGCATCTCCTGATGAATACACCATTCGCATCCTCTGGAGGGTTATGCATGTTTCCGAATTCCTGAGGTAGTTTGCTGGTGATGCCGTCAGTCTACGGAGTAGATACATGGACTATTGAAGCAACTTGGCTGCTCTCGACGCGGTCCCCCATCCCGCCTTGCCTGAGAGATTGCATGATATGACACCTACTTCATGACCCGAGGTTCTTTGTGTTGCGTGGACGACTATAGTATCTGGTCTCGGGTGTCCTGTCATATGCAGATACACACTGAGACTATGATTCTAGAATTTTTTTTTTTTTTTCTAGAACATTCATTCAACCCAAGACAATTTCTAGATACGATCGATGGAAGAAATCTGGAGATTGACCCTCCTCCTCTTCTGGAATTTACCGTATTAGAATACCCTACCCTGGAAAGTCCCGCATAGAACCTGGATGTCAGTGATATAGATTCTAGATATATAGGTAAGCATCAACCCGGACGGAGACTAATCCTGGATCAAGTCCCAATTGCAGTTCCGACACTCCGGTCGACTCACTATAGGTATCTGGAGTTTAATACCTCATACGTAACTAGTTAACTAGTTAACTAACTAATTAAACTGATGTATAAGCTACTTGAGTAGAGCAAGAAAGAAAGGAATATAGGTTCATCCTGAACCGGAAAATAAAAATCATTAAGACTTCTGACCTAGGTAGATGTTTCCAGTCCCTTTCATCTTTTTTTTTTTTTTTTTTTTTTCTCCTCACTCAACCACATCAATCGGGTTTAGGTGCTCTTCTTTGCGTTCTCGCGCTCGGCCTTACGCAGCGCACGCTTCCGGATGGACTCGTGCATGGAGCCGTTCTGCCCAATGAAGAATTGGCTCATCGGCCCAACCACACAGGTAATAAAGTACGCCATCAGTCCGTGGCTCCAGTAAGGAGAGGAGCTGTACGCGTAGGTGGGAGAACCGCCGTTGCTGCCAATCTTCGAGAGCGTGGCCTGGACGAACGACCGGGGGTTGGGGATCAAAGCGCTGGTCTTGCGAACCTTGGACATGGCAGACGTGATGAGATAGGCCTGCACCAGCTCGACGGTAATTCCGTATCGCTGCAGCTCCGAGCCCAGGGAGCTCGACCACTGTTGGAGGAACGCCTTGCTGCCGGAGTAGGTGGCGAGGAGAGGGGTGGGAGTAAGACCGCCGAAGGAGCCCATCGTGAGGATCAGGCCTCGCTTGCGCTGGATCATGCCAGGGACGATGATCTGCGTGGTCCGGAGTGTCCCCATGCAGTTGATGGTGATGATGTCAGCCATCTCGTCCGCGGGAGTCTGGGCGAAGGGGGTAGGGATGCTGTGGCTCTTTCCAACGTTGTTGACCAGGATAGCGACGTCCAGCTCGTCCACCAGCGCCTTGAGCTTCTCGAAGTCGTGATCCTCGTTGCGGGCGTAATCCATCGCCAGCATCCGAGTCTGCACGGACGGGTACTGGGAGGTGATTTCATCGGTGAGGGCAGTCAGTTTCGAAGCCGTCCGAGAAACGAGCACGACGTTGTAACCAGCGCGGGCGATCTGAAGCGCGAATTCCTTGCCCAGGCCATCCGAGGCACCGGTGATCACAGCCCAGCTACCCTTGGGGCCGAAAGAGCGGAGCTAGAGACGAGGTGAGGTCAGTTCAATACCAACCATCATGTAGAGAAGAGACCTTGGGATTATCAACGTACCGACTTTCCGGGAAGAATGAACAAGCTCAAGAGGACTCTAGTAAAGGTCCAAACCCTGGACAGGATAAACCAGCTTCCGGCCGCAAGAAGCACAGATGCGCCGACCGTCTGCCATCCTGGAGTGAAGTTGAACTCCAATTTTGACAGACAGGAGGGGATATCCGTAAAAAATTCCATGGCTAATAGTGATGCAATCCAGGGGAGAGAGCGAGGTTCAGTGGGACAGAAAATGAAGACGACCCCAGAGGACGAGAGCCGTAGCTATAGCCAAATCATAATAAATTATATTTTACCTAGGCTGTTCCAGGCATCATCATCACAATCACAGGATTTGTTGCCGGATGACTAAGGCGTTTGCTCCGCACCATTCCCAACAAGACAATTCAACCTTCCTTCAAGTTCAACATCATTCTGGCTTACAGAGTATCAGCTTTGCTACAAACACGCGGAAGAGTTACATTGTTACTAATTTAGGTATTTCTACCTAATTCCAGTTGATCAACTCTAGGAATTTCTAGAGACTTCAACTGTATATGCTCAAGGCAGTGTGAGAAACGTAAGAAATTATGTCCCAGGGCCTGTCACTCCGTAGTCTCGTGATAGGTTAAATCTCCGGATTATATAGTTGATACGCGCCGGGACACCACCTAACCTAAATAGGAATAGCAACAACATATCCCTATATAGAGAGTCGAGACTCGGTTTCCAATTCCACAGGGACCATACCACGCTAAGTGCTAAGTCTCTCTTACTATCAACAGCATGGACAGCATTCTCTCCTATTTCCCCCCCTTTGAAGGGCTCCTCCCGAAATGGCTTTTCCTCGTATGTCATCAGCATCCCCTTACACACGCCAAGAATGATTGATTTCGGTTCCGCCCGCTAATACCTATCCTATCTCTCAGGTCTCCGTCATCTCCGCCGCAAATAGCGTGCAGGCGTACATCTCCGACTCCTACGCCGCCCAGCTCTACAATGCCCGCTCCGCCGATGGCCGCCCATACACCAATCCGCTCTCCTCGCGCACCTTCGGCACTTGGACCTTCCTCTCCGCCGTGGTGCGCATGACGGCCGCCTACAACATCACAACGCCCGTGTCGTATGATCTGGCCGCGTGGTCGTTTGGTCTTGCGCTGGCGCATTTCGTCGGCGAGTGGTTGGGGTTTGGGACCGCGCGGCTCCAGGGCCGGTTTGTGAGTCCGTTGATTGTTGCGTCGGGGAGTTTGGCGTGGATGTTGTCGCAGCGCGAGGCGTATTTGGGGGCTTAGCTAACCAGGTTGGGTTTGTGGGTTTCTTATCAAATTTCTTTTTGAGTAAAGGGTTGTACATTATTCGATTTTTTCTTTCTTTCTTTCTTTCTTTCTTTCCCTTGTCTAGCTAGGCTTTTCTCAATTCTTCGGCTTTCGCTTTCTTTTGACCATCTACTTGAGCGACGTTTGTGGACATTGTAGATTACTAGTACCGGAATTTATTGTTGGCTTCTCTAACTGTTCAACTTCCGGTATAGCTCTCCTCCGCAACTCCTTAACCGTGCGGCCGCCTGCTCTGGGGTAATGTCGCGTTGTGGCTCAGCCATCATTTCGTAACTATAGTTGTTAAAACATCATCAGAGAGAGAGAGAGAAGAAACTTACCCAACTAGGAACTTGCGGACCGTCGCGCTGCGCAACAACGGGGGGTAAAAGTGCAAATGCAAATACGAGGATTCGATTTCCTCCTCGGTTCCCTCGAGTGGTGCTTGGTGAATGCCCATGCTGTAAGGGAAATGCGTCTCGAACAGATTGTCATAGCGCCGGGTGACTTCCGCAATCGCCTCCGCGAGCTGTATCTTCTCGGTCGCATTGAGGTCGACCAGCGCACGCTTGTGCATCTTGCTGACAATCATCGTTTCAAAGGGCCAAACGGCCCACCAAGGACACACCACCAAAAACGCCTCGTTCTCAAACACCACACGCTCCTGCTTTTTGCTTTCCAACGCAGCGTAGGCCTCGAGCATGTGTTTCCCGCCGTGTTCCTTGCGGTACTTCTTCAGTTGCTCGAGCTCAGCTGCTGGTTCCTCGGGGAGGGAGCTGGTTGTCCAGATCTGACCATGAGGGTGAGGGTTGGAGCAGCCCATCGCAGCTCCCTTGTTCTCGAATATTTGCATATAACGGTATTGTTCCTTGGGCTTTGACAGGCTTGCGACGGGGGAATTGGCGGCAGGGGTAAGAGTGGAGGCCACAGCCGCCAGCGGGGAGTTGGGCGACAGGTATGAAGCATAGATCTCAGTCCAAGAATCAATGACAGGGGCAATCTCAGCCGGGGACAGGTCCGCCAGGGTGAGGTTGTGAGCAGCGGAAAAGGTCAGGACGAAGCATTTTCCGGTCACGGAGTCGGCTCTGAGAAAAAAGGATTCCACATCTAACCACGTCCTAATTAGATTGTTTGTTGCTCCTCTCGGACAGTTCATCAAGTCATACCGTCTCCAGACTCAGGGTGGTAGGCAGCCTGCTCCTCCTTGACGGCGCTGTAATCGTTCACAAAAACAAAGGTCTTGTCGTACTTGGGGTTTTGATCTCCTTGCGCACGTTGGTTTCCCGGGCACAGATAGCACGCCGGGTCGTAGGCAGGCAAGGTTGTCTTGGAGGGGCTCTCCTGTGCTCCTCTGTTTGCGGTGTAAGCTTTAACCCTTTCAACGTACGAGATCGCATACATGCATGCCAGCCATTTCAAAGAAAGTCGGAATATGGACTTACTGCCAGGGGCGCTTGGTTCGGTGGGGAGAGACAAGGACGTAAGACCCACGGAGAGGGTTATACCTCCGGTGGGAGATGTCATCGAGAACGCTTTCCACCATGATCAATCAAGCGCGTAGATTAACCCAGAGAAAGATGATCCCAGCACGGGGGTAGAAAGTACAAGTTGTAGAAGGAATAAATGAGGAAAGGGAAGATTTTATACAACCAGGATCTCTTTATCCAACGGACGGTCAAGCCGCGGGGTACCGAAGGAATTGTACGGGGAACTGCTAGGATCGGGTAATTTCAGGGGAATTCTCCCGGTTGTTTCTATCCGACCTTGTTTACCAAATCCCCAACATCTATATGTCGATATGACCGAGATATAGATACAATAGAGGTAACAGATAATATTTTCTTTGTGGTGTTTGTCGACTCAGGCCGCGACTTATTGAGGCTTTTGAGAGTCTGACGTCATGGTGCCTTAGGAAGCTGGCGCGCTGCTATCTCTACAGAAACTGTTAGGATTCGCATCTCAGGAACTCTGGATGGTTGCTCAATCTAAGGATATGAGTCCTCCCTAGTGTTTCTCATCAAAAGTCAAGGAGTTGGTTTACTTCTTACCCCCCTCTCGTTGACCATCAGCCATGACCATGGACCCCTCTCCATCGCTCCATCTCTACTCGCTTCCAAATGAGGTACGCGATATTTGTCTTCTTCGTATAAAATCCCCCAAATCTAAGTTACGATGACCAGGTATTCGTCCAAATTCTATCTCCTTTCTCCGCCCGCGAACTCCTCGGCTTGTCAACCGTCTCCCATCGATTCCACGCCCTCGTCCTGCGCCTCCTACACTACCGACTTTTAGTATCAGCGTCTCTCAAGGAATACAGACTCATCCTGGAATGTTTCCATCCCACCTCCAAACTCACTGAGCCTCACGTCTTTTGCAAATACCTTGGCACAGATGGGCTAAGTGACAAATACCAAGGGGAAGGGTCGCTCTACGAGAATGTCGACACTGCGCAAAAGCTAGGCCGGCTAAGCTCATTATACTCGAGATTCCAGCCCGTGATGACAGCCGAGGAAAGCCCTAATGGAGCTGGATCGACTGCAGTCCCAGAAGTCAATGAGGGGATCCCAAATGCGGATGCGCGGGCTGTGAAACGTCCGGTCAACCTAGAAAGCTTTGAAGATTTTTCTCAGCTATGCGTGGTGGTAAATGTGGTCAAAGTCAAACCAGGCAGTGCCCGTCTTCTGAGTGTTGTTGACGTCGAGGACGGTGTAATTAGGATATTCCGAGACTGGCTGAAGGACAACGCAACCCCTGCACAGGGTTCTGCGCGTAATAACCCTTTAGAGGAACGAAACGACCAACAACTCCTCTGGGTGAATCAAAGCCAGAACGTCGGGTTGAAATTACGCGTCCGAGAAGTATCTAGACTGAATCAATCCTTTCCCATTCTGGTCCACCGTGATGAAGAGACTTTGGCTAGCTATGAAATATATATAGACGGTAAATTTTCTCCTCGTCTTCTTACTTTGGATGCTGATCAAACATGAACTAGAATTACATGTTCGTACCACTCGTCTACTGCTAACCTTGGAAAAGGCCCTGCAGGATGAGCAGAATTATCCTAAAGCAGTTGTCTTTACTAGGCAGATGGGGTGAATCCTATGTGTTGCAGTAGAGTACAGGTACTGAAGTGAAAGAAAGTATTTAAGCCCTTGTGTTCACTTGGAGAGATTTTATATAGTATTAAATATATCTTATATAAAGTTCCTGTCAACATTCACTCTTCTAGCCTATAATCTATTATTATTTAAGATTCTTCAGTGATTAATACTGTTGTTCTTACTGAAAGGATTAATAGTTATAATCAGTTTGCTTCACTTTGATTATAAGGGTTCATTCACTGTACAAATAATCACTCAATCATTCTACTTCCATCTGCAGGATCAACACTCTTTCTACTCTTATTTTCCTTTTCTCCCTCCCTTCCCTTCCCTTCCCTTCCCTTCCATACACATCGCATAGCAATGGCGAAATCTAACATTCTGTTCCTTACCAACAGCGAGTTGGGCCAGGCGACAGTTTGCCTGGCTGTTGCCCATGAATTCCTCCTTCGTCCATCGTACAGCGTTCACATTGCCTCCTTCTCCCCTTTGCAACCAGCTGTCTCGCGGTTGAATGTCCGCACACTCACCCTGGCGTCGTCCGCTGCGAGCACAGCAACCTTCCATACGATCCCCGGAAGATCCATGATAAATGTATTGATCGGAAGCGGAGCCTATCAGAACTCCTTCAGCACCCACCAAATTGGGTTTCACGGTGCTCTGAAAACCTACTCCACACTACCTCGATATCTGGCACCATGGACGGGGGCGGAGTATATGGCCATCTACAAGAGCTGCGTAGATATCATCCAGGAGCTCCACCCGGTTATGGTCGTTGTGGATCCTCTTTTCGCGCAGGCTCTGGATGCATGCCGTACCCTCAAGTGTGCATACGTGCAGCTGGGTCCGAATACTCTCAAAGACCATGTGATTCAGCCTATGCTCGGCAATCTGTGGAAACTTCCAATGTATGTAAAGTACAGTCAGTGTCTTGGTATGGGCTGAATGTTAGAGTTAGTATTGACTGGATCTCAACTAGTTTGTGTTCTGGATACCCGTATCCCCTGCCCTGGCGCTTGATCCTGCCGAACGCCTATCTCGCGGTTAAGCTTGGGCAGGCCCTCAGCCGGTCCCCCATCCTCAAGGAGCTTAACGACACTCGTCATTCGCATGGGCTGAAGGGCGCGTACCCGACGTTAATGGGGACGTCTGAGGACAATACCACGCCGCGCTTGATTCCCTCTCGACCAGAGATAGACTTTCCAAGTTTCGTCCCCAAGAACTTCACCCTCTGTGGACCAATTCTTCTCCCCCATCGCCATATTGGTCGAGAAAACCCGGGTCTAGCGCAGTGGCTATCCCAGAGACCTACGGTCTTGATCAACATGGGGTCGATTGTATCGTTTAGCGTTGACCAGACCCAAGAGGTGGCAGCCGGTCTCCGCATCCTGCTGGACGCCAAACCCGATCTACAAGTTTTATGGAAACTAAAGCGCGATAACACGGACAAGGTTGGCGATTTCCTCGATTCAATCTTCGACGAAATCCGGGAGCCGATGATCAACGGGCGCGTCCGGATCGAGGAATGGCTCTCCGTTGAGCCCTCGTGTATTCTCCAGAGTGGCTATGTGTCATGCATGGTTCACCACGGAGGAGCCAACTCATATCATGAAGCTGTTCGGTGAGTCTTTTTCAGGAGGGATCTTTTCAGGAGGGAAGCTTAGAAATCAACGGGGGAAACGGAAACAAAACAAAAAAAAAAAGGGCATGCGTGACTAATTCGCTGCAATAGGGCTGGAGTTCCACAGATTGTGCTTCCTGTTTGGTTTGATACCTACGACTTCGCGGCTCGAGTGGAGTGGCTCGGAATTGGAGTCTGGGGCAGCAAGAAGAGCGCTCCCGTCGTCAATGGGGCGGAGCTAGGCCAGGCCCTGACGCATGTGCTTGCTAGTGAGTCATCGCTGGCGATTCAAGAGAAGGCCAAGTCGATTGCATTGGCGCTGGGGGAGACTGAAGGACGAGTAGTCGCGTGCGAGAAGATTCTTGAATTGATTGAAGGGTAAAGAAGATGGCAATGAGTTGAGTGTGCTCTGCGAGGGAGAGAGAGAGTTACCAAGCGCAACTCCGTGTGATAACTAGGAGATTCTTATTGACTGAATTGAACCGGTCCATACGGAGTATACAAGGCATGGAATGTATTCCGTAGTTCAACTAGTTGATGCTGAGCGAGCTCGGGGGAAATCGGCCTATAAAGTGTCCCATTGACGGATATGACGATAACATTGCGGGAAACCTCCGGTGAGATGTATAATATAGGCCCCAATCTGACTAAAGATGGGGTTGAAGTGATTCAAGAGGAGTGAGTATAAGAACCGGGGATTTCCGAGTTCTTTCTTCGTTGTTCGTCCATAAAATCACTTATCACTACATACAATGGCAACAGAAACAGTCGCTTGGATTGGTCTGGGAAACATCGGCCGGGTAAAACGCACACCGAAAAGCTTCAATTGAGAACCCCCCCCCAAACTGACGCAATCCCAGGGAATGAGCCGAAACATCGCTCTGAAAGGCCCCCAGCAAGCCCCAGTGATCCTCTACAACCGAACCACAGCCAAAGCCACGGCCTTTGCTGAAACCCTGAACGCCCAAACCGCCCACGCAGCCATTGCAGAGCCATCGCTACCCAAGCTGGTGCAGGACGCCTCCATCACCTTCATCTGCGTCGGGGACGACTCCGCCCTGGACCAGATCATCCACAGCATCACCGCAGACCAGGACGCCGATCTCACATCCAAGATCATCATCGACTGCTCGACCGTCCACCCCGACACGTCGCGCCGCACACATGCCGCGCTCGCCGCGCGCGGGGCGTCGTTCATCGCCTGCCCCGTGTTCGGGGCGCCCAACATGGCAGACGCCGGCCAGATGATCGTTGTCCCCGCGGGCGCCGCCGAGGCCGTGGCGCGCGTCCAGCCCTTCTTCGAGGGCGTGACTGCGAGAAAGACCCTCGACCTTGGCGAACGCGGCGCCCGCGACGTCGGCCTCGCCACCACGCTCAAGCTCATCGGGAACAGCTTCATCCTGAACACGGTCGAAACGGTCGCGGAGAGCTTGGTTGTCGCGGACAAGTCCGGCCTGGGCGCCGATAAGTTCCAGGAGTTCATGCACGCTTTCCTGCCGGGCCCGTTTGCCAAGTACGCCGACCGCATGTGCTCGGGCGACTACTATCAGCGGGAGGAGCCGCTGTTTGCGGTGGATTTGGCCCGCAAGGATGTGCGTCTGGCGGGCGAGATTGCTGAGAGAGCGGGCGTGACGCCACGGAGCTTGCAGGTGACAGATGGGTATTTGCAGCAGGTGAAGGCGGAGAAGGGCGTGAAGGGGGATATTGCGGGTGTGTATGGTGCTATTCGGAAGGAGTCTGGTCTTCCGTATGACAACTGAACAATCACATATACATATATATAGTTATATATATATATATATGATTTCAAGAGAGGTCTGCACCTTGTAGACGTATAGTCTACGTAGGGCATACATAGGACTACAACAACATACAGAGCTACAACCTCATCCTAGAGGCAAAGCGAGGAAAAGTAAAGAGTGTAACTATCAGAATCAAGACCCTTCTCAACCCCCCCCTTTTCCAATGTAAAACACATCTCCTATCCGAAGAATGCAGGGAGCCAGGAGAGAATGAAGGGCCCTCCACCCCCCTCCAGTAAGCATAGGCATGTCTCTCCCTCTCTCCCTCCCTGTCTCCCTCTCCATCTTCCCATATTAAACCATCCTCAAATCACCCAAAGACAAGAAGAAAAAAAAAAAAAAAAACAGACAAAACAAACGCGACTCAATCATCCCAGCCCCAAGTCTCGATAACCCTCTGCAACCAGAGCAAAGGAACCCACCTACCTCCTGAACTCGATAAAACCCTCCACTATCACAATGAAGTTCTCGTTCTCCGTGGCATTGCTTCCTATCTTTGTCGCTATTGGCGTGGCGGTGCCTGTCCCGGTATGGCTTTTCTCTTCTCGCGCATCTCCTGGGTCGGTCCTCTGCAGAGGGTTTCTGCCGTGGAGAAAATATACTATATCTATCTACCTGGAACTAGTGCTAACCATATATAGACTGCGAATGTCCCCCGGCAGCTTCAAGGCGCGGATCTGCCCAGCGCGTTGTCGGGGATGGGGGGTGTGACTGGGTTGCTAAGTGGTGTGAATCTCCCCTTGGTGGGCCGAAGCCAGTAAGAGAGAGAGGGAATGAGAATACGAAGGAGAATCAAGCAGATGTTTGTTTGTTTATATTCATATTGAGATATTGATAGTTCATGTTTGTATTCATTCTGTGTCTGTGTTTGGGGCTGGAGTTGATCGCTATGGTTATCATTTTGGTATAGGGGAAGTAAGAATAAAGTAGCGTGTGAGTGTCATGTCTCGTTGTCATCAGGTCATTAAAGTGGTAAATCATAACAACAACAGGAAAAAAAAAAAAAAAACAAATAAACCATAGTAGACATAGTTATCGTGTGTATCAAAAGTACCAAACAAAAAAAACAAGGAGGATACTGGAACCAGCCCTTTTCTTCAGTCTTCCATGTCGACATCATCTACCTCCACGCGCGTTCCAAGCGCTTGCTTCCCCTCTTGGATCATGGCTTGAAGCTGTCGATTCAACCGTCGGAGGCTAGCATCCTCTTCACGTTCCATGCGCCGTTTCTGCGCGAGGTAGCGTTGTGTTTCTGCCGATACAGGACTCTCTTGTGGCTTGGCGGGCGACGAGAAGGTCGACGGAGAATGTGGCACGAGCGCTCGCTTGGAAGGGGTTCGACGATGCACAACTCGGCCTCGAGGGCCGGCGCTTCGTCGCGCTCGAGGGCGACCGCAGGGGCTGGAGGCGGTAGTCGCCCCCTCGCGGGGCGACACCACAACCCAGCTTGTGTGAAGATCTTCCTCCTCATCGCGAGGGTATTCCCCTGGCACAGATACCGCCTCCTTCTCCGCAGAGGGATGGAATGTCGATGGCGATGACCCTCGACGAGTTTGCGGTGACTGGTGATAGGGGTCTGGAGGAGGTTGAGGAGGGTCGAGAGAGTAGCCTCGTCCTCCACCAGCGTAGAAACCGCGGAAGGGACCCGACCAGCAGAAATCCCAGACTTTCCCGACAACGTTGAGCACGGCACGACTCCATCGCAGAGGCCCAGCTGCCGTCAGCCTCTGGTCCGCGGGAACCTTCTCATCCACGCCGGATAATGGGGAGGCAGCGACCACGAGGGAAGGATCTTCCCGACGACAGCGCTTGCGACGGATGGCATCGGGTTCTCCGCCAGAGTCTGTCAGACTCGCATCGAGAGACGGATGCGGAAGCTCTCGATAGCGACTGGGACGGAGATAGTCGATGTCTTCGTGACGGTCATCCTCCCGGTCATCTAGGTCGGAGGAGAAGAGGTCATCAGGAGAGCGATGGAGGGTGTGGATGAGCCTAAATCTATTATACTCCGGCTCTGGGTAGGACCTCTTGCGATGCTGAGAGATGGAGATCGAGCGGTACAAAGCCGACGAGGCTGACGGGGTGGGAGGGACCTGGAAGAGACGAGAGGGAGCGCCGACAAGATCGAGATGAGGAGGGATGGGGGAATCGAGGAGGAAAGAAGAAGAGGAGGTCGGCATTCTTATTTATTTGGGTTATGAATTCATTTATTCGTAAAGGAGTGTGGCAGAGTAAAAGATGTCTGTCGTTTGGAGAGTTGAAGAGGAGAGAGAGAAAAAAAAAAAAAGGTCGGGGTTTCCTCTCAAAGCAGAAGAAAATGAGGAAATTCGGCCAAAATCCCAGCCACCAAAATATTACATCTCAACCACTTCCTTCTAGGTGGTCGCTTCTTTACAGTCTCTGACTCGCCCACTGTACTCCAGCAGCCTCTAATCCATCCTCCCCGTCTACTAACACGCACCAACCCTCTGACCCGCTGCCTCCATCCCCGGCGATTACCGCTTCGAAGTGCGACCGCGCATAGTCTAGCACCGCATCGTCAAAGGTCCCTGGTTGCAACCAGACGGCAGGAACTCCCACAGAATGAGCCTCCTGGAGAAGAGGAAGGGTGACTGCGGGAGGAGTCACCACTGATAGTGACGTCTGGGAGGGGGAGGCGAGGAGTCGAGGCGATGCGACCGTATCGTAGGAATGTGCAGACGACAGCTGGATCTCAGGCGTTCTAGGATTCAGAGGAGTCACCGGTAGAGAGTGCTGATGATACCAGGCCAAAACTGCCACAGTTAATTAGTTAGCGGTGTAGATGATCATTTGTAGCGCAGGGCTCTCTCTCATACTCTTGAAGCCAAACTTATGTGCGTCATTACTGGCTCCGGCGACGGCGAAGCGGGGGGACGAGAAGAAGCGTCCGACGGCGTCCATTGCAAAAGAAGAATGAATGATCTGAGAGAGAGAGAGAGAGAGAGAGAGTCGAGATCGAGGAACTGAAGTTGAGAGAGAAGAAAAAGAGCGAAAATCGCAGAGAGGGGCACGATTTGGATGAAGACAAAATGGGCCTTGAGTTTCGTCATCTCCAAATCTCGACTCTTCATTCTTGTCATCGCTTCAGCTGCATTCAATTCCACGTCCACCAGTCCTCTGATCTCCCATAACCTCCTTCGTCTTCTTTTCAACCTTGCTGGATGCCCCCTTTCATCCCGTCGAAACGGCTCTCCTCAGAGGAACCTCCCCCTCCCAAACGCCATGCCACCACTCCAGCTACATCCCTCTCCTCCCTAACTCCCATTTCCGACTCCTCGTTAACCCCCGTCCCTACCGGCAATAACGATTCTGGTAGCGAGGAACGGGACAATGACAAGAAGGACCCCGATTCTGAGGACTCCGGTTCTGAGGTCGAGTCCGATGGCGCGGACTCCGATGCAGTAGACTGGGAGGACGCTCTCCAACCCTCTGTTCCCGCCACTACCGTTGTCTCTCCGCAGGAGGATCTCGAATTGACCCTGGATCGGGATGAGGTGCACCTGGAAGACATCCTCCAGGGCCAGAAAGCGCCTTCAAAGATTGAACGCCAAATCCGAATCCAGATCCACCGCATGCATGTCCAGTGTCTACTCGTGCACAATGCCTTGCGAAACGACTGGGCTAACGATTCCAAGTGTCATGACATTCTCCAAAAGAACCTACCGGTGGCGATCCAGACGGAAGTTAAGAAATGGCGTCGCGCATCTGGTCTAGAGCCTGAAGAACCTCCCAAGGAGCCATCTAAGCAGAAGAAAAGGCTAGGGAAGCAGAACCAGCGGAAGGCCAAGTCTCAGCAACGCGACTGGGGGGGAAGCTCATCACGCCAGGAACCCGGGAAACCCGACCTGAGTAACGGTGATCCCCTGATTCACCTAATGCGCATCCTCGCCGCATATTGGAAGAAGAAATTCAAGATTACTGCCCCGGGACTTCGGAAATACGGGTACAGGCCCATGGCCCAACTACAGACTCAGATAGCATCCTTCAACCAAGAGACACATGATCCAGAACAGCATGGAGAAAGGGTTGCCAGCGTGGAAGAGTTCCGTCAAGCGGCTGAACGTATGGAAGGTTCGCGGGACCTTGGTGCTCAGCTCTTTACTGCACTCCTTCGCGCACTTGCCCTTGAAGCTCGCTTAGTTGCCAGTTTACAGCCTCTTGGGTTCGGATGGACCAAGGCAGATTCATATACTCCGTTAAAGTCGAACGAGGCTCCTAAGAAAACATCACAATCAACACCTCATTCAGATATAGGCGATAATGATCTAGCCAATAGTGGCGAGGAGGAGACCCCTGCCTCGCGCAAAACAACTCCGCATTATGATGATGACCTCCCTTTCCCCATTTACTGGACCGAGGTAGCATCTCCAGTGACACACCAGATTATCGCAGTGGATCCCCTGGTGCTTGCAAACCCCGTAGCAGCTACCCAAGAACTCCAATCGGCTTGGGAGCCCCGGGGTTCTAAAGCGGAAAAGGCCAAACAAGTGATCTGCTATGTGGTAGCGTATTCATCCGACAGGACCGCTAAAGAGGTTACCACGCGGTATCTCCGCCGAAGGACCTGGCCTGGCAAGACCAAGGGCTTTCGACTCGGAAAGAAAGGGACTGACGACGAATCTTCGGACTGGTTTCGCGCTCTCCTCCGCGTCTACGCACGACCAGCCAAGGAACGCACAGCTGTCGACACTTTCGAAGACACCAATGACCTAGTCCCCAACCAGCCCACAAAGAACAAGCCCACAACCGATACTGTAGACACTTTACAAAGTCTGCGCACATCCACCGAATTCGTCCTCGAGCGATTCCTCCGTCGCGAAGAAGCCCTTCGACCCGGCGCACAGCCCGTCCGCACCTTTATCCCCGGCGGGAAAACCAAGACCACGGCCAAAGGCAAAGCAAAGCCACCCCCCATTGACAAGGCCGAGAATGTCTACCGTCGCGCCGACGTCGTGAAATGCCAATCCGCCGAGAGCTGGCACAAAGAAGGCCGTCAACCCCGAGCCAACCAAACGCCACTGAAACGCGTCCCCATCCGGGCCGTGACTCTCCTCCGCAAGCGCGAAGTCGACGAACAAGCCCGTCTCACGGGCCAAAAACCCCTTCAGGGCCTGTACTCGCGCGAACAAACGGAGGAAATCATCCCACCCCCGATCCGCGACGGCGCCATCCCCAAAAACGAATACGGCAACATTGACTGCTTCGTTCCCCGCATGGTCCCGCGCGGCGCCGTGCATATCCCCTGGCCCGGCACCGCGCGCGTATGCAAAAGGCTCGGAATCGACTACGCCGAAGCCGTGACCGGGTTTGAATTCGGCTCGCAGATGGCCGTGCCCGTGATTGAGGGCGTCGTCGTGGCAGTCGAGCATAAGGATCTCGTCCAGGACGCCTGGCGCGCAGACCACGAGGAAAGGCTTCGGAAGGAACAGCGCAAAGCCGAGGCGCGCATCCTGCAGACTTGGCGGAAGTTTCTCTTCGGGTTGCGTATCGCCCAGCGCGTGCAGGAAGAGTATACAGTCGATGAAACCCATTACCTACCTGATCGCTATAATCCATTTACGAGTCGTTCGGTTCAAGCGCAGACACATCCGGTTGGTATACTACAGGAAGAAGAAGAAGAAGGAGAGAAGCAGCAGCAGCATACTGATCACGGTGGAGGTTTTCTTCTCGGGGGCCACGACGCCGATGACGGCGGCGGTCTTATAGTGGAGGAGAAGCAGCCCCTTGTCGTCCGACAGGTTGCTCCGACGGTTCAAATTGTCGATTCTTCGTCTGATTCCGCTGTTGAAGAGTCTGCCGAGGAGGTTTCGCCTCCTCCCCCTGCTAAGCGCAGACGCACTCGAAATACGAAATCGTTGTAGATTTATCCATATTGGTAGGGAGCTTAACTGGGAAAATAAAACTTTTTTTTTTTTTATACACCTGACGTCAAAACGAGTGCCTTCCCTAGGTTTTGAATATATATATATATATCTATATCTCTATATCGATCTATATCTATACGCGGGTTTTGACATCGAGTGAGATTCACATGGTTTTAAATACTCAACAGCGTTAATACAACGTACGGTACTCAGGTAATATGTTATTATGTATATGCGCTCTATTAAATACTTAGAGAGAGCATAGAGGGAAGAAATATCATTGATAATACGTAACCTCGCAATGTCCCGAAATGATCGTGTTCCTAGCTAGCGGGATAATAAAAAAGGCAGCGTCAAAACCTCATCGTCCTCCTCCTCCTGGAAGCCAGAGGCGATCCAACCCCAACCCCAGCCATATCCATGTCCATGTCCATGTCCTCAGCGGCTTCCGGATCAAGGTCGGCACTGAGATCAAAGTCCCCAATCGGACTAACATGCACAGCTGGAGAGGTAACGGGACTCAAGGCGATGCGCGGTCTGGATTTGAACACGCTCGCGTAGTCCGCTTGCTCGTCGAATAGCTCGTCGCGCGGGGTGGATGCTCGACTTGGGGAATCGGACAGCGGCGGATGGGCTGGTTTTGGAGGCGTGTCGAATTGGTTCACGGGGAAGGACATTCGGGACTGGCGAGGGCGTGGACGGGGGTGGTGGTGGTGGTGGTGGTGGTAGTGGTGCTCTCGCGGAGGGGGGACCAGAGACATAGACTTGCGGGTGCGCTCAACCAGAGTGTATCTGTTTCCCTGGGCATGCGTAGGATCGTCTATCGGAGAGTCTGGGAGGGTGGGTTCCCGTGGAAGGCTGGTTTCCTTCCTTGGTTCGAACCTGTCGAGTTCCTTGATAGATTCCGGGGCGTGGATTGTTGGGATTGGGCTTAATGGGTTGGGTACAGGCTCCAGCTCTACTTCGGGATCTTCTAGGCTAGGGGTAATCACCGGTGACTCTTGCGGGCGCTTTGGCGAGGGTCCATTAATCCGGTCCATTGCCTCGGAGATCGACTGTAGAAGCGCCTGGTGCTTGGTACTAGGAGCTGCTGCCCGGTCAACGGGTTGTCTGACTGCCCTGGAGATGCTGGCAACAGTCAATGTCTGGTGGTCTCGGAAGACCAGCGGGAGGGTCTGCTGGTTCGCCCCGGGAGCTGTTGAAGGTGACAGAGACTCTGAGCGCTTGAGAGAGGCGCCATACTGCCGCCACCGCTGTAACCTGGCCCGCTGTCGCAAGACACGAGACTCCAGGTCTATGACCAGGTCTGGACGGGATGCGGTAGCACGGAGGTCGTCGACGGTTGACTGTTTTGCCTGGGACCAGGCGCTGTCAAATGGGAGTTCCAAAAAGGCATCATGACCACTGTGAAGGCCTCCATACAGCAAAGCATCGGCCCACTCCACACTCCCCTGCCAGTTTGTCTTGGTCTCGCGGGCCAGTGCCTCTAGATCAGCGCTCTGGCCGACAGCGACCCGTTTATCGATCGGTGGGCGAGAGGCAAGCTCTTCCTTCTTCCGGTCTAAAAGCTGCGAGAATTTCTCGTGGGTGTCTCGCAGTCGATCGCGGTGTTCCCCCAAAGTGGCCAAGGAGGCCCGATGAGCAAGAATCAGGGGGAGTAGAAGCGTATACTCTTGAGGGGTCAGGCCGGAGGCCAGACAGAGATCCATAGCGGGAGTACGCTGTTTAGTGGCCTTCTTTCGCACTACAACAGTAGAAAACACGGCCAAGAGCTCGTCGAATTTCTCGCCTTTGCAGTCATCCAGCATGGACTTCCGCAGGATGGTCTCGCGGCCCAGATCGCCATTCTTTTTCAGGTCGGAGAGCACGCGGAACAAGGCAGCACGCAGGTTGACTGACTGCAGCGGCTCAAGGGGCGGGAAGAAGGGACGGAGTTTCTGCAAACAGCGCCCATATGTTCAGCCAACTTCATCGGTCACCGGCGATGGATTCAAGATTGGGGCTGCACCTACATCCCGGGCGGTGTCAGGGTCCCAGAGGGCCACCAGTTGATACAGAACCCATTCGATCGCCTTCATCCGCTGGCGTTGGTTCTGAGATGATGGAGAGAGAGTGCGCAGAGTAATAGCACCAGGCCCGTAGTCCTCTTGGTCGAGCTCTAATAGCTGGAGGTTGCGGAGGAGGACGGTCTGGGGAGACTGAGCCGGCCAATTTGGGGGTTTCGGACGGGGGGGTTTTGCGGATTGCATTTTGTCTAATTTGGTCAGTGAGAGGATCCATAAACAAAAGGAACTAAAGAACAGGCTGCTGCATATTTACCATGTATAGCGATGCAGATAGAGGCGCTGAAGCGGAAAAGAAGGTAAACAGAGCGGTGGGAGAGACAAGACAGCAACACGGGACGATGGAGATGGGCGACGATTCTTTCTTTTACTTCCTCCTCACCATCTCTCGGTTTCCTTTCCCTTCCCCCCCCCCCCTACTGAAACCTTTTAATCTCCTCTCGTTTTTCTCCTCCATCTACGACATTCTCCCACTCGATTCCCCTTTCCCATCTCTCTCTCTAAAATGGGCTCCGAAACCCCCTCCGAACCCCCCCTCTGGACCCCCCAGTCCGGTAAGTTCAAGCTCAACGCGCGAAGCCACTTCATTCTCTACTGTTGCTCACTAACTCCCTGGCTCCCTTAGTCCTGAGCTCTCTCCCCCACCCTCCAAATGAAAACTCCACCTCCCCGATCCCGTTCTTCCATCTCCTGGAGCGATTGAAGACCACCAAGCGCGAGGGATGGCGGCGCTTCGACATCAACAACGGCGAATCCATCTCCGACCACATGTACCGCATGTCGGTCATGACGATGCTCGCTCCCCCGTCTCTCGCTGCGCGCCTCAACCTGCTGCACTGCATGAAAATGGCCCTGGTGCACGACATGGCGGAGTCCCTCGTCGGTGACATCACCCCCAACGACCCCGTCCCCAAGAGCGAAAAAGCCCGTCGCGAAGCCGCAGTCATGGAGTATATTGCCAATTCGCTGCTGCGCGGTGTTCCCAGTGGAATTCTGGCCGGCGCCGACATCCTCGCTGTGTTCCAGGAGTACGAGGCGAACGAGACGCTCGAGGCGCAGTTCGTGCATGATGTCGACAAGATGGAGCTGCTGCTGCAGATGGTCGAGTACGAGCGGAGCTATGGGATTGATCTAGAGGAGTTTACGGGGGTCGCGAAGCGGGTGCATTTGCCGGAGATGAAGGAGTGGGCTGCGAGCGTGCTTGAGGAGCGCGAGGCGTTTTGGAAGAGCAAGAAGCAGACGACGGAAGCGGCGTCTACGGCTACGAATTGATGTGTGATGGCGAAACCTTGACAATGACCTTCTTTTTCTTTTTCTTTCTTTTTTTTTTTTCCTTTTTTTCTGCTCGGGAAGGGGTGGGGTTGTTCTCATTTCAGTATGTTCTATTCTAGAGGCGTTGGACAGTGAGTTATCGGGCATCATTAGATCATCATTCATAGATAGATAGTTAAGACGAGCAGTTAATCTACCCATCTATATATCCAAGTATCCATCCATCTACATTACCATCTAAAGCAAAAAAAAGCCTAATCCAAAGGCTCCCCCTCCATCTCCCCCGCCAACCGACAAGCCTCCTCCTCCATCTCCCGCATCTCCCTCGCCTTCCTCCCCAACTCATCAACCCTCAACGCGCCCCGGAAATTCCGCATCACGTCCCCCTCGCGCCCATCCAGCGCATCGTACACCGCATCCGTACGCGGCAGATCCGCTCTCCGCCGCGGAATGATATGCGCATGCACATGCGGCACGCTCTGGCCGGCATCCACGCCATCCTGGACCGCCACGTTGAGGCTCGTGGCGCCGTAGACGCGCTCGATCATGCGGCCGACCCGCCGCACCGTGAGGAAGAGGTCTGCGGTTTCCGAGGGGGTCAGGTCGGCGAGGCGGGCGACGATGCGGCGCGGCGAGACCAGGACGTGGCCTGGGAGAATGGGTTTCAGGTTCACGAGGGCGAAGCTTAGGGGGGTGAGATGGAAGACCTAGATTTATATTATATTATATATATATTAGAAATAGAAATAGAATTAGAATTAGAAGTTAGAAATAGGAATAGGAAGGGGGGGAACAACCTGGGAGGTGACGAGGAATGGACCGAAATGGATTGGGCTTCCTTTTAGTGGAAGGGCCATTTTGTGGGAAATGATATGGAACGAGTTGTATGGAAGATGAAGTAAAGTGAAGTAAAGGAAAGGAAAGGAAAGGAAAGTATTGTAGGTAATTACTACATCCGAGTGGAACTTATTAAACTCCTGATTAAACTTAAGCAAATTAAAGGAATCAACTCGCACAACAGGGTATCATTAGTCCGTTTATTATATTACATCAAGATCACATCTGAAAGTGCCACGCAACCAACAGCATATTACAATCGTCGTAGGATAACCACCATCTCGTCAACCGTGAAGATATCTCAGCTCAGGTTCATCGGTTTAGCGCGCGGTATCAGTCTCCTTGGCCGGCTCATCTTCGGTCACTTTCTCTGGCTCCGGCTGCATCTCCTGCTCGGGCTCCGGCTCTACTTCAGCCGCCGCCTGACCCTCTTCTGCAGGTGCTGCCTCCTCTGTTAGTGGCTCAGGCTCGCTTTCCGTTTGTTCGTCGGCACTCGGTGCAGTCTCACTGACTGAAGGAACCTCCTCTTCGGCGTCAACCTCCGCAACCGTAACCTGCGATTCGGCGGTGTCAACAACCGGGACGGCCGGTTCAGCGGGCGCACTGGGTTCCTCGCTCTCGGCGCTCTCAGCGCTCTGTCCCTCCGTAGGTGGCGGCGAAGGGGATTGCTTTTGAGGAGACCCGGGCTTGGCAGATTCCTCGAGGTCTTCCGCGCTGCTCTCGCTGATAGTTGTAACACGAGACCCAATCGAAGAGCTGGCCTTGTGGCGTCGCGTAGTAGCCGCGGTAACCGACGCAGGATCGACGGGATCCAAAGGCGGAAGCAGCGGTTCGCCCTCTTTGCGAAGAATCGTTAATCTGCGTCCATCCATCGGCTCCTGCGTCTGCTGGGGCGGAAGCGCCTCGTCCCCTTCGGCCTCAGGAGGCACAGTATAGTTATCCTCCGGAATCAGGTGATACATGTCGCACACCGTTTTAAAGAACATATAAAGCCCATCGTGCCCCTCGACCTGCCAGAAGACTTCCCGATGCTGGAACCATGCGTGGGCGAAGATGCGATAGAGCCGCCGGAAGATATTAGTCAGGTGCCTCAGGCCCGCCTGAGGCCCACCCCCAGACTCCGACCCAAGTGTGAGCCGGCTTGGAAAGTGTTTGGGGGACGTAAGGATGTTCGTAGCCCAGTCGAGTGTGTGGCAGCAGTAGTCAATGGCGCAGCAAGCCTTGGGGGGGTCGTGCACCGCACAAAGGTACTGCCATTCTGACGCGCGCATCTCCGGACATGTCTGGGAAGAGCAGGGAGGGGTTTCAGCGAAAAAGGCAATGATAAGGTTATTCACTTTCATCGTTAGAAATCGGCAGAGCTCGTATAACCAAAGCGACCGGTCGACGCCCTCGGGTGGCTCCGCGAGCTGGCGGGCAACCTCGCGCTGGATCGGCACCACTGTGTCATAGCCTTCGGGTCGAGTGTAATGGTTATAAAGCGCTTTCAGGTGTTCTTGGAGCTGAAACGGCGAATCGAGCTATCATTGAGAAACAATCGTGTCAGCGAGACGGGAGAAGGGGCGGGTTAGAGGCGGCTGGTTGGGCACCACCGGCTTCGGCGGCTTTGGCGTTGGTTGTTCCAACAACTCACCTGTGAAAGAGGAATTAACGGAGGACCAGCGGACATCTCGCTTGCCCGGGTTCCTGGGCGGATCCTCCGGGTCGGACCATTGTCTGCGCCCTGGGTAACACCCAAAAGCTGTTCTGCATCTGTGCCAAACGATTCCCCGACCGACGGCGACTGGGGTCCGATCTGTACCTCAGTAAACGGCGGCGGACTGGGGAGTCGCGGAGAACTGGACGGGGAGACCCCCGCGGCGGCCATAATGGAAAGGAGCCGGTGGGAGAAGGAAGCCGACGAGCGGCCGGGAACTAGACAGAGCAACGAAAAGAAAGCCCCTTGGAGAAGAAGGAGAAAAGACGGAGAGGAGAGACCAAGGGTCGCGTTGAGACACTAAGCTCGAAGCTAAACAGGTCAATCTGCCAGGCGGTGAGCACGGCTCCTGACCCGGACGAGCCCTAAACCCTACATTCCCCTCTTGGTAACGTCATCGAAGCTCCAGGTAACTAACTATACAACATATTTTATCTGTCGTTGGCAACACCAGGTTCGGCCCTTTTCTCTTTCTACATCTCTTTAGTCTACTTTTACTACTAATGTCTCTCAATATGGACGAGGAAGATGCTCCTCCTGATCTAGTGGACGTTTCCCAGCTCCCCGAAGATGAACTCCGGAGATTATCAGTGGACTCGCCGCCGCAGCGCGTGCCTATCACGCTGGTCACCGGTACGACAAGCGTTACTCTGGATCCCAGCGATGCAATTCATACGCTCTCCCATCCGGGCATCTTCTGATTCTGACTGTCTCCAAGGCTACCTGGGTGCGGGTAAAACCACCCTGCTCAACTATATCCTCACCGAAAAGCATGGCAAGAAGATTGCCGTGATCATGAACGGTAAGTCTCCGGCCCATTTACACTTACATGATCAGGTCTAATCAATAATTACAGAATTTGGAGACTGTCAGTGGGCTAGGTCCAGCAAGGCCAAATCAAGAGCAAGTTCGGCTAACTTCGTCGTAAGCAACCGACATCGAAAAGCCCTTGACAGTCAACCAAGATGGCCAAGAGGTAACCGAGTGGCTTGAAGTCGGAAATGGCTGTATCTGCTGTTCAGTCAAGTATGTCTATTCATCTCAATCCAACCCCCAAGTCAATTGAGGGGAAAAAAAAAAAAAAAAAAAAAAAAAAAAAAAGAATCAACCCTTCTAACCGCAGATCCTCCCGCCAGGGACTCTGGCGTAATGGCCATCGAGTCTCTAATGGAACGCCGCGGAACATTCGACTATATCTTACTTGAAACCACCGGCCTCGCTGACCCAGGCAATATCGCCCCTGTCTTCTGGGTCGACGATAACCTCGGCAGTTCGATATACCTCGACGGGATCGTTACCCTCGTCGACGCCAAAAACATCCTGCATTTGCTGGACGAGCCAACCCCCGAGGAAACCGTCTCTGCACATGAAAATGATAACAGCCATACACATGCGCATTCGGGACCCGTGTTATCCATGGCTCATATGCAGATTTCCCATGCGGACGTGATTATCCTTAACAAGGCAGATCTCGTTACTCCCGACGAACTCGAGCGCGTCCGCGACAGGATCTCTGCTATCAATAGTGCAGCTAAGATCCACGTTACGGACCATAGCCGCACGCCGCAAATCGAAGGGGTAGTTCTAGACTTGCATGCATATGATCATCTGGATAGTTTAGATTTTGGTCAGAAGGGACATAGCCATATTGACCCGGTGCGTTCCCTACCCAGTTCCCCTTCTGCGAGTATAAAGAGAATCCAAGAATGAAAAAAAAAAAAAAAAAAAAAAAAAAAGAATAAGACGGGTCTACTTACGCAGCGGCAGGCTATCTCAACCATCGCCATCACGCATCCTCAACTCTCACCCTTGCAAATCCCCCATGTAGATGAGTGGCTCCGCTCTGTTCTCTGGGACTCCAAGCTCCCAAATTCCGAGGATGGGTCGTCACCGCCAAGTGATTTCGATATTCACCGGCTAAAGGGTATACTCGCTCTCAATGATGGATCGAGTAGGATTATCCAGGCTGTGCGTGACGTTTTCGAGATCCGCGATGGGCAGCCAGCATCCACGCCGTCTAGTGAGGCCAAGACGCAATGCAAAATGGTGCTTATTGGAAGGGGTTTAGGACCAAATGCTCTACCATGGCAGCAGAACTTTGACGAATTCCTAGCACGTCATGAGTAGAGTCTCTTAATTGATGAGCCGACTTTTGATAAAAAAATGTTTAGGGTTATGACTTAAAGGCATCCATCTGTACATATGTATGAAGATACACAAATCAGATAATATCCAAATGGTCAGCGATGCTCTGAGGGACAGTCACGGTGGCCTTCGCATATCGGGTTGTTTGGTTGATGCCTAGCAGGGGCCAAGAGGTAACCAAATAAGCGCAAAAAGATCATTTCCAAATTAATACAGCCGCTGCTAAGAATAATACCGAGTCCAAATAATCAATGTACATTGAACGGTACCCAAAAGAAACATGGCGAGGGCAACCGAGGGAAAAAAGAAATCAGCCATCCGTCATGTATCGTCGAAAAATCGTAAGAAGAAAGAAAAGCAAAGACAAGGGGAAGCCAGATAAAGCCAAATGCATCGCGATAGGGACTGAAACGCAATCCAAACCCCTCGAAAGCTGGTACGATGTTGAAATATCCAGGGTAATGCAGTTAGAATGTAATCCAAATTTTATCGGAACAAGGCGAGACAATTATAACGAAAATGGACAAAAATAAAAGCAAAGAAAAAGAGATCCCAATAAGAAAAAAAAAAAAAAAAAAAAAAATCAATCTAACGCCAATGTTCGCCATCATATCCTGCTACCTTGTACTGAAGCAACGTCGAGATAGTAACTGTACAGCGCAAAATTTGCGCGTTGTCAAGGGCCAAGGGAAGTCCCTATGCCAAACGAATATAGAGCAATTATTGGTATCAAACTAGGAAGTGGTGTCGTAAATGTCAGGTCAGAGTATTCCAGGTCATATGGATGTCAAGGCGTTGTCCGTAAACGCCGGGTTGATGGGTAAGTGAGAATCGTTAAGATATGGGGTGTGTTCCTGTAGGGCAGGACGACGATATCCTAGCGATGAGTGAATACTTAACGGTATCAGGCTATCCACCGTGGTATCCAGTATTTTCTGGTCTGATAGAGTGGCGGCCGGATTAATAGGTAGCACGGATTGCAGTAGAGAAGACATAGATCCGGATGGTGCCTGTCTAGTCCAATCCTGGTCTTGAATCACGGCATGGCCGAGGTCGAGTACGGGATAATTATAGGTAGATTGGGTTGGTACAGATGACTCTGGGGAATCCTGGCCGCGAGCCGGATCGATGACTAGGTGATTGCTGGAAGGAGGCCTCAGATAGCAGGCGGGATGTCCACCAACACCAGCAAGCTCATCAGGTAGGGAATCCGCGTTGAATGGTAGTAGGTCCGCCGTTGGGACCGTTGACGAATCACGATAACGGGTGTCAACACTAGCGTCCAGGTCAATACCGTTCTCCTCATATTCCTGAGTCGTGTCCTCGGGGGGTCCTTGGGGGTCTTCTGGCGTGGCTGGGAGCGGGAACGCAGAGCCAGACGCTTCAACGGGTATCCCACTGTCCTGAGGTTGCTGGGTAGGCGGTAAAGTCTCAGAATGCATAATCTCTTCCCTGTGTGCACCGTTTGACAGGGTAGGCGCGGGTGCACATTCCCAGATCTCATCCGTGTTGGTCGGCGGTTCGCTCTCTGGAGAAATCGTCACCGGCTCCGTTCCTGGAGAAGGAGGTATCTGCTCGAAGTCGTTGTAGTTTTGTGGCGATTGTGTCTCTCCATTTCGTGGCAGATATGGGTTGTGCCCGAAACTAGTCACAGGTCTTCCTCGTGGGTACATAAAAGCTGTACGAGCATCATACCACGGCAGAGCGCCGTTATGTAGCCCTACCCCGAGACTTGTGTGTGTTGGCTGCACTCGGGGAGGTTGTTCAACCATTGACATCACGCGAGGAAAAAAGGTCAGCAGCTCCTTGGCAGAGAGGCGGTGTCGAGGGATGGGACTCAAGCAGATAGAAACTAGTCTTCGATAATAGTCCGGAATAGGGAAATCCTCATCTATCACAAATGGTCGGCGCTGCCGCTCCGGTTCGTCTTCCTCCATCGCCAGAGCCCATAGCGTCATCCCTAGCTGGAAGAGATCCGTCTTAACGCCGATATACATCGATATTCGCTGGTTGCTCTCAATCTTCGCTGCGATCTCCGGAGGCTCCCATCCCACCGGGCAGCCACGTCGGTTGATATCAATGATCTTGGCATCATCATTCGCATCCACCACAATATTCGACAAGGTAAAGTCACCTTGGACGTAGCCGGCCTCGTGAATCTCACAGAGACCTTGCACAATCTGTTTGGCCCAGCGCTCACGGCGTTCCCAAGCAATCGTGCCGCGATACTCATACAGAATGTCCACCAGCGCCCCTTTCTCGGCAAAGCTAATGAGCAGGCCCTTGACCACCTCTTCTCGATCATCAACCACAATTCCTTCGACCCTAATTACATTGGGGGTGCCATAGAGGGCGTGCAGCGCGTTGATCTCGTAGAGGAATTCGTCCACGGTATCGGGACCGGGGATTTCCTTCTTGATAAAGGCCCGGCCATCCAGTCTCACATTATATACAAAGCCCGACAAGTGCGTCTCGAAATGCAGGCGGCGTTCAGGAATCAAACGGGCTTCGGGCAAGTGTCCAATACAAGAAATTGGCGGGTAGGGGATGATTTCGTTCACGTCTTCGGTAACGTGCACATGCAGACGGCCATCGCGGGTCTCGAGCTTCAGGTTGGTCACGGTATCGTAAAATTGGATGTCGGGGAGCGACTCGCGGATGGACTCGTAGATTCGAGCACACTTGTCTCGCTGGTAGCGTAATTCCTTCAGATCGTGCTCTAATGAATCGGGCGGGGCGTCGCGGTAATCGCAGGAGATGGTCACCCGGCGCCATCGGTTGGGCGCTTCCGCATAAGTGACGAAAAATTTTTCTCGTTCCGAGCGGTCGCGGAAGTGCATGCTCAAGTTCAAAATCCACCGTTTCTCCAACTCCATGTCGAGAATGTCCGCGGGGGGCTCTTCGGGAACGTCCGTCACATGGGGGTATGGGTTCCATTCGGAGGGGATCTCGTTATCTTGCATGGGCTCCTCATTCGTCTCCGGGAGGTCGTCAACCGTGGATGCGTCAGGGTCGACGCGCCAGTGAACCTCGGGAGCGGACAATCTGGGGTCCACGACGGGCTGTGGGGACCTGGTCCGCTGCGCACTCAAGGTACGACGGTCGGCGGAGACGGCCCGTCTGGGCTCATTGTCAATAGGGGACAGACGGTCTCGACGCTCGGAATTCTGTCTTTTGAAGGTGGCGGATCGAGGTAGACTAACGCCTACCTTTCGCGAGAGTCGACGCGTGAGGTTATCGTGGGATTTGGAGTGGTTGCTGGGGTTGTGGTCGGGGGGAGTGCTGTTGCGGTTGAGATCATGAGTATGACTAGTACTATCCTTCCCACTCCCGTTGCTATGGCTGTGGCTATTGTTCCGCTTGGACCGATGATTTCCCGTGGGGGACGAGTCACCACTACTGGTGGGGGACCTGGACGAAAAATCTCGATCATCACGGCCCAGCCATTTCCGGAGACCAAGGCGATGCCACATGCTCTGCTTTGGCCGCGGCGGGTCGAGCTTTTCCGGGTCCAGCAACAGACCCAACGAGCTGGTCGGGCTACAGGAACTGTCAGCGATGGAGATGGCCATCCAGCAGGACCCGGGAGGTCAAGAAATTGGAAGTGAGGCGAGGAAGACGGACGACAGCGACTTCTTCTTGACGAGTTGAGGGGGCTGGGAGGGCGAAGGCCATAAGAAATGCAGCGGAATTTCTGATGGGCCGCGAAGATATGACTGGATATTGTAGGAGTAGTGAGTTTCAGAGGGAAAAAATCGGATCTGACTAAGGACGAAAAGAAAAGAAAAATAAAATAAAATAAAAATAAAAATAAAACTAGATAGGAAATCGAAATAAGGAGAGAAGAAGAAGAAGGGGAAAGAAACCAAGTACACCCCCTACTACAGAAGAGCAAACGAGGAACAGGAGGAGGAAACGCCAGACAAAAACGTAAACAAGACGGAAAAAAATAAAACTAAAAATAAAAATAAAAACAGCAGTCGAATCAATAGCAGGCAAATTAATGGATAATGGATCTTGACAGACCGACGAGGTTGAGAGTCGGTGAAGGAGGAGGGTTAAGTTGTTGTCGATGTCGTTGTCGTTGTCGCTGTCGCTGTCGTTATGAAACTCAGGTTCAGAGTCATCACAGGTCACACACCGTCAGCCTGTCAAAGGGGATAATAAAACAGGTAAAATGGCAAAATGAGAATCAAAAAGGGATTGATGAAAGAAATAAGAAAGGAAAGGAACAAGGAAGAGTACATCAGCTAGAGTACCTAGGTCGGAATAGAAGAATCTACTTGGATATCAAATTGTCAAGAATTCTGTACTATACAGAGCAAGTATAAAGAGTACAAGAAGCGAACGCACAAAAATCGAATCCCAAATTCCAAATTTCAGGCAAAGATTAAATAAAAACAGCTTTTATTCTCTTTCTTTTCGTTCATCAGGGAATGAATGCATGGCGGCCTGATAGTGCCTGATCTCATCTTCGGTATCTTCAAATAGATCTAGTTACAACTAACTATACTTATATTATACTTATATACGGAGTATCTCTCTATCTCTCTATCTACATATATATATATATATATATATCTACTCTGTATATATCTCTGTAACCACTTGATTGAAGATGTACCTACTTGTTTACTCTCATCCTACACTGCTACAATATACAGACTATACAGAACACCTACCTAGAGAATAGTATGCCAACAAACTCTTTCCATCCCACCACATGCATAGCCCGGATTCCTTCTCGAAGCCCTCCTTTTCCCCTGAGCCATGCGTTGTTCGAATCCCTTCGTGGTCCTGGAGGAATCACACATTTCTCTTAACCGCCGCGTCCTCGACACCGACACTTCCACAACACATCAGAGAGATGATATACTTTCAAAGTGATGCTCCCAGACATAAACAGTGCGACCAATCATAGTGTCTGTGGGGAATCATCCAGCCTTCCTTGCTTTCTTACATACCAGGTACTACCATAGTAGTAGTAGTAGTAGTAGTAGTCGTAATATATCTAGTACCTAGGTAGTATATACTAGTTGTATACTGAGTACTGTACTATAGTCAGGTCTTATTTTATATGTAGTACATACATCTTCAGACACATTCTTATCAAACCAACCATAACCAACAAATACTTATACTTAGGGTAGTAGTCTACGTTCGCATACTTATTAGGGAGACAAGTTTCTATATCACTCTCCTACAGGAGTCTATAAGTTATGTAGAGGCTACTTAAGTATCGTAAAGCGCATATAATATAGTAGTTGATTTCTTTCTTTTACCCCACGGGGTCGAGAGATTCCTGGATAGAGTGGGATACCTACCCGAACCATGTTGAATGATAACAAGTCTACCGTCATCTACCTTTATTGAGTATTTATGTATATATACATCTTCCTAGATACCGCCAACAATCGTACAGACGCCCTCGTACGTACATACATATCCTCCTAGTTTTTCAGAGCGGAGTGGTCAAGTTCTTCGATCAACCCTGGTTCGTCAAGATTGAGAATTGAAATCTAATGAAAAAAAAAAAAAAAAAAAAAGAAAGAAAATATTTCACAATTATACATAAAAAGGTTGTAAACAAAAAGCAACTCCGGCCCATGCATTCTGCATTGAAACGCCTGTACGTGACCAGAAAAAGCATAACCCATTAACCCCAAGGCTGAATAGCAACAGAAGTATCTACCAGGCGAAATGAACGAGGACGTTAGTCATCGTCCTCTTCCACGTCATTGGACTTCTTCTTCTGGGGCTTCTCCGAGAGCTGCTTCTGCCAGATATGGTTGGCGGCTTCCTTATCGAGATCGGCAAAGAGGATGTCGAACACCTCAGAGTACCAGCTCACTGCATGGCCTTCAATGCCTTCTTTGATGTTCTACAGCAATCGTCAACTCAGGAAGTCCCTGTGGGAATGGGATGTGGATAGTGACTCACCTTAGGCAACTCCAGCCAGTCAGACATGTTGTCTGCTGGGAAGATAATCCTCTTGGCACCAGCGCGGCGTGCAGCAACCGTCTTCTCTCGGAGGCCTCCGATGCGCAGGACCTTACCCGTAACGGTCAATTCTCCCGTCATGGCAATTGTGGGATCCAGAGGGTGGTTCAATGCTAAGGACAGCAGAGATGTAGCCATGGTGATACCGGCAGAGGGACCTGTTTCAGTTAGTTAGCTCTTTTCTCTCTTGTTCCATATGGAAGAGGGAAAAAAAGAAAACATACCATCTTTCGGGACAGCCCCTTCGGGACAATGCATATGCAATCTTGCCTTTTCGAAGAATCGGTTCTCGGGGAATTGCTTGGCCATAACCGACTTTACAAAAGAATACGCAATCTGAGTGGACTCTTTCATTACGTTTTGCAGGTTACCGGTAATCTCAAGTCCTGGTCGAGATTGAGGTGTCAACGCGTTCTCCAAGATAGACTCGACGTAGAGAGCCGCGCCGCCCATGCTAGTCCAAGCAAGGCCCATGGTAACACCAGGGGGGAAGATGTCGTATAACCGGTCCGCAGTGAAGATTGGAGGTCCAACATAGTCAGTCAAACTATCCTTGTTGATGCTCAGATGAACACTCTCAGGGACCTTGAGTGCCACCCGAGGAGTTTCGGTTGTTGCCTTTTCTGCCTCAGTAGAAGACTCTGAGGTCTCCGATTCCTTCGCCTCTTCTTGCGCAGCCTTGCCCTCAGCGGTGAGGGCTTTGTCTTCTCCAAGCACATCCTCTCCGAGATCCTGAACGATCTTGAAAGCAGCCTTCCGGTAGACCTTCTCAATCTGCTTCTTTAGATTTCGTACACCGCTCTCACGGCAGTACGACTTAATGAGCTCTTCAATAGCTTCCTCGGTCAGGTTAACATCAACATCCTTGAGGCCGGTGAGCTCCCTGGCGGCGGGAGCTAGATACCGCTGAGCAATAGCCATCTTCTCATCCGCGACATAACCAGAAAGTTCGATGAGCTCCATTCTATCCAACAATGGTCGGGGTATCGTATCAGTCACGTTGGCGGTACAGACAAACAGAACCTTCGACAGGTCGACGGGGACATCCATATAGTGGTCCAAAAATGAAGAATTCTGTTCGGGATCAAGAAGTTCCAGCAGCGCCGACGAGGGATCTCCTTGGTGGCCACGACCAATCTTGTCCACTTCGTCGATCAAGATCAAAGGATTTTCTGTCTGGCATTTCTTAAGCGCTTGAATAATACGTCCAGGCAAGGCTCCGACATAGGTTCTGCGGTGTCCCTTAATCTCTGCAACGTCCGTCAATCCACCCACGGAAAACCGGTAGTACTGGCGATTGAGTGCGCGAGCGATGGACTTTCCAATACTTGTCTTACCAACACCCGGGGGTCCGACAAGGCAAATAATCTTTCCTTCCACGGTACCCCGCAATTTCCCCACAGCGATGAACTCCAAAATACGATCTTTGACGTCCTTCAAACCATAGTGATCCTCATTCAGAACACTGGTAGCGTGCTGGATTCCAAAATTTTCCACACTCTTCTGGCCCCAGGGGATCTGGGTCAGCCAGTCCAGGTAGTTGCGGGTGACATTAAACTCGGAGGCTGCGGGCTCGAGGTGTGCCAACTTGTTGATTTCCTCATCAAATACCTTCTTCACTGCTTCAGGCATCGCAAGCTTCTCGGCCTTCTCCTTAAACTTCTCCACTAGCTTGTCCTTGCCGTCTGACTCAATACCCAACTCCCGTTTAATCCCCTTCATTTGTTCCATCAACCAGTACTCGCGCTGCCGCTTTTGAATCTTGGCTTCTACATCCTTCGAAATCTTGGATTGAAGCTGCGCGTTCATTAGCTCCTTCTTCAACACAACCAACGCCTTGGGAAGTCGCTCTTCGATATTCATAAGCTCAAGCACTTCCTGCATTTCGTTGAGCTCGCCGGCAGAAACAGCAGCAGCAAAGTCGGCCAATTTAGCGGGTTCATCACTCAAGTTTCCCGGGAACTGATCGGTATAGAAGGCGGAGATTTGGTCGCGGAAAAGCGGGTTCAAGCTGGCGATCTCCTTGCAGACGTTGACAATCTCGCTTGTCACGGCCCGGATTATGGCGCTCTTCTTGTCAAACGGTTCCTCTGTCAGATTCTCAACGTTGACCAAGCTAACCGGATACTTTCGGAGGAAAGAAGTAGGTTCGTAGTGGTCTTTGGGGGTAAGGTCCGTGGTGTTCTCTTCAAAGCTGGCGACAACATCCCCCTTCTTTTCTATGGTCTTGTCCTCTGCTGTACCAGATTTCGAGGAATCGCTAGGTGGAAGCAAAGAGGAAATCTTAATTCGACGATGGGGGTAAAGAACAGCCGTTACACCGCTCGTCTCTCCCCTCAGAGGATATGCGGCAGTGATCTGGGCAAACACGCCAACGTCGTAGACATCATCAATATTCTCGATCACATCACCGTCTGCATTTTCATCCTTGAACAGAAAAGCTCCTACATATGGCTGTCCACGCTTCATCATGTCTTGAATGGCCGTAGCAACGTTAGGGTCCCGAATGGTAATAGCTTTGTAAAACCCCGGGAAAAGCGGTCTTTTGGCAATAGGAATAGCCATCACCTGAGGGTAGACCTCAGGGACTGACGGTTTTTGTAGAGCCTTCTCATTTGAACCTTTCTTGCCCTTCTTTCCACCATCATCACCGCCATTGTTAGAGCTGCTAGGTTTAGAATCAGACGAGCCACCGCTCACAGGGATAGGGGACGGTCCCTCTGAAGAGGTGCTCTTCCCTTCAGCAGCACTGCTGTCCTTCTTTCCGTCTTCCTCGACACTGCGTTGCTCTTTATCTGCCAACTTGTCTCGCCGCCGTGTAAATCCCGATGTCGGAGCTCCGGGCTCCGAAGATGAGCCATGCTTTCCAGACGAGTCGGTCACTTTACGTCGAGCCTCCGAGCTGCGCTCAGCATCCTTATCTCCTCCATCATCCTTTTTCTCTTTCTGGTTCGTGTCGTCCTTCTCGTCACCTGGCGGGGTTTTTTCTTTGCGTCGGAGGGCACTCGAGGAGAAGGTGCGAGGGGGGGACGGAAGCGTGCGGGAGAGGCGCGACGAGCCTATAATCGATCGAGCAGTGACATTATACCTAGAAGAGGCAAGTAGAGGCCGAAGGATGAAAGGACGCGGTGTCTGGAGCGCGGCCCTCCAGGGGAGGGTCTGGCCGCGGAGCATGCTCCTATGGGTATATGGCGACTGAGGAGGTGGGGAAAAGAGTAAGGGGGAGCAGAGAAGGGGAGAGAATAGTGCACAGAGGAACAGGAAAGCACGAAATAAGCCGAGAAGGGCGAACAAGAGGAGACAATGGACGAGGAGAAAGGATGGAGAGATCTCAGGTGATGGATTACCGAAGCAAGCAGTTTCATCGTCATTTCCACCGGCTTATCATTTCTCCGACCGGGAAACTTCTTCGTCCAGTCGAAACGCTGAGAAGCTTCGATCTCTCTCCAGTCGAATTCGGCCCAGGGAAAGCTACAGAAAATCAGGAGTGGAATGGGTATTTTACTCTTTGCTCAACTGACTCCGTTGATTTCCTTGGTATCCTATCTCTCACAATGAACCCTGCTTCCGCTGCCATGCCCAAGGCTGCGGCTTTGCCCGCCCGTCTACTGCGGACCTCGCAGCGATACTCTCAACAGGGTCCAGCTGCCAATGTTCGATCGTCCTCTTCGCCGCGACAATACCATGTTTCCATACTTCAGCACCCCGTCAAGCGTCCGCAGGAAGGCGCCTGTGCAAAGAAGTCCCTTGGATATGTTCCCTCTAGGGTACGTAGATATTCCCGGAAGAGGTTTGGCAGGCTATGGCTATAACTAACATTTGTCTCCGGTTATAGAGCTTCCACACAACGAATTCCCTCGCCGCCGTCCCTGACCCATACAGAGTCCTAGGGGTAGATAAGGGCGCCTCCGCCGGCGATATTAAAAAGGCCTACTATGGAATGGCAAAGAAATACCATCCGGATACCAACAAAGATCCAGGCGCCAAAGAGAAATTCGCCGAGGCTCAGTCGGCGTACGAGTTGCTATCCGATGCGAAGAAGCGAGAGACATATGATCGATTTGGGTCGGCTGCCTTTGACCAAAACGGCGGCTTTGATCCCAATGCCGCTGCCGGAGGCAATCCGTTCGCAGGTGCCGGTGGCTTCCACGGGTTTGGCGGAGGTTTCCCGGGTGGTTTTGGAGCGGATATCAATTTCGAAGATCTTTTCGGTGCCTTTGCCGGTGGTGCTCGTCGAGCTGGTCGTGGCAAGCGAAGCCCGTTCCAAGAGATTCTGGTCGGTGAAGATATTGAAGTCCAGACCAACATCTCGTTCATGGAAGCGGCCAAGGGTACATCGCAAGACATCGTCATCACGCCGCTGATGGAATGCGGTACATGTAAGGGTGACGGTCTGAAAAAGGGCGCAAAACGGTCTCAATGCCGTCAGTGCAATGGTTCGGGAACCAGGGTACACTTCATGCAGGGAGGCTTCCAGGTCGCGGCTACTTGTGATGCCTGTGGCGGAGCGGGTCAGATTGTCCCTCGAGGATCCGAATGTGGTTCCTGCCACGGTAATGGAGTTACTCGCGATCGAAAAACCGTCCGGGTCGACATCCCCGGCGGCGTTGAAGACGGTATGCGCCTGCGAATTGCCGGGGAAGGTGATGCTCCTCCCACAGGGACTTCAGCTGCACCTGGGTCGCGGACGCAGCGCGGTGATCTTTTTGTATCTATCCGAGTCGCTCCGGATGAACGTTTCAGTCGCTCCGGATCGGACATCCTCTACACTGCATCAATCCCGCTGACTACCGCTCTCCTTGGTGGTGAAGTGACCGTTCCGACACTGGATGGGCAAGTGAAGGTCAAGGTCTCCACCGGAACTGGGACTGGGGACAGAATCACACTGTCCGGTATGGGCATGAAGAAACTCGGTGGCCGGTCGCGAGCGTTCGCTCCTACCGGTGACCTGAAGGTCGAGTTCAAGGTCCAGATGCCCAAGTACTTGACCGGCAACCAGCGCACCATTCTCGAGGTTCTCGCAGACGAAATGGGGGACAAGACAGCCCGACGGATCATGGACATTCCAAAGGACGGGTAAGTGACTGCTCACCCCTGCATAAATATTATTTCCCAGCCGATCGGCTAACGATCGCAGTACTCCTCCATCATCCGATGCTTCTTCCGGAGGAGACGCTTCGCAGAACGACGGGTTCCTCAAGTCCGCCTGGCACAAGCTCATGAATCACAAGAAGCCCTGCGAGTCCGAAAAGTCGAACGAAAGTTCAGGCAAAAGCGACTCCAAGGACACGACTAGCGACAAGGATAAATAAACCACCAATTGAAACCTATCCTGGAGATTCCATACCTCTGGACCGCTTTCTTTCATTTATTTGGGAATATATCAATCATAGCGCCGGCGAGATCGGGGACGGTTTATCTTCTTCTTTTATTGGTGATATATCACATTTTTTTTTGTTCTGCATGTTGGGGGATCATTTTGCTGTATCCAATTCTTTTCTTCGACCCTGGTATTTTAGGGACAAGTCGATATAGAGCTGTCTGTATATTTAGGTATTTTGTATTTACATTAGAGTCCGCAAAAACATCTCTACTTCTACTTTCTTTCCCGCGAATAGTTAAACTCAACGGCAATATTCAAGGACCCTCTTAGAATCACCCGCTAATAAGATCGAATCAAATGTTCGCTGCTTGGCTGACATTTCATCACATCCGCCGCTATCGAATCAGCTCGACTCCAACCACTGCAATTTCCGCCGCTGAATATCATCACATCCGCTTCTTTCTACCCCACAATCATCCGTCCCTTCTTCCATCTCCCTCTCCTTGCCGCTTCTCCTTTCCGTGGCTCTATCCTTTTGCTTTCTGTGAACAGTACTTCTAATATTCCTCTCTTTTTCGCTTCCTTCACCACCCCAGCCTCCCCTCCAACGGTAGATGGGAGCTCCCCGCTCCTCCACGGCAAGATGGTTCAGTCGCCTATGATATCATGCCCCCTCAAGCAAACCAACGAAATCGATTGGATTCAACCTCTCAAGGACTACATCCGTCAGAGCTATGGTGAAGATCCCGAACGCTATGGTCAAGAATGCGCCACTCTCAACCGTTTGCGCCAGGATATGAGGGGCGCTGGCAAGGACAGTGCGACAGGGCGCGACCTGCTGTACCGGTACTACGGGCAGCTGGAGCTGCTGGATTTGAGATTCCCTGTCGACGAGAACCATATCAAAATCTCTTTCACTTGGTAATGACCCTGATGATTATGATCCCCGTCAACACGGCTCTCCCCGGCTGTCTGAACCCCCCAGGCCGGCTAACCTTTCGATGTTGCCTATCCGCAGGTACGATGCCTTCACACACAAACCGACTGCCCAATATTCCCTTGCCTTCGAGAAAGCCTCGATTATTTTCAACATCTCCGCGGTGCTTTCGTGCCATGCAGCGAATCAGAACCGTGCAGAGGATACTGGTCTCAAGACCGCCTATCACTCCTTCCAGGCCTCTGCCGGAATGTTCACCTACATCAATGAGAACTTCCTCCATGCCCCGTCGACCGACCTCAACCGCGAAACCGTTAAGACTCTCATCAACATTACACTTGCCCAAGGGCAAGAGGTATTTCTCGAGAAGCAAGTAATGGATAACAAGAAGCCCGGTTTCCTTGCGAAACTCGCTAGTCAGGCCTCCTACCTCTACGCTCAGGGTGTCGAGGGCACATTAGAGCATGCAAAGGGAGTCTTCGATAAGTCATGGGCCATTATTTTGCAAGCCAAGTCGGCACACATGGGCTCTGTGGCATCTTACTACCAGGCCTTAGCTGACTGTGAGACCGGTTCGCACGGAGTGGCCGTTGCGAGGCTCCAGTTAGCGGAGAAGAGCTCTGCAACCGCGCTGAGCTGGGCGAAATCGTTCCCCTCGTCGGTCTCTCCGAATACAAATCTGAGTTCAGAAGCTGGCCCCAATCTGGTAGATATTATCAAATTCCACCTGGCCAATGTGCAGTCCCGGCTCGCGACTTTCATCAAGGACAATGATTTCATTTATCACCAGCCCGTCCCAAGCGAAGCAGGATTATCTGCAGTGTCAAAGCTACCCGCAGCGAAGGCGATCCCTGTTAGTGAGCTCTACCAGGGGCAAGATATCCAGCGAATTATTGGTCCGGATATCTTCCAGAAACTTGTTCCAATGTCAGTAACGGAAACTGCGAGTCTATACGACGAAGAGAAGGCCAAGTTGATCCGAGCAGAAACAGAAAAAGTTGAGACTGCGAATGGGGAAATGGCAGCGAGTTTGGATTACTTCAAGCTTCCTGGCAGCCTAAACATCCTGAAAGGGGGCATGGACCAAGAGATGACTGTGGATGAAGAGTTCCAGCGATGGTGTCAAGAGCTAGCAGGCCATGATTCCTTTAGCAAAGCCTTTGATGGCCTACAGGATCGCAAGTCACAGGTGTTGGCGCAGCTGGATCAGTGTTCGAAACAGCTAGACCTGGAGGAGAGCGTGTGCGAAAAGATGCGCTCCAAGTACGGAGCCGACTGGGGCCAACAGCCTAGCGCTCGACTAAACACAACACTTCGTGGTGATATTCGGACGTACCGGGACACGATTCACGAAGCAAGTGCTAGCGATTCTCAGCTTCTTGCCAGTCTCCGTCAGTACGAGTCGGACTTTGACGAGATGCGATCCGCTGGTGAAACAGAAGAGGCAGATGTTCTCTTCCAAAGGGCTATGATCAAAGCTGGATCAAAGCAGGGCAAAGGCAAGAATGGCGTTGCTAGCCCTTACTCCTCGATAGTCGAGGGCAGCCTACTGGACGATGTTTATGATGATGGGGCGCCATCTGTGGCGGAACAAATTGCCCGAGTAGAGTCTATTCTGAAGAAATTAAACCTGGTCAAACGGGAGCGAGCGCAGGTTTTGAAGGACTTGAAGGAAAAGGTATATACCTTACTCTTTCTACGAGGACGGTCTATCTTCCCCCATATTGAAAGCTAATGTTGGTGTTGTAGGTGCACACTGATGACATCTCAAACGTCTTGATTCTCAACAAGAAATCCCTCACCGGACAAGAAAGTCAACTCTTCGAGGCAGAATTGGAAAAATTCCGTCCGCATCAAAATCGCTTACTTCAAGCCAACCATAAGCAAACTGCGTTGATGAAAGAGCTTACCAAAACCTACGGAGATCTACTCCAGGACAAGCGAGTGAGGGCTGAACAATCCAAGTACGAAACGATAACTCGTCAACGCAATTCTGTAATGGCTAGGTATAAAAAGATCTACGACTCCTTCAACAACCTACGATCAGGTACTACACAAGCACAGACATTTTACACCGACATGGGTGAAACAGTGGATAGCCTGAGGAAAAATGTGGACACCTTCATCAACAACCGCCGGTCAGAAGGCGCGCACTTGTTAGGTCAGATTGAGCGGGAGAAGGCAACTGGAGCATCCGACCACGAGGAACGCGAGCGAGAAAAACTGAGACAGCTGATGGAGCGCCTTTCTACGGAGCCCAAGCCGGCTTCGATCTCGTCTTCCTCGGCAGCTACCGGTCCCGCCCAAGCCAAGTCTCCTCCCCCGCCAGTCAAGACCCCGAGCTACCCAACCCCAGGTATTGCTCCGCCTAAGATGTCCCCGGCCTTCCCACCAGCTATTTCACAGCAACATGGTACTCCAATTTCCCATTCCCCAGCTCCTTACGGCCAATACATGTCCCCTGGGACAGGGGTGTCCTATCTTCAGTCGCAGAGCTACCATCAAGGCGCTGCAGCGCCACTCTCTGAGGGCTACAATCCCATGGCATACCCGATCCCTGCCTCATCCATGTCCCCTCCCCCCGGCCAGTTCTACTCAGCAACCCCTACTCCCTTCTACACTACTCCTACTCCACCCGTGCCTTCAACCCAGTATATGCCGCAAGGCTACGTTCCCCCTCCCCCTCCTCCCCGCCCCCAGCAAACCACTTACGCCCCTTCCACAGGCCCATTCCCCTCAGGGCCCGGTGGATACGCTCAGGCCAGGCCATACGGTACAATCCAGCACCACAAGGCACAGTCGCAGTCACACACCTCACCCCAGGCTGGCCAGCCTCCATCTGCCTCGTCTTCCACTGATCCCTGGGCCGGTCTAAACGCCTGGAAATAAAGAAAGGGAGAGAGAGAGGGAGAAGATAATAAAAGACTACAAATCCACTTCGTCCAATTTCAGTTAATTTTACTTCGAATTTTTATTTTCTCCTTCGTTCCCCGGCCCGGGCCCCCGGCTTCATGGGCCATGAAAGAGTTATGATGATAGATTTACATTCTACGTTCGTACGGATAGGTCAAACCAGTTTTGCATTGAGGCGTTTTCTACTATGTTTACCCCCATTTTCTACCTGTTATATTTTATGGTTAATGCTTTGCCTTGGCCTTTGCTTTTGCTCTCCCCTGCTCTGCTCCATTCCTATCCCCCCCCCCCCCCCCCCCCCCCCATCTCGAAATCTCTACCGTTTTTTATCTATCTATTTATTTAGCATATCTTGTTTCCATTTTGGTATTGTTATCCTTAATGCTACATTTTTTTTTTCCAGGTTCTTATTTTTGCTAGCTTTCTCCCGCAGTATTTTACTTCATATAACTATATGATTATTCACTCCACAGGTAGGTAGGTATATATAGGGTACTCTTTGTGTCTGTTCCACGGGTCCAATCGTAGTATATAATACCTCAATAGGTACTATAGTAATACTACTAGTAGTGCTAGGATGAACCCAGTAACAAAGTCCACCTTGTTTGGTGTTCATTCAAATGTATGTATGTATGTATGTATGTATGTATAGTACATGCATAACTTAGGTAACGAATATAACCCCTGTTACCCTGTCCCTGGAAGATTAGTTTACATCTACTCCGTACGGAGTATACATCTACACGAAAGATAGATAGATAGATAGATAGATAGATAGATAGATATATATATAGAAAGCCACTCCTGCTCCCAGCTACGAAATACTAAGCTACCCCCTTCTAATCTACGAGTGGTATTCGATTTAAGCCTAAACAACGAGATGGTTAGTTGGTGGAGACTGTGGTTGCGAGAGTGATTGTATTCGTGTTGGGGAAATTCTTCTTCCGAGAAATAAAATAAAATACACATGCATGCGTACTAATGCAACCCCCAGACTGGGAGAAGAAGAAAAGAAAGCTAATAGATCAACTCCGATACAGATTCACAAGATTAGGTAGGTGAGTTGAGGCGAGAATGATGTATGCGGCTAAGCTCCCTAAAAAGAAAAAGAAAAAGAAAAGAAAAACCGGTCGTGAGAAGAGAAGAGAATAAAACAGGTATCCAGCGCCAATGGGTATCATGAGAAAGAAAGGGGGACATGGGAAAAAAATGAATCCTCCTATCAACAGCAATATCTTGTACAAGACGTGGAAACTCCAACCAGCCAAAAGTGCACGCGCAGAGATACAGGTAGGCAGAGATAGAGAGAGAGAGAGAGAGAGAGAGAGAGAGAGAGAGAGAGAGACGAGTTGGGTCAAAATTCCTTCCAAGTTGTAAAATCATGGCTGGAATTTCAAACGGAAATGTCGTCCTCGACCTTCCTCGCGGACCTTGTAAAGAAATCGTGCGATCGCTTCTTGTTCCATAAGACCGGCGCTGTTAAAATGCTTGCGCACTGCGGTAGCGAGCTCTTTCTTGCCCACCCTGTCTTGACCAATGATGTGATTCAATGCGGGTTTTCCATTCATGACGCTTGATTTCTTCGAGCGAGCGTGAGTGCTTCCACTGATGCCATTGGGAGTGTTGGTTTTGTGGTTCAGGGAGTGTCTCTGAGCGGAGGAAGAGGAGCCGTTGGTCTTTTGGGAGGGCTCTTGTTTGGAGAGATGGGCTCGTTGAGCGGCAATAGCTGTGGGCGATCGGAGACCAATCCCTCGCGAGAGAAGATTGTGGGCATATTCGCTAGAGAAGGCGCTGGGTGATGTCAACTTGTAGGCGTGTCGGTAGGAGTGGAGGAATTCGAGAGGCATTTCGGACCAGGTGATCTGAGAGATGAATTAGTCAGTATAATTTTTTTTTCGGTGGATACTACATAAAATCATATCGTAGCAAAAGAATAGAACAGAAGAGGAAGCAATTTTGATTTGTTAAACAACATACTCTGGGCAAACTGTCCGCCGACTCTGCTTGTGCAGCGGGGGCGCTGGTAACATTGGCAGAATTGGCAGCGACTTTTGCTTCACGAGAAGACAACGCCGCTGCTGCGACCCCACCATTCGCTGCTTTCCTTCCCTTAGCTCCGCCCGTCTTGAGCTCCTTTGTAGTCGTGCTGGAGGCTTCTGATCGAGAGTCGTCGTGGACTCGTTGGCGCGGGGGCGCCATAACGAGAGCAGCGCTTTTGCCGAGGGTAGATAGAGAATGGGGGAAACGAGATTTGAAGATACTACAGGGAGTAAATAAGACAGGGAACCGTCGATTGAGACTTCTAATCACAACTGAGCGAGATGATAAACACAAATAACTCTCATGGTGTTGCAAACCTGAGCGGAGGAACTTTTTTGGCTTCGGCCAACGGGGGATTTCAGGCGGCAAAACGCGGCAGAATGGCCTGGCGCGACATCATAATCACCGCATTCGGTAATATGTGAAATCGGATGCCGGAGACCTCGGGGAGGAACCAAAGGAGATAACCATCGTTCTGCTTGGCTTTGGGCTGCTATGGTTTCTTGGAATGGATGTTTACTGGTGATTCCGCACAATTCTAGGGCAATAGTTGGTGAGGATTAGGATGATATGTTGGAAATTATGGAAAATCAAGCCGCGCGATGGAAAAGCGATACGTATACGGTACGCCGTTGTTGGAGGTGACAAGAATTTGACATGTCATCTATGGAGGAGGTCGACAAAACATGATTCAGTTTTGTTGTCTCTCGACCGCTGGTCTCGACTCAGAGACATCATTCATAACAACTCAAGACATTACAGAGTATTCTGTATGGAGTAGAGGAATAACCCCTCCATGTTTCGTGCCTTCCAGCTTATCAGCCCTAAGAGATCACGTGCATCACCACACATGACCTGCATTTGTAGATATCAACAATTAGCATCGGGAAAAAAAAAAAAAAAGGAGCCAGGAATTCAAATTAATTCCATTCATACGAACTACTACCGTAGTAATAATAGTGGAGGGATTTGTCTGGATTGTTGAGAGAAACGAAGGCAAAAAAGAACATATAGTGGAACGACCTTTGCAGGATATGGAGAAGAACCGTTTTCTATGGAGACATCTGAATTTTTCCCACTCACCGCTATGTCAGATATCCACACAGACCCAGTCAGGCAAGCATCAGCCCAAAGAAAAAAAAATTTTCATCATGAACCACATTACGATAGAGAACAGGGGGACAAGTCTACGATATACCAGTCAGTTACGGGAGTACTGTACTTGGTGATGAGTCGAGAGGCCGAGGTTTAACGAAGAAGATGGATAATAGTTACACAGATTTCCGAAAACAGTAATCCAATTGTACCCTTAGGCAACCTTAAAAAGTGCTAGTGGTTGCTGTTATCAAAGCCCAGAATCACAGGCCAAAAAAATGTTACTCCGGCAGAAACTTCCCCATACTCTGCAAGGTAAACCTGCCGTACCAGAAAAGTGCCGGCTTAGTTGCCATCTTGTCATCCTATCGCGGGCTCAGGCCACCAGCACGGGATTCGGGACAGGGTCGGTGAAAAGGAGCTCCAGGAAAAAGACTCGGGACGGAAATGCCGAGGAAATCTGTGGAGTGATTAAAAATTACAGCAACACCTTCTCACTAGCCAGGAATGTGTGCTCCGTACGGAGTAGTAAAAGGGAATTTGCCTGAACGGACAATGTCCGTCCGGGACAACAGAAGAATTCCGATTATAGCCCCCCTCTTCACCGAGGCGCTCTTTCGGATAGGGAGAATTGTGAGGGGGATGATTAGGTAAGAACGCCTCTCCGCATTTGACTAAAAAAAATTTCATGAGAGATAAAAAATTCCAGTTGAACCAGCCAGCTTTTAATGTCGAATCACGCCCTCCCGGAATCCCCGATATTCTTCCGGAACCATCCGATGTTTTTTTTTGATCATAGAGGAAGAGTAACGGAGTGCTGTCCTCCGGATAATCAGGTATCTCTTACATTTAATATTCACATACACCAGTATCATCCTCATCATCCTAAGTTATAGATACCTTATTCTTTTAGATTGCTTCCTCTTCTACTGATTCTCGGTTTCTCATACAATATCTATAAATGATATTACAAGAATACCAGGTGCGGAGATTGTTCCGTATCCCAGACTTAGAACAGTCCAGGCGCGGGAGATTGTCATCTAGGAAGAGGGCCGCGCGCCACACTAAAGCAGGACCATGTCTCAACTCCTGGATTAGCTGCAAATCATTTGCATGACGCAATCAAATCAGAGTCCCATCTGCCTTTTCCTTATCTGGTAATATTGCCCCAGCTTTTACAGTTTAAATTACGGAGTAGATGGTGGTTAGTAGCAGTACTGATAGTAGTGGTATGACTTAAGGTAGCTTAGATATTTCTGCAATCCAGGATCAATTGCAGTGTAGTAACTAGAGGCACCAAGGATATTAATCATTCAATAATTATTCTCTAGCCGCAGGCGCAACGATTGAATGATAGCCCCAGAGATACCGCAAGTATTGTGGAGCACCCCGTTGAAATATACTTGGTCTGCCAATACCTAACTCTGGCTCAGGACCGTAAGATTCTAGGTACAGCTTGTACTACTCCGTACTAGTAGTACAAGACTACTAGTAGTACATAGTACTCCGTAGGTAGAGTACTCCGTACTCTGTAAACATGTGAAGATGAACCTGACATCATCATCCTCAGGCTTCAGCTCCCACAAAAGCTGGGGTACGATTTTTACCCTTACTATCCCAAATCGAGCTGGAAAGGGGGTTCCGGCTAAAGATGGTATTCAGGGGGAAGCGATGAGCCACTCAACGGGACAATCTCTATCCAGGCTCCAGAGCATGGTGGTATTCATTATTTCCCCTCGTATTTTGACGGCAGCATCGAAAAAGATTTCCCCTTTTGTCCTCTTCATCTTAATGCTCCAAGCTCCAAGCTCCATCCCTCCAGTATTCAGAATGCAGAGTGCAGATTCACTAGTACCTCACTAATCGCTCCTAGGGAAAAAAAAATAAGGAATAAGGACCTCCAATTCCTGCCTGGCCTGAGTACTTTTATCCCCTTCTTTTTCAGTTTGGGGATATGGATCAGCTGAGCCGGAAGGACGGTTCTCCAAAGATAGCGAGCAACAAAAGTTAGGTACGGAGTAGCTCAGGCTATTAGGTACTCGAGAGTATTTTCCCGGAGCTGACCAAATACAAAAAGTAACTACTTAGTTATCTACTCCGTACTAAAAAAGATTTCTTTCCTTGCGCCCCATAATTCCGTTCCCCCCTTCCCCAAATCGATACACTTCCGTAACTTACCAAGTTTACCAGCAATTATGGGGCTTCTCCGGACGGAGAACATCTCTTTACGGAACCACCCAATTTGCGTAGCTGACTGACTAGGTTTGGTGATGTTTTGTTTGAAGCTCCGATTTTGCCTTTGGGCTAAACTTACCCGCGCGTAAATACTAAATACATACTTTTATCCCCTACCTTGTCTGCTAGGTGCTCCGTAAGTGCGAGGGTTGAGGCGACGTGGCATCCTATCCTATCCTATCCTATCCTAATCTCGGTTGATTATCTAATCCAGACACCCGTACCCCGTATATTATTTTTTTTTTCCCGGATTTTGACCGAGATTACTCCTCTGCCCCTCCTCCTACAACTACCGCTGGCTCCGGTAAGGTAAGTAGAAGTAGACCCTGGGTACTCCCGTACTCCGTATTCTGGACAGAATTCACGGGGAAACAAAACCCCTTGTAGATCTTCAGCTGAATGGTATCATGATTCTCGATATTAGCCGCTCTCCCTATACGGTACGGACAGGTGTGCGGGAGAGATAGTACTGTATATCTGAATCTGTGGTAGAACCACCCGTTATTTCGATCGCCTGCTTCTCCGCCCGTCCTACATGTAGAATATTAGGTATGATCTTTTTTTTTTTTTTTTTTTCCCCAAGAACCAAGGCTGCTCCAGGGCTGCCCTTCGCAATCCCTGCTCGATCGCTCCAGACCCGCAGAACCCCCCCCCCCCCCCCCCCCCTGTACCTACGTAGACACTGACAGAATCCGAGAGGCTGATAAGTGATGTGATGTGATACAGTTGGTAGTTTCGGCATTACTAGTACTACTAGTTAGTACCTTAGGTAAGGTTAGGAGGTTGATATCTGCGGGAATATTTCATTTCCGCCAATCATACCCCCAGGACGCATCGGGCGTGCAAAAGAGGCTCGAGGTTCAGTCTCAGGGTTCATGCATGCATGGCTTCCAATTCTACACGTAGCGCCGTAGCCCGTAGCCCGTAGCCACTACCCAGGGGGGCTAGCACTAGAGTGCTCAGTAGTACTCTAGTATACTACGGAGTATATATAACTTAGGTATAACTATGTATATATATAAATAAGTAAGCATATTTGAAACCATTAATACAGCTATTATTCATTTATCATTCCATTGCGGCCCCGCATAACCTGGGGGGCGAAACTGCAACAACAACAACAACAACAGTGATATCAGCATGATACGGTACCCCTGTTTCATTGGGCCAAAGCTCCTCCGTTCCAGAAGCTTGTGGATCCCAGATCGCTGGTCTTGGTACCTTGTGGGGAGGAGGGAGGGAGAAGGGGGTTTGTAACTTATCCTATTCCTAGGTAAAGTTAGTGCGTTACAGAGTACAGACTGTGCGTGTGGTTAAGGAAGGTAAAAGGCCGTGGTGGTTGTGCTGGGCGGAGGCTACGGGACGTATCGATTTGTTTCTGTATTGTAACTGTTTCCCTTCCCGTACGGAGTACCCCCAGAGAACAGGCTGTCTTGCTATCTATCTAAAAACACACATCTGACCTGGGGCTGGAGAGACAATCTGTCGTTAGAGTAGAGCTGACTCTGGCTTAGTAGTGGTGGTGGCTTTGTGAGTCTGACACGATGCACGCCTAGATAAGGCTATGGGATATCTTTATTATTAGGCTAGAAAGCTCAAGTGGTGCATCCTTGTCCTTCGGGATACGGAGTATGCTTATTAGTAGATATTATGATGATTATTTCGGTCTGAAGTTATTATCTGGGCTGTTAATTTATTTCCCAATGATTCTTCCCCAGATTCCGCCCCCGCATATCATAGCCCATAGCCCGCCAAGCATGAAGAATGTCACCAAACTGTAACCGTACAGGGTAGACCTTCCTTGCCTTGCTCAGGTTAATCATAGGTAATGGTAATAAACCGTTGTCCTTGGGAGCGAGGAATGTAACCGGGCGAGGACGGCGGCTGTGCTCGGCTGACTTGTTGCCCTTTGGGTTTCCAACTACTAGTATATACCTAGTGCTCACTCAAAGTTAATAGCAGTCTAGGTATATTTTCCATATAATATAATAGATAGATGTTCCTTCTAAAGAAAGTACGGCTGCAATACTTGGAAGAATGTCGTCCACCATCGGGCACGTCATGACTTGCGCTTTGCAGCGCCATCGTTATATATCCAGATACAGACCACAGGTATAGTTCCGCCTTGAGCTGGCGTAGCGAATACCATTTCATCTGCGCCTCATCTTGAACCGTGGAAATATAGCCCAACGGACGAAGCTCCAGGAGTTTTATCGGGGATACCTACCTAAGGTATACTAGGTACATTTCGAAAAGAAGATTCCTTATCTCGATCAGGCATTGGCTGTCCTCTGCACCGGATACATGTGGTATCGGCTACGACCTAGGTACTCAATCAATGACACCATACAAGCAGAGAGAGAGAGAGAGAGAGAGAGAGAGAGAACATCAGGCAACACCAGAATTGGCAAAATGGGCCCATGCATGGTCCACGTACGGGGCCCTCTACTCTGTAATCTGTAACTACACCGTGTCGCAAATGAATTGACTAATTGTGTAATTGCGAGATTGACAACTCTAGGGAAAAGGAAAAGCGATTTCGGATCGAAGGATACCAAGATCGGAATTCCACTTTACCGGTGTTGAAACTCAAGATTGCGATATAGAAAACTACTATCTACTAGGCTCGAGCAGTAGAAGAGGGGCGGATTCACCCCGCAATGATTTGCGACGGATAACCTGTGGAGAGACTCGAGAGTACATATATGAAGATGATTATTATTGATAAGAAGAACTCACCTTATCAGTAACTATTACCATTAGGCTTTTGTGGTATTTCCGTAGAAAGCATCGGCGATTTTCGGATGAACGGCTTCAGCTGGCGATCTGTAGCAGACATGGCGGTAATGATGTGGTCTCATTTATCATCGCTTACTTTTCTTGTTTGTGTATCGCTTGAAATTCCCGATGAACCGAGACGGGTCCAAAGATATGCAAACTTCACAGACACCGAGGAAAGAGAGTGAATCTCGAAACATGATAAATCGCAAGGGTAGAACCAGTGGTACGATCATTTGCAGGGAAGCTCTCCAACTGTTTCTTTAGACTCCTGAAATGGAATTCGATTTCCCCTTGGAAATGTGGAGTGTTTCTATCTTGATCATTATGTGGTTTCAATTATCTTTTTTACCTAGGTAGTACTGCTTTATCCTAGGGAGAAAACTACTATTTGCCGACCAGAACACCCCAGGAATTACTAGTAGTATAATAATTGCGAAATCACTGGTGCGTGTACCTGCGTTCTTAGTACACGATATCCCAGTCAGTTCTGGGGAATTGAATCCATTCCAAATTCCAGGGCTAACTACCTAGGTACTCTTGATGTCTTGGGAGAGAAGTTATTTCTGACCCCCCCACACACATACTACTGACCTAACTTGCTGTTGCCGCGGCAAAGGTAATAATTCCCTGCATTAATATATAATTCCCTACTTGGGTAGTACTCTATCGAGACTGAACTTGGCTGCGATATCTGCTGATCATCCGAGTTTATCCTATCAGCGTCCAGCCAGCAACCACGATACCTACCTAGGTACGGAGTACCTTCGGTATCGCGCAGTTATCCAAGTTGGTGGGGAATGTTTCCCATTCCTCTTGGACGACCGAGATAACCTTCATTCTTGACAATCTGTAGTCGGTAACTTGTAAAGTCCATCAGAGACAAGGCAGGGTTATTTATGATGGATCTGGTATCTAAAGTGAGGTTGACGTCTTGGAAACCCGGATCCGTATCTTTCTTTATCCTAGCTCCTATGGAAACTACGGAGTAGTTAACTAACTAGTTAATATCTGCCCTGCTGACCAACGATTTCTGCCCATGTCAGTGTCAGGGTCGTTATCTGCATACAACCGATCTTTTTCAATCATGATTCTGGGAGGTCACCCGTGTAACGCTGGTGGTATCTGGGGAGACAATTCCCGAATCTTCCCCTTGTTTTGGCCGTCGTCAGAATCCTTCATGCCCAGCCACGTCTCGAGCCGCCGATGAAACGATGCAGGGTGTTTTTGGGGGGACATCCAAAGAATGAGCTGGAGCGTAAGGAGGCTTTCGGATGATCGAAATACACTGCATGGTTATTCTGAAGCCCTAAAATTAGGGTTAAGTCTTTTAGAGCAGAACAGAGTTTCGAATGCTCTTGAAAATCCCCAAAAGTGTGTGACTCATGAGACTGATGCAATGAGTTTATGTTATGGCAACTATGAGTGTATCAATAAGAATAAGTATTATTTTTTTTTCCCACCCCGCAATTCCGATTGTTACCCGCCTGGGGCGTCATCCCGGCATATTTTCGTGTCTCCAGAAGTTAGAAAAGATGGATTGAAGGTTTCTCATCCATTGTTCCATCGTATGACTTGTACCTTAGTAGCCCTGCCACTTGGCTTAGGCTTCGTCACATCTGGCAGTTCCCAGCTCCCATTGGGCTCTGCTATCCGCCCGGCTGGGATTTTTATTTTTATCACCTCAGCCAACCATTCCCAGGTTGTTGATCGGCAGGTCTAGATTAGGCAATCCCCAAGCCCTCGTTTCGACCCCAGATACGCTCCAAACCAGTGATCTAATATTTGTCCACTCCAGAATACGGAGTACAAAGAAGGGAAGGGAAGGAAAGGATTCCTTATCCATCACATGGCTGATTGTAATTCCTCGAAATAATCCAGAGTAATAATAATAAGGTCTCGAAATGTCCTACGGAACAGTCATAGACTAAGTTATCAGGATTCCCATATCTTCCGCGATAGCCGGTTCGGAAGTTTAGTACACACTGTACTTTACTCTGGAGCAATACAGACACGCACCTCTACTAAATCCCCACAGCATTTCATCTTCCCCCCTATTGAGTACTCCGTACTACTCCGCCCCACATTCTTTTTCTTGTCGTTTTTTTATGTATTTTATTCCTGTACTACAGACACTCGCTGTGCATCGAGCAGTACCTATAGTAGCCAAAATTCTGGAAGAATAAGAGATATCCTCATCTACATGGATTTTGATTTTTTTCGAGACCTTTGTACACTATGTGACGATGTAGGACTGGTATGATGATGGTAAGAAAAAGATGTTCCCCCACTACTAACCCGGGCCGGGTGAATCTCCAAGCAAAGCAGCCGATCTGGTTTGAGCACGTTCTTTTTTTGTGATTTATTTGATTTTATTTGATTTTCTTTCTTTTCTCTTTTTCCTTTTTTTTTTTTTTTTTTTTTTTTTGCCCCCCAATATTCATAATTTCATCCCCACACAAAGCACACTTGCAAGTTTTTTTTTCTTTTTTTCTTTTTCTTTTTTTTTTTTCTGCTCCGATTCCGATAAACGCCCCTCCCTCTGTAACCTCTTTTCTTTTCCTCCCCTCCCCCGAGCTCCGTTTCATTCTTCTTCCCCTCCCCTCCATTCCAATCCTCATTTTTATATCCTCCTTCCCCCAGATTGTTCTCCAGATTTTTCTTTTATTTTCCCTCTCTTTCTTCTTTCGAAACCTTTGTTCGACTTCGTCCCTCTCGACCTCATACTCTCCATCGCCCCCATCAATTCCCCGGAACGGGCTGCAATCCATCTTATCACCTTCAGACCATCCGAATCCCTTGATTTTAATCAGGGGGGCTGACTAGTCTTTTCCTGTGCAAATCCTGTCTCCTTTTTCTCTCTCGAATTGTCGTACCTTTACCTGTCGTTAAAGGGCTCAGTCTGGACTTGGTTATACTCCTTGCGCCATCTCGATATCTTCCTCCTGGTCAAGGCCTAGTCTAGGACGTAATAGGGTGGTGATCGCCTTCGCCGGTTTAGCTCCTGACTACACTTCCCCTCCGAACGTGTCCTTCAAAAAGTCCAGCTCTGTCCTGCCTTGGCCTCATCGCAGCTGCATTCGGACGAGCAGCTTCACATGCCACAACCAGCTACCTCAGTGGATTTTTCTAATCTGCTGAACCCCCGGAACAACCACAGCACTACCACCGCTACTCCGTCCACCCCTGGGGACGCCTCCAAGACCCCCTCCACTCCCACAAGTGCTCAGTCAACTTCCTCAATGGCCTCTTCGGTGAGCCTGCTGCCTCCCCTCATGAAGGGGGCGCGTCCCGCAACAGAGGAAGCTCGCCAGGATCTTCCCCGACCGTACAAATGCCCCCTGTGTGATCGCGCTTTTCACCGTCTGGAACATCAAACCAGACACATCCGCACACACACAGGTGAGAAGCCGCACGCATGTCAGTTCCCCGGCTGCACGAAGCGCTTCAGTCGCTCCGATGAACTCACTCGCCACTCGCGAATCCACAACAACCCGAACTCGAGACGGGGCAACAAGGCTCAGCATCTAGCGGCTGCTGCGGCTGCCGCCAACCAGGATAGCAATACCATGGCCAATAGTAATGCTGGATCGATGATGCCTCCTCCTAGCAAACCCATCACCCGCTCTGCGCCCGTCTCGCAGGTTGGATCTCCGGACATCTCGCCTCCACACTCTTTCTCCAACTACGCCGGTCACATGCGCTCGAATCTGGGGCCTTACTCTCGTAACAGCGACCGTGCCTCATCTGGCATTGACATCAACCTGCTTGCTACTGCTGCTTCGCAGGTGGAGCGCGATGAACACTACGGATTCCACGCCGGTCAGCGTAGCCACCTGTTTAGCTCTCGTCATCACGGGAACAACCGTCTGCCTTCCCTCAGTGCTTATGCGATCTCACACAGCATGAGCCGCTCGCACTCTCACGACGACGAGGATGGCTATTCCCATCGTGTCAAGCGCTCTAGGCCTAACTCGCCTAACTCGACCGCTCCTTCTTCACCCACCTTCTCCCATGACTCTCTCTCCCCCACCCCCGACCACACTCCTCTGGCTACTCCTGCACACTCGCCACGACTGAAACCTCTGGGCGCTAGCGAACTGCACCTGCCTTCGATTCGCCACCTGTCCCTTCACCACACTCCTGCTCTGGCCCCCATGGAGCCCCAGCCCGACGGCCCCAACTACTACAGCCCCACCCAGGCTCATGTTGGCCCCAGCATCAGCGATATCATGTCGCGACCCGACGGAACACAGAGGAAGCTTCCTGTTCCTCAAGTACCCAAAGTGGCAGTGCAGGATATGTTAAATCCCACGTCTGGATTTACATCGGTTTCGTCGTCAAGCAGCAACTCCATTGCAGGCGGTGATCTGGCGGACCGTTTCTAGGTTACAAATTTCAAGTTTCCTCTTATGCGCGCTACGAAATAGACTCCTTGTGCATTTATTGTTTGGTTCATGGGCATCATTGGTGTCAGGCGGTCAGGCTGCTTTTTTTTTTTTTTTTTTTTTTTCCTGTTTCCTGTTTCCTGTTTGATTATACTAGTAACTTTGCGAGGCGTCACTCCTGATAGATGGATGGGATATCTTTGCCCTTTTTTTTTTTTTTTTTGTTTTCTTCTCTTCTCTTATAAACCATCTGGGGTTTTCTGTGAGATCCTCTCCAATCGGATTAAGCTCTTCAGCTGTTATTTACTATGTTCTCTGAGGTTGAACCCTCTTAATTTCAATTCCCTTCGTGTCTTGACTATACTCTTTTCCACTTAGATTTCTTCAACTCTACTATGATGATATCTTCAAATGAAAACCAGACTCTTTCCAACCTCATTTGATTCACAGGGTGAAGTAGATAGCCATCCACGTTGAAGGCTTTTGGAATCGGAGAACCCCGCGAGATCCTCATGGGAAGTTATCCTCCCCGTCCGGTAGCGCACAGGTCAGGATTGGCTCTGTGAGACGAAATTTTCCCGGAAGTTGGTTTTTTTTTTTTTTTAGCCCCCGAATTCAGCGAAGGGGCGCGGTGATACTAATAAGGGAGTAGTAGATGGCTGCGGAAAAGATACTAGGGTTCTTTGCCATGAGAACCACATTGTTATTATTTCATCTGCGTGGGACGGGGGGATGAGGATCGATCGGATGATGTGCTCCGACCTCACCGGAGAAACTACTCGTCTCTCTCCCCTCTTTTCGTCCGTTCGTTCTTCATCTTCCGCTACCGGTTGTTCGCTCTGGATGTTATTCCATCTCAACCATGGCTGCTGACTCGTCCGTTTCCATCTGGACCCTCGTAGTCGATGCAGCTGCCTTGTGCTTGGATTAGGTATGTCCACTAGCAAGTCTGTTTCGGCCTGAACCAGAGAGATACAGAGAGAGGGGGATTTCGTGGGGTATTATCCCTGTGCTTGCTTTGCTTTTTTTTTTTTTCCCCCCGACTGGTTTGAACTGGCACACGGCGGTCGATATAAAAAGGTAACGAGTTGGCCAAATTCACCCTCCCCCCCCCGCTCCTTTCCTTCTTTTCCTGCGAATCTTTTATATCAAGTTGATATATGATATGATATATCTTTGATGTTGCCCGTCAACCTACCCCGTAGAAAACGGAGTATGGGATTGGTGGTGCAGTCATTTTGCAACCATGGTCGGGGCTGCGGTCTATACTCGCTGTTCATAGACTAAGAATATGGAAACAGGACCGATCGGGTAGTTTTGCAGATTGTATCGCGTTTCCGTGTGCTTTCCCTGGTGGTGCGTCTATCAGATATAGACGCCGGAGCCGGAGCCGGAGCTAGAGTTAGTCGTCGAGAATTCCCAACGATGGACCCGGACGGGGAGAGTACGAGGTGTTGCGATGGGGGCAATCTGGAGAGCGTTGCCGCTAGAACCCTCCTGCAACACTCAGATTCAACACCGGCGGTAGCCGTGGCTGTCCCCTCCTTGTCAAGTGACAGTGCGTCGTCGGCTGCTGGGTCGTCAAGCTTGTCGTTGGACACGATGTGGGCATCAGACATTGTAGGCCATGGCATCCTCGAAGACGACGGTACGGGGGCTCTCGTCGTCCCTCCCAGTCATCCTCCCCAACATCACCACCGCCATCATCGTCGTCGTCGTCGTCATCTTCGTCAACGACAGCATCTTATTCATCCCCCCTCTCCGTCAGCGCCACCTCTCAACCAACCCCACAGATACATATGTCTCTTCCACATCCTAGACTGTCAGGACACATTCGATGACGCCGAGGAATGGAAAACCCATGTCCTAAGTCACTTCCGAACCCACGAACCCCCAGACACGGCCCGGTGCCCTCTTTGCCCCGGCGAACGGTTCACCAGCACCCCGCACCACCGAGCGTGGGACCTCCTGCTCGAGCACGTCGACGTAGCCCACTATCAGCAGGGCGAGACTCTAGCAGGGAGTCGACCCGATTTCGAATTAATGCAGTATCTCTACCGCCTGCGGGTGATCAGCGTCGACCAGTTCAAGGTAATGCAGCTTGCGCCGCCGCCGTCGAGCCCGGCATACCATCGCTCACAGGAACCTGTTCGCGCGAGTATCGGCTCTTCGGATGAGCCGTACTGTGCGCCTTATAGTCGACGACGAGAGGAAAGAATGCGCGGGCAGCGCCGGGGTGTCAATGTTGCTTAATCGAACCCCTTGCGTGGGCTCTATCAGTCTCACAACCCTCCAGCATACATTATACAAAACATGTGCTCCCTGAAACCCAACCCTACCTGTACGGACCAGGAGGTGTGCGGGGTATTTTACGTATACCCTTGACATCATATGATATCCTGATATCCATCCATCCCCTAGAAGGGGGCAAGAAGAAGAAGAAGAAGAAGAAGAAGAAACAAAAGAAAGCCTACCGGTTAGGCAAGATGAGAAACACGATGTATGCATAATGCAATTCAACCCGTTCTTCCATGATGGTTTTGATTCTCTTTTCGCTTGACTGCTCGATTCAACTCTTTAGCCATGATATTTCTTTTTCTTATTTTTGATGTCTGTATTATGAATGTATTTTTGGGGGGGGGGGGGGGGGGGGGGGGAATGGTGTCTCGATAAAAGAACACATGGGACGAGCCATAAAAATAGCCTACGATCGAGATTTAGGTACCATTATGAAGGAAACTGATCAATCAACGATCTATCCGATTCATATACTCCTGTATTCATGTGGTGACAGTAATCCTGTTTGATGAATTCAGATCCTTAGCCTTCCTTTATCTATATTCTAAAAACTCATTCCTGGGTGTATTTTACCTCCAACCGATTTGTAGACATCGAAGACTCATCGATGGAAATCCACACCACAAAGCAAACAGAACAAACATCTCCTTCGCTCCACATCCAATGCTGCAAAAGCGTCAAAAAGTCCAGCCTCAGCATCAACCTCGAGCTCGACTCGACACTGCCATATTTCTCACAGATTAAGAACCCCTCCCCCCCTTTTCATATCTCATCTACGCTTCTTCACCGTTTGATATATCTATTCCCGAGGATCTCCCACCCCCTCTCCCCAGCTCAATCAAACCGCCACCCACCCACCATCTAAACCACTCAATTGCCACGATCAATTGACAGAATGGAGCGACTCGCAATCCATGACCCTCCCTCAGGTAACCAACAAGGAACCCAGCCGCCGCAGGGATTCCCCGCGCAAACCAACATGCTTGGTCCCATGTCCCAAGGGCCGCCGCAACTACCGCCCCAGATGTTCACCACCGCCGCGCAGCTACTAGACCTGACAGATAGTGCGTTTCCTTCCCCCTCCTCATCTAACTCGGAAAAAAGGGAACGCAAGCTAATAACCATACCTAGAGAAACTGGTTTTGGTTTTGCGAGATGGGAGGAAACTTATCGGGGTGCTGAGGACGTGGGATCAATTCGGTAGGGTCTTCTGCTTTGCTTGATATTGGTTTCGCGGCGATTGCTAAGATGGGATTGCGCTGCTTGGTGTTAGCCAACCTTGTGCTTCAGGATACGGTTGAACGCATTTATGCGGGGAATTTGTATGCGGATATTCCTCGCGGAGTGTTTTTGGTTCGTGGCGAGAATGTGTTGCTTTTGGGTGAGATTGTATGTCTTGTTTTGTTTCCTACTTTTGTCTGTGTGTTGCGTTTGGGGAGAGAGAGAGAGAGAGAGAGAGAGAGAGAGAGACTCCATGCTTATTTCGTACAGGATCTCGACAAAGAAGACGATATGCCATCAACCATCCAAAAAGCCCCCTTCCAGGAAGTCTTCGAGCTAAAACAGAAAGAAGATAATGCGCGGAAAACTGGAGACAAAAAGCGAAACAACAAACTACAAGGCCTTGGGTTCGAAGCCGAACACAGCGGAGAGATCCTTTTCTAGATCAACTAGCGATGTCCAAGTCCGAATGGCCGCCCTTTCTGTTTCTTCTCTTCCCTGATCGACCATCCCCGTCGATCAGTATGTGCGATTACCCCAAGGAGGTAGATAGCCTGAGATAGGAACAAGGCAGACCTTGGTTGTGTGCACCAAAGGGCAAGATAGTCGGTTGGTTCTTGCAAGACATTTATTGCCAGCCTGGCGATGTGTCGTCTCGAGGCTGCGGAATGCTCTTCCTCTCTCTTTCTCTCTTCCGGAACAATCGCGGAGATTCCGGCGATCAACAGCCCCTGGCGTCTCGAAATGCAGTGCCGTCGCCGATTGCTTCGCTAGAAACCGCGAGCCAACGCGTTGATGGAGTCGCGAGAGGCACTGAGTGGGATATGTTCCGAATATGGTGGGGGGCTACATTTGAGCGGATATGGCCTGGTCAGTGGAGATAGAAGCCATGTTTGACGATGACTATGTTTTATTATGCCTTTTTATTTTATATTTTTTTTTCTCCTTTATTTCCTGATATACTTGATATGTCCTAATCTTCGCATCCCTTTGTGTGTGGTGGTGGTGCAGAAATGAATACCTGTGGGTTTTGCGACTCCTTTTTTTTTTTGAAAAAAAAAAAAAAAAAAAAAGAAGAAGAATAAAATGTATTAATTAATTCTCTCTCAATCACCTCAAGAGAGTCACAATTAGAATACATTAAATCGTATATCTTCTTCTATTTAATTAACGATGAAGTCCGACTTATCGATTACCGCCGCCAAGAATCTTGTACCTTTTTTTTTCAAGGCGGACCACAAAAAAAAAAAAAAAAAAGAGCCTCCGCCATCCTGCAAACTTCTTCTCTTCTCTGCTTCAACGACCAACGTATTCGCTGTTGGAACGTCTTCTCAATTTGCCGGCCGGTCCGTCTTCTCCATCATGGCGACCCTGGCAGAGAAGCTCGAGAAGATCAAGTCTCCTAAATTGCAGAACCAGCACCATGTCAGTGGCTCCGTCCTCCCGTCACCACTCTTCTACCATGCTAACTTTCTCTCCAGACTGCTGTGGTGCTGTCTGCTGTGGAAGACACTCTTCGAGACCAAAAGGCTGATTTCTCGCCTACTGCGTATTTCGCTGCACTTCTTGCCCTCCTCGCCCAGTCGCTGTCGGCCTCGCAAGGCATCGTCAACAAGGATTTGGCGACCTCTGTCGTCTACCTGCTCGATACCACAACTACCTACGTGCCCGCTCCCATCCTCCGTTCCAAGTTCTCTCAGATTCTCACCAACCTTGCGCCCGCGCTGTCCCTCCCAGAAGTTGAAGCGCCGCTCCTCCGACCGTCTATTGGCTGCTTGGAATCGCTCCTGGTCGCCCAGGATGCGCCCGCGTGGAACCTCCCACACACCCAGATCGGGCCCCGGCGGGCTATCGCGGGCCTGCTCAGTCTCGCCGTGGACCACCGTCCGAAAGTGCGCAAGAGGGCCCAGGATGCCTTGATCAAGGTCCTCAAGTCCCCCCCGCCTAGCCCCTCACTGGACCATCCGGCCGCCGATATGTGCGCAGAGACTTCCCTGCGAACGTTGGGCGACAGTATTACCGCGGCCTCGAAGCAGAAGCGCGGCCGCCACGACCCCCACAGTCGAGATAACAGCGACCCCCTCGTGATCCATTCCCTGCAGCTGGTGAAAACAGTGGCCGTTGCGTCGGGCGGCTGGCCAAGCAAGAAGATCGAACCGCTCTGCGAGTTGCTCATGAATGCTTCTCGCTCGAGCAACGAATACATCACCATGGGCGCCTTTGAGGTCTTTGAGGTGATTTTCTCCAGCATGGCTAATGAATTTTCTTCGTCGAAACTTCCCCGTCTTCTCGAGGCGATTTCCGAATTGAAACCCGCGCAGAATGATTCTCAGCTGCTTCCCCCCTGGATTGCGGTTTTGTCTCGTGGCTATGATGTTTCCGCGCAGATTAGCCCCGAAGATACCTTTGAGAAGCTGCCCGACCTGTTCAACATGATTTCCGGTTACTTGGCGTCCCCGTCGAGTAACATTCGAGTGTCCGCTTCGGAATGTCTGGTTTCGTTTGTCGCCAACTGTATTCCGGACAGTGTCATCATTGAACCCTCGGTGTATGATGAGAAGACTTTGGAGAAGCTTGCAAAGGCGACCAAGGATCTGCTTTCGGTCAAGTACCAAGCGGCGTGGTCCGAAGTGTTCAATGTCTGTGCGGCGATGTTTGAAAGCTTCAAGTGGCGATCAAGCCCGTTCTTGGATGATATCGTCCGCACCATCGGTGAGCTTCGCAGCAACGATTCCTTCCAGGGAAAGAAAGAAGCAGACAATGTTCTTGGTAGCGCGGTGGAGGCTATGGGCCCCGAAGCTGTTCTCGAAATCTTACCTTTGAACCTCATTCAGCAGAAACCCGGTCAACCCGGTCGTGTCTGGTTGCTCCCTATTCTGCGCGACAGCGTCACCAACACCAATCTTGGCCATTTCCGCTCGGAATTTGTGCCCCTTAGCGAGGCCCTATATCAGAAGATCATGGACTTTACCTCTGCGGAGAAATCCGTCGAGGTGAAGATCTTTGAGACCCTGGTTCAGCAGACCTGGGCCATCCTTCCCGGTTACTGCGAGCTGCCCCTGGATCTTGTCGAATCCTTTGATCAGAGCTTCGCGGAGCTTCTGTCGAATATCCTCTACAAACAGACAGACTTGCGAGTGGACATCTGCAGAGCGTTGCAGAACCTCGTAGAGTCCAACCAGGCCATCCTGTCTGTTGAGAAGGCGGAAGATGATCTGATCTTGCAGCGTCGGATTACCAAGGCCGCTGCGAAGAAGAACATTGCCCATTTGGCTAGCTTTGCTAGCAACCTTCTGGCGGTGCTATTCAATGTGTACAGTCAGACACTGCCTCACTACAGAGGTTACATCCTGCAGTGTATTAATGCCTACCTGAGCATCACTCCTGAGAAGGTTCGTCAGATCCCCCCCCCCCCCTTTTTTTTTCCCATCTTTTCTGTTTTCCTAGCATAGCTAAATTCTTGCCTACTTTAGGAACTGAACGACACATTCACCCGGGTAACTTCTATGTTGGAGTCATCTGTTGTTTCCGAGCAGGAAGCCGCCAAGCAGGGCAACCAGTCCACCGGCTCTGGAGACAAGATGCCCCCAACCTCGCATACACTTATCGACTTGGTGATTGCTATGTCGATCTATCTTCCTCGCTCGAGCTTCGCAAGCCTCTTTGCTATGGCGGCAGCGATCCTGAATGGCAGTACCAACGACCAGCAGCTTATTAAGAAAGCCTACAAGCTGATCCCGCGCTTGGCTTCGACAGAAACTGGAGTTTCCGCGCTACGTGAGCGGAATGCTGAGCTCCAGGGCCTTATGCTTTCTACCTCTGACAAAACCCCTGCCTCCGCGCGTCGGGACCGCATGCTCGCCATCCACGAACTCGTCACTTACCTCCCAACCTCTGATCTGCATTTCATTCCTTCCATCCTCTCCGAGGTCGTGCTGGGCTGCAAGGAGAGTAACGAAAAGGCTCGAACGGCTTCCTTCGACCTGCTCATCCACCTTGCAAAGAGAACCGTTGATCCTGAGCTAAATCCCGCGGGCACCATGATCCGCAACTCGCTCGTGCCTCACATGCCCGATAACGCACCCGAGGCCCCCGCAACAATCGAGGAGTTTTTCACCATGGTGTCTGCTGGTTTGGCTGGCAGTTCTCCTCACATGGTTGCTGCGTCCGTGACTGCGCTTTCACGGCTGTTCTTCGACTTCCACCAGGACCTCCAGCCTGCTATGCGCTCGGATCTCGTCCAAACGGTGGAACTGTTCCTCACCAGCAACAACCGCGAGATCGTCCGTTCTGTCCTCGGTTTCGTTAAGGTCGCTGTTGTCGTGCTACCGGATGACATGCTCCGCCCCCGTCTCAACACCCTCGTTCCCAACCTCATGGTATGGAGCAAGGAACACAAGGGCCGCCTCCGTAGTAAGGTCAAGGGTATCCTGGACCGACTCATCCGACGTTTCGGCGCCGCTCCGCTCGAGGAATTCGTTGGCGAAGCGGACCGCAAACTCGTCGTCAACATCCGCAAACAGCGCGAGCGCCGCAAGAAGAAGAGGAAGGAAGGTGAGCAGGGCGAAGACGACGACGAGGATGACGAGGCCGCTGGTGCCAGTGCCAGTGCCGGAGCCGACAAGACCGGCAAATCCTTCAGCAACGCCTTCGACAAGGCCGTCTACGACTCTGATTTCTCCGACTCCGATGATGACGCTAGTGAGATCGACGTCGACGAAGACGGCGTTACCCACGCCCACTCTCAGAAGGGCGGCCGCAAATTCCGCCACAAGGGCAAGCAAAGCGAGCAGTACATCCGCGAACTCTCACCGGAAGATAACCCCCTGGATCTGCTGGCTCCCGACGCCCTCGCCAACATCTCCACCACCAAGCCTAGCGTGCGGTTCCTCAACACCGGTCCCGGGTCGTCCCGTCGCAAGCGAGCCGCCAAGGTTGGTCCCGACGGCCGCCTGATCCTCGGCGGCGGCGACGACACCGAAGCCGCGGACGTGGAAATGTCGGGGAATCTCGAGGCAGCCAATGACGCCGGCGAGAGCGGCATCAACGCCTACGTCCAGGCCGTCAGTGGACCGGACGCGGTCCGTCGCGGCCAGCGTGGCAAGCTGCGGATGGCGCAATCGCAGAAGAAGAAGTCGCAGCGCGGAGACGACATGGACATGGACGTGGACGATAACAACAACAACAATAACAACAACAACAACAACAACAACAACAACAACAGGCAGTCCTCGTCCTTTGCTGGTTCCGGCGCCAGGAGAGGCAGTGGCCCCAACCAACCGGGCCGTCGTGGACTCGGCATGCCCAAGACACACGGACCCAGCGGCGTCCAGAAACGGAGAGACATCCGCGGCAAGCAAAGCGGAAGGGGGGGGATTCGCGTCGGAAGACGCAGGTAATCTTCCCTCCTCTCTCTCTCTCTCTCTGTTTTTTTTTTTTTTTTTTTTTTTTTTTTGTTTTGTTTTTCTCTCCTAAATAGTATTATCGAGAGTACAGCAGTATAGTATATTGGAGAAATGCACATGAGACTATAAAATATCAAAATTACAACTTTACACAGGCACGCACGCACGCACGCACGCAAGCAAGCAAATAAAAGCAATGACTAGAAATTATAAATAAATAAATAAATAAACAGATGGCACTACATACCTATTTACTACTTTTATGATGTAGTTGGTTAGTTAGATTTAATTAGTTAGTTAGTTAGTTCCCTCTATCTTTCTTTCTTTCTTTCTTTCTTTCTTTCTTTCTTTCCTGTATATATGCATGCATGCCCTATTCTGTATTCTCTATTGAGTCGAAATCCAAATAATAATATAATAAATGAATTTGCCCTGAGCCCCTATCTAGTTAGGTCACGGGTTAGGCAGGCAGGTAGTAGGTATAAAGTACAATGCTCTCTGTCCACTAACTAACTAGTTAGTTAGTTAGTTAGTTAGTTAGTTAGTTAGTTATAGATCTATGTAAAGGATTCTTTCACTAGTTAACTGGTTAGGCTCTGCCGCTCTGCTGCTCTCGCTAGCTGAAATTGAATCAAGGTTATTATTAGTTGACTAGTTGACTAGTTGACTAGTTAGTATAGTATAGTTTGTCATACCTATCTATATAGTTGGTTGGTTGGTTGGTTGGTTACAGAGTATGTATGACTTATCTCTGGGGGACTGTTAACGCCACACCCTGTATCAATCCAACCACACCCCTTCCCAATCATGCTACACCCCCTAACCTAATAATGCCATACCTATTTATCACATGATTTTTTTTCTTGCTATATATAGTTTAGTATTAGGGTAATTTTATAGAATATTATTATTATTATACATATTATAGTATTAATAACTACACTAAATATATGTAGACCACGCAGACTACTAAAATACTATCTAATCTTATTAGATATAAGAGCTTAGACAATAGCAAGGATGCTAGTAAGGTCAGGCCTTAGCTACTTCCTCTACTAACTAACTAGACCTTCCTATCCTAACTAGCAGTTATAAAATTTCTTAATTTATTTATTATATAGTAAGAATATATCTTAACTACTAAGTAATTAAAATAATACAAAATTAATAAAAAGAAAGAAATATATTTAGTCTATTTATATTATAGCTATAGAGGGGAATATTAAAATTAAATTAATAAAAAAGAGTACTCTTAAAAAAAAAAGACTTAATTTATAAAATACTTATATAAAGTATATTTAAAGCTTAGATCTAATAATAAAATATAATATCTTAAGATTAAGAATACTTTATATAATTATAATCCTACTCCCTATTTAATATATATAAAGCTTTGCTATTATAAAATAATAAAGAAAGAAGCTAATATTAAGTCTTATTTTAATATTAGCTTATTAATAGGTAAAATCCTTTTTATATTATATAAGAATAATCTTAATTATATTATAAAAAATTATAATATCTATAATTAGAAGTAAAAGTTATAAAATAAGCTTCTTAATAGTAAAATTCTTATTTAAATATTTTTTTTTATTATTCTAGAAATTAGTAACTAGATAGTAATATATAAAATAAATAAATTAAATATTATAATAATAATATTTTATATTTATAAAACTTTCTTATAATTCCTATAGTATTATTTAATAATTTTATTTATAAATTATATATATTATATAAATTAATATAAGATATTATTATTAGATATTATTAAATTAATTACTTATAATAAAACTTTTTATACTAGATTTAGATTTATTTTTAATAAGAAATAGGAGAATTATAAATATCTTTTAAACTATTTATTTAAAATTCTTTAATAAATAGATATTACCTCTCCTATAATTATTATTACTAATAAGGAAGGTACCTTAATAAATATAATCTATAAGGTCTTTCTATTTATATATAACTTAATCTATATATAATATATTTATTAAAATATTCTTATAAAGGTATAACTTATTCTTACTAGCTAAATTATATAAGAAATCTATAGTAATAATATAATAGAAGTAAGAAAGAATAATAAAAAATATAAGAATTATATTAACTAGTAATAGAAAGCTTTTTAGGTATTATTTAATATAATTATATATATAAAAATTAAGAAAAAGAGAAATTTAATAATTAATAACTTTAAAATTATATATAGTAGTAAGATCTAGTAAGAATTTATAGAATATATTATTAATAAATAATTAAATAATAAGATTTAATATTACTTCCTATTTTATTATCTTATAAATTATATATACTTTATATAGATAATAACTTCTTATAATAAGTTAGGTTATTAAATACTTAAGTAAAAGCTTTAGATCTCTATAAATAATCTCTTAAAAGTATAGTAATTCTTTAAATATACTATAGTAAGATAATATATTAAAATATAGTAGATTTATAATAATAATAAGGTAAAGTACTTACTATAATTTATAAGAAACTTTTTATTCTAAATTATATTAAATTAGATCTTTTTATTCATGCTTAGCTATATTATAGAGATTAAATAATATTTTTTAAGATTTAATAAAATTCTATATAATCTAGATTATAGTAAGAATATAAAGAGAATAATAAGGATTTCTTATATTTATATTATTAAAAAATATATTAATTATAATAAGCCTTTATAAATCTATTATTTTTATTAATACTAGTAACTTTATATAAATATTAACTTATTATTTTTTATTAATCTATAGCTATTAGTCCTTAACCTTATAGTCTATAGGACCTGTAGCTATCCAAGAGGCTTAATAAATATCCTAATAGCAAGCTAGCTAGCAAGCCAGGGTAATATAGATAGATCTACCTAAAGAGAGCTATCTTATTATAAATATATCTTGGTACAGGAGAATTTAATACCTTGCAGGAGATATAGAAGAGGTAGAGGAGGTAAAAAAAATAGGAGAGATTATTAACCTATAAAAAATAAAATAGTTAGTATTCTTCTTCTTAATTAGGGTGATAATATTTAACAGACTTATAGCTAGCAACCTTGCAGGCTACTAATCTAGCAACTAATCTAGCAACCAAGCCAGCAACCTCGCAGGCTACTAATCTAGCAACCAAGCTAGCAACCTTACAGGCCACTAATCTAGCAACCAAGCTAGCAACCTCACAGGCCACTAATCTAGCAACCAAGCCAGCAACCTCGCAGCGCGGAAGACATGGTAGAAGACATGGAAAATAAGGAGATAATTAGGGGTATAAAGGACATGCTACTATATAAAAATAAATTCTAAATACTAGCTTCTAATTAGCTAATAATTTATATAATTAGAATTACTTAAATAATATATATTTTATTACTTTTATAGGTACTTATTTTAATAAATTTAAATATAGATATCTAACTCTATATATAATATTTTTATTATGTAATGAATAGGTATGGTATTATTAAGTTAGGGGGTGTGGCATGATTGGGAAGGGGTATGATTGGATCAATACAGGGTGTGGTGTTAACAGTCCCCTATCTGTAAGCGTCTCGCTGGCGAGGCGCTTGGGTATGGGTAGTGTTGGTAAAGGAAGCAAAGCTACATGGAGTACAAGGATAGTAGGAAGGTATTAGAAGTAATAAAATAAAGTACTTGCCTCTTAATACTTTAGGGGTTATTATATTACTATTTATATTGCCTAGTTAAGTTACTAGTATAGTATAGGTAACTTAAATATTACTATTCTTTTAATTATCTTTAATTACTAGGCATGTAATTTAATATATAATTTAGTATATAGTTATATATTATATAATTACTATAATAATTATCTCCTCTCTCCTTAGTAGCATGTCCACATGCTACATGTACTACACCCAATCTAGCTTAATACCCTACTAAGGAGGAGCTAGTCCTAGTTAGTATAATATAACCTACTTTTTTATTTAATACTAGAGATAATAATAATATATATAATACTATCTTTATTAATTATACTTTATTAAATAGAATATAAATAATATTATATTTTACTTTAAATAAAATAATAGATAGGAATAAGTAGTTTACTAAATATACTAATAATAAGTAAAAATATTATTATAATATAAATATTATAGGGAAATACTCCTTTATATATATATTTCTTAATTTAATCTATATTTTAAAAAATCTCTCTTAATAAGTTAATATATTATTCTAAGTAGGTTATTATTACTTAAATATTATAATAATAATTAACTATATTATAAATCTTATAACTCCTCTTAAATATCTTTTATTAGGTATTATACTAGTCATGTCCCTGTAAAAAAGAGCTTATTTAACTATTATTATTTCTTCCTTTATAGGTGCCTTTATTCTAGTAGTACAGGTCTATTATATTAATTATTTATAAACTCCTGCAGCAAACCCTCCTATATCTATATTAACTATAGTACTTATAACCCCTATTACTACTAGTATATCTCTTATAGTTCCTACTATTACTACTATATTATCTAGTAAGACTATATCCCCCTTATCTTCTATAACTACTCCTAATATTATAGTAACTCCTACTACCTCTCCCTCTATTTCTTCTACTACAGTGACTCCAGCTACTCCCGCCACTATTATCACGCCAGCTCCTATCATCACGCCAGCTCCCATCATCACACTAGCTCCTGTCATTACTATAGTTCTAGCTACTCTACCTGTTTCAGTTACCTCTACTAGCCCGGCTGCCATTATTTAAATACTATATTACCTATAGTATACTAAGTCTTAGTAGTATAAGAATAATAATCCCATAAAAGCCTGTTCCTATATATACCCAAATCTAGAATAGTAGTATATTTAATATACCTGCTTATATAAAAAATACTTTCCTATTATCCTGCCTGTGCAGGTTAGTCTTGGGGAAATTTAGATAATATCTAGTAAGGTAGCAGGTATGGCAGCCTGTACTTAATAGGCCTATACTATTAAGATTTTTATCTATTATCT